TGATCCTCATTGTCTGTGTGCCGTTTCTGAGCAATGATCAGTGAGATCCGACAATTCTACAAAAGGGTACTTACCTGTCTGTGGCACGTTGGCGAAACTGCCGGTGATTCTTGGCCGTATCATCCATTCGCTGCTTGTGAATCCGATTACAATTCTTGAGCACGGCGATCATGTTGCTATCGCGGCTTGATCGCTTGCGGTTGGAGTCGCGGGTCTTTTGAATCGACTGTTTGAGATGCGACCTCTGCTCCCTCATCTGCTCCATAAGCGACTTGTTCTGCCCTTCAAGCGACTGGTTCTGCCCTTTAAGCGACTGCTTCTGCCCTTCAAGCGACTGGTTCTGTCGACCGAGACGGTCGACCTCTGAGACACCTGCGTTGATCTGCTCGACGAGCGACTTGTTCCGGGCCTCGAGCGACTGGTTCTGCTCTTCAAGCGACTTGTTCTGCTTACCAAGGACACCGGCCTCGGAGACACCTGCCTGAATCTGCTCGACGAGCGACTGGTTCTGCCCTTCAAGCGACTGGTTCTGCCCTTCAAGCGACTGGTTCTGCTCGACGAGCGACTGGTTCTGCCCTTCAAGCGACTGGTTCTGTCGACGGAGACGGTCGACCTCTGAGACACCTGCGTTGATCTGCTCGACGAGCGACTTGTTCCGGGCTTCAAGCGACTGGTTCTGCTCTTCAAGCGACTGGTTCTGCTCTTCAAGCAACTTCTTCTGCTCTTCAAGCGACCGGTTCTCTCGACCGAGACGGCCGACCTCTGAGGCCTCTGTGTTAAACTGCTCCCCGAGCGACGTCTTCTGCTGGACAAGCTGATTGTTCTGATCGATCAGCGACCTATTCTGTCTCTCAAGACGGCCGATTTCTGGGATGTGCACGTCAAGCTGATATACCAGTGACTGATTCTGCTGGGAAAGCGAGCTCTGCTGCGCGGCCAGTGACTTGTTTTGATCAAGAAGCGACTTGTTCAGCTGATTCAGCTCATCAAGACGGCCGGTCTCAGACGTCTGCGAGTCAAGCTGCGCGCGAAGCGTGTTGTTCAGCTCATCAAGACGGCCGGTCTCAGACGTCTGCGAGTCAAGCTGCGCGCGAAGCGTGTTGTTCAGCGTAACAAGACGGTCGGTCTTTGAAAGGTGCATCTCAATCTGTTCCTGCGCATCCCGTAGACTATCCGAGCACGACTCCTTCTCCCGATCCAGAGCACGGCAACACTGCAAGAAGTTCTGCTTGCTTTTAGTCAAGCGGCGGACATCATTCCTCAATGAGTAGGTCTCTCTTTCCACTTCCTTAACACGATTCTGAGCAGCCACCAACGCTTCTCCTTCCACCTTGTTGGCGAGTTCGCATAACTGGGAGTGGAGGTTCGAAATCACGGCCAAGGCATGATTGTTTCGTGAAATTATCGACTGGCGGGCCGCCTGTTCTAGTAGCTGAGTCTGTTTAGTCCCATGTCGTCCGCCAAGTCTGGATTCGGAGTGTATACCTGGGACGTCTTCTGGTCTACAGCATCCCCATACTGCTGAAAGATGTTCTGCTCCGCTTGATTGAGCTGTAAAGATGTCTCGTCCAGACCTTCCTTCGCGTATTGGAATTGTCCGAGTAGGCGTTGCTGGTTCTGGTATATCGACTGGATCTCCATGTCGTGCTTGTGATTCTTGGAGAACGCATTTCTCGCGCTTCGATCACCGCTGCTGGTAGGAGGAGTGACCATGATAAATGGAGGGATCGGCGGCACTAGAAGTGCCGCACGGAGGAGAGGAACAGGGACAGTAAGGGAGAGAACGTTGAGGACTGGAGATGGGGATGAAGGATGATGTGAATGCTAGCAGAGGTAGGCGCTCTGCGTACCCTTGTCCCGCCGCGGGAGCTAAATTAAAGCTAATTGTCATAATGACGGCCACAGGTATCGTACAAAGACTGCCAAAGAGGCTGGCAGTGGCGGTGAGCTCTACATGCTGCATAAATCGCTCTTGCGAATAGCACGGTCTGATATGAATTGGAGAAGGCGAGAGTGCTTGGGCATACATAAATGTCAGTGCTTCACTCTCATCTACACAGCGATGGTTGCTCAGCGAGTGAAGCAGCTCGCAGGATGGGCAAAGATGTGTAGGCTGGAACTCTTGGCAAAGGATATATGAAGGCGATGTGCCTGGATGAGCAGGAGCCCGAGGAGGATCAAGCAGCTCAAGCAGTACCAGCGCTCGCCATGAACGGGTTTGCGGAGTTTGCTGGTGTCGGTCAATGCATTGTTCGGCAACCGGAACAGGGAGGCACGGGCCAGCATGGGGGCTGTCCGACTGTAAGATTCTTCAAGCTTCTCTCGACTCGACAATCGATTCCTTCCCTCTCCACCGCACTCCTCACTGACATTCAGTGTCAGCTTCTTCTCCCTTGCCATCGCACGGCTCATTGGCATTCGATGCCAGTGTCTCCACTCTCCCCTTTTTCATCACACTCCTCATTATCATTCCCTGTTGGCAAATCTCATCCAGCTCCTCGCATCCGACTCACCGGGCAGCTGTTCCACCACAGTGACAACGACTCGAAGCTACTCGCAACAGCGATAGTACCTCTACACACCTTCGCCTTGCTTCGGCGTTCAGCGTCGAGGTCACTCCGCCATGGCTCCGCCTACCGACAAGCAGCTCCAATGGGCAAAAGAGCAAGTGCTTCAGCATGGACCCTTGCCTCGCTTCTGGAGGATGCAGGTATGCTCGTTGCACTCACCCCATACATACCTTCCGCTGACGATAATAGCCTCACCCCTTGGATGCCGAGAGAGGAGTCTATCGAGGATGGTCGGGGTAAGACAAGTTTCCTACACGAAGGCCCTGCGAAACTAACAGATCACAGTGAACGTATCTTTGAGAACCATCCGAACAGCATCTACTTTGACGATGAAGCCAGCAGCGAATTCATCGAGGAAGAGTTCGTAGATGGGTCCTTCGCAGCACCTGAGCAGCAACTCGGAGTACTGCATCCACCACAGTACGGTGAAGGCGTCTGGACGTGGCAGTCGGCAGCGAGCCCTGTAGAGGCTGTCATCCAAGCTGTCATGGCATGTGAACTGTACGGATACGGCAACGCGCGTCCCCAGGAGAGCTACTTGAAGCACATCTACACGACACAGGTCCTGTCGCCAGAGCCCGACGCATATCCTCAAGTCATGTATCACCCAGCAGATGCAAACAAGACGCCGCACCCGCAGGAGCCAGAGACTGCTGCTTTCACGAGACGACTGGGTTTTGCTCTGGTGGTCGTGTCGTTCGATCACGGACACTGGGCAAACTGCTTTGCTCCGCGGACCAGCATCGCCAATACCACGACACGATGGAGCCTCGGTGCAAACTACGAGTTGTATCCTCCCCTTTACCTCGGATATGGTGCTGGAACGTGGTGGTGGCTGAGGGCCAAGAGCCAGGCCACGTATAGCCTCTGGTCACCGCCAGCAAACAGCTGGGCCAGTCTCATCGACGACATCCGCAAGAACGGTGTCTCTTTCCCGTTCAACGAAGACGCGATGATTCAGGTCGGCGTCCGCATTCAGCGCATGATCCGCATGGGCATGCCGCTGCCAGATCCGTCGACGATGGACCAGCTGGTGTCCAAGCTGGCGTATCGTCTCGCCGCCTCACAGGAGGATGCTTCTTTCCTTGAGGTAAGCAAACATTCCCGCTACCCGTTTGACACCCACTGACTCGCAACAGCAATGGAATGAGAAGGCACGTGATATCAAACATCCCGCAGTCTCCTTCAGCCGGTTGACGAAATTGATCGCCTGCTCCGGCAGCAAACGTGCGCGTGCGCTTGCCATTGCATATGATCGAGCGCTCCGGGTTCGGGCTTCAAGCACGGACACCCCCGCCTCAGACCATCGAGACTATCTCGTTGCGCTATCACCAGACTTGTCCCGTGCCCGACAACAAGCCAACGGCTCCTCTCTCCCGGCGCAGCAAGCAGCGGCGTCCAAGACTACAACTGAGGCTGCACCAGCCAAGAGTTCTGCCGAAGCTCCACCGTCTGCTCCCATCGACAAGTCTCCGCCAGCCGTCGCTCCTGGTAAGGCGCTATCAGCCGTCAGTGCTAATGACCCTGTACCATTCACGTCCATGGTCTCTAATCATATCGATTCTCTGTTCCGGCGCGCCGAGGAGCACGCAGAACTCAAGGAGATGGAGGAGACCACTAAGATTGACGAGGCAGGGGAGGACGGGTTCGGGCCTCAAGCGTACGGTCCGGCTGCGCTGGCGGCGTGGGCGCAGTGGGAAGAGGAGGTGAAACAACAGCGCGCGGAGGATCAGCGGAGGTGTATTGCGGCCGAACAAGCCAAAAAGCTTGGAATGGTCTCAAAGGTCTCGATGTTGCTAGAAAAGTATAACAGGAAGTAGTGTATCATCATCGCCTGCAAATCGATACAGCGAATTGTGTCTCACGGGCAATGGAATTAGACATGTTCAACTCAACCCCGCCTCTCAATTCAATAACTGCTCTATATCAATTGCCCTCCACCGGGGTATGCCCAGGGTTGCAGATAGTCAATGCGCGACAGCCCACTCTCATTTCGACAGCCTGCCCACCAATTTTTGAGTCTACACTTATGATCCAAAAGCGCTTATAGACCTCCATCACCACATCAGACTTCGAATCATCGACCGCTCGGATCTCCACCAGCATCAAAGGCCGTCAAGTCCCGGTCTCACTTTCTGCGAATCCCCCCTTCGCGGCTCGCACCACACCCCTTCGACTGAGCCCCAATGCGTAGCAACATCACAAAGCCGAATAACCCAGGCGTGACTCATGTCCGCATCCACGTGGACTACCTCCCTCGCACCTACGACGATTATGACCTCCGCAGCATGATCACGATCTACGTACCGGCAGCGTTTACCATTGATGCCGAAGGGGAAGACGCGAGTGATCAACAGGCGCTAGAATGGTACAGGGAGGAGTACTTTGAGCAAGAAGCGAGCGACCGAGCTTACATGAGCGGGAAGTGTATCGATTGCGAAAGCGTCTTCTGCGTCTGCGAAGGAACCTCGCGAAGCACTCCGAGTGGCCGGAAGCTCACGGAAGAGGAAGGATACCAGCAGAAGCTGGACTGGGCTGTTGCCGAAGAGTGGGACGAGTGCGAGTTGTGGGATGAGATGTACATGGACACGAGTCGCGAGCAGCTGAGGGACGAGGAGGATAAGATGTCGATGCTTGCGGGTAACTACAACGTGTCGTCAAGCAAGAAGCGCAAGCGCAGCAATTCCTAGATGGATTCGAGCAGTACATCACACCGCGATACAAGGCAGGGTTGAATGTAGCCTCGTCAGAGGTAAAGAAAGCAATCTCCTCACTGCCAACATTCAAAGTCTGTCCCAATTTGTGCCAAAAGTCGTGGCCGTGAAAGACGCTGACTAGCAAGTCAGCAAGGCGGCATGGTGGAACGTCTGTTCTCGACCGCCACAAGGACCCGAATTCGCTATAGCGAATTGTCGCCCATTCCACGGCGCTCACACGCCAATTGAGCTCATCGAGGACTATGGGGTGTGTGGTGGCATGTATTCCACCGCCAGGTGAAGTCAAAGGTGAGTTGAGAGAGCCATGGGAAGCGTTGCATTGGGGTGGGAAAGAACTACTCCATAGAGTAACTACAGAGAGTGGCAAGAGCGAATGACATTACTTGTCATCCCGGCTCTGTACCAGGTTTCAAACCTCGGCCGAGGATTGTGTACCTCGGCAGTCGCCTAGCGTCTTTTCTGAGATTTCATTCCTTTACGTGGGTATCGGTGAAGAGACATTATCAGGCCGCATTCGACATTTGCGAGGCGGTGCGTAGAGGGTGCTGCGTTCGCAAGAACGGTGCAGTGCATATCGCGAGCAAAGACATACCAGGGCGTCGATGTATCGTGATGCAACAGCGATCGTTCGGACAAGCTTGAATCGAAAGGATGTAATATGAGGTACACAAGAGAAGATGGACGGCTTTGTCGTGGCTGAAAGAGGCTGCTCGCTTGAAGGAGAATAGTCTCATCGTACATACATCGCGACTGTCATGAAATCGCAGAGTTGCAAAGGTAACCCGATCTCGTCACCCGCGCTACACGGTCGATGCAGAGTTCAGACGCTGCAATGCAATAGTATCCGTAACTGCGGCGATGTACACCCCTACCCTGCGAGGCCCGCAAGATATTGGCGCTGCTCAAGATGGACAACCGAAGGGACACTTGATGCCTCGTGACTTTAAACGGTGCGAGGAGATTGCGTATCCGAGGCAGTCTGTCCTACCGTATGATATGTCGTCTCTTCAGCAACCCTCCGATAACGCGTGGCCGCTGCCCTGTGATGATGCCACGAGTTCTGAACGAGAGCAAGTCCCTCGCGGCGTGCGAGATGGTCCGGCGGGACATGGTAGACGGCTCCTCCCGCATAGTATCTCGCCTCTTCAGCAACCCTCCGGTGGCGCATATCTGCTGCCCTGTGACGATGAGAGGAAGTCCGTCGCGGTGTGCGAGATGGTCGTTCGGTGCAACCGGGGATGGTAGAGGGCTGGGCGGCGAGCGACAGCGCTAGAAGAGTACAGCATCGCAGAGATCTATATTCTGATCTGGTTAGTGGGCTAGACTGCGATGATTTGGTAGGAATGGAGGTGAGCGAGAGGAGACGAGAGGGGAGGGGTGGTACCAGCATCCAGGCGACTGGACGAAGGCCGGCGGCATTCTATGTATACAGCATGATGCTGATGATGCTGATGATGCTAATGATGATGATGATAATGATAATGATGATGATGATGATGATGATGATGATGCCGATGATGATGCTGACGAGATGTGACGGGGTGCTAGTGGGTGATATTTGGGAAGACATCCTAATCGGGTATCGACGGCGAGGTCTTGGGCTTCACGAGGCGTGGGCTCGGATTCCGGATGCCAAGCTCGGATTTTCGACATAGAAAAAAAAAATCCTGGCGCGCACTCTTGTAGTAGATGACTAGGGAAGGTGGGTGGGAGGTGGCGTGGGCAGCAAGGTTCCTCAGGCATCTTTAATTTATTAAAGAGCCGAGGAAGTGCAGCTCCCTAAGGGGGGCGGCCTTTTAAGTTCTACTACAGTATATACTAGTAGAACTCCGGGTGTGAGGGGTCGATTCTTCTCGGCCGCTAGAGCAGATTCAAGATATCCGAGTAGGCCATCCGACGCAGCCTGACCTGGCGAAGACGATGCCAGGCTCAGATTTGCACAAAGTGCACTCGCTGTCGTCGCCGTCACCATCACGTGACTAAATGTTAATGAATATTGATTGAGACACGCTAATATTTAATGGGATATTGAAACCGGGGAAATTCGCATTTCTGACGCTAGGGCCGGAATCGCAGGAGTCGTCCGAATGTCGCCGCGCATTGAGAATTACGAAAATAATTTTTTGGGGGGATCTGGATCCGGATAACAACCGGGTATACGAACATCCGAGTCCCGACATGCTACCTACCGCAAACCTCCGACCGCAGGCACGGCGATAGATGCTTCTGCCACTACGGTAGGTGCTCTTTATTGACTCTCTCTTGTACCAACTTTGGATATCCCTAACCCTAACGGCCGGCGAATCTTCTCCTCGATTCTCGATGCCCTAGACCGCCGCCGAATGTTTGCCTCGACTCTTAATGTCCTGGCGCGTATCCTAGATGCGCACCCACCTACGAAGATGCAGGAGTCTAGATACGACTAGATCTCCAAAGGGACGCTACCGCAGGAGCGCAATCTGGCCTCGAGACTACCCTCTCTCTACTTCGCGCACCCACCACTCGCGAACTTCGGGTATCCCTAACCCTGACGCCCGGCACGAATCTACAGCCTCCTCCAACCTGACGCCCGGCACGATCTCCTCAAACCCTGACCCTGACGGTCGTCTACTATCGACCTAAGAATATGATTAGTAGGGAGGGGGACAACAAGAATAGCAGGGCAGAAGATTTAGGCAGAAAGAGGCGTATACGGCAGGACACCATACCTAGACAGACTTTTCGGTAGGAGAGGAAGGGTAGTACGGCATAGCTATGTAGAAAGAGGCGCGGAATAGAAGGACAACATTACGCAGTATAAGGGGAGAGTGTGACAATGCAGAAAGAGGCGTGGAATAAAAGGATAAGATCGCTTCGTAGGGATCGTTGCACAGCAATTACTTGTAAATCGCTCTTGTTATTAATTTGAAGCTTTCTGGTTTGCAGCCGATAAGCTAGGCAAGAACGGAGGTCACCCGACATTGAGTCTTGTGGGAGACGTTGGCCTCGTGGTCGAGCACATCGTCTCCGGCCTCTCCGGATGGAAATGGCAATCTAAGTCCACCGACTTCTATCGCAAACTCCAAGCCTCGAAAGCCAAGAACGAAGATAGAGCCGCCAAGAAAGCTGCCGCCGATACTCTTCCCATCCCCTTTGAGAGAGCTTTCGATGTTATACGCACCACCCTCAACGGTCTGTCAAAACCCGAAGTTCTTCTACATCCAAGGTACACATTCCAGCTCTCTTCTCATGATTAGACAAAACACTAACACTCGCCCACCCAGAGTACAGTCTGGCTCATGAACTTGCGAATCGGGCCAATCTAGCATTCTCCACCCTCGCCATTCTTAACACTGGCAGTGTGTTTGGCCGGATCGTGCCCGGATTCATCGCGGACGAATTTGGTCTCGTTAATACCTATTTCTGTTGTACAGTCGGCGCCGCAGTGTTTGGTTTCATCTGGATTGCCTGCACGAATCTAGGTGGACTAGTCGTCTTCGCGCTCTTCTACGGATTCTTTTCTGGATGTGCTGCGGCGCTGCAGCCAGCAGTTCTGGCATCCCTTGCACCACAGCCTAACTTGGTAGGCACATGGGTCGGGATAGGCAGTCTTTTCTCCTCGACGGGACTGTTGCTTGGCAACCCTTTGGGAGGCCTGATCTTCGATCGTTCCGGATGGACCGATCTACAGTTATTCTGCGCTTGTCTTGTACTAGCTTGTGCTCTAGCTACCGCTTGTACGCGGATCTCAGAGGCGGGAACGAAGTTGTTAAAGAAGATATAGCAATTCGTGGCCGAAATTTACAAGCTAAAGCCCATAAGTTAGGCTAGTACACGGAGGCCCATAGCTGCGTATTCGATCATGGCGCATTCCGTTTTCTCCAGTGTTCCGGAAGGAAATTCCTCTCTCATTGCTACATGCGTCTCTGTGGCGATTTATTGCTCTTTTTGCCGAGACTGCAGAGACTGCAGGCGCATATCTCCCAGACCGTGACCCGTGAAGGTAATCGGCATTCGAGAATCCATATCGTAACTCGTGTTTTTCAGATCTCTTACTGCAACAACTCGGACAACGACAGATACGAATCCCACGGCTTTCAAACACGTCTTAATATTTGCCCTCTGCCGTCTGGAAGATGTGCCTATCCCCATCGCCGTATCCTGACCAATTGTCAATACTAGCCGCTCCCCTTCGTTCCAGGTCAATCATGCGCTTCCCAGCTCCACGACAATTTCCACGACCCCCGCCGCCAGCAGTGACCAATGCATCTCCAACACAATTCTTTTGGTCAGCAGCCACCTTGCCGGAAGCATACCATTGGAATTTGACATCCTGCGGAGTCTTTTCAAATTTCCAATTGTCCACCCAACCGCCGCATCCACGAAGATCTTTCAAGAGGCCCTCTCCGTTGGCTCCAAGTCCGGCGTCTGGCAAATTATTTCCACGAATCTCAAACCTATCGACGAAAAATTTGTAGGAGACATCACAGCTGACTTTATTGACTTGCTTGCTAAGTGGCGTCACTTTGTATTCCCATGCGTCGGAAGTGGTGAGCGTCGATCCAAATTTGTAGTTCCTACGAGCCTACCGCCGTCGACTCCGGCAACAAGTCGAACCGCCGGAGGAGTGTCTTAGCGTGTGTTAAGCTTGTGCACATTTTCATACTGGTGCGTCGAGCGGTCTTGAATCTTCCCGCTGCATCGACAGCAGCTTCAACTTTGTTCCTTCGCCGCATGCAGAGCGATAGCGGCAATGACACTGCTCCGAGTGCTGCCAACGCCTCAAGAACAAGGACCCTCACGCGAGACAAGGTAGATCGGCACATCCCCTTGAACGCGAACGACACCGGCAGAGAAGCTAGGGTTAAGATCAATTCAAAAGGAAAATCTGGGTGGTCGGTCGCGCGTCAAGCGGCAAGAGCGTGCACAAGCCATTGGGCTACGGCGGCGCTTATTAACGTTTCAATCCTGCGTCGAAACCAACAAGAACGACATTGTAAGCGCCGGTGGTCAGAACAGTAGGCAGCCATTCACCTTATGTTTTAGCAACTGTCTTGTCCGGCTTCTCTTCGCTTTTCTAGTAAATTTCTACTGCCGCCAATCTCCTGCGTCGAACATGAGAGCCCTCTCTTTCATCGATGCCGCGCGAGTGTTTGCCCTACCTCATATGCTGCAAACGACACTGAGCGGCGAGTCCAGCGTATGGAGACATCCGATGGAGCCGCAGCAGCATCACGAGTTACCTGGAGGGGCACTATTCAGCCTCTGTCCACTCTCACAAACCTCCGATCTCTTTGACATTTCCTCCGTCGAGCTAATGCGGCAGCTGTCTATATGTAAGTTTCACCGTGGAAGGTCCCATCGCCTTCATCTCATTGATGATCGAGCAGAGACGATCTCTTCGTCGTGCATATGTATGGTATATTTCGGAAAGCTTGGACGTCGAACGCATCGCTCGAGCTCACAGTTGACTGTGGTTCGCACTGTGAGGAGTATGGCAATCCACCAGGAGAGACATCAAAGGCGTCAGTGTCGTTCGACTTCTGCAGCCTGAGCACGATCGAGCAGCCACTGGGCGGCAGGAAGAAGAATTTAACCTGTCCGCCAGAGAAGGGATATGCCCTGATCTCATCAACAGGATACGTCGTGCCGATGTTTATCCACGTTCCAGTAAGCTCACTCCATCTCGTTATTTTTCCAGATGGCTTTCCTAACAAGAACAACAGGGTTCGTATAACTTCACTTTCGATGCCAAGACCGCGGACGGGGAGCGCATCTACTGTCTGACTACCGAAGTGTGTCTGCGTTGGGAAGACGAGAAAAAGAACAAGGACTTTCCCCCAGGGCCGTGGAACAACTGTACCTGGCCTCGCTGAAGGAGGGTGATCTGGTAGGCGAACGACGCTGTGCATGATGGTATAATCTCTCGGGGTGTGTAGAGAGCCTCGTGCCACGGTGGGGGACGTTCGTAGTAGCACACCTTTGTTGCTAATGATTCGGTGTTTAGGGGTTGATTTCCAAGGATGCTTTGAAAACCACCTACGATCTCTACCTATATCTGACGCTATCACACCACCTTGCTGCTCACTACGCTACATGCTTTTAAAGACGCATTCTTATGGATGATCAAGTATATGCACGGGCTCGACGTTCATTCTTAGGTAGCTCATGCAATACCAGTCGTCCTTCCTACCTCCTATCCTTCTTTCGAAACATGCTGCTAGTGCAGTCAACAGGAGAGTGGGACGAGACGCAGTTGCAAAGGGCACAATCGAGGTGAAGATTGGCAACAGTGACACAGATGTACGCCGCCCGTCGCTCAAGATGTGGTTCTCCAGTTCCTTTCCTCGTCTTCTTCGCGTACTTTTTGGCGGCATTACAAAGTCCATCTTTTTCGAAGCGTTTGCATGAGCTTCAGGACATCCTCGAAAGCGAGCAATCGGCTCTTCCTAAACCTCATACGCGACCTCTACCACATAATCCACGGAACATGCGAGCTGCACGCAGAGTTGGACCATCAACCCCCAAATCTAATAGACTCCCAATTGGAGCTTTTCGCCATGTTTCTCAAACTCACCTCACTGTATGAGAAATGAAAGGTTCGCTAGATTCGTCCCGCGATACGGTGAGAATAGAAAAACAACTGCTCAACCCGAGCGAGTCAAATCCTCTCCTCCTATCGCATAGAAGTCATAAAAACCTAGCAAACAAACGCGAACATCCGAAGCGAACTCATATCGACGGCCTACGAGCGAGAGGCAGAGATCTGGAGGCAGACTTTGGGCTACAGGCCCGATGCACTAGCAGCAGTAGACCTTCCGAAGTGGAGCTCATTGCGCAAAGCATTGAAAGCATATTCTTCTCGAGAATGGTGGTAAACGCCAGTACTTCAGGAGATACTAGAGCATTTCTCTGCGGAGCGGACATAGTGGCGAGTGTTGGATACAGAAACTCTCCGACAAGGATCATCTAGCTTCTCGAAATGTTTTGTTGTTTGGCGGCTAAGGTAGCTATTACGTAGGAACTGGAGAATTCGAGCTACCTCGACTTGAAGAAATCGTGTCAACGATGTTTGTCACGGTAAATTCCCAGCACCTGAGATCCGGCGTGTCCTGTCAGCATAACAGTGTATGAGAGACCTCGCAATTTGATAGGAATTGTCAGCGTCATAATGAAACAACAACAAGACCTCGCGGGAGACTTGAAATCTAGCAACATCTCTCTCAAATGCAAGATTTCCAGTCCTGTCGGACCATCTAATCTACCCTATCAAAGCCTCAAGAAGCAAAAAGGAAGCAGAAAAATCCAAATCACATTTCCTCTCCCCTTAGAAGTATTACCACCACCTTCCCCTACAGATCCAAAATCAACTCACTCGCCCTCTCCGCGGCAATCATAACGCCAAAACTCGGATTCACCGTCAGAGGCGCGACGATACTGGCATCCACGACAAAGAGATTCTCCATGCCCACCACCTTCGAATTCAAATCCACGCATTTCCCGATCCGACACGACGAACTCCAATGATTGACATTGCCGACGGTATACGATCCCTCGGTGGGGTTGGAGATGTACTGTTGAATTTCCGCGAGTGTGGAGTTCTGCGCGAGGTTGCGAGGGACGAGGCCGGAAGTGGAGTTGGGGAGGGCCTGGAAGAGATTGTAGATGAAAGTCGCGATGGCGCGGGCGTCGGAATCGGAAGGGTCGGTGAAGAAGAAGGGAGCGGCTTGCATGGGGGCACCAGTGGTCAGATTGAGTGCGACGCGACCGGTGGATTTCATGCCGGAGGTGCCGTAGACGTTGAGGGTGATGGTGTTATTCTGCGTGTAGTCGCCGTAACCGGCGGAATCGATGGTGCCCTGGACACCGGTGACAGTCCCGTCGGCGTTGTGGATGACGTCCCAGAAAGCAGACGTTTCGGAAGCGAAAGCGTACGGGCCCGAGCGGTCTTGGAGGTAGAGTTGAGCATCAGAAGATATGGGGGAGGAGTAGTTGTAGACGTAAGATTGGATGGTGGGGCCCTGGAGTTCGATGAAGGTGTTGGGATTGTCGAAGAGACCTTCGCCGACCGCGGTGTTGTTAATCCAGGAGGATGCGTTAGCTTGGAGAAGACCATGGCTGGAAAGATTCTTGAGCATGGCAGGATCGCCAACCCCGGAGAGCATAAGAAGTTGGGGGCTGAAGAGGGCACCCCCGCTTAGAATGACACGACCGCCGGGTCGAAGCTTGATGGTGGATTCGGTGGTGTTGGTCTTAGTGTGGACGCCGGTTGCAGTCTTGCCATCCCTGATTACACGCTTGACTGCAGTACCGCTTTGGAGCTTGAAGTTGGACCTCGACAGGGCAGACTGAAGGTATGTCTCGACTGCACCGGATCGTTGTCCTGCGACGTAATTGAACTCCGGTCTACCAAAGGTCTTGGTCTTCTCGTTGGGGACTTTATTGAACGCAACATCCTTGTACCCAGCGCCGTCCACAAGCCACTTCTTCGCGGCCTCATACCCGGACTGAACGTAATATTTCCCGTTCTTGGAAGGGTTGTTAGTAAAGGGCTGCTTCGCACGCAGCTTCGAAATCGCACTGGCAACGTCCTTTGACTTCCACTTCTGTGGGAAGTACAGGTCAAAATCAGAAGCAGGGGGCTGGAAGAAAAGACCAGCATTAATGGCCTGATTGCCTCCGATGGTACATGCTCCGTACGCTCCATACTGAGTCGCGTTACATAGCAAGGAATAAGTTGGGTTGCTGTAGATGGCCTTATAGAAGCCCGGAACATCCACTCGGCTTAAGTCGGTTCCGTTGATCCAGCCCGGTCGTTCTCGACCTCCTGTGATGTAGTATGACGGACCGCCTTGTTCTAGGAGAAGAGTCTTTTTGCCGGCTTCGCTCATGCGGTCGGCAACGACAATGCCGGCTGGACCCGCGCCTGGAGAATACAAGATCAGTCGGCTATCTCTCCAAATATCTGGTCTTTGGAGAACTACCCACCGACAACAATCACATCCCAGTCTTGCTCGTGTGCCGGGCCAGGACCGCATTCATTACCGCGTTTCCAGTGATTGTCGCTCGAGGGAAGAGCGCTAGTACTGGCCAACGCCAATGACCAAGAAATCGCTGTTTCGAACCTCATGCTGTCGGGAAATTCGTGGAAAGCAACGCTGTGAGGACAACGCGGTGTCTCGAAAAGTAGTATTCCGCCCCAAGTCAGCTTATACGAAGGGCTGAGGCGCAGTGTCGTCGATTCCAGAGGATTGAGTATTAAGTTTGACGCCGGTCCAGGAGGTAGTGACGGGAGGATTAGTACCGCGAGGCAGGACGGAATGGAGAGAAACGGTACAATGTCACAGTGACACAGCACCGCCAGCGACACTGCAAGAGGAGAAATGGCAAAAGACAGCAAAACAAGAAGAGCATGTGAAACGGAATATCGAGCTGAAATGAAGAGATCTGCCGGATTACCGGATGTGAGAGCTGGAAAGATTCACTGTGAGTGTCCATCACAGGCAAATCTCTGAAATAGAACAGCGCACATGGGACTTTGCATGTCAGCTGCATATCCTTACCTGTCTTTCACTTAGAGTGATGCTGATTCATTGGGCGTTGTTCGAATGGAATGAATCCTTTCGGCTGCTGTCGTGTCATCGTACGGCTTGGCGTAGCGTGGTGTGGCGTTGCGCTGCCAGAGAGGGAATGCCACCCCGTGAAATTATTGCTGATTTTATTCCGTGGTGGCAACTTTGATCTGCCGCTCGCGTGGTCTGGTCTGGTCTCTCGCCAGTGGGCACCGATATACCGAGTTGCATATGCGGCTGAGGTGCATATGCGAGCCGTGCAGCTGAATACCACATCTCGCTTCCTCCGTGTCAGAGCCAAGAGGTCGTGTCCGAGGGTCATTATTATTTCTGTGGGCATCTTGATATCATTGTGCCTCCCTGCTGCAGACTCGCGGTGTGGTGTAGTCCATTGCTGTCGCCGCTCCACAGGACAGATATCGCTCTTTCTGCCCGTGTCTTTTCGGCCGGTATCGTGTGAGAATCGGTTCAATCGAGGTATAAAAATCTCCAGCGCCATGCGAAACAGACGACTCAGGTCGCTCGACAGAAGATCTTGTGAGGACGCGATACATGATGCTCACAACCGTCGGCGATAGAGTGGTGTATCAATACGCGTGAAAGTTGATGGGAGAATCTTGTCGCGGACGGCAGACTCGAGCCATCCCTGTCGGCTTGACCTCGTGGTGCCATCCACATCGACTTCACCTCCTCCTCGTCCCATCGTCCATCATTCGCAAATGCCACAACAATGGAAACGGATGGAACAAGAATCACATGTACCTTCAAGCCTTGCAGCAAAGTTGACCAGGCGCAAAGTTACCAAACTTTCTCGTCTTTTGCACTATCATTTCACCATCTCTTCTAACACGTCAGCCAGGAACGCTGTACGCAACACAAACCTTTAGAAGTCTCTGTTACTTCTTATCACACGATTAGTCCAGACGAAGTCGTTGTTCTCAGCCACGAGCCTTATTAACATCCCTCCTTGACCCGTTTGACAGATCCTGGAATCGTCGCCAAGTTCTTCCCGGCATAAACAAATTCCACCTCGGCGTGAAAGTTCTTCCAAAAGAGGGTGCTGGACGGCAGTATATAACATCCGACGTCCCCGATATTTAGACTCCATCCCATTGATCAAGTTGCCTTGCTATCAATTCGATTGAGTCGGAGGCGTTCAAATGGGATGCAATAGCTTCTCGAAGCTCCCAGATTAGAAGGCTATCGAGTCAAAACTCTGGATGGCTGGCTTTTAAATACATGGAAGAGAAAAGTCCAGCAAGACTAGGTGGACTGCGCCGTCGCTGTAAAGAAGTGAGAGAATCGGGTAAGTGCAGATCCATGCAAACGCCCGTGCCAACTGTTGCCCGATATCCCGCCGTCACATGTCGATTCAGAACATGGCTCAAAGAGAGACTCACGAGACTGTGCTCTGACTCTCAGATCCTTCATCGCTCATGTCCCCATCATTATTCTCTGCCACGCGCTTTCCAGTGTTCTGTAGCTCCGGCATATCATAGATCGCCTCCGGAATCTTGAAATCCCTCGGAGCAGTAATGATCCCAAATTCCTGCACAAAGCTATGCTTCCCGCTGGTGCCATAAAATCCCACAATTTTCTCATCAGTTCCTGGCTCCAGAATTTCGATCTTGCCATTGTCGTCGTCATTAGCGTTCACATGGCCCCATGTCTGTCCATCGCTCAACGTCATGCGGATTCTATCAAGCCCGCCCCAGCCTCCACGCTCGCCGAGTTCGACTTTGGTGATTCGAGCTTTCTTGGGAATGTCGAGCTTTTGAGCAGCATGGCCACCAAAGGTATGTGGCGAGCCGTCGCTTCGAACGGCTGGACCACAGTTCTGACGGCTGCCGTCGGGGTAGTAGACGTAGACTCTATCAAATGTACAGCCGACGCGGAGATCAATAGCCGAGGTCCTTATGAGGGTACCTTTAGCACCACGCTTGCGCAGAAGGACGGTCCAGCGGACATAGTTCTCTTCATCGAAAGAATCGCCTTCCATACAGGCGGCTTTGATAGAGCGCTTGCGGAGTTTGGTAGTACTTCCAGGGATGTCGATCCACGCTCTACTAGCAAACAGCTTCCATGCATCTTTGACAAGTTTGGTCTTGCCGTTCATAGCGAGAGCAGAGACCTCCAGAGGCTTGGTGCGATTATAGCAAGCAAAATCGGTCGTGTTGAATTGCGTATAGCGGCCCCTAGACATCAGGTCGTACGGCTTGGAGTTGATAGTGACGCGAGCCAGACCAGCGCTAGAAGTCACTCTGAGAGCTGTAATATCCTGCTTATTATCATCCGGCAAGACTTCGATGCGAAGCTTAGTATGTGTAAATTCCGCGCCGATCTTCTCATCGCCCGGCAGTCGGAAGTGCGACTTGCACCTGAAGCGAAGAGCATCCTGCAAGTCCCACTTCGCATCGTGGTCGTCTCCCTCAGCATGCGGAAGGAAGTTGTGAGCCCAGAATTTGCTGTAGCCGCGAGCCATGATCCCAGTGGTATGGTCTGCCCCAAAGGCGTGACCGACCTTATGGAGGAAGGCTCCTTGTCCGATGTAGCAAGCTCGCGCGAGGCTGTTGCATTCATTGTTGTCGTTACCGACTGCATCGCCTGGGATGGTCTCATCAGAAAGGGAATTCGTGATTTCTCCAAAGAAGCGCGGCCAAGAATATGTCAGATGACTACCAAAGATACCAAGCGAGATGCCATTTGAATTGTGGCATCCAAGAGCCGCATAGCCAAGGATGAGATCTTGCTCGATAGAGTAGTGCGAATCCAGGATGAGTCCAGCGACAATTGGCCGGCAGCTCGAGTCGAATGGACCACCATGCTGCTTCAAAGTACGAGTGAACATCTCGTGAAGCCATTGGTCCTGGGAGGCATTTGGATTCTGCTATGCGTACTTTGGGTCCCGCAGCTCAGCGACAGTGTGATCAGTACGAATAATATGAATTTTGGGAACACTCTTCATGGGCGTAGCTTGACCGGGCACAGTTCCTCGGGATCCATTGAGTGATAACGTATCGACGGACCACTCCTGCAGAAGGATTAGCATATCGACCAGGAGACTCGATATCAATGTCGTACCTCTTCCAAGCGGAAGCTGCGTCTCCCGAGTGTCTTCTTACGCATGTCCTCAGCCGTAAGAGCCTGCCACATGAGAGCGGCGGTACGAAATTTCGCGATGACCGCATCGAGATTGCTGTGCGCGGAAGTGACAGCACCGTACTTGGATGGTGGGCAGTCAATCAGGAGTGGAGAGTCTTTGGCGACCAAGACAGCCAAATGAAGCGGAGGATTCTGAAGCAGTGGCTGGTAGATGACGTTCAGAGTAGCGCTGGCTGAGACGCCACCAGCACGGTGGAACTCGAATTGGAGATCATTTGGTCCCGACTCGAGAAGTACAAGTGCCTTCCAGTTGCTATCAACCACTGGCCAATTCTGAGACGCGGTATTCCGGAAAGCATCCGTGCATTGGACGCTGATATAGTCGTCGCCCGAGTCGTCGAAGGAGGGGCACTCTCCGGTGACCAAGAGGCATCTCTAGTGGACAACTCCATTATGCTCGACATTGGAGACCTTCAAAGTGGACATGACGGGGGAGCCTGGTTGGAGCTGGACCTTGCGATTGGCGGAGCCTGCTTCGAGGAAGACAGTGCTTGCAGTTCTTTTGGCGACCATGTTTGCTCTGAAGTAGACGATCGGGATTGAGATGAGATGGATCCTTGTATCGAGGTTAGTTCCTGATACTTATAGCCGTTCTTTCATTCAGTCTTGGTGACGCATCTGCCTGTGACTGAGTCAGGGCGGATTGCCGCCTAGAAGGATTCAGGCACAGCCGGATGTGGCGCCGCTCGTCAGCACTCTCCGACCGGTCTATACCGGAGGCCTCTCTGTCCGGAGATCTCTCCAGTCATGTGCATCCACTTGGTAGATCATGTAATGTACACGACGTGGATCAGTTCGATGGCTCTAGAAGGAGGGTGATGGAGCGTCGGGAATTGAGGTCTTCACTTCGGAGCTTCGCTTTTTTCGCGCCGACGCAGCACAATCAATTCTTCGACAGAGGTGCGTGGGATATCTATCCTGACCGCAGCATTTCCTCCTCCGTAAAATAATGGACGAATAGAAGTCATCCATACCGACAGTCGGTACACGCATTCCAGGACAGGTAAGCTCCACTCGTCGTTTGCAAGAGGAGACCTGTACTCACAGACGCGTCAATCGTCGCCCCTCCGCCACACTCATCGAATAAAAGATGGGCTCGGCTCAGCATGGAAGGCAGTCCTGCCAATGTCCGACATCTCAAATCTTGCTAAGCTGACCTCCCTGGTGAGTTAATTCGAACCAGGTTACTGCGAGAGGTCCTGGACGGCATCAAGAATGGGGCATCTTCATCAATTGCTCATCAACAGTACATTGGACTCCATTCTCGCGCGATCGACCTGCCAGCCGATAATAGACTCGAAGTCCCAGAGTGTCCCCTCTTTCGATCGTGTTGCGATCACGTTCAAGCGTATTTGTGAGTTTGGTCCAGTCCAGATTGTAGTATCTGACGAAGGAAACCAAGCGTGACTGGTCGATCACACGTCATCCGTGCCAAAGCAACATAAATCACCAAAATTCGAGGTGATCTTGGAAAGTTCGTCTATCTTCACCTCCTGGAACTCGAAGTAGCCCAAGACCAAACGGGATAGTGTTCTCAATTTGGAGCTCCCACTATTAGCATGCCGTTCGCTGGCAGATTCATGCGCGTGAACAAGAGGACTGAACGGCTGTTCGCCAATGTATGGCATAGAGTCTGATGATTGAAGATTTAGGAAGGTTCGCGTCGCCATTTTACAGCTTTAGGGTCAACTTTTCTCCACGCACAGACCACAAGGCCAGTGCGTGCCAAGTCTTATCACATGACCGACGCCCAACTTGAACGTCGCGCCGCGCTTCTTTTCACAATCATTGTCACACGACACGCTCATATATCAGAAATCGACGGTACTGTCATGTCATCGCTCAAGTCTATCAGAATGAGCCGCTATGGAACGTCGACAACCTGCCAGAGGAATCTGCTGAACGACCGGCAAAATGGGGATTGTCCTACACACAGCGCCAAAAAACAACGATCAAAAATTGGATTCTTCCAAAAGAGGACGTATTTTCATTTCAAGGAGGGTCGCCAACCGGCAGAATGCCCGTATCTCGGGCTTCGGGAGAGAGCGGTCCATCGCTTACGGATTCTTATCCGGCTCTCATCTCACCTGATGAGATGCTATCGGATACTACCGCCCACTACATGACGGTCATTTTCCGCGAACCCGACTTGACGAATCGGCAGCCGCGCAGCCAAGAAACCCAAGCTTCCTTCACACATGGATGTGGAGGCTACCCCGTGGAGTGTGGACTTGGCTACCCGACCGACTCCACCTCCACGTTATATCCAACCCTTTCGACATGCCTCTTGCAGCTTACCGCCGTGCTGTGCCGCAACATCGCCGAGTGCGAAGGAAGTCGCGGCACTTCCCTCACACGGCTTTGGACGGGCAATGGTAAGGGCGCGTGACGAGTCTCACTTGGCATTCTCACCCGAGTATAATGATTGGTAAAACATCCTGTGTTCTCCGCGACCAGGGGCATTTGGTGTCCGCGATACTATAAGTACTCGCCTCTTGGCCTGCTTGGCGGTGAAGGTTCGCACTGCTGTTCGAGGCCTTCGTGCTCCACAGGCGTAAGATTGCAACCCTGCTGTGGGGTTAGAGCTACGCGAGAGCCGTTGGCAAAGGCCGATGTATGAAAGAGCTTTGATATGGTCGGGCAACACGTTAAAGGTCTGGAAAGCCGCCACTCTCGACACCTCCCCTCACGGCAAGTCTCGTAGCGTGTGCTTCCTTTCCGTTGGCTTTCCCTTGGTCTTTGTCCTAGGAGCTACTGCAAAGCTTCAGTTGGGGCTTTGTAACAATCATGTTCTTGAATCAGAGAGGAGATGCTCCAAAGGAGATTCTGAATTGGAAGCTTTGGTATGGAGTCTTCGGTGAGCATCCACGTATTCGTCCAGTCTTGAGTAGATACTGATAAGTTACAGTATTTGGTCTCATGGGCGCGGCCCGTGGTCTCGATGAAGGCTTGATCGGAACAAGCGCCTCGCAAAAGAGCTTCGTTAGCCTGTTCGGACTTAAAGACCCGTCGTTGAGCAAGACTGAACAGGCTAATCTCCTATCGAACATCACATCGATGGTTCAGCTCGGATCCATTGGCGGTGCGCTTTTCGCATTCTTCATCACCGACAGAATCGGAAGACTCTGGGCAACGAGACAACTCTGTGTGGTTTGGGTCATCGGTATCGCCATCTTCCTTGCAGCATCAAGCAATGGCAGCATTGGAATGGTCTATGCTGGAAGATGTAAGAACAGGCTATCACACTAGACCCACAACGTCCTCGCTGACAGCTTGCAGTCGTCGCCGGCCTTGGAATTGGACAGACTACCGTTGTCGCTCCGTTGTATCTAGCTGAGGTCGCACCAAAGTTCACCCGTGGCTTCTGCGTCTGCATGTTTTCGGGTTGCGTCTACCTGGGCATCATGCTTGGCTACTTCGCATCCTGGGGCTCCTCGATCCACATCAGCAACACGTCACAACTACAATGGGTCATCCCTAATCTGATGCATATCTACTTCGCCACAATCATATTCGTGACTTCTTTCTTCGCGATCGAAAGTCCGAGATGGCTCGTGAAAGTCGGCGACCACGAGAAAGCTTCAAGGAACATGTCCAGGCTTCGCAATCTCCCCGAGGAACACTGGTATGTGCAGTCGGAACTGCTCGACATCAATGACCAGCTGGAGCGCGAAAGGGAGGCTACCAGAGGTGCCCACTGGAGCGGCGTCCTCAAAGAGCTCGTCACGGATAAAGCAAACCGCTATAGGCTCATGTTGTCCATCATGTCCCAGTTGCTCGGACAATGGTCAGGCGCCAACTCAATCACAATCTACGCACCGGAATACTTTGAGATGGCTGGCCAGACAGGTCAGAATGAAAAGCTCTTCGCAGTAAGTAGTCCCTTCCTCTCTCTCCTCACAGTCACTATGTCAGCCTCGTACTAACACTCCAGCCCCCTAGACCGCCATCTTCGGCATCGTGAAATTCGTCTCCGCCCTCCTCTGCGCCCTCTTCCTAATCGACTTCATCGGGCGCAAGAAATCCCTCATGACCGGAATCTCCCTCCAAATCATTAGCATGCTCTACATGGCCATCTTCCTCGTGGTAGACACCAGCGTAGACGACAACCCCGAACAACAAACGCAGTCCGACAAACGAGCCGCGACAGGCGCCATCGTCATGATCTACCTCAGCGGCTTCGGCTGGGCCATGGGCTGGAATTCCATCCAATACCTCATCAATTCCGAAATCTACCCGCTTCGTCTGCGAGCCATCGGAGGGAGTCTGGCGATGACGGTGCACTTCGTGAACCAGTATGGGAATTCCAAGGCCGTGCCGGAGATGTTCCTGGGGATGACGACGGGAGGGACTATGTTTTTCTTCTCGGCCGTGACGCTTGTGGGGCTTGCTTGGGCCTGGTTCTTCCTTCCGGAACTGGCGGGCAAGAGTCTGGAGGCGGTGGATGCGGTGTTTGAATTGCCGTGGTACGTGATTGGGAGGAAGGGGAAGAGTCTTACGGAGGGGATGGGTGGTGCGGTGGAGAGCTACACGGCTGATGGAGAGAAGATTCAGGCTGTGGAGAGGGTGGAGGATGTTGGTACACATCGTGAGAAGAGCAATGGTGTCTGACAAAGAGTTTCAGTGGGCTTGTGGAAGTATTGCCTGTGAGAAAGCTGCTCCACGATGCTGACGCACAATGACACTTACGGCCAGAAATGCTGCGAGAGCGTAGTATGAAAATATGATAATGATATTCGATTTGAAGAGGCTTGCAACTTTCATGCCTTGCTAGATGCATCCTCCAATCCGTCTGAACCAGGCCTGAGATCCATTATCATTGTCGGACTTCCGAGCTTCCGAACGTTTCGTAAGTGGAAGCTCTTACTATGGAGACTTGCGATGAAGGGTACATACCGGGTTCTGCCTTCTATCAGAATAGCCTTATACTACCTGCAGACTCCCCTGAGTGTTCTAACGAAGACTTCAACCCCCTGTGAGATATAGCATCTCGCTTCTCAACCTCGATTCGGTTCCCTTGACCTGGCGTGTAAGTACACAGCTTGTGTCTCCAATCCCTCTCGCTATCTCCCCCCTCATCTTCCTGTCAATCGACCTCATCATCCAATCGCTCGTCCCCCAAATCGTCACGACCAGCCCAAAGCTGCTCCATCCTCCCAGCCCACGCCTCGTTGTAAGAAGTAAGAACTCCCTGCAACTCTGGGAACCGGCCGATTGCGTTACCAAGCCGTTCTACATATGCCGTGATCCGATGGTTGATATGCCGATGCACGGCGCTTTCGCGGAGCGGCCGTCGAGGCGCCGTTCCCCGTCGTAGGTCTGTGATGTAGACCTCGATCGCAATTTCCAGGTGGTGCAGTAGATTGTGAGCATCACGGGTCTGGTTCCACGCTTGTGTTGTACGATTACGACTTGGAGTGGTGTCTTCGATGAACGTGATGCGAGTATGTAGACGATCTAGGCGCGCGTGGTCGGAAGTGAAGAGGCGGCCTTCGGGTGTGGCGAGGATTCGTTCTTGGTCTTGGATCTGAGCAGCTACGACCGCCGGATCTCCTAGAGGCAAGTCGTCTGTAGCTTCTCCCTGTCGGTTCAGTCCACGTCGCCGAGGCCGCCAATGTAGGAGCCGGTTGAGAATTCCCGCACGCCGCGGTAGCGGATCGTGGATGGCGCGAGCGTTGCCCTTCTTGCCGAAACGGGGACATGGATTACCGACGTCCCAGTGACCTGATCGCTCTGTAGCTTCGGATCCACAGATGAAGCACATCTGAGTGCCGCAAAACGGACATCGCATATGATTGCAACCAGCCGCCAAGCCCACTTTGACCTGACAGCTCTCCTGAGGACAGATTTGATAGTCTTCGCCACGCTTCATTCCCGCGAATGGGTTCTCTGCTTCTTCTGTCTGTGTTCTGCAGCTATGTAACCCGTAATTCTTCTCCATGAATGTTAGCGGCTCGCCACACTTGGTGCATGTAGAGCCTCTACATCTCGTGCAGACAATCATTCCTTCACGCTCGGTCTTTGTGCCTAGGAAGGCACCGCAAGCGGTATCGAAGAAGTCGATACTTCCTCGACAGTAGAGGCGATGTTGAACAGGCGTGTTGAACTCGGTCTTCTTGGCATCCCAGTTTTTCAGAAATTCTTCGTCGAAGAAAGCGGCATAGTCGTGAGGATTCAAAGGGACTCCGTCCACTTTGACCGGTCGCTTGGTCTCGTTGTTGAGAGCATCGTGAAACATGGGGACGATGCTTCCCTTGAAACAGTCCGAGCACACTGGATGATTTGCCAAGGTGATTGGTGTACTGTCATGTTCCTCGGCACACGCAATGCACTCAAAGGCCATGGCTCTCTGGTACGCGCGTCCTCACGAGAAGCTGGTGGCGGCACTTTCTGGGCGTGGTGTTGTCCGCGGCTTGGAGTCTTGAGAAGATGTGTGATCAGGCTGTCGTTGATCGATGTCGGAGCTGTAGCTGTATGCGTACCCCGATGATGTGATGCGCGTGTGGGTGAATTGTTTTGTGTGGGGGATCTGATCACAGAGAGGAGCAAGTGACATTGACGATAGAGGTTTTATCGCGTTTGGTGGCTGTAAGCTGAAAATATGGTGTTTGTTGTAGGAAGTCACTCTGAAGCCGCCAGGTTCACGTCTGAGAGCTTGTGTGACCGTGCCGTTCGAATGAATGTCTCGCTGTCGCGCCCTGGCTTGAATGTATGCAATTAATGAAGTACCGAGCAATAATGCGATGGGAATAAAGGATGTTGACGTTTGTGTGATGGATGAGAAGCGACGTGAAGTGTTCGGCAGGCAGGAGACCGTGCTTGCCTTACAGGGGGGCTTAGTGTGGCTTAGCTTGGAGCCTCAGGCATTAATATACTGTCGCAAACACGCACACCTTTGTTCTTTCCTCTTTCGTCTCCTCTCGGTACAAGAGACACAGAGTCTCCAGAGAGCTTTCCAATTATCTCGTGACGACTCTCGACAGTGCACTTCCACCAGCTTCTAAACTTGCTAGTTCAAACTTAGCGTGCACGGATTTTCCGATCACATGCCGCAAACTCAATCTTCTGCTGGCTTGGCATGGCCAAGGAGATTGGATACGTCCTGAAAACCAACCATTTAATCTTTTCTGTATCCTATTATTGAATTCGGCGTGGGTTTCCGCCAAACCGAAACCTGATGCCGTGTCCAAGATAAGATCGATCAGTGTTCATCCGAAGTGACTGGTATCTAATATGCTGGTACTCACCGTGCCTCATGCAACGATACCTCAAGTCTGACGAGACTGCCTCAGAAAGTTATGAACACCTCACGCACCCGTCCGCAAGCTTCTCGACCAGCTTAGCTACAAGGACGCCAAAGACGAGAAGCAGTAAGAGAGAGACAGTGTTGGGCCTGGTCAGCACGAAGAAGTGCTCCGCACCGTGCTACGGTCACTCCAATTGGAGCTTCTGCTCCAGCTTAGGCACTGCAACAGCGGCGACCTTTTCCACCCTTAACCAAACGAAGGATCCCTCCGAGTCGAATGAGGATTGAGGACTTCGCGGAGACAGCCACAAGAAGTGTTCGAAGCATGTTCATGTTCTCTAATTCGGCAGACGTCTTCGACGATTGATTCTTCTTCAAAATCTCGGGGCAAAAATCGTAATCAGAGACGGCGAAAGGGACTCAAATGATTCTGCAAATGACCAAGTCTGGAGCAATGTATAACTGCTATTGCCTTGGTCCGACATTCTTGTAGGAATCTCTCGGATCGGAAGCTAAGCAATGATTGGCCTGTATCACGATAGAAACCAGTAATGGAGAGATATGGGTGTAATTGAGTCAGGGGCCAGGGGCGGACCGTATGGCTTGTTGGAATTCTTTTCGCATGTCATGACAGCCACGGTTGAGTTTGGCATTCTCATGCTACTCCATCAACATAACCAGCCATAATGCTCATCGCCAGCCTGGAAAAAGTGATCAACCCTTCAAGCACGACCTCCAGAAGCCCTCTCGTTCATAACCAAACCGCCCAACACCCTCCTCACACGTCAACCACCTGGCCCATACATCCAGTGATTATCCTGGCCCATACATCCAGTGATTATCCTCCTGCTCCCTCATATCCCTCTCTCTCCTCATCCTCCTCCTCTCCCTCCGTCGTTCCCACCAACTCCTCACTCTACCCCGAAATCCCGTCCTGGGTCCCCTCCTTTCCGAAGCCTTCGCTCGAGCCTCAGCTTTCAGCTGCTCTTGAGTCTCCTCATCTCTCAGAATCTCATATGAAGGAGGTCGGCCCGTGTCGCCGTGCATGAGCATCGAGGAGGTAGGTCGCGGATAGCGCTCAGCCGAAGTTGGCGTACGAAGGGAGAGAGATGAAGAGGTGGTGTAAGGCGGCAGCAGTTCTTCTTCGTGGCTATGCTCTGTGGTCCCAGTTGGGGTGTGATCTGGTGGGAGCGGCGAAGTCATTCTTGTCGATATTGCAACGGCGGTAGGGCTAGTGCCGGTTGTAGCGGAATATGATTTATCGCTGTTGGTGTTCTTGCCCGATTGCATTTCCTGCGTATATATATAGAAGAGTCAGTCACACCAGTTATGAGGAAAGTGCTCTGTCGGCGGCAGCGACATGCCTCCATGTTTGCCTTCCTGAGCGAGACATACATCATGATCAGCTTGTATCACGAGATTTGGAACACATGATCCGAGGAAGCAAACACTTCGTCCATACGACCCCGTAATTCATCGGGTATGCGAAATATCGCAGAAGAGACTTATTTCCGCAATCTCCCGGCGAGGAAGGAGGACGTGGAGATTCTCTTGGTAGCAATAAAACCTCATCTGTATTAGAAATAATTCCATTCCGATGGGCTGTTTGTGCAATTCTTCCTCGTTCCTATAATCGTATTATATCGGCGGGTCACTCCGCGTGATGATACCAGAATCTACAAGGCTCCGCTCTTCTTTCCCTTCGTCCACCTCATTGATATACCTGACATCAGTCTGAAAGCCCTCGACCTGCTCTTCGCTCCCTTGATCCTCACTGGACTCGTCCGCTTCTTTTGGCATCACCTCCACCTGATCTTTGAATGAGACAGCAAGCTTTGGCCTCTCCTGCTTTGTGATATTCTCTTGCTTTGCAAATCCGCCCAACTCTGCCTGCCTTTCACTGAAAACGCCTTTTGCGGGCTTGACTCTTGACCGCACTTGGAAATCCAACCTCTTGACGAGCCTTTCTATGGCAACCTTAGCTTCAACCCTGCCGAGGTGACTTGTACCTGCGTCCTTGATCTTCGCCATGATACCTGTCAATCGCTTGACGATACGGTCGATCTGAGAATTATGCCTCTTTTCGGCCTCTGAAGGCTCCGGCAACTTCCTCCAGGGACCTATCGGCGCGCCTGGCAGAATTTCAGCGTAAGGGATCCAGCCTGCGGAGATAGCAATGTCGAGGACTTTGGTGAACTCTTGAAGGAGGCTGTAGTCGGTTGATTCGGAGATTTGGAAAGTGGTGTGATGCGAGAGGGAATGCAGGATGGAGGTTGGCCAGTCTTGCGAGTCAGAAGTCTTACGATCTGTGGCAGTAGAGAAGGACTCCAAGGCAAGGCGACGCCTCAATTGGTTGCCTCTCCTTGTGCTCGCTGGCAAGGCGGAGATGGCACGACATCTATTGATTGCCGACAAATCAGACGGCCCAAAGATCATCGCCACGGCTTCCGGAATGAGCTTGCCGAAAGCGTCTTCCGGTAGAGCATCGAGAAGTCTCTCAATGGACTTCGATACACGCATGGAAAGATCGAGGTTCGTCTTCACACGCTCATCGATGTTGATCAGCGCGAGGTCGAGGAATGCAGCACAAGTCTGCGCCGGCAGAGCGTCTGGTACGATGTTATCCGACATGGGCGCGCAGAATTGTACGATCTCCATGATGTATTTGAGGCCTGGCGGCAGTCCTGTCCTTGGCACCAGCTCGACGTAATTGTACTCAAAGAGAGACCTAGTCTTGTAAATCGAGTTAAGCCGAGAAGCAGTGTCCGATATCGATGTCGGGTGTACGCTCGATGCACGCAAAATCTCAACATACGCTTCGCACAGCACTTCGTCCTGCTCATACATGAGCTGCGTGACCATCCAGCCAGTCACTGCCATCGGCAGGGGACACCTTGCAGCAAGATGTGCAGCGAAGCCAGTAGTGCAGGCATGATATCTCGCACTGTGGGTCTTGTAGATGTTGCTCCATGCTTCGTCTGGAAGTGCGTCCACGGGAAACGGTGCGTCAGGCCAAGACGGTTTATCGTCCAGGAAAAAGTGATACGAATCCTTTGCACGTAGTGCATCCGTCCGTTTCAAAGCCATGACCATCCTCTCCCGACCCTCGCTGTCGCTGCCGGCCGCATCCATCAGAGCCGTACCATTTACAAGACCCCCATCATCATTCAATTTAGCCTGTTCGTCCTGTCTCTTTGCATCCTCCACAGCACTCTTCATGCTCGCAACCAGGGCGTCCTCTTCTTGCCATTTCTGATGCTGGGCTACCAGATTCTTCAGACTGTTCTTGTATAGCTTCTTTGGCGGCGAAGCTGCAAAAGGCTTGAAGAAGTTCCTCTTCTTGTCATTACGGTTGTTTGTCTTGAGGACCTTGGCCGGAGGTTCTTCGATCGCCTCCACAGACAACTTTCTCTTCGTGGGCATGCCGAAGCTCTGCAGACTCCTGAAGGGCAATTCGTCGTCGGATGAGCTGTCCTCTGAATCGGAGTTTGTTACGCCTTTCAGCCCGTCTTGCGTTATTCGTCTGCTGGAAGTGGAGGAATTGAGAGCGCTGGGGGTCGCAGCAGTTGCTGAGCTCGCAGGGCCGGTGGTAAGAGTGGATATTGATGAGTACGAAGCTGGTGGACATTGCGGTGCGCGCGACGGTGTTGGCGGTGACGGTTCCTGTGTTGTAGGGGCAACCTCGTTTGGCTGATGCGTTTGCGCTATGCGCTCCTCTGTGTCATGCACAAATGCCCCAGGCACCAATGCTTCCTGCTCGGTCTCCTCAGCAGCGTGAACAAGGGAAGGCAATGTGTCCGAGTTGTGGTCTTTCGACACTCCTGCTTCCGCCTCTCCCCTCCCAAACGTCTTGGAAAGCGCATTGCCCATCTCCCGTTCCTGTACAGTGCTGTCGTTTTTCATGAGCGAATGCCTTGGAGAGGGTATTGCAACGCCTGCAGCTATCCGTGTCCTACCAGGTGTCTCGGAAGCTGGCCGAAAGGGCGAGTCCTTGGTGGGTGTAACATCCGCCTTTCCGTTCAGCGGATTGACGTTGTACTTCGGACGGGTAGTGTGCACACTGCTCGAGTACAACTTGGTCTCCCTTATTTGTTGCGATTCCGTCTTCTTCGGTCTCCCTCTCTTTCGTGGGGTGCTCGACTGTGATGAGCTATGTGAGCACTTTGGCGGTCTCCCTCGCTTTCGCGGCGTGTCGGTTTGACAGAAAGTCTGAGAATCGCCTTTTCGAGGTCTTCCCCTCTTACGTGGCGTGCTTGCATGTGAAGAAGAGCTTTGCGAGGATTTAGGCGGCGGGGACGACGGTCGTTGAGGGTTTTGCGACACGAAAATTACGTCGTCATCGTCGGTGTTAACGCTCTGGGTGTTGGTTAGAGGTGCACTTCGTCTGATGAAGGGCGCAAAGAAGTCAGCGATGCTCCGGCCGCCATTCTTTTTGCCGACATGTGTTGGTGCCATAGCATGAGATTGTTGCGATAACAACGGGTGAAGACGAGACTCGAAGATCGAGACGCGTCTGCCTTGCAGGAAGCACGCGTCGGCAGATCTGCGTCACGTGTGCGTGTGGAGACGGCAGTTCCCCGCCTTGACCCGATACCGACACTCCACTGCCATTCTCACTTGCTACTTTGTCCTTCGATTCAACTTTCGCTCTGCTCACTTTTCCTACACACAGATATGTTCCGAATCGTACCTTCGACCGGAACGATCCATGAATATACGCACAGTGGGCCGCGAATGAGCCGACATGCTTCAAACGGTCGAACTCGGGTCTGTCCCATCCAATTCAGCCCTTCGCTCAAGGCCTGAACACTCCATCAGTACATCAACAGTGACCAAGCTTGTTCTCTTGTAAATGCGAAACGCAACGCCGGCTAATCGTATCGCACCACCTCAGATTCTGATCTTGTAGCGCGGTTCTTGGTCCTAAAGTCACATATATAGTGGCAATCACGGCCTTTGCAAGACACGCTGTCTCGGGGGAGGAGTTGGCTCTTTGCTCGATGGATGTTCGATATCCTAGAAGACCGGGATGTCGTGTGATGCGGGCAGTAGTGCCCTAAGTGCACAGGCAGTGAGATTTCGAGATTTTGGTTCTGAGCTACCTGTACACTTAGGCCACTTCCTGCGCGTAAAATTCGCGTTGGCCTTTAGGCTGCACTCGGGGCCATGGAGTTACCAGGGTGACGTATCAGAAAGCGATCGATCATTTCAGTCATGGCCTTCAAAAACATTTTTCGCTCTCTTGGACAACACATCCATCTGTGCTCTGGACACCAATTGACTCTCTGAACCATGAACGATTCACTAGCAACTTCAGCCTCAATCAGCAATGGCTGAAACAGACTCACAAAGGTCGGAAGCACTTCGAGCACAAGGAAACGAGCTCTACAGGCAGGGGAAGTTCACAGATGGTTAGTTCACCGCAGAGAACTGTTACTGAAGCATTCTGACCCTTTGACAGCGCTTCCATTGTATGAGCAAGCTGATGAATTGGCACCCGATGACCCTGCACCCCTTTCCAACGTATCCGTGGCCCATTTCGAGCTCGGTGACTACAAGAGTGCCGTCACAGCCTGTGATCGTGCTCTTGAACACCAAAAGGATGAGGCAAAAAGGCAGAAGATCTTGCTGAGAAGAGCCACCTCGCAAATTCATGCCTTGGAGCTTGTCCACGCTGGCGCAACGATCGAGCAGTTGGCCGATGTGAAGGCTAAGACAGACCTCATGAAATGCCTGGCTAGCCAGTCTGAAAGCCGAAGAAGAGTCCAAGACACAAAGGCTGTGCACAAGATGATCATTATGGACCTTCCCAGATTCAAGCCACAAATGCGAGTGAAATCTCTCTCCCGAGAAACAAAGTAGCGTGCTGATCTTGCTCCAGCTACACCGGCATCGAATATTATTGCTTTGGACACGATGATCCAGAGAGCTTAATCGATGCTGCACTTGCTCGAAACTCTTGAGACCATGTTGCCATCATGTTCGGAGGCATTGGAGACGGAAGAAACCTGCTTGCCTCACTCGGGCGACTCACAGCTGCCCAAACGCAGACTTTGATATCCGACAAACGCAGCTTTCATTTCACCATTGTCGACCTCAACAACGCTATCATTGCTCGCAATATACTCGTCATTATCATCCTGTGGGAGGTCGGGAAAGCCATTGCTGAAGAGAAGTGTGAGATGGAGAAAGAGTTGCTTCCATGCCTCTATTACACTTACCTGGTGCCTATCATGCCTACAGAGGTTCACGCTGTCTTACAAAAGAGGTATGAGTTTGCAATCGAGATGCTCGAGGATGCGAGGTCGATGCCGCCCGTGCTCGAGGTTCCCAACATGTATCCAGCTGGTATACTCAGGGTACTCCGGCAATGGCAATTCGATGCCGGTAGACAATTCCCACCATGCAAGCTGCGTTCGGAAGTCGTGCAACAGCGGCTGTACGATGTTGAACATCAACCCTTTGGAGGCGACATGAGTGCACCCTGGGGCTGCGAGAAGGAGGAGATGTTCTACCGCGCCGCTGGAATCTTGACTCCTCCATCTTTTACGGAGGGTCTTGAGACAAATCTTCTACATGCTTACCAGCGCTTCAACGTTGCGCGACCAAACGACGTCTCGAAGGAGGTCTTGAAGGCAGTCGACGCTTCTTGGAAGACCAATGTTACCACGATCGACCTTGACTGAGAGGCTGTCAATGGAGAGAACCCCGAGTTCACCTTAGGGCACAATCCATTCTCGCTTGGTGTGTCCCTCACGGCCGGTGAGCGTCAGGCTCCCGCCGGACGTACCGGCCTGTACGATGTAATCAAGCCTTTCTTCTCTTCCGCTGCCGATGCTGTCAACCGCCTCCAAGAGCGACTCAAAGTTGAGGCCTGCGTGAGAGACATCACATGTGTACTTGAACAAATCAGATACGGTGTTGTCGGACATCGTCAAGGAGTCGAGCCTTCAGGCAGTGTTCAAGATCTGCCCACTTCAACACAAGTACAGCGAACAAACTTGAACGGCCAGAAAGACGACGAGTATCCGAAGATGTACGACCGCATCCATCTGTCGAACATACCCGACTATATTGGAGGCAGTCTTGCGACATTTCTCTACGCAGCGCCATTGGTCTATCCTGGAGATGCTTCATACGTTACGTTCAACAACTTGCGCAACCCGGGAAGCTTTATGAAGTTCGAGCATTACAACAACGAATATGCCGTCTTGAGTAATGAATCGGATTTACGGACGGCTTTCCAAGTGCGCACGGGAGAGCGCGATATGTTCGAGAGCTTCATGTCCTTTCCGGTCTCGCGATATACGAAGTGGCACCATCATCCGCTGGAGAAATCGTCCTCAAATCTCATGCCAGCAAGCCGAATGCGGACATGGCTCTTGCAGCTCTTCTTCAAGATTGCCATTCCGAAGGATCGAATTCCTCGCGCAAATAGCCTCGTCTTTTCGCCGATGAATTTGACCAACTTCTGCCGCGTTTGCAGACATCTCCATAATTCGGGCTACCCGGCTCATTGGATAAGTGAAGTTCTGGATGATGTTTACTCCGGGACCGTCTTGACGAGAGCGAGACCACCTCGATCTTGTCCATTGCAGATCAAGGAAGTCCGGGCGAACAAGACAGGACCCGCACTTGCTCAGTCGACACGGCCGTTTGTGGCCGAAATGCCCACACTGGGAAGTATCTGGCAATTCGCTCTTCCGTTTGGTATCACGTCACCTCTTATGCCCCCTATCGACCAGATCCACAAGTACTCCATCAAGTTCGGAAACATCAGGCAGTTTGTAACAGATACTTCCAGCTTTATCCTTGTGCTATTCTTCAGTCGTCACTACACACCGGCCTCGGAAGGCGTGACACCCCCCTTTCCGCAAAAAGAGTCTTTCCGGCTTATCTTCCTGAGCGATGAGGAAGGCAGGACTTCGAAGGGGATCAAGAATCTCAGAAACAACCTGCATGCGATCTCGACTTGGCAAAGGGACGGGAAGAAGGAGACTGCTTCTTTCTGGATGAGGAAGGATGTGATGGAGCCTTTGAGGGAGGGCAAGGAGTGGGTGATTGAGGTTTGGCGGACGGATGTATGGATGCGTCAGTCGGCGATGCAGTACGCGAATCGTATCAAGGACGAAGGGCCGTTTTCGACCGAGGAGAGAGATTCGAAGTGATGATACGACGGCGGGTCGACTAAGCTGATGTTCGCCACCGACAGCGACAAAACTTCAGAAATGACTGCCTCCTCACCGCCCAGAGGGACCAATACACAATGCTGCTCGGGAGTTATGTCGCCACAACTGTCTGTACTGAGCCGGCGTCTCGATCTCTCCATCCATGAGACCCTTCGACAAGACGAAGTCAGCTATCATTGCCCCGTCAAGAGTCAAGGGTCAACTTGGTCCTTCCTTGCGGACAGAATGACGGCTGCTTAATTCCGGCTTTGGGGCTTCTGCTGACGTACTGGAACCGAACTTAAATGCACGGGTCTACGTCCGCCAACTTCCTGTGATATCTCCTCTCCGTCACTTCTTACACTTTGACTTGTCAACAGCATGCTTCCGTGGTCTCTGGGTCGCACATGCGAACATCGGGACGTGATCAGGTTCTGCGACTGAGCCTGATCGAAGAGAGCGAGAGCGCTACGCTCGACAGGTATGTACCGCATCCAACAGATCAGAGTGATGATACTGTGCATGCGCCCGTTGAGGCTAGCAATCAGAACCACGGCGTGTCCTGGTTCCTGCTGAGGGGAGAGCACGACTACATGTTATATCAGCAGAGCAATTACATGTAGTCACTCCCATTTCCTTTTCTTGATGAGAAGAGAAGAGAGGTGCTCGTAAGCCGTTCGGCGAGCCGGTCTCGAACCTCTCTCACCGCTTGCGATGCCTTGGTAGGACATACCAGTTGATTACAGGTAGTGAAGTGCTGGTACAGAACGCTATGCGATCGAAGATGAGACATGGTTTATATCTTCATCATTCCCAACCCTCCAGGAGAGATTATTCCATCTTTAGAAATGTACTCCCCAGTCACAAAAAAGATTGCACAAGATTGGCAGAGATTAGTCATATGCAACTTTTTCTCCAATACGCCTCCTCGAATAATGTCAAGTCTTCAAAACGTTGTCCCTCAGCCGACTCCACACTATAAGATATAAAACATAATACCAGAAGAAGCGCAAAAAGATGACCAGACCGAGGATTGAACTCGGGACCTTTTCGGTGGACATATCAGATATGTAAACGAAACCTGGGAAGGGTTAGCAGATACTCTACATTATGGTTGTACGGGGGGCTGCACGTGATGACCACTACACCATCCGGCCGAATAACAGCGCTGGACGCGCGTAGATTTGAGCATTGGCTAGGATCCACCGATTATATAGCTTTCACATATCCGAGCCCTGAGCTGGAGAAGTGCATTCGTCCAGAAATTCTTTGGCATGTGAAGAACATTAAGGGCTACAAGAGATATCGATATTTGCAGGAATCGTATATGATGAACTCTTTGATCCAGTGTTGGGCTGCATATGAAACAAAAGCCGAATAAGAAGTAAAAATGGAGTGGGAAAATTGAGAATGCGTCTACCTGTAATTAAGCAGCGCTATATAGATTGACTGCTGAAATCTTGATATTCCAGATGGTCGTGTGCCATTGCTGTCGCGATTCTGAGTTGCAAAGAGGGTTGCTCATTTATTTCTTAATCCGACGTCGATGTGCGAGATCCAACTCGTCCCACGCTTGCTTCCCATCTCTGCAAGTGAGCACGCGCTTGGTACAAGACTCGTGCATCCACTGCGAAGAAGTCGAACTCACCCCGTCAGTAATTGCTTCAGTCAATCAAGGTGGAGGAGATCTGGGAGGGGTCTCGGGGATGTTCTTACGAGATGTCGAAGGCACCCGCGGAGCAGCTAGTTACGAGTGAGGAGGGCTTACGCGCCTCGCGAATGGCAATTGTAAAGACAATTGTAAGGCGCTTGGTAACGTTGGCATGGAGTAAAGAGAACGAGTAGTGCACTGGTCAGGTTGTGCATTTTCGCACGTCTAGGCCGTCGTAGCTCTTGGCGGACCCTCAACTTCAGGTCCATCCAGACAGTACCTTGACAGAATGATGAAGCTGTATTGATGTGCTGTCTTCCTCTGCAATCTACCGCTCTAATCGTCTTCTCACTCGCCGGCGCTTCAATTGCCGGTGCCTCCGTCTCCCTCGCCGGTTCCTTCGGTGCCTTCCTCGCCAGTGCCTCCCTCCCTCGCCGGTGCCTCCCTCCCTCGCCGGTGCCTTCCTCGCCGGTGCCTTCCTCGCCCTGCTGCTTGCCAACCGTGCTCTTGCCCCTGCGTTGCATCTACGGAGGCGACGTGGGCGCACGCGTGACGCGCTCCGGGTCAGTCTTCATTCGGCGGCTCTTCGTGGCTGGCGCTGAGCAGCTTCCATCTCAGCCTCCGTAGTAAAACGCTGCTCACGTCGGGTGCCGCTCGGAGTACCTTCCTGGATGGCTTGATCCTCGTTCACCATTTCGAAGTCTTCCTCCTGCTCTTCCTCCTCCTCTTCCTCTTCCTCTTGCTCCTTCAGCTCTTCGAGATAGGCCCGAGCGCCCTCACGGACTTTCTTGCAGTTTCGAAGCAACCGCTCCTCAACGGGACCGGCTTGTTCACCGCCGGCTTCGATCTCCGCAATGCCTGCCTCGACAATACTCACTCCCATCTAGCAAGCAAAAAACAAGGTTAGCGAACGAATGGGCATTCAGACAAGAATGGGACGAGTGGGTCGAAGGGCGTAGAGGATGTTGCGGTGGCTATTCTCACCTCTGCCATCTCGAGACAGTCAAGCTCTTGGCTGCAGCCAAGCACCATCGACGCGCGAGCTCGAATGAGGAGTGGAAGATCCGCGTTAGCGATTAGAATGCGGGCGGTGCTTTCGGCGTGGTCGTTGTCACGGGCACGATGAGCCTTCATCATCTGGATTATCGTTAACAGCCGCACATCACAGCAAACGCACAAATTCCAGCCATCGAACAGGCGGGCTGCACCGTGTGAACGGGAGGCCGAGGTAACACTTACGCTTTCATCCATGCCATAGTACATGCGCAAGGTGTTCGTCGCCAGATGCGGCGGGGTCTGATCGTTGGAAGCCATGGTTCGCTGTTGTCTTGGAGCGAGTCGGAGGCAATTTCAAGGCGCTCAACTAGATTACCGTGGGGACGTGAACGGGAGGCGCAAGGTTGAAGATTCAAAATGAAAGTCAGGTGGGTTGTGAATGGCACCGGCAACAGGGAAGGAGCGCATGCACGCGACGCGGCTTATCCCGGCTTAAGTTTTCTTGTAAATGCGGGCTCACAAACGGACTCTTTCCTCCCTCCTCCGCCTCTCCCAAACACTTCTCACAGTGTTTCGTCTGGTCGGCCATTGGGCTCCCTCGTCTCTTTACATACCCGATCCGCAATGCTCGTCTTCAGAAAGCCCTCTCCGGCAGCCCAGATTGCCTCTGCATCGATGCCAGGACCAGTCGACGACGATAGCGGTGACGAACATGAGCCGAGTCCCGGCCTGTCGCGCCAGACCAAGAAGCCGAAAGGTGACAAGCGAGCTCGAAACGAAGACTCTCCTTCAGAAGCGCCCAAGAAGAAGTAGAAAGGCTCTGGTGACGGTGATGGTGACGATGAGGACAATGGTGGTGACAAGGATGGTAAAAGCGGCAAAACCTCAAACAAGAAGAAGCCGTCCAAGAAGTCAACGAAGGCATCTGAGCGCGAAATTTCACTAGACGAAGACGATCCGAAAGTTGATGAGGTAGGTCAATCATTCCCTGCGCTCTTGAGCTTTGCTAACGTTCCCAAGGCCCATCGGAAATTCGCCGCCCATGCCTCTCCGTATCTCCAATCGAATGATCCGACCCTTCGAAACATCCAGCGTATCGCGAAGCATTTGACCTCAGTCGAGCTTCTTCGAAAGGTGAAGCCATGGATTACCGGCAAGAGTGAGGTCACTCAGGAGCAGAAATTGTTGCATTTCGACATCGCTGGCAAATCACTCCGTCAAAAAGGCCGCGAGCGTGAAGGCGCTGGAATGCTGTTCAAATTCTCTCGGTGGGGCCCAAATGCTGAAGACAAAGGCGCACACAAGTCTCCATAATCCTCTCACAGCGACGAGACCCCTCACAATTGGCCGGCATGCCCTCGAGCTCTACACAGTGGAACATCGCGCCGCCGATCATTTCACCTGCCACGGCGACCCGCCAGCCCGTTGGCCACAACACCCGACGCCTAGTCGCTGGCGACTTACCTTGCTGCTGACGCTAGCTGACCGATCCCTCGCTGAGTCCGCTGTTATCTTGTCGGCTGATGCCGACCGCTAACCTGGCGCTAGTCGTACCGCTCATAGCAACCGTCACCTCCCTTTGCTGCCGCTGGAGGCGTTGCTGATAGCTGAGTATCTCTACTTTCATCTTGCTGACCCAGGCCGAGCGACCAGATTCAACGAGAAATATATGAGGGTTCATCTGCTGGTAGCCTGTGTACGACTAAACTACCCGTCCCTACACTTGACGTGCCAGAAACGCCCGACTTTCGCCAGCGATGGGAGCAGCTCTACCTCGACTCCCTGCTACCAGAGGCTTTCGGTTTCCCTAGCAGTGGTCAGTCGACGCGGGCAGCCTCACGCTAGCCGTCAACGTTTTGAAGTCTCTGATACCGGACGATGCAAGCGATCATTGACCGCTGGCGGTGCGGTTCTCACGGCGAGGAGAGAGGGCTAGGGGATTCCGTTGGTCTTTGTGAAAGAGGGACGTAGATGCTGTATGCTGCGCACCTGGGTCCCAGTTGGTCCTTTGTGTTGTACTCTACGGGCATCACGTCGGTGGCCTCCGGCGGTGGGCGCGTGTACTCCTATGCTGCGCAGATTCTGCTTTCATGTTCAACGATGCCAGGGTTTGTAGCTGCTTCAAGAATCTAGGTGGATTTGGATCGAATCTCCGGTCTGGCGCCGAGGGGAGTGAAGTCCACACGTGGCCGCCGCACGGGAGCCCGAGAACCAGTTCCGATTGTCGTGCTAGCTTGTAGTTCGACGTGCCTGAATCTTGCTGACCATCTTCACGGCCTACGTCCTTCGCCTTAGATAGAGACATTAATCCAGCAGGGGCCTTGTATCCTAAAGGCGCTCGCTTGTCTTGCCTAAGAGCACTTGCCATAATCAAGACTCTCCTCGCTCCAGTTGTTTTGAGCACGAGCTGTTCGATCGGCTACGGTACTCTCAGGGATTCCTTCTTCTTGCATCCGCTGGAGATAGTTCGACTCATGCCTGACGACTCCAAAGCGATGACATTGTAGCAACTTTGTTGGGGAGTTACCCCCCTTCTTCGAGTAATGGTCGCATATCAGTGAGTGGACATTTCCTGGGAACTAGATCCAGATGCTCTGCGGTGGATTTCCTCTTCCAAGGGTCCCCGATCGTGTAGTATCTGCGTGAATAATGATATGCATAAATTCGCCGATGATAGCTTCTCCCGTAGAGCCCATGTTTCCAGATCCGTGTTTACCTTGCCTGACTTTGATGATTAGATTAGATTCCAAGACTCGATGCTGAGGACCGAGTTGAGTCGGAGGCGAAGAGCAACCTTGAAGTGGCACAGGCGGGGCGAGGACCATGCGGGATGAAGATAAGGTAGGGCTCATGAAGCTCTACAGAGCTCCCGACAATACGCAATCGCGCCAGGCCGCTTCATATCTCTATAGCGACGAATTCAGTGCAGAAGAGGATTCTTTCCTGAACGAGGAGAAGGGTTGAATGTACCTTTGGAGGAAGGCGTAGAAACGAGCTCGTAGGATCATCATGCTCGGAATCTTTTGTATCATCTAATGGCGATGCTCACATCTTGCCGCTCCAACCCATCTCACAGCACTGCAAAGGCACTCGCATAACTCACGCTACTGTCCTTCACACTGACAGCCTCACTGCTCCGCTCATACCTCACAAATTGAATCTTGCCGTAATTCTCTCCTCTACCTTCATTCCTCTTGACTTCCTCCACAGCAGCCATCATGACGCCGATGGGGTGTCTTCCACAGACAGTGTTGCCAGTGTCCTCTAGGACATCAAGCCAGCCGTTATGAGAGCCCTTTTCGCAAGCACCCATGCATTCGAAGTCAACCGCTTTAATAGATTCGTGGATAGCGGGATCCTTGGGGACTTTGCTGGACGAGCTGAGATTCACCGCAGATCCTGAGCTGGGGCGGTAGTAAGTGTATCGGAATCGGGATCCCCAATGCGCGAAGTCCGAGGATATGACAAAGACATTCGAAGGATCTGCAAGGTACGGTGCGAGAGTTGCACCAAGCCTTTTCTCGGTTGCCGCAGAAGTGTTGCCGACCATGATTGGGACCAAAGGTGGGAGATTTGAAGCATCGAACGTGCTATTTAATTCTCGTCAGCATCGACCGCTCGAGTTTGGCCGGCCCATGGATACCTGCAGACTTACTTCGACAGCGTCTTGTAGATATATGGTAGGTGCATTTCCAGACTGTGCTCATCTTCGTCTGTGGACTGGCTCATCCACTCGAACAGGCCAGTTTTATGAAGTTCAGCAGTCGTCTCCCGGTCGATGGTGAGGTTGCCGATCGGAGTCTCGTATTCTGTGCATTTTGATAGGGCAGCCTCCGAGAGGTAATAGTGGTGTGATGGTCCGAGAAGGAAGACCTTTTTACTGCTGCAATCAGTACCTGCGATGGGAACAACGCCGTGATGCCATTCCTCCAGTTCCATTATACGCGACCATCGTTCGTGACACAAAGATATTCCCGAGGACCGGTGAACTGGAAAGATCAATGAGAAGCATGTGACAGTACTCACGCCTTTGACACATCCCAGGCCTTGTAGGCCCAGGCGGCAGCGGGTCCGGAGTAAGAGTAGCCAGCATGCCTACAGACCTGTTTAGTATGCAAGGCACAATCTACAGGCCTTGATATAACGTGACGTACGGCGCAATGATCATTCTCGCTCCCGGGACTGGCAGTTGTGGTATTGACTCCCCTTCCGACTGAGGCCCGATACAAGATACCGGCGTGCTGACGGCGTGAAGCCAGCCATCGAGTTGTCGATTCAATTGAGCCTCATTGTCCGTATACCAGGAGCCGGCATGGCTGGCCTCGCGGATGATCTGTTTGGTAGACATTGCTTGAGTGTTTGTTGGTGCTGTGGTAGTGGTGTTGCAAGGGGAGGTGGGGTCGACACAATCTCTCGGAATTTCTGTTTATCCGAACGTCAGGCGCGTCATCCTTGCGACGCGTTCGCGATGCTTCCAATCTCCAACATGAACCTTGAAGCATTCAACTCATCTCACTAGCGATATATGATACTTCCTTGATCAAGCGCTACCGAATAGAGATATCGGGAATATGGCTCTCAAACGCAAACGATCCTCCGCAGCATTCTCCTCGCCATCCTCCGACGCCATGCCCTTCTTCTACGCGCAGAGCAAACCCCTAGAGCCGTTCCACTGCAAGCCAACATGGTCGTGGCCGACATATGATGATCGGCCGTCGACTCAATATCTAAACAGTCGGACAAGAAAGAGACATCGGGACAACAGACCGGACGAAGAGCAAGTCTATGGTAAGGCCTTTTCGTTGGAGAGAAGGCGACGTTAGAACTCCGTTGCTCACACCCTCATCATGTAGCAAACACGGTAAACAGACTCTTCGAAGCCCAAAGACACCATCCCCACGCGGAACCGGTGTATTCAAGCTCAAGTTTACATCCAGAATCGCACCGACAGCCGCAACGGAACACATTGCACTCCTTTTGGAAGATCACCCAGCCACCTTCGAACACCACGAAAATGGATCTCGACTGCGCATCTGAGACGCTCACGATAGCGAACCTGAAAGCGAAATGTGAAGATTGCGATCGGGATTTGCGACATGATGATGCGATGCAAATTGACGAGGATATGTTCGAGGAAGAGACGAGTTGCCAATCTTGCAGTCGAAGGATATGTGATCACTGTGCGGTGATGGGAGATGCGAGGATTTGTCTGTCTTGTGCCAGTGGAGGTACATGACAAGTCCTCGGCCGAAGTCGCAACCTCGCCATTCTGTAGCCTAGGAAGAAGGCGAGGGGTTGGAGATATTGCATTTGGGGCCGTCATTCTGCTGTGTTACTTTGAACGGGCACTACTACGTGAGGAGCGTAAGGAGAGGGTTGCGAGAAGGCCGACTATATAATCGAGTCCAGAGTGCTATCACCATAGCTCCTAGTGCTGCTGTCTCCACGGAATCATAGCCGCACGAGTCAGCTGCAGATATGCTCACCTTTGCATGCAAGACGGATGGAATGGAAGTAATTTGCCGTGTTCCGAAAGCTTTTGCATGTCACTGGTATATGCCTCAGGCTGTCTACTTCTGCCAAGACTATGCGCACGGGATGTTGCGCCGCATTTTCACGCCAAGTACCGAGTTACTTTATTCGTAATCTATGATAACGGGTATTGATACGTTGACTCCGGCGCATCCCTGTTAGGCCTAGTTTGTCCTCCAACATCACCTGCTCGGTACTGCCCGACGATAGTAGTAAAGGAGAACAATAGCATCTATTCAGATTTTTTCATAAGGGGTGTGCACTTCGTCACAAAAGAAATGCGCAAGGCAGGACGAATAGAAAAAATGGAAAGAGCGACCTGCATCTGGGACAATGGGGGATCACCAATGCGTGAGCTCGATAATGCGGCAATTCGACATTGCGATGTGAACAATACGCAAGCTTAACAATGCGTGAGACCGACAATGCGTAAGCTCGACAATGCGTGAGCTCGACAATGCGTGAGCTCGACAATGCGACAATAGGACAATGCGACGTGAACAATACGCAAGCTCGATAACGCGATGTGGACAATAAGCACAATGCAATGCGAACAATAGGCAAGCCCAACACTGCGGCAATTAGACAATGCGACGTAAACAATAAGCAAGCTCAACAATGCGACAAACGCGAACAAAAGTGCACGGACCCTTTCCAGAAAGATCTTGCAATATTTTGGTGCGGACCTGCGACGACCTTCTTCTGCCAGACAACAACAACACACTTCAGGCTCCTGATTTCTGCACGCTTTGGCACCCTTTGTTCACAGAGATTACAACACCGCCGCGAGGCGACGACCTTCTTCTGCCAGACAACACCAACACACTTCAGGCTCCTGATTTCTGCACGCTTTGAAACCCTTTGTTCACAGAGATTCCAACACCGCCGCGAGGCGATTTCCGCCTGCAAGAACAACACAGCTTGTCTTTCTTTGTTCTCAGAGAGTTCTGCAACTCCTTCACGCGGCACGTTTCCTCAGAATTATCCACGAAGCTTCTCCCCAACACACAAGTTACATTCACTTGCTGTTTGCTACTTTGCGCGGGCGCAAAGCAACATCACCACTTGTAACTGCACGACCCTCTCGCGAATCCGCAGTCATCCTCTACAACCAACCACTTTTTCTGGACGGCACTCTACAAAGAACGGCTTGCGACTCTGCCCATTGCACCAAAAGCTATGGATCCCGTTGCCGCCCTGGCAGGCCTGGCCTTCCTAGCTGCGGCCGCCTATCAGAAGACCGTCATCGACCACGCTGCGCACAAGGTGGAATATGTCAATCAGACCGTCTTCGTAGACCAGTACATCCCGGTAGTGCAGTTCTCTACCATTACGGAGACCGCAACGGTCATCGAGACGGCCGACGCAACGACGGCGTTGCACCGCAACCTGCCAGTGACTTGGCAGAAGAGCTCTCTTAAGCAGGAGGACATTGTCCGTGGAGCTGACGGTGATAATCAATTTATCATCTTCTCAGTTTTGTCCTTTGTCGTTGTTCTGACTTTGTTGCTTTGGGCTTCCGGTCTCCGCTGCTGCTGCTGCAAGACGCCTCGAACAAACGCACCCGAGGAGACGGCTGACGACGACAATGGCGGAGAAGGCCCTTCTCCTGTGATGACAAATCCGTCTGAGACTGACAAGGTCACTGGAGATGTCCCGGAGACTGGGCATCCCTCGCAACCCTCTGGCGGAGACGATCTTGCTGCTGCGCCAAATTTCTCGGAGACTGACCAGGTCGATGAAGGCGTCCCAGAGACTGAAGCTTCTTCGGATCTAGACCGTCTTCAAATGCGAATTGAAGAACATGAGCAAGTCCTCAATGATCACGCGCGCTCGCTGTCCGCCGCACAGGACGTGACCAGAGCACAAGAGGACACGGCAAGAGCTCAGGAAAAAACGGCCAGAGCACAGGAGGACACGGCCAGAGCACAGAAGGACACGGCCAGAGCACAGGAGGGCACGGCCAAAGCACAAGAGCACGCGGCTAGAGCGCAGAAGGACACGGCTAAAGCACAGGAGGACGCCGCCAAAGCACAGGAGGACACTGCGCAAGCACAGAAGGACGCGGCCAGAGCCAAGCAGGACCTCGACAAGGTCGAAAGCAAGAATCAAAAGCTTCAACAGCAGGCAAATAACCTGCAGCGTGAGGTCTGGCGAGCCCAGGAGGAGATGGCCAAAGCACAGAAGAACTCGACGAAATCATCGTCTGAAGCGATCGAAGCACAGAAGGACGCAATCACTGCCAAGAAGGCCCTTAAAGAGTTTGAAGGCAAGAATCAAGAGCTTGAACAACAAGCAAATAACATGCAGCATGAGGCCTCGCGAGCTCAGAGAAGTGAGCAGGAGGCTCGAGATCAGCTTAAGAAGTGGCAAGACCACGCACGAAAGCTCGAAATCGACAATGTTCGTCTAGGCGCAGACATCGAAACCCAACAAAACCAGATCAAGACGCACTTGGAGAGCGACGTACAAGCGACGAAGAAGCTCGAAGAGTGCAGCAAGCACAGAGCGGATCTTCAGACTCAGAATCAGCAGCTGAAAGAAGAGCTGAAGAAGAGCCAAGACGAGGCAAAAGAGCTCAAGATAGAGGCAGACAACATCAACCGACACAGCCTTGATGTCCAGCTCGCGGCGCACTGCGAGATCGAAGAAGCGACGAAGAAGCTCGAAGAGTGCAAGGATCAAGCAACGAAGGAGCTCGAACAGTGCAACAAGCACAAAGCGATTCTCCAGACTCAGAATGAGCAGCTGGCGAAAAAGAATGCTGAGCTACAGGAACGTATCTCGACTTTGAGCCGGAAGCAAGAAGCGACAAACGACAGTGTGCCAGCTGCTCAAGCCTCTGGTATCCGACGCAGCGATTCTGTCACCCCCTCTGTCACGACGCCATCTGCTGCTCACCGTGAACTAGCAAGTGCAGCTGGAAAGGTTGGTACAGCAAATTCGAACGCAGCACCGGTTTCAAAAGGCGCACCTGCACCGCCCTTGAGGCCTGCGGCTCCTCAATCCTCTCGTCATCGAGGCAGTGATTCTGGCACCCCCTCTGTCACGACGCCACCTCCTGCGAAGCCTGAACCATTCCAACAACTCGGCAATTTCACACTGCCTCCCAAGAGTGCAGCTACAAAGAGTGTTACAGCGACGAATACGAACGCAACACCACCACCTCCTACGAAGTATGAACCATTCCAACAACTCGACGGTTTGACACTGCCTCCCAAGAGTGCAGCTACAAAGAGTGTTACAGCGGCGAATACGAACGCAACACCACCACCTCCTACGAAGTATGAACCATTCCAACAACTTGACGGTTTGACACTGCCTCCCAAGAGTGCAGCTACAAAGAGTGTTATAGCGGCGAATACGAACGCAACACTACCACCTCCTACGAAGTATGAACCATTCCAACAACTCGACGGTTTGGCACTGCCTCCCAAAATCGCAGCTACAAAGAGTGTTACAGCGACGAACGCAACACCGCCACCTCCTGCGAAGCATGAACCATTCCAACAACTCGACGGTTTGGCACTGCCTCCCAAAATCGCAGCTACAAAGAGTGCTACAGCGACGAATACGAACGCAACACCTGTTGCACAAGGCGCACCTGCACTACCCATGAGGCCTGCGGATCCATTTGCTGACGCCAACATGGACAATGTGTCAGATTCGGAGGATGGTGGGCCGGAGGATGAACAGATGGAAGAGGCGGAAGATGGGCAGCGGGAGGACGAGGATGAACCGATGAAAGAGGCGGAAGATGGGGAGTGGGAGAGCGAGGATGAAGAAGAACACCCCAGTCAAGTGAACGCAGCATTGCAATCTTTGGCCGGCCGCGGAAATCTGCTCGCTCAAGCTGCCCTCTCGCAGGCCAACGACTCGCATGCAACTGGTACGACTGCAAGCTCTCCTAATTCGACTACGACCGCGACCGCGGGAGTAGACGATGTCAGTGAGGATGCAGCTCCTACAGGTGGACAGGCACAAGCTCAAGGTCAGACGCAGAGCGGCAATGCTGCGAACGGTGGAATCTTCAACTTTTCAGGCATTAGAGGAAATCCGCCCACTCCCAATGCAAGCGGATCAGGAGGCTCCGGACGTGGAGGACGTGGAGGCCGTGGCGGAAGAGGCACATCTGGAAAGGGAGGCATTCCCCGTGGAGGTTTCGGAAAGAGAAATTGAGAATGATTGGGGAGCACTGACAGCGGGCGTTTGACGGCTCGAAACTACGGATCGACGACCATGTGACATGGAGCGCAAGTGCACGAATTGTCTTGGTCTGCGCGCATTATAGCTAGCTCACTTTGACTTTGCCGACTGTACGTTTTACACTTAGCGCATGGCAATATGGAGTCTCGTTTTGGAGCACCAACTTCTTGACACTCTTTTCTCATAATTCCTCGCGCATACAATTGAATATGACTCTAATACAGGCGCCCGGAAACGCTGGCAGAGGATTCTGCAATGCTTGGAGTTCTCTCTATATGCCAAGACCCCATACACAGCTGAGATGCTGAAGCGGAGCGAGTAGCTGGTGACATGTCCGCAGTGCCGTTGGAAAGATACGAGGCCCTAATCGATCTTGCAATGCTGTCAACCTGGAGGACTGTTATTCATTATGCCTCTCACAATGGCGTTGTCCCCAACCAAGGACTAATCGATCTTGCAGTGCTGTCGACTCAGAGGACCATTCTCTATCATGCCTCACACAATGGCCTTGTTACTAACAAAGGACTCAAAGCCTAGGACTCAGAGTGAATTGTCAGGACTCAAAGTGAATCGTCCGTACTCAAAGCTTTGTCTAGCAGTGAATGGGCGCGCCACGCGTGAATCTTTGATAACACAACACTAGCGGATGCGCAGTCGGTGCAGATTCTCCCATAAAAGGCACAGGGAACGCCCCGATGTTCTTTTCGTCTTTCCAGATACCTTCATACCACCCACACAAATAGCACCCTCAACACCTACAACACTGAATCCTGACTTGAAAACACCACAGCACACTCAAAGCGCTTCAGACTTCGAGACCATAGCAAGCGCGTCCGATCGCTTCAGCAACAAGTCTCTTCCCAAAACCATGGCGCCAAGCTATTTCAGCCGCGGACGCGGACGCGGACGACAGACAGACCGTCGCCCAGCGCGGCAAGCACAGCAGAATACATCCACCAGCAACGTCCGCGCGGACGGCCACATCTCGGACTCAGAGTTCGAGAAGAAGGTTCGTGAGCAGTCCACCACGCTGCAGCTCACCTACGGCCACGCGAAAGATAGCCCGGCATGGCGTGAGTTTATCGGTGTGCTTTACCGTGAGCATGGTAGGGACATCCCCTGGGCGAAGCAGGAAGCCAATTCATCCGACACGAGCCCTCTCTCCGTGGCCGACAGCATCCAGAACGGCTTACGAGCCTTCAATTGGGCTGATGATACCGAAGCGCAGCATGCAGCAAACGGCGCTTCTGCAACAGGCGACCGTTCCGCACCTAAGGACGAGTCCACGCCAGCCAAAGAGAACGGCGAGGCTATGCATACCGACACACCTGCTCAGGCACCTCAGCCAGCTCAGCCGGATCGTGTAAGCCTAACATCTCAGGCCCCCTCGACATCCCCTCCTCCCACCTTTGGCGGCCTGTACGCTTCTAGACACGCCGATCCAGACTTTACCTCCGCCTCCAAGGAAGAGAAGGAAGATCAGGCGGCCGCCGACGCAGCAAAGGATGGAGGAAGCAAGAGCACCGGTCCAGCGAAAGTAACCCAAGCAGCAAATGGAGCGGCGCCAAAGGTTTTCTCGTCCACTCCTGCCATGGTTGGCGGATTCCATGCGTCTATGCACGCCGACTCAAGCGTGTCATTCTCCTCCACGAAAGAGAAGGAAGCTCAGAAGGTGGCCACCGCAGAGGAACAGAAGGATGCACAGACTGCTGTCCAGAAGAAGTCTGCTGAGAGCTCGGAACCCACGCCTGAAGAGAAAGCCGAGAAGGAGTGGCAAGAAGTCGAATTGCCCAAGTGGCGTCAATTCGTGGAGCTCAAGCGCAAGGAGACCTACGAGAAGTACGGCGCGACGATGCCGGGATCTGCTGCCCCGGCAGTGACTCCAACTTCAGCAGCCCCGACTCCAGCTCCGGTCCAGCAAGGACGCGGTCGGGGACGTGGTTGGGGACGTGGTCGAGGCCGCGGCCGTGGAAACGGGGGCGGCATCAGCAATTGAGAGTACCTTCAAGGTACAGGTCGTGGCCGTGACCGAGCACAGTAGAAGTGAGTGCGGAGCATTGGATGCGGACAACAGGTGGAAAAGGCGATGCTGGATTGACCGAAGGGCTTGTAATGGTTGACCGAAGGGCTTGTAATGTTGACCGAAGGGCTTGTAATGCGAAATTGAGCAGCGTGAGGGTCTTTCGGAAAGGCGTTTTTGATTTTTGATTGGAAGGTCGTAATGTTTAATGTGTCAGCATCAGCATGCTGGCGAGATATCGTAACCTTATGGATGGCCTGGTTTCTGTAACACACTCTTTCATGACTCGCAGGGTCTAAATTTCAGAAATGCCACTCTTATGACAGTGTCCTCATGAGCACAGTGTCCTGGTCACATGTGCTAGCTTGCAGTCGAATTAAGCTCCGTGAATTGGTGAATGCTTGCTTATAAGCTCTCCTTCCTCTCTTTACCTGCAGAGCAGACCGAGCTAATTCCAAACTTGATCACCCACCACCACATACACACCACACCCGCTTCCTCGAGTAATCAACCGACCGAGCGCAAGAATGTACGACGAAGATGACCTGGTGGCGCACTTCGGCCAGCTCGCCGTCTCGAAGGCTGTTGCTGAGGGCAAGACCGAGCAAGAAGCGCGTGATGGTTGGCACAAATTGCCGTCGCAAGACGAGATGTCAAATGAGGCCGAGCATGAGGAATACGGGGCGGATATCAAAACCACGCCAGTGAAAGACAGAAAGATTCTGCAGCCGAAACGTCGAAGAGCTCGTCCGCAGAGTTGGGTAGAGGGCCGAGTCGGTCGGGGCGAAGGCTCTGTGGTAAATCCGGCTGCTGCCAAGAGGGAGGTCGAGGATGAGGACACGGCCGCCAAGCATCCTACCACCGCCAAGCTGCCCACCGCGCAAGCGGACGACGCGCAAATGAAGGAGCGAGATGCCAAGAATGTCGAACTTCGAAAATCCACGGCCGAAATATCCAGCGACTTCAACTATTTCGATCTCCAGCAATCTGGGTTTATCCATGAGCCCAGGCGGTTGCGATCCCTTTGAAGAGGAGGATCCCCAGTCAGACAGCAAAGAATCTTCACACCTCTGGCGTCTCGCGTCTGAGGCAGAAAGTAAGTCATTAGGTTGGTGGAAGGTCAATTGGGATACTCGCAGCCAAGGGGCGGGATGTGATGACCAAGAGATCCTTTCGTTGGGCGGCATCTCGGACAGCGCCGCTCGCGCCAACGCATATCGAACATGATAGCAGTTCCAATCGAAGAGTCCAGATTGGCGATGACATGTACTTTCGTGCTCACTACGCAATGTATTTGTGCGAGAAGGGAGACCCAAGGGCGAGAAGGTGCGGTCGAAATGGCATGCGCTAGTTCCTCTAAGAATTCATGGGCAGGCACCATCAAATATTGACCGAGGCAAATAGAGTATCTCGTGATAACGCGCCACCCTCGCATCCCAGCTTCACCACGCTTTGTACTCTGCTCTCTACCTTCTCTCCACTCTTCCCAAATGCCACCCGAAATCAACGACACCTCCACCTCCTCCGATCCGCCCGTGCGCCTTTCTCTCCCACTTGAATTCCAGCAAGACATCTTCCACGACCTCCGCGCCGAAGACCAACTGCTCATTCTCGCCCGCGGCCTTGGTCTTCTCCGCCTCGTGTCAAACCTCCTACACTCCTATGACGCAGCGGGTCACAACCTGGTCATCTTGGTAGGTGCCGACGAACGCGAGAATGACTGGATTGGCGAAGCGCTCGCGGAACATGCGGCCATCAGTGGCTCGCCAAAGTGCAGAGGAATGCAGCTCGTCAATACCGACATGACCAACGTCGGGACACGCGAGAAGATGTACAAGAGAGGAGGTATTTGCAGTATTACCAGTCGGATCTTGATTGTGGACTTTCTCAGCGGGCTACTGGATCCCGCGACCGTGACAGGTCTGGTGGTCTTGCATGCGGACCGCATCTCGGCGACGAGCTTGGAGGCCTTCATTGTAAGAATATTTCGGCAGAAGAACAAGAATGGCTTCCTCAAAGCATTCTCGGATCAACCAGAGCCGTTTAGCGGGGGATACCAGCCTCTCTCGGCGATCATGCGGAACCTCTTCCTCAGGAAACCAGTGCTTTATCCGCGGTTCCACGTCACGGTTGCAAAGAGCTTGGAGGGGAAGAGGAAGGCGGAAGTCATTGAGCTGGAGGTACCCATGACCGAAGCTATGCGGGATATACAGAACGCAGTAATGGAATGTGTGGAAGCTTCTATATCCGAATTGAAGAAGGCTAATTCTGGACTGGAAATGGATGACTGGAATCTCGATAGTGCTTTACATCGTAACTTTGATGCGATCGTAAGGAGACAGCTGGATCCGGTATGGCACCGTACAAGCTTCAGGACGAGACAGATTGTGCGGGACCTCTCGATGCTCCGGACCATCCTCCACAACCTCCTCACTTTTAATGCTGTGGACTTCAACAAGTACCTCGACACTGTGCTTGCGGCATCACAGCCACCGCCGGGTTCGAATCGAAATAATCAGTCGCCTTGGCTCTTCCTCGATGCTGCTCAGACGCTGTTTCAGTCAGCCAAGCGCAGAGTGTACACCGGCAAAATTGCTCCGGAGAACGCATCCACGGAAGCTGATGGACTCAATGCTGTCTTAGAGGAGCTGCCGAAGTGGTCCCTGCTCGCGGAAATCTTAGAAGAGATTGAACGAGATGTTTACTTCAACCCACAGCCGGGCGACGAGTCTAGCGGCGCAATCTTGATTATGTGCGGCGACCAGGGCACCTGCAGGCAGCTTCGAGAATATCTACAGACCATGCACAAAGAAGAAGACCGCATGGAGGAAGACGATGCAGACGATGAGATTGGGGAGCACCAGCCCAGCGCGAAGCTGCTTATGCGGCGGAAACTGCGTAGCTATCTGTACTGGAAAAGAGACTTTGCTCAAGTGAGCAGCAACCTCTTCTCGGCGAACGAGAAAGAGATCGAGGGCAAGACCAAAGTCCACGCCGCTCCGTCAATACGCGGTGGGAGAGCTCCTCCCAACAAGCGAAGACGAGTGCGTGGAGGTGGAGCGACAGGTTCCGGGCCTTCAAGGACAGCGAGCGGCGCAGTCAATGTCGCAGGCGACAGAGACGATCACATAAAATCATTAATGCAAGACCTCGCGCAGAACGACACCATGGACGAGACTGCAGCAGCGAAAGTCGACCTTGGTGCGGACCCGCTGGAAAACATGGACGACTATTACGACCTTTACGACATGAAAGACCTTGTACTAGTACATCCTTATGATGGTGACATGGACGATCACCTGCTTGAAGAGATCAAGCCCAGATATGTAATAATGTATGAACCGGATGCGGCGTTCATTCGGCGAATCGAAGTATACCGGAGTAGCCACGGCAATCGACAGGTTCGAGTGTACTTTATGTATTATGGAGGGAGTGTGGAGGAGCAACGATACCTATCCGCGGTGCGGAGGGAGAAGGACGCATTCACCAAGTTGATCCGCGAGCGCGGAAACATGGCATTGACATTTACCCACGACACCGATAATATGGACCCGCAAGAGAGCTTCTTGCGTACCGTCAACACTCGTATCGCGGGTGGTGGCCGTCTGGCCGCCACAGCTGAGCCACCTCGGGTCGTGGTGGATGTTCGAGAATTTCGCAGCAGTCTTCCTTCTCTACTACATGGTCGCAGTATGGTCGTCGTACCTTGCATGCTGACGGTTGGCGACTACGTTCTCACACCTGATATCTGCATCGAGCGAAAGTCAGTTCGAGATCTGATATCCTCCTTTTCAGACGGCCGCCTCTACAACCAAGCGGAGACAATGCTGCAACACTACAAATCACCAATGCTGCTCATCGAATTCGACGCCCAGAAGGCCTTCACTCTGGAGCCCTTCGCCGACCTCTCCGCGACCATTGGCAAAGCAGATCAAGTTGGCTCAGACCTGCAATCCAAGCTCGTCCTCCTCACCCTCGCCTTCCCCAAACTCCGCATCATCTGGTCCAGCTCGCCCTATCAGACTGCCGAGATCTTCGAAGAGCTCAAGAAGTCACAAGAGGAGCCTGATCCCATCAAAGCGGTGCAACTCGGCCTTGAGGGCGGAGAAGATCCGGAAACGAGAACCTTCAACCAGACGCCGCAGGATATGCTGAGATGCGTTCCGGGCGTGAATGGAAAGGTTCTGAACAAGTTGATTTTGGAGTTTGAGAATGTGCAGGATGTTGCGGATGCGGAGGAGAGGGTGCTTGCGGAGATGATTGGAAAGGAGGCTGCAAGGCAGATTCGGATGTTCTTCGACAAGAAGGTCTGGGGCGAGGAGGGCGATGACTGAGCCGAGCCGCCGCGCCGCAATCAGATGCTCTCACTTCGGCTCCATTCCATGTGCGCTGTTTCGGATCGAGCTCGTGCTTGACCTTAGCATCAGCATCAGAAGCTCGGCCTCGCTGCGCCGTCTTTCTCGTCTTCGCACGGAAAGAACACCGCAACCGAAACATCGACTATTCAACAAACTCTCGAGATATACCGCCATTGAGCAAACATCTTTGCACACAATATCACCATTTCCTACCAGTGAACCCCTAGCCTCATCTGACGCAATCTATGGCTCGTACCCAGGAAACCGTTCCAGACCGCTCCGGCGGTTCGATGCCGGTCGCATCGCCTAGAAAAGCTTTCGAGGGGGTTGCGCAGTCGCCAAAGAGCTCTCTGAGTACTGCTGTGTGCGAGCTTCAGTCGCAGTCTGCGGAATTGCAGAAACAACTCTCAAGGCTGATTGATGAGAAGGGAAGTGAAGCAGAATCTGATGATCACGAGTCGGAAGACGATGGTCCTGATGAAGAGGATTGCGAGGAAGGGGAGTCCGAGGAAGAGGATTGCGAGGAAGAGGTAATAGTCGAAGAGAGTGACGAGGAAGAAGCTGAGTCGGAGACAGATGATGAAGATGCAGATGACCTGGAATCCACCGCCCAGTATGACGATGAGAAGGAGGGAGACGCGAAGACGACCACTCCGAAGGCTCGCGTTCCACCAGATCCGACACGGCCGCCTAAGTCTACCCCTGTCCCGAGTACGAAGAATGTCCCCCAATACGGTACGATGCTCAGCGGCGAACGCAAAGTCGTCAAAAGATGTCTCCTCGACTTCATTCACGGTCCCGAAGGTGAATCTGTACCCATGCGAGACCGCTTCGCCAAGCTCTGCAAACTCCGCGAGATCAAACTGTTGGAGCGCGAGGAGAGAGGGACTTTCACGACCCGTACCCATCCCGCTCCCAGGAGCAGGGGGAGTCGGCGAGAAGAGGAAACGTGGATCCGCAAGACCTTTCTGTCGTATTTGGCGGGAGCGAAGGACGAGGATGAGGCAATGATGCCGAATTCCAAAGCAAGCGCCACGCCTGCCAAGAGGGTGCTGAAGAAGGGGCATGGAAAGGTGGCTTCCCCAATGTTACCTGCCAAGTACGGAAGCATGGACAAGGCTGGACATGAGCGGCGATACGATGCCAGTGACGACGACGACGATGAACAACCGCCGCATTTCAAAGAGCAGTCTAATAGTGAAGCTATGAAGATGATGGCTGCCATGTCGTGGGAAGATCTGCCGCCGCGAGATGGGAGGAACGCGACCAGTAGGACCTGGCAGATCAAGCAAGGCAAGATGTTGGTCTGGCCTACCCTGGACGACGGGGCTGACGAGTTGCGCTGGATGCCAAAGCAGGGCACGGGACACTGGGCTTCGTACGAGGGTATGGATTTGGACGTCAAGCACGACATGGCCGAGGAGTACGAGAGGGATGTCATATGCTAATGTTCGTGGGTTTGCGCGCCGCGTATTTTGGGAGGACTGGTTAGCATGTTGCGAGTGTCTTTTGCTTGGATTCTTCAGAGGGTCCGGTTTTCCCTTCTTCTGAGAGATTCTATCAGGATTTGGAGCTTGAGAAATAGCAAGTCGCAGACATGTCTGCCAGCGTAGCGCGACTTCTGCACCGCACCTCTTCACCACTTCATCCGCCTCGCTCTCGATCCTGAAAGCGAACCCTCGTCGGCCCACAGGAGCATGGTTGTTTGGGGAGGCCAGGAGGAAAGATTGAGGGTTCGAAGAAAAAGACCGGCACGAGAGAGAAACGCCGTCTTCGGTCAGAAGTCCAACCCTAGCAGTATACAACAAAAGACCCTCCAATAGTACACGTACGCCGCCCGCCACAGAACAATCACCCAAGCGCGCGCGCGGGAAAGGGTATATCTTTACGCCGTGAGGCATTTTCCCCCAATCTTAAATCCCATCCCCTCCGGTACCAAACCAACCAAAACGCCATACCAAACACACACACACACACACACACGCTCCTCTCCCTTTCTCTCTCTCTTCTCCTCTCTTGCTCTCTCTCTCTCTCTCTCTCTCTCTCTCTCTCTCTCTCTCTCTCTCTCTCTCTCTCTCTCTCTCTCTCTCTCTCTCTCTCTCTCTCTCTCTCTCTCTCTCTCTCTCTCTCTCTCCAACTCTCGACCCGCGCGCGAAAGCCCCTCACAATCTCGCGAATGCGCCGGATCTTGTCGAATTCCGTCTCCAGCTCGTCAATCTGCTGCAGGAGGGCGCGGAAGCGGGCGATTTCGTTGTCGGCCAGCTGCAGGGCATTGCCGGCGCGGTCGGCGCGCGCGCGCGTGGCCGTCTCGGTGGCTTGGTTGAGCTAGAATGTATATAAATAATCAGCATGGGTTTTCAATCCAGGTAATGTCAGGGTTCTGGGGGGGGGGGTTTTGGTCGTACCTGTTCCAGTCGCTGGGCGATGGCGTGCATGACGCGATCGAAGTGGCGGGAGAGGAGTTGCAGGCTGCCCGGGTCGAGGAGGAGGCGGCCCTGGCTGCTGGCCTGGGAGCCGGCGGAGCTGCGCGCATGCTGGTGGGCGAGCTGTTGGTGTTGGCGGAGGGTGGCGATGTCCTGCGGGGAGAGGCCGAGGCGGTTATCGGCGACGGAGGAGGAGGCAGAGGCGGAAGTAGAGGTAGAGGTAGGCTGCGAGCGGTGTTGTTGTTGCTGGTGGTGGTGGGAGGAGGAGGAGGAAGTGGGAGGAGGAGGAGGAGGCATGGGTCGTCGTGTCGTCGGCGGCCAGCGCCCATGGCAGTCCTACTCATGGCGGGGGGCGGGCATCGTCGCCGAGCGGCGGCACATAACTGCGGTGAGGCGGGCGGTGGTGGAGGTGGTGGGGATGGAGGGATGGAGGGTGTTGGAGAGGTGCAGCGTGGATGCCATGATCCTTTTTGAGGTGTTCCTATAATATCACAGAACAGCCCTCGGTAGCACAGACAGATCCAGATCCCTCTCCGTGATCCAAGCAAGCAAGCAAGCCAGCCTGCCCACCCAACCCAAACCCCCGGTACAAAAGCAACGAGACGAGACGAGACAAGACGAGACGAGATAATAACTTTTATGATTTAGCGCGCGCTTCCCCAAGTTTTGTGGAGCGGGTATTCCATCATCCAACGGTCTCATCTCCATTCCACTCTATCGCCATCTCCATTCTCATTCTCCCCCATCCACAGGAACATCCCGCACGTACTTTCCAGTACTTTCACACTAGCGTCATCAGAGGGTTCCGAGGTAGACACTCGCATCATCAATCCCATTTGATTGTGTTAATATAGAGAGAAGTTGGCTTAATGTCCTCCCACTACAGGGGTCCCGGCTGACGCTACTGTACGCTGCTTCTCCTCATCATCTGTGATCTGCCGCCGAACGTGCGTCTGCGGAGGAAGCCGCTCGTTGCCGCCATGACTACACGACTCGAGGACTTATATATGTATACGTACATATAGATATGTATAGATATGTATATACATGTAGCTAGATAGCCACACGCCTGCCATCAACAAAGAAATCATTATGATTCTTGAAATGACGACACCAAGAATCGAATCTCCGCCCACAGGTCCATGCAGCTCACGCCCGCAATCTAGCCTTGAAGCACTGACAGGAAAAAGAGTCAATCCTCCCATACAACACCGAAATCTCCATGATGACACGTGAGATGAGGCTCGGAGCAGGTGCCATGTGGCCTTCCTTGCCTCCCCGCGAACCGGACCGGGATCATCACTGCAATATCCGAGACTCCGAAGTATCCGACCCGGTCCAACACCAGCACACCAGGGCAGGGCTTTCTGACTCGGAGACGTGCCGAGGGTGGATTCCATGCCGGTACTCAGTTGTCTCGGACTGTCACATGTGCTGATCAAGGAACACGGAGGTTGAGAGAGAGAGAGAGAGAGACGTGTGTCAGGAGTCGTGCGAGAATCGATTCATTCTGTCAGAGATTAGAGAAGAGACAATTGAACCGGCCAACCTGGGTCGGGCTTGGCGGACAGCGAACGGAAGAAACGGATCGTGGTCTTTAAAGGTAAAGCAAGTTCGTATCTCGTGTGAGGATGCGACACACTCTATCCACTCCTGATGAGGTAGCCTCGCATTCCTATCTCAAAGCCTTTCTCTCTGCAATGCAACGCATCTTCCTTCCTCCCTGCTCCCCGCTCAAACATCTCCCTCCCTACTACTTCCTCCCCTCCACCATCATGACATGATACCCTTCACTCGTCTTACACTCCCCCCACACCGGCTTGGTAGTCGTCGAGACGGCCAACTCAAACGCCACAGCTTCAAACTCCGGCATCAGACTGCCCTTGGTTTTCCATCCGAGCGATCCACCTAGAACACACACAAAAAAGAAAGACTTTCCTCAGCCGTGCGTGCGTCTTCAGGAAAGAGAAGGGGGGATAAGAAGAGAGAGAGAGAGAGAGAGAAATTTTATTTAAACATACCCTGCCTCGCTTTATCCTCCGAGAATTCCCTCGCCACATCATCGAATTTGGCCCCGGCCTGCAGTTTCGCGAGCGCTTCTTCCTTTTTGGCGTGTTTCTGTTCCCAGCAGTCGTCAGAAATCATCTTCCGAAAAAGAAGTATCGGGAGAAGAAGTATGGCACCTCGCAGAGGATATGTCGAACGTTGATGCTCTGGGCGCCTTTTTGTTTCCCGGCGGCAGAAGCGGCAGAAGTCGCGCTCTTCTTATCGTCTTGTTTTCCTTTGCCTTTGTCGCCGCCGCTTTTCCCTTTTGGCGCCATGGTCGAGATTTGGAACAAATGTGATGTTGTTGTTGTTGTTCTTCGAGGTAGGCAGAGGAGTGCGGTCCGGAAGCAAGCTGTAGGTAGCCGCTAGGGTCGCACGGGCCTCTGTTCACATGGCAAAGTGTGGGGAACGTCAACGTCCATCTCTTTCCATCTCCCCAGAATTCTCCCAACCCAAAACCTGATCCATCGGAGCTCAACACACGACAACCGTAACCTCCACACCCTCACCGGCTGCCTCACTCCCAAAAAAAAAACAAAACAAAAAAGGAAGACCTTCACCAAGGGGAAAGATGGAACAACACCGCCTCCCCTCCCTCCCACCCGCAATCTACTACATCCCCAATTTCATCACCCGCGAAGAAGAAATCTCGATCCTCTCCCAGGTAGGCAAGTCCCAAGAAACAAACAAAAAAACCCCCCCATCTCCGATCTCCACCTCACCTCACCTCACCTCACCTCACCTCACCTCACCCACTAACCCCCCTCTCCGTTGTTGTAAAGATCCCTCCCCAAAAATGGATCTCCCTCAAAAACCGCCGTCTACAAACCCACCCAGCGCCCCTAACGAAATCAAACATCCTCATCACATCCACCCCAAACCCGCAATTGCCCGCGTACCTCACAACCCCGATCCTGCCGCGCTTGCAAACCCTGCAGCTGTTTAATGCTTCCTCTTCCTCTTCCTCTTCCTCTTTCGCTCCAAACCACTGCCTCATCAACGAATACCTCCCGGGCCAAGGCATCATGCCCCACGAAGACGGGAACGCCTATTCCCCCGTCGTGGCGACCGTTTCCCTTGGGGGGAGTGTGGTTCTCGACGTCACTTCCAAGCCCCATACCGACGAGGAGGATGAGGGAGCGGAAAAGAAGAAGAAGAAGGCATGGCGAATCCTCCAAGAACCCCGATCCCTCCTCGTGACGACGGGGGCCGCGTATTCGGAGACGTTGCACGGGATCGCGGAAGTCAGGGAGGATGTGGATCTGAGGAAGGGGACGGTGGTTAATTGGGAGCTTTTGGGGGATCCGGGGAGGGTTGGAGAGGAGGGGGGAGGAAAGAATGTGAGGGAGACGAGGATCAGTTTGACGTTTCGGGAGGTGAGGAGGGTTTCGGCGATTGGGGGGAAGATTTTGGGGAAGGGACGGGGAGGAGGATGAGGGAAAGAGAGGAAAGGAAAGAAAAGCGAATTGTGTCGATTTTGAAGGGGGCCTGGATGATGTTTACTCATCAGGCTATACACTCTGTAGAGCTGTCTTTAAGATGGCTTACCATCCGAGAGAGAGAGAGAGAGATATATATATATATATATGGAACAGTCTACTTCCTCTCGGCAAACCTCTCCTTGGCAAAATCCCAATTCACCACACTCCAGAACGCCTTGATGTAATCCGGCCTGCGATTCTGGTATTTGAGATAGTACGCGTGCTCCCACACGTCCAAGCCGATAACCGGAAAGCCTCCCGTTCCCGCAACACCCTCACCCATCAGAGGGCTGTCCTGATTGGCGGTGGTGACAATCTTCAGAGTCCCATTCTGGTGCACGAGCCACGCCCAGCCGGAGCCGAAAACGGTCGTGGCGGCCTTCTCGAACTGCGCTTTGAACTCATCGACGCTGCCAAAGGTCGTCTGGATGGCCTGTTCCAGCTCGCCGTCCAGCGTGGTGCCCGGTTTCAGGTTCTTCCAGAAGAAGCTATGGTTGGAGTGCCCGCCGGCGTTGTTGCGCACGCCCGTCTGCTTCTCCGCCGGGACCTGGTCGAGTTTGGTGACGAGGTCGTTGACGTCCAGGGCGGCGAATTCGTGGTCTTTGAGGAGGTTGTTCAGGTTGTTGACGTAGGTCTGGTGATGCTTGGAGTGGTGGATCTCCATTGTTTCCTTGTCGAAGTGCGGTTCCAGGGCGTCGTAGCTATAACCCAGAGGTGGGAGGGAGAAGGCCATGGCGACGGTAGTCGGATTGGTACCAAAGCTGCACGAAGAATCAGTATCGGAACCCCAATCTCACGTGGCGCGTCGGATGCCTTGCTGTGACTCACCTCTGCTGAATCGAGTCGAGTCGTGTCTGGGCGGAGTTGACCATCCAGTTTCCCGCTTGCTGCCAGAGACCCGTGAGAGCGAGAGTGAAGTTGGAGAGGAGTTGGACCATGATGGTGAGAAAGGCCGGAGCTCAGGCGGGGTGCGTCAGACCATCAAGGTGCTCGCTGAGATGGTATGAGCGAGTTTCTCGGACGCTTGTCGTAGCTGGCCTGCTCTGCCCAGTCAGCGCAGCGAGCAGATGGCCAGGCTCCTCGGCGGGTGAAGCAACTGAGCCAATGGTCCCAGACTGAGGGTTGATCTCACGAACGAAGCCAAAGTGCAGCTGACGCGACACGTAGCAGGTATCTTGGGGAAAGCGAAGAGCCAGGGCAGCAGAAGGAGATCGGAAGGATTCTCCGAGATCCCGGATGGTATCTGCCTTAGGCACTAGACAAGATCCGTCGTGTCAGCAATTCGGAGAGGCATGATTCTGTCCATGTCCACGCTTGCTGGAATGAAGGCGCCTCCAAGATAACGTGAGCATTGGGAAACATGCCTGTCGTGGATTACCAAGTCGAGCACGGCTCGGAATGACCCGAGTCGGGGGGAATGAAGATGGCAATGGAAGACAAAGTCGGCGCTGCATTAAATATATCTACCACTGCCCTGAATTCGTTCCTCCCAAAGTCGATTGATTGACGGCACTTGCATTCACTTGCATGAATCATGTGGGTACGTAGCGCTGTCGTCACGTCGGCTCGTCCGACAACTTTCTCGTGAGCAGGCCTCTTCAGCCGCGTTGCGAAGAGACCAAGTTTACGAGAGCAACATCCCCCCCAAGTCGTGTTTGCGGTTGCGGGAACTACACGGTAATCAACTTCGGAGTAGAGTGCTCTCGGCTCGCCGCCGAGTCTTGAGCTCGCAGACATGCTCCTCCCAGATGATTCCAATAGCCTCCAAGACCCTCCCAAACGACAGGCCACCATCACCATCTCCAGGGGAGGAGATGAACCCACCGAATCATCACCCCTCCTGGGTGAGGAGCATGCTGGACAACCACCCAGAGGAAATGGCCACCAGTCCATCCGGAAACGACCATCTCCCGCCTTCATCCTCCTACCCATGACCATCGTGATCCTCCTCGTCGCTCTGGGAGACCAGCTACAAGAATCCCCCAGCACGCGGATCTTCGAAAGCGTCATCTGCTACCGCTACCACGAACGACACGACCCCAGCAAGATCATCCTAGGCAGAGACCGCGTGCATCCCGGCGCAATCGGTGGCGTCGAGGAGAAGTGGTGCAAAGCCGACGGAGTCCAGGACGAATTGGCCCGACTGAACGGCTACCAGAACTTCTTCGACGGCTTTCCCTACCTCCTCCTCGCACTGCCCTTTGGCTGGGCCGCGGACCGATTCGGCAGATGGCCCATCATCATGCTCAACCTCATCCAACTGCCCGCTCGAGCGCTTTGGACACAGTTCGTGGCCTGGAATTGGCAGGCATTCGACCTCCGCGCCGTCTGGCTTTCTTCCGTCTTCTCCCTGCTCGGCGGAGGCTCCATCATCGCGTCGAATCTGTTCTACGTGACGATTTCCGACGTCACGCCGCAGGAAGAACGAGCGGCTGCCTTCCTGCGTATGGCGGCCGTGAGTCTCTTGCCGAATGTCCTGACGCCTCCCTTGGCGGCTTGGTTGATGCAGCTCTCGCCCTGGATTCCGTCGTTGCTGGGGACGGCGTGCACGATCCTCGCCGCTCTGGTCTACTGCGTCGTGCCCGAGACGAAGAATTACCAGCATCAATTCCCCCAATGCGGCACACCTAGCGAGGAGCCCACGGAAGGAGAACGACCGCTACCCAGAGCAAGAGCCACGAAAGAAAGCCTTCTCAGCCGCTGCTGGCTGTCCAACCTCACATCCTCCCTCTCCTTCCTCACCACCGACTGGCGCATCCCCGCCCTCATCTCCGCCTTCTCCCTCCACATCCTCATCGCGAGCATCAACCGTCTCCTCCTCCAATACACCAGCAAGCGCTACGCCCTCACCATCGCCCAGGGAACCCTCCTCATCACGCTCCGCAACGCGGTCCAGGTCTTCCTCTTGCTCGTCCTCCTACCCTACCTCTCCCAGCTCGCCATCCGCATCTTCCACCTCTGCGGCCAAAGGAAGGACCTCTACCTCGCGCGAGCGTCGCAGGTCCTCGTGGCGACGGGCTGGATCGGCGTGGCCGCGAGTCCGACTCTCGGGTCCGTGGTGGTGAGCTTGGCGATTACTTCCCTGGGCGCCGGGGCCGGGTTCCTGACGAGGAGTTTTCTCACGTCGCTGCTGCCGGCGGAGCACATCGCCGTGGCGTACAGTCTCATTTCGATGACGGATACTCTGGGCAGCATGTTTGGGAATCCGCTATTAGCAGAATTACTGGCACGGGGTCTTGCGCTGGGAGGGTTTTGGGCGGGCTTGCCATTCTTCTTCGTCGGTATAGTGGCTGCTTTCTTTGCGATTCTGATGTTCATGGTCCGATTGAGGAAAGGAGAAGAGGACTGATGCCGAGCCCGGGGAATAGATGGATGGATAGATAAGACGTGCGCTGCATGGCGGACAGACTACCGCCTGTAATATACAGTAACCCTCTTGATGACCAGCTAGGCGGTTTCGGCAACACTACCGGCCGCAGCAGCAGTCTCGAGCTTCTCTCTTCTCTGCCTCAGGTATTGTGTATCCCTCCTCTTTTGAGTCGCGCGTCGCTTCTTCGCTGCTTGCCTCTCCTCATACAACTCATCGACTTTCAACGCCATCTGATGCTTAAACTCGTTCTTGGCGGTCCTCATGGCCTGACGCAAGTCTTGCTGCGAGACTTCCGTCTCACTTTCCGCCAACTTCCGCCGCAGTGCTCTCGCATACGCTGCCATTGACTGCTGCACATAGTTGGAGTAGTGCTGCTTCGCAATCGCTTCCTTGACAATCTTGCTACTATCCGGACGAGTCCGTCGCCAGCCATCCGCCGTGAGAACGACGTGCTGCGCCCTTCCGACGCGGAATTTGATAGGTCGCAGGCCTTCCGTCTTCGTGACCTGGAAAGCATCGTCCATGGCCACAGCCTCCGTTTCCTCCATGAGATCCTCTTCCTCCTTGGGACTCAGAGCCTCAACCATCGATTCCAGCTCTTCCCTCTCGGCAGGCAATCCCAAGCGCTCCCTCTGCTCCTTGAACCTCTTCTTGACGGCCGGCGTCTGCATAATCGCCCACCGCAACCACCACCCGGACTCCCCCAGGGATTTGATCTGCGCCTCCTTCTCTCCCAGCAGATATTCATCCAGACCCCCCAGCTTATCAATCGTCCTCAGCACCCTCGCGCTCACGCGGATCTGCACGTAGCGATTCAGAGCACGGCTGAAGAGTTTCTTGGTGAGGATGTTGGGGTACCATCGTCTGCGGGTTTTGGTCTCGAACTTCTCGCTGACGTTGTTGCCGAATTGGATGCGTTGGCCGCCGTAGAGGCCGAGGCGGGATTGTTTGAACCACCTGGTTGGGCCGTAGGGGTAGGGAGGGAGGACGTCTGCGAGGGCTTCCGGGTCGTTTCGGTCCCATTGGAGACTGACGGGTTTTGGGGGTGATGTTGAGAAGGCTCGGTGGCATTGGCAGATGTGCCGCGACCGCCGGAAGAGGGTGGCCATGATGATGGAGATGGGGTGGTGGAGTTGGGTGGTGTTCTTTGGAATTGAGTAGGTTGGCTTCACTCGCTCGGAGGAGAAGCCCGCAGCAGTTGCCAAGCCCCAGCGCGACTCCCGCGGCATATGTACCATTGAAGGTCACTGCTACATCTACTTCACTCACTCACTTGCTGAATCATCCCCTTCCAGCCACGATTCACAATGCCCTCATTATCGCAACGAATGCGCAAACTGCAAACCAGACTCCTCGCGATCCGTCTCGGTTCCGGAGCTCTCGTCCTACCCAAGGAAATCAAACGAATCCACATGCGCTTTGCGCCCAAAATCAATGGAGGACACATGGGATCAAGGTAAACAAAAAAAAACTACTCCCTCGAACCCAAGAGACGCTAGTGTTGTAACTGAGAGATAATGTATAGAAAGTTCTGGCGGCACGAACTCGTCCGACTAAAATACCACAACCCGGCAGTCTCAATGACAGTAGACAACCAAGCCGAACAGGACGAACCCGCTACCATGTCGATATACTTCTCGCGGAATCCCGAGTCCCAGACACAGGCGCAGGCACAGGCACAGGCAGAAACACAATCCGAAGCGGAGGAGAGGGTGGAGAGGATAAACATGAAGGGCTACACGAATTCGGAAATCTTGGATGCCCTGGTGAATCTGACGAAAGCGCAGCCGATCGAGCCCACACCGCAGGATCAGGAAGAGCTGGCGAGATTGGAGGAGCAGAGGAAGAGGAGTGAGGTGGATAGTTTGCTGTCGCAACAAGTGCGGGCGAAGGTGAAGAGGGAGAAAGAATTGCTTCAGCAGGCAAGAGGAGATATGGCTGCGCAAACGGCATAGTCGAGGGAGGAAGAGGGTATGAAGTCCACATGAAACGGCATAGCAAGGCGCGGGAGGCGTGAAATGTAAAATGGATCATGAAAACATCGCTGTACAGTACGCTCAAAATACTTGATACGGAGACTAGGCCATCGTGGCTACTCCGTTCCACCACGCCATGCACCCCAGCACGAACACGATGACCATCACATCCGTGAAGATCGTCTGCGCTATGGCGATGTACCTGCCTCCGACGCGAATGTAGTTTGCGTATGGCTCCGGCACGAAGCCGCTGTTTGCGACCATTGCGAACATGCCCGCGCCCTGAAGCTGTCCTTTCTCCATGAAGTACCGCGTGCTCTGCAATAGAAGCTCGGCCGATGTGAATATGAGGAACAGTCTGGGTCCTAGTCCATAGCCTGCCTCTTCCGTGTACACGCTCTGACTGCGCGCCAGCTTGCTGCCATTGAACGTCGATGTCAAACAGATGTAGAAAGCCAGGCCAAAAGCGAAGATGGCATGTACGATGCGCCAAAGATAGGCCGCTCCTGTCGTAGGAGCTCGCGGCTGTTCCGACTTCTGACCTCCGCCGCTGAGCATAGAGGCCATCCAAGGTGGTACGTCCGGAGCTTTCGCATTCGGATCGTTTGGATCGCCGCCCATGGCCCCCATCATTTGCTGCATCATCTTCACCATGGGGTCTTCCTGTCCCTCTCGCTGTCCCTGACCGCCAGCTTGTCGCTGCTCTTGCTCCATCTGCATCATTGCAGCCGCGAGTGGATCTCCTTGCGCTTGCGCCGACCTGTCACTGGCATTCGTGGAGAAGTTGCTGTACTGGCTGATATCGACTTCATCTGGATCGTCTGCCACCGATGCGGCCTGGGGTCCCTGTGTGCCAGCTATGCATCCGTTAGAACACTCTTCACCAGTCTTGCTTGTTCCATGACAAAGAACGTACGTCCACCAAGTACCTCGTCCGGGGGCGCAACACCTCCATTCAGCGCCTTGATCTTATTGAGCCGGTCTTCTCCCTGCTCGGCCATCTTCTTCTGCCGCTTTTCGCGGCGCAGACGCGCCTGTCGCTGTGTTGGCGTTTCTCCTTCGGGGCCATCTGCGCCCGTGGTCGTCGCTACGTCTGCCATATCGTGTGTTGAGTGCGGTGGGAGAGGTTGTTCTATCACAAGACTTAAGCGAAGGACCGTGGTAGTGGGAAAGCTTGGAAGCTGCAGGGCTCCGTGAAGCATGTGAAGTCATGCAGGAGGTCCGAGCGTCGTTGCTCCTTGTTTGGTATAAACTTCCTCAGCTTCAACATCACCTTCGATTTCTCAAGTAGACGACAAATACGCGTTGCGCTTCGGCCAATAGATCCCTGGAGCTGGAGGTATCATGCTGAAATGAATGCTAGCAAGATAGCGCCTCTTCACGTGGAAAGGCAAGTACAGTACTACCCAACAACCACATTATCCCAGCCCAGGATCGGCCCAATTTTAGAATACTACACACGCCACGTCGCAGCAGCGGAAGCAGGCGTTGACAATTCCAAGAATGGCGAGCTGATTCACGAGTCCTGCGACAGGAGGACCTGACACCGAGCGGTACAGATCCTCAACGTGACTTATCTAGGAACTTTCGGGTGGCATCTAATGAACATCTCGCCTTATCAAAGATTCTTCCAAACCACTGTCACTCGAGTTTGCTGCTATCACACAAATATCGCGGGAATGGCTCGATACAATAATGGCTCCAAGAGGCCTCCGGGGCCGAAGAAACCGCCCTTGACGCATTTTCTGTGCGTTCCATTGGTCTCCGAAGCCTCGAGACCGCACCTCGAGCAATCACTGCAACGCTTTCAGACCGAGGCCTCCGTGCAAGGTGACAGTGACAATCAGCGTGGCGCGGTATCGGGAACAACGATTGCAAATGAAACCAATGAATACGCTACCCCCCACATCCATCCCAAAGCCTTCCGGCCGGTTGGCGCTTTACATTGTACGCTGGGTGTCATGAGCCTGAAGAGCGAGAAATTAGCAGAGGCAGTCACTTTCCTCGAATCTCTCGACGTATCGGCTCTCCTCAAAGACGCATGCACCAGTCAAGCGCCCACTGAAGCCGTTGCTCTAGAGACTGCGCATGAACCACTTGTGGTCAACTTGATAGGTCTCGAATCAATGCATCCGCCGCAGAAGACTTCAATCTTGTACTCTGCGCCATCAGATCCTACTGGCAGGCTCTATACCTTTTGCTTGGCTGTGCAGAAGGAATTCAGCCAGAAGGGCTTTCTTGTGGAGGACGATCGAGAGCTGAAGCTGCATGCAACAATCGTGAATACGATCTACGCAAAAGGAAAAAAGCGGCCTATGAAACGCACCCCAACTTCCACGCCCACGGCATCGGCCTCCACGAGCCTTGGCGCAGACAAGACGGGTGGGCATGCAGACGGGTCTCTCGAGACGACTGGCCGTTCTCAAGGCCACGGACCTGATGCAGATGCGCCGCTCAAGATGGATGCTCGAGCGCTGCTGGAGAGGTACAAAGATCACGTGTGGGCACCTGCTTTTACGCTGACAAAGTTGGCAATCTGCGAAATGGGCGCGAAGAAGGTCACAGACGCCCAAGGCAATGTCGTCGGAGAGCAGTATACAGAAGTTGCCAGCGTTGCATTGCCCACCGTGCCTACGGGTTGAACCCACTGGAATCTCATCCACATTTGATTTGGAAGAACTGTTTCGTCTGGGCGCATGCGTGGCTTCTGACGGATCGCGTGCTTCGCGTTGTTGAAAGTTGGAACTGCGAATCCAAGACAGCGACGGCAACAAAGGCCGCGGACGGCGCTCGGTGACTAGTCGGCTCGCTGCGCATTAGTTGAAATACATTGTCATGCGATAGCGCGGGTCAGCTAAACACCAGAAGTTCTCTTGGAGCCAAGGCACAATGATGACATGGCCGGCCGAGGGCCTTTGCGGATGTCGTCGGCGCCACCATGACAGGCTCGGGGGCCGAGAGGTGGCAGAGACGGTCCCGACATAACGGCATACACTTCGGAAGCATGGCGCAAGGCCATCGGCAAATACCGCTGCGCAGGTAGAGACACCTGAGAGATGGCCGTTCGATTGTTTGATCGGATCAGCTGGCAGGATCCAGCTCTTCCGGGGGGATCGCTGCAGTCATGCTCGATCACTGTGCTTATTCTCATTACGTGACAGGCGGGACACTCACCGCAATTGTTACCCCTCCTGCAGAGTAGAGCAAAATTGTTCATCTGTGATGGTTGAACAGAAACAATGGAGACGAGCGGATACGACGAGTCGAGAGTGCCCATCACGTGTTCTCAACGACAACGGTTCGGAGGCGCGGCCCTATGCCCCGGCGTTGCATGCTTGTTCTGGACATCTGCCGGCAATTCTTTTCCCCCGAAGAGACGCTCGTGCCTGAAGATCGCAGGCGGGAAAGAGTTCAGTAGCTGAAAATCCTCCCAATGATGAATTTTCCTCCGAGCTTCCAATCGTCGATCTAAGGTTTTGAGAGTTTCGATAGTTTTTCAAATCCTTCTTGTTGTCTGTCCCTTTTGATTTTGTTGTTTGTTGGTTCGCTCTGTTGTTATTCTTCTGACTATTGCATGCCTTGTCAATTAGCGCGCCCTTGTTGGTTCTTCGGCAGATGTTTTGGCGGGATCATGGGAAGTAGTGGCGCTGTAGTGAAGAGGTTTCCTTCCCGTGTTGTCGTGCCACTGCCGCGGCAGTTGAGAAGTATTTTTTAGTATGTCGCGTGGGCTTGACAGGCATCGCAAAGCCGGAAACGTCGCCACGCGTATGGAAGGCGAGTCAACCTATTCAGAACCGAGAGCTGAGGGGTGGTTTGTACGGTGTCGCGAGTTCCATTCATTAATTGTAGCATGGAGGGAGTTTTACGTCGTAGGAGAAAGTGCAGCTTGCGAGCCTGAGGCAGGCAGAGCGGAATCGGCGGCACGGCCCAAGGCTTGGCGCACAAATCGCACCTCTCAAGTAAGGAGTCCATCTTATCTTACCGCCTGAAACGCGAAGTCTTGAATAACCATCCAACGAGCTTCTCATACTCAATCCTCGCGGAGTCACTGGCCAACAATGATATTAATAGCGATCAGCAACAGTACCACTCGGCGCTGGATTACTAATGAATACCTCAGCAGTACTACAACATGCGACGTGTCGTTTTGCTGGCTTGTTGCGAGCACTTTGCTTCGGTCTACCGCATTCCAATACAGCTGTCCTGTCCTGTGCGGTGCGAGTCGACGAGCTGATGGCGTAGTGCAACACACCTGTGTGCGCCGCGACGCACTGTGTTCCGATTGAAGACGCTGAATCGCATCCCACGTGTATGCTTATCGTTGCGCAACGTCCAACGCCAGGACAATCCGTTGCGATCAACGCCATGATGGAGCACCAACATCGGAAACGCGCACAATGTCAATGTAGAGAGGACGAGCTTTGCAATCAAATGCGATCCGCTGACCAGGAAAAAAGCCGCTGAAGGACTGGGGTAGCTTTCTCTTCTAGGATATTTCGAGGGCTTCTTGCTGTTTGTGTGAGTGGGCTGATAACGACCTCGACATTCATCATCATCATCATCATCATCATCATCATCATCAAGTTGGGTTTTGGCATTGGGTGTTGATTGCTGAATCAGTTCAGTAGTTGTTCTGGTATCTAGCAGGAGGTGTCGGAAACGATCGGTGGTGTGAAACGGGTTTCTGAGACTTGCGCCATGATCTCGAGCGCGTGGGTGTTCCCTGGAGCGCGGTGGGCAGATACAGCAGCACAACCAGCACCTGGCGCAAACCTGGCGGGGCATGTTGAATCGCGTGCGTCTGACCAGAAGGGCTCACAGCGGCGGGACGAACAGAACAGAGCGGCTTCTTCGGACCATGGTCATCATGATTACAGTCACCATGCGCGGTCAGAATCGGAGGTGACGTGGTTTGCGGAGCGCACTACTACCGGGCGCATTCTGGAGCACGCCGCACGCTCTGGACGGACGCGGACGACGATGCTGTGGGAGGCCTGACGAGAAGGGCGATGAAACCTCCTCCACAGGCAGCTACGGCAGTGCGTCTTGTGGCCGAGCGTCCTGCGAGCTATTGTTGTGACGATGATGATGATGAGGGTGTGTGTTGTGTTTGGGCTTGCGATCCCGCAGCGCATCGCTGTCGCAGCAAGCGCCACGAACACAGACATGGACATGGACATGGACATGTGGCCGCCCATGCTGCTGTCTTGGCGGTGTGCTGTGCCGAGTGTGCCTGCTGCGGCTGAGCGCCGGGCATCGTTGTGTTGCGACGTCTGCGCGTGGGCCTCGGGGGGCGGAATTTCGTGGTGTCAACAAGGGTGATGAAAAATTGCGGCGCAGTTGCTGCAGGAAGAAAAAACTCTGGGCGACGCTTCCGTCGGGAGCAGTCGAGAACTCTTTCACCCACCGCGCAGCGTAAAGGTATCCCAGACGACGGGTCGGCTGCAGGAACGGCATGGTAGCCGCTTAGGCTCGACGAATGAAGGACGGGCGTGTACGGCGATGTGGTCCGGTAATCAGCGAGTCGGGCCAGTGACAGGCGGAGGGACCACTTCTTCTCTCGCTCGCACTCGCTTGCCTCTCGCTTCCCCTGCCGGCTGCTGCGACTTCACCTGGAGGGCGGCTGGCGCTTGGTCGTTGATCGGGGAGATGCCTGCTCCTGCTTCAAGGGGCAAGCTCGCCTCCAGAACACGTTTTGCTGCCGACGATGGGGACCCACGCCCGCTCGGAATCGCTCCCCCAGCAGTGCGAGGTGACGGGACTTGGCTGATGAGTGCTCCTCCTCCTCGGTGGGACGCGCCCGCTCGCTCGTTTAAGAGTCGACGCGCACTCACTCAATTTCCTCTCCTCCCTCTCCCCTGTCACGATCATTATCCTTACGCTTGGACGCCTCTCCTCTGCTGCTGCGCAGTACCATTCCTTTGGCCGTTGCTCGGTGTTCACTGGTATTCACTCTCTACCGCCTCTGGACGAGTAACCACTCTTTGCACGCCAGCTCAATCATCATCTCGTCCACAAGCACCATTCTTGGCCCTCCGACGACACCCATCACCTGCCATATCGCATAGCCCACAGCAGCCAAGACCGACACAATGGTTCACTCACTCATTACCTCTCTCGCCCTCTTCGGCGCATCTGCCACGGCCCTCTCGGTCGGCTCAGCCCACGTCGTCAACCAATGCAGCTACGATGTCTACCTGTGCAACGTTCCTGCCTCTGGCGGCGGCTACGAGGAGTCCGACCAGACTCTGTCCGCCGGCAACTCGTGGACGCAGCAATGGACCGAACTCTCCAACGGCGATGGCTGGTCGATCAAACTTTCCCACTCCACCGCGCTCGAAAACATCCTCCAATACGAGTACACCTTCCACAATGACGGAATCATCTGGTACGACTTGAGTTGCGTCAACGGCAATCCATGGGACCAGGACTGGGAGATCACTTCTAGCACCGACTCTTGCAGCCCCAAGCAGCAAGCCTACCGCTATGCCACCGACGACGCATACGGCATGCAAGCTTGCTCCCAGGACGCTTCCATCACCGTCACTCTCTGCTCTGGCGTGTCTCAGGACAACGGAACCGCCATCACCTCTGCCTCCAGTTATGGTTCTGACTCCAGCTCCGACTCCAGCTCTTCCTCTAGCTCTTACTTCAGCTCTTACTCCAGCTCTGACTCCGGCTCTGATTCCTCTTCTTCCTCGTCCGCTGCCGCTTCGGCATACAGCGCCCCAGCCTCGTCGGCAGCCTCCTCCACCGCTGCTCCTGCATCGTCGGCTGCTCCGTCATACAGCTCCAACTCTGACAACGACGAATCACCCGCCGCGCCTTCGTCGACCTCAGCGCCTGTGTCCTACGGCTACGACTGGTACGGCAACGACGGAGAAGGACAGAGTTCCACTCCTACCCCCACCACCTTTGCCACCTCGACGACAGCCACCTCTGTCGACAATAATGGAGTGATCGTCACGGATGTGGAGACCGTCGTTGTCACCAACATGGTCACCCAGACCGCCATCGCCTACGGCCCCAACTCGCGGGTCAAGCGTCAACAGCACCAGCACGAGCACGAGCACCACGTACACGGTCACCAGCACCGAGCGGCATAGGCTCAAACGGCCCTGTTGCACATATGATGAACAGATTGCATCTGTCTTACGGCCCCAGAATTTCACTTCTTCCATTTTCGGGAACAGTCGCAAACCGGCTAATACTTCGCTTCCACTCTTTCAGCAAAGGATCAGTCTGGGTTTCGCGGCTCGACCGAAACCATTCAAATCTTCATTTTGGCATGCTTCTCTGTCGATACTTTATCATCATCATCACAAGACTTTGTTTGACACGAAGGAAGGGTTTTTGAAGAAACCCCATTTTACTCCAGCTGTTTTGAATTTTTTTCACCCACACCCCCCATCATCGAGGACTCGCAGGGTCTTTTGAGCGCGGCTTTGGTCCTTTTGCTGCTCGACTCGCGTCCTCGATGGATGTGTGTGCGTGTGTGTGGGCAATTCAGCTACGATGCACGAGCAATGGCACAAACCATATATTCCCCCCGAAGAACCCAAAAGTGGCTCTAGAGAGAGAGATAGCGAGCGAGAGAAAGAAAGAGGGAGAGGGAGAGAGAGGGAGGACAAAAGACAAGATCAATATCATCGACCTTTTGATGACGATGATGATCTGCGCAAACAGCCTCCTCCCTTCCTCCTCCACCTCCTTATTCTTACTTCTGAGAACAAAATTTTTGTTTTTTGCTTCCTTCCATCATCATCATCATCATCATCATCAGCGCATAGATTCATTCCTCCTCCATACCCTCCCAGTACATAAATCTCTAGCTCTTAAAGTTTTATTCTTATTCAATTTTTATTTCTCGGTCGCGAAAAGAAGAAGCATTTTCCATCTATCAGCATATCTCCTCACATTGCGACCCCAATCATCAAGGATTCCCCCTTTGTGTGTGTGTGTGTGTGTGTGTGTGTGTGTGTGTGTGTGTGTGTGTGTGTGTGTGTGTGTGTGTGTGTGTGTGTGTGTGTGTGTGTGTGTGTGTGTGTGTGTGTGTGTGTGTGTGTGTGTGTGTGTGTGTGTGTGTGTGTGTGTGTGCACGCGACTGTGTGTGTGTGGGACTTGGAGGGTGTGTTTGTGTTTGGGGGGGGAAGGATTGTCAAACCGGTTTGTTGATTTACCAGATCGGGATGGGGGGATGAGACACATTATTATTGCCGTGATGATGGGAAGCTACCTAATAAGTCGAAGAAGAAGAATTCTCCGGATGGATGACGTCCTTAGTATTATCACAAGCGTCGTTTGTTTGTTGTTTTATTCCGAATACCGGCGGGGTTTTTGTTCACTTTTCTCTTCGTTGGCCTGCCGTCGTGTGACTACGTACGTTGAAATTTCACTATCACTTCGTAGTAGTAGTAGTAGTAGTAGTAGTAGTAGTAGTAGTAGTAGTAGTAGTAGTAGTAGTAGTAGTAGTAGTAGTAGTAGTAGTAGTAGTAGTAGTAGTAGTAGTAGTAGTAGTAGTAGTAGTAGTAGTAGTAGTAGTAGTAGTAGTAGTAGTAGTAGTAGTAGTAGTAGTAGTAGTAGTAGTAGTAGAGGACTAGATAGATAGATACTTGGAGGGATGGATGCGTCGATGCTTATTATGATCTCTCCCTAGACGATTTCTCTCTACCTCTTCAATTATTATCAATGTGCCCGACACCACTTCCCGCCAGTGATGGTTCTTCGGTCTCGGGTCTCAGGTATCGCTCCCTCGTCTCCCTCCTCCACCGGAAAGATTTTCTCGATTTATTTAGATAGTACGAATCCGTACGGACATTCATTAATTTGATGCCATGCCGCTACTATGCAAGCCTTTTCCTTTCCCCCTTCCCCCCCAAATGATGTGACTTTTGCCAAACTAGAAGCATGTGACGCCGTCGGCCAAATGTGGTGGTGGTCGAGCGCAGACAGACACGGGCTTTGTTCTTCCCTTTTGATGGATTCAAAAGGGGAAGGAATTATGATTATTGCACTTCAGAAGGTCATGCATGCTTCCACGGTGGGCCCACGAGAGCTGATCAATGGACCACACGAACCATGCTTGCGTTTCCGCAGGAATGAACACTTCTCGGGGCTGCCCCTTGAGTGCTCGCTCTTTCGCTGCCTCTCGGATTGAAGTAGAAGTCTTTCACAGCCCAAAGGATATACTGTTCCCGGGATTCGTGGCGGCGAACCATGGTCGATTTTGGAGAATTTCCTACTTCTCGCCTCGCCGTTTCTCGCACCAGTCCATGAAGAGGCCGACATCCTTGACGATGGCAGGAGGCGTGCCGAGCTTCTGCAACGACATGGGTAAATTACCCTTGGCGTTACTCGCGGTGGCCATCTGCCATTTCACCTTGGTGCCGCCTTCGATGGCTTCGCAGCGTTCGATGCTGCAATACGTGCCGGTGACCACTTTCGATTCCTTGGCGTATCTGGCCTCTTTCACTCTGCCCACGGCCACAGGGACTTGGACCACGATGAACTCCTGTGCGCGCTTTGCGGTCAGGACCACGACCGGGAAGGCGCGGTTGTTCAGCGGCCAGGGAATCTTGTGCATCATCTCCATGAGGACAAAGTCCACGTCGTTCCAGCCGTCCACTGCTCCGCCCAACTGCTCAAGCTCGGCTTTCCAGTCGCAGACTATGTGTGCGTCCAGTACGTCGGGGGTGTAATCCATCTCATGCTGGCTATGATCGGCTCTCAGACCGCTGTCGAATTCCTCCCAGCTTGCAGTGCCTCTTTGCGCAGCGTTCTCGTGGATGCTCTCTCTGGCAAACCATGTCTCTGATGCTCCCATCGTGCGGCCATCTTCGGGGAGATCGTGTGCGCTGATTTCGTGTTCGAGGAGTTCTACGGGGGCTGTGGACGGTGGAGCAGCGCGATTCCTCGCCTTGACCTTGAACGCTTTGGGCAGGTAGTCGGTGACGAAATCGTTGCCTTCGTTGAGTACCGTAGATATGAACGCCTTCAACGATGGAGCAGTCTTTGGTTCTTGGAGAGGCGCGAGGGTGGGATGTGCGGGGAGTTCTGCTGGTTTCAATGGTCTCATGCGAATGTAGGAGCCCAACGCGGGCGGCGCCGAAGTCGCGTCGGTCGACATGGTGGTGGTGTTTCCTGTGGATCAATGATATCGTATTTAACCGCACGCCCGGCCACTCAACATGCCTCCGTCACTCCGTCACCGAGCTAGGCCGGGCGTCGTCCGAGTGTGAGAGCAGCCAAACCCTGAAGGTAGCTGCCGTCGTCCTTCCTCTGCTCAGTTTATTCTACGCCAATTGTCCGTGTTGTAAGAAGAAGGCAAAGTGTTCGGTCGGGCTCTCGACGCTTAGAGGTTACCACGGTATATGGCGGAACGATGATGATGCTGTCAGTGCAAGTCGAAACCGGAACGAGTCATGCCTCAGCCAATCAAAAGCAAAGCAGCGTTTCGCCAGGACGAACGGAACAGCACTGCAGAGCTGCCTTGACGAGGCGAAGACCGTAGATGATAGAACTCTGGATGTAGTATCATCATCCAGCAGCACACCAAAATTCCATACTTACCGCCACCCCAGGTTCAAAGGCATCTCCAGACAAGACGTCTGCTACACACGTCGGAATCCGCTCGTCAGAATCGGTACGGACTCTTTCCAAATTGAAATATACTGAAGAGACCGTCTAAATAAAAACCCACGTCGTCAAGACACCCACCAAACAAATGGCTTCGTCTCCCATCATCATCCAGATCCTAGACAAGCCCGAACACGACGGAATCGTAGCGCAATCCAAGGACATGCCGACAGTAATCTACGTCTCGAATTCCGTCTTGCCGGCGTGCAAGGCCTTCGGTCCGAAGTTTCACGCACTGGTCGAGCAATGGTCGCCGAGGGGGATTCGCTTCTGCCAGTTGGAATTCACCGACAAGACGTCGATGATGTTCAAATTCGCGCCGAACCAATTGCCCGTGACCGTCTTCATGGTCCATGATAACTGGTGTAAGACGGTGATGGGCGCGGATGCGGCAGCCATGGAGATTGCTCTGGGCGAGCTGCTGGAGCAGGATAAGAAGGCGGTCCAATCTTAGAGAGCATTCGCTCCAGAGATGAGGCATTGATGAAGTCGAAATTGAACGTTCGCGTGTGTTCCTAAGAAAAATGTAACTATGGTAGCAGTAGATTCCCGGACTTTTCCCGCTTACATAACACCGTCTCTTGGCCAACCAAAGCCTTTGTCTGTTGACGACGGGAGCGACTTTGAACTTCGCCAGAAATTATTACCCACCTCACCTCACCTCATCAACACCGGCATCGGCATCGGCATGGACTAAGACAGCATCTTGGATAGCACAAATATTAGTCGAAGCATGTCTTCCACAGAGCATAAAATACCAACCAACATCACCACCACCGGGCACAAGCGAAAACGGACTTCCCAGGAACAACTACCCGAAGAAATCGCCTGGACAGCCGCGCGATGCAACCGCCTCTTGAGAACAATCAGTTCGCGATTAAGCACTCTCCGTCGCCTCCTCAGCACGGAAAGCCAAATCGAAGCGAGTCGGCAGTCCGCCAGACCGAAGCTGCTCCCGAAAGCCGGGAACAAAACCTCAGACGCAGACCCGGTGTGGCTACCGAAGGGGAGGAAACGGACCGCCGCTGGACGAACGTATGCGGGAAAGCGAAGGGCTGCTTCACAACAACACCCGAAGCCGCCGCGACGAGATGAGGTGCGGAGTCTCGCGTTCCCGAGTCCCTTCGTCAAGCGCTTGGCCATGAACACGGCAAGCGAGGACGAAAACATCCCACCACCAGATCACCACGAAGAGGAGTCTATGTGGTGCAAGCTGCAGGCCCAGCAACCGCATCAACGTCGGAAATCCAGACAACTCCCCATCAGACCCAAATCCTCCATCCAGGAAGCCGAGAATGGCCTTCTGAGCGCCGTCGCAACCCTCCTGGATCAAACGAAATCCCCCAAAGCCCGGGAGCCGCGGAAGACTGGGACCCGCTCACTACTGAGCACGTGTCTCCGGAAAGTACCAGACTACATTGACTTCGAAGCCGAAGAAGAAGCAGAGCAAGAAGATGGAACGGAAAATACCACCTCTGAAGTCTTCACCTACCTCGAACAGGCTCTCGGGATGAAACGAGAACCCGGTTGGCATGGACTTCGACAAGTCGTGCAGAGTCAAGGACTCTTCGTCATCCGACAGGCTGTCGAGGAGAATCTGCTATCCTCGGCTACGATCAAAGCACTCGTGAGCAAGTGTATGCGAAACGGAAACCCAGACGAAGGGAGTGAGATTCTGCAGACATGGCTCGGGAGCTTGAAAACACCCACTGCAGCACAGCTTGCCGAGAGCATGATGATGTGCTCTGACAATGCGCGAATCCGGCTCGCCGTCCGTCTCATGGAGCTGGAACCGGCCAATATGACGAGAATCTCTGCCTCTGTGTGGGATAATGTGCTAGGTCTCCTGACCAGAGGAACAGATAGTGAGGCATGCGCATTCCTCATCAGCTGCGCAAAGGCGTCGCGGGCTCTGGAAGACCAAGGCTCATTGGCATCAACCACGCTCTCGGCCATGAAGTCAGCCATGATCAAAATCACCGTCATGGCCACAGCGACCCTCCTCCTGAACGGCTCGACAAGCGGAGTCGAATTACTTGTCGAAACGATACACCGCATCGGAGCAAACGCAGCCTGCGACTTTCTCGACTCCACATCGAACAAGCCACCTGATCTCACCGCCTTCTTCGTCATGTGTTCTCAGATCCTACTTTGCCTGGACGCGAGCTCGAATCCCACATACGATGTCTTGAGCACCGGAGCACTCACCACTTTGCTAGATCCCATCAAAAGGGGCAGATTAGGCTGCTCGGTCCGCGTGAGAAACCAACAGGATAGTTTCGCGTCCGCTTTCGCGGAAGGAGCCATGGAGTTGGAGAAGCATATCACGCTTGGTCTGATTGAGCGTCTCCTGGATCGGATTCTGGAGCTGGATTCGATGGAGCCGGTGTTGGAACAGGTCGCGGTGCAAGCCATATTGCAGGCCAGGCAATCAAGTGATGCACGGGAAGACCAGATGTACACGGAGTATCTACGTCGGTTGACCGCCACGGGGAGAGACGAAAATGGCCGCACGCCTTTCGGGACAAGTAAGAAGCCTGCTGGGTTCCGATGGGAAGAAGGTCTCTGTGAATGGGTAACGACTACAGCCTTTCCTACCAAGATTTTGCAAGAATCCGAGGAGGTGGTTGTCGAGCCGAGTACACCTGAAGAACAATACGATAGTGCCTCACCTACAAAACCTCTCCCGAACTACGAGGAAGTCGTCATGACCCCCGAGACGCCCGACGAGCCGTATTGCAGTCCCCGGGTGATTGGCAAGCATGCTTCGCCGGATGTCCTGGCGCTTTCTGCCAAGCCCAAGCGGAGGTCGATGGGGAGCCTGAGCTGGAAGGTCAGCAAGCGAAGAGCAGACGTGGATGACGCACAGCCTTGCTGGCTCGCTCAGCGGCGCAAGTCGAGCAGGATCTCTGCGAAGGAGGACAGTGGCGACGAGTTGGGCTTTTGAGCCTGCTGCTCAGTGTGACTGCGGATTGATAGGCGAGAAGTGGGACGTCCCTGTTCTGGGAAGAGAGATGCCGGTCCAGTATACCATTGCCAAGAAACATTCACTTACTGTTTCCTGCATGTGACAGCCTTAGACCTTGTGTACTCGGGGGTACATCGCTAGCGCTGCCGGTAGAGTAACTTTTATGCAGATGAAGTTAAACAGGGATTGCGCGCAATTTGAGCACAGTCTTCTTGCATGTTAGGAGCTTTGCAGAATGTCCATCATTGCCGAACCATCGTAGCGGTGTAGAAAGTGGACGAGGGAGGTCGATGGTGCACGTGTTAGTTGGCAAGCACAGCTCTGTTGCTGGGCATCGCACGACTGGTGGAGGACGCGTAACAAGAGGCATGCCTCTTAGCACCTCGCACGCGAGTCAAGCGAGATAGTGTTGATCGCGGCAAGCTACATGCGGCGTACAGACAGGCAGGCGGCGGGACAAGGACAGGCGCCAATCGATGGAGCAACGTGCCTTGCAAGTCATATAGGTGAGAGAGAGAGACTGCTAGGGTGTAGCCCACAAGCGCTGCGAATACACAGCGAATCTGCAGACGGGTCTGGTGATGTGTGAGGTGAGGAGGATATGGGGCCTTGGCGATGGGATGGAAGGTGGTGTCAGGATTGGTGCGCACAGACTGGATGGTGGCATGGGCGACGCTGCGGCTGGGCAGGTTTGGACGGGTGGAGGAGGTCTCCAGCTGTGGGCGAGGGAAACCGGCTGGAGACATGGAAGCTTTCTGCGTCGGCGTCATGATGCGCTCACCGTGATCGATGAAGTGAAAATGCTAAGGCAAAGCTTGCGACCCATCCGGGACGAGCCTGCGAGCGCGAGATGAGGCGGACATGGTATGGCAGCGTCGTGCGTGAAATGATCAAGGAGATGGCACTGTGGTAGTCCTGATGCGGGCGTCGAATGTCGACTTGCGGGATGTGTAAGTAACGGACGGGTACAGAGTGACTTGACCGAACGAGACTTGGAGGGACGTGGTATGGTCTCGGTGAGAGCCGTGTGAGAGACGGCGCTCGGAGCGTGCGCGATGCCACTCCTGTGCGATGATGCACAATGCAGCCGCGGGAGCCGGTGTGGGGAAAGCTCACCAGAGCTCCTGCCTGCCAAGCTGCCTCTCGAAACATTGGACGGCAGGCAGGAGCTGGGTGGAAATAGACGATGCCATTGATTGAGGTGCTCCTTCCAGTTCGGAATGGGTGCCATCTTTCCACGCTCTGTAGATGATGATGGTGATAATGATGATGATGATGATGATGATGATGATGATGATGATGATGATGATGATAAGAAGTGAGATGGGATGCCTCTGTACGCCATCAATATCCTGTCCTGCCCTTCCAACTTCGGCGAGTGCCGTGGCGTGACGGCAGGCGCCAACCTCAGAGGAGCGGCACGTTATGCAATCCGTCAAAAAGCACCATGCTGGGGCTCCCGTCGTTACGTGATAGGTCTGTGATGCTCCAAGGTCGTCTTGTGATGCGGACATCGCTGCGGTCCATGCTTTTCCCCACTCCCGTCCAGCAACAGCTCCCTTACAACAACCTTCCACCACTTGCTCTCCTCTTCCTCCTCCTCCTTCCCGTCACAATCACCACAACCCAATCCCTCTCCCACCCCCAATCATCCATCTGGATCCCATTCACACCATCAAGAACATCAAGAATAACCGCAATCATGATCGTCGACCCAGTCGAGGCTTTCAAGACGGTGCCTCTCTCGACGCCCAGCGTTTCGCCCAGTATGTTTCCCTCGACGTCCCGATACAAGCAGCAAGCAGCTTGACACTGACACTCCTGCAGTTCCGACCGTCGTCCCAACCCTCCCAGAGTACCAGAATGCCACTGAGACCGGAGAGAGGACCCTCTGGTGAGTCTCGTGCGTCCGCAAGAGCAGCGCTGCCACAAGCTCCACAACAACAACAACAATCATCATCTTCCGGAAGAGCCGGCGGTGCGGCGGTATCATTCAGAATGGGAATGTTGACAATTTCCTAGGGTCGTCTTCGTTGTCATGCTGGTCGCCTCCATCGTCTTCGCAGGCCTGTCATGGAACGTTCCAATCGTATGTTGCCTCCGCATCTGTTCCGAGCAGGCAGTGAGCTGACATCCTCCTAGTCCAAGCGTTTGTACCATGTCGTGACCACCCTGATCACCATCACGGCCTCCATCTCTTACTTTGCCATGGCCACTGGTCACGCCGTTGGATACCACCACGTCGTTGTCCGCGACTCCCACAAGCACGTCCCAGACACCGAGCGCGACATCTACCGCCAGGTCTACTGGGCTCGTTACGTTGACTGGGCCTTGACCACTCCTCTCCTCCTTCTCGACCTCTGCCTCCTTGCTGGACTCAACGGCGGTACCATCCTGATTGCCGTGGTTGCCGACCTCATCATGATCTTGACTGGTCTCTTTGCCGCCTACGGTTCTGAGGGAACTCCACAGAAGTGGGGATGGTACGCCATTGCTTGCATCGCCTACCTCGTCGTCATCTGGCACCTCGTTATCCACGGCCGCGCTGCTGCTACTGCCAAGGGTGGCAAGGTCGGCAACTTCTTCGCTGCCATCGGCGGCTTCACCCTCATCATCTGGACTGTCTACCCGATGTAAGTAATTTCATACCTACCACTCTCAAGCTTCAGAGGCTAACAGTCTTTCAGCATCTGGGGTATTGCCGACGGTAGCCGCCACATGAACATTGACGAGGAGATCATCTCCTACGCTGTCCTGGACATCCTCGCGAAGCCCATCTTCGGTGCTTGGCTCCTCTTCACCCACTCCAGCATGGCTGAGACCAACATCGAAATCGGCGGCTTCTGGTCCCACGGACTGGGCGCTGAGGGCACCATTCGTGTCGGTGACGATGACGAGGGTGCTTAAAGTAGCAACCCCACATCAACCCAAGCAGAGGCAAGTCTTTGCTAGAAGACTGCCACTGTGACAAGCATCACGAACAAGTGAGAATGCGGTTAAGGACGGAAACAGTGAAGAAGAAAAATTCGAAAGGCTGCGGCCATTGATCACGAGCATGATTCGAGATGACCGGCATTTATGGATACGGAGATTACCCTTCTGGCGAAAGCCAAGCCATTGGCTCCTCACCAGACTGCGAATGGCATTTGTACAACCGGTAGTTAATGCATAATTGGCAGTTTGGCGTTGTACGAGATGACATGTTTCTTGTGATGTTGGTATGGCTAACTCTTTACTTATCGGTGTTCCTACTGACGCTCAGCCCATCTGGCAGTGAGCCAGACTGAGAAGCTTGAATAGCGGATTTATCATCTATATCTCTACAGATGAGGACTTCTTCGATTGAGGAGGGTGGCGTCGTTCACAATACAATTTCTGTCGACCGCTGGTCGTGTGCACCGTGCGACCGGTCGTGTTGCGGTGAGAGGCAGCTTCCGGCTTCCATGCCAACCGTGTCAAAGCGGGGGAGCTGCTTCTCCCGTGAGGGATGTCCATGCGGCATGCAGGCGCGCGCCAGAGCTCTGGCTTATTACATGCTTCTTCCTGGACATGAATCGCTGCGATTTGATTTTCTTGGAAGTTCAAGGCCGATTGATGAGACGTCATACCTCTTAACTGCACTGCCACTGCCAACTACATTACCATTTTCCGGACTGTTGATCAGAAACCCCACTCTCTCACGCGCAGAAGAAGACGCACACAAGCAAGCAAAACATGGCATCGCCGCAGGAACAGAATGGCGGCGTGGAGACCGAACTCCCCCCGCCGCTGGAGCGGAGGAACAGTCTGGAGAAACATCTGCAGAACCGCCCGGAAGAGCAGGATCTGAAGGATCGGCATATCCTGCTAGACACGACTGCTGCGCCCGCGTTGCAGGCTCGGGCGGCGGAGTTGGAGAGGCAGAGGATTACGGATAATCTGAAGAAGGTAGGTAAAAGATGAAGAGAGAGAACGAGAGCGTTCTGAGATACATGTCGCTAAGGATGGGATTCAGGGACTGGCGAAGCGTCCGGAAAAGGACGAATTGGTCGAGAGGAATATCCTGCCGGATTCGAGCGCGGCGCCGGCGATCCAGGCGAATCAGAAGGAATTGGAGAAGCACATGCGGGCGGATCACCTGGATAAGGCGTTGCAGCAGCGGCCGGAGAAGGAGGAGTTGATCAAGGAGGGGATTTTGAAGGAGGGTGAGTTCTTAATTTTTTGCAGTGTCAACTTTTCCATCCGCATAACCTATTGCCTGCCAGTGCTGACAAATCTGCGGACCCCACGGCGGGAAAATAGGACGAATGTCGAAGGGCTAAAATAAGGACGATCATCTCATCACCAAAGCGAGCTGGACTTCGGAGAGGAGTATGTTTTGGGGTTAGGCTTCTGTTTCACGCGAAGAGGAATGGAATGGGAAAGTCACATGCTCTCTGCTGCAAGCAGGAGGCCGCAAGGCAGGCAGGCAGGCTACTGAAACCAAGAGTCCCACATGGAAGCTGCGCGTCCCACTGGGTCTCGTTATTATTACCGCGCGCTGCAGACGTGTCGTGTCGTGTTCAAGAATAGGATACGAGCCACGAGGAGATTCTGCCTCAATGAGGATGTTCGTCGGAGGAGGTCTATGATCACGGCCTGAGGGTCAGAAGAAACGTGAATTTTCCGAACACAAGACGATCGGACGGAATCTGAATGAGTGATTGCGTGAGTGAGTGAGTGAGTGAGTCTGAACGATTTTGGTGGGTGGGCGGGCTGTGATGGAGTGCACGTGATGATTGTTTTCCCCGTGCAGCTCCCGGCTTTAGGCCCGAGAGGGTTAGCGCTGTGGATCAAAATAGCAGCACCCGCAAGGCGCCTTGCAAGCCAGCGTCAGAGCCGTTGGGTCGGTGTCGCAGGCGAGGGAACGCGTCGTATGACAGTAAAAGAAGATGTAGAAGGAGAAGAAGGAGTAGAAGACGGGCATAGTGGAAGACACGCGAGTAAAAACGAAGCGATATCGTCGATGATGTTTCTCCACCGATATTTCGTTATGATTATACCTTAGTCGCTGCAAGGTGGCACAGGGAAAGGGTCCACTGCAGCCTCGGTGAGGTTCAAAGCAACCCACACGAAACAAGCTAACCACCCTGCTAAGAATAGCCCGCTTCGTCTCGTTTGGTATGTGAGTTGCTCTGTGCGTTCCACTGCCCGACCACGATCTTCTGTCTTCCACGCTGCAGTCTGATCCCCGTACTGTACACCACCACCACCACCACCAACACCACCACCGCCTACACGTCCACACCTCGCCGTAATACTCTGCGTGCTCCGTTCGCCCTTGGAGAGCCTCTACGACGCCGCATCCGACGACGGGAGAGAGGGCGTGAGACAGCGCAGCCGCCGGCCTTCTTTGTCCCCACGCCCGCGCGACGTCAATAAGAGGCGCTGCAAGAGACTGGACTCGTCGAAGCCCGCGGCGCACACTGCCCTATACGATCCGTCTGCCTCCTCCGAGCACGATCCGACAGACAGGCACACATCCGCGCTGTCGCAACGTCCAGTGGAATTGAAGTGCGCAGCTGTCTCGGTCGGTCGGTCGGTCGGTCAGCCAGCCAGCCAGCCAGCCAGCCAGCCAGCCAGCGCACAAGTGTGCGGCTCCCTACCGCATTCGTCGATCGCGAGAAGGGCACACCCGGACTCGAGGACGACGACGACGACTACGACGAGACGACGTACACGGACACTCGGTCCTCTCCTGGTCGATTGCGACAGCTCGCTGAAGCTAGCGTGCGCAGGAACGCTCCACACGGCGACCAAACGCTGGCCGCGGCACGCTTCCTGTTTCGGTCTTGGGTAAGTCCGCCACGGTCTCATCCATCCGCAGGGGAGCTCTGTGTGCTGCAGTGGGAGAGCAAGGCACGGAAAGAAGAGGGCAGACGATTGACAGGCCTTGGCCTATTCCTCTTTCAACACCCTCTCCGTGCCCCTCTTATTATTATACCATTACCGCCCGTCGCTCGCTGCACCTGGTGGCCATGGCGATCCGTGTGCTGATTGGTCGACAGCTAAGCGCCCTAGAACCTCGCCCAATCGCCTTCTGGAAGCCGACGCTGCTGATCCGCCTCAGCTGGCCTCACATATTCGTCTCTCGCCTCTTGAGTGCTGGAGCTGGAGCTGTAGCTGGAGCTGCTTGTCGCCGCCCAGGGCACGCCTAATATTGCGAGCGTCTAATCCGCTGCATGTCATCGCAGAGATTCGCCCACGCCCGTTCCCATTCCAACGCTCTCTACCTCCTCCCATCCTCCTTCACCCACGCGACCATGTGGTGAGCGTGCGTGTGCTAAGAAAAGCATTCCACCTCACCTCTACATTCCCTATCCAGGCGCCTCGCCCGTCCCTTGTAGCACTTGCCGCGCTCGAGATCTGGCATCTCGCCCACTAGCAGTCCTTCCTGGTGAAGGCTTTCCGGTACGTCCTCCTCCCCTCTGCGCCCATCCAACGCCATGCACGCCCAGTGCCTGCAGCGTCGGTGTAGTTGGCTGCCTGTCTCGGGTATGCTAGTATCTTTGGCCGCAAGCGCCATTGAATCTTCACGTGCGAAGACAGATGCTGCCGCCCGTCCAGCCTGCTTTTTACACCTGCGACCCTTCCTTTCTCCAGCCCACCTTTGTTTCCCCTCCTTCGTACAACGACATTCTTTGCCAGTGTGAGCCAGTCTGCCTTGCTAACATGGCATCACCTAGATCCTTACTCGCCACTTGGCACCGCGAAAGCTCTAGTATTCACATTTCAAGGGAGCCAAAGAGGCCTAATGCACATTTCTGGCCGCGACGGAAGTTGAACGAACCCTCGCCAGACCAATCAACCTTTTCGATTCGATCAATGCTTACGCCTCTCTCACCCTCAGCAAACATGTCGCAAACAGAGGACCGAGCAAAGCAATTGCCTCAGCCGGCCACATACGCCGCGCCGGCCGATCTTCCAGCTAGGCCGCCGTATGACAAGGTCTTCAGCAAATTCCACCAGCATACTTTGAGCGATTCGACAAATACGACAGGATCGAACGAATCGTCTCCCACTACCACAATCTCGACGGTCGACGACTCGAGCGCGACGGAGCCTTCGCCTGGCTCATCACCCGAGTCACCGCCTCCCACCACTTTTGCGGTCGGTATGTTACGGCCACGGACGTCAGATGATTCTCGGAATCCATTCTTCGAGCTCCAGAAACAACCGCCGCCCAAGAAAGGCCGCAATCTCAAGAATCTGGCCGTCAACACATCACGGCATGCCCCACGAGCGGCTTCCACCACATGTCTCCCTCTCCGTCCTCCAGCTGACGCTAATGCTTCAATATTATCACCGTCCTTTGTCAAGCCACCTACGCCGCCTCGAAGAAAGCCGGCTAATCTTGGTTTGACAATATTAACTCCCGGAGGCACCAAGCCACCGCCTCAGCAAGTGAAGCTTGCTATCCCACCCACTCCCGGCTTCGGCAGGCCTGCAACACTAAGACACTTCCAATCATCTCCCTCATTACCTCTGGTAACAGGTCTCGGATTACCACGTAGCCATCATCACCACGAGTATCAAAAACAGCAAGCGCTCGAAACGATCTTCTCTCCCATTGAACGTGACGGGCGGCCTCAGATTGAAGAGGAAGAAGAGGAGGAGCAGAATTTTGACATTCCTCTGTCGCGGGAAGAGAAGCCCGAAGCTTATCCCGATGGACCCGTATGCGTTTACGACCCTCACATTGACCTCTATCTGGAGCCGACAGCAGAGCAGGCACGGGAGTATGACGTGATCATGAATGTTGCCAGTGAAGTGCGAAATCCCTTTACTGCACACATTGAATCGACGACTCCTGCGGAACCGGATCTTCGTCTAGATGGAGGCGGAGGCATTCAATATGCGCCCAAGAGAGACCGTCTTGCAGCAACGGATGGCAACAGTGGGACTTCATCGGGACCAGATGCTTCCCCAGCCACACCTAAAGCTACACCATTGGAGGCGACATTCCCAAAGCTTGCACTTTCCGACGAGCCACAAAAAGACCCCGAGTATATACACATTCCATGGGAGCACAACAGCGATATCGTACCGGACCTCTTACGGTTGGTGAAGCTGATTGACGAGAAGGTCAGCCAGGGCAAGCGGGTACTGGTACACTGTCAATGTGGCGTCAGTAGATCGGCGAGTCTCGTGGTCGCGTACGGACTGTACAAGGACCCTTCGATGAGCGTGCAGGAGGCCTACGATGCCGTGAAGAAGAGGAGCAAATGGATAGGACCCAACATGAACCTGATCATGCAGCTGCAGGAATTCCGATCAAGTCTCGCTCGAGGTGGAGTCTTGTCCGGGAACCGCGGTCTCAGTCCCCTCACGCCAAGCTCGGCGTTCAGTGAATGGAGAGGACCGTTCTCGAATGATTCGTCCTCGGTCAAGAACGTACCACTGTCTGCAGCGGCTGTGCCCTCCACCAAGGCCGCCACGGAAGGCGACGCACCGGCTATAAGTCCTGGACCTTCCTCGGCGCCTTCTGGGGTCGCGTGGCCGGTTGAGGACAAGCAGAGGAGTCGCACGGTCAGTGCCGCGAAGCCTGCGACTGCATACGTCGACCCGTCTGGTCATGTTGTGCCTGTGTTGAAGATCATCGAGGTCGACGCGAGCAATCCTCGGTTGGCCCCAATCCGGCGGTCCATATCAGGAGACGTTGTTCCGGAACCCTCTCGGGAGCCAACACCCACGCCTCCCCGGGCGACCGAATTCGCCATGGCGCCGCTGCAGCCGTCGGAGGAGGTTGAATCGTCGGATAGCTTTGGGATCATGTCGCCGACGTCTACAGAGTACACGTCGAATCCGTTCAGCAGGTCAGCGCTGTTGGCGACTCTAGGCATGGGATCGATGCGGGCCGACGAGGAGACTCCACGACGATCAATATCATTACGAAACCGAGAGCGACAACAAGTACAACAGCAGCAGCAGCAGCAGCAGCAGACCCAAGGCCAAAAGAGCCTTGGAGCTCAGCCTGCTCCGAGACTCCGCGGCAAGATCTCGTCGCCTACATTACGCGAGCAGCAACAGCTCCAGCATCTACAGGCCCAAATCGAAGCCACATTACCCGTGCGCCACGCTCACGCTCCCGCTACGCAATACGACAAGGATCTTGTCGTCGTCGACGACGCATTGATGTCGCCTCGTGCCACGGAGTTCACGAGCAATCCTTTTGCCCTCGCGCTCTCCATCCCGGCCGCGGCGGCGACAACGGCGGCGACAAGCCCGGGAACCGACGACTCTCTGAGGATTTCCGACGTGGACCCCCGGAGTCCCGCGCACAAGGGCGCAAGTCCTATCACGAGGAACATCATGGACGTGTTATGATCTTTTGTTGTTGCTTCGCCTTTTTTTCGGCTTGTTGCCGGCCGGGGAAGGGGGAGCGACTTCCCATGCTCTCTCTCCTTGTCCAAGGATGGATGTAACGTTACACCTGCCAATGGTTTTTTCTTAATTAACAAGCATGGCGTACGCGCGTGAAATATGTCATGCATGACGAGAAGGGAAAGGAAAAGGGGGGCGAAAAGTACATGGAGGAGGACGGGAGGAGGACGGGGGAGGACGGGAGAGGGAGAAGATCCTCCGGCGTTTTCCCCCATGGCGCGGGAGAGAGAGAGAGAGAAGGAGAGAAGGAGAGAGAGATGAGAGAGAGCATTGCACCCGGCCGGCCGGCTGGTTGGTTGGTTCTTTTTTGGTTCTTTTTTGGTGTTTTTATACCCACCTGCACTGCAACTCCTCTTTTTATTGATGAGATTTGGTGATGGTGATGGAGAAGGACGGAAGGAAGAAAAGGGAAGAAAGGAGGTGTGGGAGGCGTGGGAAAAAGGTGGGATTCACGCAGTTTTTTAACGATGAACCCATCCATCCACTTTACTAGGCAACTTGGGCTCTTTTTTCCCCCGGGTCGGGTCGAGTCGAGTCGAGTCGAGTCGGAGTGCATGATGCATGATGAGCTGAGCAGCAGCAGCAGCAGCACGGTGTAGCTCTCTGTGTTTTGGGGTGAGGTGGTGTAAGAATAGAGAGAAGAAAATCCCCTCCTGTTGTTGGTGGTGGTGGTGGTGGTGGTGGTGGGGTGTGAAAAAAATGGCAAAATGGCAAAATGGCTATTGATCTATCTATCTATCTATCTATCTATCTATTGGCTATATTTTGGTATTGTGAATGTAATGCAATGGATGGAGAGAGAGAGAGAGAGAGAGAGAGAGAGAGAGAGAGAGAGAGAGAGAGAGAGAGAGAGAGAGAGAGAGAGAGAGAGATTGTGTGCGAGAGAGGTAACGTTGACGTTGACGTAGCAAGTCAAGTCTTTTTTCCATCAATGATATGCGCTGAACTGAACGGTCTGGTCTGGTCTGGTCTGGTCTGGTCTGTCCGCATCACGTCTGAAGAGTTAAGTCTAGTCTAGTCTAGTCTAGCTTAATTAGCCTCGCTGACCTTTTCTTTTGATGATGAATTCCACCAACTCGTCGTCCATGGGATTCAGAATACGATTTCCTCAGCACTCCAATCAATCAAGCATGAGCCCCCTCCCCGATCTGCCAACTCGTCAGATCCTCCCGGACATCCATCTCGTCCAATTCCCCCGCGTCGTGCCTCTGCTTCCCCATCCTCCCAAGCCTGGAACGCGAAAATGCATTCTTCTGATGATGACGTCCATTTCCATGTGCATGTGCATGTCCGTGTCTTTCCTTCTCGCCGTCGGGATTCGGTGTACTAGCTCCACTCCCCCCACCACCAACAGTGTCCAATTCACTCTGCTGCTGCTGTTGCGGTGGTGGCTTCCCACTCAGCGGCTTCCCGCTCTTGCCCCACCCATCCCCGCCGGCAAAGATATCCTCGATACACTCATCCGCGCGCAACTCGCCCGGCTGACTGGCCCAGAAAGCGGCCAAGGTACGTCGATACATGTCCTGCATCTCGCCCATTTCGCGGTTCGTGCTGCTGAAGTGGGGGAGGTCCTGTTGCGAGGCGTCTTCGCCGTCGAAATTCGGGTGGAGATGCTGATGATGAGGATGATGGTGAGGGGCACCGCCGCCAGCTGAAGGAGGAGGAGGAGGAGGAGGAGCAGGAGGAGCAGGATTGCCCACCGCCGCGGGTTCCGAAGAAGAGAGGATCCCGGCTATACCGCCAAAGACCGGGGCGGCGCGCAGGGGAGGCGCCATGTAGTCCCTGGTGCCTTCGAGGTGGCGCATGGACAGGGTGAGTTTGAGGGTACTGTTGATCTTGCTGTCCTGCATGAGATATCGCCTCGTGACGCCTCCTCCCCCTCCTCCTTCTGCAGCAGTAGGAACATCATGCACCTCCACATACTCGGCCAGATTCAACGCGACGTGTCCCAGCACGATGCGCTCCCCGCGGCCCCCGGCGCTGTACTCCTGCAACACCTCGAATTCCACCCGGCACTCCTGCAGCAGGTCGCCCTTGCCCACGGTGAGGCGCACGGGCACGCGCTTGGTGTAGGCGTACTGGACGCGATGGTCGCGGATGGGCGCTTTGGCCGTGCGCCCGCGGTGCTCGGCCGCCGTGGAGGCGGGCAGGTGCCATTTGATGAAGGAGGTGCCGGAGACGAGGGGCACGTTGTTGAGGTCGTGGATGTGCAGGTGGAATTCGAAGCGGATGCGGCGGGATTTGGAGATGAAGGCGGTGGACATTTCCGTGGCTGCGGGGCGGTGGTGGCGGAGGTGGGGTTTGCTGTGCAAGCAGAAGCGAGGCTGTTAGCTGGGCGCTGCTGGCGGTGGCATGTCGCTCTGGTGTTGTTGTCGTCTTCGTCGTCGTGGTTGTGGTTGTTGTGGATGTGGGAGACCCATGACGTTGTTGTTGTTGTCTGTTGTTGGTCGTTGGGGTGTGGGTGTGGAAGCGAGGAGGAAAGGCGGCATGTTCGGATGCGGAAAACGCAAGCGGAGGAAGGAAGCATGTGAAGGAGAAAAACATCCTGGCGAACCATGGAGCAAGTGTACAGTACATGTACTTACCCGCCCTTGGTGTCCTCATCGTCATGATGGTGCCGTCCAGAGAACCCGAAATGCATCTTCGCGTGATAATGACTTGGAGCACTCCCTCTGAGCGAGCATGTACATCTTCGCACAACAATTCCAGCTCAAGAGTCTATGTAGCAAACACGACGAGAAAATATATTACTCAATAGCGGTCAAGACACCGCCAGATGATGATCCAAGAACTAATACTTTCAAGGTCTAGCCCATCCCGAGAGCTCCGGGACCAAAAGAGAAGAGGGGTTCGGAGTGCGGTTGGTCAACACTCAGAACTAGAAGAAACGTTAGTGTATTCTCTCAGTAGCGCCCTACTATGAAGTGATATATAACAATTCGTAGATTTTGTTCGTGTTGTTGATTAGTGGATGAAATGCTACCAAGATCAAGGTGAAATCAAAGGCAGTCCATAGCCAAAAAGGTAGATCTGCTGCGTGGATAGACATAACTACCCTTACGATGGTACTCCCGATTTCTGGCCTTGACCCAGCAATAGCGATCAAGCAAAGCCATGGTAGATTGGAGGAGGTTACTGATTGGAAGTGCGACAAGCCCAATGCATTCCCAATGGTCTGGGAACAGCACCGCCTACGTCGTATATTCGTCGACGCCTCCGTAGAAGCAGAAAAGCTGTTTGGATAGAGAACATTCGGTGCTCGTCTCGCACCAATCGATGATTCTATTCATTTGTAGTGTCAGTATACCTTTGAATCACTTCTACGAGCTGCTCATGGCATCCGCAATGCGCAACTGGGTAGTCAACATCGAGCGGATGCAAGACGGTAATGAGAGAACTCATCCGTGAAATTTTCGTCGAAGTCAAGGTTCGCTTGCGGCGGTGTCCTCGAAGGTTCTTCAATGAGACTTCGATGATCTCGCTGCTCGCGGTCGAGGGTCTGAGGGAAGGCTATGGCGGTCGACTATACTCGACGAGACCATCACGAGTGCCCGGATTATGCCGTGTCGAAGGGAAAGGGTCCCGGTGAAGTTGCATTCACCAGCTACATTGATGCTTGCGAGTCGCTGGTGATCGGTCCAAAACAACGCTCAGAATGATCGGCGTCCACGGATGGCGATTGGATATGCATTCTTCCGGCTTTTGGGAAAGCAACAGGACAGATCGGTCAATGAAAGTCTTCTATTCGTGTGGGCGAAGGATGTGAAAGTAAGTCCTCAAGGACGTTCCGTCTGGACGCTTCAATGACATATGGGATCGTCAATATGTCGGGGAGTCGGTGGTCCAGGGATGGGCATTCGATACGGGATCGACCGACGTTCTGCGAACGATTACGGGTCCATAGATCTGTGTCGATCCCTCCATCATCCCTGCTGCCCGGTCGGTTGGGCAGTGCGTGGTTGCTGCATATGCGTCTGCGAACGTGGATGGCGGGGCGGACCGCGCTCGATGACATGATGGTGTGAAAGGGCGTGTAAGAAGTGGCAGGCCAAACCCAGCTCACGTCAGGCCTCGTGACGTCGACGCAGCATGGGTTCATTCGATGTGTAGATGCACATCATGATGGCATCGTGTGTGTGGCAGGGTGACAAGAATCGCGCGCGCTGGAGGAAGTCCGGCTTTCAAGGAATTGCTGTTGCTCACCTTCCGACAGAGCCGGGCTCGGCAATGGAGATGCTGTGTGATTAGTGTGATATGGAGATGCTATACCCGTTGTCCTCGACGTTGCAGTGGTGTTGTAAGCCACAACGTGATAAGCGAGGCGAAGAGCATGGTTGTCTTGATCATGGACAGGAGAATGCCAAGTCTCCCGAATGCAGTAGGTGTGGCAAGTGGCTACTACACTACACACTAGAGAAGCTGTGGGGAAGATGCTCGTGGCGATCGCTTAGCTCGGCCATGAGTACGGGCTCGCGGAGGCTGACCGGGGCAGTGGGTTTCCATATGGATACAGGAAAGCGAGTGGCGGTCCTTGCGACTCAGGCGGAGCACAGCGTGAAAGTCATCTTGCTGATGATGTGAGGCGTGATCCGAGAAGATGATTTGTAAGAGGTGGCCGGGGTCGAGGATTCGTGGTCGAGCGGGAGGGATGTTAGATGGATGGGAGTCGTCTCAGCAGGCGATATGGTCGACAAGATGGCCAGCAGCAGGAGTGCAAGGCGGTGGCTTCGAGACAAATGCGCATTGTCTCGCGCATGCGAGGTCTTGTGTATTGTGGAAGCTCTTCACACTTGGTGGCTGCGCGTGTGTACCATTCCAGATCTTGTCTTGCTCGTGAGCCGCGGTCCCGGGCTGCTCAGCGCACGCCACGGGCAGATCCCTGCCCTTTCGCCGACGGGAGCGCGAGCGGACGTGATCGACGCATGCATCTCATTGGTACGGGCGGGCCCTGGAGCTGTCGGCTGGAGCATCTGGGCTCGCGCAGCCGACTTCACCACTTCAGCCGCTCGCTCTCTCCAGCCAGTCCTTCATGTCGGGTACTGCAGGCAAGAACACTGGGCGGAAGGGATACCTACTGAGCGTGGAGATATGGCCTCGGATCGAGCATCTGCGAGTGAGGATCTGCCACGATACCTAAGGTAGGTAGCACCGATGATGGATGGTGGGTGGAATGGAAAGGGAAGGAGAAGAAGGAGCGAGAGAGCAGATGGGCAACGGTTCCATGTGTGCCATGTATGGATAGCTTAGTAGCGTGGCGCCTTCCTTCCGGAGACATTATTCATCGATGACCCTCCCAGTCGCCGTTGCAGACGCCAAGCCATTATCTGATCTGCCAGTGACTGCGCTCGGCACTCGAAGCGAAACAGCAGGCGCGACCGTCTCGGAGTGCAAGAGCAGTGCAATTGCCGGATGCGTTGTCCTTCGCGAATGGAAGGGACGAAGGGGACGACGTGGACGAGGCAGTCCCGTCCGGTCCGTGCAGGTGGTTGCCACGCGTGCGCATGTGGATGTCTTGCTCCATCCGAACACAGAACACCCACCAAACCGAACGGGTTTAGACTTAGGAGATAAGGTTTGGCTGGCATAGGTTAGGTTCGCCAGTGCGCACTCGGCCTAGTCGCCAATGCGCACTCGGCCTAGCACGTCTCTCGAGTCTAGGTAGGGGCGACTGCAGTGCATGGGATAAAAAGGTTAAAGGAAGGATGTGAGCTGCCATGACCGACCCTCTGCACCGCACCAGCGCCGCGAAACCCGTCCGGCATCCGTTCAGCTGCATTCAACACTAATACTACCAAGTACTGCTGCTCACACCTACCCGTCCGTCCAGCTATTTCATCTCCTCCCTCCGACCCCGTCACGCCCAGAGCCACACTCGCCTGCCCTCGGCCATCGTCCATCGTCCATCGCTGTTTCCGTAGCATCTCCCTCATGTACAACTCCGTCTTCGCCTGAGCCTGCAGAACTTCACCCTACAGCAACGCTCCCCACCTCCTGTGGACCTCGTCATCTACCGTGACTTGCTGGATACGGCTGGTCGGCTTGTTGTGCTCCTTTCACACTCGTACCTTAGTCTTCTTCCTTCAGGCCGGCGTGTCGTCTTCTCTCCGCCCAAGTCTCGAGCACATCGCACATCGCCACCATGGTCTACTCATTATCCTACCGGCGGCCCTCGCATACCAATTCCTCCAACGACTCTCTCGACGGCGACGAGAAGCAGAAGTCGATCAACGAGTCCATCCAGTCGTGTGGCTCGTGCATGAGCAATGGAATTCCGCCCCCCTTGGCCTTCGATCGAATCATCGATGGAGGAACCTGTCCAGTGCGTCGGAAGCGAGTCCATGTCTTTCATGCCAATCGACTAACGAGCAGAACAGCCCGTCACCGTCCGAGACTTCATGAACTACCTCAAGTACATCGAATACGCAGCAGAAAACCTCCAGTTCTTCCTATGGTATCGTGCTTACGCCGCCCGGTGGGAGAGTCTCCGAGAGAGCGAGAAGACTCTTGCGCCAGAATGGACCTCGGCTCTCGCCGATGCAGACACCTACGGAGGCCCTCCCTCGCGACCGAAGAGGCTCCCTCCTCCCATCGCTGAAGTGTTGAAGGACACAGACTTTGCCGGCAAACCCAAGATGCCCGTCGACCGAGCCGATCCCTTCCATACACCGCTCAAGTCTGGCTCCTTCGATGAGAAGCGCGACTTTGTACCAGATTATGCTTCTTCCATCGGAGACGACCGGACCCTGCTCAGCAGCACAGGCAGCAGTCATAAGGTCGCCGCCGAGCAAGCGTTCGAGGACGCCGGCATGAAATGGAAGCCATGTACGCAGTACCACAGCATTTTCCGGAGTACGGAACACGAAGCTGACAGTCGCAGTCTCCACGCAACCCTACCGTGATGAGGTATCGCGCATCATCAGCATCTACATCGCCGAAGGGGCTCCGCGAGAGCTCAACCTGTCTTCCAAGGAACGTCAAGCCGTGCTCCACGCTTTGCAGCACACCACCCATCCCACAGCCTTCAGAACCATCATCACCCCCGTCGAGTACTCCCTGCGAAAGCAAGCACATCCCAACTTCATCCGGTGGACCATTTGCAATGGCAACCGTCCTCGCGTCGTTTTTGCAAGAGGGCTCGGCGTGGGTGGCATCCTCGTGGGATTCGTGGCCGACTTGCTCCTCACCCTCAGCCACGCCGGTCGTGCTTGGAGAGTGCTTCCAGTCATTGCCTGGTTTATCGGCATTGCGACTCTCGTGGCGGCCTGGAAGGGCATGTGCGTGGTTCTGCACGGCCTCCATCACCGCCATCTGAGACCGTGGGAGCTCTTCACCGACGAGGCCGAAGAAGTGCCCGATGAGAAATTCATGTCTTCCGAGGCTCTGCTCTCCGGCGAGCAGAATTCCTTCGAAGAGGAGCCGTGGGTGCCGCGCTACAAGAAGCGCAACATGCTCCGGAAAGTCTTTGATCGCGAAATCTGGGTCCAGGAGCCCGCTCTGCGGCAGATTCAGGACACCATCTTCCTCCAGGCGATCCTCTCTTCTCTGCTCGTGTCCTGCGTCGTGGTCGGCATCTTCTGCGCCGTTCCTCACGGAAATCTGTTTTGATTGAATCACGGGAGGGAGGTTGGAAGAGCAAAGACGCGTTCGAGGTGTATGTATGTATAGATGACGTTCGGCGCTGTCGGGGACTGTGGGCGTGCAATAATGGCGACTTGGGAACGGAACAGAGGCGTTTGAATGAACAACTGGCGGACCGCTAATACCCTATTGCTGCTCATATCTGTGTTGCCGCAAAAGGGGGCGCGGAAAACGATGTCATGGAATGTTTGGAGGGAGGACTTCTTTCGCTTTTGAGAGCAAAATCTGTGCAATGCAATGTACGCGCGCCCTATTCACTCACGGTTTCCATGGCGAAATGCTTTGTTGTCCTATTTTGAGACGGAATGATCTTCTCGCTGTGTCTTACCGTTGCAGATGCTTGTCGTTCTCACACGCGCCAAAAGTTGGAAGTCTTTGGAATTCGGCCCTCGTTTCTGTCACCAAGTATAGATAGCTTTACGCTAGGGACGAAATCGGTAGAGTTCTAGAAGGATTTCTCAGGGATTTCTATCTCCACCCACGCACGCAACGCAACGCACGCACAAGCTTCCGAGCTTGGTTGACCACGAGTCCGATGCAGGAACGAGCTGCTCCGACCGAGATTCTCATTGGAGGAGGAGGTGTCTTCTCGTCCGGATTGTATTAATGTCTCCGAAATAGTACAGGCTGCGTATTAAGTTATTCATTCTCGTGCCATTCTTTGTCGCGACGCGCTGTTCATGATAATAAATAAGGTATAATAAGGGGGACGTGTTTTCGACGTTCGTGTTGCTCACCTTGAAGGAAGGAAGGACCCTTGTTTCACCTATCTCTATCTCTACCTGAACCTCCAAGATTGCTCCCTCCCTCTCTTATATTATTCTCCCCAGAAATATCTGTCTGGCCAGGCAGGCAATCTCTCTTCCTCCTCCTCACTCCTCATCCTCACTCCTTATACACGCAACGAGAAAAAAAAAACCATGGCCCACCAACCAAACGGCAACAACAACCCCCCTCCCGTCCCCACCTCCGACGACGCCCTCTTCTCCTCCACCCTCATCTCGCCGCAAGTCACATCCGCCCTGCCCGAGGGGTATACGATCCGGCCACTGCAACGCACAGATTTCGCGCATGGCTTCCTCGACGTGCTCCGCGTGCTGACGCACGTGGGGGACGTGCAGCAGGCGGAATTCGAGGCGCGGTTCGATGAGATGCGAGGCGGGGGCTCGGGCTTGGGTGGGTATCATGTGCTGGTGATTCTGGATGGGGAGGGCAAGATTGTGGGTACGGGGGCGTTGATTGTGGAGAGGAAATTGTAGGCGTCTCCCTCTTCCCTACCTCAAGGAGTGATTTGCTAATGTTGATTCTTTCTGGAATTTACAGCATCCACCATCTCGGCCTAGTGGGCCACATCGAAGACATCGCGGTCGCCAAGGACCAGCAGGGCAAGAAGTTGGGCCTGCGCATCATCCAGGCGTTGGATTTCGTGGCGGAGAAGGTGGGGTGTTACAAGACGATTCTGGACTGCTCCGAGGCGAACGAGGGGTTCTATGTCAAGTGTGGGTTTAAGCGGGCCGGGTTGGAGATGGCGCATTATTATGAGAGGGGGGCGGCTTGAGGGCATGGCATGGCATGGCATGGGGATTGGAGGGAGTGGGTGAGGGGGGGAGTTGGCGGACTTTTGGGAAGGGGAAGAGGAAGAGGAAGAGGAAGAGGAAGAGGAAGAGGAAGAGGAAGAGGAAGAGGAAGAGGAAGAGGAAGAGGAAGAGGAAGAGGAAGAGGAAGAGGAAGAGGAAGAGGAAGAGGAAGAGGAAGAGGAAGAGGAAGAGGAAGAGGAAGAGGAAGAGGAAGAGGAAGAGGAAGAGGAAGAGGAAGAGGAAGAGGAAGAGGAAGAGGAAGAGGAAGAGGAAGAGGAAGAGGAAGAGGAAGAGGGAGGGTTAGAGGAGGGCATATGCTCAGGAGAACAGGACATGATGTTGCTGGGACAGTGTGCTCTGCAGATGTCGGGAGGAGGGTGTGTTCAGTGCCAGGCTGAATGGGAGGGAGGGAGGTAGGCGTTTTGGGGGTAAAGGAGGATGCCTTGCGGCGGCAATGATATGAAGATATGAATGAAGGAGCTCTTATCCGGCGAGGCTCAGAATTAGATAGATCAAGTCATATCCTCGAAAGAAGTCGTGCAAGAACAGCATACCTTATGTTGCCGGTTGTTGCTGCGAATGATGGCCCCTCTTCACACTGCGTGATGCTCCGGGGATGCCTCCGGCTGCCAAGAGCAGCAACCTTCGAAGCCCAGAGTCGTCTTGCGCTTGACAACAACTCACACCATCAAAGGATACATGTACCATTCCTGAGCGTGAGCAAGACTACTGGCTTCCAAGACGAGTGTAGATGGCTGCCACATGTGCGAATGGAAGTGACAAGAAACCCTCAAAGCCCAATCAATGATTCGGCCGAATCGAAGAAGTCGAGAGCAAAAGAATCCAAACCCCAGAACGGAACCGACGCCTCTGCTGCGAAAAGGCCAGCCTTCGAGCCCAAGGACCGCTCACACATCCAGCTCCAGACGCAAACACCGGACGAATTATGGCTGGCCGTACTGGAATCTCCCTGCACATTTCCCACCGACATCTACCATACGGTGATGCTCAATCTCATCAAGAACCCCAACATCACGTCGAGTCATCTCTTCCGGGCGGACATTTTCTACGACAGTGAGAAGGACCATCGCTTTAGGCCGGAGGAGGATTCGGATCCGTACCAGGGCTTTGCGAAGCACATGAAGGAGGAGTACCGTCCGCGGAGAGCGAGATGGCCGGGCTTCCAGCTGGAGAGGACGATGGTGAGACAGTTGATTCCGAGGAATCCGCAGTTGGACAAGTCGCTGGTGCAGACTTGTCACTTTTTCAGGAGGCAATATGGCGGGGATCGAGAGGAAAGCCTGGTTGTCTACATGCCACACGTGGATAAGCCGGAAGAAGTACCCTTCTACCATCCCACAGTCTCCCAACTGGCCTTCCTCCATACCTGGCGTGCAGCACCCCACCGCCCCAGCACCCTCACGCTCCTCTACCGCGGCTTCGATTCCCTCCCCATCTCCTTCTCCTCCCCCAAACTCGCCCGCACCGCCCTCCGACTCCTCCAGACCATTCACAAACACGGCCAGGGCCAACTCCTCGGCTACGAAAAGCGAGTCCACCACGACCGCATCATCCCCCAGAAACGCTACCAGGACACCTACACGCGCCTGAAAGCCAAATACGGACGACAGATTTCCGAGCAGTGGGTCGAAGTGACGGATCCGGGCAAGCACGTCTTTGAGGATCTGGGCATTGCGGCGTTCCTGATCGAGCTCTGGAGGGAGATGTACGAGCTGCCACCGGGCACGACAGCAGGAGCAGAAGACGAAGACGAAGACGAACAGCAGCCGTCCGAAAAGGAGGCTACGGATGGTAGGAGAAAAAATCCTCCCTTCCCGGGCTTCATCGATATCGGCTGCGGCAACGGAATCCTCGTGCACGTCCTACTCTCCGAAAACTTCTCCCCCGGCAGCGGTTTCGACGCCCGCGAACGTAAAACCTGGTCCATCTTCCCCGAAACCGTCCGATCCAGACTCGAGTCGAAAATTCTCGTGCCCGAGATCTTCTCCTCTTCTTCTTCTTCAGATTTCCTCGTGCGAACCTTTCCACCCGGAATCTTCATCATCTCCAACCACGCCGATGAATTGACACCCTGGACACCCCTCCTCGCCGCTCTGAATGCTTCCGCTTTCATCGCGATCCCATGCTGTAGTCACGATCTCTCTGGAGCGAGATTTCGCGCTCCGCTGACGACGAAAGCCGCCTCTTCTGATTCTTCTCCTTCCTCCGATTCTTCTCCCATCGCTAGACTCCCCCAACAAGAACCACCACCTCAAGAACCTCAATCTCAGAGTAATTCCAAGCCACAACAACAACAAGCAGCAGAAACAGGCTCCCTACTAGCCCCGAAGCCGCCGCCGCCGCCGCCGCCGCAGCAAAGAAAGAAACCTCCAACCCCCTCCGCCTACGCGACCCTCTGCTCCTACATCGCCAGCCTAGCGACAGAAGTAGGTTTCGCGCCGGAGACGGAGATTCTGCGGATTCCGAGTACGCGGAATACGTGCATCATCGGGCGGAGGAGGAGGGGGGAGGCGATGGAAAATGGGATGAAGGAGGAGGAGAAGTTGGAAAGGAGGACGAGGGTGGTGACGGAGCTGGTGGAGAGGGAATTGAAACGGGATGTGGAAGTGGTGGGGCGGGAATGGGTTGCGAGGGCGGAGAGGTTGAGGGGGAAACCGGGGAGTGGACATTAGAGCGAAGTATTTTATGGGATCAATTGATGGGTGGTTGGGATGTTGGGTGGATGGATGGATGGATGGATGGACGGATGGATGGATGGATGGATGGATGGATGGATGGACGGATGGACGGATGAATGGAGACCTGGTGGGTGCGGTGAGGATGTCCATGATTGAAGGGAGGATATCAATCACCAAGTGGCCTTTTTTGCTTATATGAGAGCGAATACCATTCCCATGGCCCCCCTTCCAGCCAATCTCGATGCTGTCCGCTTGAACGCTCTAATATGATCCAGCCCGCTAGATTTTTTCTATTTCTTTTTCTTCCGCTTCTCATCTGACCGCCTTCTTACTCCCGCCCATATCCAAGGAACTGAGCCACCACATGAAAGCAAACTGCACCACGTAGCTGTAGATGAAGAGGAATTGCGTGCGGCGCGAACGCTGCGAGCGGGCGATGGTCTGCATCGTGGGGTTCCCCGGGGCGTTGTCCGATGGGAGGAGGACGTATTTGAGAGAGCGGAGCTGTTTTTATCACACAGGGTTAGCTGCTGCTGCTGCTGCTGCTGCTGTGGGGGGTTCTCCTCCTGATATCATATATCCGGAGTCTTCTTACCAGGAAGAAAGCATTCGCCATGAAAGCGTAGGCAAACACTGCCCATCCTACCCAACCGCCCGTGCCCTTGCCGCTATTCAGGATTGCCGCAATGGCGATGGTGACAATCACGCCGACGAATTTGTACCCGCTGTACGCGATCAAGTCGTAGATTTGACTCTCGCTGCTGATGTTCAGGAGATACCGGCCGAGCCACAAGACGACGAGTTCCAGGATGATGATGACGCTCGCGTTGGAGAAGGTGATGCCGAGGAGTTGGGGCTCGAATTTGCCGTTGAGGCCCGCGATCAGGGTGGAGAGGAGGATGTAGGTGACAAAGGCCATGAGGGGGATGTACATGTCGGGGGAATTGACGTCTTCGCGCGGGGGGAGGAATTCCATGGCGCCTTGGCCGTCGTTGCTGCGGGTGGACTGGCGGCTCCAGGGGCGATGGCGCCAGGGGAAGAGGACAATGAGGAGTTTGTTGAGGACGTAGGCGTTGGAGACGTTGAAGTAGTGCTTGAGGGCCGAGACGTTGACGTAGCGATTGAACTGTGGGAATCGTCGATATCAGCATGGATGCCTTTCGGATCAAGAGGCGACGAAGCGCGACTTACGTTCTGTTCCATGTATTGCTGTCCCGCATCCACCGCGCTCTTGCCGATTTGGAAGCCCATCTGGGCTGTGGGATCATTGATGATGCCTCCGAACGCCGGATGCATATAGTTGTTTGGCTGGCCCTGCGGCGGGCTCTGTCCATATTCGTAGCCCCCTGCTTGGCCATTCTGTGAAGTTGGTGGTGGAGGAGATCGTAGTTGAGGCACGGTCGAGACGTGTTGGGGCACGGGATGGTGAAGCGGAGGAGAGTTGGCCGGAGGCACCGCATATGCCGGCCGCTGCATCTTTCCTGAACGAGTCTCTCTGTGTTCGTCGGGCGAGGGTAGAGGCGGTACAGTGTTGGCGTGCAAGAGGTCGGGGTGTTTGACATGTGATAGAGCAGAGGGAGGACAAGTTTCCCGCTTCACCGCGTGCCCAAAGTGGAAGCTCGAGTTCAGGGCTCAACTTTCTGCCGGGGTGAAGTCATTTCGAGATCTCCACCATGTACATGTGCTCGAGAGGTACACCTCGATTCTCACCTTCTACACTTCACGCCGACACTTCGCGCTTGAGGCGCATTCCTTCCGACGATGCTGGACGCCTTTGAAATTGTGACGACTTCGGGTATCGTCATCTGGCGCAAGCACTTCACTCCTCTGTCCTCGAATGTGATCAACAGTCTCATCACAGATGTCTTTATCGAAGAACGGCAGAAACCTCCGGCGGTCGAGGGAGCTCCCGGCCCGGCATACAGAAAGGACAAATATACGTTGAAGTATGCGACAGCGAAAGATGTTGGGTTGATATTTGTGGTGGGTAAGAGGTAGGATGGATAGCGACTGCGAGGCTGGTGGGCTGATGGTTCTGCAGGCTGTGTATCAATCGCTACTACATCTCTCCTGGGTGGATAATCTTCTGACGGCCGTGAGAGGACTGTTCACAAAGCAGTACGGAAGTGAACTACGAAAGCCGGACACCACGACCATCAACTGCAAAGGCTTCGACCAGACCTTCGATGCGCTGGTGAGGAAGCTAGATACGGGCAGTACAAGGCGCAGACCCAGCGAGCCAGATTCGGAGAGCCAAGTGGAGCTCACACCTCCCTCGAGTTCGGCTTCAGCAACAGACGATGTCCCCGGAGACGAACCTCCGCCTCCGCCAATCGCACAATTCAAGAAGCCCGCCATACCTCGAAAAGACGCAGTTGTCGACGACAACACAAGCACCGATGTCACACCCGTAGCGACTCCGGACACTTCAAGACCGGCGACACCTCTTCATGCGCCGTCGCATTTGCTGGCTGCGAAGGCAGGACCCGGCAAGCAGTCGCGCAGAGCGCGGAAGGCTGGGAATGCAGCCTTTGCGAGCTCGGCGCCTGCATCTTCTGGGGACGAAAGCCCGGCGAGGTCTGCGAAGAGCGGCAAGAGCAATGTCAAGTCAAAAAGAAGATGGGACGTGGACGGAATGGCTGTTGAAGGAGACGACGATGTGGTATTGGATTATAGCGCAGCTGCGCCTTCGTCAGCAGCAGACGAGGAGCAGCTAGACGTAGATGAGGTCAAGACGGACCAGATGGGCAACAGAACAGGTAAGGGGCAATTTGTTCTGAAAGATCTCGATGACGAGGTGGATGCCATTCTTGCAGAGTCGAAGCAGAAGCAGCAAGACTCGGATAGCAAAGAAAGCTCCGGTCTCTTTGGTACGGCCTCGAGCAAGCTCACAGGCCTCTTCCGCAATGTGGTAGGTGGCAAGACGCTGTCGAAAGAGGATCTTCAGCAACCACTGCTTCAAATGCAGAACCACCTGCTAGAGAAGAACGTCGCCAGAGAGGCAGCAGAGCGATTGGCTGCCAGCGTGGAAGCCGACTTGCTGAACCAAAGGACGGCATCGTTCACATCGATCGACAAGACTATCCGGGAGAGCATGTCCAAGGCTCTCACGCGCATCCTCACGCCTACGAGCAGTCTGGATCTATTGCGAAACATCAACAGCACGATATCTGGACCGAACCCGAGGCCATACGTAATCAGCATTGTCGGCGTCAACGGGGTTGGTAAAAGTACCAATCTGAGCAAGATTGCATATTTCTTGCTGCAGAACAAGTTTCGTGTGTTGGTGGTGGCGGCAGACACGTTCCGAAGTGGAGCAGTCGAGCAACTACGAGTACACGTGCGGAACCTGAGCGAGCTCGCGCGGCGAGAGAACGTGGGCCACGTCGAGCTCTTCGAGAAGGGCTATGGGAAGGATGCAGCGACAGTAGCGAGAGATGCGGTGTCGCATGCCACCAACCACGGCAAGGGGGATATGCTGTTCGATGTCGTGTTGATTGATACAGCGGGACGAAGACATAATGACGCCAGGCTCATGAGCAGCTTAACCAAGTTCGGCCAGCTCGCCAACCCGGACAAGATCTTCATGGTCGGCGAGGCGCTGGTCGGCACGGATTCGGTTGCGCAGGCGAGAAATTTTGCCAAAGAGTTTGTTGATACAAAAGGACAGATGAGGAATGGGGGTGTTGGGATGGATGGGTTTATTATTTCGAAGTGCGACACTGTGGGTGACATGGTGGGCACTTTGGTTAGTATGGTGCATGCTACTGGTAAGTCGCCATCCTGCTATTCGAGACGTGGAGGCTTGACGCTAATGACTGATGGATAGGTATACCGGTTGTTTTCCTGGGAGTGGGACAGCACTATGGTGATTTGAGAGGGTTGAATGTTGACTGGGCGGTTTCGAAGCTGATGAAGTAGTAAGAGGCAAATCCAGATGTTCATGCCAGTTTCTTCCACGCTGCAGACCAATTTTCATCGCGTACTCGTTGTCGCGAAGCCTTCACATGCCACTCAATATATATATATATATATGTATATATGGAGATATAGTTTTCGCGGGATGTGTCTCGGCAAGCCGATCGGCGGCAGTCGCGGCCAAGTGCCGAAGGGAAGGCAAGGAAAAGTAATGAGGAAGGAACAACGCATCAATCGCACATGCTGTCCTGTGACGCACTCGGGTGACTTTGCTGCGTCTTCTGTATCGCGTTTGCGGCGCCAACAACGAGCCCTCAGCTCTCATCGTCCACCTCGCCTACCTTACTACCTTACTCTTCCCCTGATGGTTATGGATTACATGCTCCTCTTCTCCGGCTTCGATTTCGTTCGCAATAACCGCTGAGTCTCGTCATCACCGTCATCTCATCATCCACTCCTACTTCAACACCAAGCGCTCGAGCAGACACAGAACGTTCTGGCGCTGTTTGGTGGATCCGAAACGAGAGCGTGCATATTCAGACTACATGCCCCCTGCGACACTTCTCCACCCGCATGCAAACCCGTCGTTGGACGTGTACTTGACGTGCCACATCCAAGATACCTTCTTCGTTCACAGAAGCGAACCCGGGATCAGGATCGCGGAGATTTCATCCACCAGCATCTTCCCAGCCCGACACTTCACAGCTGCATCTGTAGACGGCAGGGCGAAACCTGCAGTGGGGCCCCCCGAAGGCCGACCATGGAGAAGCTCATACTGCGCGGTACGTTTTATGCCGAGTCGCTGCTCCTGCGCCTGCGTCGGAACTGTGGAAGTTTGGTTGCCCTGTTGATCTTGACAGCTCATGGACCCCTGCGCGTCGTTGGGAGCGAGTAATGGGCACACATGCAGCGAGTCACTCGACTAACATGGCTGCCTCACTCCTTTAGGTGTCATGTATGGCGCCGATAAAATTCCCGATTCCTTTTTCGACAGAATTCCCGGCGGCTATTACAGGGCGAAAGAGAAGAAGGACGAAATGACCAAGAAGAAGCGTAGGAGTCGGAGGACGTATAGTGACGACGAGTACGAGGGTGACGAGAGCAGACGTGGGAGAGATGACGGATACCGATCGGAAGGACATGGACGACATGACAAGTCCTACGATGGAAACGACGACGAGCATTACGATAATATCAACCACCGACCTAGGCGGCAGAGGAGTAGGGCGGATATCTACAGAGGTCGTGACGAGCGATCGGATCGTTCTTCCCGTCACAACGAGCCGCGAGTGGACGGAGGATTCTCTTACGGAGGTTCACCTGTCGTTCCACCACCCATGTCTCCAAGTCAAGCGGATGTGGTAGCTGCTGCGACCGCCGCGACCGCGGCGACTGCTGCTGCCGCCGGCCTTGACTCTCCTGAATTTCCTCCATATCCCCAGGCGTCGCCTCTGGAAACCAGCTACTCGCCTCGGCAGTTCTCGCCCCAACCTCAAGCGCCAGCCGGTTACCAGAACCCAGCCCAACACAATCGTTCGACTTCGACCCTCCGCGGCGGCATGGCTACCGGATACGTTCCATACGCAGATATCTACGGAGGACCAACATTCAACCCACCTCCAGCATCCGACATAGGATCCGTCCAACCCAACTACATGAACCAAGTCGCGCCACCAGTCGCGCAGCCACCATATCAGCAAAACCCATTCGCCCAAGAAGCCCCCTTCGGCTTTCAACCAGGCTACGTTCCGGATCCCTATCACAAGCCAGGACACTACGATGAGCGCTACGAGCCAAGCCGTGGCGCAGCGAACGGCTACGATGGATACGACTCTGAAACCGAGCGTGCGCCCTCACGCTCTCGAAGCCGTTCCAGACATCGAAGACATTCTCGCGATAGCTATGATTCGCGAGACCGCAGTAGACGCAGAAACGACAGCCGAGCCCAATTGGCACCGCCGCAGAGAGGTAAGCCTGGGATTCGGAACCATATCGATACATCGGAACGAGGACTTGGATATAGTGCAGTTGGTGCTTTGGCGGGAGGTTTAGTCGGCAGTGAATTTGGCAAGGGAGCGGTTCCTTCTGCTATTGGGGCTGTATTGGGCGCTGTCGGTGCTAACGCTTTTCAAGCTAGGGAGAGGTATGTCGACCCTCGATCCTTGCGAAGCGCGCAGAATCCGTCATTTCGGTCAAGGACTATGCCATCGCCGAACATCAGCAGCAAACAAGGTAAGAATTTAGCTGTTGGTATCGGCTTTTGGCAAGGGAATTGACCAATGAGATGGAACTATGCGCGTGATGATTGCTTTCTTTGTGAATCATGAATGCTAATATTGTGAATTCTTCTTGCAGACGAAAAGAAGGGCAGAGAAGTGAAGGATGGTCGAATTCACAAGACGGGGGGAGCCCATATGGTCATCGGGGAAGGAGCGGTTGAAGGGGTTTCCACTCCTCCGCCCAGATCGAACCCTCATTCTGTACCTAACAAGGTAAGTCATGTATACCCATTCTCGATCTGCTTGTAGGGTCAATGCTGATGCCGGTTTTGTTGATTAGGCTCCTTCGAAGCGTGATTGGAGCTGGACGCAGGGCTTCAAGTAGTATGCGAAGGAACTCGCCCTTCCGGCTCTGGCGGTGGGTTGTGCTGCGTTGCTTTCGATTGCGGAGGATGAGATTCTTTGATGATGATGATGACGATGATGAGAAGATGAGATGAGACGAGACGACTACGAGGGACCTATGAGGATGAAATGGGCGGAATGAACACCTCGCCTGCTGGGTGGTAGATGCTGATTGAGTTGGTGAGGGGAGGCATTACTGGTACTTCTTGAGCAATACTGAGACGTTGATGTATTTTTGCTTCAAGTGGGATCTCTTCACTATTCGTTTACGGTTTTTGGTACTTTCATAGTCGATGTCCTACGCGACGTGGCCCAGGATATGTCGTTCGGTGAAGCTGGTGTTTTTTTCTTAGAGCTCCTACACATTAGATTGGCGAATTGGACACGCTCTCAACACCGAACAACAGGTACCTCGAAGAGGATGATGTTCGATCGAATCTGCTACCATTCCTATCCAAATTCTTTTTTTCCAACTAGCCAATGCCTACCTACCTACCTTTCCTGTTCGACGATGAACTCCCAAAGATCAGTTCTGCTCACGCACCCCACGCCCTCTTCCCCTCCCACCACCACCGCCTCGACCCCCTCTTGCCGGACCACCACCACCGCCGCCACCACCTCTTCCCCCCCTATTTCCCCCAGCACCAGCACCCCTCCGATTCACCGAGAAATCAATCTTAATCAGCGGCCGCTCGACCCACTCCAAGCCCTCCAGACCTAGAGACTTCTTCTCCTCGGCGGGGATTCTCCAGGCCTGGACAACGCCCATGAGAGATTCCCGACTACCGCCGCCGCCTGAAGTAGAAGAGGGGGGAGAAAGATGTCCGACTTGTTTGAGTTCGGGGACCCAGGTTCGGATGTATTCGCCCTTCGGGTCGTAGTCGAGGGCTTGCTTGACGGGGTTGAAGATGCGGGCGTCGCCGCGGGGGTCGTTGCCGACGCCGGCGACGTATTGCCAGTTGCCCTGTATCAAACGCAATGAATGTGAGAAGTGGTTCTTCAGGAGGAAAATGGGGGGGTGTGGGGAGTCAGGACGGGTCAAATACCCGATGCATGTGAAGGAGGTGTGGCGTCATGGGAACGGACCAAACGTTAGAGAGAAAGGCTTACCCAGTTGCTGGAGACGTCGTAGTCGATGAGGTTCATCTCGTAGAATTCGGCTCCGATGCGCCAGTCGATGCCGAGGCGCTTCGACAGATACGAGGCGACATTCTGCCGCGCGCGGTTCGATGTCCAGCCCGTCAGGTACAATTCGCGCTGGGAAGCGTCGATGAGTCCGGTACCCGTACGGCCGGCGAGGAAGCGTTCGACGGCTTTCCGCGTGTTTTCGTCGTCGACGCCCTGGGTGTTCTTCTTGTTGGTGGACTTGGTGTATGGCGAGCTGATGAATTTGTGCTGGGCGTCCTTGTCCTGGCGATATCCGTCGACGAAGAAGAGTCGGACGCCGAATTTGCGAGTGCAGAGGCGCATGTAGTCTCTCCAGAGGAGTTCGAAACGCACTCCGGCAGTGCCCTAAGCGAATTTATCGGATCAGTATGCGGGATAAGTACTTATCCCTGTAAGCAAGCCTACCTTGTTTTCACCTTTACCGTATCCCTCGGCTCCTTTACCGACGTCGTTCTTGCCATCTTCGAAATCGATCAGTTTCCAGTGAACCTGTCTGGCGGAGATGCATCCAAGTGACAACCAGGCCGAGAGCTTGGTACTGAAATCTAGTCCAAGCAAGCCATTCCTTGTGTCCTTGTACGTGGTCATGGCCCCTGATTCGATGAGATGTTTGACGCGCTCATGGCCAGCAGTCGATCCGCCCAAGAACGGGTGTGCCGATTTCGCTGCCTGTGGCCACTGAGGAGGGTCGGGAATCTTTTCGTCGTTTTCCAGCGGCTTCGACAAGGACTTGATAGTGTCATCCAGAGACTCCGGAACGGCGAAGGGTGACGACTGTTCGGCGATGTAGTCCGGCAGTGGAGGTATGCTTTCCGGCTTGGGAAGTGACTTTCTAGGGGCTGTTCTCAATGGTTCCACGCTTTTTCTAAAAGTCGTGAAAACGTCCGAAAGCTCACGGGGTTCTTTGAATGGCAAGTCTCGACTGCAAGCGGTTAGTGGTTACTTCGATGCCTTGATGGTAGAGATTGGCATACTCATCGACAAAGTACTTCTCATCAGTCCAGAGCTTGAACTCCTTGCCTTCGGCTTCGACAATCTTCTTCAGCTTGTCTTCCTCGATCTTCTCCTCCCAACCCTCTTCGCTGGTCATCCAGATGCCATGTATCTCAGTGCCCTCTCTGTCCCGGTAGGCGTCGAGGATAGAGCGAACGGCGTCCGTCAAGGTACCAACTCGGATTGACAGGCCGCTGGAGACGCTCTCGAGGTCTTTCTTCAGATCCCATACGCTCTCAGCTAGGAATTTTGCTCGAAGTTTGCCACATCTCCAGAAGCCGCCAACCTTGCTGCGCGCCTCGGGATACGGTGATCTGTCCGCGGCGGACTTGAGGAAACCAGAAACCTCCACCTGGTCCGCCGGGAATACATAGACTGGTAAGAGATGGGTGAAAGGTCTCTGAGATTGGGAATTGATCCTTGCTAATTCGTGAAAGACGGGATTGTCGGCAAGTCGAAGATCCCGACGCAAGAGGTAGACCAGAACACGCTGCGCTCGCGACATGGTGCTGGTTCCGATAGATTCAACGATCAGCGCCTCGATGCGTTCACGTTGACTGTAAAATCCAAGAGGCAAGAACTCCCCAGCGCCAGACAAGTGGCAATACACTCAAGCCAATGCGGCGAATCCTCCTCCTCTTCCGCACAGGCGAACAAGGCCAAGGGTCGTCTGATGTTGCCGATCCGGAATGGGGGGAGATCGAGTGGTAAGCAACATCGACAACAAATAATGCAGGAACGCCCGCAGCACCTGGGGACTCCGGAGGTTTTGAGGTGCGTCGATGCAGATCCATGCTGCGACGGCGAAAAGGGTGTCCTGTTGCAGAGCTTGGACGACGAGCGGTCCACCAAGCAGAAGGCAGGACGGGCGGGTAGCCGACCGAATGAAGACAAGTCTCTGAGATCTGGAAAGGTAGCACCACAGGACGGAGCAAGGAACAGAGATCGATGCAGATGAGATTCGGCGTGTCAACCAGCATACCTTGCCGGGAGGACCATTGACGATTCGGGCAAAAGCAGGACACCACAACACAGATTCGACATGACAGCGTCGTGTGTGTGAATTGTTGGCAGGACATGTAGCCGCGTAGTGAGACCGGGCTGTCTGGGCCTGTTCGGGGCTCGCTCGACATCATCGTCACTACTGTCCACAGACTTTCCATCCAGCAGAGTCGCGACCATCGCATCGCATCGCATCGCGTGCTGTGCGTGCGGATGGAGAGCACAGCGGCAATTTTGCATGACGCTTGGATCGCTGGCGCCGATCTTAGCGTGTGGACGCTCTAGACGCGATCGGTTAGGGCTCGGACGAGGATTCGGATGAGGGTTCACCCGATGTTGACCCGCGACTCGGAGGGTGACTGTGTTGGGCAGAGCGAAGATGCGGACACCAAGTTCATGATGACAAGACGCTGGCGCACCACGGGAGAATGCTTTGCACCGCGCCCGTGGCAAGAGCGTCGACCTGGATTCTGTTGGCCTTCTCACGACATGCCGGAAAGGTCGAGATGCCGTGAAGAGGAGCTGTGTTGGAGGGCAGGGCTTCGCGATGTCCGCTGACTGATCGCGTTGCAAATTCTTGACACTTCACAAGCCATTCTCCGATGCTCTCATCTGACTTGAGGAAGATGGTGGATGTTGTATTCGTATCCTTCCGGGTCGCTACCGAACAGGCAACGGGGGTCGGGACCGGGGTCGGGGTCGGGGTCGAGATTCACCGACCTGCACGTGATAGAAGCTCCCCCACCAAGGCACAGACTGTCTGGCAAACACAGCGTCGCTGCACTTTACATCTCAGGCTTCGGAAGGCTTCAGGCTTCCCAACATCAGACACTCACCAAGTTTCAAGCGAGAAGTCTGCAGTCTGGTCTGCCCATCAGAACACATCATTGAAACACATCCCAGGCAAAAGAAGCCTTTCCGCGACATCCGAAGGATCTCTCATGCACCGAAGCTCTGCATGTAGTCGGACAAAGACTCGCCGCGTGGACAGAGCTCTCTCGTCATCGATTCCAGGAGGCTGACGCTGGTGAACAATCATGATGTAGGCTTGCGTTTACCTCTTTCTCCCCTTCCTGCTCGCTCCGCTCTCTCCTTCAACCTCTACCTTCCACGTTTTCCTCCAAGATGAAGTTGTCACAGGTATTGCCATTGGCCGCTCTTGGCTCGGCCTTCGTGCTGCCCCCCGAAGAGGTCCTCAGCGATCTCGCCATCGAAGACCACCATGGACACGGCTCAGTGGACAGTTGGATTGAGGAGGCGGTAGCTACCAAGGATCACGTCCTCTCCAGCTTCAGAGAGCAGTTCGAAGAGGTGGTCGATACATCGAAGCACACCTGGAAGAAGGTAGGTCACAAATGCGTTGATGCTCTCGAGCTTGCAACCCTGGCGAACATAGTCTGACACCTAGTATCAGGTTTCCAAGTCCGCGAAGAGCACTCTGGACGAGGCATTTGATGCCGCCGGCGATGCAGCGAACTCTTTCGGAGACAAATTCCAGGAGGCTACCCAGGGACTGCAATCTTGGGTCGACGATCTTGACATTTTCGAGTCGGATGACGGTCACCACAGGCCACCACATCACAAGAAGCCACACCACAAGCCCAATCAGACTATCTACCAGTTGATCGCCAGCAGCGAGTACACCACCACGCTCGCGAAGCTCATTTCCGAGTACGACGACTTGGTCGAGGCTCTGAACAGCACGTCCGCCAACTACACCGTGTTTGCTCCATCCAACAAGGCGTTTGACAAGATTCCGGACAAGGCTCCGAAGCCAAGCAAGGAATTCTTGAAGAAAGTCTTGTCGTACCACGTCGTACCTGGCTTCTACCCGGCTGGTCGTGTCTTGCAGACCCATACTGTGCCAACACTACTGATAGGCGAGCACTTGAGCTCCCAACCGGAGCCGCAACGCCTGACCTTCAAGCTCAATCTTCGAGGCCTCACTGTCAACTTCTACTCGAGGATCTTCCCCATCAATATTTTTGCCACGAACGGCGTCATTCACGGCGTTGACAGCATTCTCCTGCCCCCTCCCAAGGCCATCGACATCGTCGACCTCTTCCCCGGAGAGTTCAGCACACTCGAGCTCGGTCTTTCCAAGACTGGTCTTTTGGAGAAGCTGAACACCACTGACCACGCGGGAGGCACCATCTTCGCACCAAGCAACTTCGCCTTCCAGAAGCTCGGCCCCAGGATCAACGCCTTCCTCTTTTCTCAACACGGCCTGAAGTACCTGAAGGCTCTCCTTGAGTACCACGTCGTCCCCGGCGTCACCCTGTACTCTGACGCCATCTACAAGGCCAAAGAATCCGACGTGGAGTTGAAGGAAGACCTGCCCGGAAAAGGGCTGTTCCACATCGACCTACCGACCTTGTTGGAGGACAAGTCACTCTCCGTTGACATCGCTCGCTATGGTGGCTTCATCAGCATCAAGATCAATGCGTTCGCAACTGTAGGAATTCAAGACGGACTTGCCGAGGATGGCGTCATCCAAGTTGTTCGAGATGTGATCATTCCACCGAAGAAGATTGGTGGCGGCGAGGTTGAGCAATGGGATGGCACTGAGTTGAGCGTTGAGGATTTGAAGGAGCGTCTTGAGCCTGTCGTGGCGAAGCAAGACTTGTGAGGTACTGAAATTGCCTCTGCCTGGAGACATCAGAGCAGCCCGCCGTTCACGGAGTCACCCAGGGTTGTGGTAAACTTGTACACTAGCTGAGAATGAATGAATGATGTGTTGACACGATTTAATTCGCGTGACATTACTTGGTTATGTATGCGAAACAGGCACTCTCTACTCCAGACCACCAAGCATTGCTGTAGACCTTTGGAGGCAAAATCGAAATGCTCTTCCCGCTCGGAGTGGCCCCGCGGATTTTGCTTGGCCAAGCCAAGACTTCAACTTCACTTGTTGTTCGTCTGACGTGGTCAGCGAGGACTACTACCGTGATTGACATCTCTGCCAACGGAAATCATGGAAGACCTCGCCCTCCTCGGAGGAGAGACGAGACGGAACTGTTTGTGGCCCGCACACCAAGCGGAGAATAATCTGAGCAGCAGCAGCAGCAGCAGCAGCAGCAGCACACCGGACCAGCAGGTAGCAGCCGCAGCGTACGAGACGGAGCGCATCATCGCCTTGACAGGCTTGCAAGAAGAAACCACGGCGGCGGCCTGTTCGCAGGACGAAGATCAATTGCCCGTAAGAGCTATTTTTCAACTTCATATGCCGTCATCGCATCGAGAAAGTACATGTAATCTCGAGTGTCTACCTACTGTCGAAGCATCTCTGACCATCATGATGATGATCAAGAGCCTCGAAGACGAGAAGTATCGGCGGCAGCACAATCAAGGCTCGTCCTAGAAGCAAGCTCACGGCTTCTCCAGCCTTGTCATAAGACACGTGGGACTCGGAAAGCGACAGCGAGATCGGTGGCGAGTGGCAATCAGCCGACGCGCGACGGAAGCGATGTGTTCTATGCCAGCAATGGAAGAAGAAGGGCTACTGGCCTGCTGCGTCTGGGTCGAGGTCGGGGGCGAAGGGGGAGCGGAACAGCCAAGTCCGCTGGCATTGGCATTTTGGCGTCTACCTGTCCCCTCCGCGTGGTCTCGGCTGATTAGTACCTTACCTGGGATGACGGGGGCTGTGCGACAGGACGCTCCGGAACATCCGGAGACGAAGCAACCTTTCTCCGCTCGCGGCGACAGCGTCGCGCGGGTATTCCTGGATGCAAGAGCAGCGAACTTCGCGGTGTGTTCTTTCCAGCAGAGCCATCGAAGTTTTCTGCCCGAGCAACCCCGTTGTTCCTTGCGAACGTCCCGTCATCATCAACCAGCCCGGAGCGGAGGACTGGCGTAGCTGCCGCTGCGAGCATGCCAAGAGCGTTCCGGAGCAACCCTGACGCCACTATCTTTGGGCTCGTCCGTTGCGCTCGTTCACCACTGCAATTTCGAGAATCACACCTTCCAACGCTGTAGAGGTAGCGGAAGCTATCCTGTGGCACTGCGAGTAGGTATAGTACTGACTGGGCCGCTTTCCGATCGGTGGTGGGCCGCCGGTATCGAGGTGCGCGCTGATCACATGACTCTAGTGGCAGGGGCTGAGCGGCCGGTTAGGAGGGACTGGGGTGGCATGTAACGCTGTCACCCGGTGCCAAGCCAGCTAGTTCTTGGCGGGGACGGCAATTGGACGGGATGGGAGTGAGCGGCAGGTTTTGTCTCTGTGAAGTGGTCCGAGTCTAGTTCCGCCGTCTTGCCAAGTCGTGCAGGCTTGGGGTTCCGCCCTCATCGCTCGCGCCATCCAGATCTATAAACCTGTGCGCGCTCCTGCCCCCCGCTCGCCCAACCGTGCCCAGACTTTCCGTTCATCGGCCTTCTCTTGTCCCCCCCTCTTACTGTACCTTACACTGACTGCTGTTGCAACACCTCAAATCAACATCTCCAGTTCAGCGCATCGTTTCGCATCGCCGGCAACACCCGACACTCGGGCTTCCTTCTTCGTGCCTGCCTGCCTGCCTGGCGGATTACGTTAGCACAGACTTTGTAAGCACCCACCTGCTCTGCACACTCGACTCACAACTTTAGTTAACGGGTCCCGTCACAGTCGCCGCCACGCCAAGAAAGACTCCTTGCCAAGGAATTGTACATTCACCTACCCGCCCTCACAGCTGGCTTGTCTTGGCTTGGTCTTGTGATGGACAGCACCCCTCAGACGGTCGCGCAGGCCGTGCAGGCCGCGACGCAGCAGGCGCAACAGGCTGCCTCGCAGAATGCTGCCTCGTCCCCCGTGCACTCCACGCCCGCGCAGAGCTCCACCATCGACAACCTGACCTGCCAGTGGCAGGGCTGCGGCGAGCGATGTGATAGCGCAGAGTCTCTCTATGTACGTCCCTCCCGCAATCATAATACTTATCGACACGACGCGCGCGCGCAGAGCTGTTCCATCCTCGCATGCTGACCGACCGTTGCCAGGACCACGTCTGCGAGCGCCATGTCGGTCGCAAGAGCACCAACAATCTCAACTTGACTTGCCAGTGGGGCGCGTGCCGGACCACGACCGTCAAGCGAGACCACATCACCTCGCACATCCGCGTCCATGTGCCGCTCAAGCCACACAAATGCGACTTCTGTGGCAAGGCTTTCAAGCGGCCCCAGGACCTCAAGAAGCACGTCAAGACTCACGCCGACGACAGCGTCTTGATGAACTCGCCGCAACACGGCAGCGGCCGCAGCGCCAGCAATGGAGGTATGGTTTCCAGTGGCAAGCGTAAGCTGCTCGATATGCTCTCTCTGGCACCCGTCCGCAGCATGCTAACTCTTGCCTCGCAGCGTCCTCTTACTACGGTGGTGCCCACGACTCGTCCATGGGAAACCCCTACCCTTCTTACCAACCCAGCATGGCAAACGGTGCCAACAGCAACTCATACCCTCAGACCTCTGGCGCTCAGTATGCCGGCTACGGCTCCGTCAGCTACCCAAACAGCTCTGCATTGGCTGATATCCAGAGCATGGACACTCGTCGTCGGGCGATCGAGGCCCTGAACGACTTTCTCGGCGATATCAAGCGCCGTGCAATCGACCCAAGCAGCTACTATGACGTCGGCCACCGCCTTGGTCAGAGCAACTCTCTTCCTCTTCCTCTTCCGGTCGGCGGCACTGGCTACAACACCGGGTACAACAACAGCGGTTACGGCCACAACTTCAACACAGCCAGCCTCCTTGAATCGTTTAACAACGGCACCCTTGGCAACCACGGCGCGCAAGCTGGCGTGGCTACTCACGGATACTCTCTGCCCCTGCCGAATGCGCGCACAAAGAACGACCTCCAGGACATCGACCGCTTCCTCGAGCAGCTCCAGGCGACCGTCTACGAGACCAGCAGAGGCTATGACAGTGGCAACGCCGCTGCCGCCGCTGGTGTGCAGCAACCCGGTCTGCACGCGCACTTCACAGGCGACTTCGGAATGGGCAACTCGCACCAATACGCTCGATCAAGTCACAGCCCACCCAACTTCCAGAGCCATCTCAATAACGGCGGCATGGGCAGCGTTGGCAACATGAGCAGCTCTTCGAGCATGCAAGGCGTCACCTCGACCTCATCAGCACTTGACACACCAGCTCTTACGCCAGCTTCCGTCTCATCGTATACAAGCTCCGGCCACTCGCCGATGAGCAGCCACAGCAGGGCCAGCTTCGGAAGTGTCAGCGGTAATAACATGTATCCAAACCTGCCCGCCGTCACTGGCATGTCTGACTTGGGCTCCGGCTACCCGACGACTACCTCGGCTCCACCATCTGGTTTGGCTTCGGGTTTCGAGGGTCTCGACGGCCGGAGATACAGTGGTGGCCGTCTTCAGCGCCAGGCACCCGAGCGAGCTGACACCGAAATGGGCGACGACGAGGATGGTAGCCGCACTCCCAAGGCTGCTGACCGCTCTAAGAGTAAGAATAGCAGCAGCATCGACCCGGCTCTGCGCGGCGAGGACGAGAAGTCCGATTCCGCATCGACACCTGCCGCCACCTCTGAAGTCGAAGATAAGCGTCAAGAAGAGTGGGTGGAGAACATTCGACTCATTGAAGCTCTGAGGAAGTGGGTCGGTGAGCGTCTCAAGGTTGGCGACTATGAAGATGCAGCCGCCGCCGCCGCCGTGTCACCCGAAAAGGAAGTCTCTGTACAGGATGCCAAGGAAGGCGCTTCTGCTCCCGAGGACGTCGATATGCAGGAGACTGCTAAGATGGCTACGGAGAAGCTTGCTGGGTCTGGCTCGCCGGAGAATGAGACTGAGGGCGAGAGACCGTCGGCTGCTGCTGATGTGAAGTATCCCACTCTGCCGACTGCTGCATAATCTTTTTCTAGTCGACTAGAACGACCTTCTTTCGGTGGGCGTTGTCTCGGTGTCGCATGGAGGGAGGGAAATGAGCTAGGAATGCTCTACTACTGCTTGCTTGCCTGCTTGTTTGGAACGACTGATTTGTTCTTCTCATTGTTCGGGCTTTGTTCTCTCGGCGGAGAGATGGTGGGTGGATGGGAGGATGGGACGGATATTGCTACGGGTACTGTCGCTGCTGCTGCTGCTGCTGCTGCTGCTGCTGGAAGGAGCAGAGCGCAGCGCGCGCACGCGCGAGGGATGTTGGTGATGATGACTTGAAGAAGGCGTTCATAGTGGTGTGTGTGTGACAGATATCTCCCTCCGCGTTGCGTTGTATGGGACGAACGGACGGCAACGGACGAGAACAGGAGACAGCAGCTTCTTCTTCTTCTTCTTCTTCTTCTTCTTCTTCTTCTTCTTCTTCTTCTTCTTCTTCTTCTTCTTGCGAAAAGTGCAAGTTTTCCATGTCCAGATCAAATGAATTCCATCTGTTGAATTGGAAGTGGAAGTGGATGTCAAGTGCCTCTGTCTGTCTGTCTGTCTGTCTGTCCTTGCATGCATGCATAATCTTTTCCCTGTTGTGTGTTCAAAATCCTGAATTCTATACCTTATACAACCTAATAGTCTTTGGCACGTAGATATGTAGATACCTACCTTATCTACCTGCCTAAGGTAGCGACATCATAAAACAGAACAAAAAATAGATTTCACACATTGTCAGGAATCGTACATCCCATTCATTCATTCATTCAGTCATTCATACATACATCCACATCCACATGCCCATCATCAATCATCAATCATGATAATCATCATGATAATCATCAATCAATCAATCAATCAATCAATCAATCAATCAATCAATCAATCAATCAATCAATCAATCAATCAATCAATCAATCATCCCCACAACCCCGTCCCAGCAGGATCCGCATTCCCCAAATCCGCATCACTCACATCCAGATCCATCATCCATCATCCAACCACTATTTCCCGGGAACACGGAGCCGGAACCGGGCCCGGTGCCCCCCTCGCCCATGAGCACGTTGCCGGCTATAGGTAATAGGGAGAGTGCATGATTCCCTCCTCCTCCTCCTCCGAGCTGATGATGATGATGATTATGATGATGAGGATGAGAGGGATCCGGGTGCTCATCGGCGGGGGGTGGTGGTGCGGCGGCGCGGCTGGTGATGCCCACGTCGAACATTTCCCAGTCGATGTTGCCGTTCTTGTCGAGCATGTCGCCGAGGAGGGAGAAGTCGTCGAGGGAGGTTGGGGGGGAGATTTGGGGTTGATGTTGTTGTTGTTGTTGTTCTGGAGGGGAGAGGTTGGGAGACGAGGAAGAGGCGCCGTCAAGTGAGATGTTGTAGGCGGAATTCGTGGCGCTGAGGTCTGCGAGGGATTCGGGAACGCCTGCCATGTTGCCCCATTGGTAGTTGGAAATCATGCCTCCGAAAGTAGGGGCGTTGCCGCTCGGGGTGTGGCCGTAGGATTGCATGAAGTTGCGCAGTGCGTTGGGATTGTCACCGCTCGTGGTCGTGCTGGCTGACCGAGGCGATTCCCCGGCTCGGACTTGTGCGAGGGCATTCGCTTGCTGGGGGAAGCGTGCCTTCACCTTGTCCAGCATGACTGCCATCGCACGGCTCGCCTTTTCGGTTTCGCCAAACATTTGATTGCCTATCGAATGCTCATCTGTTCCTGCGAACTGGTTCGGTCTGCGCTTGCGTCGGCTAGCATCCGACCAGATCTTCTGACTTTTCTCCAAGGCATCCATCATGGCTGCTCGATGTGGGCAAGGGTGTCCGGCCGGGTCCATCACCGGCGAGTCGAGGCTAAGTTGCTGTGATAGCTCGAGACAGATCACCATAGCAGCCAGGAGGAAGTCGTGGGTGGAGATCGACCCCATGTACCACTTGACACTTTCGAGCTGTCCTCCTGCTTGGCTGGCACTGTAGATGGTATGGTGATGCTGAAGCACGCGCAAGGAAGCCTGAATGCATGCCTTCCTACTTTGACCGATACCCACCTGCTGCTCCAGCTGTGATAATTCGGCGAATGGCTTTTGCATGTAGCGTCTGTGTAAGACGATTTTGCTCTTGAGATAGAGCAAGTCAATGTTGAACCGACACATAAGCTGCTCTGCTGGGTCGGTCACCAGCTCGCTGATCTCCGGCATCTGTAGGAGCGGAGGCACACGGGCTTTTGCTTCCTCTAGGCGCTGGTCCAGCTCCATGATCTTCTCCATCGGCGGCGCAATCGTAGAATGGCTCAGCTCACAGGCGTCTGCGAAAATTCGTGTGATTTGTGATTTTGCTCGCGTATAAGATGACGGAGTAAGTTCATCGACGCCTCTTCCCGGCGGCAGAACTTTGGTGTCGACGTTGAAATCTCGATCGAGTAGGTTTCGCGATGGTAGCGTGTCTGAGAGGATCGTTTTCACCTGGTAGCCTGTTAGTCTAGTTCAAAACGCGTCGGCGCTTGCTGCATCTCATCGCATTGGAAGGGCGGCTTGTGAGATACCACAGCTGCTGTCGGAGGCTCTTGCCACCTCTTTGCAAGAATGCTCAGGAAGCAGGAAATCTTCAACTACGTAAAGGTGCTCTGGACTCACCATTGAAGGCAGGCCGAGTTGAAATGAGATCAACACATCAACCATGCTTATGAGCGCCCATACTCTTCGCCTCATCTCACCATGGAATACCGAAATTGCAGGATAATTGGCCGGATCTCTGTGATAACCCATTCTCAGTCCCAGTCGAATGACGAGTCCTATCATGAGCCAGACGTTGACGAAGGCATCGCTGCTTCGCAGTCCAGCCGAATAAAGAATGAGACATTCGATGGTATACTGCTTGGGCTTGGTGAAGTCTGCCAAGACAGCGGCCGAAGCTGTCAGCGTGTGATATTTTGTCACATCCTGCAAGATTGCTTTCGCGCTTGGCGTTGATGGATCGCTATCGCGCAAGCCAAACGATGCGGCCAAGCTCAAGATTGCAAACAAGATCCCCAGCCACATGGTTGGCGTGTCATTTGGCTTCTTCCAGAATCTCCGGTACTCGTCTTGAAAAGTTGGTGCATGAATAATGGACTTCAAGGGATCAGGTGAATTGAACCACAAGCTCAGTAGGCGATCGGCTACTTTCTTCTCCGGCACTGATCGTATCAGCTGTTCCCGAGTGACAACTGCTGCTGTACCGAGCATGAAGCTGATACCAGATGTTGCATTGGGTGGGATGGGACCCATTTCGCCAGATGGCATTTCACTGAGAGTGATATTGCCGTATGGATTGCCGTAGAGGTTTTGCGATTCCTCCTCCTCTTCCTGGCCATTGGACTGCTCTTCGCTGGTTTCTCTCTCCTCGCCCAACTCTCGCTTGAGGTCCGATATACCATTCAATATGGCTTGCCAATGTGTCCCTCCTACATAGCTGATCTCGTTCTTGCTGATCCGCATTTGTCCAAAGGGCTTTGTTGCGCCATCCACATCTTCGTGCCCTTCTCCTGACGAGGCATTGCTATCGTGTCTCGAAAAAGGCGCGTCGTTGTCGCTAGGCGGTGTTGGTTCTCCAAATGCCGCCGTCCTGCTCTCACCGGTCGTTCCATTCTCCTCACCGTTCAAACCTCCTCTCTGTCGCTCTTTCTCGCCGTTCGACTGCGCAGTCCTACTGTTCTGCTGGTTCATCAAATCCACCACCAAGTCCTCGAGCTGTCTGATCCTCCCCTTGACATTCTGCGCTGGATTTTGCTTCACGGGAGGAGGCACCCACAGGCAGTCACGCTCTCGGTTCCGCTTGATGCACTGATCGCAGGCAGGATCGCGAGCTCGATTGCACTTCAGCTTGCCCTGCCTGCAGGGAATGCAACTCAATTGTGACCTCGCACGCTTCTGCTTCAGGTGGGCGCCATTGGCGAGGTTACCCAATGTCTGTTGGGCGGACATCCCGTTGGAGGAATCGTTCGTGGTGCCGTTCGTCTCGCCTGGCGTGTTGTATGGTGGAAACTGTGAACAATATGGTAGGACACTGAGGGGGAAACGGCCGTTCCTGACCACAGTCGAGCCTCAAAGCGATCGCAATGAAGCAGATCGTACGCCACTTGGTCAGTATGATCCTCTACGCACACCTCTTTCTTCTAGGGTACAGATGGACCTCTGTAGTACAACCAGAATGTCTAGAGCTATCCGATACCGAACACTCGATGCTGACGACGTCCTGCTGCCTGTCCAAGGGCTTGACTGATGCTGTCTCGTGCAGGACAGGAGCGAGGAGGGGAGGCTTCAGCCGCATCTGATGTAGGATCCATGATTCCCTCGGTCCCGCTGATCGTTGTCTTTGTCATCACAGCGCAGGAATGTGGAAATGTTGTTGGGTCGGCTCGGCGTGAGCGGGTGTTGCCGAGGTGGTATTACATCGACGTCTCCTTCACGATCCCAAACAAATCTTTCAATAGCGGACGGACGTCGCAAACAGAGTCTCTCCGTGTTAAGGATCCACCTTTGAAAACATACATGTGTCTTGGTTCAGGATATGGGAGCTGTACTACATCTAGAGCGCGAGCGAGTACGCTTCCTCTTGGAGGACATCAACCTCGCAACCAGCTTTTTTGAATGGCATGCCAGACTATTCCACGGCCTGCGGAAATCATCTTGCCAATGTCGAATCAGCCTGTGGGACTGAAACGTCAATGGCCTCTCCCAAGCCTCTGGGGCTCATAGACTGCGCAGCAAGGATGAAGCTCCTGTACTGCCTACAAGCAACACACCCTTGTAGGGCAAGGTACCGAGTCCCTGACATGTGAAGGTCGCGATACCATAACTCACTTGTGCGTTATTACGAGAGAGAGAGAGAGGGCAACCTCGGCGGAGATACAAGAAGCTCCAAGATTTCCTTGATAAGAAAGCTCTCTCCCAGCTCCCACCTCACCTCCTCGAGTTGAACCTCTCCACCAGTCCACAACTCCCCTCCTGAAACGACCAATAGCGATGTCCCTCAAACCCCCTTTCACACAAGAAACAGCCAACGCCAAAGTGAAAAAGGCCCAGGACCTCTGGAACACAAAGTACCACTTCTCCCTGCCCCACCCCTCCCCCCAAATCCCACTCACATGTCCCCCCTCACAGAAACCCCGAAGCCGTCTCAAAAGCCTACACCCCTACAAGCATCTGGCGAAACCGCAGCACCTTCCTCCAGGGCACAGACGAGATCGTCGCCTTGTTGACTTCCAAATGGAATAGAGAGCAGAACTATCGTCTCCGCAAAGAGCTCTTCGCCTTCACAGATTCCCAAATCGCGGTGCAATTCTGGTACGAGTATCAAGATGCCGAAGACGGCATGAAGTGGAAGAGATGTTATGGGATCGAGCACTGGACTTTTGATCAAGATGGGTTGATGCGGAAGAGACAGATGAGTGGGAATGATGTGGAGATTGGGGAACAGGGGAGATGGTTTACGGATGAGGTCGTGGATGTCAATAGTGTGGTGATTGGGGAGGAGCATTGGTGAATTTGGAGATATTGACAGAGACTTAGATTTGGTGCTTGTAGGCTTAGAGGTCTATACACGTGTAGGTACGTTAAGAAGTGTGCGAACTTCAGTCTTTGGATTCGTCTATATTGGCGGATCGCCAACCCCGTGGAATTTCCAGTCGCAGCGATAGCTTCAGAGACACCCACGAGCTCCTGCGATGCTGCGTGCACGTGCTGCAGTCTTGACTGAGTCATTCTATCCTTAAATTGCCTTGCTGCTGGTGGGAACTGTAGGTACTCCAGTCCAAATCTGCCAGCCTGGATTTCACCATCCTCCCGTGAACCACAAAATAGCTTCCGCGGGACCAGATCCTCCAGCTCAGCAACAACGAATCAGACGTCGGTGGAGTACTGTATGTGACGAGCTCACGTATGGTTTTCTCCTGATACAAGCGGCAGACGACACCTGACATATGATGAAAGATGGAGCGGCCAGGCTGGACTGGAGGCAGACTCCGGAAGAAAGCCAAGTAGTTTTTCATCTTGTCCACAGTCGTGAAAGAAATAAAGCGTGCCTGGCGAGAGAAGAACAGCCTCGTTGGCGTACGAGAGTACTTGCGATCGTACAGATGCCTCTGCTCTACGCAATGGAGGATCACAAAAATCGGATCTTTCGAAATTTGCGCGACAGAGCATTTGAACCTGTGAAGTGCGTCCACATGTGTGAAGTACCATCTGACGTTGCGGAGATATTCCTGGTAGAATATGGACTGCGCCTCTTTGCTGATCGTGCGGTTCGTGCGGATGATATTGATGTAGGCAGAGAAATCGTAGTCTGGTCGGACCTTCCATGGCTCGTCGAAGTTGATAGACAGCGTCGGGGCAATGAGATCGTCGAAAAGTGCTCGGTAGATGCAATTTCGCACTTCCCCTGGTAGCTCCAAGAAGCGGCAGCGCAGAATCGATGGATCGGCAGGCACTTCCGGCTTGCCAAGTGGAATCAAAGTTCGGTACTGATCAGCCTGCGCCGGTGGTAGTCTCATTTCCGTCGTGCAGATTGTCCAGTGGCATCTGTAACTGTCGAAGGGAGATCTTTTGTATAAGGGGATTTTGGTCTTCCCGAAGGTCACCCGGAAACCTAGGGATATCGACATAGTTGATTGGATCCGAGTTTTACAGGGTCCTCACGCATGAGACTCTTTCCGGAGGCAGCGAATCTTTCAGCAAGGAATGGTTTTACAGCAAACGGTCGGTGTCGACAGGACGGAATCCCTCGTGCGGTCGACTTCCGATGCATGAGGACACTGTATCCACCGGAAATTCAACTTATGCCAGCTACTCGACTATATCCCTCCAGAGCATGACTTCGGAGTCCAGGGTCGCGTCTGGCAGTGCAGAATACCGTCCCTAGTCAAAGTTTTGTTGAATGATCATGCTGGAGGCGTATCATGTAGGACGACCAGCAGAAATTTTGCGTCTGGAGCATAATTAGCCGCAGACAACCCCATCGAAGAGCACAGACCACCTACCAGGCACGATAACCATCTCGTTCCTCTTTGTCCTCACGCGCAGTAGCTTCGATTCGTCCGTCGCACCATTGAGCTCTTCAACCATCTCTCCTGCACTCTGCACGAATTTCCAGACCAGTCTCGCAACCTCTTTCGCCTTTCTTGTGCCCTTCTTCTTGATCTCGCCGTCTGTGCCATTTGCCTGTCCGTGGCTGCTTCCTGGCGGTGCGGGCTCGCCGTCGCCGTCTTCTTCGTCCGTTGCTAGGCCAGAGGACCGCACGATAACTCCGGTGTCTCGTGAGAGAATCAATGTGCCTTGCACTCCTGGTCGAGTCGATAGGCGGGCAAGTAGATTATTTGTCTCTTCGGAGGGCGATGGCTGCTGCATGTTTGACGACGTGCTTCGATCAGGCTTGTATTTTGTTGTGGCATTGCGACCGCTCAACGGAAGGTCGAAGTTACATGTATGTTGATCGGCGTTCGTGATGCGCCGCAGGGATTCTCGGATGACCGGGCCGAGAGCTCCCAACTCCGATTCCGATTTTGAGATTTTTGGACTCGACTCCATCCAACTTTCAACATCGTCTCTCAGGAACACGCAAACCGCTCTATTGAACCATCAAACAGACTTGCAGCTGAGATTTGACAGTCTCATCCATCAATCTAACGAGTCAAGATGGGCTCGTCCGCCAAAAAGAAAAAAGAGAAGAAGCAAGACTTCCAAAAGCCCAAATTAAAGGTCGGCAAGGCTCGTCCAAAGAACACCAACGCTACAGACACCAGCTTCACGGCCAAGTCCATCGTACTCAAGCAGCAAAATTTGAGTGAGACCGGACGAGATGCTGCAGCTCTCTTTAGCCACAATCTGTCCCTCCTCAGCAGCAAGAACGAGACTCAGCGACGGGATGCTCTGGCTTGGCTCATTACTGCTGTGGCCGCGAATCCCAACAATCTTCCTCAGCCTGCATCAGTCGTGCTCAGCAAGGCACAACCGTTGATATTGGACGGAAGCTCCTCCGTACGCCAGCAATTGCTCAAGCTCCTCAAGGTCCTGCCCAAAGCAGAGACGGGCTCTCTTGAGCAGACATTGCTCTACACTCGCGCAGGACTCACGCATGTCTCTGCGGACATTCGTACAACAGCGCTCGATGTCCTCGACTGGTTGCTGGAGACTAGTGGAGAGGCTGTAGTAAGCATCGCGGGAGGGTGGGTGAAGACCCTGCAGACATTTCAGAACCTGCTCGCCTGGCAAGGCGCACCCGTGACGGCTCCGTCTGCTGGCGGCGAGAAATGGTCGGCGACCAAGACAACGTCGAAACTGGGCAGCAACAAGCTCTTAGTGCATCAATTGACGAGTCTGGCACATTTTCTCAATGTGGGCCTTTACCAAGCGCCTCCTGATTCACGGGAAGAGGCAAGAAGATCGGCTGCGTTGTTTCCTCTCTGCCAGACCAATGCTCATTCGATCCCAAGCAAGAGCAATGCGCTTGGCTATCTGAACCTCTTCGGTGCTCCTCGGGATGTCGACAGTGAGGTCTACGACGATGTCGAAGAGCGCATCAATGTCTTCACTGAACTGAATTTGCATTATGCTTTTGCTCATGGCGTGAGAGAAGTGAGACGAGAAGGAGGTGAAGTGGGCAGGGCCGCGGCTATGGTTGACAAGGCATTGAAGCTAGTGGACGAGGTGAGGTGAGGAATCAATTGACCCGAGGAATCAATTGACTTGAGGTCAGTTGACTTGAGGAATCAATTGACTTGAGGTCAGTTGACTTGAGGAATCAATTGACTTGAGGTCAATTAACTTGAGGAATCAATTTACTTGACGAGACAAAATGCTTGAGGACATCACATGCTTGAAGAGGTGCACATGCTGTGCACAGGGCAGCTGCCTTTAAAAGAGGTGCAACTAGAACTTCCAATTCTGCTTCCTCCTTGACTACTACAACTACATCGGCAACACACACACATCAAGCCTCAAGCCTCTTTTACCAACGAAGACATCTTCTCGGAGCCTACGACATACCAAAACCACAGATCTCCGGCACACCCGCCAAACCCACCATAATGCTCAACAAGGATATGGAGCAGCATCTTCGCTGCTCAAAGAAAGACCTTGCCATGCTAAAGCATAAGGTGGAAACACAGATGAAACGTCCAATTTACGACGGCAAGCCATTAATTGGCCAGCGTATGGAGCAGTTCGACCCCGATGGCACCCACAGGAAGAAACTCTGGGATCAGGTGACTTCCAAGAAGAAGTATCGAGAGATGCTTGAGGGCAAGAAGTGGGGCAAAAACAAGCCGAAAGACTTCAACAAGAATGTCCAAAAGATTCAGAACAAGATCGTTGGAGACCTTAACAAGCAATTTCGCTATTCTTCGAATTCTTCGAAGACCCAGGGAGGTTCCGATGAGGGAGAATACCAGCCTGGTCTGGATGACATTGAAAGCGAGGAGGACGAACCGGTATCTGGCATTCGCCGCAAGTCTCGCGGTGGGCAATCATCGCTGCCAAGTGCCAAAGCCAGTGTGCTCAACACCAAGCCCGTCAGCGGATCCAAAATGAGAACCATGGATACTTTTGCCGGTCCTACTGGTGCTTCCTCTCTTGGAATGGATGGAATGGATGGAATGGAAGGCATAGAGGAGACTCGGACAGCAGAGAAGCCATCTCGCGAGGGAGCTCCGGAGCACGACCAAAGCGACCCGTCCGACTTCGACTTTGCCACCGACCTCCAGACTATGGTACGAAAAGAAGCCAACGCCACGGTCTCTCCTGAGGTCGAAGGACAGGTGAAAGCGCAAAACGCCATGTTGGAAGATCAGATGAAGCAGCGGGAGGAGAGACTTGTCATATTGGAAGATCAGACGAAGCAGCGGGAGGAGAGACTTGTGGGCAGCGTGAGCGCCCAGGTCATGGGAACCATCTCCCGTGGTTTCCAAGGCCTGAAGAAAGGACCTTGAGAGTGTTACCCTCGGCCAAGGTACCTCGTCCCACTCGACCTGCGACCTGCCCGTGCAAGATTCCCAGGCCTCCCTTTCGACTTCCTTAACGACCTGGTATACGACTCCTCGACAACCCGGCATACGACTTCCCTAACAACCTGGCATACGACTCCTCGACAACCCGACTTACGACTTCCCCTTTAACCCGGCTTCCGACTCTTCCTATAACTCGACTCACGACTCTCCCGGAGCCGAAACTTGAATCCTAAATCCTATAAAAGCCGACTCGAGAATCTAAGGTCGAAAAAAGAATCCCGACTAGGTATGTCGTTCTCCTTATACTTCCTCTCGACTCTCGGGATCCTACGACTCTAGGCCGGGCCTAGGACTCCTTAGACCCGATTTTCTTTATAATAATTAGTTATACCCTCTAGCAGGACGAGGGATTTTCTTTAGGAATAAAAATTTTTCGATTCGATTTCTTTAAACTATTAAATTTTTTTCTTCTTAGGATACGTTCGATCTCTTGTTTCTCTAGATTGTAGTAAGGGGTCGTTAGTTCTATTTAAAATCGGAATCGTTACCTTTCTCTATCGGGGGGTACAATCCTCCAAGTAAAATCTATATCCGCGAACCTATGTATACGTTTTTTCCACCAAACTCCCCCGAAATTATAACAACACCTTACCTTAAAGCGCCGAGGATTTTTTTTTTTAAATAAATGCCTACCTTTTTTTACCTTACCTTATGTAGTAGATACCTATAGGATACATACCCGTCGCTAACAAATGCAATAATAAGGTAAGATAACATCACATCCTAAGGTAGCTTACTATTTCAAGTTATTCTGTTGTCACTTGCGATTATAGTGTCTGTGCCTACCTAGTAGTAGTAGTTTTGACCTTGACCTGTATGTAGTTCGACGCCACGATGGGACCACACCAGCACACACTACACACACTACACACACACACAAGCGAGCGACGCGGAAGCTTGGTCTACCCGACGCCGCCGCCACACTGGTCTCGGGTAGGAAAGGAGAGGAGGGGAGAAGAAGAGCCGAGATGCGCCATGGGTGGGCTGGCTGGCTGGCTCTTGCTCATTGTTTTTGCTCTACTACTTTATTACTTACTATTACAGGTCCTTGATGATACCCCCGAAATCATCATGCGTGTCATCAGCCCTTGATGATGATGTCCGAAATGTGGGTGTCGTTCAATAATCAGTCCGTAGGTGTAAGGGTCGCGCTGAGTGACAACGAAGCCTTTCTTCATCATCATCATACCAAATCCCTCGGATTCGCTTGTATGCGGAGAAATCCGAAAGAAAGAAGCTGTTTTCTTTCCCCTTTTCTACACCATCCTCACCACCCACACACACACCAAACGTGGGCAGGAAGCGAAAGCCGACGTTTCAGATTTTCGCTGATGTGATGATGAGAGGTGGTGCCAGAGGGAAAGAAAACCCGCCAAGCCTTCTCGGAGACCAGAAACCACACACCCCCGCACGAATAATTAGGTACGTACCCTGGGTAGCATTTTTGCCGACCCGGGCAAGCGGAAATCCATGTCTCGGAGATCGCACAGATCAAGGGTTGGTTAATGTGTGCTCGCTCCTGGATAGACAAGAGTCTCGCCGCAGCGTCCGAATGGTTCGCGAAGAGAAATTTGCTGGACCGCAGCGGGCGACGTTGTAGCGCTGGGCGAGGAGTGGCAGAGGCAGAGGCAGAGAGCCGTGGAGTGCTACAGGCAAGGATGGCACTCCTTCTTGAGCGCGCAAGCATCACAAACGTCAGGCTGTCATCGGTTTACATCTCGTTTGCGGTACTTTGAGAGAACGAAAGTAGGATCGGCCAGCGCAGGGAGAATAAGAGGCGCGTGCGAACCTGTCAGACGGGACTGTGGTGTCAGCGGCTGAAGCATCTGCCTGCAGACCCTGTTATGTCGCTCGTTAGAGGATAGATTTGCCTCACGACGGCACAGTGACGGGGACACGGAAGACGCATAAGGATTTGTGCAAACCATGGTCTGCCGCGTACACAGCGTGGGAAGTCTCTCGAATGTGTTACAGCCGTGCGAGTGGTGGGTGGGAATGCGACAGGGGTGAGATCCGGACTGAGACGCTGGAAACCGGTTCATCGTGATCTCTTGTGCTGGCTGGAGGAACAGAAAGCCGGAAGAGTGAGGGTCAGGAGTGGTGGGACGGGAGCGGGAAGTCTCTTGCCTCGCTTCCACCATGTGCCGGGGCTTGGCTGTGGGAGGCTTGTAAGTTGTCAAGGCTTTCCATGTGCAGATTGCTGAAACACTTTGGGCTGTCCTATAGAGACGGCGCCCATACGCATGCGGGATCTGCGAGGGCTCTGGGTATTTTCGTAAGTGTGAGTTACCGCTCTGCTGGAGAGGCGGAAAGGCGTGCCTCGAGGTGTTCCTCGATGGTCTGCGGGAGATGTCAGCCACACGGTCACACAAGACCGGGCGTGGTGATTTCAGGTGGTGCGATAAGGACCGTTGGCAAGAGTTGCACGTTGGCAGGTGAAGAGGAGAGTGGCACGCGTTCTCGCGCGATGTGGAGGAGATGGTCGAGCACATGGCACATGTGAAGTCTAGGCAGTGCTCACCCAGTAGCACAATGGTTTCGAGCATTGCGTGGACCTGTGTGCTGTGGTGGCGATGGGATGATAGGCAGCTGCAGGGCCGAGTTTGACCAATCCGGACTTGCAGGCTTATCCTATAGTCCAATGCAGGTTCGCAAAGCGGTTGGTATGCAGGCACACACACAGGCGTAGGAGAAGTCCGGGGCGTCAAGAGGAGTACAGCGCAACGTGTGCATGAACGAGTGTACGAGGGAGTGTTGCAGTGCGACGCGGCGACAATAATAATGCTGTGCGCCGGAGGCAGTGTATCCGCATCAGTGTCACGCGATCACGTGACAGTCTGTGCATGATGGTTGCCGCAGTGTTATTGCATTATCAGCGTAGCGGATCAGTCGGTCTGACCGTAGCCAGCAGGCCGGTCAGCACGGAGGCGGAGGGGAGATATCAGCGAGACGCGCGAGACAAATCGGACAGTCTCCGAGGTGGATGGGGTATATGGCTGTAGCGACGGTCACCGACGATATCATACCGTATGGTGAAGACGAAGGCGAGGCAGTGAGGCAGCGAGGCAGTGAGGCAGTGAGGCGTGATGAGGTGGTGGTCATCGACAGAGCCGGTTCGCATATATCGAGGTAGTAGTTGTTGAGGCGAGGTGCGCGTCGGCTGGATCGGGGAAATTGAAGCAGGCGCGACTCATTTACCTCATTCGTGCTCGCGTAGTAGGCACTGGGGCCGCGAGACAGGAGGGAGCTCCACAGCGCTGTTCCGCGGCGGAAGAGGAAACCGTCATTCGGCCCTCCAAAGAAGGACAACAGAGGTGCAGAAGAATAAGGTAGCACAGAGAAAGAGGGAAAAGACTTCGCTGACGCAGGCCCCTCCCCCGTCGCTCCACCCCACCCACCGGCAGGCGTTGCCTCTCATCAACAACCTGAACCTTTCTGGAACACTAGCCGCTCCCTCCTGCACCCGGATGGATGATGAGGTGTGCTGCTCCTGCCTCATCCTGCCACAGCTGCTGCCACACACCACACACCACACACCACACACTCTGCTTGACTGCTGCTCACACTCCTTCCGCCCGCCCGCCTGCGCTTGCTGACCTGACCTGACCTGACGCGCGCGCTATCCCGCTTGCTGCTGCTCCCGTCTTGCCCGTCGCTGCTGAGCTGCTCTCCGTCTCCCGCACACCCACACCGCGCCATCACCACACCATCTCTTCTCCCCCCCCCCCCCAAACACCTCATCTTCCCTTCACCACCCTCGACGCCGCCAGCGCTCTCCCCATCACCCCCTCCGCTCCGCTGCCGTCGCTCTGGTGCACTCCGGTATCCTTTGGCTACCAGTACGCTCGTTACCACCGCCCGCCCGCTCTGTCGCCGCCTGCAACACCGTGGTGACCCGCTCCGCGCTCCAGCGCGAGTCTCGTGCTTTTTTTGCGACGCCGCTCCGCATCTGCAGAACGCCGTGACGCGGCCGCCCAGCTCTCGCACTCTCACCACCACCACCACCAGCACGGCAACGACTGCACGCCGGACCCATCCTCGACACCACCACCCGCTCCTCCTTCTGCCACCGCTCCTCGCCCTTCAGCCTGGCGTGCACATAATCTCACCCCCTCACCATGCCTCCCACGACGCCGCGCCTGCGGATTCTGTCAGGTGCGTCCACGTCCGCCCTCATCAACTCCCCATCACGATACCGTGCGCTGCGAGCTGCCTCGTCCAGGAGCTCTGCGCTGGCACAGAAAGAGCGCCTAGCGCAACATACCCGCTGCATCTCACCATTCTCACCATGCAATTGCACACGAGCTGACAGTTGCTGTGCACAGTCGGCGGTAACGCTGTGTCGGCCTTCCTTTCGTGGCGTCTATCTGCCACGCAGGCTTGCGACGTGACGCTGGTATGGAAGAACGGCTTCGACGCGGTTCATCAGTACGGCATTTCATTCAGGTACGCTGCCAATGCCTCATCCTGCACATGCACCGCTCCAGTCATCTGACCTTTCTCTCTACAGGTCAGACAAGTTCGGCAACGAGAGATTCAAGCCTCGACATGGTAAGCACCCATTCCTGCATACGAATACTCGATGGACAGACAACTGACTGTGCCGTAGTGGTGCGAGTACCAGAAGAAGCCGCCGGCCCTTCGCGAGCTTCTTTCGACTACGTCCTGCTATGCGTCAAGGCCTTGCCCGATGTCTACGATCTCGCCTCCGTCATCGAGTCCGTCGTCTCGCCCCAGCATACCTGCATCCTTGTCAACACCACACACACCCTTGGCATCGAGTCGTATCTGGAGCAACGCTTCCCCACAAACGTCGTGCTTTCCCTCGTGTCAGGAGCAGAGATCACCCAACTCGGCGCCAGCGAGTTTGAACACAAGGGTTCAACAGAGCTTCATGTGGGAGCTGCCAACAAGAATCCATCTATACCCGCATCCATACAGGGAGACATGGCCGAAGCGCTCGCGATGACGCTCAAGTCCGGCCAAGTCGATTGCGAGGTTTCCCCAAACATCCGGCAACAACAGTACGAGCGCATGACGGGGTAAGCCTACAACAAACGCCAATGCCACCTCTCTTGCTAACAAAAGACAGACCAATTGCCTTCTATCCCATCAGCGTCCTTTTCGAGACGCCCGTCCACGCTGCGCTCTTGGAGAAGAATGGTGTCCGCTCGCTCGTCACGGGAGTAATCGATGAACTGATGAACCTCGCTCAGGCCCAGGGGTGCAGTTTCACGCCCGACTTCAAGGAAACCACCATGGAGAAGATGATTGTCCCGTCTGAGACTAACAGCATCATGTATCAGGACTTCACCGCGCGAAGGCCAATGGAGGTGGAGACTTATCTCGGCTCTCCCATGAAATTGGCACAAGAGATTGGTTTACAGGTTCCAAGGATCGAAACTCTCTACGCGCTGCTTCACAACGTCAACACCGTCAATCAGACAAGGCCGCAACACGCAGCAGGCCCGCCATCACCTCCCCCGCAACCAACACCCCGGATGTCGTCTGCTCCAATGCCGAACGGACCTCCAATGCCATTTCCCAACGGCCGCGGGCCTCCACCATCGATGCGTAATGGCATGAGACCAGGCAATCGTGCGCCATCCCAAGCTGGAGGACCTCCGGGCATGCGCAGAGGCCCACCGTCGATGAGCGGCTATCCACCGCCTGGGAGAATGAATGGAAACGGATGGGCCGGGCCACGCGGCCCGCCACAGCAAAATTCGAGGCGTCCCTCTTTCGAAGGGAACGACTTGGAAGAGTTTAGCCACTTGATGCTCTACGACAACATGCCAGATGGCGGTGAGCATTTCGACGGAATGCCATCAGCACCATCGGGCGATCTGGGTTTGAGAGAAAGAGAACTGGCACTGCGCCAAAAGGAGCTTGCCCTGCGGGAACGAGAATACCACATGCGCTCCGGTGGACGCCGGGTGCCGCCACCCCGAGACGCGTATGACGAGGACGAGGAGGACGGTGACGACTTCTTCGATCCGTCAATGGTGCCAGCCGGCCCAGGAGTCGACCCAGACCAGATCGACATGATGAGTGTGACTTCCCGACGCACCAGGAAGGCGCCGAGTGCAAGCCAACTTCGCAACAACCCTGAAATGATGGGCGCTGCTCCAGCTGTCCGCTCCAGTCGCGGTCCCATGATGAGGAGACCGAAGATGCCAAACCGAACCAGCGCGGCGCTCATGTCGGAGATGCCCAACTTACGCGAGGAGCTCATGAACAACCCGCTCATGGGCTATTCGTCTGATCGGTTTGGTACAGTTGACAGAATGAATATGGGACAGGAATCGCGAGCAAACTCGCTCACGGCGGAGCGCCTCAACGAACTACAGCACGGTGGGCCGCCTAATGGCTTCCCGCCGCACCCCAACGGCTATCCGATGAACAGACGCGGCAGCCAGTCGCCGGGTAACCCTCTCAGCCCTGGACAGCGACCGCCGCAACGACCATCCCCTCCCAATGGCTACGGCCCTCCCGGGCGTAATGGTCGACCGAGTCCACCGGGCATGAGGCAACCAGTGCCTCGCCATCCGCCTGGACATGGCAATGCGGTCGCTCCGCAGCAAATAGAGCAACAAACAGGGGTGAGCAACCTGTACCCACCGAAAAGCGGTCCTCCAAATCAAGTACGCAGTCTGACAGGTTCTGCGAGCGCCAGCACGGGGAGTGGTGATAGCAACCGCTCCGCACGCATCGATTCCGAGCCCTCTGCCCACACGTCGAGCAGCAGTCTGGGCCCAAGACCGCCGGTCGGAGTCCGTTGATTCTGCCAAAGCAGATCCTGGATAGTTCTTGGTACACATCGGGACTGGAACAAACTCGTCGGCATCGGCATGTACATGACTCTCGCCGATTCTGCCCAGAGATGTGTTTCGACAAGTCTTGGAATCCTCAAACACGGCATCTTTTGAGACAGGGCCGCTCATGCGACTCGAGAAGCGAAGCGCCACTTGAGGCAGCCCATTGTCTTCTCATCATCTCTTCTCGCAGACGAAGGGCCTTGCGAGCACGACGCACGGCAACACTTTCATTCATGACGGACGTAACATCGACGGCGGCGACATTCAACCCACAGCCAATTGTTTTCTTTCCTTTTGCATACCTGCCACATCGTACATAGACGGCATCGGGGAGACGGAAGAACGGGGATTCGAGGAGGCCGGATGGACCATGCCTCCCGAGCTAATATCTGCATTTCGAGGGCGTTACGAGGGCCAGCGTTGTACCGGACCGGACGGTTCTTCCTTATCACAAGCTTCATCTCATCCGTCTTTTTTTTAATGCCACCACATTTCCGCGCATGGCATGGCAGGGCATGACCTGGACTGGCCTTTGGTTGTCGCTTGCGTGCCGGGACCGACCAACATGAACTCTTGCATTTTGGCCAGCGAAGCATTGGATTGAGCAAAACAGCGCCAGGCATGGCGTGCGTGTGTGTGTCGGAATGCAGGACGCGCGTGCACGGAAAGCACACCGAGAGCAATGAAATGTATTCTTATTGTCTAAATTGAAGCAGTAGTGTGATTTGGTGGTCTGTCGTGAGTCCTTCTCTTCGGGTTGACGGAGTGGAGAGGGGCGAGACAACTACTACTGCTACGCTGATTGTTGCATGCATGCCTTTCCGAGGGCAGCGCATGTGAGAGGGGGATGGTAAGAGATAGTAGCTGGGAATATACGAAGTTTGCATCCGATTGTCATGTGGTTCCTTTGTATTGTTCTCCCTCTAATGGGTGTCTTCCAATGCACCTTTGGGGGGTCTCAATCGCTTTCTCTCCAATGGAACCAGCTTCTCTCCCCGCCGCATTATTGTCACAAGTCCAATGCTGTGTTTTCACGCCTGATGAGCTTTGTCATACCTTCACCAGCAACCACTCAAGTCGTCTTGTCGCCGTACAAGACGACGTTGCACTGACAGTCGGTCAGAAGCGCGCTCAGCTCCGTGTCATGGAAGACTTCGGAAGAGCTAGCTCTGGCCATTGAAGACGACCGGAGTGACGTCGACCCGCTGAACACATCCACTCACTGTGACATGTTCAGGTAAACTACATGTACTACACTTTCCATTTGCTTTTCCATTCCTCCTCCTCTCTCTCTCCTCCTCTTCCACCCAATCCTCCGCCCCAACGCATCTCACACACTCGTTAAAAAAAAAATGACAACCCCCCGCGTCTTCATCATCCGCCACGGCGAAACCGAATGGTCCCTCTCCGGCCGCCACACGGGCACGACCGACATCCCCCTCACGGCCAACGGCGAGAAGCGCATCCTCGCGACGGGCAAAGCCCTCGTCGGCAGCGACCGGCTCATCGTCCCCGCGAACCTCGCACACATCTACGTGTCCCCGCGCAACCGCGCGCAGCGGACGCTGGAATTGCTCGGGCTGGGGTGTAAAGCGGGCTTGCCGTGGCCGCGACACGGGGCCGTCGAAGAGGGCTTGCAGAATGGGGAGACCACGAATGCTGAGGTCGAGGTGGACGAGAGGTGTCGCGAGTGGGATTATGGGGATTACGAGGGCGTTACGTCGCAGGAGATCCGCGAGCTGAGGAGGCAGAGGGGCGAGGGGGAGTGGGATATCTGGAGGGATGGATGTCCCGGGGGAGAGTATGTCTTTTTTTTTTCCCTCTTTGCCCCCTTTTGTTATTTTCCCTGATAGATCCAATTCTTCAATTTCTTTCTTTCTTTCTTTCCATGGCTGGTTTTTTTTTTGTTATTGGTATCGCAATTCTTCTAACACCGTCCATCTTCTCCCTCCATCTAGATCCCCAGCCCAAATCACCCAACGTCTCGACTCCCTCATCGCCGACATCCGCACGAAATACCACTCCCGCGCCATCGGCAAGCCCAAAGGCACCGTCCGCGAACCCTTTGACGTCCTCATCGTGGCACACGGACACATCCTGCGCGCCTTCGCGGGCCGGTGGGTCGGCAAGGACATTGCGGAAAACCCGAGTCTGATCTTGGAGGCCGGCGGCGTGGGCACGCTGAGTTATGAGCATCATAGCTTGAAGGAGCCGGCTATTCTGTTGGGTGGGGCGTTTATGAGTGATGTGGTGGAGAATGCGGAGGGGCCGTCGAGGTGAGGTGGAGAGATGGAGAGATGGAGAGATGGATGGATGGGGAGATGGGGTTGGGGATGTGGTGAGGTGGTTGTTGGAGAAAAAGAGTTGCGTGAAGAATTTCTTCTCTGATTGATTTTCGAGGGATTTAGGTGAAGATTTTGAGGTCATGGCCTGTGTGTGGGACGAGGATCGTCTTTCGTCTTCACTTCGATAGCTGCCGGTTCTGACGAGGGCTAAGGCAAGTCTGTCATTGGAATAGATCAAGATCTATCGAGGGAGCATCTTCTCAGCATGCACCCACCGCGGCGAGCGAGATAGAGGTATATATATATATATATATGTGTAGTTTTAAACTTAGCAGTCCTATCTATCACATACCTGGTACGGCCACAGGCAGCTGACCGGAAGACGATGCCCTAGTATGAACGTAGGTGACTAGAAGTCTTCTTGCCGCGAGTAAGATTTAGAAGTGTAGTGAAGCTCAGGGTCAGCTCCCTAGTCACAACGTATTTCACGAAAAGCACGCCAAATGCCAAGGCCACTGCTATTCGGAATCATAGTCCAAAGCGCTGACGCCGGTCAAAGCGGTGCTCGTGCACGACGTCCATTTTGTTTGACCTCCTGACAGGGCAATCTGGTTCGTGGCACAGGCGGTCAGGAGAACGACTTGGAGTTACTGCCTTGCGTTGCGTTCGCATCGTATGAGTTGTCGGCCTCGATTCTGGGCACCAGACGCAGAGCAGAAGGAAGAACCGCATCGCCGCTCTTGATCGGGTTGGGTAGAGCATTTGAAGGATTTGGGTACAATTGGTGCATGGGGCCGCGGTTGGTCGTGCCTAGCTCTGCGGTTCTTGGTCCGCTGCAGATTCAAAGCTCTTCGCCCTTCAAATCACTCGCGGAAAAGTGGATGCTCCATAGCAAGTCGTTGTGGTGGCCAATGTACTGTTGCATTCTGGGATGTACTCTGGGGGAAACGGGCATTGTCGCAGTTGGAAGTGCCGGCAGAAGCGCGCTTGCAAGGTAGGCTTGAGCACATTCCCTGCCGAGGACGTTGGAGCAGTCGCCGTTGTCGTGCTCGCTATATGTGTTGGTTACGTTGGGCGGCAGATCAGGCAGGCTCAGCACGACCATGCATAAGCGGCCTGCCCGGCAGCACCGGATGCGTTGTTCGTCAACGTAGCCAGCTCATCGCCCAAGGTACCACCATCCGCCCATTCGAACGAGTGGACGGTGTCGACAAAGTGTGAATTCCGATTGTGCCCACGCGAATAATCTGGAGTCTCAGGGGGAGACTGTCCAGGTTGATATCGGTGATGTTGACTCTCCATGTCCATTTCTGATATCCGTGATGTTGACTCTCCATATCCATTTCTGTTAACTCGATCCAGCTGTCGTAGTCCAAAGGGGGAAACGTGATTTTTCTGGTGGCGTTGGAAGTCGAGGTCGTCTCCTCGATTGCATTGTACAGCGTCGAATTGTGATCGGTTGGGCCCAAGCATGGTCCCAGGGATCCTGAAGTGTCGCATGTTACTGCTGCTGCTGCTGCTGCTGCTGCGATGCACAACAGCATCGTGCGAACTGGAAAAGACATAACGGTGGGCTGACTGTTGGCCGGACTTGATCAATTTCCAACACGCGGCGTGATGAGGTCCTTCGAAGCAGATATTGAAATCCTTGAATTGACTGGCGCTCCATTGCAGACAGTGCAATAGTCAGTTCTCGAAGAGTGTCGCGAGACATCCCGTAGGATTGACCAGAACCCATGTGATGTGACGTTCCGCGGGATGGGTGTAGGTATTGAGTCGACCACATTTCTGCTTAACGTCTTCAGCTGATCGCTTTCTACGTTCACGCTATTCCGATCGAGCGGCGATGACCATGTAGGTGGCATGCCAAGGCCACTACGTGACAAGATATTCCCGTAGCTGCTTTCTATTGGGTTCGGAGGCTCCAAACTTTTTTGACTACACATGATGCATGTGCCAATCCGGCCGACGACATGCCTACAAGCACAAGAAGCCTCTTTGCTCTGTGAGCAATGGAAGAAACAGGCAAGCCGTTCCTGAAGCGATGCTTTTGGGATCGGATCTGTCTTGGCGGCATGATAGTAACCATTCTGCTCCAGGACTTTGATTTCGAAACGATTGATTTCGAAACGATTTCTCATCGCACTCGGTCTTTCTCATCAACTCTTTTGAGGAGAACAGCACTGCGGCATCGACGTTATGTTGCGTGTTGCTCTGATTTCTCCGCATCCAGTACGGCCGTAGGAAGAAGCACGACGCTGGGCCTCTGAACGTATAGACGTTGATGCAATGACTGGACAAGTTCTTCGTGCCACCATCATTCTCCATCCCATGATCAAAAAGATGCCAGCGCTCTTATCGAAGCCTCATCGAGAGATGTTGGGTCCTGTCGATTCGGCTACATGATCAGGCTGCCCGTATTGTGTGCCCCTAGCGCGTCATCATTTTTATCCTTCCCAATTATCCTGTGTTGTACGAAGTCGTCAGAGTCGATCGACCAGAAGTGGGGTAGGGCTTGTGTAAATGTTTTGTACTTACTGAACTTTGGTTCATACCCAAATCGTGGCTACAAGGGATCTTGCGCGATGCTTGGAAGAGCATCAACTGAAGTGAAGCAATGATAGAGCCAACATGCACCTGACTTCCACGCCTGGCGCATTGCATTGCTTAGGCTCAAGTTGTGTCTGAGCCTATGTCGCTTTTGTCGTCTTCAAGCAAGTGGATGAAGTCTTGGCGGGGCTTGTTGTGTTTCTTCAAGTGGTCCGCTACCTCATCGATGTAGTCAACAGTCAGCCAGTGGGGTACACTAAGAATATTAGGTGGAAGTGAACAGACAAGTCCAGGTCATCAGCGCCAGTGATATTCCAGTCGTCACCCACAAATAGGATGCTAACGTGTGGAATAGATCCGTGTATTGCAGTAGAAAAGGCACCCTGTAGCGTACATCAACAATTTGCGGCATTTCTTTCTCTAGCAGTATAGGATGGGATATCTGGAGACAACCGATCTCGTGCTGTGCTGCTTTCGGCTGCAGCCTGAAGGCTCCGCGTCGGAACTTAAGCAGGGCAGATAGGAATTGTTCAGAGTAGCAGAGAAGATCAGGTAAGTCGCACGTTGTACCTTCGCTCTCCAAAATCGTGTTGGCGCAAAGTATCGGCCGGTTTGCAAGGGCGATCGAGCCGTCGTCGCTTAGTGTTAGGCACCCAGTGCGAGTCTGGAGAATGCGTGACAGCGAGAGCATCATGCGACTCATATCACAGAAAGATTCTCTCGTTTCCGACGATCTTTTTGATTCCGCTTTCATGTATCAGAGTGCATCCGACCCCAGTCTTCCTCGATGAAGTCGACGAGAAGGTAGGGCATCCCGAAAGACACATTTGAAGTTGTCCGCTTGTACAGAGATTGGTTGGGGAGTGGTAACATATGCAGTAACAGCCTTCGTGTCTTAGCAGACATCGTGAGAGCAGTGGAAGATGTCTTTCATGCGAGAACTGTGCACTCTGTTAGCTGCATAGTACTGTGATGTAGAAGACATGCTTGTTTTGGAATCGTTCGACAAGCCGGAACCATCGAGTCGGAAAATTGGGGTCTCCGGACAGTTTGTTTCTATAGACGCGTAGTTGGCAACTTCCGATCTCACTTTCTCGTACATGGTCCCCTTGTAGTATTGCTCGGCAACCTTGGATGGTAGCGGGCATCGAAGGACCTTATGACGGGAGTGTCCGCGGACTTCGACGATTCTGATCAGAACACAGACTTTAAATTGGCCGTTCTTCCACGTCGCTCACTCTTGAACTGTGCATTGTCCACTCAAAAGACCTAGGCGATGCGCGCAAAGCGCCCCAATGACCTCCGTTCTAGACCAGAGGTGGTCGCATACTCCATTCGAGCTGGTCGACCGCCGGAGCTGAGTCAACACATTCTGCTCGCTGTCGAAAACATCGCTATGGGTCAGCGGGCGGCCGCCTAATAGTGGCAATGCTATTCGTGTGAGGATCTTGTAAGGGTTGAGAAACGCGGAGCGGTACATGGCAGGAAGTCAACAGACGCGGCCCGACTAACTCGATTGAGTAGGCGCCTTGGCAGACCTCGAGCTTCCAACCATGTCCGTGCTTAGTAATGATTGTACAATCCGAAAAGCTGATTAATTGAAAAGTTAGCTTAATAAGGTAAGAGTGATATCCTAGCAACGAGATAATTACCTAATTTGGGATCGCATCGGAAGAAGAACGGATTGTTCGCTCTCATGTACTCCATTATGTGGCCGCTAGACTAATACCCATGCTATATGTTCTTAGCGGCTTTTGCGCTGTGAGGTGCTTGAAGTAACGAACGAAGAAGCCGAACGTAATGGTGTAAAGAAAAATGCACTTTTATTCGAATGGATTGCTAAACTATGCGGCGCTCCAGGCGGGACCTAGGCACATTCCATGGTATCGCTACTATTTCCTGTTCCACACACTCAAAGGTTCACGCTGGAGAGACTGCTCGAACGAGCTAACCTTCCCGCGCGCGTGAGTCGCTGCCCAATCCACCAGTTGCTTCGAGTCGTAACCGTAATAGCCGCAGTACTCGAAGTAGCAGAACATGTTCAGCAGCGTATCGCGGTTGGTGCCGGGTAAGAGCTTGCAAAATACGTCCTTGGGGACCTGTTTACACCTGACCGGCTTACCACAGGCTTTGGACGTGGTCTCGGTGATCTTGAGGATGGTGTAAATGAACGAGGAGGAGCAGAAGGTCTTGCCCGCGTACTCGTCCGGCTGCGCGAGTATGGCCCCATCCCATCCGAGGACTTTCGGCACTGGAATTCCGAGAACATTCTGCACCTGTTCAATACGTATTAATTCCGCCAATACGTAGCTATAAAACGAAGCAGGCTTACAAAGTCCATTGTGGCAACCTCTGATGCTATGACTCGGCGTGCTGGACCAACATTTGGATTTGGAATCCTTGCAATCACTACTGCACCGTTGTCCATGGAGAGTCGGAAGACTTTGTTGAACCCTCCCTCAGCAAGCTTGGTCATGCTCACACACGATTGCGCGCCAATGGCTGCCGCAGCAAGGCGTTTCAAACCTGTCACGCTGAATTTCTTGTATCGTCCTTGGAGGCGCGCTTCTTCAGCCCAAAGCCAGCGTCCGCTGGTGTAGCAGTAGAAGTACTCGTGATCTGAATCTGACCTGTTGTCCCCAGATCTGTGATAGTTCGAAAGGCTGAACATTCTGTGTGGGAAGTTTGGGAGGATCTTGGACCGGACCGAGGCGCATAGCGCCCATGGGCCATTCTTAGGACCAGTCATTGGCCTGGAGTAGGAGGAGCTTCTCAGCTGTGCACGACTTCACATGCCACCAAGATCATGCCAACTTGCGAGGTAGGGGCTAGAGGGCTGTGGGCGTTTGTTGAACCATTGCGGTTGCTTTGAGTGCCTCCCGCTTCGGCAAAGCTTCTTGACGCTGTGTCTTGAGACACAAGGTGAAGTTCGATCGGCGCGATCCGTGATAGATAATGTAGTAACGTTGTCGCTAAGCGACCTACTCTGATTGGTTGAGACAGCTAACATAATCAATTTCTCATTCGAACCCCATTAACTGCTGTAGATGCACACCCTCGACTCCTTGAAAGAGTACTATCTTTACTTTTTAAGTTCCTAGACACATTAATCTAGACTAAAGTCCTTAATAAAGCGGAGAATATACTAAAAGGTATCTAGTCGAGTCTTCCTAAGCCGAAGTTCTAAGAACGATACTAGCTACAATTTCCGTATCGATCGCGGATCCGACGTTAATGGGAACCCTGATTGGATACCATCGCAATAGCAGTGCAAGAGTTGAGCGCCCCAGTAATCAGGTAGGATATTCCAGACCGAGGCGGCCAGAACGCGATTTGAACATCATTCTGCTGCACTTCGGTTGTTTGCTGAGGCTGTCTGCGGGCGGCAGTATATACGGTGTCGGCCATGATAGCTAGAACGACAGTATGTCTTGGAAAAATGAGGCATCCTATACTCTCCAGAATCAGGAACGACCCGCTCCCACATCATGCACGTTTTCAGGTAAGGTCGGCTGCCTCCATCGCGCCTTTGGATCACTTGTCAACGCAAGGCTGTGATCAGATTTGCGAAACCATGTGTCGAGGCGATCCGAGCAGACTACGTCATCTGGCGACATCACGTGTGTCCCACAGTCCAACATCTCCTCTTACTTGTGTGGTCTTCGTCCCCTTTTCGTCGATTTGGACTTTGCAAATTCATTGACTGAAGTCGCTATGAGCAGCCTACCCGAATTTACACCTCTGAACGCGTTCCCTCCATCCACCGGAGATGCTATCTCAATCTCGTTTCTAACCAACCCTGATATCAAAGCTGCGGACGATGAGTGTCTAGCCGGCAACGATCACGCTTCGGTGCTTGTTAACCAGCTAATACGAACGGGTATTCCGCCTGAGAATTTGCAGACCTGTCTGCAAAATGCTACGCACTCTGGGAACGGAAGTCTCGTTGAGCAGCTACTGGCAATCGGAGTTCCTTTTGATACTGGCGTTCTCTGCACTGCAATTGACCGAGGGGCTCTGAACATGCTTTCTGTGTTTCTGACATATGGCTGGGAGATTAATCGAGAGACCAACTGGTGTACCGCACCGCTCTTGTCGTTAGTCTCGACTGTGAGCGAGAAAGTGCATGACCTGTGCTGATACGATGATTAGGTATGCCATCCAAGTTGGAGCAGGTACTGTGGTCGTATCCTGGTTCCTAAGTCATGGTGCGGATCCCAACGCTAGCTGCCAGGCCGGCCTTACTCCGCTATCCACTGCCATCTCGGTTGCACCTCTGGCCATTATACAGCAACTACTCAATCATTGCGGACCCGATACAGTTTTTCAAGGACAGCTGCTCCACTTCGCCGCGCGGCGGAGTGACAGCGTCAGCGTCCAAGTCGTCCAACTGATTCTTCGCCGTTGCCAACCTTACTTCAATGCTATTATGTGGGACAATCAGCCGCTTGCGTACGAGTGTTACAAGATTACCGGGCTGGGCACACCTCTTCACGAGGCGGCTCGAGAAGGACGACCGGAGATTGCTGAGGCCCTACTTCGCGAGGGTGCCAGTACCTCTATACATGATACTCGCGGTCGGACAGCTATTGAATTGGCTGAAATAGCCGGAAACGTAGAAGTTGTGAAGGTACTTCACAATCTCGAGAAGGAAACAGCGTCGAGTGTAGCGAAGATCTGAGGTAGAGGTGTAACGTCGTTAAGCCACAAATGGCTTCTCGAAGAAAAGTACCTGTTGAGCTGGACACTCAGCTGGTGCGCCTTTCACAGGAAAAGGACGGGTACACTCGCATGGACGTTAGTATCTATTTTGCCCCTGCTTTACAATGTTTACTAAGCATCTTGCAGCCGTACCGTCGTTGGAGCAATCGAGACTTGTGACACACTTTGTCTGAGGAGGTCCCCGGCCTGCACAGAACGGACCGACCAGCTCTGGTGCCGCCTTTGGCATGGATGCTGTCGTGAAGGCGAGCACGAAAGTACACAGACTAACGAGGAACAGATCAAGACCGAACTGAGGCACCGTGGGGACACAAGAGGACAGGGCGATGGAGAAGAAGCAGGGGCAGTGGCATACACATTCGGGCTACGCCCAAAAATTGTCGCGGCACCCGGCCCCATTGGCTCGAAGACAAGGCAGTCATGCTTATTATTTGGACCAACGTGTTTGAAGTGATCCAGAAGAGTGACAATACGGCCTCTTGCAGCTTCGTTAGCACTAATGTTGAGGTTGATTACTAACTCCTTCGAAGCTTTTGACGCCTGGGAGCCCACGACCTTTATCGCAACGTACCGAGAAACACTTGGCATCAGTTGGTCAGCAAGTAGACGACTTAAACGCTCTTCGGTAGTGGTACCTAGTGTCTTGCGCCAGCCACACAGTTGAGTTTGACCCGTGACCTAGCTTGCGAACGATCTTGTATCGATCTGCCTGGAATGTATCGCCGATATCCACGGGATGCAGCCCCCCAAGTCGGTAGGACTCAACCGACTCGGCGTTCAGCGGGGGTAGTCGATCTAGAGGCTCCGTTGGCTGGTGTTGAGTTGGGACGTCTAGTCTCCAGAGACGTTGCCAGTCAAAAAACTTCTGTAGAGGCGCCGTGATACGTCACGTTCCGCAATGGTCTTACAGCGCGAAGTGTCGTGTCACATTGCTGGAGCAGCGTCAGGCTGTGAAGTGTGTTGCTGTGGTTGGTCGACGCTGCATGTGGCGCATGCGCGAGATGTCTATGCAGAAAGCTCCGAAAGGGAAGTGATTTGACTTCGATCCCTCAGCCTGATGGCAGAACTATGACAGATAACATGGAAGTCAGGCTGTCACCTCTATAATTTGCGACCTTGCTTTCTCCTCCTTCGATCATCGTCGCCTATCATGTCAATACTCAGGCCGGAACGCTTGTCTGGAGGTTACGAACAGGTGCAGATCTCCGAAGACAACAATGCTTCGAGGTCTTGTGCTCGCGAGACAGAGTTACGACCGTATGGAAGGCAGGGGACTCAGGGAAGCTGGTTGAAAGGACCCGATCCGACGTACACGGCCATCTCGAATGACAGCCCAGTATTGAGGTCACTTCTTGAAGAGGAGAAGGAGCAGCAATCGAGGCCAGCCCCAGAGCATAAGAAGCTCGGCACCCTCCTGAGGAATTGGTGGAAAGAAGCTCCCGCGTGCTTTCTTATGGTCGCGGCGGTCGCTGCGACCATTGGGACACTATACCCCTACCAAGGGCGCCCGACCCCGCAATGGCCTTATGCTATCACTGTCAACGCATTACTATCTACTTATATGGTAGTGATGAAAGCTGCGGCGACGTTCCCACTGACTGCAGGGATTGCACAACAGAAGTGGAAGTGGTTTGATGGAAGTCCAAGGCCACTTTGCGATCTGGCTCTCCATGACGAGGCAACTCGGGGGCCACTAGGTGCAATTATACTACTCCGGCGGGTCTCTATTCGGCATGTGTGGCATTGGTTGGGGTGCCTGATGATAGTGCTCGTCCTTTTCGTCGACCCGTTCACTCAGCAAGTGCTTCACTACTCGGACTGCAACATTCCACACCCATTCGGTGTTGCGACCATACCTCGCTCCAACATTTTCATGGGAAATGGCACGCATGTTGGTGCGGGACTAATCAGCATCACATCGCGAGAGCAAGCGGCCCTTGAGGCCGGAGTAGTGGCACCAGGAGGTCAAGTCGATATTCGGTGCTCTTCTGGCAACTGTACCTTCCCTGATTTTGAAACAATTGGGTACTGCAGTCGATGCATAGACCTTTCGCAAGAGATCCAGGTGCGGGTGCAGGATCTTGTACAGGAAGGAGCTCTAACGTCCTACCGAGTCAACACATCAATACCGGCCAAATCTCCACAAGGCCCAGACAATTTCTTTGAGGTCGACCCAGAATTAAGCAATCTCTATGAGCCTTGGAACGGTACTAACTATGCGACTGATTTTGCTGCATTTGGGGTGCTTTCCAAACACCACTATCGATTCCTTGTTGGCGTACTCGGGCCTGAATTCGGTGTCTCAACGGCCGACGACTTCACGATAAGACCTTACGATCCTTTGGGCCGCCTGCAAACCTTCAATTGCAGCGACGCCGCAACGAACAACACCTGGCGCTGTCATGCGACTGGGTACGCAGAATGTTCTTTGTATCCATGTATCAAAACATATAACGCCACGGTAACGAACGGCATCCTACACGAGACGCGTATCGCTGAGTCGCCATTGAACTTCGATGAGAATGTCCAGGACAGCGACGCATATACCGCCGTCAACACATCTTGCCTTTTATCATCGGAAAAGCATTTTCTAACCAAAGATTTGAATTATACTATCGGCCCAAACAGTCTTTGGGTACCATACAACTTCTCCGGTAATCTAGACTACAAGGGAAAAATTCCAGCCTACATATCGAACTCTTCAGAGCTCAATGACTTCGAATACAACATTCAGTCCCGTGGCTGTGTATACGGCCTCTCCATGCAATTTGACCTGTCTCTAGGTGTGGTGTATGCCAACTCCTCCTGGACGGGTAGTCTCACTGGGTACCGAAACAACTATGGCGGCCTTTCTCGCTTCAGCGGTCCCCAGATTCTACAGACTCTCTACAATTGGGGAGACTTTTCCTTTGAGAGGACGCAGGATGTGTTCAAGAATATCTCAGAATCTTTGACAAGGCATATGCGGCAAAGTGGCTTGGCTCAGAATGGCTATGACCGTGACGATTACAACTTCACAAGACCATCCCAGGGGCAGGCGTACGTGGATAAGACATGCCTAAGCGTCCAGTGGGCGTGGCTCAATCTCCCTGCGGTCCTTATCGTCGGTACCTGGGTCTTCTTTGCTGCGACGACCCTGATCGGAAGAGGCAACATAACAAGTGAAGCAAGAACATGGAAAAGCTCAATATTGCCATTGATATTCTGTGGACCGCAACAACAATCTGAATCTAGATCTGCGCTGCGGGATGTCCAGGAGATGGAGCGCTTCGCAGCAAGGATGGATGTGCAGCTGGTGAAAGAGGACGGTGGGGCGATGTATTTGCACGAGTATCGTCGGGATGCGCAGCTTTTGTGAGCAGGCATGGAAAGACACCCGTATGTCAGCTCAGAGAGCCAATTGTTTGCTTATTAATTCAGCTCGTGCTTGAATTGACTTTGTGCTTATTTCTGGCTTAATGTCATAAAAGGGGCAAGTATCAGAGTTTCGTCTGTCCAGAACTATGTGACTCCAGGAGCTTTCGCCGGAGGATCTTGCCTGATGGATTTCGTGGTAATTCGTTAATGAAGAGGACGCCGCCTTCGAGCCATTTGTGCTTGGAGAGGCGCTCGGAGACAAATCCCTTCACTTCGCTTTTGGTAGGACTATCGGCGTTGCTTCCTTTGCGTATGATTGAGATTCTGGGAGCTTTTTGCCCTGTCATAGCTCTCTTCCTTTCTTTCTCATTAATTAGGAGGATTGTAACAGTAACAAGAAGAATACTACAGAGCCAAAAGACTTTCATTCGCACTTTGGGTATCTTTGTCAGAAACTAGTCTATCTTCCCGATTCCGTCCTCATTATATCGATGAATTTTATCGTTCTCTCTCGGAGCTCTTTTCGAAAATCGTTCAACATCGCACACCCCACAAACTCTCCCACTCAACTTCACGCATCCCCCTTCCCAGCCGTCTGCTCGACGATACTCGCTCTCCTGGGCGTGTGGTTCTCAACAAAGACCTTTCGGAATCGCAAAGAGCACAGATCCCTCGTGACTTCCATCGCACTGGCCATATTCTCCTTGACCAACTGTTTCGTAGGTTTCTGGAAAATGGCGTCAATCTCTTCCAACGTCTTGTCTTTCGTCTCAGGCATGAAGAGGATCTGATAGAACCATCCGAGGACTGCGATCCCGCCGTAGAAACCGAGTGTGAGGCCGGTGCGCGTGAAGGCGTCTTGCATGGCGGTGAAATTGTAGGTGACGATGAAGGAGCAGAGGAAGAGGAGGCCGTCGGACGTGGTCATCCCGTAGGATCTGAGATAGGTGGGATAGACTTCTGCGGGCACGACCCAGGTTAATGTCGCGTACGAGCCGAAGAAGAGTTCGTAGATGATGAGGCCGGTGAGGTAGACTCCCAGGGTGGCGGATCCGTTGAGGTGGTAAGAGACTCCGACGAGGACGAGACCGATGAAGAAGCCTGGGAGCATGGCGATGGCCCAGAAGCGACGGCCGCAGGTTTCCATGAGGAAGACGGCGGGGAGGGTACCGATGAGGAGGGAACCGCCGCCGACGAGGGACATGTAGTTTGATTCGAGGTCGTTGAAGCCCATTTGGGACATGAGGACAGACATGTAGTACATGCTGTAGAGCGGGTGAGTATGAGCATTCAGCATGTTGGGGGCGGGGGGGAGTCGACTTACATTGCGTTGATACCGGTGAACTGGCCAAGGAAGATCATCATGTTGGCATAGACGATGGCACGGCGAGCGCGTGGCTTGGTAAAGAAGTCCATCCAAGGGAATCTGCGAGAGCCAGCACCGGCAGCGACTTCGGCGTCTTCTTCTTCCTGACCGACCTTCATGACGAAGAATTCCTCACGATCCTCAACAGTGCGCGTGCCGCGGATGCGCTTCCAGACGGCGAAAGCGTCGAGCGTGCGGCCCTTGTGCATGAGGAAACGAGGGGACTCGGGCATGTAGAGCATACCGATGAACATGATGGTGCTGAAGACAAGAGAGGAGCCGAGGATGTATCTCCAGTTTCCTGGAACACTGACGAACATGGCGGCGACGGCATATCCGAGGACTTCTCCAAGGGCGAGGCTGAATTGGTAGAGGGAGACCATGTTACCACGGAGTCTCCGTTCGACTGTCTCGGCGACGTAGACGGGTACAGTACCGCCTTCAAGACCGACACCCATTCCCAGGATGAGACGGGCGGCAACGATCATGCCGTAGCTGATGGAGCCGGCTTCGAGGCCGCCTCCAATGGTGTAGAGGATGCAGGAGATGAGGATAGACCATCGTCGGCCAAACCACTCGTTGCAAGGGGACAGGATTAGCGCACCAGCAACAGCTCCAAGAGGCATGGCAGAGTTGACCAAGCTGTTCTGGTGGGCGGTCAGGTCCAGGTCGGTTGGCAGGAAGAGGTTGGCACCAGAGATGAGCGATTGATCGAGTCCGGAGAGCAGACCTCCCATGGAGGCAAACGCAACCAATAGCCATGTGAAGTGCTTGGGGTTGTTGAATTCGAGATCAAAGAAACCCTTCTTGTCGCCTCGCGCTTGGAGTTCCTTCTCGAGCTCGTCGATCACGGCATCTGCTTCCCAGCCGCCGGCGTGAGCAATGTCCAACGCTTCTTGCATGGTGTGAACGTGAGGCACGCTGCCTGCTCGCTTTGCATGGGAGATGTCGTCTCCGTCCGATCCAGGTGTGGAGACATTCTCGACATTGATGGCCTGGGTCGTCTCGACCCTCTTGGCATCTCCTCCTTTCTCCGCCATGATGAGGGACTTGACGAACTGTCAGGCAAGATGGTGTGTTGATAGAGAGGGAGCAAACCAGAAGTTTCAGTCACAGGGAGGCAATTCAGTCGACATGGCCGGCCATCCTCCACATTTATACCTTGGGGTGCGGAGACTCCTCCAACTGGCTCAAGCGCCATCCGCCTCCACGGGAACTCCACTGGAGACGGTGCCGTCGCCGAGTCTCCCACACTCGTCCAGCTAGAGGCTGCAGTCTTTGCCCCGAGTTTTGCGCCGGGGCTCCATGGCACCAGCACCAGCACCAGCACTATGCAAGCGGAAAACAACGAGGGCGCGCGTGGTTGGGCGAGAGCCAATGATGGAGTGGCGGCGGGGACTGCAGGCACAGTGAGGCAATCTATAAGGTAAATTGAAGCTTTTCGGTCCGACTGCTTGCAGTGCTTGATCCACTTGGCGCCCCGCCCGCCTTCCATCTGCCTTCTAGCGCCCTTCTAGCGCCAGATACCCCGGCAAATGTGAGTGAACACGATCTCGTCCAATATCCCATCATCACAGGATCCAATTTGCCGTGATCCCTACGAGCCAGCTATCCGTCTCCTGGCGCCATGGGCCGATCAGACGCTGTGCACCAAGCACCAAGCACCTAAGCACCATGAACGCCGCCGGCATGCCGTAAAACCCGTTCAGCCTCAATCGGCAAGTATTCGGCATGTCAGGCCGCATACGGCCGCTGTTCTCCCGTCAATAATGCCGACGACGCGTCCACTCGGGATGCCACACTCCACTTAACGCCTTGCTGCTGTTGGGAAAGGCATGCGTGGACAAGTGGATCGATCTTGAACACTATTGAAACGTGCCCATGCAAGGATCTGCCCACCCTCGCCGGGTGACCACGCGGCTGGCTTTGGGTTGTTTGTACGACGTCATGCTCGTCTCGACCTTCTACGTCTCGTCTCGGCATGACGTGCAGGAAAGAGGACAGCAAAGCGAGCGGTGTGCGGCATCTATGGGAATCGGAAGATTGCCTCTCGATTCCGAGCCCTCGAGCATATATGTCCGTCAGCTGGTCGAGCAGCACAAGAACTATGGATAACCTCCGTGGAGAGACGCGACTGCTGCTTCGATGGAGCATGGAGTGTTATTGGCCGCGGGAGAAGCCTCCACGCTAGCGAACAGTGCTTCCCAAAGAGGCTAGCGCTTTTGCCGGAGTATCTCTCTTCCGACATCTTCTGCTACCTATCATTCGGCATTGCTGCCCTGGTATACCAACCCCTCCATCTATCGCCTATGCTACTTCTTTGATTTGGCGTGAGAGTAGATCAGATGCGATTCGAAATAACTTTCTTGTGCAACACCCAGCTAGCAATTCGACGCAGACGGAGTACCATCTCTGCTATTCAGTCAAGAATCACTGACACGACACATTGCTCGAGTCCGCACAGCACTGCACGCTTGCTACACTGCAATTACAGCTCCCACGAGAGTGCCATTCATCATTGCTCATCTGTGCAGCAAAAGTTCTCGACCCAGAAGCCAAAACGCCAATGCCTCTTAAGCGGGGTCCCCGGGCCTGCGGAGAGAGGTCGAGGTCCTGAGGTTTGGATCTATAAAACAGCATTAAGCTCATGAGAACCCCTCTATGTGATGTCCGATGCCGCATTCAAACCGTCCAACTTGCTGGGGAGTATAAAGAATCGATAAGAGACCCTGAGGAAGACATCCTTTAACGAACTGTGGCGAGAGGACAGATATCAAAGCCCAAAGACCGGACAAGCTTGCTTCAGTTGAGACGACATATTAGTAAAGAGTCACGATGAAGGCCATCAAAGTCGTCGGGTACCATCAAAACCTGAAAATGGACGAGAGTCCACAGCCAGAGGTTACAGGTCCTCTCGATGTCATTGTCAAGATCGGTGCGGCGGGCGTTTGCAGGTATATATCTCGAGACCCCTTCATCTCCCGCCTCACGAATTGCTATAGAATAACTAACACACGCTCCCTCTCCAGAACCGACATCCACATCCTCGAAGGCCAATGGGAATCCAAATCCGGCGTCAAACTCCCCTACACCATCGGGCACGAGAACGCCGGCTGGGTGCATGCCAAAGGCGAAGCCGTCACGGGTCTGAACATCGGCGACGCCGTCATCCTCCACCCCCTGGTAACCTGCGGCCTCTGCCGCGCCTGCCGCTTCGGCGACGACGTGCACTGCGAGAATTCCACCTTCCCGGGCATCAACGTCGACGGAGGCTACGCGGAATACATGAAGACCACGGCGCGCAGCATCATCAAGCTCGACCCGAAACTGCAACCGGCTGACGTCGCCGCGCTCGCGGACGCCGGCCTCACGGCGTACCACGTCGTCGCCAAAGCCGTCCGATCTCTGCGTCCCGCGGGCGACTTCGTCGTCATGATCGGCGCCGGAGGCCTGGGACACATCGGCATCCAATGCATGAAAGCCGTCTCGGGAGCGACGCTCATCGTCATCGACCGCAACGCCGAAGCCCTCGCGCTGGCCAAGAAAATCGGCGCAGACCATACCCTCCTCGCCGACGATTCGGAGAATTTCGTCCAGCGCGTCCTGGACCTCACGTCGGGCCACGGCGCCGAAGCGGTCATTGATTTCGTCGCCGAGAACGGCACCACGACTTCCGGAGTGAAAATGCTGCGGCGAGCGGGCAATTACTACGTCGTCGGGTATGGCGAGAACATCAACATCCCTACGATCGACATCATCTCCGCCGAGATCAATTTCATCGGGAATCTGGTCGGGAGCTATAATGATCTTGCGGAATTGATGGTGCTGGCCGCGCAGGGCAAAGTGGTGTTGCACACGAGTAAGTATAAATTGGAAGACTTTCAGAAGGCGATTGAGGATCTTCAGGAGGGGAGGGTCAGGGGGCGGGCGATTTTGGTTCCGTAGGAGAGAGGAGAGGAGGATATATGCATATCGACAGATTTGGGTGTATTGAATGTAGAAATTAGAAACATGAGATTGAGGGTCGTTGATGAAGATGAGGCGAAGTTGTCTGGCTTGTCCATCAAGGTGTCCTACCCTGCGGACCCGGGTGTGCGCATGTGTAGTTACTCAAAGTCGAGCCTCTAGTGTACTTCTTCAGGTATGGGCCCAGAGTGCCATCACACATCAGAACTAGGTCCCGGTAAATCTCAGTAACAATAAAATTTGGCAGCTGGTGGGTCATAAAATTCGCGAGCCATGGAATGGAGATCGCTGATGACCGTGAAGTCTTGTCTGTTCCGTATATAAGTTTATTATCATGTTCTGGTCGTTAGAACGCCTCATCATAAACCAAGTTTTGTTCTATCAAACCACATTTCCCTTCCTTAGAGCTTGCCAATAAGTTCAGGCAACTCTGTCGCAGGCTTGCCACTCTTCTTGCCGCGACCTGGAAATGAAAGGGTCAGCACTGCATTAAAGCTATCTCGGAACTCAATCAATAACTCACCTCCGAAACCCCAACGTATCTGATTAGGCATGTTGATTGCAACGTCCAGCTCATCTGCCCAAGCAAATACCAGACCAGGATTCTTCTGGAATCCCCTCCCAACAACGACAAAGTCAAGGTTGTCCTTCTCCAGTAGATCGTTAGCAAGCTTGCCGTTCTCAATCGAGCCTACGGATGCCACAGCCATCTTGGTGTTCTTGACGGCTTCCTTGACTTTGATGGCGAAGGGAGCTTGGTAGGCTGGCTTGACGTGAGGGTGCTGAGCCGGGTGGTTGCCGCCGGATGAGACGTCGAGGAAATCGACTCCACGCTCGGCGAGTAGAGGTGCAAGCTTCACGGTATCGTCTCCTGTCCAGGATTCTGGAAAGTCCTTGTTCTCCTCGAGCCAGTCGGTCGCGCTGATTCGGAGGAAGAGTGGCATATCGGATGGGATAATGGCACGGACAAGTTCGACCTGGCAGAGGTTAACTCTAAATTCTTCCGCAAGTCTGTCCCATGGGTACTCACCACTTCCAAAGTCAAGCGGATGCGATTCTCAAAGCTGCCACCGTATTTGTCCTTTCGCTTGTTGCTGACGGGGCTCAAGAATGAGTGCAACAGATAACCATGCGCATTGTGGATCTCAATCGCATCGAACCCAATCTGAATGGACCTTCTAACAGCAGCCGCATACGCCGCCTTGAAGTCCTCGATATCTTGAAGACTCATCTCCTTGGGCTGAGCGTGATGATCGTTCCAAGCAATCGCAGATGGACCATAGACATCGTCCGGCCAGCCATTCTGGTCCTTAGCCGCAATAGCTCCAGAGCTCAGCCAGGGAGCGAGGGTCGATGCCTTTCGGCCTGCATGGGCAAGTTGGATCATGATCTTCTGATTCTGGGAGTGCGCGAACTCGACGACCTCGCGAAGTGGCTCCATCTGGCTGTCCTTCCACAGTCCGCTGTCTTCGGGCGTGATGCGGCCTTGCGGAGTCACGGAGGTTGCTTCGATAGTGGAGATACCTGGACCGCGAGAGATGATGCCGCCCAGATGTGCCATGTGCCACTAGTCGTAACAATCAGAGAAGAGAACGTCATGTTGTGGATGGGGCACATACCTTGGTGAAGTGGCCATCTTGACAACTGTATTGGCAAAGAGGACTCAACATAATGCGGTTCTGAAGCGTCAATCCTCGAATCTGCAGTGGTCTAAACAGCTTGGGGACATCCTTCTTTCCATCGGCCAGAAGGGCAGTGCCCGCGGGTGGATCTTGTAGAGGAGTGAAATAGGAGATCCTCGGAGCGGGTCTGTTGACCGCGATCTCGGCACCCTCATTGGGCTTGTCAACGACATTGTGGTGAGAGGTAGACATGGTCGGCTGGAGTGTGTGTAAGTGTGAGGTAGGTGAAGTGGAGTTCCGAGGGATGTATCGTGTTTTATATCGTCTAGGGAAGAAACCTAGCGAGAAGAAAGGCAGAAGGCAAAAACGCGGGAAGTGCGGATCAGGGTCTTATGGCGTATCCGTGAGGAAAGAACGATGCAACGCGAGGCAAGTGGTATCCGTCTAAATGGAAGGTGCAGTGTAGAAGGTCGCTCGATGGCGCGAGTGATTGTTAATACGGCGGAACTGGGGAGTGCGTCATTCCCCGCCGATCCGCCCTGCGCCAACCCGAAGGCTCCAGTACATTCGAGACTTCATCTTCCAAATCATACACATCAGACTGTGCTGACCTGATAGGAAGGAACCATTTTCCCCCCAATTTGGCAGACTCGACATGCGCACCGATGACTGCCAAGACGTGTGCAAAGCTGCAAGGTAATCAGCACGCCGGAATGCTGCTTTGTGCGAACTTGGGGCAAGACCGAGCATCTAGAGCTCTGTCCTCCATCAGTGAGCAATGTAGTGTAAGCACTGCAGTTCCACACCAAGCACTCACTGTCCAGGTCATCGTCGCACGAATCCAGCGTCCCCGGATAGCGTAACTTCGTACAATGAGAGCTTATCGCGCCAGTCAGCGTCAAAGGCTCGGTGTTGTGGCGGCCTTGCCTGTGGTGCGATCCTTGGTGAAGTCAGAAGCATCGGAGGCGCAAGCACCTGGAAGTCATCCTCATCAAATGCGCATCGAAAGCGTCAACATTCATGGTGCTCCCAGGCGACCGCACATCTCTTGCAGTAGCGATTCCCTTCGCCTCTGACCACCACTGCTCGATCGCAGCACGCGGATCAGCGCCAAAGGTCATGGCCCAAACGCGACGGTATCGACGAGCTTGCGCGCACAATTGCAAACACCCAGTCTCGTGGTCCCAGTCCATCTCCATGGTATTCCTACCCGCGCAGAAGCGCGAGTCGAAGATCAGAGGCCTATACAGTAGAGCAGCACTCCAGTCTGGTATCAAAGAGGGTAATTCGAGGTTCTCGTTGGGTTTACCAGAGCACAGAGGACAATAAGATGAGCGCCTTGCGGCCCTCTTTGGTTCTGGCCGATACTCGGAGGCTTTGGCCATCTTTAGAAGCTAAGCTAGTGACCTTGCCGAATGAAATGGAGTGCGAATTCGTTGAAGACTTGTTGGCGCGACGAAGTGTAATCTGGAGTCATTTCATGACTAGTGAGTCCCAAGAGTGCGTACACTTTATCGCGCGGACCTGTAGCAGCAGGAGGATTCGAGCAAGTGTGTAACTAACAAACGAGAGAAAGAACGAAATCGCACAGCCGTGTTGACTTCACTGTAATTGACATTATAGACACAGCGCTAGTGAGAATTTAACGCCAACATAACTCAACCTCTATCGCAAAGCGAAAGACGGCGCGCGTACACTACACTGATGTACAATAATGCTCGCAGACCCCGGAGATCGCCAGAAATATGTCAATCGACCGTTCGAGAAAGACGAATCCAATGATCCCTTCCGTGAGAGATCGTATAGGAGCAAAGCGTGCCGGCAATAAACAAACACCACTCGCTTTCCAACGCTGCGCTGCATCAGTGAGTGCCTTTGTGTGGTCACTATGGCTACTGAAGCTGAGAAGGATCTGACTTGCATTCAACCAGAATGACACGAGCGGGAAAGTGGTGGATAGATCATAGATCAGAGGCAGAACGAAAAGTAAAGTATGGGATGAAGTCAAACCCTGCGAATGAGAGTTAGCTTTCACTGCCCTGGGTACGTACCACCCTCTCACGTTCAGTCGAATCCGATAATCAGCCCTGCCTCGAAGACTACCATTCTTTCTCCGCTCAAAGTGCACAAGTAATCAATTACTACATGTATATCCATCAATCCACTGCCGAACTGACTCAAGCCTGGACTTGCATAAGCAAATCAAATATGTACTGCATCAGACTACTCCCCACCGTTCCCTCCACCACTACCTCCCTTCTTCCTCTTGCCCCTCTTTTTCCTCCTCTTCTTCCCACCAGCCCCATTGGCAGAGCCCTGGCCGTTTGGCTGTGAGCTCTCCTCGTGCTCTTCCTCGTCGCCTTCCTCGTCATCTCCCTCGTTCTTTGAACTCTCCCCACTGCCCCAAAGTCGAGATGATCGTTGTGTATCTCCAGGGCTCACACCATCTTCCTCAGACGAAGAAGTCGTTCCGAGGACAACCTTCTTCAACCCTCCGGAATCCACATGCGTCTCCGTGATCGATCCTGAACGGACAGCCATGCGCTTCCTGCCCCAGTCTGGTGAAGCAGGCGGCGCTAGCTCTCCCACATCGTCGTTTTCGTTCTCAGCATCCCCTGCGACCATCTTATCCGGCAGGGATGGTTCGTCTTGGGCCTGGGAATAAGATTCCGGCTCATCGGTCCGATAGCTGTTCGGAGGGGCGACATTTTCACTCGCAACTCGAGAGGCCTCCTGGGCAGACAATCTCTCGCCTCCAGATAGCCTCCTATTGCGGTTTGGGGAAGAAGGTCCCATCGTTCCGTACACAGCTGCTACTCCGCCACTCGCAACTTTGCCTCGAAGAGAGTCCACGTCGCTCGCATTCCCGTCGTCTTCCTGGACAAGCGTAGCAGAAGGTGTAGAATTGCTCTTCTTGTGCCCCAATGGTACTGACGTCGGCGAATTATCCTTGGGTCTTGTGCTCAGTGCCGAATGTTCCGGAATGGTGCCAACGCCCGGCTTGATCTTGACATTTGAAAACTTGGTCTGTCTTGGGTTGGATGCGGCATTGCTGGGCCCGAGATGCTTGAGATGCTCGCGCATGTCCGTCGCGCTGCTCCTCACGGGCACAGGCTTGACGTTTGGTCCGTGATCCCTGGCACCATCGGAAGCGGTACTGCTCTTTCTACGCATGAGGAAGGTCGTCTGGCCATTTTGAAGGCTCGTCTTACGAGGAGCACCGGCCGCATCAGCGCCCTTCTTATTGCCAAGCAAAGGCTCGTTCTCGGTCGCTTCTTTGCGTTCGTCTTCGGAGTCAACCACGTAGTCCGACGCAAAGATCTTACTGCTGTACCGCGTCCTGGGAGCTGGGGCCACTCGCCTGATAGCCTTGTGGACATCGACGAATACATCGGACTCGTCGATGATCTCCTCGCCGATCAGCTCCTCGATGACATCTTCGAGCGTCACAACACCCAAGGCGCCCTTATCCTCTCCTGGGAAATCTGACACTAGTACCATGTGGCTCTTGCCCTCCTGGAAGAAGTTGATAATGTCCAGACAAGATGTGTACGGGGAAGTTTCGGGCAGCGTTGCCAGCGCAAAGTCTCTCACACGCTTGCCGTCCTCCGGGTCGTACGTGATAAGAATCTTGACCAGCAACATGCCTATAAAGTTGCGATGGTTATCCGGGGAATAGATCGGAATGCGGGAATAGCCTTGAGACAATATCGTATCCATCATGCGCTCGTCCAGAATCGTATCCGCGCTCATGGTAAAAACGTCCTGCATTGGCGTCATGATGTCGCCCACCGGTTTCTCTTTCAGGTCCAGAACACTGTTGATTATGGTGACCTCATCTTCCATCAGGCGTTCGTGAGCGCCTGCGCCCAAAGTCTTGTGTAGCGTGACCAGCGTCTTGAGCCCAGCTTTCTTGTACATGATGCCATGGTCTTCGCCAAGAAGCCAATCGAGGAGTTTCGCGGTGGGCCACGCTACAGGTGAGAGGAGTAACATGAGTACCCAGACGCCCTTCGCGCACCAGGAGCCAATCGATAGACCAAATCGGACGCAGACGGACTGCGGAGCCACTTCGCCGAAGATGACTGCCCATAAATCAGTACCCGGTTCCGCTCGATTCATTGAGACTGTCTCTGATTCACTCACCAATCAAGACGGTACTACTGACAACAGCAGGCCATCCTCCACCAAGACTCCGATCCAGCACGATGGGCAGCGTCTCGTTCGTAATCACATTGCTCAAGAGCAACGTCACCAACACCCAGTGTTTTCCCTTTTTCAACAGTTTCAAGACCGTCTTCGCATGTTGCTTCTCTTTCCCTTCTCCAGAAGACGCAATGACCTGTAGATACGTCTCATCCTGACCCATCAAAGCAATGGTCAGGCCAGCAAAGATACCGCCGAGTAGGACGAGGGCAACGGCGACTGCGAGGTAGATCCACAGGTCGGGGTCGTCTGGGGATCTCGGGAGGTCCTCATCACCCTCGGCGACGGTGTGTAGGCGGGCATGCTCCCAGTAACCGGGGATGGCGGGTGCAGCAGCGGCGAGCGGTAGCGTGAGGAGTCTGGCGGCGGCGAGGATGGCAGGCCTCACAGTGGTGAGTGAAAGGCCATTGCCACGGCGAGGGTGACACGCACTGGCGGCGACGCGTCGGGAATGATGTTGCAGGCTTCCTCGACCCGCCAACGCAGACATACGAGCCCTGCACGCTTTGTCGCCAATCGATGCGTAGTGATGCGGAGGGAGTGGAGGACTCTGCGATGGATGTCGAGTTGGGTTCCTTGTCGTTGAGCTGTCGATGGACCGTGGACTTGGCTTTGTGTGTTTTCTGCGGCGATGCGCACGTGATGTTCAATCGAGCTGAAGGGAGTGTCGATGAGATGGCAGCAGGGAACTGGAAGCAATTTCTCTTCACGCGCACTTGCACAGCTCTTGTGTGACGATCCGGACGCGGACGCTGCGGCACGTTGCGTTGCGGATGGGATTTGGGATGCTGGTGCTTAGTTGGGCAGCGTGGGATCGAGGCCAAACTCAATTCGCAGCACCGTTAGATTTGATGTGTATTCGATGCAGCTACATACACCATCGTAGCGTCAACTGAACATCCGCGAATGTGTATAAACACCCGCTTCTACATTGCTTCTTTCCATACATCATCCGATCGTAGCTACCCCGGTTTCAAGTCTCTCCATCTAGCCAGAAGCATGGACTTGTCTTGCCTGTCATACACAGCCCCCATGTCGCCATACCGTCACAACCGACGTCACGTTTCACCCTTGCATGTATCCACCCGGTACTTCAATGAAAAGGAAGAAGTGAGAGCCAAATATCAAGTATCATAGGTGACGAGCGCATGTGAGACTTAAGTGCCCGTATGCAGGAGTATTCGCTCTTACTCTGCTGTCGTCAGCAGGTATAAATTATCACTTTCCCAACCAGCGCCCAAAGTACCCAAACGCCACGCCAGGTATCATAGATAACAAAAGTCCCCAGGTACAATTGTCGCACAGCCCCAAGTTGTACCGACTCCATCCTAAGCCAGTGAAGCAATGCATCGCCGTGAACTACTCCCAGTCATCATCACTATCCTCATCCTTCGACTTCTCCTTCGGACTCCCTCGACTAGGTGCACCGCTAACGAGATCATAGCTTGCATCGGAATCTGCCACCGACTTGTTCTCGTCCTCGCTGCGTCGAGATTCTTTGGGCTTGAGGAGATCTGCTGCATCCGTGGTTGTCTTGCTGGACGCGGTTGCATTAAGCGTCGTTGTCGACGCGGATGCTTGTGCCTGTGGTTGGGGGGTGGAAGACTTGTCCTCTTCCTCGTCTTCGTCATCCCAGCCGACTTCTTCCTCAGTCTCTGCAGCAGCGCCTGCATTCAAAGTTAGCTCGGGAGTCATCGTTGCTCTGACAGATCCTCCCTTACCTTTCAGCACCTCCTTTCGTCTCTTCTCCTCTTCCTCGATAGCCTTCCTCAAGAAGTAATACCTCATCCAAAATACCCTGTATTCTACCTTCTCTGGCACCACCTTCTCCATGGCTCTCCTCAGCTCTTCATACTGCTCCAAATCTTGTGCAATCGCATCCGTCTTCTTCTCCACGTCGAATTCCTTCTCCCAGGCCTCCCACTCGTCTCCTTGCGGATCCTCTGTGAAAGTACCACTGCTCGTGTGAATGGCATGAAGCTGCGCATCCAGCCTCGTAGAATGGAACACCTTCCTCCCAGTCCCCGGCTCCTGTGTCTCGAACAGCACCTCCTTCGCAACGCCATCCTCTCCCTCAGGAGCAGATATAGTCACCGCTTCTCGCAAGAAGTTCCTGACATTCGCTCCGAAGCGAAGCAGTGCCTCGTCGGCGGCATCTTCCGCCTTCTGCAAGTCTTTCAACTTCGCTGCACCCAAAGTCCTCAAACTGGCAACCAGACTGCCTGCCTCCTTGACAATGTCCGCCGGTAACGACTCCGGCTTCTGCGCTTCCAGAGCAGCCGCTTCGGCAGACTGTGGATCCACCCCTTTCTCCTCAGCTTTTGGAACGGACTCTTCGCCGGGTATAGGACCCTCAGCGGTGTTCAAGCTCATCCCCCTCGTCCGACTGACCACTTGTTCCCTTAAGCTGGAGAATCCTTTCGTCGCTTGCTCGGAGGCTTCAGTCGCTTCCTTTTGTAGATCCTGCACGAAGCTCTCGCCCTGCTTCCGTGCTTGCGAGAACCATCCCCCTAACTTGGCCCCCCATGGTGAAGAGCTCACGGCCTTGAAGGCTTCCTGGAACTCGGCGTTGAGATTCTGTTCCGTTTGTGTCTTGCGGTTCGCTTCGTCGGGTGAGAGGGTTTCCTCTGTGATGTGATCGTAGGCAACGTCCATAATGGCGGCGCCTAAGGAGTAATTTGTAGGAGGGGAATTCGTTAATGTTGACTGCTCGGGGCCTAGGGAGATAGCCTTTGCAGGGGCCAACGCCGGTAGATGCCGAGCAGGGACATGGTGGGGCCTAGGGAAGCGCCAAGGCTTCGTTCACTTCACCTCGTCTTTCACATGCACTCAATGCATTTGCGACCTCGTTCGACGCGATCCTGTGGCACTTGGACTACCGTAAAACACGACACTTATCAGACACATCGGGAAATGACACTCGTCTCGAAGATTGTAGTGAGACCGGACTCTTGACTGCCAAATGGACCACCCCATCTCTTTGCATGATGTTCAAACCTCTCGGTCCAACATACTATGAAGACACCAACAGCCTATCTGTATCTTGCACAGCTCGGTACCCGTCAATCCCCGAACGATGTGAATGGTCTTCAGACATCTCGTCAAGCGGCGCAAAACGCAGTACTTCCAACCAGTCAGTCCTCACCAGGAATCTCAGTCTTAGGCTCTCTCATGCCCGATTGCGCCTGCATCGAACGGAGAGGTCGGTATGGCATTGTCGGCAGCGATAGATGAAGCGATACATCATGCCGTTGCAACTATCGCACTCATGTCGCCCGCCTATGCTCTGCATGCGCTCGTGCTCGCACTCGTGGTTTTGGCGAAGATGCTCGGCCATTGCTGCCCCGCCCATCTGACCAGCTCCTCCTGCTTGTCGATCGACAATCTGCTCTGCACGTTGCAGAAGCCGATCCTCCTCGAAGTGCGGACACTCACACGTCTTCCAGGTGCGGCCGCAGCAATAGCAGAATTGAGCTTTGCAGAAACATCTGTGAACTCCGTCAGTATTTGCAAACACCTGAAACACTACAATGGTACCAGAACGTACGTCATGTGGTTGCACCCAGTAGTAAGCTCCACCATACGGCGGCAGGAGTTGCATCGCTGCCAGCCCTCACGTCTCGCCGCTTCAAGGACGCTCTGAGTGCCTGCGTCTTGCGGACAGTCTCTGCCTCGATGAGCTGCACCGTTGCATATGATACAAGTTGCCTCATGGCAGCGAGGACACCGGCCAATGTCGTGCGCCCTGTCTGCAACGGGTATGTAGGCTGAGCATCTGGAGACATGGCAGTACGTGCGTTGCTTATCGTCGAGTTCTTCTTTCTTAGCTTCAAATTCGGCCTCGAGATCCGGAGTGAGATAGATTCGTGCATTCTCGAATTGCATGGGTTGACGGCAACAGCGCGGTGGATACAACGTCTCGTCCTTCATGGAATCGCGGAAGAGGTTCTCGATACAATTTTCGCAGTATCCGTGCGTGCATGGTGCATTGTAGATGCGGTCGAGCGGGTAGAAGTCGCCGCAAGCAGTACACTCAGCATGTGGGATGCGCATGTGCTCCGGAATGTCCGTCGTGGCGTCGTCTCCATCTCCAGGGGTATTGGTACCCAGTGAGGCATTCCTCTATTCCTCTCGCCCTCTTCGAAGCCACGGATCTTGCTGTAGAATTTCAGCTCCGCCTCATAGAGCTGCCGTGCGATGTGACTGTCTTGTTGAAGAGCTTGATGGTGCGACTTCGAGGCACGAGCGGACGGCTCCTGGAGATCCGCGAGTTGGATACCGACAATCAGCTGTGCTGTTGCATCGTCGAGATCGTCCAGAACGCTTGGCATACCCATCACATGCTGGGTGATGGGTGCTCCGCGAGGCTGTGCCATTTTACCTTCACCACGGCCTTCTCGAGCCGTTCCTCGAGCACTCTGTTCCGAAGCGCCTCGTCCGCCGCGTGACGCACCGTGCTATTGTCTTCTGAAGAGCCTCAGCCTTACCGTTGTAACTCAGATATGATGTTGACACCTGGGTTTTCGGCAGAAGGTCGTTTTTACTGTGGTGCGGAAGTCTTAGGTTTGCCGTGGCGCGGAAAAATTAGGGGAAGGTCCCATCCAGGGGCCAAACGAACAAGTGGGTCCTCAGCTACCTCCAGGGCCCCTTCTCAGGCGCGCTGCTTCGTGACTTCCTTTTACACCCACTTGCTACATTCGCTTAGCCATCGATATCCGGATTGCTCAACAAGCCTCAACATACCAGCGTCTTACGCATCCCCGTCAAGCCCGACCCTTCCCATGCCCCCCAGAGCGGGCTAGACATCCACAAACCCCCGCGCCCTCAACTCCCGCTGAATCTCCCCCCGATACCTCTGGGCATGCCCGCGATTGCAGCGACAACGATAGCAGAAGCGAACCGTGCAGTGCAGACACTCGTAGACGTACGCTCCCAGACGCTGATGGCAGCCATCACATTCGAACTCGCCACGGGCAATGTGCCATGTATTGCTCTGCCCGCGAGGATCATCGACCAGATGTTGGATGATCTCGGCGATGTTGTTGCCGCCTCCTCCTCTTCCTTGTCCTTGTCGCTCCGCGATGGCTTCTGCTTGGGGGATGATTTGGTCCAGATCCATGACTCGGCAGCGGCAGGATTTCCAGGGTGCACTGCAGAGGTAGCAGAATTCGGCGCCGCAGGGGCAGCTGTCGCCTGGTGTTAGCATGTTAATTCCACTGCTACCGGTTCATTTGCGTTGGCAACGTACGTCATGTGATAGCAGCCCATATTGCGCTCAATGATGCGCGGGCATCGATGACATCTGCCCCAACCCATTGCTTCAGCTAGGGCGACGACCTGCGGCACCTCTCCACTGCGGCTACATTCTCCATCGTGAAGCGCCGCTTTGCACTGTACGCAGGTCTCCTTCTGACAGCCTGGACAGTCGCCACGCTGGCCGAGCCTGTTTCGCGTTCCGATGTACGTAGAGCAAGGGGGATCGTGACAGTAAAGCGGCTGGGGATCGTCGAGTTCCTCCTGCTTTGCTGCGAAATGCACACTGAGCTGCTGTCCGAGAAGATGTGCCACGGCCTCCAGGGCTATGCGATGCGCGCAGCACGTGGGAGGGTATAGCGTGGCATCGCCCATGGAAGTGCGAAACAGTCTCCGAAGACAGCCGGCGCAGTAGATGTGCCCATCTTCGCACGGAGAACGATAGCACTGTGACTCGGGCTTGTCTTCGGCGCAGACGTTGCAAGCGAGTTGTGCGACAGAACCGGCGATGAGGCCTTGGTCTGTTTGATGCTCGGGACGGCCATTTTCGTCCGCCGAGTTAGTGACATCTGCCGCACGATCAGGCCCGCTCTCTATCCCTTCTTCCTCTTCTTCTTCTTCTCCTTCTCCCTCCTGATCCAACTCGTCTGCACTGCCCTCAGCATCTATCTCCTCGCCCTCCGCGTCGCGAATAGCACCATATCTTGAAAGGCGCGTTAGACCTTTCCTCGAACGCGAATGCCACAAGAGAAAACTCACTGCTTGACCTCATCCTCGTATATCTGCCGAGCCAAAGCAGCGTCCGGGCTCCCCCACGAGTCGAGGTCTTCAAGGTCCTGGAGTTGAAGTTCGTTGATCACGCGAACGGTCTCGTCGTCAGCGGCCTCGAGTACATCCATCCAAAGCGTTGTCGCTGCCATTTCGATGTGCTGAAGTTGAGTGAGAATTCAAGAGGGCAAATGGAATCTTTTACAAGCAATCGTGTCGACAAAGCGTGTGGATTCTCACAGAAAAAGGGTGTGTGTGGCGAAGCCCGTCTAGTATCCAGCGTGGAAGCGGGCAGAAAGTCTTGGCATTAGAGTTGATGTGAAGCAAACAGAGAAAGCGGGTCTTTCCTCATTGGTCCCTCTACGGTGAATACTGGCCAGACTCGACTTTTCGCGCTCCAAGGTCATCGTCTTCCCGAGCCGACCAATGCCGATCGCAGCCGTGGAAATGGCCTCCGCATGTGCAAAGACGCCAGACTCACGTGCCTGGAGGAGGCGCACAACACCATTTTTGCCACTGACAACTCGTGAACCTGAGCCTCAACTCCTAAACATCAATAGCCCAGCCTCCTCAGCATCAACACCACCCTCCATCTCGTCATCGCCCTCCTCGTCTTCATCCTCCCTCTCCCCAAGCCTCAGCCGCTGCCCAAACAGACTCCCAAACAATTCATCAGCCTGTCTTTCACCCCACCTCGTCCGATCCTCAGGTGCCATGAAGTTCTCCAACTTCTCATGGGCAGTATACCTCAATTTCCTCCCCTTACTCGCTTTGGTATCCACATTCCGCTTCGTCTTAGCTTCTCGTCGCATCTGGAATCCGAGATCGATATTCGAAGCCGTGACCGAGTCTTGGGCTTTTTGCTCCAGTAGCTCTTTTAGCAAGAGACCATAGAAATCCGCATCGTCGTAAATTTTCGGATCTTCCGTGACGCGTTGCTCGGCCTGCAGAGGCGCACAAGAACGCGGCGCATGGGCTCTTTTGAGGACGCGATCGTTCGAGAGCTGCTGTTCGAGGACTTCGATGATTGTAGCCGGTTCTGTGGACTGGTTGAGGCGACCTTTCTGAGTTTGAGCAGAAGGACCCTGGGTCTTGATGGACCACTTCTTCAGCACGCTATTACGGTCTTTCCGACTTTGCTTTTCTTGCAATTGGAAGTGGTTCCACAGCTCTTCAGTGGAAGTGTCAATGGAGAAGGCTGAGCGCTTGCGCTTTTCACCAGTCCGCGCAGCCAAGAGGTCGTCCCGGAAGCTGTTGAGGGACTCCCAGAGAGTAAACGCTGCCGTCTCAGCGGCCTCGAGGGCCTGGTAAGCGTCGGACCTCTCCGACGCGATCTGATCCGGTGCTGTTCCCACCAGGGTATTCGTAGCAATGAGCGACTTCTGCAGCTTCATCCTCGTATTGAGTAGAGCATCGAACGTGGCCCTCTGTCCCTTGATAGCACGCCCCTTCTCTGCCTCTTCCTGATTCGCCTGCAACAGTGATTTCGACGCAGCTCTCTGCAGACTCTGATCCTGTATCTGCTTCACAGCCGCCAGAGCAGCCTCTTCTTCCTCTTTCTTCAAAACCTTCGGTCTATGCGTAACCACTTCCTCTTCTTCCTCACTGAGATCTGTATCATCCGTTCCATCCAACATCTCCTCCTCGCCAGCTTCACTTTCGTCGATTCCATCCTCATCACTATACTCTTCGAATCCACCATCCTCACTACTCCCTTCCTCATCAAACCCTCGACTGAAAGGATCATCATCTTCCTCGTCTTCCAATTCTTCTCTCCCGACTTTCGACCCTCCATACTGCGGTCCCAACGGCACAGCTTTCGCCGTTCTCAACTTGCTCTTGCCAACATCCGCGTAATGTTCCCTGCCATCGAAGTCCTCACCCTCTTCATCGCCATCGGATTCGTCCTCGCTGGCTGGAGCGACATGTTCTTCTTCGGGATCGAAATCTTGTACCGTGGTTTGTGCAAATTCACGTTGGCGATTGCGCCCTCGGTTTGGAGCCATGGTGTGTGTATGCGTGTATGGGGATGGAGAAATTTGAACGCTCTCTCGCGAGACCTCTGGAGTTGGAAGTTTTTCGATGTCGGGATTCGGAGCTCGGGTAATCTTTCACGCGAAGCATCAAATTTTGATGAAGTGGTTTGATTCATCGCCCCCTTTCACATGACAACCGGCACTAATCACCAGCTGTTCTATAGCTGGAAGTTCTTTGCGATTAGAACGCTATCATCTCCTCCAGCAAGTCTCATACTATCGAAAAGGCAGACAATGACATATCACCCCAAGCCATCATGCCGAAAACTTGACAAGATCTCCTCAAAATCACTGGGACTGACGTACATACCACCATCCCACCGGTCCGTATACGTTTCCCTACCATTTCCATCCCCAATGTACCTTCAACTATTCAGCCCTCAACCTCTCGGCCTCCAGTGCCTTCGAAAACCCGGTCGGACTGTCAATTTCATCGCTCCCTCTGTTCCGCCGTAACTTCTGCATAAGACGCATCCTCTCCGCATGAGTGGACCATTCCGGCAAAGGAGGCGAAGGTCCACGATCGCGTACTTTTGAGGGAATCCTTAGATTTTGAGTGGGTTTGCTGCCGCCGAATAAGGCGGGGACGCTTTCTGAGGGGAGAGTTTTGTAGAGGTCTTCGCGAGGCGGTGCGTAGGGAGAGGATCGGAAGCCTGTTCTACCAGGGCGAGGTGCGCCAGGTATGGGCTTGTATGAAGGAGTGGAATTGTTGCTGAGGCTGGATGATTCGCGTGCTGTCGGGATTGCTTCCTCTTCTTCGAGGTATGGAGGATGATACGTGCCCTTCGTATCGAATTCTTGCTTTTCCTTTGGCGACACAATCGGGGGTCGTTTTGGTGATTCAGCTCCTGGATACTTCATTTCCGGCGGAGTACACAGGTCTTCATCTTTTTGAAGTCAGCATTATATTGAACGGCGCCAAATAATCGACAGGCTACCCACCACTAGGAGAAAACTGCTCCTTCTCATTAAATTCGCTCATCATCCTCTGCACATCCTCTTCCGAATACTCCGGTATTCCATGTCGACTCAATTCATCTGCCTCTTTCAATTCCCACCAAACTTCCCCTAAAAGAACCAAATCCACAGCCGCTTTTGCATCAATCCTCTCCCTCGGACTCATTTTCAAAAGCTCTGCAACGCAAAGTCTCAGGAATTTACTATACTTCTGGGGCATTTCCATCGCAGACCAAGACTCTCGCTTCAGAGACTTGAATGTGAATTCCGCCTCTTTACTCAAAGGCTCCGCTTGTATACCGGGTAATTTGGGCTCGATGCTGGGACGTATGCCACCCATCATGGCGATTGCAACGGCGCCTATGGACCACATGTCGCTGGAGCTCTTGTAAGTGCCATAGCTGTCGTTCCAAGTTAATTCGGGTGCTTCGAAGTGTGTCATCCATTCAATCGGTGTCAGGCTTTCGGAAGGGTCCCAGGTTTCCTGTTCGGGGGAATCTAGGAGGATGAGTCGGCTGAAGTTGCTAAGCTTGACGCGTGGGTGGAGATCTCCTAGTTGGTGAGGGATCCATTGCTGTGGAGTGCTTTCTTCGGACACGTAGTCTGTTCGTTGGAAGTAGATTGTGTCCGGGTTGATCATATTATGTACCGAGGGGCGGAAATCTTCAGCAATCGAGTCCGATTTGGTACCGTACGTCCTTCCTGTATGCATGTACAGGGCTGCCTTTAGCAAACCCTTGAGGACGTGCCAAATGAAGCTTTCCGGGAGTCCATCGGGAAATCTGTCGATTCTGTCCCCCAAGGTACCTGAATCGCAGTATTCGTAGACGCAAAGTTTCGAGGCTCGCGGGTCGCCAGCTGCAAAACCTTCCCAATCTAACAGTCGCACGAGATTTTCGTGACCAAGAAACCTTCTCACGCCGCGGAGGCGACTTGCTGTGATGGTTGCTTTGCCGGATACTTCTTTGACAACGACGTGTCGGCCGTTGCGCCATGCGAGTGTTCGAGAGGTTGTAGTGTCGAGGCGGCCGCCATTCTTGACGATACGATTACGAGTATTCTTTACCGGAGAGAAGAGTTGCGAAGATTGCGGCAAGGGAGGTGACTTTTTGGCCCGACTTCCAAAAGACGCGCCAGATCGTAGCGACAGGGAAGCAGAGGCATCATCATCATCTGCACTGAGTGTTGCTGAACCTGCTTTTGGTGGTGGCGACGATTGCGGGGGAGAATCTACTTCAGCGACGGGCGATAGCTGAAGGGCCAGATTGGGAAATGAGTGTGGGAAAGCAGCTCTCCTGTATCTTGGCATTTTCGGCATCGCGATGTCGTTTGAATTGCTCTAGACAGTGAGTGAGTGCATAGCGAGGAAATGCGAGCAAGCAACGATCGAAACACTGTACGAGCCCGACATGGACAATGGGAGGACGTCGTCCATTGTTGTTGCATTTGGCCATGCCACCTACCGCTTCCGGCATGTGAGTGTACAGACAATGCAATATGCTGCCATCTCAAGCTGTGTGAAAGCTGAGATCACGGCGATGATATGATACTTTAGACTCGCAGTGTGTTTTCGATGCTCCCGATTGCCCGAGCACAGAGTAGATTACTGTTTGAGTCCCGTGGCGCAAGAAACATGTGACAACCGGGATGGGCCCTCTGCCTGCGGGGCACAAGCCGGTATCGTCTGATTATGCTTTGTTCAAGTCCGTCTTCGGGGCCTTTCACTGCTCCTGCTTAAGAGCACGGGAAAAGAAGCGGGTTGGATAGGTTCTGGGTTGGATCCTCCTCCTGTACTGGCCGCGTCTGTGAGCAGTGCAGCTGATGAGCGTTGGCAGCCGTTCGGGGCACATGCGACGAGGGAGAAGCTAAGCTGGAGCGGGTCGAAGCGTGGAAAGTCTCGCAAATGTGGCAAGACGTCGGCGGGTGAGATGTGGAGTGAGGTGATGCAGTAGTCATGTTGTTGTGCTGTGTGCTGGCATCCCATCGCATCGCATCGTATCATAACGTATCTACCTTCAACTCTGATTTTCTCGCCGTGACGCCAGAGCGCAGCCGGTGAATTAAATCACAGGCATCCCGCTGACTCGCGCACTCCCTCCCACCAGGACCTCCTTGATCCATCCGTGCAATACTCGCGCCGCCAACGCCGCGACTGTGCACCGCGACGTCGACAAAACCGGACGACTCGAAACAGGGCAGGAGGTGCTGCATCGAAGCTGACTCCCACGCCACGGTGCGGTGCAGAAAAGGCATCCAGATCCGCCCGCCATGGCGCACTACTACCCTGACGACTACGACTACGGCCACGACCCTCCGCCTCGACAGCGCCGCCGAGACCGAGCCCCGCCCTATCCGTACGATAACCACAGCATGATGAAGAACGACGACTACTTCCCTCCCGCAGCCGACGCGCGAGGCCGACCGCCACCGCCGCCTGCTGGGCCTGCGCCTGGGCTTGGGCCTGGGAATGCCCACCTGCCCCCTCCACCAATGGGAGAGGCGCTAGACGGGGACGCGGATCTGCGCCCGGCTCTCAAGCGAGAGGGCAGCCGCAACAGACTCTCACCCGAAACACGACCTCAGTTCCCGGACGAGGCTTCCTATCTCGGCTCCACCGCTCCTGACCTCGAGAGGAAGAACCGACCGAAAGACCGCGCCTTTCGCGACCTGCGTGACGGCTACGAGTCCGACGAGGGCGAGGCTCACCGGAAGATGATGGGAGGCAGCGGCCGCCGCAACAAGGGCGAGGACGGCAGAGGAGGGCCACCGCGGCGTCCGAAGCCAGACAGACCATACCCGCCGGACGACGCCCAGATGTCCCGCCGTCCACGAGATGACGCTCCGCCATACGATGATGCTCCGCCGCGCAGACGACGTCGAGATGCTGATTACGACGATGATTATCCACCACCTCGTCGAGGAAACGACAGACCGCCTCCAGACGTAGAATACGGGTCAGATCCAATCCCAGCACGTCGACGCAGCGAGCGGCGTCCTCCCCCACGTCGGTCAGACTACGACGATGATTACGACGATTACGATGACTACAGACCAAGACGCCGTCGAAGCCACGAGGACCACCGCCAGCGTCCTTCACGCAGAGACGACGACTACTACTCCGACGTGGCACCGCGCCGACGAGGCGATCGTTACGATGACTACGATCGTCCTCCCCGCCGAGACCGCAGTCGCAAACGATACAGCGACGAATACTCAGACGACGACAGGTACGATCGGAGGGATAGGGACAGGGACAGGGACAAGGACAGACGCCGGGACAGAAGCCGCCCGCCAAAGGAGATCAAGGTTGGAAACTACGACATTGGACCGCTGGTTCAGAAGGGACAGAAGCATTGGGGAACGGTAGCTCCGATCCTGACTCCGCTCGTCATGGGCATGGCTCGGAAGTATATGAGCGGAGGCGGCAAGCGTTAGTAAGGGCGACACGCGACTCTCGACTCGGGGCATGCACGGGGGAAACTGGGAGGATAGGCTACCGGGTGGCCTGGTAGCTCTGCGGACTTGGCGTTTGAGGGAATGAATGGTGGGTAATGAATGAACCTACGGGCTACGAATGATACCTACGAATGGGCTCGAGCATGGTTCGGCGTCCCAAGTCTTTTCTGTGAGGATGAAGAGGCAGGCGTGGAGCGACAACTGACAAGCGTCACCTCGATGCGCCCATAGTACGATTATGCAAATCTTTACGAATAGAAGAAACACGTCACAAACTGCAGGGAAAGCTTCGTTGAGCCATGTCAGCTACTGGTAGCGAGGGTATGTATTCGCTTTCAGCTCCGCTCGTGCTACTAACATCTCGTGCAACCTGGAGATGGAAAACCATCTTCTCGCCCGTAGACCGCTCTCCGATATTGCGATAATTTGTGGGAACCGACAGGATAGCACATTTGCAGGCCTAACCCCTCCTTCCACGCAGCAGGCATCCGCGTGCGCGATAACGCATTGTCCACCGACGCGTTCGCTTCGACTGCACCTCACCCACCCAGCTTCAAACAACGACGTCCGCTCCCGGCAGCCCTGAAGAATTCCTTCGAGCACCACGCCGTGACTGGGGCCACTGTCGGTAGCATCAGCATGAAGCAATTCACCAGCTTCACGTTCGAACTGCTCGAAGAATTGGGTGACGAACATCGGCTAGGCTGCAAATGCTGCCGTTTTGGGAACGGCGTCGACCTCCCGATACCAAGACAGCTCTCGGTCCAGGAGACGACGCGGGCCGCGCGGAAATTTTCAGCAGCAATCTTCAAGCACTGGACGGAACTCAACGCTATCATCAAGCGTTTCGAGGGCACCATGCACAAGCGGTGGATGAAGAAGAGCTTCAGACAGCGACGCGAAATCCTACTCAAAGCTTGGCCACAAGATATCCGCAACCCACAGGCCCGACTTTGAGATGATACGAAACACGCACAAGCAGGCTTCGCGGCTGCGAACGTGTCGCTCGGAGGCGTATGTATGGCCGTATATCAACTTGGAGGACCTGCAGCAGCGGCATCTTCTGCTGCTGTTTCTGAGCTCGCGCGGGAGGGACTTGCCCAGTACGTTTCGCATTGCGGACGTGAAAGCGGCTCATCTCGGCGAAGGTATGATCTCCCCAATGTGGTACTTATTCTTGGGGCACTCGTGGTCGTGACACCCGCATGCGCTGTCTGACAGCTTCAAGACATCGGCTAAAGACTTTATTAGGATGGCATCGCGATCTCGATTTCGCCGAAGAAGCCGGCGAGTACTGCTGTAAGGACCATTTCTCTGAAGACACTGGCTGCAGTGACCACTTCATGAGCTTTCAAGCAAAATTCTCTCCCACTGGATACGGCAGAGTGGTCCATGGCTCAATTTCAAAGCTCAAACCCACCGAGTTAAAGCACGTCTGCCGTTCGACAGAAGGCCTGCTTGCTCTCGAGATCCAGGACAGCATCTATCGCTTCTTGCTCGGTTGCGCAAAGTTGATTCTCCACGACATCCAGCCTGCCGAGTTCTGCACGGCGCCGCACCAGCCAATGCCTGAGATGCCGCGACCGGCCGGCGGAGAGGCCTACAAATCGCTTTCTGACCACTCATTGGAAGCTCCCTATCGAACACCGTACAAGCCTGATCTCGAGCGCCTGAAGATGCTGTTCGAGAGTCGACGCACATCTGCGGAAGACCATATTTGGCTACTCCGCGAAGACCCGTCATACTTTATGGATTCGCTGCGGGAGTGGAAAGAACATGGCGGCAGCGAGAAGATGTGCTATTGCCGAGACTGTTGGAATCGCGAAGCGGGTCGGTTGGTCACGGACGCTTTCGTTTCATACATCTTCTTTGATGACATCTATAGAAAGTTGTCGAAGATGGACCCGATCGATGTGCAGCTCAAGCGCGTTGACGACAAGAAAGTGCGCCTCAATACGAACGACGAGAACCAGTGGACCGCGCTGGTGGAACTTATTGAACATGCGCTTTTCATGCCGCTGGACTCGCTGCAAGATGGCCTGCCAACGTCGCCACGGCTTCGTAACAGATATTCATGGACCGGCCCATCAGGCAAGGAGCAATGGCATATGAAGAGCAGATCATCGAAGGCCGAGTATCGCGTGGATCGCCTGTTCTTTGCTCTCTTCAGCGACGAACAGCGTGGAATGCATGGCTTCGACGCTCTGATTCAGGAGGTATGATAATATAGCAGAGAAGCTATCCCCATCGTATCCCTTATGTCTTGGCTACCGGAGAGTCTCTGTAGCCTGGTGTCTCGCTGCAGCGTTGCGGAAGAAATTTGCTGACATCCTGCCGTTCTATATGACAGGTCCAATATATGATCGAGAGGGATTCCGAAGCCTCACAATACATTGATGCATGGATCGCCAATCAGTTCTCGGACCTCGCCTTGCTTGCGGAGCTCAACAAGAGCATTGACGCCTTTGCGCCATATTTCGACCAGAACAAGGCACATATGCTCATCGCTCGGCAGCGTGCGGCAGTCGACAGAGCCATTGAGAGAACTCGCTCTGCCGTCGTCAAGCTCGGGGCGAGCATCAAGTTCGTCTGCTCGGCTTCTGACCTCGCCTGGGACCCATTAGACAAAGACGAGTTCCTCTACCCGGTGGATAAGCGTCCGACCAAGGCCAACATCGAGCAGATGCGAAAGGCTGAGGAGAGCTTGGACATGTTCTGGTGGACTCTGGATGAGGAGGTGAAGGACTTGAGTAAGATGAGCCTCGAGAGGACACTCGACTCCAGGATGTTCCAACCCCGAGGGAGTCTCTATCGCACCAAGCCCTGGAAGGAGCCTATACAGCTATTAAGCCCCGAGACACCGCGGAAACAGGTCCTTGGTGAACTGGATCCCAATGTCCCCCGTGTTTTCGAAAGTGCCCCACACGATAACGGTACCACTCCGACGAGAACTTTCAAGGAGAAGATAAAGACTCGCGGCACGCCTGCGGCAGTAGACCCACGGTTGGACGGTCACCGTGGACCGCTAGAGCAGCTACCAACTCCCCCCGAGACACCATCCAAACCCGCACACAACTTCAAGATCCCCAAGAAGGCGTTCAAGATACTCTGCGCCCTCCTGCCCTCGCCGTCCTCTGTCCTTCAACAGCGCTGCGAGATCGCCTGGGAAGAGTTTCTCATGGCCATGCAGTGCATCGGCCTCGAACCCGAGAAACTCTACGGTAGCGTATGGATCTTCTCGCCCATGGAAGGCGAGCTCCTGAAGTGCGACGCTCGGAGATCCATTCAGTTCCACGAACCCAAGGAGGTTCGTCGGGGTCAGAAGATTGCGAGACCGATGGTGAGGACGTATGGGAGGAGATTGAAGCATGCGTTTGGATGGGAATCCGCCGAGGACATGTTTGAGTGCGAGTGAGGATCTCGACTCTTTGCGCCGGGTATGAGAGCGAGCTGTTGGCATTATTGCCGAAGATCGCGTTGCCGGGATGGCTGCCTGGTTGGAGGATGCTTGACGAGCTGAGATCGAGGGATGATGTTACGCGTCAAAGGATCATGAGCATGAGGGGTACCGATTAATAAGCGTGATGTTCACGAGGGCTTTGCTTGGTGCGTCTTACTTTGAAACGCGACGATGGGGGGCTGATTACGACTGGCGGCTTCGCCTGAAGAAAATTGGGGATAGGCGGAGGGCTGTGCAAGCACGGGAAGATGTTTTCGGTTGACTGTACAGTATGACATACCAAGGGCAAAGGCTGTTTGCTCAGACAGACATGATGTGAAGTAGTAAATATGTTCATCGCTGAGAATAAAGTGAGCGACTCCCTTGTGAGTACCTTGTGAGCTGTCAAATGTTAGTCTAAAATGGGAAAGGCTTCGTCATATGATGCGCGTGCTCGGTGTTTCCTCCACCAGCTCTCAAACACTGCCTCAGCCTAACTACCTTACACTCCCTAGCCCTGCTCTTTACAGCCAACAAGGCACCTCATCACAAGATCATATCCGCCGCTCGCTAGCCCGGTCGCGCGATGCCACGCCCATTCACCCTAGTTGACACCACTCCCTCCACCACCCCGCGATCCCGGCAGGACGTAACCGGAAACCTCGAGGCAGTCGCAACGACACCAACACTACTGTCCTGCTCCCACCCTCACGATCAACATGCTGGATGAGAACCTGCCGGCCTTCTTCCTCAAGCCTTCGAGTTCGGGCGCGAAACATCAACGGGAGATCTACAGCTCTCACCACGGCAATGACCCCGTTCCCGCGTATGCGCTGCGGAATTTCGATCCCGCCTCGCCTCTCCAGGCGCACAAGAATTGCTATGGCGCCGCGCTCTTTGATTCCTATATCCCGGACGTCGTCTATGGGGAGGTCATCGCACGACCGGGTTGGACACAGCCTACTCTCTCGGCGGAAGAGCTCAGACGGAATGGAGGCGTCCCGCCACCGCCTCAGCCTATCCTCCCGAGCGAATTCGTCGTGCAGCTGTACAACCCTGACCAGCAAGTACGGATAGAAGTAAAAGAGGGGAAATGGGGTGCGAGCGACTCGTACGAGTTCTCGATGCCCGAGCGGACATTCCGCACGCCTTCTGCTAGTAATCTCGACCGGGGACAGGACGATCCGGCGACTCTCGCTTCGACTCCGAAGATCAATTTTGTCTGGCGCAAGGAGTCTAAGCTATCGAAAGACCTGACGTGTTACATGGTTGGGAGGAGCACGGATGCCTTGCTGGGCAAGAAAGAGCTGAGGAAAGCGAGGAAAGATCCGGACATTGCGATTGCGCTGTGGAGATCAATGCGAGAGTTGACGGTCTATGAGCCCAACCTGCAGAGATTGGAGCTCGAGGACCCGAAAGGTCTGGAGGTGGTTCTGTTGCTTGGTGCGCTCGTGATCAGGGATGTGTACTTTGGGAGCAAGGATGCGATAGGGGAGACGTTCAACATCTCTGACGTTCCAGGGGGAAGGAAACTATCCGGCGGAGGTCGCAAGCTGTCTAGTCCTCACCAGACGCATTCTATTGTTGGGCCGCCAAATCCGCTTGGCAACCATCCTCCCCCCACGGCTGCTGGACTTGGTGCTGCCAGTAGAAACGATGCAAGGCGGAATTCTTTGCCAAAACTCCAGACCATACCGCCACAACCCCCGAGACCGACACACGGCGGCGCGCCCCCACCAGCAGATCCGCGAGCGCAATGGCAGATCGACGCAGAGACAGCCCGCCTCAAAGCTCAGGCCGAAGCCGAAGCCAAGGAAGAACGCCGCCGACGGAGGGAACGGGAAAAAGCCGACGAGGCCGAAGCGAAGCGCTTGCAACGGATGGTCGAGGAGGAAGAAAGAGTGGCAAGGCGGAAACAAGCGGAAATCGACAAGGAAACGGAACGGCTGAGGAAACAGTACGGCGTGCAACAGATGCCAGCACAGGCGAATAGCTCCCGACCTCAAGGACGCCCTGGACAGGGTCGTCTTCATGCTGGACCCTACATGCAGCCGATCCCCCAGCGAACACAGATGAGCCTGGCTCCTCCTTCTTCTTCGATGGGTGGTAGTAGTAGTGGATTGTACATGCAGCAGCCCAGCGCGAGCAGTAGTGCGGTCATGATGAGCGGGGCGAATGGGAATGCCAGTAGTCTCACCCTCGGCGGCGCAGGCGCAGGCGCAGGCGCCAAGAAGAAGAAGAGTTTCTTTGGCCTGCGGAGTGCGAGTGATGATACTGCGGCGGCGGCGGCGGCGGAGGAGAGGAAGAAGTTGAACAAGAAGAGTAGTGCGATGTGGTAGAAATCAACATGCGCAACGGGAAAGGGGGACTTTTTGTGTGTGAATTTTTGGTTTTTTGTTGTTGTGCGAGTTTACCTTGTTAGCAAGGCGTTTTGGGAAAAGGGGTATCATATGATGTGAGATTTGGGAGAAAGTAGTTAGATAGTCAAGATCTTTGATTTGATATTTCGATGACCTGCTCTGTTCATTCTCGCCGGGTCTGGGTCTGGGTCTGGGTCTGGGTCCCGCTCCTCTGATTTGCCGCTGCGATGCGTTCCTGTTCTGTCTCGCTCCTCACATCCTCATCATCATCATTGTTGGCCTCTTCTTCTTCGGTCCGGTGATGATGATGATGACAAGCCGAAGAGGAAGAGGACGACGAACTCTCCTTCTTCTCCTTCCTCCTTCGAATCTCCTCGTTTAGGCGTTTGGCCGCTTCGTGGGCCGCTTGGCGACATCGCTCCTCGAGGTCCGGGTCGTAGGCTAGGACGGTTGTTTCGGTTTCGGATTCGGATTCGGATTCGGAGCGCGTGTGGGTGTGCGTGTGGGTGCGTTGCTGTAAGGGGTTAGTAGTAGAGACTGGAAGAGGGGAAGAAGGAGAGGGGAGTGATTTACCAGCGCCATAGTGCTGGCTCTTTCTTCTCGTTCGGTCCTCCCTTTTTCCTTTTATTTTTTTCCTTCTTTCGGGCCTTGGATACTCGACACTCAATCAACCAACGGAGGTCTTAATTCTGGCAACCGGTATGTTGGCAAGGGGGAACATGGACTGGATCTCTCCCGTGCGTGGATTCCTCTCGAAGGCTAATGGATCAATCCAGTACTAAGTCGTGAGTAGTATTAGCTTTTCAATTGAGAAGGGGTTGATGATGAGGAGGATAGTTGTTTTGAGGGGGATTCTCTGGATCACCTACTTCCTTCCTTCCTTCCTTCCTTCCTTCCTTCTTCTCCAGCGGGCTGTTTCGAGGAACTTCTTTTGGGATGGATTGAAAAAGCTCTGTCGACCTGGGAAAACCCGTCGCGACCGAAGGAGAGGAGGTCTGTGTCGGGGGGTGTTTCTTTTGGGGGGGTTTCCCACCCGACCGACGGCACGTTTTTGGAGGAGGGAGGCAAATACACAACAAGAAGCACGCACGACGGCACGACGGCAGTCGAGGACCCAAAAGAGGAAGATAAGACGGGAGATCAATCTCGCAGCTGCTTTTTGGTGAAAGCAAATGTGCGAAGTATCGTCGTAGTTTGTGCATGCATCGGGGGACAGACAACACATGATTGCTTGTTTTGGTGCTTTCGGTGCTTCGGTATGTATGGCATTTGCGTTTGGGAAATGGCGGTGACGGCTTTCCAAGTTGTACATCACATCACATCCGAACCGAATTTCCCGGCTGTCGTGATTGCCACGTGCATACATATCAAACACACACTATGCATCTTTCTTTTCTTCTCTCTCCCCTACTCTCTCTCTCTCTTTCTCTCTCTTCCGGGATTCCGAGAGCTCCGGCGTATTGGCGATGGGCGATGGGCGATGAAATGATGCTAAGGCGCGGGAGGTAGTGCGTGTGATTGCCGAAGTCTCGGCTCTCCAACACGGATGCACAACAACAATAATAATGGGAGCGGGCTCCCCCAGTCTTCACCCTTCATCTGATCATCTAGTAGTATTCGTCAAGCCTCTTCTAACACGCCATCTGCGAAAGGGGGAAACCCTTTTTGTTTGATTATCATTAAGGAGAGAAAGAAAGTCGAAAGTCCAGAGATGGGCAGCCCCCCCCCCGGGCAAAAAATCCAGGACACCGTGCCCGATGGATGACCGGGAAGGAGTCTATTATTGGACTCTCTTACGGTCTTTCATTCAAACACTTGATGAGCTCTTGCTCCTTTGGGCTATAGATCAGATCAGATCAGATCAGAATCCGTCCCTCGCACACACACACACACACACACACACACCAAGGGAGTCGAGGGGGAGGAATTTCCTGGTATCCAAAGAGCGTGTGTTCCCTTGGGAAGACAGACTAGGAAGACACTGGTGGAATACCTAGGAGTCGAGCCTGCGGCTGCCAACTTTTGCCTCACATCAATCTATCAATTAATCAATTCACTCACACTCTCGTCTCTTGCCACCTTTCCAAGCACTGACATTCTCCCACTAGGCTAGGCTTGCGTTGGGACGGAGAGTTCTGGGACACATCCATCATATCATGCTGCTGCGCGTCTTCGACCGCCGAGGCGCGAAGACGGCGCCCTCGCAGTATTACCCGCGAGCACTCTTCCATGTCGTGCGCTGCTTCCAGCTCATCAGCTCTCTCATTGTGGGGGGCATCATGAGTTTCTTCATCTGGCATCTCACACACGACGACTGGGCGACACCATGGACTTTCATATGGGTACGCAAATGCATAAGAGACGCATTCTACCGGATAAATTCCCATCTAATGGTCTGGAAACAGCTCACGGCCGCGAGCCTCTTCAGCATCGCCGCCCTCGCCTCCACCATCCTGCTCCATTGCTGCATGGGTCTCCACCCGCGCGTCAACGCCGCCGTGAACATTTCCCTCGGCATTCTCTGGACTCTCAGCTGGAGTGTGCTCACATGGTACACGTCCGGCACTCTGGCGAATCGGTGTGATCTCGACCATTGGGATGAAGAGCTGGGCATCACGGTCTGTAGGACTTACAAGGCGCTGTTCACTTTCACGTTGCTTGGGATGTGAGTTTTCCATCCCGCTTCACGGGGCAGGGCACATTCGGTTGGTGAAGTTTCGTTGTGCTGACTGGAGAGGATACAAGGGTCTCCACGATTGCCGCTCTCGCGCTCGACATCCACGTCTCCCGCCACGATTCGCGACACGGCATCTATCGTCTGCACGATCTGGATCGTAAGAGGCCGGAAGAAGCTACACGTGGTGCTTTTCCGGAGCAGTCGCGTGGATACGGGGATGGACCTCGAGAGAGTGAAGCTTGGGAGGCACCACGGCCTTGGACTGGTCCGTATAGGGAATCTGCAGACCGGAACGTCCAGGCGCGAGGCTACGCTGTGCCGGATGACCAGTTTGGACATGATGCGGGATATCACGGCTCTGGAGGGCGTCCGAGTCAAGGCCAGGAGAGCTATTATAGGTCATAGATTGGAATTCCATACCACGGGGGTCGGAGCTGTTTTCTGTATCAGGTCAAGTTTGGATAGGCCAGAGTGGTTGGTACAGACAGTACACTTTGGAACGAGAATCCTTTCCACGGCAAAGCAGTCGTAGCGTCAGGCGAGAAGATGCTCTGCTCGGGGGATGCTCAAGAAGAGAGACGCCGACCGAAGCCACTCATCAGGCTTCCCATCCATCTTTTTCTTCGGGCAGGGCAGCAAGGAGATGAAGAAGGTGGCGTGGCAGCACAATATCGCTTCCGAATACGAATCTCTGTGGTGGATCAGGAACACGAGATGCAATGCAATGCGATGCGGTGCAATGCAATGCAATGCGGTGCAATGCAATGCAATGCAATGCGATTCAGTCGTGCATTGTTGTTCTCCCGAGCAATAATGCCGTGGTTCAGGCAACTCCTCGTGGCTGCTGACAAGAGTACCATACTTGATGTTCAGCTTCCTCTTGTCTCGTAGCAAGAAGACGAGGCGCCTTGATGATGATGATTCTTGTTATTTTTACCCAGGCGACATGAAAGGGTGGTGAAAGGATGGAAATGCATGGGTCCTGGTGAAAATCTTTTGATCGGGTAGTGGAGAAAGGGATGGGACGGGACGGGCTTGACTAAGCTAAGCTATGCCGAGCTGGGCTGGGAGGAAGTGGAGCGGACTCCTTCGCATCGCACTGCATCATTTCATTTCCATCTATATCATCACGCACGCTATCATCACCCACGCCGCAAGCAAGGTCTCAATGCGTTACATCTGACAAATTGGATCGTTGTCTGGGAAGAACCAACCTCCGGATTTCCCTGTGCACATTTGTGCATCCACCCGTAGCCGCGCTATAGGACTCAGCCACAGAGATGGAGACGATATCGACCCACAATGGCGCACATCAGGCGCTACGACGGTCGTTTGCGGATGTCGCTTGAATAATGCGCAGTAGGACCTCGCCCTCGCCCTCGCTTCTCCCGGCCTTTCTTTCGATACCCGTGCAACGCGAATCATTGCCGAGTGGAACAGTGCAAAACTACAATCAAGAATCAAGAAGCCGGCGAGGCCTCCGTGGTACAGTGTCGGTCTGGAGATGAGATGCTGGTATGAAACGAGCTACATCCCGGACTCGCGTCTGCAGGAACGCGCCGCCAGCACCAAATCCGTCGTGATACAGCACACAGGCCCGTCTGGTTCCCACAGCGGACATCACATCATAGGCTGAGAAGCCCGGCGACTGCTCGGACACGGCATGTGCAGTATGTACAGTAGTGCAGCAGGTGCAGCAGGTGCAGCATGGGTCCCTCGTGCGAACCAGCCTTCCACATGCAGTCAAAACACTCCACACACATCCATCAGTCTTCCTCCGCTAACCGCGCCGACGAGATCCAGCGGCAGCGAGCTGCTTAAGGGAGGAGAGAGGTTCTAGCGCTGCTGGATGAGGCTTCTCCTCCTCCTCCTTCTCCCTCCCTCGCGCGTGTCCATAACGCACAACGGACAGCTGCCTCCCAGCGCCGCAAACACTCCTTCTCCTACTCCAGCCTCCTCGTCACCAGGCCAACCCACCAACACTATTCCTTCTTCATCTATTTCTTGTAATATCGACACGCCTTCTTCTCCACTCGCTACTTTGCTGTCCAGCCTCGACTCTGCTGTAATACCCATCGACAGTACATCCCGAGCGACAGAACAGACTTCAACTGCGCTTCCTACCTCAGCTTCTTCCAAGGGAGGACCTGCGACCTAAATCTGGACGCAAATGGGCGTCACCGTCTCGACGTTCGTCATGGCGACTCCAAACGCGACATCAAACTCCACAGCGGCAACTGCATCAAGCTGTTCCAGCCTCTGTTCCTCGCTGACCTTCCCATCGGATCTGGACGCGAGCCCCATATCCTGTACACCATATGCTGCCAACTCGACCATCACCGTCACTGGCGGCCAAGCAGACGTATCGTGCGCCTCTACACTCACCCCGGACATCGACCTCTGCCGTGTTGTCCTGTCTGTGACCACCAGCCAGGAGTCCGAGGTATACATCGAAGTATGGCTTCCAGATGGCGAGAGCACCTGGAATGGACGCACCATGAGCACCGACAACTCGGGCGTGAACGGTTGTGTGGATTTTGACGACATGGTGTACGTGACTGGCCTCGGCTTTGCCGCCATCGGAGATAACGGAGGCCACAACTCTTCCTCCTTCGACGGCAGCTGGTTCCAGGGCTCCAATGAACTGGTCTTGGACTGGGCTGGCCGTGCCCGCCACGCTTCCGTCGTCGCCGGCAAGGCCGTCGTGAAGCAGTTCTACGGCCGCGCACAGAGTTACGCATACTACATCGGCTGCTCAGCAGGAGGCTGGCAAGGCTTGATATCCGCGCAGACATACCCAGATGACTTTGACGGTATCATTGCTGGATCTTCCGCCACCGATTTCAACCACTTGCAGGCATGGAGCGGTCGTTTTGTGCAGCTCACCGGGACCAGCTCCAGCGACCCTCGCTTCCTCACCGAAGACCAATGGATCACCGTCCAATCCGCCATCTTCGAACAATGCGATGAAGCCCTCGACGGCGTAAACGACGGCATCTTGGAAGATCCCACTCTGTGTCAATTCGACACTTCCGTCCTCAGCAATTCCACCTACGGTCTCACAGACACACAAATCACCACCGTCTACAACGTCTTCACGGAACTCTACAACACCGACGGCCAACTCCTCTTCCCCGCCCTCCTCTACGGCTCCCAAGTCGACGCTTTCCGCCTCGGCCAACTCTCCGGCTCCGTGCAAGCCATCTCGGAGGACTGGTACAAATACGCCGTCCTCAACGATTCCACCTGGGACGCCCTCGACATGAACCAATCCGACTACGCCGCCGCCGACGATCTCGACGCCTACCACGGCTACGTATCAGGCTACGACGGCGACCTCTCCGCTTTCCAGTCCTCGGGCGGCAAACTCATCATGTACCACGGCATGGCCGACCCCCTGGTCTCTGAGGGCGTTGCGCAACGCTACTACCTCAAAGTCGCCTCGACGCTCGGCATCAACAACGACGGCATGGACGAGTTCCTCCGCCTCTTCCGCATCTCCGGCATGTCCCACTGCGCCGTCGGCGGCATCGCCGGCGCCGGCGCCTGGATGTTCGGCCAATCCGCCGAAGCCGCCGCCGCTTCCCACAGCATCATCTCCTACCTCCAGGACTGGGTCGAAGACTCCATCGCGCCCGATACCATCGTCGGCACGAAATTCTGGTACGACGAGCCCTCCCAGGGCGTCGAATTCGAACGCGGACATTGTAAATTCCCCTATCGGACGACTTATGCCGGGGGGGATTCGACGTTGCCCGGCAGTTGGAATTGCACGTATATTGAGGATTGGCAGGAGTGCGGAGTGGGTGCGCTGCCGAGGTTGTGTAATGACGATGGGACGTTTGATAATTAGAGAAAAGAAGTGTGGGGGACGAAAAGGGGTATGGAGTTTTGTTTACACTGCGATGAACAATTAATGGAATGAAACGATTCTGGGTTGTGAATAGATGGAAAACTTGAAACGGTTTTACAGTATAGTATAGTATCGCTAATCTATAACGGACAGAAAAGGAGATGGGGAAGGGAAGGGAAGGGAAGGGAAGGGGTCTAGATTTATTTAGTACAGCCACATGCATAATCAGCAGCAGATGAGCAATACATCTATCTGCGACGTGAGACATACCACACGCACCACACACACTACTACTCAAACACGCACGATGCCCTGCCACATGAGTGAGAGCGATGATATCCCCGCCGCGCGACGGTCGAAAGTCTCCTTGGACGACGGGAGTTTGATGGCGTGGCATGGCATGCAGTATAATTCCTCCCTTTTTTACTCCTAGATAGAAATCGCTTGCTCGTATTCAAGAGTAAGTAAGTAACTAAGTAAGTAAGCAAGTAAGTAAAACAAATCACACGCTCTCAGTATCTGCCAGCAAGCACCACGGTATGCCTGCCTGCCGTGCCGTGCCGTGTGCTATTCGTGACACGCGTGATACCCAAAGAGACGGAACAGACGCCTTGCTGTTGTGGCTTTCCCGATTGCATTCCAAGATGAATACGATCAAACGAAACGCCAGGCGGGAAGAAGAGTAGGTTTCGGGGGATTTGAAAGTCGCTAGCTAGCTAGCTAGCTATATCCATCCCATCTGCTGCTGGAGGTGTAGTAGCTTTTTTGGGCGGGCGTGTTGCCTGAAAGAAAGAAAGAAAGAAAGAAAGAAAGAAAGAAAGAAAGAAAAAGAGAAAGATGGTTTGCATTGGATAGATAGCGCTTATAGAGCAGGCAGCTTATCGCGTTGGAAAGTCCGTCTCGACTCTCGACGGGCACTATCACTACAGCTGGTTCGCTGCCGTCGCGAGGGCCGTTGGCCCTGTGTTTCGCTGGGATGCTCGGGGAGCAGATAATCTTCTCATGTGTAAAGAGATGCTGGTACAATCACACACAAGGCCTCAGTCATCTGCTGCCTCGGCATCCTCGTTGATGAAGCTCCCGTCCAGACTATCCTGTCGCTCCATCTCCGTCGGCGCGGTGGTGCTCTGCGACAGGATACTCGCGGTACTGCCCACCCGCTGTAGCTTCTGCCGCTTCTTCGCATGCCCCTCGTCCGCGTCGTCATCTCCCACCTCATCCCGATCTCGCTTATCCCCGCCCACGGATGAAGGGGCAGGCGACGACCGCTGCGTTCCGCCCGCGGAATGGGGTGGATTGTTATTCGACGGCTTCTTCGCGGGAGTGAGGGATTTGGGGATCTTGCCGTTCGCTCCCGCGCCTGCCTTCTCGCCCTTTTTGACCTTGTCTTTCAAGCCCTTCTTGAGGAGCTTCTTCCTGACGCCTCCGGGGCCTTTGACGGCGAGGTCGTCCTCTTCGTCGTCTCCGTTGCCTGCGTTGTTGCTGGCGCCGTTCTTCTCTCCACCCGTACCACCGCCCTCCTGACCGGGATTTGGCGTGCCTCCTCTCGAAGCACTGGGCGTCCCGTTCATCTTCGCCATGGCATTCCTGCTCGCTGCTCGTCCTGACAAGCCCATGCACTGTTCCAGATGCTTAGCGAAGCGCGTGATGAGCAGACTGCGCTTGCAGCTCGGACATGTGTGCCACGGGATGTATTCCCCCTTCTTCAACTTCTCGTCGATCTTGCTCGCCTTCTTCTCGCCCTTTTCCAGCTTTCCCTTGGCCTGACTCTCCTGGTTATCGTTCTCTTGACTCGGACTGGGCGGTCCTGTGCCTTCTCCGCCCGCTTCGTTGCCAGCAGCTTCGCTGGCTGGTGTGCCTTCGTCTTTCTTCTTGTCCTTCTTATTAAGAGGTCGTCCGCCTGCATCGGATTTGAGGAAAGGATTCCCGTAGATATCGTGTCCCGGTCGCCGTGACCATGGCTTCAAGTCACAGTAGTTCTGATTTGCTGGTGGGTCTGAGGGCGCTCCTCTGACTTTGGGCGCGAGGGGAGGATCGAGGAGTTTGGGTAGCTTGCAGGTTTCGCAATGCGGAAGCTTCGTGGACGAATCGAGAGAGTCTAGAAGCATTTTGTGTTCGTGATGCCGTTGGATGATGATGTCGTGGAGTATGCGCTGGAGGGCCTCTTCGAGGATCTTTTGGGCGATTTGGCCGAGTGTTGGCTGGGGAGTGCTCGACATGATGGATAGTTGTGATTGTCCTCGCAAGGGCGTTCGTGTTCCCTCCTATACGACAGCTTCTAAACCAAATAGCTCTCACGCAATCGACTTGATTGCTGCCGCAGTCTGCGATCCAGAATGTCTCTATTGTGCGCTGTATAGCAATGCCACCATCTCGGCTGAATGTATGGCAGGTGCCGACTTGGTGGGCGGACGATACTCGTACTCGAAGCTTCTATGCTCTTGTAATATTAGCAGATAAGGGCCCGTATCTGTGTAGTAATTTCCTGGAGTATTTAGAGGCTGGAGGCGAGGGCAGCACAATGTTGCATTATGTTGTCGAACTCCGCTCACGCTTCGAGGTTCAGGTTGCTCGCACAGCTAGCAAGGTTATTTAGGCTCACACGCGACGGAGCGTGTCGATCTCGCTTAGCGCGCATCCGCCGGCTAGATCCGCAAGACTAGACCCACTTTTCACATGTTGATTGAGGTGCTGCCAGACGGGAATTTGGCATTCTCTCCTTTTTGAGGATTCGAGTACCATTGATCACTCGCGCTCGTTGTTCAATACCCAAATCCAAGCTGAGCTAAGCACTATGGTCTTTGCACATGCTCAGAGATCACCATTCATCGTGTCAATGGCTTCTCTTATAAAGGCCGTTCTTCTAACTCTTATTAGTTTCCTACCCTACCAACGCGGTTGGAACACAGAAAGGCATCCTACTAGAATCTCATTAGATGTGGAACAGATAAGAACACGAAGCGAATTGCCACGGCGCTCAACACTGGCGGTTGCCGTGCTGTGTTCAGCCGCTTAAATACCAAAAGGGTCAGTTTCTAGAGATGATCACTCAGAAGGAGTCGAGCCTGGGCGACACGAGCTCTCAGCTGATCTGCTCAAATTCTGTTTCGAGACGACCTGCTATGTTTACATGGCGCCGATGATTTCGACGCTAAACGACTTCAACGTGTCGAGAAGCGTATTATTCTTGCTTCGTAGAGTTGCCGCTGTATGCCTCCGTCAGCTCTGTGAACATATTCAACCCGTATCCAAGTATCAAACTCACCGCACTCTGCCCATGCGATACCTCTTAATGCTCCAAATTCTTGGCCTTCAGATGCCTCTCCGCAGCGATGTCCTCCTTCGCCTCGCCCTCCTGCGGTGACGAGACATTCTCTGCTGAATTTGTTGGAGTCGCTACGCCGGGCGTGTACTCGGTCTTGGCGCCGCCGGCGCTGAAGCGATTCGCGACGTTCTGAGATGCGTTGGTTTCGACGGGGTTGCTAAGGAGGTGTGAGCAGAGGTCAGGTGAGATATGGGGGGGACAGCAAGACTCACCCTGTGGTGCTCTTCGGCGGGTAGGGAGATACGAGATACATCCCTAGTATGCCAGCGACACCGGCTAGAATACCTATACGCTTGGTAGCTGGGCTGAGGCCCTTTGTTGTGCCCATGGGCTCCGGACCGTGAGACATGGCTGCTGCTCTGCCGTGGGTTGTTGAATTGGTCGAGTCGTGTCTGCTATGTGAGTGGGAGGGGTTTTAGTCGTGTGTAGAGCTGTGAGCTTTGCAATGTCAATGGAAGGAAAGAATTCGAACCTGCCTCTACGAGCGTGTGACATTCGCTCTGTCGTCGGAAGTGCCTGGCAACTCTTTGAGCGGATGATGTTGCGGTGATGCACATTGACAAGACTGATGATTTCATGCCGCTGGACGCATCCCTGCTCTCCACAGGTGGAGTGTGCAGCTGTGTAACGTACATTGTAGAGACGGGCAAGACGGGAGAGATGTCTGTAGGGACTCTTCCATCTGCTTGTTCGATGTCCGTTGCGAGAAGGTGTGAAGGGAGCACGTTGTCAGGAAAGTAGACTTCGCTCTGCCCTCGAGCCGAGGTGCGCCCGGCCTTGAGCATAGATCAAAACGACCTCACTTCAAGCGAATCAGCGCCATCTCATCTCATCGCTCGGATGCGGCCGCAGAGACACAATGCGCATTTCGCAATGTTAAGATATCGATTCCACGAGAAACGAGGAGACATTTGCTAGCGTCTACGGAGGACCGGAGACTTTCGAGATCCCCAAAGCTTCCCAGACCTCACTTCTATCGCAAGTGTCCAATGGATTCGTAGACATCATCTCGCCCAGACCCATTGAAGTTGAATCTCTCCGAAGCCAGCACCTTTCAAGAGCCGTTCGAATCCTGAGGGTAGCCGTCCTCGAGCTAAGTCTTACTGCCTGCAAGTACTTCTCAGAGAAACGGGCAGCTTCGTACTTGACCCTCCTTAGGCTACAGACCCATGGGAGAAGCCAGCACCATGAGCGCCTTTACAGAAGCCAACCGAAAGGCGTTCGAGTGAGATCCTCTCCACTCTCATTCCTGCCGTTCAACCCCACTGACAAGAAGAAAGCGAAATGTCCGCCACCTACAACTCCAAACAATGGCAAATCGACCTCTCAAACCAAGTCGCAACCGCCCTGCAAGCACGCAAAGACTGGCTCGGAGCCCAATGGACCACTCCGGACTCAGACACCGACATTCGACTGCTAGACTACGCCTGCGGCACCGGCTCCATCACCAAGGCACTCGGCCCTCACGTCAGCACAATCCGCGGCATCGATCTCAGCGAGAACATGGTCCAGAAATACAACGAAACGGCCCTCACCTCCGGCCTTTCCCGCGAGCAAGCCCACGCGGTTGTAGGCGATCTCTGCGGCGAAGCAATCCCCCCAACCTTGCTCGGACCCGAATGGTACAATTTCGACATCGCAGTCATCGGGCTCGGATTCCACCATTTCGAAAACCCCGCCCTAGCGGCAAAACGGCTCGGCGAGCGCCTGAGACCAGGCAGCGGGGTGCTGGTGATTGTAGATTTCCTTCCATTCGATCACAGGAAAGATCAGGGATCAAAGGAGGGAGCCGGGAATTTTCCGGATATGCAGCATACGATTAAACATAATGGGTTCACGCCGGAGCATTTGAGGGATCTGTATACGGCTGCGGGATTTGAGGATTTTGATATTGTGGCTTTGAAGCAGCCGGCTGTGATGGAGCTGAAGAGTGGGACGGTGCAGAGGACGATGTTTGTGGCGAAGGGGAGGAAGGTGGCGACTGCGTGAGCAGCCCTTTTGTCTTGGTGACTTTTTCCCCTGTCGGTTCTAATGGGTGTCTTAGATGGCAGAAGCTTTCGACTTGGCTTGGCGGTATGCAAGGTGAGTGACGGGCAAGCAGTCCCATGTCAGAGGCTAGAGACTGATGTGGCAACGTGCAGATTGGGCCGCGGGAGGTGTGAAGGTGGACAGGAGAGACGAACATGAATGGGAACCGGGCTTCTCCACGGGTGGTGCGGTCTGGAATATCGGAAAGCAGAAAGATGAAGATTACGATGCGTTCAAGCAGCAGGCGAAACCGAAAGCCTGGAGTGGCTTCTAGGGGCTCCAATCTCCCAAATCATCAAACTCATTTCTTCCACGCTCCACTCTCCACACCACCACTGTCCATCAGAGTCTTCTCCGGGGGCTCCGCCTCCAGCAAAAGTTTCATCTCCGGATCCCCCTTCTCCATCGCTCGCTTATAAGCCGGCCGCTCCGAGCAATCCTTAATCCAACGCAAGAGATTGCCATACGGTTTCAAACTCACCCGTGGCCCGAAATACCTCTGCGTCGTCAGACTATACACCGACATGGTCTCCGCAGCCGTGAATTCCTCTCCCGCGAGCCATTGGTTCTCCCGCAGCCGATCATCCATGTGCTTCAACGCGGCCTGCAGCCGTTGCTCGGCAAACTGCCGGACCATATGCTCCGGGGAGGTATCCGAAAGCTCCACAAACATGCTCGTGGTCAGGGTGGCCTGCAGGCTGCTGTTGGCGAAATCCTTCCAGTACAGGTAGTCGGCGAAATTTTTATGGTCCGGTGCGAGGGCGAGGCGGCCGCCGCCGTGTTTCCAGATGATGTAGTCTGTGATGGCGTTGCTCTCCGCCAGGGTGATGCCGGCGGTGGTGTCTTCTATGAAGGGGGCTTTCCCCGTTGCGTTGCCCGGGAGGCTCTGGAGGGAGTCCGGGGCGGCGAGGGGGGCGCGGGTGTGTTTTACGAGTTTGTATTCGAGGCCGAGTTCTTCGAGAAGCCAGGTGATTCGCTCGGATTGGGAGATGCCGAGATGGTGGAGGACGAGCATTTTGAGTGAGAATTACCTTGGGCAGTCGATGATGGAGGGGATGGAGAAGGGAGAGAGTCTTTTCTTGACGATTTCCGACTGATTACTCGAGAAAGTGACGTTAAGGTGGGGAGCTTTTACCCGACTAGTACACGGCTATCGACCCATGCATGCGATAGTCTTCATGGGAGATGCTTGCTACAATCTCGTGATCCGTTACCAGCACTGGTATCCACGAGAAAAGCAATAGCTAGTGCTGGCACTGTACAGTTTCTGATGAAGGACGAGGAGATTGTTATAGGCTGAGGTTGCCTCACGCCGTGTAAGTGCGTACGGCGTACGGCGTACGGCGTACGGCAGGAACCTACGTCACGAAATTGGACCTCGGCTTCTTCGGGTTTCCGGCCGCCATCTTCGTTACAACACCGACTATTACTTCGATTATACTTATCTTCACTTTTCACAATAGAACATCACAGCGCATGTGACGAAAAGATAGTCTGACTGCTCCAGATCTGTACTCTTCAGAATGGCGAAGCCTCTAGGATTGGACCTAGCCTCCAAGAAGCAGCGGACCAGGAGCGACTATGTCTACCACGAAGACTACCGATCACGGTGGAATGATAACGACATGTTCCACCACTTGAACAACCCCATCTACGGCGTCCTCATCGACTCCATCATCAATTCCTACCTCATACAAAAGACCGGCTACAGCACTTCCGGGTCGGAATACATCGGATTGGTAGGATCCAGCTACTGCGACTACTTCGGATCAGCCCACTATCCGGGCATGCTCGAGGTTGGCCTTCGAGTAGTCAAATTGGGGAAGAGTAGTGTCATGTACGTCCCACCGGATCCAGTCGCTTGTTCAATCACGTGTTAATCCCGTAACAGGTACGAAGTAGGTGTGTTCCAGGCCGGCGAGGAACAGATCAAGGCCGTGGGCGGCTTCATTCAGATCTGGGTTCTGCGGAAGACGAATAAACCGACGGAGGTGGGGATTCCCTCACATGTGCGTCGCGAATTGGAGCCTCTCCTCAAGGGCAGCGAGCAGGATCCTGCGGTCAAGTCCAGACTTTGACCACATCTTTGCGATGCGATCGAACGCATACACTGAGAAGTCATACAACCAACGCTCGGACGACCTTGTTGTGCACATTCGGCTGTTTCTGTGGCTTCCGAGCCTCGTACGGTACATGTCCTCCAGACGAGTTGAGATACAGTTGCTGCACCCCATCCTGTTCACGCATCATCCACCATCGGCAGTCGAAACCGACAGCACTGCGTGTGTGTACAATTCTATCTCAGATTTGCGTAATATGCCAACAACTGGAGATGCTACAAGCTTGTTCACCTCCGAGGCTGGCAGAGTCGAATCAACACCAGCAGGCAGCTTACTGTGCCCTGATCGACCCCACGTGGTTGTTGCAGGCCCGCGCCTCCAGAACAAGCCTCGTAGGTCTTTGTACAGAATACCTTCTCCAGCTGGGAGAGGCTTGTCAAATTTTGAACGTAGAGCTTGAGAAGTAGAAGGAGGCTGGAACTGCTTGAGATCACACAGTCTACGCGCTTTAAGTGCTCTAAACGGAACAAGACTTCAACAGCGGCGGCTTGTTTGGCTGCCGGTATTGCCGTGCAACGATTCCACCGGTGGACGAGAAGACTTAGTCCAGTCGAATCTATTTCTCTCAATGAGGCGGCAACGAGACCCGACCTGCATGTCTCCATCAATGCCATGGCCAAGAAAATTCGTTTCGAGTCATTCTTAGAAAGCTACCGGTGTCTCTGTCGCCGGTCTCGACATCGTTCCCTTCACGATCACCGCCAACATAGAAGTCATCGTCTCCGCCGGAGCCTTACAATCATTCCAAATGCTCATGGTGTTGCGCATCGTGCCTGCAGCTACCCTCTCACAGTTCACGATTCCCGCCATTCCTGGAAGGCGTCGGACAGAACATGTGGGACCGCTACTTCTTCACACAACCTTACCGCGAGACCAAAACACCCCGTCCATCCCTCATCCCCAACCAACCCACTGACCGTTCCCATCCAGGCGTGAACCTCAACACCATCTGCGGCCGAAGAGTTCCACCGCGACATGTCTCCTTCTCATGGCCCCTCCATCAGGCTCTTCACCGGTGTCTCGCAAATGTAGTGGACTGTCGCCGGATGCCTGTCTACGACTCTTTGACAGGATAGAATGACGACGGTCAACCCGTCGCACTGTATAGCATCAGCGAGGCGCATGCGAAGAATGCAGAGGCTCCTCAAATGGACACGAACGAGGAAACGTTATGAGGCCCTCGAAAGAAGTGCAGACAGAAGATATGCCATGTTCACCAAGTGGTCTTGCAAGTACCCGCGATCCCTCAGCTTCGCTTCGCTCACATGCCGATATCCACTACCGAGCCCGAGATGCGGAGGTTTCCGTCTTCTACTCTAAGCCTCTGGTGGCGCAGTACCCTAGAACTGGGAGCATCGGATAAGGTAACTGCTGCTCTGCTGCTACCATCAGTATCATGGAGCAAAAGTGGAGTGGGTTGAAGCTGCAGATACCCGACTCCTCCTTCACATAACACAAGAGATTCGGGCAAGGCTACGGCTTGGCTTGGCTTGGCTTGGCATATTCTACCACACTACCACGCACGCCTGGACCCCATCAACTGGTCGACACGACCCACCTCTATCACTGCTACATCAAAGCCCAAATGGCTCCCTTATCGTACTCCCGATGCCTCCACGGGACTTTGGTCAGACACACTCCGGTTGGCTGTCAATTCAACGCTGCTTCTCAGCCTCGCGAGGCCCTCAGCTGGCGATCTATGTACAAGTGCCTCGCTTATGCTATGGCGCTCTGACGACGAATCATTCGTGTTGCATGCAGCACGGCGCATGTAATGCAGGACGCTGCTTTGACGAATCGAAATTTGAACAGGCTGCAACCAGGCTGTACGACTGGATGCAGAGTCAGCCTCGCATGCATGGACTATAAGATCAAATAACTGAGCGAGGTCTCTCGGTCTCTCGCCCTCAAGCTTGAACTCACCTCCAACCCTGTCATCGAGAAGATGACCACAATGTCAAGTTATCACTATTCACAAGTTGCCGCTGATTCTCGTAGAGTCGAGAACGTCGGGTCACAGGCATCTGAACGCTCGGTCAGCCGCCGTACGAGCACAAGAGGGGACCAAAGCTGTTCTGCTGAGGCTACATCGAGCGAAAACACGAAACGCTCGTCCGGGCCATAGAGCACGAACAGCCTGGAACAACGGGACTGGCGCAGTTTTCGCTTTGACAACTGGGCTGTTGCCCCTCTACTTCATTGGCTTCGCTGCATTGGCATACTGCAACAATAATGTGCCAATCCAGCATAGCACTGCGCAGTGGCTACTTGAGGCTGCAAAATATGTAAGTGGAAAGCAAATACATGTCCTTCTTACCACGAGGCTGAATCTCCTTACAGCATCCAACTGTATTTCCCATCATGTTCGCAGCAATACTGGGCCAACTCATGACGGCGATAGCATCCACGCAGCTCGAGCGGGGGACTTCCATTGAGCTCCTTGAGCACCTACTCGGGACGCGATCCTTGGGGTCTGCTGTACTTGTTGTCGCCAAGTTCAGAATCATGAACATCTGGCTACCCTTCATCATCGCAGCCTGGCTCCTGTCACCCCTTGGCGGTCAATCTTCTTTGCGGCTGGTGTTCTCTGGCCCGCTGTATCACAACACCAACACCAGTTTTCATTACTTGGACACTCGGCTCTCGAATCCCGCCCTTCAGGGTGCCGACGACGCTAACTTTTTGAACCCATCAATCCGCTCGACATTCATGGCAGCTCTCAGCGCCCCCAGTAGTCTTAAAAACAGCAGTCAGGACATATACGGCAACATCCACATTCCTCAGTTGGAGGCTATCACGAGCGAGCCGGCCCTCGATGGTTGGTACAACGTTAGCAGCTTCAGTGGGCCTTATGTCTCTCTTCTCGGGATACCTGTGGCGGGAATAGCCCCTGATGTCAACTCCACGTTCACCTTAGAGACGTCGTACTTTACTCTCGAATGCGGCTTCGGGACTGGGCAGGTCTGGAATTCCTCAAACGGCTGTCCAGATTGTACAACGGATACCTTTGCGTCGGAGACGATTAACAACCCGGAACCAATCCGCAATTTTAAGATTCGAGAAAACTTTGTCGACCACGTAGATCTTTCTGTACCCGCTACCATCGAGCTTCAGAGCCGATACACCACTGACGACACCGGTAGATACATAGTCCATGCATCATGTCCGATCAGAACCAGTTACGTGGAAGCCGCCGTGGAATGCCAGCACACATCCTCCAACTGCGCTGTGACAAGGATCCGGAGATCCACTCTCAGTCACCCGCCCGCGACGGAGACTACCTTTGACTGCTCTATGCGAATTGACCGGGGTAGTATCTGTCCCCAGAACATCCGCTTGCTTTTCTTCTCAGGATTGATGAACACAGTGCCGACACCGATCGACGGCGAATACTCCGCGCTCGAACGCTTCTTTGTCCTTCCGGACTCGCCCTTTGATTTGTACCAACAGGCCGTTGACCTTGGATCGGTCAGCAATGTTCTCTTCTCTCGCAGATTTGCACAACTACTCAATACTTACTGGCTGGTCTATGTTGGTCCATTTGCAGTCGCCGGAAACTTTTCGTCCGCCGCCGACGGAACTGGTGCCGACGGCTATGGTGACGACAGCTATGTAGCGACGGCTTCTGAAGGGACTCGACAGAGCATGGAGATCGTGTTGTACTTTGACCCAGTCTGGGCAATCTGTCTAGTACTGGTCTCCTTCTTTCTCATCACGGCTGGTCTGTTAACGGCGTATCTCGAGGCAACTCGGAAGGGGCCTTCAGTTCTGGACACCTTCTTAAGCTCACAGAGAGACAATCCATACACTTCCGTCCACCGAGATAATCCCATGGAAGATGGTGCGGACACAGTTCGAAGGTCTCGGTACCAAAAGATTCAACTGGGAGATGTCATGCCATTGGAAGAAGTTGGACACGTCTCCATTGCCACTGCGGGGGCTGATCAGCCTGTCAAGAGATTGAACAAGTGGCGGCTGTATCGATGAGCGTTGTCGGATCCAAAATGTGGTATTTCCGGCCCGGAGGCGATCGAATGCGGAAGCAGCTGGACATTCCAAAGGCACTCTCTTCGTTGATGCCGCATCATCTGCTTCTTTCTCTCGCCATGCCGGTCGTTCGCACAGCAACGAAGGATCCAAAAGATATCTGGCCTGAACCTTCGACGAGCAGAGAAGACCGACCGCGCCAGGTCGTGCTTACTGAATACTGCGAATTGTGGCCCTGACGACCTGGGGGAACCCAATGGTCCGATAATGAACTCGGTGTGCAGATTTCAGATTTCCCGTTGATGTTGAAGAGCAGCGGATACGTACGCAGGCAGGAGAGCTCCTTCCGGTCTCACGGACAGGGATCGGTAAGTAAGGACCGCTCGGAGGCAGATCATCACAAACGCGACCTCTTCTCTGAATGAACAGATGACATGGCTACGCACCCATGTGTATTGGACAGAGAACGATCTCGCACTTGCCGTCGAGAGGGGCATTTTCTCTCTTGGGAAGAGAGACTGATATGAGTGAGTACTGGCCGACCAAGGCCATGGCCGGGGGGTGGGGTGGAAAAGGACGGGGGCCCGCAAACTTCAACGACGCCTCACAATGGCCTAAGCCCTCGAAGCAAATTCCGGCGAGATGCGAGAAGAACGCCTTCCGCGCGTGTGAAAACATTCGACAGGCCGTGGAATAAAGCCTCAATCATCAGAAAGCGGGCGGAAGTCCTATGAATCCAGCAGCCTGGTACGTACGACGAGTCGCAACTCTTACGCCCCACTACCTACCTATCCAACCACACACCGTATCCTGTCAATCGTCTGGTGGACGCAGCAGGTCTATAAGAGACACAAGCAGCAGGAGATCAAGGCGGAGAGAGGAAGGTGCAGACCAGGCAGGCCTAGACGGCGTTTCAGCGTACCCAGCCGGTCTCGCTCTGTCCGTCACTCCTTCAGACCAGACGGATCTCGGCGCAAACGTAGAGCATTATGCACAAGCTGGTATAGCTCGTTGAGGATAATCTAGGATGAAGTTCGACGATGATGTCGACGAGGGTTATTTCCCGGTTGAGGATGTGAGGATCGATAAGCAGATATGGGGTACGGTGAGGAGAACGTTGATGACGGGTGGAACTGCGGCTAGGACGTGTAAAATGCGTAAAGAAGGAGGATCAGATTGCCATTGCGGATAACAATGCAAGAATCTCCTTTGTACTTCCCAACACCGACAGAAAGCCCCCTCCAACCAGGATTTCTATACTTCAATTCGAAGACTTTGGGTATCTGTTCATGGTTGCTCAATCCTTCTTCATCAGAGACTGTATCTATACGTCATCTTCTCATCCCCTCTCCTCTCCTCTTCCCATCCCAAATTCCTCGCAAGCTTCACCAACCCCATCTGTCTTGCTATTCTCCCAAGGAAATTGTCAGGAGCAGGGATATCTCCCACCATCTCCTCCCGTTCCTTTTCTTCTTCACTCCAGCTTCGAATCACGTTATCTCGGAAGCGATTCTCCCTGACCAGAGCAAATCTGAAAGCGATGAAACCAGCTAACGAGATCAGAGCGCAAACTAATAGTACAGTGAAAGACTGCACATAGCCCGTTTTCTCATCTCGAGGAGTGAAAAGTACGCCCATGAAGATTCCAGCGAGGTTGCCCCAGCCATTTATGCCGAGGAGGATGGCTCTCTTGCCTGGCTCGGGGGTATTATTCGCGAGCCAGGCGACGGTGAGTGGTGAGGCGATGAAAGATCCGGACAGAAGAACGCAGAGCGAGAAATAGCGGAGCCAATAATTGTTGACTGGGCTTACGACGGCGAGAAGTAAGCCGATTAGCAGGAGGCCAAGACCGTAGAAGATTGGTATCAAGCGCATGCGGCTTCTGTCGGACCAGATGGTGACCGCAAAGAGAACAATTGCGCCAAAGGCGAATGGTGGCGCGGAAAGGAGATTCGAGGCTGCGGCAGAAAGGTTGAGAGATGGTGATAGCTCCTTGACAAGGATCGGCAGAAGCACGCCAAAGGCTGTCGCCGGTATCGCACTCAAGATATTCGCAATCAGTAGAGACCAGATCTTGTAGTTGAAGACGGCAGAGAGGATGTCTTGTCGTGAGAGACCAGAATCTTCGGTGACTGCACGGCCAGACATCTGAGACTGTGTTTTCCGGAGTGAGGCGTGGATACCTGTCCCGGATAATAGCTGATCGTGAGCGTCGTCTTCAAGACCCTCTTCTGCGCCGTCCATTTGACGAGCTTCTCGAGTGACCTGGCTGCTGTTCTCGGTATGTCGTTCTTTGGACTGCTCCACCTCAATCGTATCCAGCTGCATCCGCTTCTCTGCCCAAGATCTCTCCTCAGCATTGAAGAACCACGCCGTGTCTGCTGAGTGCGGTAGCCAGAAAAAGCCAACCAACGCAACGGTCATGGTGAGGCACCCTTCAATCAGGAATAGGATCTCCCAGCTCTTCCACCCTCCGGCTTGTTCAACCGAAGGTGGTGGAGGAAGCCGTCCTTCACCACCACCATGACTGTCTCCAGGAAAGTGTGAGAAGATAGCCCAACTGAGCACTCCGCCGAGCACACCAGCAACGGCGGTCATCCCGTAGAAGAAGCCAAGGCGGAACGCAAATTCGTATTTGGTATAGAACAAGCTCATGTACGACACAGTGGTCGGATAGAAGCCGCTCTCCAGTGTCGCAATGGCGGTTCTCAGTAAGATCAAGTGCCATCTCCTTCGTACGTATATGTGGAGAATCGTGCTCAGACCCCAAAGACTCATGCAGGCCGGAACATACTTCCTCATTCCATACTTACGCCCAACGGCAGCGCCCACAGGTTGCAGGAGCACGAATATGAAGAAGAAGACTGACATGGAGGTGTTGACATCGGAGCGGGAGAGGCCGGTGTCGTGGGTGAAGCCGGCAGTCTCTGCATTGCCGATGTTCGACTTGTCCAGGGAGTTGAGGAGGAAGAGGAGAGCGAGGAATGGCAGCAAGATCAGATCGAGTTTGCGTACCGCACGCCTGTTGAGATCCTTGTTCTGCGGCACCGTAGAGTTCGATATTGGGGCGCCTCCTTGACGTCGTCCTTGCAGTAACGCCTCTCCTTCCCCGTCGTTCTGTGGATTCATGGTCTCCTCCTCTTCCAGGTCGGCGATTCTATGGGCTAGACCTTCCTCTTCTCCTTCCAGCGACGAGGACGAACGGTGGGAGGGTAGTTTCTGAAGCTCATGTTCCTGCGGTCGAGACGGCGGTGTTGGTGCATGGTCACGCATAGCATCCGGCTGCTACTCCGGCGCGGAAAGCCTGCCTCATGACTTGGAGCAGGGAGTGATCGAAATGTGAGAAGACGGTGTGAGAAGTGAGAAGGGAAGGAAGGATTCGGTGTAGCGCTTGCGCTGTTGCCGAGTGACGATAAGCTTGTGATTCCCCGGTTCCCGAGCCGAGCCGAGCGAGTCCCCGTCCCGAGGTCATGCCGGCCTAGGACGTAGCGTAGTCCACTTCACTTCCTCCTTCTTCATCGGAAAAACAGAGAATCATCCTATGCATCATGTCGAAAGATATACCTTTCAGGCTTCAGCATGTTCGTCCCTTCAGCATGTCAACCTTTGGAAGGATTGATGCCAAGATCACGTCTGACAACTCACTGCTCGCATCGCTCTTCTGCTGATCAAAGGTAATAAAGAGAGCGCGATGGTGTTGAAGCGAGAGTATGAGGCTTGCGATGCGGTGGAGAGTTTTGTAAAGTCTATTGAGGAATTGGCGATGAAGTATCGTGATGGAAACAAGTGAAGGGGAAAGTCGATATCTTTTTGTCTCATAGTATTTTGGAATCTTCTCCAGGCTTTGGGGTTTCCCTATTATTTGAATGCATCGTAATCTTCCTCTCACTAATCTGCGCCCTTGGAGAATGGAATCGGGGAGAATGGAGGGCGGAAGAAATGATGCTGAAGAGGTAACGATTCATTGGGAAAGGAAAGCTGCAGATATCCAACCCTGCTTCATCATGCAATTTCATGCCTCTATCAAGAAAAATCATATTCATTCATTCACTTCATCGCTTCGTCCCCCTCGCTCTGCGAAGACTCCCCATATCAAATTGCGTCTCATCACCACTACCATGACCATTCGATGGATCCTTAGCTTCCTGCTTCTGAGTGGAACTCTGACTCCGCTCATCCCCGCCACCGAAGAGCCCTCTCTCACGTGCGCGCGGAGAACCAGCGGGATTCCCATGGGGAGAAGTTTCGGAACCCTGACCTAGCATGAAAGAAAACGGACTTTCTCCGAGAGTAGGTCGGGGAGGTTTGGTTTTGGTGGGTTCAATGATAGGAGGTGTTTTTTCTATTGTGTTGTTGCTACCGGGGTTATGAACTGGTGCTGTCGATTGGGAGACTGTATCGTTGGTAGAAAACAGAGCTGCGTCCGCCGTGTTCAAAGCTGGACCGGGCTCCGCAAAGTCTTCGAAGGTCGAAGGATCGGCTAGACCGGCAGTTGTGGGTGAGGTAGGAAAGGCTTGAGCAAAGCTCTTGGGAGGAGATTGTGTGTCCTTTGTCACCTCGCGTTTCTCTTCCACGTCCGAGGGTGACAGAGGTTCGTTAGTCTGAGGTATGGATATCGCTTCCATACTGGTTTGCGCGGTCGACGGTCGTGATTCGTCGTCCGGCAACGATAGCGTCGGCTCGGCCAGATAGACCTGCACAAATTGGACTTTTGCGATCGCCGCACTGAGCTTTTCCACGACACCCGGATCTGCTTGCACATTACCCTCCTCTTTCGTGTGAGCTTCAGTGACGAGCTTTTGGTATTCCCAGAGCTCATTCACAGCACCAGACAGTAATTGCGAGAGCCGTTCGTTTCGTGACTCGAGTTCTTTGACTCTTCCAAGCAGGGGTTCGTGACCTGCTCGCGCGGGCGAGGGAGTCTGCGCATCTCGAATTTCTTGAGCCTTCTTATGAACTTCATCGACGGCGCTGCGGACTGCCTTCCCAATGCCAAGCTTCTCGCCTCGTGCGTAAATGTTCTTCGCGGTGTTTTGGAGCATTGCCTCAATGTTTCGTGATTGACGAGGTGTTCTAGGCGGCGACAGCCTGCTCCGACGATCTGAGTTGTGGATAGCGTAGGTGGTGATGTTTCTCTGCAGCGCGGGTGGTGTGGTGGGTCTCCCTGTTACCAGCGGTCTCCCAGTATACTTCAGAACCAGATAGCTGCCGCCTTCAGAAGTCATGTGGGTCGTCAGATACAACGCATCCAATGCGAAGGTCTGAGGTGGGAACTCCTTGTCCTGCTCAGGATACTTGAGTAGTAGTCCTAATGCCGCATTGTAATCGGCATCGAGCAAGTGCCAGCGTATTCGGAGCAGCATCGCGATACAGACGTGATCTACGAGCTCAAGCGTAGGATCCTCTGCAAAGATGGCATCCCACAGAGTGAGTACGCCATCGAAGTCGAACTCTCGGCCAAACAGGAGCCGAATCCATCGGATGAGGAAGACCTGAGGAGGTATGTCCAGACTCTCGACGTATTTCTTCAAGTCAGGGTCGACCTTAGGCAAGAGCTCATCGAAAATACGGCGGCTCCTCGACGCTATTGACACTGGTCCCTCCGATATGTACTGCTCAGGATCAGCGGACAATTTGGTCTCATATCGGAGAAGAAGATGAAACTCACAAATGTCTTGGCACTCTGCATTACCTGCCCGAAAATCGCAAAAGTGTCATGTTCAATGTGTTCAGCATCGAAGACCATCTTGATAATACCATCCTCCCCTAGAGCCTTGCTGGTCCGGCCCACATCAATAGCTTCGCGCTCAACGACCCAGAGAATGGGTGCCGCAATCTCATGCATACCCTGCCGATACCCAACATCCGGATTCAACCTGCAGAACACAAAGAGAATATCAAGCAACATCATCTGCGTCTCCGGTTGCCGAAAATAGGGATTCTCAGGCATACAACGCTCGACATCTTGCAAGATCTCAGCGCGCAATTCTTGATCTTTCTGTACTTGTGACCAAGGGGATGACTTTGATTGAACTCTTAGCTTTCCGTCAGAGACAAGGAATCGCAGCTTTTGCAGTTGGGATCTGCGTTCCATGTGACACATACCTCTGAATCTTGACTCAGCGGGTCAAAGTTTGCCCCTACATCGTCCGGATTTTCGATATATCGGAAGAAGTGAGAGTGCAGTGAATTGTACGCAGAGCGTGATGAAGACAGTGTACGCTGCCATTCCGTCACATCGAGGGTGTCGAATACGAGGAAAGCCTTCCAGCAAGCAGATCTCAGCCCGCTTGTTGCGATAGAAGCGTTTGCTTCAAGGCGTACGGCTTGCTTCAGCTCGCCAAGGTCCTTGTATTGCTGGAGCTCTTGCCAGCTTAGTCGAGCCTCATCGAGGCTACGCATGCTGACAATTGACGTTCATGGGGACGCTGTCTTGTTTCAAATTGGTGCTTGTGAATGTGACGGCGATGGTGGATGTCACGTTGGCTTCGTCACCTCGAGGCGCGGTGCGCTAGCGGAAGGTCCCGAGGGCACGGACCTTGTCACGAGCTACCATAACATCCTCACTCTTTGCACGTTCCAAGTCGGTCTCCACGAGTGCTATCGTTGTTTCTATGCGGTACGGCTCGCCATAAGCACTGTATACAACCGGGAATCGGGGAGCTTGCATTGCTTCGAGCTGTAGTGTGCGATGGACCAGCACGTTTGAGAAAAGAAGAAACTATTTGCATATAATATGATTTAATCTTGGTTTGAAGAACTTGGTGCTGAATCCCCAAGTCTGTTGCCTCTCAACGCGCCAGCTGTTGAACGCCGCAAGGGCCATGTGGAGCAGCCATCTCAAATAGTGGCGGTCACCTCCGCTGACTGTTCCGATACGGCTGCTAGATCACCCTTCAGTGAAGCCCAGCTCGTCTCCCGAAAACCACCTCTTTCAAAGCTCTTCATTGGTACGAGTCCGTACCGCTCAAACATAGCTTTATCCTCGTCCCACCCATTGCACTCTGTGGTCAACATCTTCTCTCCAGTGAAGACAGCGTTGGCCCCTGCGGAGAAGCAGAGAATCTGCTCAGCCTCGCTCATGGTTGTTCGGCCGGCTGCAATACGGATGATGGTAGCGGGCATGACCAGGCGGGCTGTGGCGATGGTGCGAAGAATGGCATCGAATTCGATTCGCTTTCGGTCAGGGCTGTCGCCGAGCGGGGTGCCTTTGATGGGGACGAGGGCATTGACCGGGAACGACTCGGGATGTTGAGGCAGCGTGGAGACAGTGTAGATCAAACCGACGTGGTCCTCTGGCTTCTCTCCCAGTCCGAGAATGCCGCCTGAGCAGACGTTGATCCCGGCTTGCCGGACGTGGGACAGCGTCTGCAGACGCTCGTCGTACGTGCGGGTTGTGATGACAGACGGGTAATGTTCCCGCGAGGTGTCCACATTGTGATTGTATGCCGTAAGTCCAGCCTCCTTGAGCTCATCGGCCTGGTCCTGGTCGATCATGCCAAGTGTGACACAGACCTCCATATCCATGTCCCGAATGCCCTTCACCATGGCCTTGACGTTCTTCAAGCTAGTCTTGCGACCTCGCATGTCTCTCCAAGCGGCGCCCATGCAGAAGCGAGTACTTCCATTGTCCTTTGCTATCCGGGCTGCGTCCAGTACTTTCTCTACTGGAGACATCTTCGTTGCTTTCAGTCCGGTGCTATAACGGGAAGATTGCGCACAGTAGGAGCAGTCTTCGCTACAGCCTCCGGTTTTGATGTTCATCAGGGTGCACATCTGCACTGCTGAGGGCGAGTGGAAGCGTCGGTGTAGTGTGCCCTATGCACACGACACTTATCAGCATCTCTTATACCCGGAGCAGCTGTACTGAAGGGGAGTCGCCAATGCATACAGCCTGGAAAGCCAACTCCATGAGCGGCGTATTGTATATCTCACGGATCTCATTCTTGGACCAGTCGTATCTGGGCTCCCGAGCGTTGACAGCCGTCCATAACGCATTGGTGGGCTCTGGCGGTGGAGGGGGAGTGGCCGAGATCGGTGCGAAGGCGTCGTTGACGGGGGTGCTGAGCGAGCGGGTCTGAACAGACGACAGCGAGCGAGCAACGGCTCTTCTGGAGAGCAATGTCAGCGACATGGCGGCAGTAGTGACAGACGGATGTTGGAGTAGAAGAGGAAGAGAGTCCCGTACCGGTTGGTGAGGGAGATACAATGTGTGTTGGCGTGCTAGCAACAGAGTTTCTGCCCCACTCTCCCAACGGCCGAAACAATGGAACCTGGAAACAAGCAGTGGGGTGCAGAAAGCCGACCATTCTCTGCCTCCCAGTAAAGTTCGGCAATATGGTCAGCAATATGGTCAGCAATATTTCTACCGGTATCTATCATGGGAACCGCGTGAATGTCTTCGGGAATAACTTCGCGAAAGTCAACCTGGAATCTTCCATTGCAAATTATCGCACAATGGATCCAACACGGTCCCTGCAGGTCAGCTTCTTCTCGACTAAGACATGTCCCTGGAAGACATGGATGCATCTTGTTGACCAGATCATGCCAGCTCGCATGCGGTTGGCGCCATCAATTCGGCCACATCAGATCAAGGTTGGTCGTCCGTGGGATATGGTGTGTGGGGATCTTTGCAAGACGACCTTGTGAAGGGTGTGATGCTGTGATGGACTGTGGAGGAGTGGCTGCTACGCGTGTCCGTTCCGGCGAGGACGTCTTAAGGAAGACTTTAGACCATGTTCATGCGTCTTGAACAACGCCAGCTCTCGGCAGGACTGCGAATGCCGAAATGTCGGTCTTGCGGGTGTATCTCTTACAAAACGAGATGAGATAATTCGTGACAGGGTTTCTCGGCAAGAGCCGAATATGCAGGGACGCCAGACACGCTTACAGCCTACAAGCCATCAGACTCTTGGAAGTCGCCTTTCAACTTTCAAGTACCACGCCCGCTTGCATCCTCCATCTAGGCCAGTCGTCGCCATTGCCAACCGTTCCACGTCACTGTGAAACACATTGGGTCCACTCTCTCCGCATGAGCCAACTGGGCACGACTCGGGAGTGTGGAGTTGTTTGAGAACAGCAAACAATAGACATTGAAAACAAGCAAGATGCCCGGCCTCCGACAGGCGCAAGCCTTCCACACAAACACCGACCGTCGCAGCGGCCAACCTCTCTCTCCTTCCGAACGCGAAAAGATGCTGAAACCCTACCTTCCACGCGAAGCGAATCTGTCCAAGAAGCAGCCCTCGTCTACCTCGTCCAAGAACAATGGCCCACGCTTCCACCACCGCCAACGGGTCCGTCCTGCAATGCGCCATATCCTACACATCCTCCTCTTCAGCATCATACATGCCGCTTTCTCGGCGTATGTGAGGCTACGACAGCTTTGGCATGCGGTGGTCGATCGGGCACTGGCGGTTCTCTACTATCATCATCGAACGCCAGAGTTGATTCGACGGGATGTGAAGGGCCTGAGCAGAGTGCCGAATCACTTGAGTGTGATTTTGGATATGGGAAAGAAGGACGGACTGGAGACCTTGTTGCATGATGCCTGCGAACTTGCGGCGTGGAGTGCGAGTGCTGGGATACCAATGCTCTCCATCTACGAACGAACAGGTAAGACTAGATCTAACAAGCACTTCCAGACTCCCACGTCGCTAATGAATTTTCTTGGAAAGGCATCCTCAAATCCCTCCATCCCCACCTCCACCGCCAAATCTCAAAAACCCTGACATCCTACTACGGCGCTTCCTCGCCCAACAAACCCACCATCTCCCTACGATCGCCCAACCTCCCCTCCTACAGCCCTCCACACTCTCCCGAAATCGCAAACGGAGGAGCAACTCCTCACAACCTCACAATCCTCATCCTCGACGCAACAGACGGCCGTCAAACTCTCGTCGACCTGACCAAAACTCTCACCGAAATGTCCCAGAGCGGAAACTTGAGTCCCTCGGACATCTCCACGGAACTCATCGATGCGGAGATTAGTGAGAGCGTCATGGGTGAGCCGGATCTGCTCATTGTGTTTGGGCCAAGAGTTGTCTTGGAGGGATATCCGCCTTGGCAGGTTCGCCTGACGGAGATTTTCTACGCGCAGGACAATGTGGGCGGTGTGGGGTACCAGATATTCTTGAGGGCTTTGTATAAATTTGCCAAGGCGGAGTTTAGATTTGGGAGATAGGGGTGTGAGGATGAACAAGCATTGCGACACTGCTGTATGGCACTCTCTGAAGTCTTCATTCGTTTGGGTTTTCTACTTATATCGTGACGCTCATGCTTCGCTTCCTCTCTTTCGCCGTGCTGAACTGAATGGGTGGTATCACAAGAATGGATGACAACTTTTGTCTGCCACCCGAAAATTCGCCAAGTGACTTGACGCCTCGCTCATTTGATTTCTGTCTTGCCGAGCGCGTTCGCCAAGTCATCCACGTCCTTGTCCTTCTCCTGCGCCACCGGCTCTGCCTCTGCCGCGTCGGCATCCTTGAGAACCTTCTCCTCCTCGGCCTCTTCCTCGTCTTCCTCTTCCTCCTCGTCTTCGTCATCATCTTCCAGCTCGTCCAGCTCATCCACGCCCCAGGCATCCTCGTCATCCTCCTCAACACCAGGAAACTCCTCAGCCTGCTCATCTTTCCGCTTCTCGAGCAAATCTTTCAGTTTCTCGATACTCGGATCTTCCTCTGCGAATTTGTTGCCGTTCAGCTCAACGCGTCGTAGACGCGGAAGGGCAGTAGAGGAAGAAGCGGCGTCCGAGAGGGCCTTGAGACCCTTAGTGTCGATTTCGTTGTACTGTAATCGGAGGATTTCGAGTTTCTTATTTCCGCCTTTTGCGAGAGCGTCGCCCAGCATACGACCTCCACGTGCTGAGAGAAGACAATCTCCCACACCCAAGTCGCGCAGTTCTGTCCACGTGGGAATGACCGTCGACAAAGTCTTCGCTGCAAGGGCGGTGAACGTGTTGTCCTGTAGATCCAGGGTATCGAGGATTTTGCAATTCGAAAGGCCATGTTGAAGCAGCGTCGCGATTCCTTCTTGTCGGATTCCGTTCTGCACCATCTTGACTGTTTTCACTTTGTCGTTGGCTGTGTAGGCTTTTACCCACGCTGCCATACTGCCTGTTTCCAATCTATTGCGTCCACAGACGACTGTTTCGAGGTCTGGTACATCTTTTCCTGCTTTTCGTGCGGCGGCTTTGTTCTCCGCGAGTTGTGCGAGGGCTTCGGCCACGAGGGTGCCGGCGGCTGGACCGAGACCGTTGTTGTTCAGGTGGAGGTGTTGGAGAGGAGTGTGTTGGCTAAGGAACGGCCGAAGGGGCTCGACGGTGTTCAGACCAAATGCGTTGTCATTGAGGTTGATGGTGTGAAGACTTGGACATTTGAGCAGTGCCTTCAGCAGAGCATCGAGAGCTTGAGGAATTTCGGAAAGCAGACGTCCGGTGAAGATATCGGCGAGGTTGGCGTATTTGAGAGTCTTCTTTGTTTCTAGAATCTTGGCGAGTGCTTCAGAAGCCTCGACGCCGATCGTGTTCCCCTCGAGGTGCACTTCTTCGACATCTGTGCTGTCTTCGAGCGGTTTGATGTGTTTTTGAAGGTCTGCGGCCGTATCGAGTTTCAGGGCTTGACCACGAAGACTGAAGACCTTTGCCATGGTTTAATCGAACCAAGGTAGTGTTTGCGAATTGTTTGGCTCTGCGCAGTCCAAGGATTTGTGTTGTGCAAATGTTTCTGTTTCTGCGGCTTGTGTTTTGGAGGGGCACTTATCTGCAACCTGGTCGACTGCCGTGCGGCTCGGCGGCTCGGCCTCCTGCAGGAGCATCCCTGCCAAATTCATGTGTCGCCGGGACGACCCGCAGCAGCTTAGAAGACTTCACCTTGTTCCATCCTCATTTCACTGCGCGCTCATCGCGCGGTTGAGTTTGCAGGCGATGTAGACGTCTATCGAAAAATTGAGAGCGCTTCTGACTACATTCCTTGACTCTTCAGCCAGACCTCTTGCCATTCGCCCAACTTGGCCGAATACTTGTACAGAGTCCGGGGTGGTCTTTCCACCGCTCCTCAGTCAGCAAGCCCTCGTCAGTCCAGCACATAGTCCAGTCGCTGCCCGGAGTCTCCCAGCTTTAAGCTGATCGCTCAGAATACCACTTGTTGACCGGACTATTCTGCCGACTTCGCCAACAGACACCACTAGGAAAGCATGTCCCTATCATCCCTTGGAAGAGAATATCTGCATTTCCATTAGAGCCTTGCGAGGATTGCAGTACGGCAAATTTGTCAGGATATGGCATCAACCGAGCCGGATCTTGAGTGCCCAGCGGCATCTCCCACGTGAAGATAGCGGCACCTTCATATTCGCCCGCTACGTTTATGCCGGCAATGCGATTACTAATGCACGCGAGATAGTCGGAAACGTCGAGATTTCAACGGAAGCTGTCTTGATAAGACGCACCAGACGTGGAAAGTCAGTTCTAGGATCATCATCGAGTTGCAAAGGAGCCGTCCCGTTCGTTGGCATTTTCCATTCATTCTGTTGTTTCGCAAGCATTACAAGTAACGACATGCCTCGTTTGACATCGGGAGCGGGAGAATTAGCTTTGGAGATGTGGTACCACTGTCAGTTGGAGATGAGAGTCGTGCGCGGGGAAGAGGCGCAAAGACGAGAGGTTTGTTGGTCAACAAGTCGTGGATCAGGATGTTCCTCTGACAAGACTTTTTCCCGACATCTGTACCTTGCGAAGACTCCTGGTTGGCAGACGCCTCTGGGATGAGAACAAGGCCAGAAGATGCTGGATGCAAATTTTTTAGACATCTGCGAATTATATCGACATTGCGTCAGTGCTGATGTCCCTTGCCAGGACGGAGGTTCGCTTCAACCAGATAATTGTGCTAGTGAGCTCCCGCTGGATGCTCTTGAACTGTTGCTGCAAGCTGATCATGACATGCACATTATTAGTTGCGCGGTTCTTGCAAGGTATGCGAACGATTGGATCAATTAAGATCGACCTATCAACTCTCAACCGAGGCCGAAGTGATGCAAGAGCAGATTCGGTAGACGCACATTGACGTGTAAGATTCGCCATGATGTCCTTGCTTGATGCAGGCGTCGGCCAGGCAGACTCGGTGTATGCCTTGAAGGTACGATGACCGCTGAGCCTCGCTCCAAAGGATGAAGAAGCTGACCTGGAACGGCCACTGCGATGATTCCACGATCTGACGAACTCTTGTTTGAAAGACCCGGCCCCGGCCTTTCAAAAGCACCTGGAACTGATTGGGCCCCGCCTGGGCTTCGTCTTTCGATTAGGCGACCAACTCGTTCTCTTTTTTTCGCAAAAGCGGAACGTGTCTTTCGAATACCTTTGACATCGTCCTCTCCCGCTTCGCCTCGAACTGCGTTCAAGTTCAGCACGATTATAATTCGCCTGCCAAGCTTGGTTAGCGAAGAGACTGTATCGGCGAAGCCATCGAGAATCGAATCATCGACAGCGTCTGGGGATCTGAAGCAGATCAGAGCTAAGTGCATAGGCTGCTGATCTAGAATTGCCTGCGTCGGTAGAGGACACACAGCGTCTCCGATGACTCTGGTAATGTTGAACTGATCTTGAATATAGCGAGGTATGTACTGAGGCAACCGAGAATCTCTTAGCTCTGCGGTCTGCTTGGGAGATGATCGAGGCGACTCGAAAGTGGCAAGGATTTGCTTGACATCTCGCTTCATCACGCATGTGTTGAGAATAATGAAGAGAAATTCTTGTTGAATGGCCGACTTTTCGAGCCTCTTCGATGGAACAGAGCGGAAAGTATCGGCGGGTTGCTTCGAGAATAAGCGAATCGAGTCCTATACTGCCGCTCTCGTTGCACTCCTCAAAGTCGACACTGAGCTGGCCATTGATATGCCGTGGGAAGCAGCTTTCTGAAAAGACGAAATTCTGCAAAGTCGTTGGCGCTATGTCCTGAGAATCAAACCTCTCAGCATGCCAAGCTTCGTTCTGTGACGCGAAGTGAGCAATCGGTAAGTGAATCGAAAAGGTCCTGACGGAGTATCTGCTGTTGTGTTAGTGCCGTGTCGTGATGCCCTGTTCGAGCTTGTGATTATCGCCCTGCGTGATCGACAAGGTTGTAGTTATTGGAATCCAGGCACAGACATTATGAGAGTATTCAGATCTCGGCAGTAGCGCTTAGGAGACCTTACTACATTTCCCAATGCTCAAGCCTTGGGTTCCCATCGCTGCTGCCTTGGTCTAGAGGGCAGACATCATTGCCGTTCCTAGAGGCCTTGTACCTCTTTAGAGACCATCGGTAGAGCTTTTGGGCAGGCATCGCGCTTTCCGACGGCACAGGTCTGTGTGCTAGTGAACATTGTACGTGCTATGGGAAGGAACAGAGAAAAGTGAAGTCGCTGCGGTCGGAAATTTCGGAAGAGGGACTTCCCTGTCGATAGGGCTTTACGGGCCGTCTCGGCCCGCTCAGCTTTGCTGACAAACTCCATCTCAAGTGAATGACGAATTGCCGACTTTAAACGACTTTCTGGTCTTGCGACAGCACCTCGCGTGTCAACAAAACCAATGTCCTCCGGCACGTTCTACCTTCCAACCATCATCGTCTCCGCTAACAACAATCCCAGCAATGCAACCAAACAACACAGCCGCAGACCTCAAACCCCAAGGCGAAACAGCGGCGAAAGTAAAGGTATATATGCTTAAACTTGCGCATCTCATCCAATCCTATTTTATCTAACTCGAAGCCTCAGCCATGCTGTGTCTGCAAAGACGAGAAATCCGCCCGCGACGAATGCATGCTCTTCTCTACCGCTAAGGATCCGCAAGAGGGGTGTAAAGATTTGGTTGGAAAGTACCGGAGCTGTATGGAAGCGTATGGATTCAAGATTGCATAAGAGACGAGAGGAGGGGCTGCATTGATCATGGCGTTTTGATATGGGATACAACAAGAGCAATAGCAGGCAGCATGAGACAGATGTCCCGGGTCAGAGGAAACACTGTAGAAGTATTGTATAACTATTTGTACATATGGGAGATAGGCAAACTCGCATCCACCAGAACTCTTGCGACCGGGGTATCACGCCAAACTCTTCGAGCAGGCAAGTTCACTGGGTCTTCTTCTCCTGCGCTACCGACTTCTTGCGAACGCCGAGTACGCCCAGAACACCACTCTCGAGCGCCAGATTCCAGAGGCACCAGAGGTAGCACAGGCCGAAGCCTGCGGCGCCTAGACATACATTCACAACCACCCATAGATCAGGCTTGTTCGTCGGTGGAAGAACGAAAAGCTCGAGACCATGCCAGACAAGAGCCGCGGCAACTGTGCCGAGGTGGATGAGAGTGGTCAATATAGTCACGCCCCCTTCCGCAGCAGGTGTGGTATATGCTTTGATGCCGAAAGGCGGCATACCTATCAGATACGCCCAGAGCGAAGTCAACACCAGATATGGGATTCGTAGTTCGTCCTTGTGTAGTAATGGGAAGAGAGTCCAGTTCGCGAGCAGATTAGCATAGCCGACCCAAGCGCGGACCGCCGGCTTCATACCGCCCTCTGTAGCAAGCAACAGGGTCATCGGCAGCAGAGGAAGTAACACGTTCTTTTCGTGGACTTGATATGAGCACAAAAAGAAGCCCCAGGCGGTCGTGGCAAAAGCCAATGGCACCAGCTCTCGCTTCGGCTTGAAGAAGATGATCAGACAAGGCGGTAGAATGGACAGCAAGGTTAGTCCCAAAGAAGCGCGACTCATTAGAGCTTTATCATATTGATGCAGTTTGTGGAGACCGCTTGCGTGGATGGCGCACCACACATTGGCAACCTTGTCTTCGAACAAGCCTCGTGCGAATGGGAAGATACGATGTACAGATTGTGTCAACTGTACCAGGTATGGGTAGTACCAGGCTTTCTCCGAGACAGGATATGGGATCGCAGACAGCAGTGGCGGTAAGGTGATATCAGAAGGCAATGGTACCTTTCGATATGTATCGTAAAAGGTTCCGAGCAGCAGTGGAAGAAAGAGCAAGGCGAAAGAGCCAGCAGTAGTAATCGCAATGCCAAGGAACCTGACGACGTTGATGCGAGGGAACAGGCAGGATCCAGCAAGGAAGGCAGCGACCGCTGGAGCGTAGAAAAGTGCCATCTGTTTGAATCCTAATGCGCCAACGAAGAAGAAACAGCTCCAGAGTGCTCTTCCAGCCAGCATGCTTGAGATCGTTGCAACGACAAGTCCCAACATGACAGTGTTGTACTGGAAGTGGCCATGATCAATGAGTATTGTCGCAGGTTGCATCAAGATGGCAGTAAGTGCGATCGCAGCCTCCCATGAATTGATGTTGTGATGTCTTGCTAAGTGTCGGACACAGATGATGACAGCAGGAACATAAACCAGGTGCTCCGACACATAGACGGTAGCGCGCATGAAGACCTTCAGAACCGCGTCGTCCAGGCCCTGAGAAAGATAGAGCGCAAACCACTTTGGATTGATAATTGATCCAAATGTTCCCAGTATCCACGAATGATAGGCTGTCAAGGGCGGATAATCCAGTCCCCACCATTGCAGATTATGAAAGTACCAGTGAGTGACAGGAAGATGAATCGTGAGCTCCATCCAATGTCGCTGGGCTTCGAAGTCGCCGTGCATGGGAGGCTTCTTGAATCCCGAGTATGGCCATATTGCTGTACACCACCTGAAAAGCCCAACGACCATGAGTATCACCGGCAGGGTAATCCACTGAGAATTGGTCCCCTTGACTGGCCAGAAGAAGGCTACCAGGGGGAAAGCTGGCTTCTCGCGTTTGGATCCATCGAGTACCAGAGTTCCATTGGAGCTGCTAGATGAGATCAAGTCTGCCTTCCGCTTCTTTCTGGGCCTGTGCGAAGGGTTATGAGAGGGTGCCATTGTTGGTTATCGGCTTCCGACTACCGTAACATGATATTGTGCGGCTTCGATTAGGCAACGTGGTCGCTACTCAAGATGTAGACCGTATGGCGAACTCTCCGGAATCACTTGGAAGGTGAATTTATTGTCTTGTCTCCAGCAGTTGTAACTCGAGACCCTCGAGCACAAATCCTTCTATTCTCTTGTGTTATTTGCTTGACTCGAAGGGGGAGGTGAGCGAGAAAGGTCAGAGTTCGCGCTAGTGATGATTACTTAAGGAGGACCCTGCTTTTTTTTTCTCGTTAAGAGCTACTAGCGTCGAAATTTTCGAGCACCAATATATATTCCAGCCACACCACGACCGACATCTGATTCCTCTTCCCACACATCGTCGACAATTTCCAACAAAAGAGTGTTGTTGCTTCCGACATCAAAGCATATCGCAGCATCCCTGTGCTGATATTGAGACACGATCTCAAGTTGCAAATCATCGGTTCGTTGGCTCTCTATTCTCTTTCACTTCGCTGCCTCGGCGCCGTGATCGAGTTTTCGCACTGCGGTGCGTCTGTGGGCATGGCATCAAGAAGACTAAATACAAGCCTCGACTGGTTCGCCGGCGGGCTGCAGTGGGCTGTCGGGCGTTGACTGTCGCAGACGTGTCTCGGCTCTTGTGGGAACACATCGCCTTGACCGCGCGACCCGTGGGCAGAAGAACATTACGGCGATCATTTTCGCCAGAGGGCTTTGCAAACTCACCTTGCGTGAGACTCGATCCGAGGGCTTTTTTTGGACTCCACTTCGGGTGGCTGTCTGGCGGGCTTTTCTGAGGGCTTTGAAGGTGGCTTCGGTCGCTCGAGGGCATTTGCGGGTTACTTGCGTCCCACTGCTGGGTTTCTGAGACGAGACACCACTGTCGCGGCGCCCACATCGACTTTGTTCGATCGCGCGTACGGTCACGAGACTCATAACTGACTTTGACTGTAGAATAATTGTCACAGACCCTCAGCAATGGCTAAGGACAAGAAATCAAGCAAGGCTGTCGCCGCTGCGGCGCCGCCAAAGGCAAGCAAGCCCATCGAGAAGGTGAAAGCTGGTCGCGTGAGCAAGCCAGCTGAGTCCGCGAAGAAGGTGTCCCAAGACTCCGCCAAGAAGACCGCAAAGGCAGTCGACAAGAAGTCCAAGAAGAAGAAGGAGCCGACCCCAGAGCCTTCCAGCGAGAGTGAGAGCGAGGACGAAGAGGAGGAGCATACCAGCGCCAGCTCCGACAGCTCCGACAATGAAGAGGATGCAAAGCCCGCTCCAAAGGTGAACGGCGCTGCCAAGGCAGGCGCGGAGGCTGAAGACAGCGACGACTCTGAAGACACTTCAAGCGATGAAGAGAGCGACGCGAAGCCTGCGCCGGCTAAGGCTCAGCCAAAGAAGGCGGAGACTCCCAAGACGAACGGCACTGCCGCCAAGAAGGAGAGCGATGACTCGTCCGACGAGGATGAGGAGGACGAGAAAGACGACAACTCGGACAGCTCCGATGACGAGAGTGACGAGGAAGAGAAGCCAAAGGCCAACGGCAAGGCTGCTGATGTAAGTCAATATGAGAGGCCTTGACCTTTATACGAACTAACCTTGAGAACAGGATGACGATGACGACTCGGATGACTCTGATGATAGCGACAGCGATGCAGAGCAGGAGGAAAAGAAGCCGAAGGTGCAGGAGAGCAAGAAGCGCAAGGCAGAGAGCGAGCCATCCAACACCCCGAAGAAGACCAAGGTCGAAGACCCCAACGCTACGGGCAACCTCTTCGTGGGCAACATCAGCTGGAACGTCGATGAAGAGTGGCTCTCTCGCGAGTTTGAGGAATTCGGCGAGCTCACTGGCGTCCGCATCATCAGCGACCGTGACACTGGCAGGAGCAAGGGCTTTGGATACGTCGAGTTCAAAGACCCGGCCGATGCTGCCAAGGCGGTAGAAGCGAAGAACGGCTCCACTCTTGACGGTCGTGAGCTCCGTGTCGACCCCAGCACTCCACGCCCCAACAACGACGACCGTCAATCGCAACAGCAGCGTGCCAACAAGTACGGAGATGTGCCTAGCGAGCCATCCTTGACCCTCTTCGTCGGCAACCTCAGTTTCGATGCCGACGAGAATGCCGTCCGCGACGCCTTCCAGGAGTTCGGCAACGTCCAAGGCGTCCGCTTGCCGACTGACCGCGAGACCGGCAACCCCAAGGGCTTCGGTTATGTTGAGATGGCGTCGCTCGACGAGGCCAAGGCCGCTTTCGAGGGACTCAGTGGTGCCCAGATCGCCGGACGTCCGGTCCGCCTGGACTACTCCAAGCCTCGCGACAACAGCAGCGGCGGTGGCTTCGGCGACCGCGGTGGCAGAGGAGGTGGCCGCGGAGGCTTTGGAGGTCGTGGTGGAGGCCGCGGTGGACGAGGCGGCTTTGGTGATCGCGGTGGTCGTGGCGGCCGTGGTGATCGCGGTGGTCGTGGCGGCCGCGGTGGCTCGACGAACCGTGGCGGCTTTGGCGACTTCTCGGGCAAGAAGATGAGCTTCCAGTAGAGTGCGGGCGATGCTTCAAGTCACAAGAAGCCTGAAGGCAGGCACCAAGCCGAGTCGGCCGGCAGGAAGGCGAGGGTTCGAATGCCAATCTGCGCATGGAATGTGGTCGACTGTCGATGAAGAGAGAGATGCTTCGAACATGACGAGTGTGGATAGCAAAAGTGTTTTTGGAACGGGTGTACTAACAGGCGTTGCGCACATGGGGCGGCGATGGGGTAGCTACATGACGTTAGGTGCTGTATGCATGGCGTGTTCGGAATCAGTCCGGAGCATCTCAACATCTCGTCCACCACACTTCTGCAGCTCACATGAGGTACGAGGATCCATATGGGCAGCGTCGAAAGGGGCAGGCCTCGTGCAATGGCATATTCAGGGTCTTAGTCGAAAGGATCTAGCGCGGTGGTGCCTGGCATTACTGATGGTTTCACAGAGTAAGTACCTTATTATTATGGTTTCCCAGAGGATGGTTCTGTTTGTCCCTTTTGGGGGATGGTGTCATGCGTACCCTGTAGAAAGTGGGAGCGATACGCGGAGGCGATAAGCCACTGCAGCGGGCAGCATGTGATCACTCCCATCCGACATGGAAGTGTAGGCTCCCCGCCTTGCTTGCTCGACCGACTGATGTGCACAGCTGACACTAGGTACTACATGTACTTACTGCTCGTCACTTACTATTACTACTCTACTGCCTGCACTGCGCTGCGCTGCGCTGCTGTCCTCCTCGGCTGATGTTCGTTTCCTTTGTCGCTGCAGACTGGGTCCAGAGTCGACTACCTGCCACCTGCTAGGACTATCGCGACAGCTGTCGACACCTCATCCACCCACCACACCACCTCACCACTAGGCCCTCACCAGCCGAGATCGGCATAACTCACGGCCTTGGGGCCTGGCACCATCTGAGCACTTTTCGAGGCGGTCAAGCTCCACGACACCGCTCCGACAACATCTCTGCCGTCGCTCATAAGCCAACCGTCCGAGCGACCGATACGATACCTCCATAGCGGCCAGACTGCAGGAACAACTTCGACCATGGACAACCAGCGACCACTAGCGCATTCGAATGAACTCATCCGGAGGCTTGGTCACGCGTCTCCCGCCATGTCATCACGTTCCGCATCGTTTGAGAGACGCGCACGCCCAGATAGTGAGTCGAAGACGTTGTGATGGGGAGAGTCTCGTAAACAGAGCGCGAGCAATCTACCAACATGCCTCTTTGATCCTTCCCTATCCCCTCAACCCACCATGGCGTCGTATTCCCAGTCCTACACCGGGTATGCTGACTTCTGCCACCTAGTCGACTCCTGGGTTGAGGTATCGTCGCAGCCTTCCTCATCGTCATTGTCATCCGTCGCCGACGAGATCGTCACCACCGGTCTGCGAGTACAGGAGGCTTCGAGAGCCAGGCGGCGCAAGACGGGTGCACCAACACACTTGAATATCACAAGAACGCAGAGCGCGGGCGGCACAAGTAGTCAAGAAGAGTATGAAGAAAGTGAGAGCGAGTCGGACAGGATCATGACATCTTCAGGCGAGGGCCCTATGATGGCCGCGCTAGTGCCCCGAGCGAACAACCGAGTCGACCCGAATCAGCCCCAGCAGGCTTCGGATCAGATGTCAGATGATGATGACGAGAATAAAACTGCTGTCAACCATCCTCTCAGACACGAGGAATGCTTTACGCCCCAACCGAACGCCTTTACGCATCCACCCGCCGGTCGCCCGCGCAATGCCAGCCAGACGGTGCCTGGTTCTTATTTCCCTGCCTCGCGACCAGGCCCACCTAGTCGTCCATCAACCAGACACTCAGTCCCCATGGCAGCTGAAACAAGACGACCGAGCCATCTCCCACAAAATCCACTCTCACCATGCTTCAATGCCGCAGCAGAACACGAAGAAGCCCTTCGAGCCAGTCTCACTGGCCTCTTATCTGTCGCCGCTGCAGCAAGAGGACTCTCCAAACCCAACATAAAGCGGCCAAACGATACTACCGCTGCTCCAAGAACTGGCCGCGTAGACCCTATGTCCTTCCGCATCGTCCCTGAATCCGCGCTCCCTACAACCTCACCGCAACAACTACAAGAGCCAACCTTCAAACCCACCATCCGCCGCACTTCCACGAATTCCACCTCCACAACTTCCGAACAACAACAACAACAACATAAACGCAAAGCCCTCACAACACCAGCTCGCAATTCAAGTCGAGAACGCAGTCGAGCACTCAAAAAGGCCCGCCGTTCCGCTTCTTCCACTTCAAACTATGAAGACCTCTACGTCACCCCAACGCTTCTCACCTGGGTTGTTTCGGCGGGTGTGGTGGTTTTCCTCAGTGCTCTGAGTTTCGGAGCGGGGTATAGCATGGGAAAGGAAGCCGGACGGTTAGAAGCCGGAGGAGGGGGTGCTTTTGGCGGCACGGATGAACAGTTGAGACTCTGTGCGAGGGAGGCGGGGAGGTCGGGGATGGGATTGAAGAGGAGTCTAGCTAGGGGTGCGATTCAGGTTTGAATGAAGGGCTTCGTGTCGGGTGGTGGCGATGAGGCTTCGAAGAGCATTTTATGTGGCGTTATGATCTGTCATGAGCGATGGTATGGATAATGACGGATGGATGGATGGATGACTGGATGACTGGATGACTGGATTATGTGAGATACCCTCTCTTCCCGATAGGGAATTACCTTAAGCCACTGGCAGCTGGCATCCACGAGCTCGACATTGAGGTTGCGAAGATGAATGAAACGGGCTTTGCCGTTTCGCTAGTAGAGACATAGACAGTCAGTATGATATCTATTAGTCTGGCCAGAAATCTAAATCGTGAAAAGAGTGAATCAAATTTGGAGAACTCTCTTCTTTTTTTTTTTTTTCCTTTTTGTTTGGAATACCAGTCAGTAAAAAGGGACGAAAAAGTTTCCCACCATCCACCCAAGCAACCAAGTCTCTCCTCTCCTTCGCCACGGAACGCCTCGCAAAAATCAAGAGAGCGTATAGATAGTATGGTATCAAAAAAAAAATTTGAAGTCTCTCATGCCTCGCCTTGCCTTGCCTTGCCTTTCCCCAATCCATCCATCCATCCCCAGACCAAAACAAGGAGTCAAGTTGTTGTCGGTTGTCGATTGGTTATGTACAAAGTTTTTTGGGGTTGCTAACACCGTTTGGATCCTGTCCTCCCTTCCCACATACTGCTAAGGATAGTAATTTTCTATGCCACTTTCCATAGATAACCACCCACCCAATCTTTTCTGCATTTGCATGCGAGTACCATTTGCCAGCGACCGGTCTCGTCTCTCATCATCATCTTCATCATCAAGAGGAAGTGAAGTCGGGATGAATTCTTTTTTTTCTTCTGTGAAATGGAAAAGAGAGAGAAAGAGGGAGGGAGAGAGAAGAGCCGAGTGGGGTGATGAGGTCGCCGGCCTCCCTTTTTTTCCTTTCTTATCCATCCAAATTCATCCATCCCCCCGACCGTCGCTGGCGCTGGCGTCACCTGCCATTTGCATTTCCATTCCCATCCCCACTCCTCAAGTCTTCACTGATATCTTCTCGCCGCTTACTGCCCGGCACCGGAGTCTGCGCGCCGTCGTTCTTGCCCTGGCTATGGCTACTTTCCACCCTCGAAAGGTAAGCGGCAGACGTGAAATCCCTCGAGGCTTCAAAGGAAGGCCTTGTCCGGTCCATCGAACTCCTCAGACGATCGAAGGAAGGTCGGGGTCGATCCATGCTCGGTCGTGTGCCACTAGCGGGTGCTTGTTGGCCACCTGAACCTATACCGTAAATGTCACCACCGTCGTTCTCGGTGATGGCCGGTGTGTTCGAATAGCGTCCTCCGACATGCGGGAAAGCCCGGTCAATGGAACTGCGGTGTCCGGTATAATCCGTTCCATCAGATCCATTGTGACTCCTCGGATTGTGCGTCGTGGCCGTAGCCGCGATACTCGGGGGATAAATAGGTCTCATGTCTTCTTCCATCGTCTTCCTCTCGGCGCCCGTAGACCCTTCCAATCCGACAGCCATCGACTTGGCATTGGAAATCTCAGAACTACTAGTAGACTCCGCAGCAGCAGGGATCTTATCCGCCTGCGGTCCAACATGGCCCGGATCCACAGTCTTCAAGTAGTCGAATTTCCCTTGTCGCACTTGTTCGCGCACAATGTCGATGTCCATGGGGAAGTACATCTTCTGGAAAGCCTTGGCCGAGAAGCGAGGAGCCAGAGACATGACGATAGTCAACAGTCCCACGCACCAGAAGCTCAACGCGCCATAGACCTGGCTGGCTGCCCCATAGAAAGTGTAGCCCGCGGTGAAGGAGGTGTAGACACCAGTCCAGAAAAAGACTAACAGGATCGAGATGCCAGTGATCAAGCACATAAACCAGTCCCATCGATAGGTGTTGATCAGAATGTAGACATTGACAATGACAACGGTGGGGTTCACGATATAAACGCCCAGCCGCTTGTAGTCGTTGACGTTCCGCCCAGATTCGCTTTCGAAATTGGCGACCCTGAATTGCAGGTATGTGAAGTAGAAGCAGATGACTGACTGGTAGAGTCCATCAATCATGTACGTCCAGAACTTGAGCGGTGTCCATTCCTTCTGCTCGATACCACGGCGGTAGAGTTGAGGGACCGCCAGGGCGACCTTGTCATCGACGTCCTGGTCCAGAATACCTTGGAAGATGACCGGCAGCGAGGTGAAAGCCAGGTTGAAGAGCAAGATGTAGGTGTAATCGAAAGCGTACGAGCAGTCCATGTTAGTGTAAATCTGATACCAGAACAGCGCAAACACCCAGATGATGTTCTGTCAAAAGTCAGCGCATATGCCTTACCAAAAGTTCCTATGGGACGTACCTTGTAGAAGAAGTTGGCAACACACTCGGCCATACGCCTGTAATCCCATCTTCCATGCACGAGGAGCAGTCTTGTCAAGAAGCGGAACTGGCCGATGGCGTAGTCGGAGCTCATGACAGCCTGTCGACCTTCTTCTCCCGCAATACCAACACCAACGTCTGCTTCTTGAATCATGGCGACATCGTTGGCACCGTCTCCAATGGACAAAGTCATGACTTCCAATGTATGCTTGACCAGACCAACCACTGCAGCCTTCTGCGACGGACTCACACGACAGCACAGCACAGATCGGCATTCCTTGCATAGCAGCAAGAACTTCTGTCGTAGTCTGTCGTCCAGCACGACCTTGAGAGTGTCGCCATCGATGACCAGCGCGTGTGTCGGAGCAGGAGGTTCGTGGTTTTTCTTTGCTGCCTTGAGTTCCTCGTTCGAACCAGTCTTGCCGAACACAGCCAGATTCTTGTTCAGTTCTGCCTCGGCCTGCTCAAAGCTATCTTCGTCAACCTTGAGTACGATGAGATCCATGTCATTGTCCAGGAGGTTACACGAGAAACCAATATTGATTGCAGTCTCAACCTTGTCGCCGGTCAGCACCCAAAGCTTGATACCGGCTTGCGCAAGCAGAGCAATCGCATCCGGAACGCCATCCTGTAATCTGTCTTCGATGGCGGTACCTCCGAGCAGAGTAAGTTCCCTTTCAATGCGGTCAGCAACTTCTTCCAGCTTCGTTTCGCGATCTTGCACAGCAGCGGCAGCAAGTTCGTGGTCAACATTCCACTCCTGGTATTCGTCCTCGCTGAGCTCTCGCTGGGCAATGCAGAGCGTTCGGAGACCTTCTCTCGCGAACATCTCGAGATGCTCAGCAGTTGACTTTCGTAACTCAGCTTGCTCACCCTTCCTCAGGCGCGAGTAGATGATACTATCAGCACCCTTGCAGAAGAGGATGATCTTTCCATTTGGCATTCGGAGGATCGAGCTCATTCGCTTTCTTGTGGAGTTGAATTCCAGAGTGTTCAGAACAGTGTACTCGCGTTCTTCGCCGAGGTAATTGATAATGATACCATCGTTCGATCGCCCTATGACCGTGAAGCCGACGTCTCTCGCGGTCGCCACGAGCGCAGCCTCATCTGGACTTTGCGCCTTGAATTCGATTTTAGGCGGGTCTCCCGGTGTCCTTTCTGTTATGACGCTGTGACATAGGGCGAGAGCAAGCATGAACTGCTCAGTAGCAGCCTTCTGCTCAGGACCGCTTTCGCCGTCAAGATCTGCAATGAAGCCAGGAGAGACGAAAGTTAGCTCGTCGTCTCGCAAGTACGGGTTGTTGTGCATCTTTCGAATGCGCGCAAGCATCGTAACGCGATCTTGCGCAATCTGAGCCTTGGCTCTCGCAGACTCTTCTTCCACGTTGACTCCCATACGCTTCTGCATACCAGCCAAAGCTTCGGTATACGCCTCACCATATGGATGTCCATTGATCGTACACTTCTTGAACTCCATCACGTTCTGCGTCAGAGTGCCGGTCTTGTCTGAAAAGATGTACTCAATCTGTCCCAGGTCATCCGAAATGTTCCAAGACTTGGGCGTGCAGGGATAGTCGATCTTCTCGTAGTACATGAATGTGTCCGAGTAGATGAAGAAGGCCTGCACACTACGCACGATTTCCAGAGAGATGTACAGCGAGATGGGCACCAAGTTCTGGAAGAGGATGATAGCCGCCCAGAACGTGATAAATCCATTGAGTCCAGCCGTTCCACCGTAGCCTCCATACTCAAAATAGACCAGCGAGTTATCGCTTTCACCCCATGTGACGCCGTTGACAATAGCTGCAACCAGGCACATGAAGAATAGGATCACGAAATTGTAGAGCACGTTCCAATTCAGATCTCGCATGATCTTCGGCCGTTTCGAAGGGGTGATACCAGAATTGAGCATGATTTTTGTGTCTTCACCAGTGAAGGCAACAACTCCCAGCACCCACTCAGTGTTGCGAACCGTGCATCCACGGAGCAGCATGTTGTTGATCCCGACCGGTTCTGCCATTTCCTTGGGCTCGGCATGCGGATTTCTGGCATCGTACTGATTCCATCTCACGACTCCAGAATACGCATACAGGTTCGCATGCGGAGGTTCACTCTCCAGTATGAAGTCGGTCTGCTCACAATCCCGCGCTCGTTTCACGGCGCGGCCGGAATACAGGGCTGTCCGGACCTTCAAATTCGTCTCGCCATCCAAGTTCTTGGTCTCGATATAGCAAGCGCCATCTGCATCACTCGTTGAGAGGACAATGATATCGGCGGGTACTTCCTCGTCGTTATATAAGCGAACAAAGTCGCCGACTCGTACGTTCTTCCAGTAATCGCGCTTGAAACGCGCTTTCTCCGGTCTCGACGCGGTTGGATTGATGAGACTTCCATGAAATTTCTTGGGCACGGGCACCTCCTTCACATCGCCATCTACCGGAACAGTCAGGCTGCTCTGCTGGTATCCTGGATCCACAGTGTCATCGTACGTCCCATCCGCATGCTGCTGCGGCCTTTGCCCGGGCGTAGGAGACGGGACAGGCGTCATCTCCATATCGCCATTTGGATCCTCGCGAGGATAGTCCTCCTCATCAAGCCTGGCTGTAAGCGCACTCATGCGGCGTTCATCTCTCGCGAGAGCCTCATCAAGCTTCGTGTCCTGCGCATTCTTCCCCTTGCCCTTCTTCGCAGCCTGCTCTTCCCGTTTGGTCTTCCACAGCCTCCATATCGAGAGGATGAAGCGTGTATTCGCCTTTTTGAATCTGCGCCACAAGCCGATGGACTCGTCAGAGACATTGACATTTTCCCAATCCACCAACCTATGCACCGGCGCATTGTTCAACTCGTTGTCCAGAACCGTTCTTCGCCAGTCCTCTATGGCGTCCTTGATGGCCGTGATTGTCAGGATAACGATGATGGGTACGGCAGCAAGCCCCGGATTCTGTACACCGAAGATGGAGAATATCTAGACATTGGTCTTATCAGCATGTCACGCCCCTGCCTACCCAACTTTCAGTGGAGACATGTCCGTACTCACCCCAAGGATGACAATGAATATGAAATACACATTGGCAATGTTGTGCAGCTGAAACCACAAGTTCTTCGGAATGAAGCTGATGGGCGTATACTTGGCCGTTCGAATCTTGTTTCTCTTGAACTGCTGCAAGGGATGTCCCTCCTCGTCCCTCGCCTCATCCGGTAGCGGCTGATTGAAGTATATCGTGCGATGTGTCTGTCCACCCGCCGCGGTATCGTTGGCAATCTCTTCCGCCTTGATCTCGCTCGCCTCGGTGCCGGCGGAGTTGCGGTAATTAGAGTCGCGATTGTTGCCAAAGGCCACGCCGCTCATGCGGGCCATATTCCGTTGGAAAATGGAGCGGCGTTTCATGGTGCCGCGACGGCCGGGTTTGCGCACTGTGGCCCATCGCATGCGATTGAGGGGTTTTGTTCGCTCTGCACCTCCGTCGGCCGCCTCATCGCGTTCGACGGAGTCTCGTTCTCGCTCTGGTTCTTCGTATGTGACGGCCATGGTGGCTGCGTTGCGCTCGCCTCGCCGGCTGCTGGGGAGCAGCTACAGCGTCGGATGGGTCGGGTATCAAAGGATATGGTGGCAGGTGTTGGTTTATGCCCTGGGCTGGAGCAGCCCGCACGGATCCGCAGGCTATCTCGTGGAGGGCAGCATGAGTTGTGTGTATGAATGTCCTTGTGCCGGGGTACAGCGGCGCAATGAAACCAGGGACTCGGCGCGGGTGTCCAGAGGGCGGAAAGCGGAAGGTTTGGAGGGCTATGGTGGTGGTGGGAGGAGGGGACAGCGCGGTGGAGGAGGCAGGCGGAGGGAAGGCGTCCGGCAGGATGAAGTTGTTGGTAGTGTTTGAGCGGTAGCCGGGATGGTGATGTTTGGTAGCTGGCAACAAGCCGCACTGCGCTGCTGCACTGCACGGGCGAGACGGGGAGGCGTTGCCGTTTACGCCGAGCTAAAGGAGGAGTTGGAGATGAAATGCTTAATTAGCAGCGATAACTCCGGGTGTACGTATACACTTCTCCTTCTTCACAGCAGTCCTCCCAGTTCCTGCGCACACGGTTGCAGAGATGGAATTGCATCTATTCAAGCTAGCTATTCAGATCCGAAACCAAGTGGAATGCCACACGTCTCGCGTGTAAAGAGGCGGCGGGCTCAAGAATCTCAGCTCGTAAGCAACACCTTTCCCGAAGCCGCCAGGATCACGAAGGATCCAGCACATTATTATCCAGAACACACAATATACATCCACAAGAGCACGGCTGTCGTCCTCTACAAGTCTCGGGGCTTGTCCGACGGAGCATCGCGGAGCCCACAGCATCATTCCATTCTTTTTTCTCTTCGGCGACATCATCCCGCATGTGCGATCAGTCAGCCGAGTGCGTCAACAACCTTGCGCAGAGACACCGAGAAAGACGAAAGACGAAAGACGAAAGACGAAAGACGAAAGACGAAAGATTCTTCTCCCACACCCTCGAAATAGCATCTTCCAAACTACAGACGTTTCTTCCTCGGTCGCACACGTCGCACGTCCGGCCTCGGCCGTTCCTGTCTTTCGGCCCAGCACAAGCACCTCACACCTTTGCTCACTGCGTGCTCCGTCATCCGCCGGCTTCCTGCATACGAGCGCTCGTGGACTTTTATGCAAAGCTTACACCGCAGCCGGGCGGACGCCACTCACCCATTGGTCATCCTCTCGCCTTCATTATGATTCGGGATAGAACAAGCAGAAGGCTCCTTCACGGACAACGCGCAAATGCGACTGCCGGCCGGTCAGCGCCGGTGGCTGTGTTTCTCACCCAGCTGAAGCCATCCTTTTCGGTTTTCGGGATTGCTTTGCTTGCGCTGATCAGAGCCATGTACCACGAATGGCAAGCACCTTTACGACGTCGTCTGACAGTTCCACCTCCTCGACGAGCTCGAAGATTTTCAAAGGAAGATCTCCTCCATTGTTCAACAAATCTGCTAAGATGCTGGTGTCGTCGTGAGAAAATCTCTCCAGCTTGGGAGATTAGCCAGCCCATTTCTGAAAACATTCATCTCACTCGCCGTCGCTCAGGTGTCCAAGCTCCAGCGCAATCGAGTTCAAGGTATTTCTGTGTCGAAACAACGCTAATGTTAGTACCTCGGCAGTCGACTGGAGACTGTTCAGCTTCCAACATTAAAATTGGCCAATGCAAGCCGCCAATGGCATAGGATAGTTCCTAAGGATAGACTGGGGCCGTTCCTACGTCAGCAACGAATACAGCTCGAGGATTCTTGATGCTGCTGTTCCAAGAAGCTCCGGCACCTGCTCCCTACATGTAGTCCAGTAGGTGACGCTCTTCCTCTCCGGCAGCTGGATGACCGTCTTCTGGAGGACAAGCTTCTTGACACTCGTCTTGACGTCTGGTGAGAAGACCTGAAGCTCCATGAGGTGAGCGAGACTCGAGCGATGAATCAAGGCCTCGATTGCGGGATATAGGAATCCACTTGCTGGTTCGGCATGTCAAAGGGAGTGGCCCTATTTCTGCAGGTCGAGAGCAGGCACATATGTGCGATAGGAGTTCCGATGGTAGATTCAAGAGCGATCTGATAGTAATATATCATGATTGAACTGCTGGTGGAGGGAACATTTTGGATTTCACAGTTTAGAGTTATGGGACGGTGCGATCTGAACGAGGCGCTGGGAGATTGCTTAAAAGCCTCGTGACTACACACGATATTAGCTCAACTGCATGAAGAGGGAGGGAGGAGGGTTCGTTGCGGTCAGTTCAACACGATACGTACAATACCTTACCATGAAAGGTCATCTATAAACCTCCAAGAGCCTTGATGAGTAAGGTTGCTGTACGGCCGTTGAGCTGGCCGGGGTAACAGCCGCGATCCACTGGTCCAAGCTCCACGCATCCTCGAGTCCTCTGCAGGGCAAGACGCCAACGATATCATCTGGCAGTACTTGTGCTCCCCTTCTGTCTGTGCCAACATATCACTTCAACTTTGGTGTTGATATTACCCTTCCGCAGGACCCTCCGTTCACAGTACGTCGTCAACTCTCCCTCAGAAAGTAATATTACTCGGTTGCTGACCACCCACGCGAAGCTCCTTAATCTACGGCTCATCTTCGCCAGTCGTCGCGACACCTGTCAATTATTTTATCCTTCGAACAACCCAACGCGTCCTCCACTACTCGTCTCATCTACCACTCCTCTGAAGATGCGCGCCTCAACCCTCGTCCTGGCGCTGCCTGCGCTGGCTGCTGCTCAGCAGATCCCGATGCTTGACCAAGTCAAAGGCTGGTTCGCAAAGGCTACCGATTCGATATCCTCAGCCGTCTCGTCAGCAACAGAATCCGCCTCGATTCCCAAGCCGAAGATCCCTGATCCAGTCGCAGCCGGTGCTGCCAAGATTGCGAGCTTGAATGTTGAGCGATTGGGTGTACACAACCACGATACCCTCATTAAACCAGGCCAGTCAACAGCCTCTCCGGGCATCGAGACATGGGAGGTCTTCGTGACCGGTGGAAACAAGACTTGCTATGGCGCGTGCGCCAGGGCAGAGACAGCTTTCAACGAGAGCGTTGCGCTTGTTGCAGCTTCGCCGAACCCACCACACCTTGCGATTCTCAACTGCGAAACGGAAGGTCCGCTCTGCCACGCCTGGGCTGTATCCCCACCTAGCCTTCTCCACATTCAGCTTCCGCAACCTCTCCCTGACCAGTCCACCCCGGCCACGACCTACCGAACAATCCATCTGAACCGCACCACCATTACCGCACCTGAGATCGCGGCAATCCACCTGCAAGACAAATACCTGGACCAGGAGCCATACGAGGGCGTTTGGCACCCATTTGACGGCCAATTGGCCAAGGCCGGAGTGATCCTCTACGTCGGGTACATCATTTGGGGCTTCTCCCAGATTCCGTCTTGGGCCTTCATGATTGGCATTTCCATGTTCAGCCGGACTTTCATGTAAGATCTAACGCCGCCGACGGTATACACAGACAGCAACTGACAGTTGTACAGGAGCCGGCGAACGCAACCCCAAGGTGGCCGAGGCGGTGCGGCACCGCCTGCTGCTGGCGCTGCTGCTGCTCAATAGATGCGAAAACGACGGAACGGCATGTCCAACTGGAAGACAGCAAAAGCTCCTCGCAGCTGTCGGACGACGATAGGGAAGGAATTAGGAATGCTGGTTAGTAAGGATGCCCCATGCGTGCTAGATGTGTTCGAATAGTAGAAAGGAAGAAGGTCAAGACCACTGCGATGATATGAACGTAGCTACGGGCTATTTTATCTTGGAACTTTTGGATGTATCTGAGTTGCTATTTGTCTTTGCACTGATTGAGGTCTCGGCGAGTCTGGCAGGGTCCTAAGTAAGCTGCGATTGTTAACTCCAACGTGCCGATCTGCCTAAGAGCGAGCTTAGAGTCAGGATCAGGATCTCCTCCAACGAAAATTCCACGTCTCCTTCAGATAGAATGAGCCTCTGCAATAAAAGTCTTCCCTTCGTATATAGGGAAGACGGACATTCTTTAGCGACGGACATATCCGGACGAATGCAACCCTCTGACGGAAAGAAATTTCTTCCCTTCTTTCGGAAATGAGGTTTTGATTTCTCAAACAACAACAAGGGCGATGTGTGTGTGGTTGGTGCGGTTAGTTATTAGTGTGCTGGAAAAATGGTCTATGCGTTTATATGGAAAGAGGGTCATCTCTTAGCGGCGGACGGGAGCGGGCGAATTGCAGGGCGGGGAAGATATTGCCCGGGATGACTTTGCTATCATTATCAGGGCAGCTGAACCGATCACACCTAGCGAAGCGTGGACATGTTTGACTGTCCTTCGAGACGGCTGTGTTGCTCGAATTGTTAATCTGAGGTAGGTAGGCAACGTACGCTGCTCCTTCTCAATAATGCGGTGCCTCTTTCTTGGGTTGAGAGGGTATAAGGAGAAGAGAGTCGGATTGACGGGCAAGAATGTAGCGAGAGTTGCTACACGGATAGGGGCACATTTGACGGTCTTGATGGAAAAAGGGGTTGGAGTAGAGAGACTTCTGAGGAGAAAGTGGAGGAGCAGTTGGGGGGTTGCTGATAAGCTTGCGAGGTAGGGTGGAGAGAGGGATGAAGAAGGGCTTAGGAGGACGGTTCTGAAAGAGTCGCTCTGTTGATTGATGATATGGCTAACTGCTGCATGACATAGTATGCGCCATCCCCACAAGACCGTACATCTTTTCTTAGCTCCTCCGTTCTGCGCCAACAACAAGCCGGACTTGTAGGCCTCGTAGCGTCCACCGTTCTCGACTGTGTTGTCCGGGACGGCGGGACGTAACGCAACTTTGAAGTCGAAGTGTCCAGCTGGACCGAAAAGCGGAAACCTCCAGGGCTTCGGTCACCTGCTCGAGTGCTGCATGTGTTGTCCAGGATAGAGGACTTTGCAGTCAAACTCGCTGGTTGGATCGAAGACGTTGTTGTACGTGAGTCCGGCGCCAGCCATTTCCACAGCTTGCTCGGTTGACCACAAACTGGGCCCGCTCTCATGCTCAGGGCGCCCTCAGTAGGTGCATCGATGGCATCGTTGTCCGTTTCAAGACGCGCGTTCTTGGAGATATGCTCGAGTGTTGCCTGGCCGGCCACAGGTGCGATCTGCAACGCAGACGCTCATATAGACCGCGGAGCTTAGCATTACCTACCGCCTTCCGGACGGTGGTGGCTCCTGTACTATAATTTATCTTGCTGGGTTGCGTGCCGCAGCTCGTTGTTGATGGCAGTCGGCCTGGAGACCATGGTGAGTGAGCCCGAGGTGATCGTGCCAACAGGATAGGAAGACTCTATTGGCAATACGCTTTCCGAAGGTCAATAGCGCTCGTGAAACCGCCAGATAGCTCTGCTTAGCGGAGCATACTTGCACCGCCGTGATATTGGGCGCCGCGATCCCTAGATTGCTGGCCTCGTGAGAACGGCGCTGGGTGGCTCAAGGTGTCCTTGGCAAGTCGATGTCCACAACCCAAGGCGCGTTGACTGGCTGATATCCGACGTCCATAATTGATGCGTTGATCATGAGAGTCTCTTCGCCTCGCTTGAGGCCATGTCCAGACTCCAGAGATACGTCAAGAAATGCGGCATGCCGCTCTCTTGCAGCAGTTAAGTCGGGTGCTTCTGACTTGATGCCATGGTCGGCAACGCCCTCCTTCCAAGCGCCAGTTTTCCATTCAGTGATTGAGCATCCAGTGTCAGTTACTTGATCTGCCCGGTTGGACCATGTGACACGATCGGCACCCCAGCCCTCGTGAATATGACCGAAGCAGTGAAGCAGAGGCCTGGACCGCATGGCTGCTCGAAGCAAATGGGGGCATCCAGCTAAGTCGCCTGTCTTTGTCTTGTCCAGTCGCGCGTATGGTGGACCATGAGTCAGGAGTATATCGATCGGTTGGACAGCAGAAGTGAAGGACGGTACCGGATACGGCGCAATGTTCACCGCATCTGAAAGCATCCTGAGGGGCGGATTATAGCGGTCCTCATCTCGTTCGTAAGGGAAGCCCCAATCGCAGAACTCTGGTGTATACGGTGAGGCATAGAGCGTCAGATTAGCCCCATTATTGAGCGCGATTTGGTGGACGCCTTCATTCAAGTAGGTGATGCCCTCCAGCTTGGCCCTTCCGTCTTCAGCCGTCCAGAGTGCTCGTGCCTCCTCGACCTCTTCACGTGCTCGTTGTTCAGCACGCCGGTCATCGCTTACGGTGTGATTGAACACGAAGTCCCTGTCAAGGGTCAGGTCGTGGTTGCCGGCAATGACCAACTTCAGAGGCGCATCGATTTGTTTTAGCATGTCCAGCGTTGCGTGATACTCGGGCATCTTGCCCTTGTAGGTGAGATCGCCTGCATCTGCACATCTTGGTTAGCTCAAGTAAACCTGGCTTGACTTGTGTGTTTGTCGAGCTCTTACGGATAAGCAAGTCCGCCTTGGGCAATGGAGCCTTGAAAGGAGGCGTCGCTGGATTGCGCCCTTCTGCGTCATCTAAGCGGGCGCAATGCGTATCTGAGATGATCAAGATTCTTGTCCTGATAGTTGATTCGGCCATCATGTGAAGTCGTTGAAACGATGATCCTTCCTTCAGATTCTATGGGAACCATTGGCGGGGTTTGGGGAGCGCTTTTGGCTGGAAGCGGTTGCTCAAGGTAACGACAGAATGGCTTGCGACTGTAAAAGACGACGAAAAAATGTGGACCAGACGTAAAGTCCAGTTGCACAAGTTGTGACATGATGTGTTGCTTGAATAGTGGTTGCCTTAGCTAAGAATTGATTGGCCGCTGCAGGGATCAGGCTATAAGCTCCCCACCGATGACATGTGATTGAGCTTCTGGCTCGGAGGTCGGCGTTTCGTCTCGAACCTCGCCAAACGGAGGCAGCTCTGTATACATCTCTACAAGAGCGCTGTCTCGACCATTACCACCATGTCCTCTCGATAGTACGACCGCCGTGACAAGCAATCATGCCATCTCCAGCGAAACTCAGCCTTGCGCAGCTGCAAAAGCAGTACAGCTTGCGCCATCCGACGTCGCGCCAACTACTTCTCGCCCACACTCTCGACCTGCTGCGCAACATCCTACTCGCCGCATTCATCCTACGCTTGACCCGGAAGACCGTGATACAGCTTCGCGGTTACGGTTTGTTCGGATCCCTGAAGCAGCTGTACAGCACGATCTATCTCAAGCTCTACGGCCTCTTCCTACGATTGCCTTTCGTACAGGCCAAAGTACGTGCCGATGTCACGAAAGCCATTCTTGAACTCGAGACGAAACTGGTACCGTCTGGCCCCGGTATAACAAATTTCACAGCTCTTCCGGCGACAGGATGGACGCCAGAACAGATACACAAAGAGCTGGAGAAGCTGAGTGACATGAAACATACAAGATGGGAAGATGGCAGAGTCAGTGGAGCGGTATACCATGGCGGCGCTGAGCTTTCAAAGCTTCAGACCGAAGCCTTCGAGCGGTTCGGTGTGAGCAATCCGATCCATCCGGATGTCTTCCCTGGCGTGCGAAAGATGGAGGCTGAAGTCGTTGCAATGACATTAGGTCTCTTCAATGCGCCAGAGCGCGGTGCCGGTGTCACGACAAGTGGCGGTACTGAGAGCATCTTGATGGCAGTATTGTCGGCCAGACAAAAGGCATATCACGAGCGTGGAGTACGGGAACCAGAGCTGATCCTACCAAATACGGCGCACACTGCTTTCCGGAAGGCTTGCGAATACTTCAAGATTCGCCTGCATCTTGTGCCATGTCCGGAGCCGAGCTACCGCGTCCACGTACCCACGGTTAGCAAGCTCATCAACGCGAACACTATCATGCTGGTTGGGTCAGCTCCTAACTTCCCGCATGGCATCGTTGATGACATCCCTGCGCTCTCCAGGCTGGCCGTGAAGCACAAGCTCCCGCTACATGTGGATTGTTGCTTGGGCTCTTTCGTAATCGCATTCCTCGCCAAAGCAGGCTTTCCATCGCCAGACTTCGACTTCAGAGTTCCAGGCGTGACATCAATAAGCGTAGACACTCACAAGTACGGCTTTGCACCAAAGGGAAACAGTGTGGTCTTGTATCGCAATGCCGAGCTCAGAAGATACCAATACTATGTATGCCCAGACTGGTCAGGTGGTGTCTACGCTTCTCCAAACATGGCAGGATCAAGACCTGGAGCTTTGATTGCTGGATGCTGGGCCTCCCTGATGAGAATGGGTGAGGATGGGTATCTCGACACCTGCTTAAAGATCGTAGGAGCTGCTCAAAAGATCGAAGACGCCATTCGAAACTCGGACAAACTTCGCAACAGCATCACCGTCATCGGCAAGCCCATGGTGTCTGTAGTCGCATTCCGGGCCGCACGCAACAAAGACTCAACACTTGCAGTAGACATTTACGATGTTGCGGATGCCATGTCAGCGCGCGGATGGCATCTGAATGCCCTGCAGGATCCGGCGGCTATTCACGTTGCCGTCACAATCCCGATTGTGAATGCTGTGGACGAGCTGATCAAGGACCTTGAAGAGGTGGTGGATTCTAGCAAAGGACATATCAGTTCGAAGAAGGGAAATGCGGCTGCCTTGTATGGTGTTGCTGGAAGTATCCCGGACAAGAGTATTGTGAGGGATCTTGCAAGTGGGTTCTTGGATACTTTATACAAGAACTAGCCCTTTGGTATCAGTCACCAGCGATGCGCAAATTGATCGTGTTAGCGTTCTTTGAGAAGGAAATGACCAGTCTGAACATCCCAGAAGCAGTGATATTGTGAAGCACACTACGTAAGAGAAGTAGTGATATCATCTCGTAGCTTCCTTCGCTCGTTTTGAGCGTTTCCCGTTGCTGCAATTTCAAAACTCGTGCTCCTGCTCGGCGACTTTGTACAATGCTCTCTCTCATCTCCCTTCTCTCGCGCTCTTTCCTCTAGTGGTCGGCCTGCTTGCCTGTTCTCGTCAGACGCAGGGTCTTATCAACCGTGAGTTTACGACCGATGCTGTAGGCCGCAGCAATCAGAGCAGCTGCGATGACGATGCCGAGGGGGATCAACTCTGGGGGGATTTTCTTGAGGGTGCGGAGGCGCTGGGAGATGGTGTGTGCTGTCGTCCGGTTGTCAGTTGTCGGCAGGTCTGTCTATGGCGGAATCTCTGGCTCACGTACCGGATTGCTCCTCTCTCTGCGGAACATGTTAGTATGTGTTCTGTGTGTGTTTGGGGAGCATGAGAGGACGGACCGGGACTTCCATTCTCCTGGGAGTGCTTCTCAGACCCCTCGCCGGCTGCATTCGGAGCATTGGGGTGGCTCGTTGTCGGAGCATAGGCTGCTGCATGCGCAGCATGTTGGCGGCGAGGAAGCGCGTGGACTGCATCGTCGCGGTAGTGTCGTGGAAGAGCGGAGAGTTGTAGGACGGGGACGTGGATGCGGACGAGGGAGTCGGGTTGTTTGAGAGCTGTTGCTGGTGAAGTGAGTGAAGAGGAAGCTCGCTGTCAACCAATCGTCTGCAAGCGGATGCGGCCGTGCGTAATCCGTCCGGCGAGCTTCTTCCCTCTCAATCGCAACATCATCGACATCGATCCCCCTCTGTGCACTTCACTCCGAACTGCGACAAAGCACCACAACCGATCAATCCACAGAATCCAAAGAGATATAATACCGCCAAGATGTCTGGCGACGAGGAGCGCGTTACCATGCCTTTCAAGTTCGTTACAGGTATGTTCTCCCTCGCGGCCGGACTTCATGTGATGGAGGAAGGACGTCGCTAACAGACTCGCAGCCGGTATGTAATCACTCTCACCTCACGATAGTCCCTCGGATTTCGAATCCGCTTGCCGCTATATTGTTCTTGCCACAAGGAGATCTAACGCAACCCAGGCTTTGACGCCCGCTTCCCGAACCAGAACCAGACCAAGCACTGCTGGCAGAACTACGTCGACTACCACAAGTGCATCCTCGCCAAGGGTGAGGACTTTAAGCCTTGCCGCCAGGTAAGCATCATTGAAACTACAAAAGAGAGTGGGGCATGGGAGTTGACACAGGAAATCAGTTCTTCCTCGCGTACCGCTCGCTGTGCCCGGCTTCTTGGACCGAGAGGTGGGACGACCAGAGAGAAAACGGAACTTTCCCGACGAGACTTGATCAATAGACGACTGGAGAAGCTGCATGGGGAATGATGTGGATACAAGGGCTTCCGGGGCGAATCTCAGCACGCTTGTGTACATATACATGACGGTGGCGATGGTGGAAACGCCTGAGCTGCTTGGAATGCAAGGACGGAACAACGCCCTCGTCTCTGTTTCAAGCGAGTATTCAACTGTTCAAAGCATACAGCGAAAGTCCGCGACGATTGAGTGCTTCTGCTGGATCCCACTAAATTAATGTCTCCAGCAGGAACTTCACCTGCCTTAGTTCTCCTTGCTGATGTTGTCACAGCTATTTCTCATTGTTGAACAAACCCTATTATCTTGTATGGTGGCATAAAGATGATGGAGCGCGGGGTGCAGCGCAGAATTAACCTTTCGGCTAGCTTTCATATGACAGTCGCTCCTTCCTTGACTTCACGACAGGACGAACTCCGGATTGGGCGCGACTGGTGCCTTGCGCACGTCCTCGACGCGTCGAATCTTCCACCTGGACGTCCCTTTTCACTAGATTCCACGTTCGAATTCCACTTCACCCACTCCTCAACCTGTCGTTCAGTTGCAACCACCAACGGCTGCCATCCTCTTGCCCAAGAGCGACAACAATGCTCGGTGACTGTTCAACCAGAGTCACCGTCGCACTGTACGTATCAATCTGTATCTTTACAGCGTCGCTCGCGCAGTAACTGATGGAGACTTAGAGCGACGCCGGTCAGACCGGACATTTTGGGACAGCGCCTGGAGGATTACGAGAAGGTCATCCCGACTCTCCGTACACTTCGCCTTTGTCATCGATTTGGTCGCGGAACCGACGTCCACGTCACTAAACTTCCGGCGGAACTCGAGCTTGCCATTGAGGCATGCGTTGTCAGAAGCAGCCAGCATTTCTACTCTGAGCGGATCCGGGCATTTCGCCACTACGAGGGTCGCTGCGCACCGATGGACCATCTACCTGACTGTGCATCTCCTCTAGAAGATCAGGTTGGCGACCAGGATCTGGAGAAGTGCGAAAATTGCGAGGACATCTACTGGGAGCCCGAGAATTGCAAGAATATCTGCGACAGCACAAGCGAGGACCTCTGCTGGTATTGCTCGCAGCAGCCGGACCCTCAGAATTGTGGCAGAACTTGCATGGCGAAGCAACGCCATGCCATGAACGCACTTGCATCGGACTGGGACTACGACATGAGAGATCCTTGCGCAGAATTGGATTGGGGAAGGATGATTGATTCATCTCCCAGTGGTGCCTTCGCGAGATGTGCCAGGTAAATGATTTCTTCAATTTGCATTCTGCCAAGCTTACCAATGTTTCGATAGGTTCTGCGGGAGCATTTTGGACTTAAGGCGTCTTTTTTCGAAAATCGAATCTCGAAGTGTGAAGTCGATACGTGGCCAAGACACCCCAATCATCAATGGCACAACACAGAAGAACTGAAGACCAGGATCTGCTACCTGACTGCAACGAAACAAGTCCTTCGGAAGAAAAAGTATGAGATGAGCGAAGAGGAATTCGAGTGCGGAGGAGCGATACTTCGCGGGATGCAGACCATCATTTCTCCCAAGCGTCTCGGCACTACCGTGGAGTCGGAGATTCGCAAGCGGTTCAAGCGTGCGTTGCAAGTCCTTTGCTTGGAGCCTTACGTTCACCCGAGTCAGCAACACACCTTCCTTGACCGAGGCGATGGAAACAAGAGCGATGACGCCGTCCATCCAGCACAAGGATCTCAGAGTGAGTCAAATGCCATAATTTATGCAACCCTATGTATGAAGATGACTGATCTAGACAGAGCATCGTGCCGAGGAGTGGCCGAAGCAGGTCTTTCTTATGGAAACCAAGGCGGACTACACATTTGAATTGTGATTATCTCGGGGTGAATGTCCGAGTGCGCAAGACATCATTCACAACTATACTGTCAGATATGCTTGCTCGACAGCGGCACAACCGGTATGGTGGTGGGTTTGGACCGCGACAGATGATACTCTGGAACAGCAAATGCTATCGCAGCTACGATCAGCTTGCTCGCTGAAAGAGTTTTACTTCACTGCCTATAGCTACATGTAATCCAAATCCGCTCATTCCAAAAGCGTTGACCTCGTTACATCACTTCACGACTAGCCTGCTGCATCTTACATCTCCTCCTTCGCCTTCACGGCCTTGGCATCCGTCAAAGGCCCATTCAACACCATCAAACTCATAACCTCATAGAGCGTATCCGCCGCCGCCATCGTCGTCAACTCCGCATTCGTATCATAAGCCGGCGCAACCTCGACGATATCCGCCGCCACAAGATTAATCCCCTTCAGACCCCTCACAATCGTCCTCAACTCCCGCGTCGACCAGCCCCCCGTCTCCGGCGTGCCCGTGGCCGGCGCAAAGGCCGGATCCAGCGTATCGATATCGATGGAGAGATAGACGGGGTTCTTGTGTCCTACGCGTTCGTGGATCTTCTTGATGATGCCGTCGGTGCCAATGGTGTCGATCTCGCGGGCCTCGACGATGTGGAAGCCGCAGTAGCCGTCGTTGTCGTAGTCGGAGAGGCCGGAGAGGGTGGTGCGGATGCCGGCGTGGATGTTGGTGTCATTGCGCAGGAGGCCTTCTTCGGCGGCGTGGTAGAAGTATGTACCGTCTGGAGAGGGAGAGGGAAGATGTTAGCTAGCTAGCTGGTTTTGGTTGTTGGGTTGGTGGGTTTGGGGGTGGGGGTGGAGGGGACTGAGTGACTTGCGATTTATACTGGCGACTTTGCTGGGAGCGCCACCGAAGACTTTGGGTCTCCAGGTGTCCAGGTGGGAGTCGAAATGGATGACGGTGATGGGACCGTAGGCCTGGTTCATGCTCCTCAGCAGTGGGAGAGTGATGGTATGGTCTCCACCAAGAGTGATCACTCTCGGCAGAGTCTTGCCGTGCTTCGAAATGCCCGGCTCATGGGCGTCGGTAGCTGGAGCTCGCATGAGGATACTGTTATGACCCTCTTCGATTTGCTGAAGAGCCCATTCATTGTCATATCTATTTCCCAACATCAGTCCTCTGTCACCGCTAAAAACTGCCCTCTCGGTACTCACGAAGTCACAGGGATATCACCACAATCAATCACTTTCGCCCAATCGTTGAAAGGATTCGCATCGAGAGGGACATTGTAACCTCCGCTGAATCGAACTTTTCGTGAGCCTCCATGCTCCAAGAAGCAAAAAAGTGTCAGCTGGTTTGATCGGGAAAACCACCTACTAGAGATTGAGACGACGACTACCCTGACGGATGCCAGAGGGACCGAATCTGGCTCCGGGTCTATACGACGTGCCCGTGTCGAAGGGCGCTCCGATGAAGGCAATGTCGTATTTCACATGGTCCGTGGCGAGGCAGGGAGAGTATTCGATGCGTCCAAAGGTGGAAATGCCGGAGAAGATGGAATCGGCCTGGTTTTTGGCTTTCAATGAATTTCTTTCAATGCTTTTCGTGATTCTCTCCCAGGTGACTCACCTGCTTTCCGCCATCACCAGGCAGGGTGTTATACCACAAGCTCTTATGCGGTCCGCTGAGCGGTTCTTGGTTCTCATGGCCCTCATGAGCAGCGACCACGGCCACCAACGCGACAAGACCTCCAGTGACCTTCATCGTCTCGCTTTTCGTTTGCTCAGATCCAAGTAGAAGAAAGAACTGGACAGAAAACCGGAGAAGCTATACTCTCAATGCCAACGGTCGAAAGCCATTATAAAGAAAGCGAAGCCTCACTGTTTATTTACCGTCTTCTCTCCGCGAGCAACGAAACCAAAAGAGAGCTATACTCTTCCGGGTAACGGGATACGCTCCTACATGAAGAGCTCTCCTTGCTCCTTCGGCAGGAGGAGATAGGCATTGGGCGGCAGACGTGACGTGTATGATATGCAGCCTGGAAAGCTCTCGCATGCGGAGATTCTTGCATCACGCATGGCCCCGGGGATCTATCGAGCTCTCGCGTTCTGGGGCGTTATGGTTAGTCAATGCGCTCTGTCAATGGTATGTTGTTTGCGGAAGGTTGTTTGTGTCGAGGGCAAGCGGGAGAGGAGATAAGAGAGAAGTGGGGTCCAGGCTCCATCATCATTGCCAAGATTTGCCTCGTGATCGAGTGAGGTCTGGGTCTGCGATCTGAGGGAAGGAGAAGAAGAATATTGCGGTGATCCGGGAGAGGTAAAGCTCTTTTGTGTGTTCTCAAATGCTCATCAAGGTCATTGATATTCTCTCCGAGATGTTGCACAAAGACGTGACGCACGTCTCTGCACATTCCAATTTTTCAATGCTTGTCTTCGACACAATCAGCCACTGATGATATTGAGCATCTTTCCAACGAGCAGCTCGAAATTAAACATGATATCCATCCACCTCCTCGCCCTCTCCTTGCTCAAGCCTCTCTCCACTATCCATCCTCTTGAACGCATTCTCAACCTGTCTTTCCCAATTACTGAAAGCCACAATCGCCCACTCCAAAACCCCAACAATATACAACGCAATGCACTGTCCAACCCAAAGCCCGGCAAGCCCCCATCCGTGAAAACTCAGATACACTCCAAGAGGTAGAGCACCACAGTAGTAGCTCAGAATGTTCACAGCAGCGCCAACATGCTGTCTTCCCATTCCTCGGAGTGCCCCGCCACAAGATCCGTTCAGCCCGTCTGCGATCTGGAAGAGAGCAACGTACGGTAGGACCTGTGCTGTGAGTTTGACGACTTCTTTATCGTCGTTGAAGAGTCGTGCAAAGTTATCCTTCGTTCCCAGAAGAATGGCCATGACCACAGCGCCCAGAATCATCGAGAGCCACGCAGCCGTATTCGCAGAGAGAGCCGCACCTCGAGCGTCCCTCGCGCCTAGAAGATTGCCCACTCTCGCCGAAGTAGCCACACCAACACCGAACGGAATCGTATTCATAACTTGATCAGCAGTCATGATGACAGACTGCGCAGCGAGAGGGATAGTCCCAAGTTGACCGGCGACAATGGCCACAATTTCGAATGCCCACCATTCAGTGCCAACATGGATGACTCCCAAGAGCGCAATCCTCGCGAAGCTGCCGATGTTATGCAAGCATTTCCGGTCAAAGCCGCCCCAACATTCATAGCCGGCAACGAAGCGCGTGTAGGCCAGGAGGAGGAAGAACGAGAGCCAGTAGGAAATGCCAGTGGCAATTGGCGCTCCGATGAGGCCAAGCTCGAAAGTGTAGACGAAGAGAAAATTCAAGCCGGCATTGATGGGGGACGTTATGAGTAGTACATAGCTACCAGGACGCATGAGTCCTTGGCTAAGAAATGGGATTAGCTACCGCAGAACAGGAGAGTTATGGAATGACACTCACGCCTGAAGGTATTTCTTCATGCATTCGAAATAGATGTACCCCAGACCGCCAGGGATAAGAACACTGAGAAATTTCGAGGAATCTCTCGCAATGAAGTCTTCTTGTCCAAGAGCCTTGAAGACGGGTTCGGAGCAAATCCAGAGAACAGCAACGGGGATGTAGAAGAGCCCGAGAACGAGAAAAGCGCGTTGGAGGATGATGCCTAGGTCTTGCTTGTTTTTGCTGCCGGTGAAAGAAGCGGATGCAAGTGTGTCAATGGCAGTAGTGCCTCCCATGCTACAAGATATCAGTGCATAGCTCTCGCATAGCGTCCTCGAAGTGTACGCACCCTATGAGCCACGCTGTAGCCATGGCGAACATGTAGCTGAATGCAGCAACAGCTAAAGCTTCCGGGCTCACTCGTCCAACGATCAGGACAGACACGGTCTGCAACGAGTTTTGTAGGGAGTAAGCTAGGATCACTGGAATAGAAGCCTTGAGTAACACCCAGAACTCTGAGACTATGCGTTGAAACCAAGTGCCTTCATCTGTTTTGGCAGATTCTATGCCATCCGGCTCTTCATCGTCTGGTTTGGGAAGCAACGAGGTTCTTTCGTCAGCTGGTGCCTTCTTCGTTTTCTTTCTCCTGAGAAACTTGGGCATCCATGACCTCGCCGTCGATGAGTCTTCCTGCGTTAGATCCATGTTGTGCGTGTGGTCTAAAAGTACGCAAGTCTGAGTGCTCTTGGGTGTCCTGTCGCACGAAGTCAACACTAACCACCTTCCAACCAACAAGGTCAGACAGGACAGAGCAAAGAGCTCAAATAAGACCACTGTCCATATCTGCTACTGGTAAAGGAAATATGACGCGAAGGCCCACTGCAGGACGAGACGTCAGGCCGGCAGGCATCGCTGCACAATGAACTTTTTCCTCAAGCAGGTCCGTGAAAAGGCAGTCCGCCTAGCTATTCGCCTAATGCATAATAAGTGGACAGCAAAGAGGACCGGGAAGTGTAAACAACAGCCCAGCCCGGCCCAGCTCAGCCCTACTAGAAGGAGTTGTCGGAGTTGCACAGAGCGAAGCGTCCCTGGTCGGTCCGTGGATAGGTCTTAGTTACAGATTCCCGAGAGCTCCATATGATTTTCCGCGAGAGAAGAAGAAGAGTTCTTGGTAGTGGGAAATCTCTCTGCCGCCTTGCGCTGCCACCCCATCGCAATGCTTATCGCTCCTGTCGGGGCAAAGGTCGTTAGTCACATCATCGTCCAATGGCTCGACAAGCTCATGACTGCATCGGGCAATGGAATACGATTGCCTGCGTCAGACGCCAGTCGCTATAGCTGTGCTGTTGATCTGGGATTGGGCGCCCCGTCGGAAGGCTGTGCCGTAGGTGGCTATCGCGTGTGAGGTCCGAGTAAGACGCGAGAAAGAAGCTGGAGGGATCGTGTGTACAGTAAGCGCATCACGTGAAGATTCGGATCTAGGCTTTCGCGCTGGGGGCAACGGCCGCTAGCGTGACGGGGCCACGGGTGAAGGGTCCCAGTCCCGTCGGGTCTGTGTGCTTTTGACTGTGGGCCTCCGAACAGATTCCTGGTTAGGGACGGTCTTACACTATGAGAAGTTCTTCGACCGACGAGACTTCACGACGAGCGCAGGAATTGTTGTATGCAAAAGAGCATCGTAAAGGTCAAGGGGGACAATCCTTCCCTGCCATGTGCCATGTGCCATTGCCATGTAATCATGAGTACTCCACGCGACGCCCGCATAGGAAGGATCCTCACAAGAGATAAGACTTGAAGATCAGCCAATGTGCTGCAGCACTGCTCACGGTATCGTGCGACAAGCCTCTACGGCACCATGTCGAGGCTTCGCGAGGCTGCCGCGCTTCCTGCACGGCGGGCTGGATCGCCCCCGGGTCTCTTTGAAGAGATCTCTTGCTGCTTTTGCAGTCGGTAGGGCAGAAGGATGGGCAGCTGCATCTCTGATGCGTATTAAGAACGGCAGACGCAGCCTTAACTGCGCTCCATTGTGGACTTGTGATTTTCGATCTCGTTGTTATCCAGCATGGACTCTGTTGGCGAGAAGCGGCCAAGGTCTCAACCGGAACCCGAGCTGGCATTGAAAGGCACAAATGAGTCGAACAGAAGGACTTCGATCATTTCCAAGGCGGGCGAGATCATCAATGCTTCTGGCCATCGAGACCAACTGAAGCGTCAGTATGGGTTGTTGGAGATCTGTGGACTGGCACTCACCATCGACAACGCTTGGATTGCCTTCGCAGGCTCGCTTTCTGTATCCGTCCTCAATGGCGGACCTCCTGGCATCCTCTACGAATATATTCTAGCGTCTTCATACTACGCCTTGATAGGCGCGAGTATTGCCGAGCTCGCTTCTGCGATTCCGAGCAGTGGCGGTGTATACCACTGGGCATCAGTTACTCCTGGGCCCAGCTATGGTCGAATGTTGGGCTTCTTTACCGGTACGTGGGCATCAGATCGCTTCACATACGAAGTGAAGATCGAAGCTGATTCTATTTGTGATTAGGCTCACTCAACTTCTTCGGATGGATATTCGACCTGGCGTCCATCATCAGCATCCCGGCAAATGTCGTGGTTCAGATGTATGCGCTCTTCCATCCAGACTTCGTCATCGAACCATGGCACTCATACGTTGCTTTCGTCTGCATCTTGTGGCTGGTCACGGCGTTCGTCATTCTCTGCAATAGGCTCATACCATACTTGCAACATGCTGGTCTGTTCCTTATCATTGTCGGTGGACTGGTGACCATCATAGTTCTTGCCGCGATGCCAAAGCAACACGCCACCAACTCCTTTGTCTGGACGGACTGGACAAACCTGACTGGCTTGCCCGACGGAGTCGCATTTCTTGCTGGTGTGCTAAATGGAGCTTTCACCATCGGGACACCAGACGCCGTTACCCATCTCGCAGAGGAGTTGCCAAATCCGAAGGTGGATCTGCCAAAGGCCGTCTTTGCCCAAGTCGGACTTGGCTTTGTAACAGCATTCGTCTTCGCAATCACGCTCTTCTACGGTATCAACGACCTGGACGCAGTGGTCAACAGCAATGGCTCCTTTCCGCTAGCTGAAGCATACGCACAAGCGACAGGTAGCCGAGGCGCAACTTTCGGCCTGTTGCTGATTGTCTTCCTTTCCATTATGCTTTGTGCGGTCGGTACGGTCCTCATGCTCGGTCGTCTCTGGTGGGTCCTAGCCCGCGACAACGCGACGCCATTTCCCGCCTTCTTCTCTCAGGTCAATGAGAAGCTATCTTGCCCAGTCCAAGCAACGATCTTGTGCTCCATCCTAACGACAGGCTTCGGCGCTATTCAGCTTGGTTCCTCAAAAGCCTTCACGGACCTCGTAGGCTCTTTCATCATTCTGACATCGACATCCTACTTGCTCGCGATACTGCCACACGTTCTGACGAAGCGGCAAAATGTACCACCTGGACCGTTCTGGATGGGCTTTACTGGATACATCGTCAATGGTGCGGCTTGCGCACTCATTGTGTTCTTCAACATTTTCTTCTGCTGGCCTTATGCGTATCCTGTCACTGTATCGGGCATGAATTGTGAGTCCAGTAGCCTGGATGCCGTGGTGGAGTTGTTTTGATAGCTAACGCGGTGACAGATAACTCCGTCATTCTTGTGGGCGTCGTGGTGCTTACGATATTCTGGTGGATTGTACACGGACTGAGGAAATATCCAGGGCCAAAGTTGGCTCAGTTGTATATTGAAGGTGTGTGATGGGGGAAGTCAAGTCGAGTCGCTGGCGGGAAAGCTTGACACATGGAAACCTCATTTCGCGTGGAACATTATGTAATACCAATGGTTCTCATCGAGGGCTCATACACAATCTATCGTCCGAGCTAAGAAGTGGACAACTAATTCACGCTACGGTATACAACCAGATGAGCATGATGCAGTCCATCCTGAGGTAGGTGGCCACCTTTGTTGCTGTACTTCGGTCCTGCCAATATGCCGGCATATGGCGTTGTTTGACAATTCCTCGACTTTGGCTCCATCGTAGACCTGAATGTTTCCGGGCAAGCCAACAGGTCACAAATACTCTACATAATTTATCCACAGCGCCTCCTTCCCACCCTTCCGCTGCCCACCGCAGAGCTCACTTAATACTCTCCCTAACCTCCCGTTTCATCTCCTCCTCCGCCTTCCTCCGATCCAACTCAGCCTGAACCCCAACTTTCCTCCTCGCCTCAATATCCTTCTCCCAAACCGTCCAGACTACGCACAAAAAAACATCAGCATCTCAACCAGCAACAAAAAGAAAAGAGGATTAGACAACTCACTGGGTCGGTCATCCTTGGAGTACTCTTTCAATCTCCCGACAAAGCGATCGAAATCTTCCTGTTTTTCCTGCCGGTTGGCGAGGGAGCGGCGCTGGAGGTCCGGGTTGTATTTCAGGAAGAGTTCTTCTTCGGTCGGGGAGACGTAGTAGATTAGCGCGGGACCGCCGATGCACATTACCGCGCCGCTTTTGTGGTTTGTGTAAGCTTTGTGTGTTCAGATCTGTAGGGTTGGGGGAGCGTACGCGGCGGCCATCTTGACGTAGGTTATGGTCTTCATGGTGGTGGATTGGGGGCGTTGCCACCCAGATGAATTTAGGTGGGAGTCTCTTGATGGGCGGTGAAACTTCAAGATGGAGCTGGTGTTCTTGAGAGGTGTTCTTCTGGTCTCTTTCGGGAGGCGCGTCTGATGGTAACTTCCTCACTTCTTGACTAGATAGATGTTGTAGTAATGCCTCGAACGCGAGACAAAGTCGTGCCTGTGCGCTAGTCCACTTCCAGGGAATGGTGCTTGTCATTGAGAGCATGTCAATCAAATTTCGATTGACGGCTAAAGCAATGTGCCTCAGCAGCTCAGCTGGGGAGATCGGCATGTACTGTCTACACATCGTTCCAGACAGGAGAACTCGCGACCACACTCTCAACTCTTCCCAGACCACTCAATCCAGACATTACTTCGACGTAGTCTACCCCATGGCCGACTCACCTGCTTCCTCAGACCTCTCCGATCCCCCGTCGGCAGAGTCAGACAACTACGATCAGCTCAGCACCGCCGTTCCCTCCTCGCGGCCCAGTGTCGACATCACCCATACCGATGGAGATCACCTCGCGCCGCCCTCCAAGAAGCGAAAGACCGGACCATCATCCATGGCCATACTGGATCGCGCGCCTTCCTCGCAGCCCGAACAAGAAGACGACAACATCAGCTTATCCGAAGACGGCTGGAGCAGCGCGCCGGGATCGCCCAACGACGACGAATATGTCCTTCGCGATCAGGCGCAAACGCAATGCCTGTGGCGCGATTGCGATTTCGGTTCGGCGGAGAATAACGACGAGCTCGTGAAGCATGTGCAAGGCACCCATTGCGCGACAGGTGGACCTAAGAAGACGAAGTACGTCTGTGAATGGGGAGAGTGCCAGCGCAAGGCGAGCAACCATCCGAGCGGGTACGCTTTGAAGGCACATATGCGTAGTCATACCAAGGAGAAGCCTTATTACTGCCACTTACCAGGTAAGCAAAGGTACAGTTGGGGGAACCGCGATCAAGAGCTAATCAATATGTACAGAATGCGACAAGGCGTTTACACGTTCCGATGCTCTCGCGAAACATACTCGCACTGTTCACGAGCCTGAGCCGTCCAAGCAAGTCTCGTCGGCAGACGCTACACCGTCCGGCAAGAAGGGCCTCAAAATAAAACAGGCCAATGGGAGCGGCAAGCCTCTACCGAACACCGCAGAAACCGGCCCTACACACGACGAGGATGGGAATCCAATCGATCCTTCACCCCCGAACGACAACATTACATATATTCCTGCACACCACCCGATTACAGGCCAACCCGGCTTTATGATCCATTATCCTCCTGACATCCACTTCACCGCATGGGAGAGTAGCATACCAGCTGATCAGCTGATGAGATTGTTGCGGCGGCAATTACATTGGGCGCAACAGGAGGGCGACGAAGTGAAGAAGGAAGTCGAAGAGCTAGAGCAGCAGAAACGCGAAGAATGGACACTCAAGGAGATCCTGCTGGAAGGCCTGATGGAGGCTGAGCTCTCCAAGGCAGAGAGATCACACATGCTGAAGAACGTGGACTCCAGAGTTAGGGACACGATGGAGCGAGACGTGCAGTACGCGAAAGAGCTCGAATGGACAGGTGGTGAGCCAGAATGGCGCAGAGCTCGGCCTCTACGACAATCGACTGATGACGATGTTGAGATGAGAATGTCGCCAACGACTGGCGTCCCGGGAGGGTTTGACGGTGAAGCTGATCCGTACGACAACTACCTCGCTGAAATGACTTCGAGATATGAGGAGCTGGAACGGCAGAGGAACACGCCGAACAAAGCAGCGGCACAACAGCAGCAAGCGGCAGAAGCGGATGCCGTGGGCGCTCTTATTGGCATGAGCGGACAGTCCTGAAGTCTGCCCTGGAGGCTTTCATCCAGGAGGCGAAACAGTATCCGCCTTCTTGTGTCCATGTCCTTGGAGCGGCCCGTGGAGATCGAAAGACCATGGGGACAGCCGAGGAGCGGTGTACCAAGTCGAGCGAGCTCATGCCTTAATGTTCCTGCTTTCCACATCTCCCTCCGCATCAACAACCTCTTCTCCGACGACGATTGAACGAGACAAAAGAGAGATTCTTGTAACATTACCACACAACCCCATTGGTCGAAACAATCTTCATGCATGCTACCCAGCTATTCTACTACCTCGATTTACTCGAGAGACTCTTCCTCTGCTGTTTACTCTCCTTCTTCTTCTCCCTCGCACTCGTCTCATTCGTAAACGGGAAATTCGACGTCCGTTTATCTGCTCCTGTGCTCTTACTGATCCTTCCCTTTTCACTCGCAAACAGCAGAACCCAGATCCCCATGCAGAAGAGTGTAGAAGTCGCTACAAGGCCCATTCCGAAGCCGAAAGACCAGCCGGCGGAAGCGATTTGCGTGTACAGGTAGAAAGCCGATAGAGCCTGATATATCGTGGTGACGACGAGAGTCGGATACGCATAGGGATCTCCCATCTTCCCTTCGACAACATCTTCTTCTTTCGCTCGGGACAGGTCGTTTGTGAGGGGTAACATGCCGGACAGGAGGACCGTGAGCCCCGCGAGGGCGAGAAGCGCCAGTGCGAGTGTTCGCGAGAGATAGGTTTCCAGATCGGTGGGTTTCCGCGTCTCGGTCGCGAGCAGGGTGACTATCATTTTGGGCGTCAGGAGTAAGGGGAGGGATTGGAGGGTTAGGTAGGCGGAGGTTGCGAGGTTGTAGGTTTGGAAGACCTTTTGGTGTGGATTGGATTATTAGCAAGTTTGCTTTTTAAGAGGATGTGGGAGAGGGAGGGGGGAGACGAACGTCCATCTTGAAGTGAAGTGAATGGAGGGTTTTCTCGGAGTTGGAGGTGCGTTGTTTGCTCTGTTGGAGTGTTTCGGGGAGGTCGAAAGTTGGAAGCTCTTGTGAGAGAGCACGGGCAGCACAAGCCGCGGAATCTACACCGCCCAGGAGCAAGGATTCTTGGATTCCCTACGTCATCGCAGCATGTGAATGTCTCGAACTCCCACAGCGTGATATGAGTGGCCTGCAAGCACATCGCGGAGAAGCCTGAGAACAGAACGCGATGGCAAGACAAAAGGCAATTGCATTCCTCGTTGGGCATCAGCATAGTTCGACTCTTGTCGAGGGCCACAAATCTGCCTTGAGACCTCCAACCCGTGCTATACATAAAACATCACATGTGACGCTGTCCCTTCTTCTCAAAAAACGTCCGCTCATTCCGGCCCAACACCTTGCTTAGAGATCAATAAGAAATAAAAAATCAATTCAGACCATCTTCAACTTCGGCACCGAACATCACGACCAGTGATCAGTGCACCCGCTCTTCGAATCTTTCACTTGTCTCGATACTTTGGCAGTGACACCCTGAGACACGACTCGATGCCTTTTTGCCAGACGTGAGGCATTGAGCACACAGAGCCTTAGTCGTTGTAGCCCTTATCCAAGAATCTGCAAACCCTCGTCAGTTTTACTCCTTATGCCCCACAAACGGTAGGGATACAAAGACTTACACATATTCCTCATATGTCATGCCCCTCCAGTCCTTCGTCGTAGTCCCATCCGCATGCTTCGTGACCTTCCACGGATTTGGCTTCGGCGTCATCTCCGCCCAAACTTGGAAAAGCTGCCTGAAATAACAAGTCTGAGCAGCGGGCGTGAAATACTGGTCTCGGAATTTGGCAGCCGCATTATCCGCGATCCTCTTAGCTTTCGCATTGTCGGCGAGTAGGTCGTCCATTGTCGAAGGGAGACCTTTCCATTCCTTATCGACTTGCACGAAGTTTTGGTTCGGCCCGTCTGGTTCCAGGAGGTGGTAGAGATGTGTTGAGAAGGTCAAGGGATGGATGAGGATGGTGGAGTGGCAGCTCAGGAGGTATTTGAGACGGCCGGACCAAGTCGTTCCTTCTGTATGTACTGCGAACTTGTATCTGCAGTGATCGGGCATCGTAATTCGATACTTCATGGATTCCTCGTCCGAGACATCTTCGGCGACCTTGCGTACGTCGGACCAAGGCTTGCCGTCGCTCTGTTCGAGGAGCCTCAATCTGATCTCCGGATTGAAGTCCACGGTACCACGCCAGACAAGCTGCGATTTTTTCGCGTTGTAATCAGAGCCGATCTCTATGGCCTGTCGCTGGTAATCGCCGTACGAGCCCGCGACTCGAGGGTAGGACCAGAAATTGAAGTCCGGAATCAGCCAGACCTGTTCCATTACGGGGTCACTAACATTGCGGTTAAAGTTCCAGACCGTGACATCCGGGTGCCTTTCCGTGAGTTCGATATTATCGTTAATCTTGATGCTAAATTCAATATTCGGTATCGGTTCCCGCGCGCCGGTGATTGCCCTGTGGATACTATGCAGAGTTGCATGCGACCGCTCTTTCCAGTGCAAGAAGTGATTGAGTCCTCGCGACTCTAACACGTATAGTTGTCCTTCCCAGATCATTGCTCTTAACCCGCCATCCGGACTCCACTCCAGTCCCCATTGCTCTTCAGTCAACTTCTTATTGCCTTGTCTTCCTTTCCAGTATGTCCGTGATCGATCGATCTCTTTATACAGATCCGGAAATGCAGTATGGCATTGCTCCAGCGTCAATGAATGATTGTTTCGATCTCGATCTGCCCGGAAACTCCAATCTCCAGGCTTAGTCGGGTTGGATTTCGACGAAGGCCGAAGACTAGGGGGCTGTGCAGGCCTATCTCCTCCTGTCCAATTGTTCGCAAACGTATAGAGAGCGACCAGAATCAGAGCCGCAAAGAGCAGCGCTCTCACCCTTGACTTCGGTACCCAAGCCATTTCGCTGAGGTGGGGTGATTTCATCGGGTCCATTGCACGGCCATGAAGTTGAGATTCGAAGGAGGAGGTGGTAACAGCTGCGCAACTTCGCAGCTGTTATGGCGGCGTGCCTCACTCACGGAGGACAAGAAGCGATTCGTCTTACGCAGTGCGCTCGTGTCTCGTTTTCAGCTTGCGCGTGCGGGACGTGCCAGCGGGGAGGAGCAAACTGAGGATCGCTACGTTTCGTTCGCCTCTCGATCGGTTCAACGGTGCGGGCCGGGCATACGTAAATTCGGTAAGAAGTAAGTCTATTGTTGAAAGGAGCGTCGGGAAAGTGAGAGAGCTTGGTCGGGCAAAAGAGTGTAGAGAGTGAGACAGGAGGTTGCGTAGAGTTGTCGTTCGGGTGCTTGCGAATATCCGGCTTCGATCCGAGCTCGGCAAGTAAAACGCGTGTCCAGGTGTGCAGGGGTACCATGACTCCTCGCACAACACTCGCCAATACATGTACGATACGCGTTGACGTCACATTAGGGGATTTTTGAGTGTGTAGCATAGGCGTTCACATACATCTCTCACCCTTGGCCGACTTCTGTTCGTACAGAACGCCAACCCTGATTTACTAAGTCCTTCCCCCATGGTATCTCCTGGTCCCTGGTACGCCGCCCAATAATGCTTCCCATACAGAACGCTCAAATAGTAGCCTTGCGGCCTCATCCAAATGTCAAAAACATATTCCTCCCAAAGGGGTATCTTCCACGATGCGACTCCGGCGCAATCGCTACGACGTCTTGCGTTCTGCACCTGAAGCACTGCTTCAAATGCGTGGAGCTTGAGTAGAGTCTTCTTAACCGCCCAAGCGATAGAGCTGTTTAGTGGCTTGCGACTGATGCCGTTTCATCCCTACAGCAGACGGTTCGCTAGTCTCCCTCACGCCGAACTTCGGGCAACCGAGCCTCGAGTGGTGCGGTTCGTAGTAGAGAGTTTTCACGCGTGCCGCCAGTCAACTTCAATGATGCTTTCCACTGGCCCGTCCGGGTCGCGCGTCGTTCGCTTAACGTAGAACTGTCTCACTGTGTTGTCGGCGGTCTTGACGGCGTGCTCGAACAGCCAGCTAATCTTTTCCTTGCCGTACTCCAAAGCAGGTCTCGTCTTTCCCATACTGTGGTGGAATTCGAGTGGCTCCGGTGGCCTTTTCACGTTGACGTCCTCGGTCATCGTCAACTCCACCAAGTTTAGGTCTGGAACTCCTCTGGGATATTGAACGATACTGTAACCATTGGTGAAGACAGTATGGTTGCCGAATTGATATCTTTGCAACAAAGCATCGGGTCCGGCTACGTCGGTCACAATGTGGGAGATTGCTATCGGGAAGAAATGCCAGCTTTTCCAGTGGTGAACAGTCAGTATCGGATTGAAGCCTGCTTCGTACCACCCCGAGATGTCCTTCCACATGTCGATCTGATTCAATCCTTTCATTTCGGTCAGATGCACTGTTGGGGATGTGACCTCCATTATGCAGTCTCGCCACAGGATGTCGCCGAAATACCTGTCCAGAGGAGTACATTCGACGGCGTTCTCGGCCAAAATTTGCATCAGCGGGGGAGATATGAAAAAACCAGCCCCTCCCCACGCCTTAAACCCTTCCTGCGATACTCTTGTGTGTCCTTCGGTGAGCGCGCCAATGTACCATTGCTTCTCGGGATCAAACGGCGCCAGATTCTCGACCATACGTGGAAGTGACAAAAAGAACGTATCGTCGTCAATGACACCAAACCACTTGGTTTCCGGTCGACGATGCTTGTCCAGAGCAGTGGCAAGCGCGAAGTTCTTGAGGCCTTCGCTGTCGTGAGTGTAGGTTGACTTGTACGGCTCGAAGATCAGCTCGATCGCGAGTGTGGATGCCAGTGTGTTGACACGGTTGATTTCTTCCTGCTTCTCGTCCAGGTTTTGCTGATCGACCAGAAGGACAACGAGTGGCGATCCTGTATTCGAGAGCCATCTAGAAAACGTGGGCAAAGACTCTTCGATTCGTTTGAGCGTCGTGGCAACACCCAGCATTAAGGATTTGGTGCTGGTCTGTCCATGTGAGCTGAATTCCGGAACCTCCAGGGTGAATGAGCTGTGACATGTAGGGAAGACGCTCTGCTCCTCGGGATTGGGTATGTTTCCATCGTCCAGCCGGATATCAGAGGATGCACCTTCGTCCAGCATTTCTTCTGAGAAGCGGATCACGGATTCGCGGTGCAGGGCTGGATTTTCCTTTGCGAAGACGCAGTATCGTTGATAGTCGAACTCTTGCGGGAGATCCCTGATTTGGCGGAGCACTTCGATGTCGAGTGTGCCGTTGTTGTGAAAGTCTGGCGAATAGGTCTGCCATGATGCCAGTGGGAAGCGCGGATCCGTTGCGGGTTGTCTAACGAGGAAATAGGTGAAAGTGAGTAGTAGTGTTGTTCCCGCGAGGATTTGAAGTAGCCGGACGGGCGGCATGGTCGCGAAATAGCTCTCGCACCACACGCGCCTCTGCCTCGAGGCTTCTCCGAGAGGCGTGATGGGCTTTCCAGTCGCAGACCAGATGAGAGCGCCAGGTGCGCTGGAGGTGCGGTCAGAGGCGAATGTATTGGGATGACATGTGAACAGGTGGTGTCGTGTGTAGCCAGGCACTCGGCATCTGTTGCATGCGGTGCGGATCGAATAGGAGAGCAAGATAAGATGTGCAGGGATGTTGCATGGCACGCACGGCCCGCGCCAAGAACCACCCGACCGCCGTGCACTGTTGCTGCTTCAAACCTACCTTTCCTCCTCTCACGTCGCAGAATCTGCTATCCCCCAGCAACGACATGCGCACCCGTTTGAAACGTCTGCTTGTCCGCCAGCCGCGTCGCACATCGGGTATCCGTTTCCCATACCATATGCACCGAATGCCGCCTTGCATGCGCATGCCGTGTGACCGGGATCTTGCTTAGCCAAGCCACAATCTGTTGTTGGATGCGCAGTAGTACTGACTTTATCCATCTGCCGGAGTTTCTGTTAAAAGATTGATGAAGAGCATCCAACCTGCCAGCGATCGATCGACCAGGAATCTGAATTGTTTATGCTCTTCGCCAAATTTCCGCCCCCGTTTCTTGTTGCGATGCCAAGGGTCGTTGATACACGGGAAGAATCATGTCCACCGGCTGGAAATACAAATGTACCCCCAGCATCAGGCCGTGACGCCCGGAGCCCTGAGACTCAGTCAGGTCTCACCAGTGCCCTGAGCCTCTTGGAGCTTTCCCCGCCAGAGCAGACTGCAACAAACACCGCAGTGTGAACATGAACGCCCTCGATCCTTGACTTCTCCGAGTAATTTGAACTTCCGGGCAATCTCATTTGGGAGGTTGAGCTTTTCCAAAAGCCAAGGAACGAGAAACTTACACGCTTGCCTTATTATATCTTGCACAAGCGCCAGGAGTTTCTGGCCATGACACGACTTCTGTGGTTCTATATGAACGAGTGCACCCTGATGCTAACTGGCGAAAGACATGACATCCTTCTTTCCGTCATCACCGACGCTGTCTATGCTAATCGGTGATATCATTAAATCGCGTAGAGCAAGCACTTCTGATGGATTCAATACCGCACGCAATACCTATGAGTACAGCTCACACTGACACTCTTTCCTTCTTCTCACCAAACCAATATCTTCCAGCACTCGACCTCTGAAATCAGCAACTCAATCTCGGAATCCAAAATGGCCAAAGAAAATGTCAAGGAGCCTGAGCCTCCCCGCCCATACCCAAACATCGGTGACAGGGTTTGATAGCCCAGCTGTCATTACTTTATGATTGCATGTAGCTCTGTCGAGGCGCTGAGGCGGCACCACCACGACTGAATGGTGTTTGGGTGTACAAAACCTTTCAACTTCATTGGGATTCATTGTACGCTCGCTTTACGTTTGTGATGTACACTGCGTAGACCAATCTCTGCCCCTGAGATACCTCTGTCAATGTTTATATCGCTTCATGAGAACAGGTCATCTTCGATCGCGTGGGAGACGGACCGGATCAAAGGAAACTCGAGTCCGGTCTCATTGTTCTGGCCAGAGTCCGACGTTTGTGGTGCTCGAACCATACCATGGCAGGGTCTCTTCATCGCAAGTTGATGAGTTTCTCATTGTTGTGGGGGACTGCATGTATTGGGTCGGAGTACCGCTAAGACTCGGGCCGGCTATCGGGCGGGCGCAAGGGCGGTCGGCAGCTGATGACGCGATTGTCAGGGTTCGGTGTAGATTGAGCTTAATCAAGACTTTGGATTTCTCATCAGAGGAGGACATTGCACCATTTCGTTCTCTTCCTTCGCCCAGACGTCTCTCACCGAATCCTTACGAGCTCGGCGTTGGCATTCGACACGCCTGCTACACTCGTTCCGCAAAGGATATCAGCCGCCAGCGACTCCTACTTCAAAGTACCCCGCCGCCGACCCCTCCATTCAAGCTAAATTGCTACCCAGGCACATCGTAAAAGACAGAGTTCCTGGCAGGCGAGTGGCAATAGCAACATGACAGTCCCAGACAAGCACGTCCACGCGCATGCGCCAATCGAGACACCACCTCGCGCTCTTTCGCCCGTCCACAAGTTCGGCACGCTCGCAGTACACGCAGGGTCCGAGCATGACCCAGTCACCGGAGCTGTGATCGAACCAATCTCCCTCAGTACCACTTTTGCGCAGTCCTCGGTCGGCAAGCCCATAGGCGATCACGAATACACACGCTCCTCAAACCCAAACAGATGGAACTTTGAAAAGTGCATTGCGGCCTTGGAGAAGGCCAAGTACGCGCTCGCGTTCGCGTCAGGATCGGCAACAACCGCAATCATACTACAGAGTCTAGCAGCTGGGAGCCACGTCGTTTCGGTGTCCGATGTCTATGGTGGAACACATAGGTACTTCACACAGGTGGCTTCTGCGCATGGCGTGCGCGTCACTTTCACACCCAGCATTGAGCTGGACATTGAAGAGCTGATTACGGACGAAACAAAACTGATATGGATCGAAACCCCTTCCAACCCAACCCTATCGCTGGTGGATATCAGAAATGTCGCGGATATCGCACACAGGAGCGGAGTCATGGTCGTGGTGGACAACACTTTCATGTCGCCATACGTTCAAACCCCGCTCGAACGCGGCGCGGACATTGTAGTGCACAGCGTGACGAAGTACATCAACGGACACTCAGACGTTCTCATGGGCGTAGCAGCTTTCAACTCGGACTCCCTCCACGAGCGACTAAAATTCCTGCAGAATGCAATTGGGGCTGTTCCCAGTCCGTTCGATTGCTGGCTAGCGCACAGGGGAGTCAAGACGCTCCATCTCCGAGCAAGAGAAGCAAGCAAGAATGGCGCGGCAGTTGCGAAGGCCTTGGAAGCAAGCCCACACGTTATCGCGGTCAATTATCCAGGTCTGGATTCGCACAAGCAACGGAAGATCGCTTTGAAGCAACACCGCGAAGGACTCGGAGGTGGTATGCTCTCGTTCAGAGTCAAGGGCGGTAAAGCTGCAGCAGATCGCTTCTGTGAGGCGACTAGGATCTTTACGTTGGCGGAGAGTCTGGGAGGCATTGAGGTAAGCACTGATCATTCACCTGTACAAGAAGCTTATCCTGACGTTGCGGTAGTCTTTGGTAGAAGTACCAGCTTCAATGACTCATCTAGGCATACCCAAAGAGCAGCGTGAATTGGCAGGTGTCTTTGACGATCTAGTACGAGTCTCCTGCGGTGTAGAAGATGGTGACGATCTTGTGGCAGACGTCCTGCAAGCACTGGAGCAAGTCGTCGTACGAGAGCAGAAGGTCACGAACGGCACGTCGAATGGACACTGACGACATATTCTAGCTGTATTTTTTGAGGAAAGCTGCGAAGATGGGTTTCATAGATGCCTCACTGGCCACAATCGATTTCTTATTAAGTCGGGTTATTCGTTTGCATGCTGCAGCTAGGGACACAGATCAGTTTTGTTTCCTGATCTCATGGCCTTTGCTCCGCACGCATTCTGAGTGTATCAGCATAATAATTACTTCCCGTGAGTCGGCCAATGCGCCCATGTCTCACTCGGTCCTTATCGCGATCAGTCCTCGGGATCAAGCCCGAACATGCTGCGCTTGACACGAAGATCTTCCTCCAGTGCCGCCAGCTTCTGCGCCTCACGCTGCCGAAGCAGCTGGTTCGTCATCGCCTGCACCTTCTGACGAGCCCGCTCAACTTCACGCTCCAAATCCGCGACTTCTTCCATCTGCTGTGCGCGCTCAGCGGCCTTGGCCGCAGCATCCTCGTCCACGACGTCCAGCTCATCATCATCGGCATCCTCGTCCGACTCATCCTCATCAGACTCCTCTTCATCCTGCGTGGCTTCGGCCGGTGTACCGACAGGCGTGGCCTCTGATTCCTCCATGGCGTTCTCCACTGCAGCCATAGTTCCAGCTTGCTCGGCGATCGGGGCGGCAGACTCAGGAATGAGGTCAGAGACGGCAGGAGCGTCTTCTTCCTGGAACTGCTGAGCCGCCAACTCGGCTGCGATCTCCCTCTCCATAGCCTCGGCGTCGATGTCGTCCGCTTCGCCGTAGTCTTGTCCTTCCATCTCCACTGTCTCGATCGCTCCCTCTTCGTCGTCTTCGTCTGCGCTGTATTCCTCTTGCATCTCCATCGATTGCTCTTGCTCTGCACGCGTGTGATGATCGATATCAACTGTGCCGCCGGTTCTGTCCTCCCATTCCTTATCGGCCTGAAGCAGGCGGGCGACCTCTTCGTCCACGCTGACCTTGTCGTCGTACTTCGCCCTCTTTCTGAACCGCCGTCTGCGAACCCAGTGCATGGGCGGCGTGAGTCCATGTGCGTATTGGTGGTTCTCCTTGTTCACCTCCTTGGGTAGTTGCATTGTCTTCGCCTCCTCTTCGCTGCTGCATTGACCGAGGACCAGCAGCATCTGAGCAATATCCGCGACCTTCCACCATCCCTTCTTGTCAAAACTCTTCATGGACTCGACGATGCACGGCAGATCGACGAGCACGGCACCGTACATTCTTCCACGAATCTTGATGACCGCTCTCCGCAAGCTCTTCTCGAGGAATTTGATCGAAACCTCGGCGTCTCCCTGAAGCGGATATGGTCCAATCTTTCCACTAGCAATAGCTTCTCTTAGGTAGTTTGCATCTTCACCCTCTTCCATACGCAGTAAAAATGCCTGCTGAATAGCCGGATCCTGCTCCACATCCGAGTCCTCCGAATCGTATCCGACGCCCTTCGGTCGCGGAGGTGCCTTGCCACGCGCCCGGATATCGATGAGTTTTGGAATAGATTTCTTCTTCGGCTTGTTGGAAAGCGATATCTTAGTCTTAATCCCGTCAGAAGCGGGAGGCTGAGGACCGCCTATCTTGATAGATAACTTCCGTGCCTGCTGCGATCCTGGCCCGCTGGAGATGCGCTTTGCAGCGGGGAAGACAATCTCGTCTTCCGCAGCGCGCTTCTTACCCTTTCCCGGTCCATCTTGTTTGCGCTGGTACGATCTCTTCTTTTTGACTTCGGGTTGCTGCGATGCGGCAGGGAATCCGGACTGAGCAGGCTGCTCGACGGGCGTGGGCGGTTGCGAGAAGTTCAACTTGAGCTTAGGACCGCTGCCCGGGGTGGGAGCTGAGGGTGTCGCTGGAGAGGTAGCATTGTTCTGCAGAGTCGACTGATTCTGGCTCTGGTTGCTGTTGTCCACGGGCACTGAAACCTTGGAACCAAGCTTGAGCTTGATCATGACGATTCGCGAGGAAGTCGAAGAGTGTGGCTGTGAGAAGCAGTGGATAGGCGATGAAGTCACCGCATATGTCGGATGTAGGGGCGGTCAGTCGCGCGATGTTGCAGTGGATGGTGTGGCAGTGTTCGAAGGAATGGAATGCACAGGACTAAGGGAGATCCCCGCACGTGATGAGCAAGTCGCGTTAAACGGCCAGTGCGTCGGCCCCAGTACGCGGCCCGAACCGGCTCAATCGAGCACAATGAGTGATTGTGAGTGAATGATGATTCCCAGCCAAGCCGCTAGCAACCGTTGCTAGACGCTGTAGAGCAGAAGTGCTCCGCGCGACATTCCGGCCTCGTACCACCCGATTATGCGCCTCGCCGGAACTCTGATGCTTTGCAAAACTGCCGTCGAATCAAAAGACGAGTGCCTTGCTTGCATTCCGGTGCATGGTGCATGGACGCACTCGCTTAAGGAGGGCGAGGCTGAGCATTTCCACGCTACTGAATCCTTCAGACCGCATTTTCGCTGCCCTATTGCCAGACTGACTGCCCTACCACCAGTGCGAAAGAGCGGCCTGCGCTAGCACTTCCTGTGTCATCTCCATCTAACTTCACGCTTGATGCCCGCGGCACGCTGTCCTTCATGCTCGCAACGTGCACGGGCGGTAAGCTTTCGGCTCGCCTGACTGGAAGATGTGGTAGGTAACATTGATTTCACGCCCGCACGCGATTGCACTGTTGCATTCTGCCTTGCCGTGGTGAAGCCATCTCACCGTTTCCCCCATGCGATCTCGCGGTCGCCCTGCGCGATGGCTGAAGACACAGGCCACACCTGCCAGCTGAGCTGCCCTACGTCTCCACCAGCTTCACTACTTTACATGCCGGTGCCCTTGGGGGATATGTCCTCTGTACCCGCTCCCTCAGGATTCAACTCTTGATTCTATCTGGACATTACCACTGTACGAGACTCCCTTGGACAATATGGGTTTCGACACAATGCGTTCGTTCCAGCACCTGGGCCTTCTATCAAAGCCGAGAGGTCTAGACGTGGCCGCTTCAGTCAATGATGGGCTGAGACGACAAGACTCATTCATGTTTGCTAGTAGTGCAGTGAGCAGGCAAGTCATGGGAAGGAAAGGCCTAAGAAAGAAATGTTTGCTAACAACTTCCAGATCTAATGACTGCTGTTCCGCCAACACCTCTTCCAACAAACTACCCGTTCAACAACACAAGCTGGCGTCGATATCTGTCTATCCTCCCTCTTTCCAGACAGCGAAAGCAAAATGGTCTCCGCCACCATCTCCTGGCTCTTCATCGCCGACTTCGCCAGTCGGCTCGCCTAGATCTCCTTCTACTCACACTGTTACCTTGAGCGCTAAGGAGAAGAATGCGCTTGCCAATCAACTCTACGCTGCTGCATGCTCGGGCGATCTGGGTGCGATTGAAGACCTGCTACATCGTGGGGCGCCCATCAATTCATCAGTACTGGTCGGCGGCTTGTTTGAAGCTTTCAAACCAGCAAAGGCGGGACACCTGTCTCCGCTTGCCGGCGCTGCCACTTGTGGCCAATACGATGCGGCCGAGTTACTTCTATCTCATGGCGCTGAGCTCAATCCGGACAGCCAGCAATGTGCTTGCAGTCCACTTCATCAAGCGATCCGGAACAACGACTTTGAGCTGGTTCGCTTCTTCCTCGAGCGTGGAGCGGATGTTGACATTGACAATTCCTACAAAACGACACCGATCATGTACGCATCGAAATATTCTTCACCTGAGCTCGTGTCGCTGCTTCTCGAATATGCCCCGGATCTCAACAAGCTCTCTTTCATCAACGCTGCCGCTATCCACTGGAGTGTGTGGCCTGGTAACGCTAAAGTGACTGAATTGCTCCTCATGGCTGGAGCCAACCCAAATCACCCGATGGCAGACGGCAGCTCTCCTCTAAGCTGCGCTATCCTGACTGGCTCCGTGAGCATGGTCAAGTGCTTATTACGGTTCGGCGCTGATCCTCTGCAACGGAACGACGAATACGAAACTCCTCTGCAGATTGCACATTCCCAGTCGGATTCGGAAGAGATCTTGAAGTTGCTCAAAGCCGCAGTCGCGGCGAGACGGTGAACGAGAGATATCAAAACATGTCACTTGTACTTTTAGCGAGGCGTTCGGATAATACCATGATGGCCTAATAGGCCCCTTTTCGGTTGGACCACGCGGAGAGGTTGTGGCCAACAGAGCCAGATGTACGACTAAGTATGCTGCCAAATGACAGGAATCTTTGTAAATCGAATCAGATCATGACACAAAGCCCTGACCCTCTATCTTTGAATATGTTTACTTGCAACCAGGACAGCTTAGTCTAGCGTCTTAAGACCTCTATGCAAGCTAATGCGCTAGCATTCGTAGCTGCTGCCCCTCCTTCTGTCTACACTCGGTCTCCTTTCCGGCGGTTGTACAGCCGATGGTCATCACGGTTATGCCGAAATTTGTGACCCTTTCGGCTTCGCCATCTCCGGGTACTTCGGGATAAGCGTGGCATGAACAAGGCCCTTCCGGCATGTCGGTCGGTCTTCCGGCTCCTGTATGGAAAGGATTTCAACAGCTGACTATGTTGAGGTCTAGAACGTCCTCCAAGTGTCGTCTGAGCGCTGGCAAAGGATGCCTACGATGCTGTTTAAGAACGTTAGCGTGAGTGCATGTGAGAAGGGACTGTGTCTCAGCGCTTGTCCAGATTTGGTATAAGCCCTCCCGAAGCTTTGCCGACGTCTTCTCACTCTCAAGTTTGCCGTTGCCTCCTTCTCAAGTTTCTGACACACAACATCACCTTGACAAGGGGCTGATGATTGTGTTATTGCGTTCATCTTTCACCCGTTCAATTAGCACAACGACAGCTCTCCAAGAAGGCATGGAGCAGAACGTCTTAGGTCCAGCCGCTCAATCTGGAAACTGCTCAAACAGCTCCCAAGTTTGCATGCACGCATGCAAATGTCTAGATCCTGCATCAGCTCCGCCTATCGAGAACACTTTCAAGTGGCGGGGTCCGAGCTACGATACGAATCGAATACCGTGACCAAAGTAGGAAAATCTACAGACCTGTGTTCCATTACCCCCAAAGCAAAAAGCATCTACTCGCCTACAGAATGACGGAATTACCTCCCGACGAGGCCAATTCGGTATTGTGCACTTTCAGCCAGCGAATCGCGAAGAGATTCCTCGACATCTAGATCACGTTCGTAAGCTTCTGGAGCTTCGATGATGAAGATAGCAATGATCATTTTCTCAACCCCGATTATGAACGCCACGCAGTCGAAGTTTACATCGAGGTCGCACGAGGGCACATCTGCAGGAAACAAAATCGTTAGCTCCAACGAATCTCAACAACTGTTTCGCTGCGCTGATGGTGCAAGCAAATATGGCGGATGCTCCACTACACATGGGAAGTCGAATGTATCCAGGCATCGTGATGTCCGTGTCTTATCGCTCCTCGAAGACATTCGCTGACATTTTGACACGGCGGATCGGACTGTACTTGAATTACTACGTCTGTGTTGAGATTACATACATGTCGTCTCGTGAGATGAGGAGAGGAAGCTCTGGAAGGCGCACGTTCCACCTTACCTTACGTCAGCCCAGGAGCCGCTAGTAGACTTTAATATTGGCCTTCATTCCGGACGGGCTTCGGCAAAGCAATCTTTGCGTACTTATGTAGAAGATTGCACCTTGCAATCACATACGGCCACAGGCGAATGAAAGCTCGGAACCCCGTCCGCTCTTCCAAAGATAACCATTCGACCGCGAGATTAGTATTGCCGTGGGTGACCAGGCGAGAATCCCTCGTGCTGTATGTTTTTGTCATTTTTCTTTTGCTACCTCGAATGCACCCAGCGTCTTCGCACATCGGAGTGCTATCTCCACGGCTGCGATCACTACTCTTGCGTTGTCTGGCTGGCTGATTCTATAATCTTGGCTAGGATCCTTGCGAAGACATAATGTTTCGCTGTGGAAAGGCGCTTTATTTTTTTAGTGACTGCGCATGGAAGGGTAGCCGTCAAAGGACATGTTCCATAGGCATAGCATTGCGAGTTACGGTTTGCTCATTTCCTTGCATCTTGTTCGGCGACAGCTTTGGTAGTGAAGAATGAACACAGTGTTCGTGATCCTCGTCATTTTCGCCAGCTTCTATGTCCCATGTCTGGCTCATATCAACCTCCATCATCACTGTATGATGTGTATATTCTCTTGAAGCTTTCCACGATCCTCTAGGCTTTGAGCAATCCCTCCTTCTCCAAATACTTGGTGATAATGACAACAGCCTCCTCAACACTTGTCTTCTCTGAGTGGATGTGGATTTCTGGGTTCTCCGGTGCCTCATATGGAGCACTGATGCCCGTGAACTCTTTAATCTCACCAGCCTCAGCCTTCTTGTAGAGACCCTTTGGATCCCGTTTCTTGGCCTCCTCAATTGGTACGTCCACGAAGACCTCGATAAAGGGAAGTGGCGAGTCGGTGTTCTTCGTATCGGCATGAAGCTCACGTGCGAGCTGACGATCGGCTTTGTAAGGCGAGATGAAGGAGGTGAGGGCGATTGTTGTGGAGTCCGCGAAGAGTTTGGCGACCTGCAGATCGATTAGCTCCAAACCCAACATCCTGTTTTGCAACGTAAAGTATACCTCTGCAATCCGTCTGATGTTCTCCTCGCGATCTTTTGGCGAGAAGCCAAGATCTTTATTCAGGCCAAATCGCACATTGTCGCCATCCAGTCTGTATGCTTGGACACCAAGATGGAGAAGATGTTGTTCCAAAGCAGTCGCAATTGTTGACTTGCCAGACGCAGAGAGTCCCGTGAACCAGACGGTTGCGCCCTTCTGTTTCCTCAATTCGCTGCGCTCCTGTCGCGTGAGGCCTGCATGCCATGTGATGTTGCTAGCAAGTCCGTTAGACTCGCTCCCAAATGCTACACATCCATCCATTGGCGTGAGAAGATGAACCATTCACTCACGTCGCCATATCGCTCTATCAGTGGCTGCAGATCTGTCTTCTTGCGTCGTTCGAATATTCCACGTCAGAATTGGCGGAGGGAAAAGTCAAAAGGAAAGAAACGCGGTGTGCTACGTGGACTGCGGGGCCAAATCCGCGAGTTGTACATTGCCGTACTAGGTACCTGCAGCGGGCGGGGCAGAAAGCCACGTGCGATGGCCTGTGCTTACAGTACAGCGCTCGGCCGTGTCTCTCACATGTCAGAGCTCTGGTTCTGACTTAGCTACTCGAAACGTTTCTACCGTTTAGGTTCGATACACAGATAGATGGGCGAATGATTGAAAGAGAAACTGCGTGAACGTTGCTCGCAACGACATGCGCCGGTACACCTTCACACCCTTGGACATCTCGCCAGTCGCTTTCATAGCTCAGCTTCTGGCTCGAAATGCGGCTTCTACCGCGAGTCTCCGGGAAAAATTTATTGCCCTGCAGTCGACCATTGGGAGAACTCGGAGTCTTCCACTAGGCGAGCGACTCGCACCTGCTGTTTCCCTGCCCTGTAGCCTGTGCTTGTCTCGTATGCGAACGGAAAGACGAATGAAAAGCACGCAAATATTCTGACCTCTCAAAATGCCTCGATCTGGGTCAAAGGCTCTGCAGCATACTGGTGTTTTATCGCAAGGCCCATCACGCTCAACCCTGCATTAGTAGCCTCTTTGGGAAGTCGGGTGAGATGAAGAGCAAGCGCGTCCTGCGCGACGCTAACTAGCACCCTGAAAGCTTATTCGCCCTCGCGACTATCTTTCCGTCAACGCAGATATGTCATTTGGCTGCAACAATATGAATCTAGACCTACTGGCCAGCCAGGCCCTTATTCACTGCGACCTCAGACCAATCCGACCAAGAATCCTCCCGCGGAATCTCCCCTCACCTCATCCACATGCACTTACAGAACTTCCGCAGCATTCGCATTCTGCATCTCTTTCGAACCAGGCCGAGAAGAAGAAGCGACCGGCGCCAACGACATGCCGCCTCTCGAACAGATCATTTGGGAAGCCAAGCACCGACCGACAAGTCTTAAACACGCGCGCCATCCTTCTACCACTATCGATGCGAACGGGTGTGTTGTTCAGAAAGGATTCATCATACCCAGTCGCACGTCTTCCTTTGACTCGCGGATCTCAACAGGCTCCTCAGCAATCGCAGAGGATCCAGGAACACCAGCTTCACCGATGGAGCAAGCCCCTCCTGGGTTTAATAGGCCAACGGGCTCTCTGGTAGACGCTCCTGAGTTAGAAGTGCTCCGACGCTCAAGTGCCTCGCCGCAGCGCAGTTGGGGTTACTACAGCGGATCCAAGATCTATGGAGATCGTCCACTGCTGGACAGGCGCCAAACCTGGCAAGCCGAACCATCCAGTCGCTGGGCGGATGCAGACCTGGCAGATCCAGCGTGCAAGTTTCGTACAGCCCACGTACCACGGTCGCAATTGAGCTTTCATCCGCTTGAAACTAGAAAGGGCCAGTCTGCCATGCGCCGGGTGAAGAGCGAGCAGGTCCATATCCAGCATTTAAAGGGAAGATATAAGAGCCAGAAGCATTTGACGGATAAGGTACCGAGGGTGGTTCAGAAGAAGGACGTAGGGATTGTAGCTCAAGAAGACGCGGAGAATGCAATCGCCTCGGACAGCGACGACGATGAGGATGACGATGATGGCGCACTGACGATGGGTGGTATTGCCGCTCAGCGCAAGAGAGCAGACTATGCCACGCGTCGCGCCAGAAGCGATGAGCTCGCCGCTGTGCGCGTCCAGCAGCAGCAGCAGCAGCAGCAGACCCACGAGCGTGCCTCTCAGCTCACACAACAGTTGCAAGTCCTGAAGATATGCTCTCCCGGCCAGGCAGAGAGCGCAATAGAGTCAGACGACGAAGACGATGCCGAGGCTTTACCTTCTGGCGACCCTATCAAGGCGGCCCTCAATCTTGCTCAAGACCACAAACCACTCAACACAAACATCGCCGAAGTCCCGCATGAACTGGAAGACCAGCCTCGCAAGCCATGTGTTTGCTTTGAGATTGAGCCACCTGCGACTGATTCTCGCGTCAGAGGATTGGAGGACGGTGTCACGACTCTGGAGACTCCGAGAGAAATCAAGTGCTTCGATCGGCTTTCTCTGGTCCCGACACGTCCTCTGAGACCATCAAAGAGCCAGCCAAATCCAACCAAAGGCGTTCTGAAGAAGCAAAACGCGTCCAAATCAGCAGGCAATAGCCCGCCAAAGCATGTCGTCACTGCTGTTAGACGCAGCAGCACAAAGGACATGGTTACCCATGCCGCAGATGCAAATTCGGTTCGGTTCTCAAAGACTTGACCATCTGAGATCTCTGTTCGAGTTGTGATTGCCAAAAATGGACCACCAGGAATTTTCCATTTGGAAAGAGCGATAGTATCGACAGAGAGTACCAACCCTATCCAGCATTTCGTGGGCAGAACTGTCCCGACAGCATCAGTACTTGGGACATCAGCCAACATTAATGAGACGGAGACATGATATGCATGGGCATCTGGAAGGGCGTAATGTGGCGTTGGCAGTCCCTGACTTTTGCATTTATGGAACTGTTGAAGACCGGTAGTATGGAAGGAAGCCGAAGGATCCGGAATCATACCTATGCATTTCGGCACGAGGTAAACTCTATTCAGCCTTTATATGCTCCAGCATTGTCTTTATAGTACTTGCTGGGCGCGAATGGCATTTTCGTCACGACCGCTTTTCTTTTCTTGCCTCTCACTACCACTTGCACTTCCGTTCCAGATTTATGCATGCCGTCTTTTATGTAGCCCATTGCAATGTTCTTCTTCAACGTCGGACTGGGAGATCCGGATGTGATTTTTCCGATATTGTTGCCGTTTTCGTCCACGATTTCGGCTCCTTCACGTGCTGGTGCCCCTTCGACAATGAAACCTACTCTGCGCCGCGAAACTCCCACGCCGCCTTTGGAGACGGGCGTGAGTTGTGGAATGATGGTTTCTGCGCCGTTGAAGCTAGCTAGCTCGCCCGACCGGCGAGATTTGGCGACGATCCAGGTGAGACCTCCTTCGACTGGTGTGGTTGTGTCGTCCAAATCGTGACCGTATAAGCACATGCCTGCTTCTAAGCGCAGACTATCTCGTGCACCGAGACCGGCAAAGCGCAGCTTGTCTGGGCCAGCGGTGTTGAAGAGAAGTTTGGTGACGTCTACAATTTGCGAAGGATGGATGGAAAGCTCGAAACCGTCTTCGCCGGTGTAGCCTCCTCTGCTGGCAACGATAGGCAAGGATTCTCCCGAAGGAAGATTGAGGGTGATGTATTTCATGTTGCCGAAGTACCATTTGTCCACGTCGACTTTGCAGGTTTCTGCTAGGACAGATTGAAGGATTCCGCCGGAGAGAGGGCCTTGAAGAGCGATAAGGCCGTATGGTTGGCCGTCACTTTCGAGGTGTCGCAGATGAGCTACAGGATTGATGGTGTTGTCCCAGTTTTGAATGCCGGCAGATAGGAAGTTGTAGTCCTTTTCTCTACATCCTGCGTTCGTGACGAGGTAGAAGAGATGCTTGGGTCCTGCTTCAAGCCGAGTGATCAAGCAGTCGTCCACGATCCCACCAGTGGGATGGAGCAGTGCGGAAAGCGAGGACTGGCCGGGCTGCATCTCCTTGAGCCCAGCTGGAGTGACGGATTCCAGAAAAGCCTCAGCGCCTGGGCCCTCGATGTGATATTGCACCATGTGACCAACATCAAATATCGAGGCTTTCTCTCGAGTCCAGTTGTGGCTTTCCCCGACTGACAGGTCAGAGTATGTCACGGGCATGGAGTAGCCACCGAATGGCACCATTTTAGCGCCATTCTGTAGATGAAGTTCGTATAAAGCGGTGCGCCCTGGGTTCTCCTCCGTAAAGAATTTCGGGGCAGGCGTGGCATTGGAGCTTTGTGCCCGCTTCTGTTGGACAAATGATGTGTCGAAGAACGTCCTGGCTTTGACTTCATGTTTTGGATGCCTGAATGGCTTGGAAGACATCCGTCTCGTACAGACTGCCGGCGTGATTGGCTGTCGAATTGACCAAGAGTTCTTCAATGTTATTCGCAACGGGGAAGCAACCCGTGGGATGGTCCAAGTAGGTGTCGCCATGATGACGGCTACCTTTCCTGTCTCACTTCAAAGCATGTGAAGATGAGCAGGAAGAGAAAATTTCGAGGGAGGAAACTCAGGTCGATCTGCTTATCTTGATGCGGAAGAGGGGGAAAGAAATAGTACCCGGTTCGGAGGCCGGAGAGAGGTGAGGTTCATGCCAGCCCCACTTTTTCGAGCTATGGCCAGCGTCCGCGGTGCTTCTAATGCCTGCATCGAGTAACAGGATACATGAACAGCCAACACGCGGAGGCCTACCCGATCATACAGCTCCATCTCGTCACCAACTCTCTATCCGCATAGTGGGACTTGGCGCTGCAAGATGCCACCGCAGACCTTCTTCCTCGTATCGCTGCCCACCTCGATATCTCCCTCCGGCGAACGAGATGAAGCTCTGACCGCATTACGTGCTGGTGTCTCCAACGACCAGGGCACCACATATCCCTTCGCGATTCCCGAATTCAAGGTCGGCACACTTGATGGCCTGGTACAGCAGGCAGATGAGCTGGCCAAGCTAGATGCTGGGTGCCGAGGTGTTGTGGACAAGGTGGCAGACTCGTTACGATCACTGCTAGACGGAGACGAGGAGAAGTTGCAAGAGCAGAAGGTTGTGAGCGACAGTACGTGCCAGGGCGTCGAGACCTAATCACAGGATTTCATGAGCTGAGACGATTTTGCAGAGCCTGTGGAAAACTACCTCCAATCCTTCCAGTGGAACAAAGTGAAATATCGCGCGGACAAACCCATTTCTGAGCTCATCGATACCCTTCAAAAGGAGGTTGCTGCTGTGGACAACGACGTCAAGGCAAAGTTCAACCAGTACAATGCCACGAAGACCAACCTCGCCTCTGTACAGCGCAGTCATACCGGCAACCTCTCGCAGAAGTCCCTATCTGCTATTGTAAACCCCGATGCTGTCCTGAAACCGGACGATTCAGAGTATCTGCAACAGCATCTCGTCGCCGTTCCGAACACCCTTAACAAAGATTTCCTCAAGACTTACGAGTCGATAGCGCCCATGGTAGTCCCGCGATCGGCGCAGCTACTTGCCAAAGACGATGAGTTCCAGCTTTACGTGGTGACAGTGTTCAAGAAACATAGCGCAGAGTTTGTGCACAAGGCCAGAGAGCACAGATGGACGCCGCGAGACATCGAGTTTACCGAGGGTGGCAGAGAAGCGGAGGAGCAAGAGTTGAAGAAATTGGAGAAGGAGGAGAGGAGGATATGGGGCGAGGCGCTGCGTCTGGGCAGGGCGGGCTACAGCGATGCAGTAATGGGCTGGATACACGTTCTTACGTTGCGAGTGTTTGTGGAGACGGTACTTCGATACGGACTTCCACTGGCATTTGTCTGCGGACTGGTCAAGGTAGGGTTCTTCAACAGCGCTGAAACCTTTTACGTACTGACTCTCTTCGTAGACGGATCCTAAGCGCGCGAAAAAGGCCAAGGCCTCTCTCGACTCTCGCTTTTCAGACCTGGGAGGCAACGCGCTGAGCAAGGACAAAAAGGGACGCCCAAAGCAAGATGATAGCCATACGCAACAGGAAATGGCCGGCGCGGGTCTTGGTGGCGACACTGGGTACGAACCGTATGTATTCTATGAGTTCGAGATAATATAGCGCCACGCAAAGAGGGTGTGTAGCCCTCATAATGCCACAATCTGAAGCTACAGAGCATTCTGGGCCTTCCGAGAAGAGGGGGAGTATCACGTGCAGTCGTGCCAAGCTAAGAGACTCAGCTGCGCAGCCATCATCTGAGTCACTGCATGTGACAATATCTGGCACCTGGGAGAGTGTGCTCGTACCCACCAGGACTCTGCACACTGAGCGTCGACCAAGACGGGATAGCTAGCCGTGGGTTGTCGTCACCTTCAAGTAACAATGCGTACCACACGAGGAAGCACAGCAGAGTGGAAATCGGTATCTGAACACTTGGTGCTTGTGAATCATAAGGTATGCAAGTCTCCATAACCCGATCGACGGGCTGAACCACACAGCCACAGCTGAGAACAGCCGCGCTGCGGCACAGCGGTTTCGCGCGTTGTCCTCGGCAGAGATCGGGGTTGCGGGTTTCCCGTTTTGGGGGCAGCTGAATCCTTCACACCACCACAGAGCACCATCCCAGCGGCTAGTTGTTGGACTGCAGCGCCGCCTGGAACAAACAATCCAGCCGTCATTCTGGTCCTGTGGATCAGGCGACCGCCGCACAAAGAGCTTAGCGACAGGCCAGGATGGAGCGACGACATGGCGATACACGCACACGCGCTGCAGTTTGTCGCCCGCGACATGCTCCTATGCGCCTGCGAGGCGTGTTTTGTCCTGCTACAGTACCTGCTACAGTAGGTCTGTATGATGCCGAGCCAAATCAGTGATAAGAGGCGCGCCGCCATGTGGACAGAGCTGTATACAGCCGTCGGCTCGCAGCAAGACTCACCACGCGCCCTCCCGATCCAGTGCAGAGAGTACCCCCGACTACCGGCCACTATCGATCTTCAGCGAACTACATCCATCGTCATCCGGCCCCCACTCCAGCTCAAAGAGAGCCAGAGACCAAGACAAGAAAAAGAACGTCCAACTGCGGCTGGACTCTGCATGCTGCGGGAAGCCTACTAGTACAGTAGAGGCTGATTAAATTCTCGCCTGCCCTGTGCCTCTCTTTAGCTCACCTGCTGCTGTTCCTCTCTTGCTTCCTCAGATCCGTTGCTTAGACGCAGTACCTGTACCAGCGGTACTCGTACACAGAAAGACATTCCATAGTCAGGTGTCCCCCTACCCGAGCTCCCTGGTTGCCTAGACCGGTGTGCACTGCTCTGACACATCCTCCTTCTTCCTCTACTATCTCCGTCTATCTCCTACTTGCATTCCTCTCTGCCCCCCTCACAACACCACTTTTGCGCCGGAGACAATCATGGACGACTACTACGGAGACGACGCTTGGGACTACGGCCGCCAGCGTAGGCGACCTTCACCTCATCAAATGCGCAGCGACTATCGCAACGGCCTGCTCGATCCTGGCTTTGCTGCCTCGGGACTGTATCGCAGCCGATCGCAAGGTCATGGACCAGCGCCAACGATCAACGTCTATAATCGCATGTACCAGGATCAAGAAGGCTCACCGAGGCCACCCCCCTACCCACCTTCATCCTCATCGCAACGAGCGTCTCCACGAGCTTCACCAGACGGGCGTGGCCGAAGGCGATTCGGCGATACGCTGAGCGCCTCACTCTCAGACGAGCTCGCGGGCATGGCCCTCGAACATCGCCTACTATCACAATCTCGAGGCCGCTCCGACGCCTCAGGCTTCGACCGACCACCTCCCGGGATGGCAGAATGGCAACTAGCACAACGAGAAGCCGAGATCAGAGAAGCCTCGCGCGAACGAGCATGGAGAGACAAAGTGAAAGTCGAAGCGCTCGAAGCCGAGCTGAAAAAAGAAAGAGAAGACGAAGCCTCGCGGGGAAGGGAGAGACGCTGGAAAGAAAAGTACAAACTCGACGAGCTCGAAAGGGAAATGAAACGCGAAAAGGAGGAAGAAGCCGCTAAGGAGCGCGAGAAGCGTCTCATCGCGGAGCACGAACGCAAAACGCGAGACGCGGAGGAGAAGAAGAAAGCCGACGAGAAACGCGCTGTGGAAGAATGGGAACGCCGACAGCGCGAAGCGAAGGAAAAAGCTGCGGAAGAAGAACGCCGGATCAAAGAGAAGATGGAACGGGAAAAGAAGGAAGCAAGAGAGAAAGAAGAAGCGGCATACCGAGAATTCAAAGAGAAAGAACGCAAAGACAAGGAAGAGAAAGAAGCGCGGTATAACGATTTCCTACGAGAGCAGAAAGAACGCGAAGAGAAGAAGAAGCAAGAAGCGAAAGCAGCCGAGGAGAAATTCCAGGCGGAGATGAGGAAGAGACTGCAGAATTTGGGGTATTCGGAACGAACGATTGAGATCATGATTGACGAGGAGAAAACGAAAAAGTTTCGCGAGAGTATGGCGAGTAATAATCAGCACGAAGCGCATGGTGTTGTTGGTGGAGGACATCGAAGTCGTTCTTCGGGTCATCGATCCACGACGACTACTACGACCACAACGACGACGAATCCCCTCGGTGTGGGATTCAGGGCCCATAAAGCACCCGTCTACCCCAAAATCCACCGGAATTTCATCGCGCTCGAAACGTTGAAATACTATGGTTTACCTTGGGAATACGATCGAGTAAGGCCTCCCCCTCTCCTCCCCTCCCCTTCCTCCTCACGAAAACCTATAAGACTTCACTCCCCCCTTCCCCGTCTTGTACTGTTGAAACACTAACACACCGTACCCAACGTCTAGACGAATCCAGAATACATCATCATCCTGAGGGATATGGATTCCAAGGAGACGGATCTCCTCTTCGAGCACACGAAACGTCTGAATTCGGGGAGACTGTTGATTGAAGGGGCGAAGAGGAAAGAGCCGAGATTGGCGATGTATAGGCGGAGGAGTCGGAGTGGAGCGCCGAGGGAGGTTGGGGTTTTGAGATGGGGTTGATGGGGATATGTGGATACGTTCTGGCTCTCTCTGTCTGTTGTAGGAGGGAGGGAGGGTGGAAGGATACATGTGGATGTTTCTTGATTTCTTGCATACTGATGAGCTCTGTTGCTTGCCTTTTCTGTACATTTCAGATATCCACTTCTCGCGACGCGTTCAAGAGGGAAAATACAAAGATAGCCAGTCAGCAGCAGTATCGTGTACCGAACTTCAAGCGTAGAAATTCCATCATCATCACCATCAGTCTACATCCCTTCCTACCCGCCTTTCAACTCATCCAGAAAAGCAACCAACCTCTTCTTAATAATGACCCCCACCAACCTCCCCGAGCCTTCCTCGGTGATCATGAGGTACCGCAAGCCCAATTTCCCAAAAAGCTCAACGGCATACTCCATCGGCGCAGCAGCACAGACCGTCAACGGGGTGCGATCCACGAAATGACTCAGATCGAAATCCCCCTCTTCCGCATCGCCCAGTAATCGCACTTCGGCATCCGCGTCGTAGAGTTGGCCGAGATTGTCGAGACCGAAGTCCAGTTCGGCTTCCGCAATATAGCCCTGGAGCATACTTCCGTTCTGCACCAGAACGAGACCGGCGTCCATGAGGCCGCGAGATTTCAGTTGATTGAGTTTCTGGGAGAGGATCCGGCGGGAGACCTTATTGCTGCGGGGGACATCGACGGTGATTTCTTCCATGGTCTGTTTCGGGGGCATGAGATCTGCTACCAGGAAATTTTCCTTCTGCACCAGACCCATGGCGTGGGCCTCGTCGAGGAACGGATGGCCCAGGACGGCCTGTGCGAGATCGTAGACGCTGTCTTTTCCGAGCATGTCCGCGACCCATTTGGCTACGAGGATCGCGATCATGTGGGGCACAATGTATTCGATATCTCCCGTGAGTTCGAACATGATGACTACCAAAGAGATGGTCATGCGTGAGACCCCCGCGAGGAAAGCGGCGGCTCCTACCATGGCGAAGATACCGGGAGAGACGGAAGGAGAGACGGCTTGGCCGACAAGTCTGCCGAAGAAAGCTCCTGCGTCGAGGGAAGGGATGATGACACCGGAGGGGACTTTGACTCCGAAGGTGATGATTGTTAGGACGAGTTTGACCATTGTGCCGTAGAAGAGATGACCATAGTATCCAGACTTCTCTGACCGGGCTTCGTTTTGGCAGACCCAAGTGTTCAGGGAGGCGTCGTCTTTGCAGTCTATGAGGAGATGCTTGATGATGGCATCTCCAGGCTCTCGAGTCAGTGGGTTGGGATACTGGAGTAGAACAGTCGCCAGAACAACCAGGAAGACTTCGAAGACGGGATAGTTCTTGATGATGCTGAAGGTTCGGAACCACTTGGACCAAATGAAGTTGAGACGACAGAAGCATCCACCAAAGATGCCGCCGACGATCCCCAGGAAGACAAAGACAAGGCAGTCGATCGCGGAGAATAATGTATCGTGATTTGTCTCGAACAGCACGAGCTTTCCGGTGCCAGTGGGATTGAGGGCTTTTAAGACCATGGCTGCGAAGAGCGAACACAAGAACGCTCTCCACAGCACCTTGCGTGGAAAATAAGTCGAGATTTCTTCATAAGAAAAAAGTACGCCGCCAATGGGGGCTCCAAAGGCGACGCTGAGGCCAGCAGCGCACGCAGCAGATAGCATTTCTCTCATCTCCCGTCCATTCTCGCGGTATTTAGGGAAACAACTCGCGACCAGATAGCCGACGGAGGTCGAAATATGAACGAATGGTCCTTCCTTGCCAAGACACATGCCTGTAGCCACAGCGAAGACGGAACCGACCGCCTTCACAACCAAGACTTTGAAATCGAGGAAGTTGGGAATGACGAATCCCGAGAGAATCGTCTTGATCTCGGGAATGCCACTGCCAGCCGCCATATACATACTCTTGCCTCCGGCAGTGGGCGTCGCTGAGGCGTATTGATCCTTGTCTCCCGTCTCAGATGCAGCAACCGGCAGAGAGCGCTTGGTGAGCATGGTAACAAAGCCACTAACCAGACCATAGGCGAGAGCAAAGCCCAGATAGATCATGAACGAGCCACCAAAATCTGCAGACCAGGTCTTGAAACCAGGACATTCACTTCTCCTCGGAGTGGTACCGTAGAGAGGCACTTGGCCCTCGCAACATGCTTCTCGCGTCTTGAACGGGTTATGTGTGCAGTATCCAAGCTTCCAGTCGCTAACGGTAGCCTCTGAAACGTCCACCAGAAACGCCACGCAGGCAGTCAAAGTTCCAATGATGGCTGCTGCGATCCATCCTGATGCCTGATCGAATAGGTTCAGAGCTCTGTAGCGGAGGCCTCTCCTTTCACGGATGAATCGAAGTCGGTATGAGTCTTTCACCAGGTCGTGCAGCCAGTCGATCGTTGTGTAATCATTACTGCTCAAAGGATCAGATCATCATCCTGCCGGGCATTGATGAAAGCCTTACTATGGCAGTCTCTCGCCAACAGAGGCATCCGAGAGTTTCTGCTCCTCTTCGGTAACATGACTGCGGACTCTCGAGCTCGCTTCCTCTTCACGTGCAATCTTGCTCAGGCGGCGATTGTCCGGTGGTAACAAGGGTCTCAATTCGTCGGCCATAGCGCCCAGCACCCAGGTCGAAGCGAATGGAGAGCTTTCCGCGAACACTGCAGCGCTCTATATCTTCAGCTATCTGTAAACAGATGACGCGCATGAAGTTGATGTTTCGATGCCTTATCATCCCTGTCCCTGTATGGCAGGCGGTGAGATAGCGCCTAGCTGATTGGCCAAGCAATCGCAGCCACTGAAGTGAATGGTCTGCGATAATGTGCGATTGAAGATCTCGAACGCCATCGGCGACACACCCGAGGTTGGTCAAGTATCGCGTAAGCAGAGGCCATCGTACCTGTAACAAGTTCTACTTGGGAAGCACCAGGCACCCTGCCTCCAGAGGGTGGAGCGGGCTTTGGAGGTCTCTGCACTGTGGTGGTACGGTAGCCAAGGTCACGATACGAGGTGGCCATGGACGACATCTTGCAGCCGTGTCGACTCGATTGAAAGCTGATCGTCGAGGGTGCTTCTGGAACTTGTACATTGGCCTTCTCGGTTCGGATACTGGCGGCTGGGGCGGAATGCTGGGGTAATCGGTATCGATCTCACATGCAGATGCAATGCTTTGGTACGACAAGACGATGGTATCCATGGGGTAGATAAGACTACGGAACGGGCCGCTGCCAGTCCGAAAACGAAACCGAATCACATCTCCGTCCACCCCGATCTCCAGCGACAGAAGTATCGAACATACACTCACTCACACACTCACACTCTCTCACACACTCTCACACACTGACATACACACACACACACTCTCACACACTGACATACCAAACACACACTCTCACACACTGACATACACACACACACACACACACGAACATTGGACTTGTCGGCACCATCCAAGCCTCCCATCCGGATGGTATAGCCCGCGTGTCCTCGCAATGACACGGCCTGAGATGAGCCTCTTGGAGCTCACGCTCCTCTCGGACGTAGCAAAGAGGATGACTTCTCAACTGCTTCGAGCAAGATAGCGCCACTTACTGCAACGAGCATGTTTCTACATCCCAGGTCCGTCTCCACAGCTCCGGACAGCCGCTGGCTGCAAGACACCATCGTTGGAAGCTGTACGATGTCATGTTGCCCGCAGTCGCACGGCATGTCCATTGATGCATGCTGAAGCAGCAGCAGCAGCAGCTGAAGCAGCATAGATGGCATCAAGAACATGTCTCGGAGTGCAGCTGATTACTCACTCCTTCACATGCAGTGTCCGGCACCTCGATTGCCCCGCGGCGATGGCGCCAGTAGCGCAGCTGGCAACCTCAATCGATGGAGGTGAGAGGGAGGCAGCGTTTGCCCCGCTTCGGAACGTGAAGCCGGTACGTCGAACCGGTCCGTCAAACCGCAGGGGTCTACAGATCGACTCAGTCCATCACGCACACGCACACGCACACGCACAGCACAGCACGGTAAAGGCCGCTGGTGGCCGCGACTGCACTACTAACTGGCACTGGCACTACCACTGACACCCTCCGAACCCAAACCTCGTCGGCACAGGGCGAAGAGACTCAACGCCGTCTGGCCCATCAAGCCACCCTCCTCTCCCCCCCCTTCCTCCTCTCGCCATTGCGCACATTGTGTTGCACACGCTGCGCCTTTCCCCCCGTCGATTGCGACCTCCCCAACGGCATTCTGTGCGTTATAATGAGCCATTGCCTCACCGGTACTTACACCACTACCTCAAATGTCGTCGACTCATCACAGCGAGTCTACAGGCCTCCCAGCCAGGGCCGATTCACCCCTCTCCATGAGACACATCCCCATCACCTTCGACAACACCGACCCCGAAAAGAGCGCATTGCAGCTGGTACACGAATACTCCCCGCGATGGAAGAACGACGAGGGAGAGATCGTCTTCAAGCGCTTCACTGACGGAATCACAAACGTCCTGCTGAAGGCAACCAAGAGACGTCCGGGCAAGACAGACCTTGAGATAGATCAAGACGCAATACTTTTAAGAGCATACGGTAAAGGCACAGACGTGTTGATAGACCGCGAACGAGAACTTCGAGCCCACAACCTGCTGGCTGCTCGTGGGCTAGCACCTCCCTTGCTCGCGCGCTTTGACAATGGTTTCATGTACGGATTCATCGCTGGTCATGTGTGCAGTGCCCAAGACCTACGAACCCCGGAAATCTATCGCCAGGTTGCGAAACGCCTGGGCCAGTGGCATGCCAGCCTTCCCATCTCCGCAATCACTGCCACACCTGCCCTTGATGCCGAAGCGGACCAGAAGCACCTCGCGCCCAAAGATGGCCAGAGCACCCGCCCATACCCCAATACCTGGACTGTACTGCAGCAGTGGATCCATGCCCTTCCTGAAAGCACCGAAGAAGAACGAGTCCGCAAGACGGTGCTGAATGTCGAGCTTGCCGAAATGTCTGAGAGACTTGGTGACACGCCCGGTCTCGAAGATGGCAAGGGCTACGTCTTCGTCCATCATGATCTCCTCTGTGGCAACGTAATCGTCGATGAGAGTTCTACTGCTAAGGAGAAACCCGTCAGCTTTATTGACTATGAATACGCCACTCCGGGACCCGCCGCGTTCGATATCGCCAACCATCTAGCCGAGTGGGCCGGTTACGACTGCGAACACGACGCCGTACCCACCAAATCACAACGCCTCGAGTTCCTGAAAAACTATGTCGGCTCGTACAGATACCACTCCATCAACGATGAAGATACCATCGCCGTGGAGATTGATTTCCAAAAAGACATCGAACAGCTTTACGAGCAAGTCGAACTCTTCCGCGGCATGCCTGGATTTTTCTGGGGCGTGTGGGCTTTGATACAAGCTATGATTAGCCAAATCGACTTTGACTATACCACCTACGCGGAGCTGCGACTCGGCGAATACTGGGCCTGGAAGGAAGAAATGAACGGGGCGCGGAAGAGAGAAGGAAGGGAAATGCATGTCCGGGAAAAGAAGTGGCAGTCGGAGTAAGACGGGCGTGCTATGATCATGGGTTTTGGCTGTTCAACACACGCCCCGCGCAACTGCACAATGTCGATGTCGGTGTCGATGTCGAATGTGCATTTGGAAAGGCGCCAGAGCGGTACTTCCGAGAGGATCTTGTTTTTGCAAATAATTTCAAAGTCCCCGAAAGCGCGGCAAACGGGACGAAAATCTGCGAATGTGCCTCAATTTGATCTTTTCGGGTCGTTGTGATTCGTCTTCAACAGATACCAGATACCCGCCAATGGGAGAAAAGAAAAGATCATTGAGGGGAAGCTAGACGAATTACCCTCGCCTAGATTTCCTCAATCATTCTCTGCTTGATGCACACAAACACAGACACAAATCCCCCGTATCACATCCCAATTTTCACATCTTCCCATTGATATCATCATCCCCAGCAACCTCGCGCTGTTCCGCATGCGCAATGCCCCCGTCCTTACCCGATTTCACATTTTCCTCCTGAACCTGAACTTCACTCCCACTCTCCTCATCTCCAGGCGCAGGATCGACAGCCAAGGTGGAATCCTTCAACATATCAATCGGCTCGCGATAGGCCGGGACGTAATTCACCGCGAAGGCATAACTCCACGCCAGAACGAAGAAGGCCAGCGGGATGGCCATGGCCGTGGCGGTGCCGGAACGGTCAGCTGCTGCGCCGAGAGCTGGCGGGACGACCTATGGAAAGAAAATCGTCAATGATGATGATGATGATGAGAGAGAGAGGGGGGGTGGATTTCGTTTTCGTTTTCGTTTGGTTGGGGATCCTTACCGCTCCACCAGAAACACCGGCGATGATGAAGCCCGAACCTCGCTTGCTGTATTTCCCCAGGCCACGCATTCCGAGCGCGACGATGGTGGGGAAGCAGATGGATTCGAAGAAGAGGGTGAGGAAGAGCATGGCGATGCCCGTGCTGCCTCGTTGGGAAATGGATGGGGCGATGAAGACGATACACCTGCGACGGTCAGATTCGCCTTGCGTATCTCTTCTTGAGGATTGGGATGGACTTTACATTGTGAGATAGAACAGGAAGACCCATCTTGGTCGCGCGAATTTCATAATCGCGACACCGGCGAATCGGCCGAGTGCGAAGCCTCCCTGAGCGCCTGCGAGTAATTGAGCACCGAGTGCGGATGAGGTGTTGGGTCGAGTCTCTGTGGCGTAGTTGATGAAGAAGCTTGCTGAGATGTCTGAATCAGCTGTTTGGACTCTTCCCAAAAAAACGGGACTGGTATGTTGACTTACCAACTGCCACTTGAGCTCCGGTATAGCAAAACTGACAAAGCGAAGCATCGCTCAGTACTGACGCTCAACATGGATCAACAACATGGTATGCTCACCTGTGCAAATGCAGCATGGAAAAGTCGATGCTGCTTCCAGAACGGTTGATCATCAGTCCCAGCGTGCGTCTCCTCCGCCTGGAAAGCCATATCCGCATCCGTGATCTCCGGGATGGGAGAACTAGAAGCCAAAATCATCAGTGGCTTGCTCCCTCATTATTGAACCGCCAGCATCCTGCAAAGACTTACAAGTAAAACACAACAGCAAGCAGGAAACAGAAACATGCAATGGCCAGGTAAACCCACTGCACCGTCTTCAACGAATCCTTATCCGTACCCGTATTCTTAAAGAAGACATACGATCCGAGCACGGGCGCGACAACGGTCCCGATGCCATTGAAAGCTTGCGAGAAATTGATGCGCATCTCCGAGTACCGTGGGGGTCCACAGACGGTGATGTAGGGATTTGCTGCCGTTTCGAGAGATCCGAGGCCGTTACCGATGATGAAGATGGCCGCGCAGAAGCCTCCGAAGGAACGGTTGAGAATGCATGGCCAGGCTACTAGGGCTCCGATGGCGTAGAGACAGAGGCCCCAGATGAAGGTGGCCTTGTAGCCGTAGTGGCGTAGTAACCAGTTGGCGTGGCCGAGGGATGCCAGTGGGTAGGCGCCGAAGTACGCGGCTTGGAGACCGGAGGAACTGAGAAGATCCATATCAGCTTCCATTGCTATCTTTATTATTCCCAAAGCACCACTCACCGAGCTCTTGTGATGTCGAGCACGTTTTGGAAGTGCTTATTCAAGGTGTCAAGCAGGCCATACGAGAATCCCTAGCGAATGGTCAATGGTGGCTATCTCGCTCAGCGGCATCGAACTTACCCATAGAAAGAAAAGTATAGTCACCAGACATAGCGGGTCTGCTCATGGTCAGCATGTCTGCGGGGCAAATGGCGGATCCTACGAACAGATTGACTGCCTCAGCGTGAGTTGCGAAGCTGGTGTCCTGGCGGTATTTCCAGTCTTGAGGGCATGTCTCTTGAAGATCGCCATGATCAGTAATAGGCTAGCGATTAGCCACCTCGAAAGCGATGGAAGTGCCTTGCCTCTCTCCTAGAAATCAGGCGAAAGGATTCAAATGTCAATGAGAACAGCGGCGACTTAGTATAAAACATCCTGTAAAGATGAATAGCGCACCAAGCGCCTTCGACCCAACGCAAGGGACTATGCGCCTTCGAACGGCCTATTCGTGTGCTCGTAGACGCCATTTGTTGGCCTCACCGCAGTCCCGCAAATGGCATGACCCCAGAACGACATGGCAAGTCTCCTTCTCCACGCGGAGAAAGGAACTAGTCAGGGTACATCACAGGATAGCGTAGCATCGCGTGTCTGGTGCATGTGGGGTAGACTAGGTCGGGAGAATGATACACGAGAGGTGCCGATCACAGATGGCAGCGGATTGGATGTTGGAAGGTCTGTGTTTTCGTCCTGAAGCATGGAATAATCCTGGAACAATCTTTGCACGTGTTTCTGTCTGCTCAAGGTTTCTGCTTGCCGTAGTCGGCGTCCGAAACGTGGTTCGGGTCCGGGTCATAGATGTGCAGTTCGGATTCTTTCTCAGGCCAAGAGCAAGAGGTGTATAGCGAGGCCGTCTAGCAGTACCTGTGCAAGGCGACTAATGCTCAATCCGTCGCCCTCGAACTCCATGTCCCCCCAGCGGGCGAAGGACACCCTGTACCCTGGGGATTCTATCGGCACTTTGGCGACCAAGCTCTATCCTTGGCAAATTGACAGTGGCGGGAAGAACGCTTGCCGACAAGTCGCGCACATAGACAACACCACCAAAGCGTCCTGTCATCCTAACCGTCTCCTCGTGGCCGCCGGCGCTTCTCCCTCATTCGCAATACCAGAGACAGCATCCATCACCAACTCCCTCAACTCCCGCTGTCCCTCTTCCGTCTGGAAATCAGGCCGAGAAGCAAGCTCTTCAATCCTGCGCCTGAATTCCGGATCGGGCTCCTCGCCAGCATCTCCCGCCGGCATCGTTCCAACATTGAGCTGAAGACCATTAGGTAAGGGAGGCGGAGGGTGAACTTGCCCGCCGCCATTCTGCTGTGCCGAAGCACCTGAAGACGAAGCCGCACTCTGAACGCCTCCCGCCGCAGTCTCCCTCAGAAAAGCAGCAATCGCGGGCTGCTCGTCCGCATCATCCAATTTCTCCGCCGCGGTCTGCCCTTCATCATTCTTCCTGTGCAGATCCGTTCCCAGAGCCAGAAGGAGCTGTGCCATGCGCACTTCTTCGACGCTGAAGAGGGCAGTCTCACCGTCCTCATCCGTGATGTTGGGGTCCACGTTGTAGTCATTGATCAAAGCTCTCAGGAGATCTTCATGGCCGTAAGACGCAGCTGCGTGTACTAAACTGTATCCGTGTGCGTCCTTTTGAGAGGCAAGATGTGGATGTGCCTCGAGCTGACTCTGTACCGCAGATGGCGAGTCTGCTGCCAGGTTGAGTAGTCGGTCGATCGTGGGGACTTGGGCCATTTCGTAAAGCGAGGCCAAAAGACTGCAATGTACTACTCTAGCAACCTAAGGGATGTTGTAGGCTTGTAAAATATGCTTCCACATGTGTCAGTAACGAAAAGTATAGGGCTGGGACGAGCTGAGCTCTCGACATAAGTCGTGGTGTCAGATTCCAGTAGCGCTTCACCACGGTCACGTAGATGACATGCGATTCTATAGGGCTTCGTAGAGCCCGGGACCTATATAACCCATCTACATCATCCAAGGACCTCAAGCATCCCGCAAAGCTCAAGCACTTTCTTTCTCCGCCTTCTGATGGACTCTAACCTGCCTCAACGCCCTTTTCATCCCTTCCAATTTCGCTCGCTCCCTTACAATGCTCTCCTTAGCCAATCTTCTTAACATCTCCCGTCCACTGACAACATGTTCATCCTGCCATGCAGCCAATTCACTCGCAATTGTCTGTTGCGTGTATCTCAACTCACAACCTAAGTTCTCAAGCTCCTGTCGGGCCTTCGCCGCTTTATCCCAAGCGTCCAGAGCAGCGGCTTTCTTCGCGTCTTCGAACAGTCCGATATTAGGGGTCCAGCGATTCGAGCGGGAAAGAGAGCTCTTGCTCTTGTCGATGGCACGTTGCGCTTGCTGCATGGTACCGATCAGGTATGCTGGCCGATTCGTGGCGGTCTGGATGGCGGTGCTGGTTGATTGTATCGAATGAAGGCTGTAGTAAAATCCGGCTAAAGGGGAGGCCTCGCTGGGGATAAGCGTCTTGGAATACCGCTCAAAAGCCTGAATGTAAGCCTGTGGAACGAACTTCAGCGTAGACAATGCCGAGGATGCCAACGTTTGAGCTTCTGAGTAGTCATTATAGGCCATCCTGTGTCTGTTCGTAGCGCGGACAGTTTTCCTGATATTCTGCGTGACGCCGCGAAACTGCTGACAGGCAAAGGTAGCAAAGTTTTCCACTTCCTGTGTATCTGTGACGGGTTCGTAGTCATCTTTGACGTTCTCCACTCTGGCTTCTGCCTTCAGCTTGCTCCGCTCAGTCAACATGTCTGCATCAATCTCCGGCACCAGAAAAAATTCCCAGACCAGCTCGTGGGTTGAGAAGGTACCATGCGTAAGCAGGTTTCGAAAGAAGTTGTCAAGACGAATCTGAATATCTCGCAAGACAGCTCTTGACGGCTTCGAGGGCACCAAGAAGGGAGACGTCAGATTGAAATGTTGTGGCAGCCAGCTCGCCGGGCATTCGGTAGCGAGCCACTTGGACAAGTTCTCGAAATCGGCTACAGATCGTCTGCAGGTAGTGACAGTAATGGACCCATTGGCGTTCGGCGCACCAGACTTTAACACCAGTCGCACCGTCGAGTCCTCGACGAAGAACGAGCGCACTATAGTCGTGATACGGTCTTCTTTCCCGGGTGGTGTGGAGAGCAAGACCAGATCATCGATGCGATTGCGAACATCGTCATCTTTTGCCAGCTCCACGGCTGTAAGTCCTCGCATATCTCTCAAAGTCATATCCACTCTTGGATCGCCGAAAAGAGCTCTGACAAGATCGGTGCGACCATACTTGCTGCCAACCATCAGAGGCGTGAAGCGCTTATCATTTGCAGCATTGACGTCCGAATCGCAATACCGCAGCATCTTGAGCGTGAGTGACATATCGTTGATGATATGTAAAAGCGTGTTGCCTTTCGCATCGACATGATCGTCCAGATGTAGTGGTTCGCCGTCTTCTTGCGTCTCCGTCGCCAAACTCAAAGCTTCTTGGACCATTATACGATACTTTTCATGATCGTACGACCTACAAAGTGCAAAGAGCGGTGTCTGTCCATTCTTGTCTTTTAATCGCCATGGCAGCTTCTTGCCAAACCTTCGTATCAGGGAAGGCTGATGGAAGAGGTAATGAGCGAAGCAACGACCCTTAGAATCTTGCATCTCGAAGTACCGGCGGAGCTGTTGCTCTGAGGAGTTCGTCTCAAGATAGCGGAGGATGTAGTTGGTTATAGGTTGATCTCCCGATTGGACAGCTGTGCTCAGAAGTGTCGAGCCTTCATTGTTCGTGTCTTGAAGAACGAAATCGACACGAAAATGGGCTGGCATACTCAGTAATAGCTTCAAAGCGCCCAGCTTTCCAGAATCTACGGTCATCATGAGAATTGAGTTACCGTCAGAATCTTGCGTCTGGGCGAGCTTATCAGCAGACAGATCGCTTTTGAAGCCAGCACTGATGTCAGAATCTATGCTCTTGTTGCGCGAGTGCGAGCGAGAGGAGTACGCTGAGGATGCTGACTGACTCCTTGGTAGAGAAGCCATGGAGACTCGTTTCTGAACTTTGACCTCAGATTGCTCAGGAGGCGGTGTAGGAGGTTTTTGAAAGGGGAACACGTGCTGCAGAGAGCCATTCATGGAGGCGAAGTCTTGCGCCAAGCTAGAGGTCTCCGCCTGTTTAACACCTCCGCTAGCAGAATGCTCGAGAGTATCGTCGCCAAAGACATGTTCCTCATCCGATGAATCAGGCTCGAGCGCAGTGGCTGACAATGCCTTGTCACCGTCATCTGAGTGAAGTGTCGGCTGTAATATGGCTTCAAGAGCCTGCGTATCTCCGGTCCTGGCAGCCTGCCAAAGAAGCCTGTTGTGTTTGCTCGCCTTTCGAAGAACACTTGATCCGCCAGAGATATGCGCCAGCACAGCTTCAAGTGTCGCCAGTGCATACCCATACTCTCCACTCTCTACCTCGTCGATGAAGATGAAGTAGCGCATGTACAGCAGCCGAGCATGCAAGTGCCGAACCCCGCTACGAATGACAACGACAAGGAGCATCGAAACCAGAATGTCGGCGTTGATGGTCATGGGAGAGGGACCGCCATTTTCAGAGGCCTCTTTCGCGCCCCCATTGGCTCCATCGGTCGGCTGCATGTCCGTGATAAGCTTTTGAGTAGTCAAGAGGATGTCAAGCATCTCCTGCGGGCTACTTGCTACGCCCATCTTTCTGAAAGCCTCGATGCCCTTGTTGAGCTGCACTGTGAGCGCGCGTTTGCCTTTGATGCCCTCTTCGATTGGAATACCAACTTGCGCCACATCAACATCGGACATTTTGCGGATTTTTGACTCTAGATCGGAGTCGTCTGGTCTCCTGATGGCGCATACTCGCGGAAAGAGATTGTGGTCGTGCACTTGCTCCGAAACGTATCGCTCAATCAGACGCTCGACTACCGGCCCAGTAAGCTCGGTGTTGGCACCCAGTAGCGAGAGCTGGTGCTTGTCGACGTTTTGGAAAAGATCGATAGCGGAGACTATGGCGGTCTCTAGAGAAGCGCGGAGTGATTGTTCTTCGGGCTCCAGCTCCAAGGCGGTGGGGTGGAAGGTCGAGCTCCCAGACAGTGACGATTTCAGGGACGATACAGAATCGCCGATTGATGGGCCTGAGAGTTGTGAACTGACTGATGATCTTCTTGACTTTGGCTTTGGTAAGGGCTTGTCGTTGGCGGATATGAACTCGCGAATGATCTTCTCCAGACCACTTTGCATCTGCCTGGAAATAAGGGGGAACTGTGCGAGGAGCTCTCCGAATGTCTTGATGTCTTTTTTCTTTGGACCAGCGATCCCAGATATTCCGTTGGCATCAGAGTCGCCCGATGCCTCGGCAAGTACTCTCTTGCGCTCTTTGCTCGGCTCGTCCGATATGACTGCTGGCACAATGGGGGTTGCCTGGTGGATCCCCATCAGCGGCTTGGAGATGTAGTAGACCAACCATTGTTGCCCATCTGACGCATCTGGATAGTAAATGATGTCGCTGAGCAATTGTGCCTGGTTGAGAGTCTTGAATCCTTTGTTGCTATACACGAAGGAGTCCTTGACCACTACTGTCCGCCCGTTGATTGTGGAGTACTGCTTCGCCTTGTTTTTGTTCTCGCGTGCATTCCCAGCATCTTTACCGTTCCCCGACAATGGAGGTCCTCCGCCTGGAACGCGAAGGACATGACTTGCTAGAAAGTCTTCGGTGCCCGCGAGGTCCGCGTAGAGGGTATTCGACTCGCGGTCTTTGCTGCGGATCAGAACTTCGGTGGTGGGAACGAGGAGGATGTGATGGCTGATCGGTTGACACTGTGCTGGCAACGCACTCCGGAAGAAGGCGCGCAAGTAGGGATTAAGTGGTTGCATTCAGGCGGTCGCCGGCCTCTCGTGCTGTTGGCGTCTCCATGCGATCGTTGCGCTTACGTGTGGAGGTGTTGGGACGTGCAGCGATTTTATGGGTCTGGAGCGAGACTGCTTTCCCCAAGATATGTGAGGTTCGTCGTGAGGATGAGCGATCGGCTGCAAGTTGTCGTTTGTTCTGTTCTGTGACAAACGTCAAGTCCAAAGATAGCTGCTCGGACGTTGTGAAGCTTTGGGCGCAATTAGTGAGATGTTCGCGCTAGACAACGTGCTCGGAAGGGTCCTGCCGCCCTAGGGCATCAGCACGTAGTCCGCTCCGCTTCGATCACAACACCGTCAGCATATGTGTCGGCACGGCAAATGTACTACATCATGCATTCGAACGAGACAAAGGAAAGGCAAACCAGTGAAGTACGTGATCGTTTAGTAGCATTACGCTAACTGGGTATGTCTGGGCCCTCATTCATGTCATCCACATCCGCGGGACTGCACTTCCTCGTTTTCAAGGGCGAGCATCGTGGCCGTCTGCGTCCCTAAACCCTTTTATGACTTCGCGGCTCCCGCTTTGATGAGCAAGATGTCACCGTCCTCCACCACATATTCCTTGCCTTTGGTCATGACTTTGCCCTTGGCTTTCACTGACGCTTCGTCGCCTTCCTCTCGCAAAGTGGTGTAGTTGTACACGACTGCTTGGATGAATGTCTTCTCGAAATCGCCGTGAATGACACCAGCAGCCTGTGGAGCCTTAGTGCCATTTCGGATAGTCCATTGCCGCACCTCGTCGGGGCCGGTTGTGAAAAACGAGCCCAAGTTCAATGCCTTTCGCATCGTGGTGACGATCTTGGGAAGAGCAGACTTGGTGCCGATCTTCTTGCATTCCTCCTCTGCCTCGGCCTCAGTCTCGAAGCGTGTGAGACGTTCCTCGAGGGACACGGAGATGGGAATGATTGGGTCGCCTGTAGCGTGCTCCTTGACCCACTCAGCAATCTTGGGCAAGTGCTTGTTCTTCTGTCGGATGTAATCCTTCTCACTGAGATTGACAAGATACACAACGGGCTTTGCGGACAGCAAGAAAAGCGGGTTGATGGTCTCTACCTGTAGGTTTGCTGCATTAGCCGATGCTCTTCTCAGTGATCATGAAAAGGGCGGTAGAGTAGGGCTTTCGATCAGATGGGACGTCTTATCATAACTCCTCGAAGCGTTGGTAAGGTGAGGGTTCTAAGAGCTGGGATTATAGAGATTTGATCTCTGATTCATCACGAGAGGGGGGATAGGGAGATGCTGGGATGTGTTAACATACCTCCTTGGGTGACCAGTCGCCCTTACGGACATCCTTGCCCGACTTCAACATCTCCAGGACTTTCTCGACGGTGGCCTGCTCTTCTTTCAACTTCTTCATCTCCAAGCTCTGCCCACCTCTTCGAGTCTGCTTGACAAGGTTCTCGTGCGCCTTCTCAACGAACTCGATGTCCTTGATTCGCAGCTCCTCGCTAATGATGTCCAAGTCGCGGATGGGGTCAACGTCACCCTCGACGTGTATGATCTCTGCATCATCGAAACATCGCACGACCTGGAAGACGGCATCCACTGCACGGATGTGAGATAAGAAGGCGTTCCCGAGACCAGCACCAGTCGACGCGCCTCGCGTAAGGCCGGCGATATCGTAGACTGTCAAGTTGGCCGGTACTTGCGACTTGGGCTTGTATTGCTGGCACAGCCAGTCGAAACGCTCATCGGGCACGATGACACGAGCCTCTTCGGGGTCGATTGTGGCATATGGAAAGTTGGCGGGGTTTCCGAGTGAGCACTTGGTGAGCGCTTGGAAGAACGTCGACTTTCCTACGTTCGCAAGTCCAACCTGTGCGAGGTTAGTGTCTGTATTGAACGCACGCGCAGAGCACGCACAGTGAAGCCGAACATACAATCCCACTTTTCAAGTTGTTACCAGGTCTTCCTGAGAGAATTCAGCTGACTGCTTCTTTGATCTACCAGTAGCGCAAAACATACCCAGCAAAACCTTCTCTTGCTTGACCTCCTTCTTTGGTGGCATCTTGCTCTTGTTCTTACTTGCGTATGTGCGGCGGGCTGGTGTTTCGATGCTGAGCCGGATGACTCGGGCCTCAATGCGCAGTGGCTTGGATCGTAACGCAGAGCCTGCTGCTTGTATGGAAAAGGGGGATTTGGAAAGAAAAAGTAGTGACGCAGAAAGAGTGGACGACACCTTGACCGAAGGTGTAACGACGACTATGGCCTGCCGTCGCAGAGTATGATGATGGGTATTGTTGGTGGGATGAACTGGGAGCAAGCTCTCGTCAAAATTTGCGGGCGGAGAAAGAGCTCGGACCGCCAAGAGATACGTCCTTGGTGCCTCAGGCCACGTAGACATCACATGCAATTCCTCTTGCAGCCGTCCTGATCAATCCTCCCTCTGGGTCGAACTTCCAACCCCACCACTCATATGCGAACATCGAATTTGTTCAATGGATTTGTTTCCATGGCTTTTCCCTACCTAAGCTTGCGTTTAAAGTCGCCATCTAATGCTGCTTTACCACTCCCGATTCTCCAGCTTGCGCAGTAATGCGTTTCTTGTAGTCCTTCACAGTACCCGGGAACTTCTCAACACCGCCGTTATCACAAATCCACAGGCTCGTACAGACAGTTTGCAACATGGTAACGTCGTGGGAGACCATCAGAACACCGCCTTGGAACTCCTTGAGTGCTGTCGACAATGCATCCATACCTTCGATATCGAGATGATTGGAAGGCTCATCCAGTACCAAGATGTGTGGATTTGTCAAGCCAAGACATGCAAATGCTACGCGAGACTTTTGACCACCAGACAAGAGACCCATCTTCTGCAGTCCAGTCATGCCTGTGATACCAAATGCTCCGAGATGCCGACGGTATTCCTCATCGGACTTGCCAGGATACTTGGCGGCCATGAAGCTTACGGCGCTTGTGTTCAGATCCAGCGCATCAACGTGATGCTGAGCAAAGAATCCAATACGCAGACGAGGATTCTGCGAGATGAGCCCCGAGCTAGGCTGAAGGGCGCCGATAAGCAATTTGAGGGCTGTGGTCTTTCCAGCACCGTTGGGCCCGACGATGCCGATCCGAGAGTCCAATTGCACGTCCAGATCGACTTTACTAAGGAGAACATTCTCCTTGCTGTACCCGAAGCTAACATTCGTCATTTGGATGATCGGTGGCGAAAGCTTCTCGACCTCGGGGAACTGGAAGTGCACGATGTACTCGCTCTCAGGAGCCTCAAGGACCGGCATCTTCTCCAACTTCTTGATTCGCGACTGTGCTTCCGAGGACTTTGCGGCATTGTAGCGGAACTTGTCGATGAATGCCTGGAGATGAGCTCTCTGAGCCATTTGGTTCTCATACTCCCGCTTGGCGGTCTTCCGTCGCTCTTCCTTGGTAGCGTAGAAAGAGTCGAAATTTGCGCTCTTGTAATAGTCCAGACGCTCCGAATGCTGGTGGATAATATCTGTGGCGACTTCATTGAGGAAGGCCCGGTCGTGAGACACGACAAGAACGGTGCTCTGATAATTTTGCAGATATTGTGAAAGGAAGGTAACAGACGGCACATCAAGCATATTGGCTGAAATATGGTTAGCTGGGGCTCTTTAGACGGACTTGGGGCTCTTACAAGGTTCATCGAGTAGCAGAAGATCTGGTTCGCAGAAGAGAGCTCTGGCCAAGGCCAAACGCATCCGCCAACCACCGGAGAAGGTCTTCGTGGCAAACTGCTGTCTTTCATGCGAGAATCCAAGACCGGCAAGAATACTGGCAGCCCGTGACTCAGCCTTGTCAGACTCCATCTCGGCAAGCTTCGACTGGACATCACTGAGTGTGATATCCAAGCCTTCTCGCTGCGTGTCCAGGCGCGCGGCGTCGGTCGAAGTATCAGCCATCGAAGCGCGCTCTGCCTCGAGCTCTGCGAGCTCCTTGCTGATTTTTCCCTGTTCTCTAAGCAGATGCTTCCGCCAGACATCGGCGTCGAGGACTGCTTGCAATGCCGGTGTATCATCGCCTGTAATTTCTTGCTCCACGTGTAGAATAGAAATGTGCGTGGGAATGGCCACCTCACGCTTACTGAGAGCCCTGAGTAGCGTGGATTTACCAATACCGTTCTGACCTACGAGACCATATCTGCGCCCATAGGCCAGTGTGAGGTTAGTATCAGACAAGATACGCTTGCCTCCAATGGAGATGTCGATGCCATCGACCTTGATGTCTTTACTCTTGGACTGCGCGTCTGAACCCAGCTGAAGTGGATTGACAGCCATGAAAAACTCTTCGTACGACTGTTGCTCGTCCGGCTGGTCAAGCAATCTTGAAGCTTCATACTCCACGGTCTTGAAGACCTTCTTGTCTTGCTTGGCGCGAAGCTTCCTCTCGGCCTTTTCCAGCTTCTTTTTGTCAACTCGTGATTCTACTTTCCTGGTGTTGGCCGACTCGAGGTCGACGCCACCGCCAGTGAGGCCCAGGGTAGAGGACACATTCCGTTGCGCGCCCACCTGAATAGTCTGGTCGAGTTTCTTTGCAGATGGCGCTTGCTGTCGCTTCTCGCCATCCACCCCGTTGTCATCGTTCAGGCGTGTGACAAATTTCTCGACCAGATTTTGAACCGACGTCTCATTTCCGCCCGACAGATCTCCAGACGCGGATAGGAGCAATTGAGTAATTGCTGCCGCTGCGTCCGCCAGAGGATCCCCGTCTGCACTGAATTGTCGAGCTGCATGGCTGAGGTACCCGGCGGCATAATCAACCACTACGGGGTCGACGTCCGGCAGCTGCGCTCGTATCTCAGCTTGCATATTGCCGCCTGGCCTCGCACGTGGCGGCTTGATAGAGGAGAAGGAACCTATTTGCTCTCAAACTTGTTGGAAGCGAATTGTGCCTTGGCAGCGTCCAGCGAGCTGTCCGCTGTCCTCTCTATCTCCGAGCTTGGCCGGCACCGCACGGATCGCGATGAAATTGTATGCAAATACCCTTTTGGCGGACGGGTGCTTGCGTCTGGGCAACGGAGTGGCGAGCAGATGACTTGATGAGACGAATGGCGGAATTCTCTTCTGCTTGTCTCCTTCTCAAACAAGGTACGGCCAAGCAGAACTTGCAAGGTTCTGCGCGGTATTCTGGAAAAGGAGTGAAGTCGGGAGGGCCAATAAGCAAGTCTCGGCCGTCTTCCAGCGGGAAACCGCGGGCTGAGAAAGTTCGTGGCGCACTAGCGCGCGGCTGGACCGACTAATCCCGTCTCAGCTTAGAGCCTCGGTCTTGGCTCCGCTCGCTTCCAGGTCCCATTACAGTAAGCCGCTTCAGAGTTTGAAAATGGATGGACGCGTCCATTTGACATCTACTTTTGCGTACCGTTTCACGCTGGCACGCCGTCTGGTGCCGACTTGAAGGACTGAGTCATCCTCACAGTTCTAACATGATCCGATGGGCTCAGCATTGAGAAGGCTGATATCTAGGCACGCAAAGTACTGATGGAGACTGCTGGCAGCTTCGATTGAGGCTTGGCAAGCTGAAAGGTATAAAACGCGCCCTCACTCGGAGTCACCACGAGGAAAGGCGGAGATGCCGATTGGCAGGAGGAATCGCTTCACCGGCGCGGTCCATGGTTGACTTCAATCCTGCCAACGCATTCTGCACCATCACGTGCTATCTGTCCCACCAACGTCTTTCAACGCGTGCCATCACGCTATCGAGATGTTATTCTTCGTGTGTGCGTGTGTGTGAGCTGCGTTACCGAGAGCGTTATCCCGACCAGAGTTACACCGGTGACCAAGCAAGCCAGACGCGACATGAATCTGGGGCGTTACGCGAATGCAAGGAACCTCGATAAATCTGGTTAGGCAGGGATCATGGATGCTTGGTTGGGTGAGATCTCCACCTGTGTTTCGTCCCGAGAGTGAGATCGTTACGCAGCAAACTCCTTGCTGTTGGTGGTTCTGCGAAAACAAATCGTCAACAGTATCACCTCGACGTTCACCGCAACACGGATGGCGCCAGCGAGAGCACAGGACGAGGCAAAGATGGCGAGCTCATCACGCTTGTCGCGTGCCACACGGCTGCGCTAAGATCGTCATATCGGCAGGCACAGGCGACCCTACGTAGAGAGACCCGGTCGGGCGCGCTTGGCGGCATTTAGTTCCCGTCGCGTCGATTCGGAGCAAGATGGGATACCCATCTGTTGATACACCAGCAACAACCTGGGACTATACCGGGCGTGCGATATGGCGATCCATGCACGTACTATGTGCTGCACAGCTGCACAGCGCTGGTGGACCAGAGACCCGGTTGACGGCACCGCGGTGTGAGGCTGCTAGAAGCGAATGCGTGCGTGACAGGGACGGCTCTCGTGAATCAGGATCGCGGGCAGTCAGCTTCACCACACAGCCCGTCCCTCTGCCATGTTTGGGTGCGCGCTTGCGGACCTTGAGGAGGACGTCCAACGTACCAGAGGCAGTCTGAGGCCCGGCGGAGTCGTCGCTGACGTCTCGTACAGGGCGTGAATTCAGGGGGAGCTGGGACTCCCCCGGGCAATTTGTTTGCGTCTGGCGGAATAGGCACGCCGCAGCGGGTCGGCCTGGCCAGGCAGTACGTTACGTAGCGTAGCGCAGCGCAGCGCAGCAGTGTGCGAGACTGTGATACAGCAAAAGGCTTGCTAGGGCATCAAGCCCAAGGCACTGCACAGCGCAGAAATGCGTCCAAGCGTAGATAGACGACGAGCCGGGCAGTGACCGTGCCGTGGCGACGACGGCGGTAAAGGCGCCCTGGCAGGAGGAGCCGCGAGCGCATTCGGTAATTGCTGTAGTAGGTGTTGTCGTCCAGTGGTTAAGGTTGTGGTGAGGAAAGGCGTGGGCAGCCCGGATTCCGTTTATGGGGGGCATGGGTATGGGATGGGCATGGGCCCTGGGCATTTTGAGTGAGAGCTGGCGCACTTCAGCTCCCGAGCGCTTCCCTGCTGCTTCCACTCCCCCCTCCCACCTCATACATCGGGGAGGCAGCTGGATCTCTTCTCAGGCGCGCCACGGGCAAGCCTTCTCCCTCGTTGACGGCGTGTCCTACCCAGGCGTGTGGGCGACGACAGGTGAGCTTCCCGCAGCGTCTGTTCCACACCATGTGGACGCCCTCTGCGTCGCTCATCCACTTGCATTGGCCGGCGCTGGGGACGGGACTGCTCCGACGACGACTGTGAGGACATGAAAACCGTCTCCTCCATTGCCGCTGCCAGCTCTGTCACCGCACTGTCTGCCCTGGGCCTGGCACTCGCACGCCGCGAGAACGAGCGAGAGCACGACCCACCCGCGAGGAATGAGGAGATGAGCACCACCGCGACCTTCGTCACCGCGCCCACCTCCTTCCACGACCACGACCACAATCACCACCACCACCACCACCACCACCACCAACACCACCACGTCCAACGCTACTCGACATTCGACCACTACTTCGCTCCGACATCGACATCCTCTCCGCGCCTGCCCGACGCACCGGACCATGTGCGCACTCTCGCAAGCAGCGGCGTCAGCAACCAAGTTCCCCAGAAGCAGAAGAGACGAAGCAGTCTGATACCAGGCGCGGGTGTCGGTGCACACATGGAGCCATCTCGCCGCGGGGCAGACGACGAGAGCGGCGGCGGGCAGTCGCGTATGTCGAGTAGCGGCCGGCAACCGACATCCACGCCAACTACATGGTTGCGTCGTTTGTCCAGCGGTATGTCCACATCGCGCGACTCCAGTAGTAAAGCTTCCTCTCGACCGAGTTCCGCCGCGTACACCAATGGATCCGGTGCCGCCTCAACGATGCCCATCTACCCAGACAGCACTCCCCCCTCCTCTACACTTCCGCGTAATAGACTCGTCAAGCGCACCGCCTCGCTGCACAGCGCCAATGGCTCACCCTCCGGCTCCAAGCTACCTGTCCCTACCTTTCGAAGGCCTGTTACCAGCTATCAGCGCTCCGCCACCCTTCAAGAGCGTCTCGGGAGCTCTGATCCCAACGGAGGCAGCGCTCAACATGCACATGGTGGTCAATGGCGGCACTATTTCACACCACGAGTATCGGGCGGTGAGATTGTGATGTCGATCAGACGTCGTTCCACAGGCATTCCAAATCCGATCAAGCGTGTGTATCCGGATCGAAGATATACGCCCATGCTGGTTTCGGCAAGGGATATGACCGTGCCGGCCAGGGTAGAGATTGACAATGAATTGAGTGACCAAGAAGAAAGTTCTAGGACAGCGGGCCCTGTTGCGATACCGAGTACTGCCTCATCGCCATTTCCACCCCAGGCAATGCACTTCGAGGGAAGTGATGCACCACGACGTTCCTTCTCGATCCCGAACATGTTTCAGCCGCAGTCGGCCCGGCAAAGACCGTCATCGAGCAGAGGAAAACCGCGAACGTTACGCAAAGCTAGGCCGAGAGTGTTCTCAGAACCCCAAGCTCCCATGGGAAACATCTTCAGTACGGTCTCTGGACATGAGTCTGAGCGACCCGCCAAGCGCCGCGACCTGACCGACCCCCAACATTCGCAACGCAGCATCTACTCATCGTCGAGCAACGGACCCCGCGGGGCCGCAGAACGTCCACAGGAGATAGATCTCGACTTGAATACTGAGCCGTCACCTTTGTATTTCACGCCAGACCACAGCCTATTCGTGCAGCCACTCTCACCAGCGCCGACATCTCCCCTCCACGATCAAGAGCGTCTGTCGTCTGCATCCCATTCCTCATCTTCAGCGCGCCCTCCTCGACTTTCCACCGCGCAGTCAGAGATTACCTCCACGATAGGCTCTGACAGTGAGTGTCGCTCGCTCGGCGACAAGAGCACCGACTATCAGAGTGACAATGCCTACGACTCGATCCAGACACGGACGACTCGGAGCAGCTCTGGCAGGAGAGGACCACACATCGAGACCATATTTGATGATTCTCCACCCGCATTCTCATCTGGGCGCAGTACGAAGCTGAGAGACTTCCTTGGTGATGGACAATTTGCTGGAGGAGAGCGACTCCGACACAGCACCATCGAAGAAGAGGAGAGCGTCGTCAGCACGCCTGTCCGCTCCGTCCGCAACAAGAGCGTCACATCTACACCCTCGGCGCGTCCGGGCGCTTCTCAAATGTTCTCGTCTTCGCCTCCAATGATGAGGACGATGCCCGATTCTGATGAAATCGATTGGGATGCTTCGGAAGACGAGAAGACTGACAGTGGGCTTGGCATCCGGGAGCCGCTGAACGTACGTCCTACCGCAACTACGTTGACAGACACATCACTACCATTTCGATTTGGCCCATCCCTCCGAAAATCGAACTCTCGCTCCGCCAATTCGACACCCCAGCGGAACGGCGCATTGCCAATGGAAAAGACAAATCTGTTTGATTGGTCGGAACAGCAGCCTAGTCCAAGCCATCCCAATCGCTCTCCACCCAGACCACGGACTGTTCACGGGAAGAAGGACCAAGACAGTCGCGGAAGTCGGCCAGCTGGTCGGCGTCCTACAAGCGGGATGCATGCTCGGAGTCACAGCGTACCTGTGGTCCCAGACCTGGACGGCAAGCGGCAGAATGTAGTTGCAAACAAATTCGGCACCTGGGGCGTGGGAAGTAAAGCCGTCACTGAGGACTGGAACGAAGACTTCGATTTCGATGAATCACCCCTGCCGGTTCATGTCAGGGACGAGGTGGACGGGAGGCGTATTGACAGCGGTCATGACATGTTCGTCCCCAAGTCCATCAGGGAGCAGCAGGAGAATGTGGTTGCAAACATTGGTCTTTTGAGGGAATGGGGCTTGCTGATCGAGGAGCTCAAAGAACTCAGGATAAGAGCAGTGGCCCTGGGGATGATGAACGGACAGCAAGCCAAAATCTGGCGCGAGGTTGATGCAATGATTGAACTGGCGGATCAAGAGACGGAAGAGCACACGTTGGAGCCGCGACGCTCGCCTCCCTCATCGCCCGGATTCGACTACAGCGCCTTCGAAGACACTCCGGTGCTCAATAAGACTAAGAACAGACGGTCTCAGTCATCTTCTGTTAAGACTCCGGAGATGGAGAAATTCCCCAACCTTGCCGCTTCTCCCCAGCATAGTTGGGCGGAAACTCCACAAGCAACACCCATAACGTCGCGCCCACGAAAAGATTCCGAGCTTGTGGCTCAGAGTGTGATTGCTGCGCTGCAATGCAAACGCAAGTCATCTGATCCGACGAGTCCTGAAGCCACAAGCGGTCGAAAGGTGCCATTCGACACGGCTACGCTCCGGCACATTGTGCCGTATGTGAACGGGCTCAAGCGGAAGGTCAAAGACGCCCTTCGCGAGACCGAGGGCCTTTATTCAAGCCCTCACAGGCGGACAACACCTCCCTCTCCCTGGCAGCGAGAAGAGACGAGCGGAGAGCCACGACTCCGCCACATGTTCAAGGAATCTTCCGGCGACCATCTCACCAGTTGGTTCCAGTCTCGGCGTGAGCGAGCGGCAACCGATAATGACGACAACGAGGTGGCAGGTGAGAAGAGAGGGCACATGTTGCATCGAGTGCAACGACTGAGCTTTCCATCATGAGCCTCTCGCACCACGATATTACGAAAGACTGCTCCCAGTGAGCTCCACAAGACCTGCTGAGTGTAAGGATTTTCCGCGTTTGTAATACCGTCGACTTGGAGCGACATTGGCCGATACCAGAACGTTCGCAGACGCAGGCATTTTGGCGGCGTTTGACAGCAAGGCGTTTCCAGAGCCTACCAAAAGTCAGCCTTTGATGTGGTATGGACGACACGGACGTCGCCCGTGAGGGTGCCACAGAGGCTTGTACCAACAGGGCGTTTTGGGACTTGACCTTTTTTTTTTACCTTCTCCTTGTTTTGATTCACGGTGTAGTGGGATGAAGAACAGCACAGACATTGGATATGAATGCAGTCACGACGACTTCAGCTTCGCCTCAGACAGTAGGGGATTGGTTGATTGGGACATGGAATGAAATGGAATGGATACTGCATAGCGCGGGAGGTAGGAAGTAGCTCTAGCATTTGGTACAGAAGAGCTTTGTGTTCAAGGGCAACAGAGTATTTGAGAAGCAGCCCATGTCCTTCCTCAGCTTCAGCTGTCATTTATTGCACCCCAGCGCAGCGATCTTTCGGGACTGGCGACCGACTAGGCTGATATTTGGCTCGACGCCACCGGTTGAATGACGATTTCTTGAATTGGCTGTCTGGACAGCTTCGAGCCTCTCCAAATGCAGTCCATAAGACAGCCTCAGCACAGGAGTCAAGAGCGAGAATTCGAAAGAATGCAGTCGGATTGAAACATATTGCACGATAGATACTCTGTACTCTCCGGCGGCCGGATGCCTGCTCACCGAACTCAGCGAGACCGCGACTTTTGGACGGGTCGGTGGTCCGTGAGGTGGGGCACGCGGGGCTTCAGGGACGGCGCTAGGAGGATTTGGTGGGATGTCGGATGTTTAGATTCTGTCCTCCCCAATTAATTCTTCCTCCTCCGCCGCTCTCACTTCCTCTCTTCTCCTACACCTCTTCCTCTTTCCACACATAACCCCCCTTCCTCCCATACAACAGAGCACGAAATCAGCAACCATGAGCGCCCCAGCTTCTCAGTACAAGGTGCGTCTCGCCGGCCTCGCTTTGCCCACCCCATTTGCATAACAAACACCTCCACACCTCCGACAGAAAAAACATTGAAGATGAGCGTGGACTGACAACACTTCCAGGTCGCCGACATCAACTTGGCGGCCTTTGGCCGTCGCGAGATCGAGCTCGCCGAGCAGGAAATGCCCGGTTTGATTGCCACTCGCACCAAGTACGCCCAGGAGCAGCCATTGAAGGGCGCCCGCATTGCCGGTTGCTTGCACATGAGTACGTTCTGCGCTGAAAACTTTGCTCCAGCTCGGAGTGAGGAAATGGAGGAAATCGGCACACGTGCTTACTCTCCCTCCGAACAGCCATTCAGACTGCCGTCCTGATCGAGACCCTCAGGGCCCTCGGCGCCGAGCTGACATGGACCTCGTGCAACATCTTCTCCACCCAGGACCACGCCGCTGCTGCCATCGCCGCCGGTGGCACTCCAGTCTTTGCCTGGAAGGGCGAGACCGAGGAGGAGTACCAGTGGTGCTTGGAGCAGCAGCTCAACGCTTTCCCATCCGGCAAGCCACTCAACCTCATCCTCGACGATGGCGGTGACCTCACTGCTCTCGTCCACACCAAGTACCCAGAGCTGCTCGAGGGCTGCTACGGTGTCTCCGAGGAGACCACCACTGGTGTCCACCACCTCTACAAGATGCTCAAGAACAAGGGCAAGCCTCACGGCCTCCTCGCACCCGCCATCAACGTCAACGACGCCGTCACAAAGAGCAAGTTCGACAACCTGTACGGCTGCAGAGAATCTCTCATCGACGGTATCAAGCGTGCCACCGATGTCATGATTGCTGGCAAGATCGCTGTCGTCGCCGGCTTCGGTGATGTCGGCAAGGGCTGCGCCCAGGCTCTTCACGGAATGGGTGCTCGCGTGCTCGTCACCGAGATCGACCCAATCAACGCCCTCCAGGCCGCTATCTCTGGCTATGAGGTCGTCACCATGGAGGAGGCTGCACCAATCTCTCAGATCTTTGTCACCACCACCGGTTGCCGAGACATCATTGTCGGCAAGCACTTCGAGGCCATGCGTGAGGACGCCATTGTTTGCAACATTGGCCACTTCGACATCGAAATCGACGTTGCCTGGCTGAAGAAGACGGCCAAGGAGGTCGTCAGCATCAAGCCTCAGGTTGATCGTTTCACCATGCCAAGCGGCAGGCACATCATCCTCCTCGCCGAGGGCCGTCTGGTCAACCTCGGCTGTGCTACCGGCCACAGCTCTTTCGTCATGTCCTGCTCGTTCACCAACCAGGTCCTCGCACAGATCATGTTGTACAAGGCAGGTGATAAGGAGTTCGCCAAGAAGTACATCGAGTTCGGCCGTGCTGTCGCCGATGACGAGGTCGACCTCCTCCAGAAGAAGAAGGAAGCTGAGCCCAAGAGCTCGGTCGAGCGTCTGCCAGTCGGCGTCTACACCATCCCCAAGATTCTCGACGAGCAAGTCGCCAAGCTCCACCTCGCCCACGTCAACGCGAAGCTCAGCAAGATGACCCCAGTGCAGGCAGAGTACATGTCTCTGCCAGTCGAGGGTCCTTTCAAGAGCGACATGTACCGATACTAGACGCCTACCCACCGATTTCTTGGGTAGCTTACGGAGTTTCATGACGTTACGGGGGATATTTCAACACCTGGCATGGGTTTAGCAAGATACCACAGTAGTTTGGGATTTGTCTTCAACGGCATCTTAAAAAGCATGGCGTGTGGCGTTCAACAACGGACACAGAAGTTTAGATCTAGCCTTGACACATTGGAGGCCAAAGTTGTCACTGATCTCAATTCAACGAAGAGGTCAGGCGTTTTGGCTGGATCTGACTAGAGTAGACCTCTTGCCGCGGAAGGGAGGAGACGTTGACAATAATGAAAGAAATATTTCGATGGAGGTGTGTGAGGTCTTTTCGTAACGAAGACCTTTATGCATTACTCACAACACACTTCTGCTACGATTTTTGCTTCCATTTTTCCCAGTCAGCCGTCTTGGCTGGCTCTCTACACCACTCTCGCCATCTGCATGGCACGTTGCGAGTGGCAATATTCTCTGGAACGCCATTTCACTCTTCGATGTCTACGAAGCTACGATGGATTGGAAGCTGCGCCATGAAGCGCTACCTCGATCACCCGCAGTGCTTTTCCACTCTGCCAACGTTGACTACGCGTTATACGGAATCTAGCCTTGCCAGACCTACGCGTCCTTCTAAACGGGACTTGGTAGATTTACCCGGAAAAGGCACGATGTATACCTACCTATATGATGAAGAGAGAGCGACGCTGTCGCCTTTCTCCGGCTTGACTTGACTTGCGCTTGACTTGACTTGACTTGCGCTTGCGCTTGCAGTGTGGGATCCAAGATGATGAGAATGCTTACTGGTCGCTGAGGTGGTTGCCATCCCTGCTCAGCAGAGTACTAGTATCATCGGCATGCTCGCACACGCACACGGCTCACGCTCACGCCTAGCTATGCCGCGCCTTCTTCTATGGCCCATCTCAAAGCTGGATGAAACCGCATCATAATCACTGACTGATCCTCCAGCCTATCCGGCTACATCTCCCACCTCGTCGCCCAAAACCTCACCAGCCTGCGGTTTGAATCGAGGGGGAACCTTGTTTATTGTTTATTTCTGAGTAGTGATGATGCTACTGGGGAGGGGAGGTTTTTGGATGGTGAGGAGGAGGAGCGATGATGGAAGGGGGCCAGTGTGGCGGATGGGAGGTGGGAGGGAGTGTGGCGAATGCCACGACGACTTTCCGGGAAGTGCGTCGGGGTGGTCGACGACGGGTGGTGGTCAGGCCTGTCTTGTTGTGAGTACGAGCTGGAGTTTGGGGGTGGGGTTGGTGGTGTTTGCTTATTTCCTCTTGGGGAGGGAAAGAGTTGATGGGTTGAGAGACAGGCAGTAGATGATGTGTTGTGAATGAGAGATGAATGACACATGTATGGAAAGTTTACTTGGAGGCACGGACCTTTGCGTCACATGTACGCCGAAATCGAACGGTCACGCGAAACCCCGTGCCAGTGGGGCCCAATAAAATCCCGAGAGAGCGAGGGTTCGACCCAGGAGAGCAAGAGAGAAAGAAGGCTCTTCATAAATGCGTCGCTGATCAAAGCACATGATGCAGTAGTAACAACCAACCCATCTCACGACCTCATTTCCCCTCCAAATCCCCTCTCTTCCCTCTTCTACTCTCCCACCCTTCATCACCCACGTACCCAGCAGACCCCACCCCAATCCAAAACGCCCGATCCCTCGACCTCGAGCCCCATGCCCAACCCTGTCCCCTCGAAATAGGGAGATGATACCATCGGAACGAAACGTACGCCTAGATAATAAAGGTAGTAAGTACTGGAAAAGCAAAAGAAGGGGGAAAGAGGGGGTGTGAGTTACCGTAACGATCCCAATCAAACTCCCCGCCAGGAGATCGAAACCGAAATGATAGTATTGGTGATATCGCGTGGAGCAGATGTAGACTGCTACTCCTACGGGTAGCAGAGCAGGGATGAGGAGGTAATTTGGTGGAGCGGCGGCTGCATTTCGGAGGGCAAGAGGATCATCCATCTCATCTTCATATTTCTGTCCCTGGCCGCGGTCTTGCGAATCCCCCGTGGCGCCATTCGCATGGAGAGGTAATAATTCCTGGTCCCAAGAAAGCCTCTCCTTCTTCGCTGTTCTGGAGTGCTGTGGCGGCAGAAAAGGGAACCCCACCGCAAACTTGGCGCAGAAGAACAGCGTGAGGTAGAGTAATCCACTCCAACTCCAACTCGCATGTCCACTGGGAAAACTGCGAAACCCATCATCCAACGACTTGCGATCCGTCGTCCCGCAAATGCCCGAATCCACCAAGGTCCACCTCATGGAAAGATCCTGGCCCCAGCCACCCACCACATGTTCCGCAAGAACATCCAGATCAGGTTGACACCTCGCCAAGAGACTCGGCCGCGGCTTCCCAAACATATTCTTCATGCCCTGCGTGATGAAGAAGGCAACGGCGACACTCAGACATAGCCCGGCGAGTCCTTTCTCTAATTCCCAGGCTTTGAGTCGCCAGATCTGTCCGCGAGATAGCCTCTTCCTCACCTGGCTGCCGGGTACCAGGAAGATGGTGATCGCTAGTATTAAGACTGCCGGGCAGAGGAGGGCGATGACCACGAGCATCCAGGTGGTGATTGTCTCTTCGATGTAGGGGTGGGAGATCTCGAGGTTGAGGAGGGAGAAGACTTGATGGACGGGTGAGACGAAGGAGAGGGCTCCCCCGGCGGCGGCGAAGAGGATGATGATGAGCCAGTCGAAGGTGTAGGCAAGGAGGAGTTTCTTGGAGAGGCGGCCGACGTGGTGGTGGAGGGTGGAGGAATTCATTTTTCGAGGAGATGGTCAGATGGTGAGGATTGAGAGAGAAAAGACCGGTGTAGGTGTAGGTGTAAGGAAGAAGGTGAGGTCGGAGAGAGATACGCAGCTCGGGACGTGGTGGTACCTTAGTCTGTGGCACAAAGAGAGAAAGAGGGACCCACCCACGACGATCAACAAACAAGCAAACGCCAGTACGTGCACGCTCAAAAAATACAGACAAGTCAGTGTCAAACGACCAGAACCCCAAACGAGCGCCCGACTAGTCTCGTACATATGTCAAAGCCAAGACGACGCCGGTCCCCGAAAAAGTACCTAGTTAGCAGCATCTCATCGGGATTTCCACGGCGATCTGAACGAAATGAGCTCAGCCTCCTCTTCTGCACGTAAGGTGCAGTCGTAGTCGCTGTACCATATTAAATGTGACGTGTCGTCAGCCAAAAGTCCGCGCGTCGCTGTATCGCAGTCTGCCGATCCCCCTGCGCTCCTGACCGATCACAGCAGCAGCCATGGAGAGTTGTTCGGGCACTAATTCTCAGTGGTTGGCTAAGAATCCAAGACCCCAAGAAGTCCAACGTCTCTCGGCGGTCTGGACCGAGGTCCGGCCCGAAATCTTGTACTAGCGCCGATTTCTGATCCGGGCCGTGCGCACGATCCCTAAGTATATTTTTGAATGAATGGGCAGGAGATACTCGAGGTAGGTTTATAGCTAGAATATCTCTAATATAGGGTCAGTACTCGTCGCTGTGGAGTCTGCGAGGCTCATCGGTCGTCGTTGTCCATCCTCCGGTACCCGCCGCACGAAGAGAGCGCTCTGTTGGGCTCATCACTAGCTAGTATCGAGGATGCGCAAGAAGCAGGCACTCTTCCTGTCCTTGCGTGCTCTCTGAACAAGATATGATGCTAGACTACGCTCAGGTTGAAAACGAGCCGCGTCTGATCCTCCTCCTCTGGTGTAGACTTGCTCCCGCGCGAGACCCTAGGGAGATTGACCAAGTGGTGGGCTACGTGGTGGCTTGTTGGCCTGCTCCGAGACACCCAAGGCAAGATGCGGAGTGTGTAGCGTGGTACCCATGCGTGCGCTCATCGAATTTCGGTACTGTGATGGCCAGATGCTCTCCCAGTAAGCAATGAGAAGCTTTCCAGCCGTGCCCATGGCTTCTGACCCGCCAGCGGGTCCATTCGATTTTGATCCACTGCATATAATTTCTGATCAACGCGTAGCTCTCATCTCTTGCTGTCCGTCGGTTCCTTCAACATGACCGGGTTCTCGGAAGACGGCGTTCATGGCCTCTTCCAGAATGCCCATGCCTTGATCAATCTCAGCATCCGAGACGATGAGTGGAGGAACGAATCGCAGGGTGTTGGTGCCGCATGTGATGACCAGAAGACCTCGCTCTCGGGCGGCGGTGATGACAGGTGTAGGATCGCGATTCAGTTGCAGTCCGAGAATCAAGCCACGGCCTCTCACTTCCTGAACGATGTCCGGGAAAGCTTCGTGAATGCGAACGAAGTGTTTTCTAAAGCGAGCCTCCTTCTTGAGGACATTCTTCTGCAGCTCCGGGTCGGAAAGACGAGACACAATATAATGTGCCAATCTGCAGCCGAGCGGGTTGCCACCGAAGGTGGTGCCGTGATCTCCAGTGACGATCTTGCTTGACACGTCCTCGGTAACCAGGGTGGCGCCAATGGGGAAGCCGTTTCCAAGAGCCTTCGCCGTGGTCACGACATCTGGATGTGCCTCAGGCGGCAGCTCCGCATGAGCCCACAATTTGCCTGTACGGCCAAGACCGCATTGGATCTCGTCGTGGATCAGCACCGCACCTACTTCCGTGCAACGCTTCCGCAGAGCCAGTAGGAACTCTTGAGTAGCCACATTGACTCCTCCCTCACCCTGAATAGGCTCAACAATGACTCCGCATGTCTTCTCTGTCACCAGCGTGTTGATACTATCGATATCGTTGTAGGTAGCGTATTGGAAGCCGGGAATCATGGGCGCGAAGGGTTTCTGATACTTGGGGTTAGGCGTTGCCGATAGAGCGCCCATTGTTCGTCCATGGAACGAGTTCTGGAAGCTGACAAGTTCAGTCTTGCTACCGTCCGGCTGTACGCTTTTACCGTATTTGCGAGCGAATTTGATGGCGGCCTCATTAGCCTCACTGCCAGAGTTGCAGATGAATGCTCGTGCGGCTTGGAAGCCTCCTGCCTCCCGTGTCTTTTCCACTAGCAACTGGCTAAGAGCTCCTGTCCAGGGGTTGTAGTAGAGATTGGAGGCGTGCACGAGCGTCTGTGATTGTTGGTAGAGAATCTTGCTCATCTCGGGGTCGCAATGGCCCAGAGAGTTCACTGCTATTCCGGCGGTGAAGTCCAAGTATTGCCTATTCTCTACATCCCATAGGTAACATCCCTCTCCCTTCTGGAAAACGGGCGGAGGCCGGACGTAGGTGGGGACCATATACGGCATGTAAGAATCGACCAAGCGAGCGGTTTGCGAGTCGGCGGGAGGGTCGGGTGTTCGGAGCGCAGCTTCTCGCTGGGAGGTATGTCAGCCAATGGCGACTTATGCGAGGCATTGAGGAGGACGAGTGTGTACCTCGATGGAATGCTTCTTGTCGGCCGGCAGACTCGAGCCCGCAGTGGCCGCTGCCGCATACCATCGTCGAGTGTGCCTGCTACTCGGGAGTGCCGGAGACCGTAGAGCAGCGCCCATGCGCTGGCTACAAGTTCGAAGCGACATGATGAGAGTATTCTCACGCAAGGGATGTGTTACCCAGTGCAGAGGAATTTTCAAGAAGAAGCATTTGCTGCGAGGGAATTTTTGCGCGCCCTGTCAGAAGTCGCGTTTAACTCTATTGAATTGACGTGATGACGACCTGAAGTTTGATTGGACCGCCGAAGTCGAGACGAGACGACTGGTGGCCTGACGCTTCACTTCACCGCTTCTAGAGCAACAACTGAATATCAAACATCAGAATGGCAACACAGAGATGAGGCCACCAGCATACTCATGCAGACACGTGCTCACTTCAATGGCGCTGCTAGGCTGCTTGGGCTTAGCTCAGCGGCCAGCTTCCACATAAGCCAAACTACTAAGAACTTACTACCTCAAAGTCCTTAGATCTGGTCGGCGCCGAGGAATGAGAAGATACTTCTGTCTAGTCGCTGCCAGTTGGCCATCTGTGGACAGCAAAAAGTCGCGAGCGCTGGTCGTCGGGAGACGGTCCAGAAAGAAGAGATCGTACTCGCATGGTGGGAGGTGACACTCACCCTAGGCTCTACAGGATTCGGCTTCATGGCACTGGTGCTTAAAGGACGATACCGGAAGGAAGAGGAGCTGGCCTCTGCAAGCAATAGCCGATGAAGTACATTTCGATGGTGAGCTACAGCGACTGTGGATCCTTCCGCAAGCCACGCACACGAACTCTTGCAATCTTCACAAATCACATCGGTTGCCATGAGCATTGGTTGAAAGACTCACTGGAGACTGCACTTCCCATCCGTGATCAGTGAATGGATGGAATGCTGCAATGCTGCAATGCTATCTCCTCTACACTATTGATTATGCAATCGCTCGATACTGGTTCCGCCATCCCCCGCGGAGGCATTGCCTGAAAGAGCTCTATACTGTTCGCATGATCTAGAGGAGAATTGAGCTTGCTTCAGACTTGGCGACAGGTGGCTTGCATCACAAGCGGCTGGGCAGAGTCTTCAGATGTCGGTGCATTCTGCCCAGAAGAGGCAAGACAGCGATAGCTGCATTTTTGCAGGGCAGGTCCGCGAGGACATTCTGCTACGACCTTGCTCTCAACTTCACGACTGACCCAGTACTCTGCTTTGCCTGACAATCTCATCGGTCCAGGCACATCACGAATATGCCGCTGATCGTGGCAAAGGAGAGAAATTAACTGCTACTGCAGTGACGAGCCACCAGCAAGGTGGCATTCGCATGGCAGCATATGAGGTGAACAGCTGCTCCCTTCATAATTGCTCGAACAAACCGTCTTCGGTGTCACCACCCAGAAGAAGCATCTTGCTTCGAAGGCGAAACCTGCCGAGCGGTAGCATGCACTCTCCGCTTCGACGTGTGCGCCACGTGCAGCAAGACAGCTTCGAGGACGACGCTAACGTGTGGAGCAGAGCAACATTTGTCGCGCCAAGACTGCTACGAGGGTACTGAAGGCTGGAGACGAACACCAATAACGAAGTCTTACATGCTTCGTAGTGTCCTTCGTGCATACGCTGGAGGTGCAGGTGTGGCGCACAGTCTGGAAGGCTCGAGATCGGACGATCCCCGCGTGGCATTTAGGGTGGTGTGTTAGACTTCAGCTCTGGCCCGCAAACCTGGGGTATGGCTCCGGGGTAACATGCACGAACCACTCGCTACCAATGCCTCATGGGACATGAACAACCACCACCACTACCACTACCACTTGCCGTGCTTGCAGCTCGCGATAGTGTGTCGTGTGATAATCCTGCTTAGCGCTGGTCGAGGTGGCTTCCTCCGTGCATCAATCTGGGGAAATATGTGCGATGGACGGAATGCTGTCGAGGCTCCAGCTTTGCTTATAAGAACAGACACGAGTCCTTGCTCTTGTGTTCGGTCAGGTCGCACCACATCTTGACTCTTTCTAGGTCTTTCTTGTCGATTCTTGTCTAAGATCTTGTGCCTCTCCGACAGCCATGGCGGACAAGACCAACATGGGGGACATCGAGAAGGTCGTCAATGTCCACCACCTCGAGAGGACCGAGTCCGACGATTCGATCACCTCTGAGGTCGAGAACGATGCTCGCATCAGTGCTCTTACCCCCGAAGAGCAGAAGAAGCTCATCTGGAGGATCGACAGACGTCTGGTCCTGACCTTGGGCTTCATGTACTGTGTCTCGCTGATGGATCGGTATGCCTTTCCCACACCACTCTTGCTGCCGTGCACAAGCTAACGATCTCATAGAACCAACCTGGGGATCGCCGTCGTCGCCGGAATGGGAGTCGACCTCAAACTCATCGGCTTCCGCTACTCCACCATCGTCCTGGTCTTCTTCCTGACCTACGTAGCGCTTCAGCCCCCCGCAACCGTCGTCCTCCGGAAAGTCGGACCACGCATCTTCCTTCCTCTCATCACGTTCCTCTGGGGCGCCAACATGACGTGCTTCGGCTTCGTCAAGGACTGGACCACCATGATCCCTCTCCGCTTGATCCTCGGAGTCTGCGAGGCTGGCTTCTTTCCTGGGTGCGCATACCTTTTGTCTTGCTGGTACCCGCGCTACGAGCAACAGAAGCGCTACGCCGTCTTCTACCTCATCGGCTCGCTCTCGTCGGCTTTCTCGGGCCTTCTGGGTTACGGCTTCATGCAGATGAATGGCCTGGGCGACCTCGGTCCCGCCTATGGCCAGCACTACGGACCCACCAAGTTGAAGCCCCACGCTCCCTCCGGTATCATGCCAGGCATTGCCGGCTGGCGATGGATCTTCATCATGCAGGGCCTCATCACCTGTGTCATCGCGGCCATCGGTGCGCTCACGATCGCCGACTTCCCCGAGAATGCAGCCCGGAAATCCAAGTCCTTTGCCCTCAGCTTCCTCAGCGAGCGGGAAGCCGACTTCGTGGTCGCCCGGATCGAAAAGGATCGCAAGGACGCCATCGCGGAACCCTTCCACCTCGGAACATACCTCCGCTGCGCCGCGGATCTGAAGATCTGGGGCTTCGCTTCCCTCTTCGGCCTCACTACCACTTCCACCTACGCTATCGCTTACTTCCTGCCCATCGTAAGCCCTCACCTTTTCCCTACTCCACGACATTTCCCCCTCACTAACCACCCCTCTCTCTCTCTCATTCTCAGATCCTCGAATCCTCCATGGGCTTCTCCGTCCGCGAAGCCCAATGCCTCGTAGCACCCCCCTACATCTTCGCCGCGCTCTGGATGTTCGCCTGCGCCTGGTACGGCGACAAACACCACGTCCGCGGCCCCATTGTCATTCTCAACGCCGCCCTGGGCGTCATCGGCCTCCCCATCCTCGGCTTCTGCGAACACGCCGGGCTGCGGTATTTCGGCGTCTTCCTCGCCACTACGTCCGCGAACGCGAATGTGCCGGCGATCCTGTCCTTCCAGTCGAATAATATTCGGGGCCAGTGGAAGAGGGCGCTCGCTTCGGCGACGCTGGTGGGCGCTGGGGGGATTGGAGGGATTATTGGCTCGACGGTGTTCCGGGAGCAGGATAAGCCGAGCTATCACCCGGGGATCTACACGTGCGTGATCGCGTGTGCGCTGACGATTGTGGTGACGCTGGTTTTGGATTTGAAGTTCTGGCGGGCCAACAAGCGGGCTGCTGCTGGGGGCAAGATCATCGAGGGACTGGAGGGCTTCAGATACACCTTGTAGACACACGTACAGGTATTCGATGTGTATGAGCTCGATTATTGCATTGTTCCATGAGCGAAGCCGCGTTATACCTTCTTCTCTCCGCCAGGATTCTCAGGCTCACCCATGCGCAGTGAAACACTGCAGTCGCGCCGTGTCGTGCGTAGCTAGACTTTCCGAGCATAGCACCGCACGGGCGCATCACCTCAGCATCAAAGCCCCCAGTAGTATTGCTCAAACGCTGCAATCTTCCCTCAGAAGATACCAGGCAGCATCGCAAATTTCTTCTTCTTATACTTGGCACCCATCTCTTTCCTGTATCTCGATTCCTTCTTCTTGGCCCACAGAGCCATCTGCACAGCAGCAACCACAATGAAAACCAAAGTGGCCCAAGACCTCGTGATCAGCAGCATGCCCACCCAAGCAATCACCTCAAACATGTAATTCGGACACGTGACCCAGTCGAAGCCTAATCCTCGTGGAATCCCGCGCTCGCTTCCTCCAGCTGATCGCAGACCGCGGAGGACTAGATGCGTGTTCAGATTGCCTAGCTCGCCGACCACGTAGAGTGCCAAGGCGATGTACGTGACGAGGGGGTAGTCGTCTCTGGTGGAAGGAGCGGTCGGAGAGTAGGTGAAATAAGCGATCAGGAGACCGGCTAGACCCCAGTAGTGGCTGGAATTCTTGAAGATGTTGAAAGCGGGCATGGTAGCGTTGCTGAAGCGGTGGACGAAGAGGGTCTCGAGTTCTCGTTTGAGGAAGTGGAGGATGAGGGTGAGGCATGAGAGGGTTTGCAGATTGGAGGGCGGGCTGGTGACGCCGGAGTAGATGTAGGGTCGGAGGTAGTAGAAGAGGGGATGGATGAGGAGGGGACCGAGGTATTCGATTACGAAGACGGTTCGCCAGGAGATTTGGAGGCCTGTGTATCAGAGATATAGATCAGCATGTGTGGATGTTGATTGCGGATGGGGGATAAAGGCCACGCACCGAGGTCTTTGACTTGGATCACGCTACCATCTTTCAGATCCAAGCTGTCGATTGTGGTGTTCTTGTCGTTGGGTACGAAGGTGCCATCTTCCTTTGTGATCCGGAGACGGTGGATGTCGAAGCGGGATTCGGCAGCGATGCGGTGGTAGAGGTCGCGGGTGCTGCCCTGGATATAGGTGCTTGTTTCCCTGGGGAGCTTGGGAATGGGTTTGCCTATGGGACTTGTGAGAGGGATGTACTCGATTGGGCAATTACATTCGACGTTCCCTACCTCGAGGCTTTACGTGGAGAGTGACCGGTTTGGCTGCCATGGCGGGCTGCGAAGGTAAGGTACTAGTAGTTGAGGGGGAAAGTTGAATGGAAGAGGAACAGGTCCATGCCCGTGGCAGCTGTGGCAGTCTTGGAGAGGTCAATGCTTCGGCACGCTTCGGCCCGTTCAACGTTCCCATCACGCTGTGTGCTGGGTGAGCATTCAGGTTGAGTGTGAGACCGACATTATTGTTGAATATTTGATGCGATTGGATTGGGGAATGCTTCGCTGGCCAGGCTGAACCCGTGACTGTGACGGTCGAACCGGCGGCTCACTACTTCCTGTTCAGCTGTTGCAAGCGAGCACAGAGCATGATTTATGGGCGGCAGTCGGCGTGCCCGAGCTGACCGGCCTTGTACCATTGCACCTCATCCCGCCAAACGTCCAATCTTGAGGCCGCACCCCATCGCTCCATTTCTGCGTGGGCCGGTATACGGATTCGGCCCACCGGTTCAGCCGCAGCGCAGACAGTGCATCAACCGTCCACGAAAAGGATCGGAGCGGTTCACCACCACAGGGGTCTGCTTAGCTGTATATACCGTCGAGACTTTGCCACTGTCTTGAGAGTCTCCTCTTCCCCCATTCGTTTTGTGTCTCTTGGATTCGTTGCGTCGTACACCTGCTTACCCAATACACGCGAGCTTGTTCGGATATATCGTCACTTACCATATCAGGTGCGTACTATCTCTCCAACGTACCACACGTCTATTCTTGGCACGACGCTCGATCGCGCTTTCCGAACCTCCCATGCGACTTCTCAGGAGAGCGCCCAGGAAGATGAAGCCATTCAAGCGGACCTCGCCTGTTGAGAGCTAGCTTGCAACATCTACACGACCTATGACCTACCATTCTATTCTATTCTGGATAGCCGGATTGTCCATGAGCTCGCGGAACCCGCAACAGAATCGTCCAATCATCAGGGGAAATGAGACGGAACGGCCACTACCGCCTCTTCCACCAGATGCAACGCGGGCTCCTCCGCAGGGCATCAACGATGCAAGCGGTTGGCACAAGCCAACCGAGGAAAGCCATAGAGATGGCGACGGTCAATACAAAGGAAACCATACTTCAAACGCCAACAAGTGACATTGCTCTCCAGAGCAAAAGAAGGGCCCGCAATGTTTCAGATCCAGCAACCGGGAACGGAGTGGTTCGAAACTCGGTTACCAGAGCTGCAAACCCGGATGATGCCTCACCTGCCGCTGCACCGTAGTCATGTGTCTACATGTGAAAACTATGACATGCTAACGTGAATCTTGATAGACCAAAAATGGCCATTTCCGGGCCAAATGGCGTTCATCCGCCAGAACCGGAACCTCTCAGTGCCCTCGATCAACTGAGACGAAGTGCAAGGGAATCCTTTCAGAAGGCTAGAACTCTGTTGAAGGCGATTAGAGATCCATTCCCAACTCAGACCGGTGACGGCACGTATGTGGCCGAGCCGAAGAGGAATAACGCTATCGAAGATGTAGCCGACATTCTGAGCGACATTGGACGACAGGATATCAAAGATGTTGCCGGACTTGTCAAGACATTCGAGCGCACCGCGCTTAGGGAGCCGCTCAATGACCGAGAGTACCTCATGGAGAGCCTGGTAGCCGTCGCTGCCAAGATGGACGACGATTTTCTACAGAAGAAGATTACCGATACTTTTCTCACGACACTCTGGAATGACTTGGAGCATCCTCCGCAGACGCTGCTGTCCGACAAGTTTCAATTTCGACAGCCTGACGGCAGTCACAACAGCTACAAATTCCCCGATGTTGGCAAAGCTGGCATGCCCTACGCCCGCACCGTGCCTCCAAAGGTTCAGCAGTCCCCATGTCTGCCCGACCCCGGCGTCCTGTTCGACTCTGTTATGGCACGAAACAATCCCAGAGGCGAGAAGCATCCTAATCGAATTTCGAGCATGCTATTCTATCTTGCCTCGATCATCATTCACGATATCTTCCGCACGGATCACGATGACTTCAACCAGTCCAACACCTCCTCATACCTAGACCTGGCACCGTTGTACGGTAGCAACTGGGAGGAGCAAAAGCGCATGCGAACGTTCAAAGACGGAAAGATAAAGCCGGACTGCTTCTCGGAGTCTCGATTGCTGACGTTTCCTCCCGGCGTGGGGGCTCTACTGATCATGTTCAATCGCTATCACAACTACGTTGTCGAACAATTGGCGGCCATCAACGAGAATGGACGGTTCACGCCAAGGAAACCCACTGTCGACAGATATGGTGAGAAGGATCTCGACAGACGAGACGATGACCTCTTCCAGACGGGCAGACTCGTCACTTGCGGTCTCTATGTCAACATCATTCTCATTGACTACGTGAGGACAATCCTCAACATCAATCGAACGGATTCGAACTGGCAGCTTAATCCGCGAGCCGACCTTGGGGAATCCGGTGCTCCAGTGGGGACTGGCAACCAGTGCAGCGCCGAATTCAACCTGGTCTATCGATGGCACTCTGCGGTCTCCGAAAGAGACGATCGCTGGACGCAACAGCTGTTCAGTGAACTGTTCCCGGGCGTCAGTGCAGCGGATGTCTCGAAGCCCGAGAAGATCGGAATGTTCCTTGGCCGGCTGAAGAAGCTTGCAGACGAGACAGAGTCGACAGAACCCGACGAACGAGCATACCCAGCCTTAGAGCACGAAAGACTGGAACGCATCAAGGAGGGTCCGCGCAAGGGCAGTTATAGAGATGACGACTTGGCGGCAATTCTTACGAGTAGCATCGAAGACTGCGCGAACGCCATGGGACCTCAGCAGGTGCCGGTCGTGATGAAGGCTATCGAGATGCTTGGTATCCAACAGGCAAGAACGTGGAAGTGCGCAACACTCAACGAATTCCGAAGGCATTTCGACTTGAAGCCATACGAGACGTTCGAAGAGATCACCACGAACAAAGACGTCTCGGAGGCTCTGAAGCATCTCTACGACACCCCGGAACAAGTCGAACTGTACCCGGGTCTTGTAGTCGAAGATGCCAAGGACCCCAAATTGCCCGGCTCAGGTCTCTGCCCGTCATTTACTACCTCACGGGGAGTGCTGTCTGATGCCGTCGCACTTGTACGGGGCGATCGTTTCTACACCTCCGACTACACTCCCGCTCTGCTCACCAACTGGGGCTATCAGGAAGCCAATTTCGATACCTCTATCGACAACGGCTGCGTCTTCTACAAGCTCTTCTTACGAGGCTTGCCTCACAACTACGATCCAGCTTCGGTCTACGTCCATTACCCCATGACGATACCCTCTGAGATGCGCACCGTCTTGCAAGACCTGAGCAAGGCCCATCTGTACAACTTCGACAAGCCGCAACCCATCTCTCAGCCGACCGTGATTTTCAGCCACGCGGCAGCCGTTCAGGTCATTGAGGATTCCGAGACTTTCCAGGTCACTTGGGGACGTGCGATTGAGTTCCTACAAGGCCCCAAAGCCAAGAATTCCATGCTAGCTGGTGACGGACCAGAGAAGAACGGATCCCGGAAACCCATGGAAGGATCTATGTCTCTTGGTGCTTCCTCTCTTGCGATGCCTACTGGAGATGAGAAATGGCTGAAGGCCGTCCGAAATTTCTATGAGCACAAGACCACGGAGCTTCTCAAGCAGAAGTCGTACCAGCTCGCTGGAGTCAACTATGTGGACATCGTTCGAGACGTCGGCAATCTTGCCCATGTCCATTTCTGTGCTGAGATGTTCAGCATTCCACTCAAGACGGAGAAATTCCCGCGGGGAATCTTCACAGAAAAGCAGCTTGAGCTTACCATGACTGCTATTTATGTCTGTGTCTTCTTCGATCTGGATCCGACGAAGAGTTTCCCGTTGATGCAGAAGGCCAGAGAGGTACGTTCACTTGGACGTTCAGCTGATGAATAAACCTTCACGAGGCATGCCTAACATACTGACACTCCACCAGGCCTGCCAAACCCTCGGCCAAATAATGAAAGCCCAAGTCGAATCCATCGCCCGCATCGGTAGACCCGCCGAACTCCTCATCGAAGCACTCAACCCCACCGACGGCACCCTTTCCGAATATGGCGTCCACATGATCGCCCAGTCATGCAAAGAAACCAACGACATGGACGACGTCGTCTGGGGCAATCTGATGAGCACCATGGGCGGCATGGTAGCCAAGCAAGGCCAGCTCTTCGCGCAAGCACTCGATTACTTCCTCACACAGGGCAAAGAACACGTCCCGGAAATCAACCGTCTGGCCAAGGAGGACTCCCGGGAAGCAGACGAGATCCTAACACACTACCTGCTGGAAGGAGCGAGACTCGGCGGCGGGGAGACGGGCCTCCTCCGCCAAGTAACTAGAGACACCACTCTGACCGACACCACCGACGCCCTCGGCCCTCGAACCCTCCACTTCGAAACGGGCGACACCGTCCTCGTCAACCTCCTCTCCGCTTCTCGCGACCCGCTCGCTTTCCCCAACCCCACTCACCTAGACCTCTCCCGTCCGCTAGACAGCTACCTCTCTTTTTCCGGGCACGACGGACTCGCATCCCCCATGACCACCACCCTGGTCGCTCTGACAAGTATGCTGAAAGCCGTCGGGCGGCTCGACGGCTTGCGACCCGCCCGCGTGAGCGGCGGGGAGAGTCGCGTGAAGCAAGTCGTGAAATCGTTTGCGCCGGGTGTCCTCGGCGGAGGGGAAGACGACGATGACGATGCGAGCAGGAGGATTCCGGACGAGTGGTGCTTTTCTGCGTTCTTGACCGAGGAGTGGGATCAGTTCTGGCCGGTGCCTATGAGTACGTTTCCCCCCCCCTTCTTTTTTTTGACGTTGGTTTGTTGGTGGGGGTATCGATATGAGATTATGACTGATGACTGATTTTTTCCCACTACTATCTAGGTCTCAAGATCAATTGGGACGGATGAGATTCCGGACGGTTCATGAAAAGCAGGCCGTACGTTGGCTTGGTTCGGGGGGGGGGGGGGGGAAGTCATTGAAATGTCACACAAACGACTACGTAGCGGCTTTTTTTTTTTTGGTTTCCATGGGTGGGTGGGGAGAGGAACGGGACGGACGCATTGTCATGGTTATGAAGCGCCAAAAAGGGAGGGAAAGGGAAAATGTAATGCTTGATACCTAGGAAAACCGTAATTCTTGCGGCGCTTCTTCTTCTTCTCACGGGCCGTGGAGACATTCAATATCTTTTGTTATGACTTACTTACGTACGTACGTACTTACTTACTTATCCGTAATGCGTTTTCTCTCTGCCGTCTTGCTTGCAGTCCCCATCCAACTTTACTCTCCTTCCATCATCAGGTCGGTCGAGTTCTTCGAGTTCAAGCGCTTCCCGCGCGTCTCGACGCCCTCCTCCTTGAGAGCGAAGCGCCGTTCGCGAGCTTTTGGATATATTGAACCTCTGTGTTCTCTCTCTTCGATTGGGAAAGACACAGCCGCAAGAGGATCTTCTGCGTGAGCTGTGCTGTTGCTGTGCTGTGCTGTGCTGTGCTGTGCTGTGGAAACGAATCGAGTCCGAGGGCAGGATATCCGCACAAGTTCGAGAGGAGTCTGGGAATGATGTGCCTCATAGAACAGAACAGAACAGAACAGAGATGGATGTTGCTGCGTCCAGGCACTTCCACTTCGAGTTTCCCAGGGAGAGGACCGGGTTTTTTGCCTTTCTGCAAAAGGAGGTCTTCTTTGTTCAACATGCTCTCTTGCTCTTCCGAATACCGCGGCGGTTTGGAGATTGATGCATTCATTGCTGGGGACGCCACGGGATGGACAGATGGTGTCGTCTCCGATGCACAAAGTTGCCCATGCATGCTTTTACTGGAACGCACGCTGGCCGTACGGCGTGGCCTGTCCATAGACACTCGTAGCACCCGCCGCTCCTCCGTAGCCTGGAGTCTGATAACCCGCATCCGGCTGCCCGCCATACGCCGTGCCTCCGTAGGCGCTCTGATTCCCGTAGCCCGTCTGGCCGCCATTCATCTGGGCGTCCATGGGGCTGAAATTCCCGTCCGCGAACCCATTCGCCTGTCCCGGGTCTGCGTCGGCGTCCAGTTCCCGGATGATGCCCGCCAGCTTGCTCTGCAGCACGCGCACTCCGGAATGGAGGATCTGATCGGGCGGCATGACGCCCGTGCCCTCGAGGTCGATGTAGAACGTGTGTGGCTCGGCTTGGTAGTCGAAGGGTTCGCCCTCGGTCGGCCTTTCTTCCCACTGCCCGTTCTTGACCGGTTCGGGCCATTCGGCCTTGACGTCCGTCTCGTACCAGAGCGTCGTGTGTCGCAGTTTGTTCCACGGGTCGTATTCGAACGCTATGGCCGCCGTGGGCGCCCACTTCGCGTGCTCTTTCGCGATGCCCTTCTTGGCGATGCATCGCACCTTCAGCTCCTGGCCTCTGCGCAGTTGGCAGATCAGCGGGCCCTGCTGCTTCTCGTCCAGCAAGATCGGCGACCCGCGCGGCGGCAGGTCGTCCACCGAACTGCCATTCACGCCATTCGCACGCGCGAACGTCTGCGCGCCGGCCTCCACGAACAGATCCCGCGCGAAGACTTTCAGGTGCTCGTCGCTGCTGCGGTTGACGGCACTCAGCCGGAGCACGACGCTGCAGTTGTCGCAGATATCGTCGCACGTGCAGTCGCGCGCGTCCACCATGTCGTCCACGCCCTTGGTGCTCAGCGGGACCAATCCCAGACGATGCGCGAGGAATTCGTCGGCCAGGACGGACGTGTTGCTTTCGATTTCGACGAGATCGATGGCGATGGTGGGCACTTCGGCGAGCATCACGCGGCGGATCGAATTGGCAAAGGCGAGGTTGGAATTCGTGAGGTTGAACTTGATCGTGGTTGGGTTCGTCTGTTTGAATCTTTGTCAGTTCCCATGTCCTCTTCCATCCTCAATTCGGCGGTTACTTGCACTTCTGATGGTCACTTTGGGACCGGTATCCTCGACGTCGATGCCATCGTATGCGCCGTATCCGTCCATGTCGCTCAGATCTGGGTATTCGTGGAGGAGATGCGCCGTGCGGCCGCCGTCGAGTTGGATGGCAATCGCGCGACGAAGTCGATTGCAAGATCACCAACGGGGAGAATGAAATCAAAGTCGGGTAGAGGTGTCGAGCAAGATGGAGTCGCGTGCGGTGGTGGATAGGTAGAGTCGCGTCGAAGCTGCTGCATCGAGGTTCCATTCTTTGTGTTCGCGCCGCACCCGAGCTATGACCGACCGGATTCCGGCCGAAGCGAGCATTCACTCACCTTACACTTCCTCTCTTTCACATGTCATGTCAAAACCTCGTGGGATAAAGAACATCTTCGGGGCCCGGACAATCTCTCATCCAACGTGGCTATCTCATCTTTCATCCAGCCCCGATGGAGCGAAGATGTTCAAAGGGATCCCGACAATACCTTTTGCGAGCTTCGGATCAGGTTCATCTCACGAAGTTTATCAGGAAGTGGTGATCGACGGAAATTCTCCAGGCCGGGACAATGCACGGCTCTCGGCATTGAGTGCCCTCAACAGTGGCGCGATTCGACAGAGCCAAGCCTATCCCGAACATTTAGACAAGAAACAATTTCAACTCTCGCTCTGGTCAGCAACATTTCAATGCGCTCACCCAATCAATCGGATTTCCTTCAACTCAATAGATCCATTTCCCTACGGATTCACATCTCAGCAACAACAACAACAAAAATTACTCCCTCAACGTCAAATCCCACAAACTTTCCACCGTGACCCCCTCCCTCCACTTCCCTCCCGTCCCATCACTGACAACCGTATATCCCACCTCCCTGCTCTCCCCCTTGGCAAGCCAAAACCCATTCGAATCGAAATGCACAACGGCAGGCGAGGGGTAATCCAACCACACGTACGCAGCGATCCCGCCGTCCGCACTGACGGTGAAATTCTGCGTCTCCGCCGAGAAGGAAAGTCGTAAGCCGGGATCTGTGAGGCGGGCTTTGCCCAGGGAACCCGGCGTGAACCAGTTCTCGTGCTGGAAGGTGCGCGTCGTGTTGCTGTTGGGGAGACGGCCTTGCGCGGTGAATTGCATTCTCAGAATAGCATCGTTGGGATTCTGATTCCGTAAGAGGGTGCTCGTGAAAGTCTGAAGCACACGGGTGCTGTTCAGTCCGCCGACGGTGAAATCCACGGACGAGGTGGCATTCGAGAGCGAGGAGAGTCGGTCGCCCTTCCAGTCATACCACGTGAAGACGGCTCTCCCCTGCGCAGCCTGCCATAGATCACTCGTCACCCAAGCCGTCAAATTTCCCGTCGTCCGGTTGAAATAAGGCGCAATAATGACGGGTTCATACCGGTCTTGCGCAGCATAATGTAAGACTTTCCACCGGCCATCGTATTCCACTCCAGCCCAGGTCGGTGCGACCCAGATGTCTTCTAATTGCCAGTATAGAGAACCTAGATTTCTGTTCGGCAGGCCGGATCCGCGGCGATAGAATTCGATCTGGGAGGTGTAGAATTGGGCTTGGAAGATTTGAGTGGCGTGGCACCAGGCGGAAAAGTTGGCGATGGGGTTGGTCTTGTTGGGGATGGGGAGCCATTGTTGGACGGCGGCGGTCATCTGGTATTGACCCGTGGAAGAGTTGGCCAAGTCGGAAGTGTTGAGGTTTCCTGGGGGATTGTGTTGGTTTCGGAGGAGGATGGTTGTGGAGTTGAAATGCAGGTCTCGTGGGGCGATTTGTTGCTGCCAGGATTGGAGGGAGGGCACTGTGAGTAACACACGCACGTCGATTAGCGCGAGAAGCAACGGTGTCGGTGATGGTGTGACAAGACTTACTAGAATGAAAACCAAACTCGTTCGAGAAACGTGCCACGGGGTAGGAACTGGTGTTGCCGAGGTACGACGGATCGTAGTTGTAGCTGTTAAAGATTTCAGCCTCAGTGGTACCAACGTCTCAAGAGGGTTTGGATAAGAACGCTTACTAGTCGGATTCTCCATACACGGCGCCTTCGGTCTTGTTGTTGTACCTTTGGATCATCGGCATCGGTGCGCTGTGGTTCAGCACCAGCCATCCGTTACTCGTAGAACTGGGCTGGTAACTGATGCTTCGGCTGTTCCCGTACACTGCAGGTAAAATAGTGTGCAGGAAGAGCGTTTCGTATTCTGCGAGGTAGCGAGGGTATTCTTCGGGTGCGGCGGCATGTACGTTGGGAAGTTCGAGGTTCTCGAGCTCGTTTCCACCAGCCCATAGTGTCAATGACGGGTGGTGATTGAGCCTCCTAACCTGGTATTCCGCTTCTTGACGCACGTTGTCCAGAAATTCGGGATGGACGGGGTAGAGAGCACAACCAAACTCAAATTCAGACCAGAGCAGCAAGCCCTTCTCATCAGCAAGGTCGTACATGAAGTCAGGACCATATGCGCCGCTGGCCCAAACTCGAAGCATATTCTGGTTACCCGCAATAGCCGTGTCGAAGAGCCTAGTAATCCTCTCGGAAGTGACGCGCGGCCAGAAAGCGTCTGGAGGGATGAAGTTGGATCCCTTGGCATAGAAGGGCTGTCCATTGATTTCGAAGTGCCAGTTATTGCCTGGCGCGATACCCATTGCCATCTCCTCCTGCGAGACAGGATTACCATTCAGAACAATCGTGCGGAATCCGACTCGTTTCGTGACCGTTGCAAGTGTCTGGTGGGCAGCAGAGACCAGGTTGATGGTGATATAGTATAGATTCTGCTCTCCCATTCCAACTGGCCACCAGAGTTCGACCGCGTTGCTTGGAATCGTTGTGGAGCCGGCCAGCATCGCATCGGTGGCATTCACATCTTTGAGAGGTCCACTGGAGATGGTGGTGCTGTTGTCTCGGGTGGTCAGTTTGTAATTTAACGTAGCTCCGGAAGGCATAGGCCCAAAATAGTCCAAGCTGGCGTTTACTACCCACGGCTGGTCCTGATCCGGCGGGAGGTTGTTCAGCTGGCCTTGCCTGTAGATGTCGACGAGACTGTTGCGGACCTGGATCTGGTTCTCTGCCAACTGCACGACCCATGCTGGTTGCCACGGGCCTGCAGGTACGAAAGCGGGACCTGTCATGCAGGAGAAAGAAAGTCAGCGAGTGGACGGGTTTCATCAGACGGCTCTGCTCTTACCCCAATCCCATCCGAAATCGCTCTGCTCCTTTCTGACGAACCACCTGTTGAGAAACTGATAGAGCTGCATGACTCCGTATGGCCATGTCTCCTGGCCAGGCTCGTTGGCTATGTCATCGGCGATTTTGGCAGCGGAACCGAAGTTGATGCTCAAGATTCGATCCTCTTCTTCTTTGCATGAAGCGAGTAGTCGTGACACGTCGAACCAGTACTGTCTGAATTGGTTGTTTGTGCTCGCGACATGTTGGCGGCAGAAGGAGATGGAGGTGAAAGTGTCGAGGCCATTGAAGAGGAGCCAGGTACTGGTGGCATTGGAGGAGAGGGCTTTGAGGGGTGCAGAAGTGTACGTCCAATTCTGCCAGACGACCCAGCCTACCAACGACGAAGATGGTGAGTAAGTAGATGGGTTTGGATGGAAATGGGAAGGGGGCCTGGGCATTGGCCTACTCACGCAGATTGAAGTTGTTCAAACCATAGAGGGGATCGCCAATGACCTGACCTGCATACAGATCGAGCTGGGCGTAGGACGGGAGAGATGCTGGGACGGAGACATTGAGCGGGTCGTTGGTCAGAGTCCAATCGCTGCCGACGAGACTGATGATGTTCTGGGCGGAGACGGGCGAAGGAAAGATAAGGTTGGCCAGCAAGGCTGCCAGGAGGAAAGGCAGAGGCATGTTGCTGCTGGGCAACGATGGATGGAGATGCAAGAAGCGTGCCTACCCTACCTTGTGGGCGAGAGGGCGCCTTTAGACATGGTTTGCTGAGCGGAGCACGGGCAGCCGTGAACGGTGCAGCGCAAATGCCGTAAGGTAGCGTCAGCAACACTTCCTTGCATTTTAATTACCATCTGGAGAAGCGGGGAGTGTGGAGTGTGGAGTGTGGAGGGGAGGGGAGGAGAGGATGGGCGGCAAAAGGATGTATACGGGCTGTCTTGGCTGGGTGGCGAGTCGTGTGTGTCGAGTACAGTCGTTGCGATCGTCATGCTCAGGTGCTGTGTATGCACAGGGGTATGGATATGGGTTTGCAGCTGTAGGGGTATGGATGGATAGATGTAGGTGCAGAGGCTGTCCGGGTGCAGTGGCGTTCGCTGTGCATTGCATTGAACCTCCCGTCCCCTCCGCTGCTCGGCCAAGACGACGGCGAGCACACGAGGGATCGGAGTTGGGAGCGTTCGGGGATGATGGCCGACGGGGAGATGCAGGGGATTGCTGTGCACGTGAGGCGCGCAAGGATCAGGTCCCGTGACATCGTGATGGCAGAGGATTTGTCCAAGAGCAGATATGATAAGATATCATATACACAGTATAGTCGGAGGGCGTTGCTCGTCGGGATGCGGCACGGGCGGGAATCGGGATGCGGCACTGGCCGGCGGTGGGCGGTGGAGAGGAGATTCGATTTGCACAGAGCAGTGAGGTGGAGCACTACATCTACATAGTACCTTACTGTGTTACTACTGGACTAGTACGGTGCATGCATGAGTCGGGGATGCATCTCGCCCATCCCTAAATTATCCTGCCCCAAGCTCGGCCTAGTCTACCCTCACTCGCCGTGCACTGACAACAATTATAACGTCCAGGATGGAGGACACGTCAACGCGTCCAACATCCATCATCCATCCGATCACCGCCGGCCCTCTTCCCCGAGCCACTCTCTTCCTCCACCGACCGACCGACCGACAGCTTGCGGCTTAACTACTGTATACGCTTCAACTCCCCCAGCCCTCTCCCTGCCATCTACTCTACACCTCCATCTCAATCCCGCCAAAACATACTCCCTCGCACTCCCGCGACACCGCTCCACCTCCACTCGCCGTTTCAGGAGGTTTCGATTCCACACCCGACAGAAGCACTCGACAGTTTCCACCCAGATTCCTTCCCCCCTCCTATCAACATCGCCGTCATGTTGTCCGGAACAAATCGCTCATCAACCCGTGTCCATTGAGCGCGAGGCCCCGCTACCACAAGATGCCCTGGAAGCCGTTGCCCTCTGTCGCATTTGCGATTTGCACCTATCCATTCCAGGCCTCCGAACCCCGCCATCTCCCGCTGCAGGTGGGCGACCACATCTATATCATCGAACAGGGCGGCGACACAGATGATTGGTACCGCGGCTACCTCGTCGCTCCTCCATCACTGCTCGCCGGCCTGACCAGCGATCGCGGCCAGCAATTGGAGCATCGCGTCTTCTCCGGCATCTTTCCCGCCAATTGCCTCGAGGTGCGTGAGTACTTGGGCGAGGGTCAGCATGATCTGCTGGAGAATGGCGCCGAGGAAGATGAGGAGTATGAGCAAGACCCAGAACCACCCACCAAGCGTCAGAGCAAGAGCCAGGCATTTGCGCGAAGAGCCAGCAGGAGGACGTCGCGGAAGAGCAAGACGAAGAGCATCGTCAAGAAGCCGCGCCCCACCGCGGTGCCGCACCGCGAGCCGGATGCGCCCAAGCCGCTTGCCCCTGTCCCCTTGCTGCGGGTGGGCGACGAGACGGGACTGTCGGCTGCAGAGCCCCTCGTGGACGAGATCGCATCTTGTCTCCGCGAATGGCACGATGCCCGCCTTCACGAGATGCTCCTCGCTCGTGGCTATAGCCAATTGGCGAGAGTCCAGGACCTCATCAGGAAGGTCGACAACAGCCGGAACCAACTCATGCACGATGTCTTGACCAGGAGAGAGCTTGCAGAGCTACGAGAAGATACCGTATGGGATCTGGTAGCAGGCAACAAGATGATGAGCGACGAGGTCATCGTGCGCAGCCCCGTCGAGAAGGGCCGCTTGTTGACCGCAGACGACTCCGTCATTGAGATGACCAAGCTGCAGGCCAACATGAGCATACTCGACAGGCCACCCAAGCCCGTGTTGGAGAAGCATACGCTGCATCATCTGTTCGTCGACGTGCGTACACTCGTGTGTGATTCAGATCAGCCTGCTACCCTCCACATGTTCCTCTGCTCCAAGAACTACGCCGAGAAGCCCACGCCGTTGAGCGAGAATTACGCCATCAATGTTCCGATTCCAGCCACGCCATCGCAAACGCCCGAGGATCAGAGCAAGACGCTCTATGTGAATTTGAGCAACACAGATGTAGGTATTGGAGCCGACATGAGGTCACTCTACGTCGTCTTCAAGCTACTGAGGGACGAGCCCGTCCGACGTACAGTGCATGGACAGGGCATGACGCATTCGCAGAAGCCTTCCCTCCTTCACAACGCGACGGGACTCGAGAAGGGGGCTGGCGCAAAGGGCAGGAGGAGTGTGTTTGGCAGCCAGAGGAAGAAGGACACTCATTCGAGGAATACTTCCGAGGCAGTATCCAGGCCGGAGACTGCCCACTCCCAGCGCTCAGACATGGACGGACGCTCAAGCAGCACGGCTTCAGATGCTCCAGTCACCAGTGAGCTCAAGACTGTCAGAAGAGTCGTTGGCATGGGTGCTCTGGACATCACAAGAGTAGCCCAGAGCAAGGCTGAATTCGAGAGGACGATATCGTTATGGACGCCTTCGTCTGCTGCCGACGACCGAAGTGACGAGAGTGAGGACTGGGCTGAGATCATTCGCGAGCTTCAGGTCAGCCAATCCGGCGGGTTTGCGCGTGTGGGGTTGATCAAGAGGCTCGACGTCTTTGTCAAGGCGTTCGCAACCGCAGATCTTGATGGACTCATCCGCGAAAGACCCATGCTCCTGCACGATTGCTTAATGACTCCCAAATTGGGCTTTTTGGGCGTGCCCAGTGAGCAGCGGAGCGATATCTACCTGACGCTGAGCGAACCCAAGCTGCTGCGCAATGCGACGCTGGCCCATTCGAAGTTTGGTGCTGTTCCGCTTCAGCAGCGCTGTCAGACGAGCCTTGCCAATCTGCAGCTGACCCTGGAAGTACGCAAAGGAAATGGAGAGCGCATTGATGACTGCATCTTCACTGCAGCCAATCATCAGGCCCATACCGCGTGGCGCACAGTCGCCATTGAACGTGGGGAAGCCTGGAATCAGACCATCCGGCTTGCAATACCTGCCGAAGAAGTTCCTGGCAGCCACGTGGTAATGAGTATTGCTGATTCTCCTAACTTTCCGTTTGCTTTGGCATGGGTACCGCTCTGGGAATTCGAGGCTTTCGTTCGAGACGGCGACAAGCAGGTCGTTCTGTACGTCTACGACGAATACTCATCGAGCATCATAGGAGGCAAAGGCGCGTATCTTGCTCTGCCGCCGTGGCACGACAAGTCCGATCCAGCCCAACAAAACGCGGCTCTCGTGTCCCTCGGGACCTTCCTCTGCAGCACGGAGTACTCGCAAGATCCCACATTGCTCGGTGTCTTGCACTGGCGAAAGTACCACGGAGAGCAGCTGATTGAATTGCTGGAGCGATTTCCCTTTGTACCGGAACTGGAGATTGTGAAGCTCTTGAAGGAGGTCTTTAGCGCTCTCTTCGAGATCCTCCATGAATATGAGTCACAGGAAGAATATGAGGATGTAGTGTTCTACAACTTCGTCGTAGTGCTGAGCATTGCACGCGACAAGCGATTCGAGCTGGGCAGCATCATCGAGGACTACGCAATAACGAGACATGACTGGCCAAGCGCGAGCAGGTGTCTGGTGAGAGCATATCAACGACTTGTATCCAGCCCACTGGATCCGGATGCGTCTCGCAAGCTTCGTGCAACGTTCAAAGTCAGCGAACAGATGCTGAAGCTCATCGTCGAGACTACGCGAGAATTGAGTACCACAAACGGAGCCACGGAGGACGATGAAGAGGAAGAGGCCGTGTTGGACCCACGTTCGGAGCTGAAGGCCGAATTGCATAAGCTGTTTGTGGCCGTCATGGCCCTGCTGCGTAACCCGATGCCCGTGTTGCTAGGCACGCAGACACTGCTCATACAACATTTCCATTCCTGGCTGCCTGAGCTCGAGCCCATGATGACGCCACAGGAGATTCTCGAAATCGCGACAGATCTAATGGACTCCTGCGCGCACGCGAGGGGTAGGATGATTCTGTACAGATTGATCTTGGTCATCAACTACAGCCATCTAGACGTGTTCAGGACACCAGAGACCTGGTCAACGTTGGTGGAGAACACCTTTCGCTGGCTTGCGCCCTACTGGGGTAACGTTGGGGAGGCCACAGAGCAATGGCGAGACCAAGTTCGTTTGTGCTGCTCTGTAGTTGCTGCTCAGATGGAGCATCTGGGCGAAGAGGGCGGCCAGTATGTTCCAAAACTTACCGAATCGTTCGCCGTGCTTCAGAGGGAGCCTCGCCATCCCAAGCGCGTCTTCAGCATGCTGTTTCCGACGACCTTTCCCTTTCCGACGCGACAAACTGCCCAGTCAATCGATGTGGATGAAGCTATGCTGGAGATATCAGCCCTTCTGGCCGCGGCGTTGGCATCTGGAAGGAAGCTCTGCCTTGGTCCGAATCAAGTTGATGTTCCGGAGGTTATACTGGATTCCTTGAAAGTCGGCCAGAGCATTCTCTGTTGCGAGGCGTTTCCGCGCAGCTGGCTTAGCTTGCTAGTCAGTCATCATAGGCACGGCATGACCGCTCTCGAGCGAATATCAGATTCCCTCATTGAATCCCTGCCGGACTTCTCTTCAGACGCGAGTGAGGCATTTGAGTTCGACACAACCTTGTGGCGGGCCTTCTTCAACACCTTGTTTGCAGCCCTGGGAAGCCCAGCACTTGCAATGGAGACATTCCCGGAGCAGAAGCGCAGGGCGGTGTGGAAGATTGCTGGCGATGTACGAGAGCTCGGCGCGAATCTGCTCAGGCGGAGCTGGGAAGCGATTGGGTGGGATACTGACGAGGAGACACATCGACTTCACGGATTCCAGAAAATGGGCGGCTATCAGGTGCAGTTCGTGCCCGACTTCATCGCGCCCATCGTCGAGCTGTGTCTCAGTGTGCACGCAAGCCTTCGGGCTGTTGCGATTGAGGTTCTGCGCTCCATGATCATTGGGGCTTGGCAGATTGATCAGGACCTTTCCATCATCCAGGGCGCCATGGTTGACTGTCTGGACAAGTTATGCAGGACCAAGACCATCACGGAGAGCCTACTGCAAAAGACTTTCGTGCCGGAGATGCTGGAACAGTTCCGTTCGTTGCAGCGGACCATCGAGGACAGTCTGTACATTGCAGTGCAAGACATGTTCGGCAAGATCGACGACTTGCTTGTCATGCTCGCCAACGTCCACCAAGGCGGTGCCATCAGCGATGCCAGCCGGCTTGTCGAGACACTGAACCTGATGCAATTTCTCAAGGATGTGCAGTCTGAGGAGGCGCACACCCGATATGTCCATCAGCTGGCGGAAATGCAAAATTCGCAAGGAAACATTACAGAGGCTGGCATGGCCTTACAGATGCATGCAGACCGCCTCGACTGGGACCCGGTGACTATTCTGCCAGCAATGAGAGACACCCAGATGCCATCACAGACAGCGTTTGAGCGCAAGGAGCAGCTCTACTTTCGCATCTGCCAGCATTACGAGAAGGGCCGGTCGTGGAAACGAGCGCTGGTCGCCTATCGTGAGCTCGCGGTTCAGTACGAGCTCAACGTTTTTGATTTTTCTAAACTTGCCAGAGCACAGCGAGCCATCGCGAGCATCCAGGAGCGTATTGCAAAGGGTGATCGCACCAATCCTCGCTACTTTAGAGTAGTGTACCGTGGTCTCGGCTTTCCGCCAACTCTGCGCGATAAGCAATTCATCTTTGAAGGACATCAAAGCGACAGATTTGCCGTGTTCGAAGACCGTATGCAACAGCTTCATCCATCCGCGAAGATCTTGCGACGAGTCGGCGAGTTGCCGGAGGTCGAAGGCCAATTCCTGCAGATCTTCGCAGTCAGTCCTAACAAAGATATCGAGCACATGGTCTACCAGCGCATCAAAGTCTCTCAGGCCGTCCGAGAGTACAATCTCACGTCGAATCCTCGCAGATTCGCGACGACGTCCAGGCAGCCTGCTCAAGATGTGCCGATTACCGAGCAGGTGGTTGAGAAGGTGGTCTATACTACTGCGGAGGAGTTCCCTACCATCCTTCGTCGCAGCGAGATTGTCCACGTGGAGACAGTCACACTGCTACCTGTTGAAGCCGCTATTGAGCGGACGACGAGGAAGACCCAGGGATTGCTAGCTCTCGAAAAGCGTATTGCCAGCGGCGAGGACGAGGGCGCGATCACGAGATTGACAGAGGACTTGATGAGCTCTGTGGACCCTCAGTCGGATAGCAGTGTCTCTCGCTACAGAAGCCTTTTGCCTGCTTCCGAGATGGCCGACAACACTTCCGGCGAGTTCGATCTTTCGGTGTATGGCAAAGAACAGGCCCTCGACTCGACGCAGAATGCCTTGAAAGTCGCATTACTCGACCATGCACTTGCTATCCGGAGGTGTCTGGCGCTATACAAGAAACCGGATCTCTTACCCACCCGTGCCGAATTGATCCCTCGATTCGAAGCATCCTTCGCACATGAAATCGCTACTCTGTGGCCTCAAAAAACCATCGTAGACGACAACATCACCCCACGATCTTCCATTGAGCAGATCACCCGTATTCCCGCCGGACAACTCGCCGCCACCGCGGGCGCCGCCAATCAGGAAGACTCTCAGATGGAAGCAGACCGCAGTCGACCCCAACGGAGAATGTCTCTCAATTTTCTCCGTCGGAGGTCTTCCGTTTCGCGCTCTGGCCGTGAGGAAGGAGGCGGGGTCAAACCGGAATCTCGTGGCGGGAGTCGGACGAGGGATAGGAGTCTGAGTCGTCTGAGTTTCTTCCGGAATCATTCGGATCAGCAGGAAGCGGGGAGGAATAGTGTCGGTGGGGGGTTGAGGCGGAGGTTGAGTTTCCTGGGGAACGGGAACGGGAATGGGAATGTGGAGCAGCAGGAAGATGGGACAGGGGGAGGGAGGTTGGTCGATGGGGGTTTTGGGTATAAGAGTGTGGTGTGATGTGTGATGTGGGATGTGGGTTTTGGAAGGTTGAAGGGAGGGTCTCATCTGGGCATGCATGATTTTTTGAGTGATATGGAACGATATACCCTTGGTGCGAGGATCTCTTCGTGTTTCCTTTTTTGTGGGGGTTTGATGTAAGATATAGATATCTACACTTTGGACATGTATCTTACAAGATCCTTTCTGCACCAGTGAGGATTGCCAGTGTACAATGCATTCATTTTTTTTTTCCTTTTTGGTTTCATTTCAGTTTCATGTCATGCTTTCTTTCTTTTTTACCTTGGCATTATTGAAAATGTCTCTCTCTGAAAGCCGGCCTGCGGAGAGAGACGAAACAAGCTCCTTTGCAGCCCGCTTGGTACGCAATCCCACCATCGAACGAAGATGGGAAGAAAAGCCGGCTTCATTTGATTGTGGTTTTTGCAAGTGAAGGGGCTTTCTTCGCGGCCTCTACTCCACTCCACCTTCCGATCCTCCGCCTCCTAGAGGTGGCAAGTGTGGTAGTAGAGGTTCAGCACCTAAAGGGGGCCTCCAGAAAATTTCGAGCCATCCAAATCGGCCAACGCAGCAGGTGGTACGACGGGGCCGATGGACCCCCTTCTCGCGTTCGTGGGGAGGCACCGTGGGACATGTACCCCGAGAATGGTGTACGACCTTGCAAATTACCCATAGGGAAATCTCCCGCGCTGAAGGAGAGTGCATTCGCTATGTCGTTCTGAACCTTGGCGGGTCTGAGTCCACTGCTGCGTCGGGATGCAGCTCAGAAAAGGCGAAAGGGAAGGCGAAGACGAACGCCAGGCTATCTCCAGGGGAGAAGAGAGAGAGAGAGAGAGAGAGAGAGAGAGAGAGAGAGAGAGAGAGAGAGAGAGAGAGAGAGAGAGAGAGGGCCATGGCACACCGGGAGTCTTCGAGAGCACAGTCTAGTCCATCCGTCACGGAGAAGATTCCAGCCAGCCACTTCCAACCAGACTCCAGATCCCACGACATTAGAAAAGCCATCCAGACGACGTTGCAACCCATCGAGGACGGGAGAAATTCTCATAAATGCTCCTCCTCCTCCTCCTCCTCCTCAACCGCCACACCATTCCACACGAGAACCTTGCGCGCGCACCGCAGAATCCTCCCCTTCTGCGCCTCCTGCACATACTTTTCGTCCTCATCCTGTTGATTCACACAGACATACTCCGCCCAGAGCGGCGTCGCAAGCTCGAATTTCCGATCCACCATGCTACTCAGAGCGTCCCAGAGAGGGGAAGGGACGAGAAAAGTGCGACCGGCTAGAGTGAGGGGTTTGCGGTCTTCTTCTGGTTGAGACGGAGGAGGAGGAGGGGAGATTTTCAGGGCATTGTATTTGAGGGAGGGGTGGGGAGGGTGTTGTTGGTGGTGGTAGTAGTACGGAAGGTGTTCGAGGGAGAGGTAGATATTGGAAGGGGTGCTGTAGGGGAGGAAGCGGATGAGGCGGATGGTGCTTCGGTCGATGCTGGTGTATTGGAACAACATCTTCGTCGTCAGAGCCAGTGCCAATATCGTTCTGGATATTGCACGATTTTTCGTCCCCTCAATCGTTTTGTCGTGTTCTAGATCTTTAGGGGCCTTTCAGAAAGTACCTTGATAAGTGAGGTCCGTGGAACGCACGGACCAGAACATTCCAAACTCAAAAAGTTTGCTGCCGGTGGGAATTTCCTCTCTTTCCTCTCATTCGCCATCCTCCTCGATGTCTACAATCATGATTTCCTCCGCCCTTCCATGGAGCTATACCTCATCCGACATGGCGAAACGGTCGACAATGTGGCCGGCCTGTACGCAGGCGTCCGCGATTCCGCCCTGACCAACTACGGCCACGACCAAGCCAATCGACTCGGCCAGCACTTCGCAAAGAGCAATGTGCGCTTCACTCACATCTTCTCTTCGCCTCTCCACCGAGCAGCGAAGACAGCGGAGGCCATCAAGCTCTGTCAGAGAGATGACGGACGCGCCGAGAATCTTTGCAATGCTGTGGACATCACGAAAGTCCCAGAGCTGATCGAGCAAGACTTTGGATACTACGAGGGGAAGCCTTTCCATGCTCGCTCGAATCCTAAGAGGTCTGGAAGAGAAGCACACCGGGACCAGCACAAAGATGAGCCTGGCTTTCAGGATGTGGAGAGCAAGGAGTCGATGGACAGCCGGGCCGACAAATTCCTCGACGGGCATCTCCTGCCATTGTTCGAGAAGGATGGTGCCGCTCCATTTGTCGTCGGCATCGTGTCTCATGGTATGTTGCTGTCCCATCTATGGCGACGGCTACTGCTACGCTTGCCGCCGAAGAGTGTGAGCGTTGATCCTGAAGTCACTGCAGCCAAAGGCAGTATAATACTTCAGCACCTGGGTGGGTGGAGCAACACAGGCTACCTTGAGCTGGCCTTCGACCGCGCAGCTAAGTCGGAAGTCCCTCAAGCTTTCAGTCTACCTGCAACTTCCAAGCAGGACCCCACGGATCTTGTCCAGACAGCCACCGCCACGACTTCCAGTGAAGGCATGCCGGCGAGTGCGACTAATTCGGAAGCCTCGACATCCCACGACATGCCTCAGATGCTCAACGGGTGGTCAATCCTGATATGTGCGATAGACAGGAAAGACCACCTGATTGGACTGAAAAGGCAGCGAGGTGGTATCGGGTCGTCAGCGCACGACAAAGGCCACAAGAAGCTGGACGGCTTTTTCAAACGGCAGAGGACAAGCTGACGACGTGTACCGCTTCTCCGGCAGTACCTCTGAACCAACAGGTTTGATAGCTGCGGCTGTGTCTTGGCTCACCACAGACGAACCGTACGGTACGTTTCTCTCTTCCTTCTCGTCTCCCCTGCAATGATGACACCACAATAACACAGACCTGTTCTGAACCTCTATGTGGATTCAATATTGTCCAACTGCTGTCTGATCTGCACCTGATACTTGCCGAATGTACCTCGTATTCGCCACTGCCGACAGATGCTGACGGTCATTGCCACAGATGAAACACGAAGCTATTGGACGCCACAGGTGACTCGGTTGGCGTACATCCGGGCGATTGGAGAAATGCAGCCCTGACTACCAGCCCAGTATATGTGTGTATGTCTTCCCAGCTGCGAACGAGCTGCGAACGCCCTGAATCTGGAGCAATCGCCTGGCGTAGTGTTGCTGGCAACCGAGAGTGGACATGTGCATGCTCGCGAAGTACGGCATAGCAGCAGGCGCACTCGTCGCAGCATCGCACGGTCTCACCACCAACGAGCTCGGGCGGCTACGCAGAGAGCCGTGAGTCCATGCGGTGTGTGCGAGAGCGTTTGCCAACAAACGCAGCGATTCTTGGAAGTGCCAAAGGCTGTGGGCCTGGCGGTGTTACGTCCATGGCTGAGATGGAATACCATGTCGGCCTCTTGCGTGGATTTCTGGAGAGAAGCCACCTCTCGCATGTGTCTGCCACTGTCTCTGTGTGTCTGTCTAGATGGCTGCCCCTTTACCTCACGTGGCGAAGCATGAAGGCCGTGATGCCCATTGCCACATGCCGTTGGGGCGGCCTTGCGGTTTCCCTTTTCGTGCGACTCGGTAAGAAGCGCAGTCGTTTCCCAAGGCGTTGTAGTACTTGGTAGCGAAGTGATAGCCGTGCAACAGGATGACGCTGTTCCCCAACGAATCTGTGCGAAACCGTCGGTGCTTTAGTAGGATTGCGGGATTGAGGGATTGAGGTGTGCCTTGCATACACCCTTGGCAGACATCCGGCTGTGATTGGGCAATCATGGCCGATAGACTAGGTTCCTGCCACCCGCCCGCCTCCCGCAGTAACGAATCCTGCGCCGTTGGCCATTACAGGCGACTTCACCTCACCTCACCTCACCTCATCCTCGCGCGCAGTCATGAGAATGGATCAAGTTTCTTGCTGTTTGCAGGGCGCGACATGCGCGTGTGCCGTGCATGATGCGAGTGTCCACGCATGACGGGCCGTACGACGGGGCCGCGGTCTGCGCTGGCGGGTGGGCGGGCAGGTCTCATGAAAGAAGTGAGTGATGTACTCCAGACAAGGGGCGCGATAGGCGGTAACAGGTGAATGAGCGGAGGAGGTGCTGTGCGACGCGAATTGCAACAATCGCCGCGAGTGGCTGGTGGCTGGTCCCATCAGAGGCGAAAGCAAGCGATGGCCCGTGCTCGTTTCCTGCTTCACCAGCAAGCACTTCTTCTCTTCATACTTCTCTTCTTCTCTTAAGCTCTCCCCCACCACCACAACACAATCCCCTTCCACGCCCTCTCCGCGACCATTCTCAAGCAGTGCATCTTCAGCCTCATCAAGCATCCCTGCACATCACCAACGACCATCCCGCCACCCACCATCAACATGAAGTCCATCTTCGCCCTCGGCGCTGCTGCCCTCGTCGCCCTCGCCGTGGCCGACCAGACTGGTCAGTATACCACCACGCAACACTCCATCCTAGGCCTTGATGCTGACCAGACTGCAGTCACCGTGACCGAGACCGTCACCGGAACCGAGTGCGCTGCCGGTGAGTGTCCCGCGAATGCACTCACTGTGCTCTCGTCCGCCCTTCTCACTTTTCCACCATCCCTGACTCCCAACCGCGTCCAACCGACCACCGTCACCACGACCATCGTGCCGGGTACTGGCTCCATGAGCACAGCAAGCTTACAATCTCCTTCTTCAGCAGGCTCTTCTGGCACTTCTGCCCCGGCTGCACCAGCCTACAGCAGCGCCGGCTCCTCCGCTGCTGCGGCACCAACGACCACCGTCACCACCGAGAGCACCGCGGTCGCTGCCTCCACCAACGTCGTCCCGGCTCCAGTCTCGTCTGGCTCCGCTCCGGTCTCGGGCGCCACCACCGCCGCTCCAGCCCCCGCCTCGACTTCCGCCGCTTCCAGCAACGAGGTCAGCCCGCAGACCAACAGCGAGGGTTCCACCCTGACCACCGCCACCGGCAGCGCTTCCTCGTCCGCTCCTGCCTCCAGCACCGAGGCCGGCGGCGAGACCGCTTCGGCCGCCGGCTCTGCCACCACCTCCTCCGCCCCGGCTGCCAGCACTGGTAAATATCCCCCAAGAGAGCTTCTCCCACATGTATCGTGCTTCATCACTGACATCCTCACAGGCGGTGCCGTCGCCAACTCGGCCAGCATCCTCGGTGGCCTCGGTGCCCTGCTCGGCGCCATGCTCTTCATCTAAGCTTGCTTGCTTGCACAGCACGTGCCTGCGTGCGTGCGTGATCGAGTCGTCCCGAACCAAATTTCGAGAAGAGCCCACCGCTTTTCTCGATCTTCTCTCGACGTTCTCCTTGACACACACAACGAGCAAAGCTAGAAAAAGGAAACCACTTGCATCATGAATGGGAAAGTCAAAGCAGAAAAGAAAAAGCGACTGGTGCTTACGGCGTTACGAGTGCTGGTTCGTGCAGGTTGATGTGCTTTTTTTTTGCTTTTTCTAATACCCCCAGCGTGCATCCCATCGAAAGGGCCTGGCAACCAGTCTTGGCCCTTGAAGTGTTTTCTGCTATAGGTGTAGCAGCTCCGAAGGCACATCACATACCCCTTAATGTAATCGAGAGCTGCTTTTGACGGCGGCTCTGTTTTGCATGGAACAGATTCAGATTGGGTTCTCACCCCCACGTCCTTCCTAACTTTCACTGCATCAGCGTCAGCGCCTTTGTCTTGTCTTGAAAACCATGGCATGGCATGCATGATAGGGGAGGAAGGACCATGAAGTAAGTCACTTACAAAAAACGTGCCATCCGTGCCTTGCCCCCCTCCTCGAATACCGAAAACTCGCAAGCAAAACGAAGAAGGAAGAAAAGAAAGAAAGAAAGAAAAAAATAAGAGAGAAAGGGGGGTTGAAGATTTGAAAAAAATTTCCATATCCATATTCAGATCCAGATCCATTATCCATATTCCCCAGACCCCCCAAAAACTCGATTCGCTGTCTTTTGTCTGAAACAACATCTGCTGCTCTGCCGTATACACACACACACACACACACACTCACCCGTAGTAGTAGTAGTAGTAGTAGTAGTGGTAGTAGTGTCTCTTCATCATGCCCGCATTGATTCCCCATGGCCCGCAAAGGGGAAACCCCCCCATTTTTCAATATCCACCGCTCCATCGCTTGGCACCAACCGCAAATCCATAGAGAAAAAAAAAAAAAAAAAAGAAAGAAACACCCGTCCTTCCCCATGAGGAACCTCCTCGCCACTACATCAAGAGATACTCCCCATCGACCCGATCCATAGCCTTCCTCCATCGAAAAGCCTGCCGATACTTCCCCGTCTTGCCGCCTTCGGAATCCCTGCGTCTCGCCCGCACCTCGGCCGCCTCGCTTCCGGGCACATTACTCCCCACCTCCCGCCAGACCCTCTCCAAAACTTCCAACCCACTCAGATTATTGTAAAAGCCACTTTCCTTTTGGATTTCATGGCACCGCGTGCGTATCACATTCCGAGAGCCTTCGTCGACGCATTCCGTCCCGACGATGAAGAGGGGCCACAGGAGGAACTTGTTGACGCACGAGGTGATTTCGAGAGAGGTGATGTGGTAGAGGGCCTTGGAGACGTAAGATTGGAAGTTGGGGTGGGAAGAGGGGAGGACGGGATGTCCGAGGCGTTCGGTGTAGAGGAGGGCCGAGTTGCGGAAGGATTCGTTGATGTGTAAAAGGTCGCGTTGGCCCATCTCGAAGACGGGGCCGGAGGTGGAGGATGGCGGTGGGCTGTTGTGGAAAGCGGAAGAATCCATTTGCCAGGCTTGCAATCTCGAGCGGACGTCGTTCCATTCGGACCAGAATTCAAGACGATCGTCAGGGACGCTAGGATAGTTGCAAGTCTCATCGGGCGAGAAATCAGCTTCTTCATCAGACGAAATGATGGGTGTGCCCCAGCCATTGCCGTCGACGTTGTCGTAGTCCAGCGCTGAGGGGGAGCCGTGCTGCATCTTCCTCTTGCGTCCTGATTGCTGCGTTGACGTGCGCTTGGAGGGCGGGCGTGGCATTTGATTCATCTCTCCATCCTGGCGTTTGACCGGCCGTCCCTGTGCCAAGAGATTGAGGCGACCGAGTCTCGCAATGAGCTTGAACAACCTTCCATCGCATCCGGAGAACTGTTCGAGGGCTCCAAGATTCGCAGAGTAGTCCAACATATCCAGCGATTCGCTCTGGATCTGCATCTCTCGGTCGTTGACCGCACTCGTCACGACATCGAACCAGATGAAGAACATCTCCACCCATCGCGTGAAGTCGGATTGACCGTGACGACTCCGCAGCGAGAGCAACTTCTGCACGCCAGCCAGCTGGGTTTTGAATTTGCTGAAGCCCGAGTCGCAGACGTGGAACAGACACAGTATGAGAAGCGTGGCAACGACCGAATCATCGTGCGCTGCCCGAGGTTCCGTCAGTTGCATGTTGAGCTGGTCAATCGACATTTGCTTGTAACATGTCTCCTCTGGAGTGGGCTCGTTTGAGTCTGGATGCCGCGGAATACCGTCGAAAGCATCGGTGATTTCTTCCACGAAGCCAATCTGCCTTTGCGGCTGCTTTCTACGCATGCGAAAGTTGTTGAGTGCTAGAGCCGCAACGGCGTTTTGGAGGCCCTCGTTTTGCGTGGCCAGCTGCAAGATGTACATTCGGTATGGATTGTCTGGTCCGTCGAAAGCGACGAGGAAGGGACAGATGTGGCGATCGTAGTATTCCATCAATGTCTGCGTGCGAGGAGGGGCATGGAAGAAGGGACTGCTAAATCGCGGGTCGAGCAGGGCAAGGCTCTCCTCTTCAAAGTCGGCCCCATCGTCCTGCTGCGGGTCCTCCAGACGATCAAAGCTGTTGTAGCGGGCTGATAGGTCGAATGCCGGGGGAAACATCATGTCATCCTGTCCCATGGATGCCGGTTGGAATGGCGTGAGGTCGTTCCTCATCATGTCAAAGCCCGCATTGGCGCCGTAGGAAGCCGCAGTTTGAATGGAGTCGACACTGGAGCTGAGAGGGTCTGGAAACTGCTCCGCAGCGCCGTGGAACGGCGCGCTCGTGTAAGAAGGCGGCGCAGTGAGAGGATCGTGATGTGTCACAGATCCAGGAGTTTGGGGGTATTCGAAGGGCGAATGGAAGTCGGTATCGGTGTGCGAGGCGACGGAGCTACCCGAATGTGGTCCATCATACTGCGGGCCGAATGCTGTTCGGATGTGCTGCAAGGATAGATGTAGTGGTACTGGAGCTGGGGTGTGTGGTTGGTAGTGTGGTTGGAAGTCGGCACCCTGCCAGCCGTCGTGTGCAGAGGGAATTGTCGGTAGGGATGGACGATATGAAGGTGCAGAAGTGGGAGAGGAGCGTCGGGGTTGGTGCGAAGGGCGGCCGGGTGATGTGGTGGTGGACACGGACTTGTTCTCTTCCTTGACCTTATTCGTAGTGCTCTTCTGTTGGCGGGAATGCTCGTTGGAGACATTGTCGTCGCCGCCGGGGGTCTTGGCAGTCACGGGGCACGAGAGGCCTCGCAGCTTGCCGCGGCTGGCGACGCCGACGTTCCAGGTCAACGTCGTCTTGTATCCCGAACATTCCCTCCCGCTCTCGAGGCACTGGGTGCAGTAGGGCCTCTTGCGGTCGCACGAGCGTGCCTGCCTCCGACACGCAAAGCAATCGTCCTGCGCTCCGCTCGAAGTCTTTCTCCTCCTCTTCCGCGGAGCATCCTGTCCCGCGGATTGCGCCTTCCTCGGGGCGCTGGTGATGGCAGTGGCAGCGGCGTTGGAGGTGTTGGCCATGGTGGGTGGGGAGGGCAGGGGCGATTCGACTCGACTCACTAATTATTAGCAGCTTCGCGTGTCCATAGCAGTCGAGGTCGGGGAGAGGTCATGGAAAAGAGAGCTGGAGGTAGAGATAGACTACACGGTGTGGTGTGGTGTGCGGCAAGTGGAGTGCGGGCACTGCCAGGCACATCTATCTGTGCACCGGCACTGCACACTGCATCGACATGCCCGCGCCGCCGTTCACCTCCGATGACAGATGGGGGCCGTGGGAGGAGGAGCAGCAGCGAGAGGGTGCAGTGGTGTGCTGCAGCTCCCATCAATCGATTCATCAACTGACCCATCAACTGATGGAGGCGCACTCCCCTCCCCTTCATCCACGAGCCGAGCAGAGGGCGAGACGGCGTGGGCTTTCCGGATGGAGGAGAGCGGCAGCGACGTGTGACTGGAGCAGCTGGTCTGGTTCCTGGGAGAAGCTCGACGCCAGAAGAGAGATCGGCGGGCTGTGGAAGGTGGACGGACAATGTGGACAGACAGTGACAGACTAGAGGGAGTGGTGGCGGACGTGTACCCGGATCAGTCCCTTCCCCCCGCCGTAGGCTCTCGCGCGGGACTTGTGAGACCCTGCCGACTGCCCTGCCCAACTGCACAACTGCCCTGCCAACCAGCGGGTGAGTACGAGTACGTCATCTTTCTGCCGAGGCACAAGTGGCCCGGCCGCAAAGAAGGATGCAGAAGCGAAGCCGTAGAGCCGGAGTTCACACCGACTCGGAGGAGTGAGGGCTGACCACACTGTATCTCTCTCTCCCAGGAGGCCGGCCGGCCGTGAAAAGAGCGCAGATGGTCACATCAACTATGAGCGTAAGGTACATGTAGTAGTAGTATTCCAACTGCAGTGCCAAGGCGAGGACATGAAGGTCACTGTCTCCCTCTCTCTCCCTCTCTCCTCGGCATCCGACACACGTCGTCAGCTCTGACTTCTACCAGAATACAATGGAATCCACCCATGGTCAAAAGCGTCGGGACACTTTGTCACCATATATCCACGCGAAGCATGTCAAGATAGACCATAAACGACTCCGACTCGTCCAACGGGCGGGCATTGGAGGATCATCTTTGACCGAGTCTGTCCCCCCCCCCCCAGTGTACCACATACATATCAGAAGTCCTCTCGTACCCAGCAACCTACCTCCCTTCGCCGCCCAGACATTATTATTGCCCCTCAAACATCTCTCCTTCTTCGTCTCGCCGCGCCGCGCCGCTCTCTACCGTTGCCGGATTCGTCCTGATCGCTAAGAACTCCGGACGCGATCGCTCCCTGTCCAGCCGAGTGCCTCCTTCCGCATTCGGCAAGTCCGTCCGCTGACAGGCATGCCTCCTGCCTCCCGTGGTGTGATATCACTGCCAAGAAGCAACGAGTGCCTACCTACCTACCTCGACCCTTCCATGTTCCTGGGCCATCTGACAAGCTGTCCGTCAACCTTCTCATCATCATCATCATCGGGACACCTACCGGGAACACTTGATGACATGGAGCGAACAGGACTTGTTGGTACGGTACAGTACAGTACCCAGCACGATGATGGTGATATGCGATCCCGCTAGCGAGAATACGAAGAGCCGTCGGAGGGACGTGGGTCTCGGGTTCAGCGCGAGATGAACTGCCTCTTCGTCTAATGAAGCGAGATCTTTCTTCGGCGCATATTCTCTCCAGAGCACGACAATTGAAAAAGATCGATGGATTATACAGGATCCTGTGGAGATGAAATTCGCGTGTAGTGGATGGAGCCAAGAGAATATAAGGTATGCTGTGGTACATCCATTGTATATGTCTCGGCCTTTTCGGTGTAATAACTCTCTCTTATTGACCCGCAACTGAAGCCCAGGCGGTGCATCCGCCCTCCCTCCCGTCCTTTGCCTCCCGCTCCGACCTGCTGCCCTTCTCTTCCATTCTTTCTCCTCCTCGTCGAGCTTCCTTTCTAAAACTTCTCCTGCGCGGGACGAAGGTCCAATTCATGCGTCCACACTACACACGCAAAGTCAGCGATATCTGTCTCCACACATGGAATACGTTCCACCACCAAGCACAACACTACTCACCGGTAGGTTCCTGCTCCGCAAGCCAGAGATACGTCTTCCCGACGGCCTCAGCGGCCATATGTTTCCCCGTCTGAGTTTCCTCGTTATCGGCATCCGTGATGCGACCGTTGGCAATGGTATGCTAAAAAGAAAGATCGATCCTGTCAGCAAGAGCCCCAAAAGAGAAAGAAAAGAGAAAGAGAAAAGAGAACTCCGAGCATTAAAGGGCAGTTCGGGAAGGAATGAAAAAGAAAAAAACGACTCACGACGACATGGACTCCCTTGGGACTCATCTCCCTCGCCAACGCCTGCGCCAGTTGTCGTACACTGCCCCTCGAAGCCCCGTAACTTCCGAATTCGGCGTTACATCTCAGAGCACCCTAAGGTAACCTCATCATCAGCAACAACAACCCATCAGTCGAAACAAAAACAGATCAAAAGGGGAGGGGAATACGATACCAACGTCCCCGTGAAAATCAGCGTCCCCTTCTTCCCTCCCCCCTCCGCCAAGCCCTTCTCCCCGTGATCTTCGAAGAACCGCTTCAGACTCTCCTGCGCGAAGACCATGGCGCCTCCGGCGTAGGTTTCGAGGGGATGCACTATGGAACAGAAAAGCAGAAAAAGTTAGCACAGTAGGAGGCAAGGCATCGGAGGGGAGAGGGGCCAAAAAAAGAAAAAGAGAGAAAGAGAAAGAGGAATTTTTACTGACTGAAATCCTCAAACGTCTCCTCCATAAACGGCTTCTTGGACGAATTCTTAATCGAAAAGATGGAAACTCGCAATTTCAGCCCCTGGAAGCGCGTGTGTTGCTTGATGGCCGCGAAGGTCTGGCGCAGATTCTCCGGCGAGGTGTCCTATATCTCGCATTTGTCAACACTCTCTTTCTTTCTTTCCTTTTCCTTTCCTCGGGGGGTGTTGCGTTAAGGTACATACCGTAGGAAAAGCCTCCAGCACCGCCCCGGGCACCTTCTCCGCGAGAGACTTCGTCAATTCCTGGAGAGGTTCCGCGCGACGAGCCAGGAGCGCGACGGCCATGTTCCCATGTGAGGGATGCGAGAGGATCCGTGCGATGCCTCATACACCGTAGTAAGTTTATAATTTTGTTCAAATCAAATGCTTTCCTTTTTATTTTTTTCTAATCTTCTTCTTCTTTTGGGGGGGGGGGGCCCGTTTTGGACATCACAACTTACCTGCTCCCGTGGCGGGTCCCGCTCCGATGAGGATGGCTAGGCCGTTGGGTGCCATGTTGTTGTTGCTGGGTTTTCGCTGAGGTTGTTATGTTTATGTGTGTGTGATTGGGGATTGATGGAGATTTGGGTCGCGTTTCGTGATGGCTCGGTGTTGTGTGGGAAGAATGGGAGCATCCGTGTGGCATTGACGCAGCCGCTATAATGAGAGTAGAGTGAAGCCGGTTACGTCAATCGCGGCGGCAGGGAAAAGAGAGGGGCTTTCCTCAATGCACCCGCTCTCTCGCTTGAAAGGCAAATAGGCAAATCTTTCAAACGCAAAGCGACAAGATCGGACATTACCAGCCGTGCGTGTAGGAACAATTTTGAAATTTGAAGCTTGCTACAAGAGTCTGCATCCTTCAACAGAAAAGGTACCGTCGACTTCCAAGGATATAACCGATCTCAAGTCTTACAGACGAGTCCCCTCAATTCATTTCAACTGCCAAGCGACTATCACCACCTACTGCTCACGCCTGCTGCTCGACAGCGCCGGAAGAGGCCGTAGCGCTCGCCGCACCGTTCAATGCCTTCGGACTGCTCCGCTGGCTCTCCTGCTTCGTTGTGGACCGCTTCTCATCTCCACTGTCATCGTAGTTCTCATCAACTTCCATCTTGCGGGCTGCAGGCTCATAAACCACTGCCGCTTGTGGAGGCTGTGCCTGCGACGTTGGCGGCGGCGGCGGCGCCCTGTGCTCCTCCTGAGGCGGGGCCGACATGCGTGCCGACGGTTGCGTGATCGACGACATTGATGGAAGCGACGGTGGATGATGAGCAGCCTCTGATGGGTGATATGCAGATGTGGGACGTTGCTCATCCATTCTTCGCAGCTCTGAAGGACTGCGAATCGGCGGAGTGCCCATCTGCGCCGGAGGCGAACTGCGGTGCATCTTGATCTCCTCCAGGCGCGATCGGTTCTCGTCGGTAGGCTGCTTCTTCGCCGAGCCGGCGTTAGGATCATCTTCCCATTCACGTAGTCGCTTTGGAGCAGCGCTGGACGGTCTGTCCTCCCTGTCGCGAGCGGCCGCGTCGGCCGCGGCCTGAGCAGCGCTTGGTGGTGGCGCGCCGCTTGCAATGCTTGGCGCGGATGGGTTCGCATGGTGTTCATATGGCGTACGAGGATATTGTCCGCTTGGCGATGGAGCAGGATTGCTGACGAGTGGGCGAATCTCAGGTGGACCATCAGGCTGACGACCATACGGTGGCATAGCATTTGGCTGAGGTCCCGGTGTCGACATGCCGTTAGACGGCGGCCCAGGTGGGCCATTGGTAGGTTGCGACGTGTAGGTAGGACGGGGACCTTCGTGCTGTGGTGCAGTCATCCCTGGATGGGGAGGCATATTCTGTGGCATGGGATGCTGCGGGCCACCCGGGTATGGTACTGGAGCAGACTGCTGCACCTTGGGAGAAGGCGAGAGACCTCTATGCGGCGGCGGTGGTGGCCGCTGAGGCTGGGTCTGATCTTGGTATTGCCGCGGTGCTGGCGGGCTTTGTGGCTTAGGCTGTGGTGGCTGCTGGCCTTGCTGTGGGGGCGGCGGTTGCTGCTGAGGAGGTAGCCTCTCACGCTGATCATAGGGATTCATGGGCTGCGGCTGCATCTGAGGGTTCTGAAGGTCAGCAAGTCTGTTTCCGCCCCAGTTGTTTCCAGCGGCAAGCGGTGGAGGTGCAGGGCCTGGCGGCGGCGGGTTCTGAGAGTTGGCTCCCCATTGAGGGCCTGGTGGGCCTCCACCCAGAGCGCCTGGTTGATACGCTTGTGGGTGCACATCTTGTGGCAGTGGCGCTCCAGCCTGATTTGGCAGCCCGTTGGTCGGCTGACCCTTGAGCAACGCCAGGCGGGCCTTGATGTGAACATTCGTAGGGTCCAGATCGGCGGCTCTTTGGTATGCATCGAGCGCATCGCTTGTCTGATTGTTGCAGGATTCGTACTGCGGCGCTATCAGCTGATCGTCCATATCAACGTGCCGCTAAGATCAACTTACCAGAGTGCCGAGATCATACCAGACCTCGGAAATGTTCGGGTTCAGACGAATCGCACGTGAGTAGGCGTCGAGAGCGTCCCTGTACTGGTTGATCTGGTAGTACAGGACTCCAATGGAGCACCAGAAGGTTGGGTTGCGTCCGTCACGGTAGACGGCTTGCTGGTAAGCTTCGTAGGCCTTGGGGTACTTTTGCTGTGACATGTAGCATCTGCCCAACAAGTACCAGCTCTGTGCGTCGGTTTGGTCTAGGGGAGTGTTAGACAATGTGTCATTTGTGGCGCATCGTACAGACAACGTACCGGAATTGACAGATTTCTCGAGGTATTCGATGGCTTGCTCCTGGCTGCTGAAGCTGGTGCTCTGTTGATGATGGAGCCAGCCTAGCTGTTGCAGGACCTTGGCATGAGTAGGGTCGCGTTCGAGGACGCGAGTGTATGCAGCCTTGGCGGAGTCGTACTGTCACAGCGTCAGTATGGAACCTGTTGCACATTGTGCTGCGCCACTAACGTCTTTCTGTTGCTCGTGCACGTGGCCGATCTGGAACCAAATATCCTCTTCGCTTAGCGGTCGCGGTGGGTCGTTCACAATGTAACGAAAGCACTGGATGAACTGTCAGCGTATTGCACAATGCTCCAGGGGCAGTGATTGTGCTCACCTCGAGACTCTGGGCAAACTTCTGCTGCTGCTTGTATATTATACCAAGACGGAAGTAGATCTCGTTTGCCTTTTCAAAGCCGGGCTCCATGCGCATGACCTGGGAGAAGGCTTCTTCGGCATGCTCCAGCGATCCGTAACGATCGTAGAGGATTCCAATGCCGTACCAAAGCTTTGGCTCCTTGGGATCGGGCAGATGGTACAAGGCCTGCTGGTAGGCGGAGTAGGCCTGCTGCAGGTCGTCCATCATCAGGTAGCAGTGACCCAAGCTGCTCCAGACCTCGCCATTGGTTGGCTCAACCTTGAGGATGAGTCTCAAGTACTCGACGGCTGATGTGAATTGGTCCTTGGATCGCAAGATACAGCTGATGGCGAGCATGGCGGGCACCGACCACTGATTGAAGTTCATGGCGCGTTCGTAGGCTTGAGTGGCACCGTCGAGCTCGCCCATGACCTCCGAGAGGTTTCCCAGCTGCAGCCAGACCTGTTCGTTGGTCTGGGCCAAGTATTGTGCGGGAGTCTTGCCCTGCAGAAGAGGCTGCTGTTGCATGGGGATCGGATGGCTTGGCGGTGGACGGGCAGGAGCGCCGTAATGGTGTTGATGCGCCATCGGACCGGTGGGAGACTGTTGCGAGGCCATGGTGCGGAGAGTGGAATAGGCAGTCGCTGGCTGTGGGAGGCGCGCGCGTCAGTGCTGGATACGTATTGGCGAGTGGGAGCGAGAGTTGGCGGGCCAGCAGCAGACATACCTCTTCGACACGCCGACGAGCAGGAAACGAGGTGCCCAAACGGGAAGGTGCACGCACGATGTCAGTGAGGTCGAGATGACAGGGAGAAGGTGTTGGGGGGGAGGGAGGTGAGCGCGCTGGGGCGGTGGGTGTGGTATGGCAGAGATGGGCGGCGTCGGGCGAGCGGACAGAGAGATGTGTGGGAGAGGGAAGGAAAAGTCGAGCAGGAGCAGAGCTGGCGACGCTCAGCGCTCGGTCGGGCGTGAGTGTGGGTAAGGGTTAGAAGGTGAGCAGTACAGGCAAGAGCATGGTACATGGTACATGCGCTGGTCCAACGTGGGTCCTCGGCATGACGGTGCCCGCCAGCACGGCTGCAGCCGCAGGCGGACGAGATGCATCTGCGGAGATAGCCTAATTTTGGTGCCAAACCTAGACATCCACCCACTCCCCGTCCCGGACCCGCCCAACGCTCTCACCCGCCAAACGCTCCGTCGCTCGCTCGCTTGTGCTCTGTGCTCTGTGCTCTGTGCTCTATGCTCTCTCTTGTTGACGCTCCACGGCTCGCAAGGAATGCGAGAGTTCATCAACTCTGCCGGCAGATTGGATCTTGTGCAGATTTGTCGGTCACGGTCACGGTCACGAGCATGAAAGACGACGCCTCAATGGAATGTAACTCGAGCCCATACCGCGGCCAGAGTCTCCCTCACGATCGATGTGATGGTATAGACGCAGGCCAATGCTACTGCAGCGCCATCATCAGTCTTGTTATTTGTCCACCAGTGGCCCCCGTGGCTCTTGTCAATGCCTCCTCTACCCGATCGGCTGCTGCCACCACCCGCGGCTAACAATGCAGTACCACCCGCTGCGCGCCAGAGATATCCGGTCGCAACACAAGGAGAGACGCGCCTGCACCATGGCCACGCGCATCCCGATGACCAGCACCTGCGTCTGCTTCGCTGCGGACTGCGACATGATGTACGTCGTTGGCGACAGCTAGCTAGCTCTCCACCAAGGCACCTGCGATGCAATCAGGCTGCCTGTCAGGCTTCATGCTCCAGTAGACGGCCTGGCCTTGGCTGCAGACATGCCTTCAAGGCAAGCATGCATCGTGGCGCGCCAGCCCGATTGCCCACGTCGCTCGTGGTCGCACGGCTAATCCTCAGACTCCCCTACCAGCGCGTCGGCAGCCTATGCGAGAGTGGAGAAGGCGGGAGCTGCAGAGCAAGCATCTCACTGGCCGCCCACATCTTCATCACAAGTGGCATTTGGTTTCCGTCACCCGCCACCACACACTTGTGCTGCGGCAGCGCAGCCAGCCGGCTGTGGGAGGACAGTCCGGCCCCAGCCCGCCATCCTGCCTGCCACAACGGCACGGTTCCTCGCGTGAGACGAGCCCGTGCACAGCCAGCCTCGACGACCAACGCTGTGAACGTTTAGCGCACAGTGGAGCACAACGGCCACCTCACCACTCCCGGACTGCACGCGGTCTTCGGTCTCGTGTGGAGAATAAGAAAAATCAACCCGGCCCTGCACAAGAAAATACTCCCCATACCACTGATGACCAACAGGGGTCTGCGGGAAATTCTCCTCGTAGAATCAGGTAATGGATACTCCGGATTCGAAGGGCGAAAAGGCATGCGTATGCCGCATAGGGTAGGCTATATATTATTCTTGTCCCCGGAGCACGACAGCTGTCTCACAGTCTCAGACAGAGTCAGCAAGAAGAACGGCTTCCGTGCGCTGGGGTGCACTGCGCAGCAGCAGCCAGCCTGGAACGCGTTCGTTCGTCGACAGCCAGGTGGTCACACCTCTTTTGTGATGTGCGCAACGCAGTGGCTTGGCTCGCCGAATTTCCAACAACGCACGCACGTTGCTGACTCGGGCTGCAAACCTCCACAACAAAACGGCTCGCCTTACCGGGAAATCAATCACACCTGCTTCATCACCACTATATCTAAATACTTCCCTACAACATCATTTTCTCTTCCGCACGCTCTGATGAACCTCACGAATTCTCGGACTTCTGATGATCTGTGTGATAATGAGAAGCTGTGACCACCAACCCTGCCCGCCCACGAGGTAATTCCGGTATCCGGATCGGATCTAGATCCCGAGCTTATCGGCTACCGGTAATTGGCGGCCACATTTCGGTGCGCACGTGAGGGACGGGAGGTAAGGTAGCAACAAAAACGTCAACATCCGTCTGAGCCCGGACAGAGTCAAAAGAGCACATGTCAAAACTCTCACCTCACCCTCTCTCGCAACGCTGACGCCCAACTGAGCACATGAGTATTGACAAGGGACACTAACTAGGTCCTAACACGAGCGAGCTTCACAGGGATCGCGTGCATTGATCGGTACGTGACCACCAGAAAAGAGGAGAAAGGTAGGGTTTGAAGGAGATCAAAGGACGACAATTCATTGGAACTTTTTGGTTCTGTTGTACTGGTAGCGTAGCTATCATGACTCGCTTCTACGCTCATACCGCCACTCGAGTGCGAAGCTCTTCCGTGAAAGAAAACCTATGCCTTTGTAGCACGTCCAATGGCAATCAGTCGCTTGACACCGACCTAGAAACACATTAGTACAACAGTCTCAAGTCAACGACATTCGTATTGTAGCTTACCATCCAATGCGTGCCTTCCGTCTCCAGCTTGGCCGATTGCATCTCATTGAACTGCGCCTGGGCCTGGTCCCATTCTTTACGCTGCACAAGCTGTGAGATCTCAACCATCTGCTGCACGGTATCCGGCTTCAGCAACTCCTCGTTATTGAGGTGGTCGAACAAGATGTTGATTCGCTTATCCATGTCATCGACTTGAGGCTTGAAAGCTTGAGGCGCAACTGATTTGATTCGAGCGACTTCGGGCGTTAGCAGATCAACAATAGGCTGGGCGTTTGACGGAACGTGGGAGCGGTCGCCTCGTGGATGCTTCTGCTTCGGAGGTGCGGCTGGAGCTTGGAACTCTGCAGTGTTCGGCTGAGGAGTACCCGCTGGCTGAGGCATTGGCTGGACAGGAGGCGCAGGGCCGCCTCCGATGGGAGGGCCTTGTCGCGGAGGAGCAGAAGAGGGAGGTGGGCCACGCGGTGGACCTCCGGGTGGTGGACCCGCTCGCGGTGGAGGTGGTTGTGCTTGAGGAGGCTGGCCATACGGTGTCTGCTGTGGCGCTTGTTGAGGTGCATATGGACTCTGCTGCTGGGCTTGATACGGATTGGGAGCGACGTTCCTCTGCGGCGGCATGGCATGTGGTGCAGCTGATGGCTGGCTACCCGGTGCTGGCGCGTACCTATTCGATGGCGCGGCCGAGGAGGTCGAAGGCGGAGGTTGGTATGGAGATGGACCACGGGGTATGGCAGCGGCAGCCGATGGCGGTGGCAAAGTTGAACCTACCGGCTGTGATGACTGCGGTGGTGCGTATGCGTTCGCAGCAGCCGATGGAGACCTTTGGTACGGCTGCTGTGGTGGACCAGTAAGCGGAGATGTGACTCTAGGTGGTGCCTCGCCAGCCTTCGGGGGAGGTGGAAGAGGCGGAGTTGCTTTTTGCAGACCATACTGCGCTGGCGGACCTGGCGGAGGAGATGCAACCCCTGGCACCGCGTTCGGGAAAGGTGAGGCCACAGGTTGGGGTCCGGGTGTGCCGCGCCGCGAAGTGGTTTGTCGCTCCTTTAGGAATCCCTCAGGCATGTCGTTCCAGTTCGTCATGTTGCGTGAAGCTGATGGTGGAGGCATTGAAGGAGACGCTGTTCCAGCACGAGGAGGCGGTGGAACTGCTGGTTGCTGCTGAGGAGGTTGATATCCACCATAACCAGGCGCAGCATATGGCTGCGGAGGCTGGTAACCGGTTGGTGCGTATTGACTGCCGACTGGTGCGTATGGTCCTGGAGTAGCCTGTGCAGGGGTACCGACCGCAGCGGGTGTGTACGGAGAAGGTGCTGGATTGCGCGCTTGATTTATCAATGGCTGTGCTGGCTGGGTCGGCAGGAATGCTTGCGTGGTAGATGGAGCACGAGGTCCACCTCGCTGGTTAGCTGCTGGTCGCTGAGAAGCAGGCGCAGCCTTGCGGTTAGCCTGCTTGATCCGTTGCTGAGCTGACTCTGCGCCGCCGAATTTGGGGGGCAGAAGTTCAAGGTATCGCTCTGCGCTCGCTAGCTGGCCATGAGCAGTCAGTATGTCCGCATACTCAGTGTACAGGTTGTACAGAGGGGCGAGCTTCCAATCTGCAGTGGACTGCATCTCAGAATCGCGGAAGTTGGTGACCTTACGGAAGACAGACACCTTCTCGATGAACTCCTGCAGACACTTGGCGTGGACCGAGAAGCTGCTATCCTCTTCAGTCTTCTCTAAGGCTGCCTTCTCTTCCTCGTGCAGCTCTTCCACCCAATTGTTCACAACCTTCTCCAGGTTCGAACCGACCAGGTAGCAGAAGCTGGCATCGCGCCTAAGGGATTTAGGGTCGTCGCCAGTCTGGTACGCTTCTTCTAGACGGTCTCCAAGTGCCTCGCACAGATCAGAGAACTCCTTCTCATCGGCATATGTGCAAAGTGTGGCCATGACTTCCTTCCAGTTACTGATGTCCGCATTGTGCACGACGTCCCACAAGTTCTTTCCGACGATGCTTGCTAGCAGACGCAAGTAATTTGGTCCCTTGACGTTTTTCTTGAGATATGTATTTTGAGCCTTGTCAATGCATTTCTGGCCACCGCATACAGCAATCATGAAAGCGTCTGACATGCGGTCTTCCTTGAGGCAAACGTCCAATGCCTTCTCGAATTCGCCAAGCATTAGCGCGCGTGTAATGCTCTTGTCTGCATCGGTTTCGGAGCCCGTGTATATGGAGAAAGGATTGTTGATCTTGGCATCCTTAGATGCCGCAAGGTCGGCCAGGAAGTTGTCGCCGTCCTCGCCACTACCGAAAAAGTCGTCGACGGCACCGTTGGTCTCGGTCTTGGGCGCATCGCCCGCTGCATCGCCGTTAATACCCAGCTTTGAGGCCTGCTCCGCAAGATCGTTGTCGGCTTCGTCCTCGAATCCAAGATACTGTCTGAGCTTCTTTCTGGATTTTCCGGCATTCAGAGTTTCGATGACTTGCCAATCGGCCTTCTCTTCTTCAGTCTTTGCTGTTTCGATCTTTCTGGCGCAGATGCTTGCAAGATCGCCTTTGTTGAGCCTCTCCTCAAATTGATTCGTTGCATCGCCGACTGAGCTGTCAACAGCGAACGAATCAATCGTGATTTTACTTTTTCGCGCAGCGTCAGAGGTGACTCTGATGAGCTTGCCACCAAAACCAAACGAGGCGCTGACTGGCCGGGCTGCCCACTTCGGCGTTTTTGGGAGGTTGAAAGGTATGCCTTGTGGTTGGGTCTGAGCCTTCGCGAAGAAGTCCTCGCTGTCCAGTACTTGGTTTGCGGCATTTTGTTCTTCTGCCTTGGCGTTTGTGGTCTGTGTCGAGGTAATGAGAATCTTTCCGTCAAAAGATGCGCTTGCGACCAGACTGGGGTTATGCGGGTTCCACTTCGTTTGGAAAGCCCAGTTCGAGCCAGCCGCAAAATCGCTGTATCGCTCCGCAGTCTTCGGATTCCAGCAGATCGTGCGATTGTCCTTTCCAGACGATAACAGAAGCTCTGGGTCCTGAATACACCACGAAAGGCTGAGCACACCCAGTTCATGGCCCTTGAGTGTCCTCTCTGGCGCACTGCTGTTCCTCAAGCTCCACAGTAAGATCGCGGGATCTTGATCATTGGGTGTGGCAGTAGCCAATTTGGTGCTCTCTAGAGGATCCCAGGCAACCGCGCTGACCGCCTTGCGGCCTTGGTTATTCAACGTCAGAATATCCTTCTTCTGCTTAACGTCCCATACAGTGACAAAGCCAGCGCTACTCCCAGTAGCCAAGATGTGTGCCGTCTTCTCTTGCTTGTTCCAGTCCAAACATTCAATGTCGTCTGCTCTTACTGCAGTGGCCCCGAGCCGGAAAGGGTTGGCCATGTTGTTGAGATCGTAAATAAAGATCTCGCCCTTGGCACCCACCGAAGCGAGCAGGTTGTGTCGGTGTGGGTTCCATTGCAATGCCTTGGCGCTGCCACTGTGCTTGGTCGTTCGAGAGATAAATGCGTCGGAGCCGCCATTGCGTAGTTTCTGTGCGTCCCACAGATCCACAGAGCCATTCTCCAATGCCCCGGCGATTACACCAAGTGGATGGTCGTCATCCGGCTCGCTCCAGGCAATATCATTGAAGCCGGAGTCGGTCGTGATGCTGCCAGCTGGCGTCAAGTCGCTGTCCTGGCCCAGTTTCTCCAAGCCTAGATCCCACAGCTCCAATTTGACCTCGCTAGAGAAATCATCGTTGACAGCGCCGGCACGCGTGCCCGTTACAACAAGCGGCGAGCCTGCACCGGGAGACCAGGCGAAGACGGCGGTGCGTGGGATTTCTCGTAGACGCACCATTATTGTCGATGCTGGTCGTTGTTTCGGTTCGTCAGGAGGACAACAACTTTGCGGCTACAGGTCGCACATGTGTGAAGGGAAGGGACGAAGGGACGAAGGGAGGTAGAAGGTCTCGCCGAAAGGAAGATTCGAGGATTCGCAAGGCGTTGCACCTATTTTGTTGTGTCCGCGTAAATGGGAAATGTGGCCTCCTCGCTCACCAAACTTCCAGCTGTTCCTCCCCCAGAATCATCCCAAAGCGACGTCAATGGTGAGAGCCTATCGGCGAAACGTCGGGCCCGTCAAACATCGAGAACAGGGTCAACATGTGACATCGCACGTTAGTCCAACTCGAGACCAACAACTTACATACTCGCCAATACCAATAGCTCGGACTACTTCGAGACTCAAAGTCTTCGGACAAGATGGCTGACGCGACGAATCGCGTCCAAAAATCCACAATCTATATCGGCGGTCTCGACAACCAAGTCACTACGCAAACTCTTCACGATGCCTTCGTCCCTTTCGGCGAGATAGTGGACATCTCGCTTCCCAAGCCCGAACTAGCATCTTCCAAAGAACCCCATAGAGGCTTCGGCTATGTCGAGTTCTCATCGACAGAGGATGCCGCCGAAGCCATTGACAATATGGATCAATCCGAGCTCTACGGCCGCGTGATCAAGGTGAACCAAGCGAAACCACAGAAGGATGCGAGTGAAGGACTCGGAAGCAAGACAGCAATCTGGGAACAGGTACTATTTACCCTCTGCCCATATGTGATCTCATCTGTGGCGAATTTCTGACCGTGATGCTAGGAGGGTTATGCAGCGAAGTACGGTGTCAATCAAGAAGGCGATGAGATGGCTACAGATGGCGGCCAGCAAGACCATGAACCGATGGATCCAATGCAAGGACTGGAGGGTCTAGCAGAGGCTGGACCGCGAATGCAGTGAGAATTGCTTTTCGATCGTGCGATGTATTTTCAGCGAGGCGCTTGGGCGTTGTGTTCTGGCACGCTGGGATTCACTTTTGAAATTTTTCAATTTACATGCTATTTGGCATTGGTCTCAACTTTCTCAATCCCAGCTGTAACTGACGCACAAGATGAACAGAGAATGTCATCCTGTCCGAATTGACTGGACATCTAGAAGCTGTGATCCCAGTGGCACAACTTGGAGGGAACAACCTCAACACACTCGATGCCGGCGCGGCTCAGGTCCATCTTGTGATAGACAACCTTTGGCATAAGGCGGATATGTAGGCAAGCTATGGTTTTTCCCAACCTTCAACGCCCGACGGGCTCAGGAACGACTTGGAATATAGCGCCCGGACAGCACACCGAGCTCACGAAGAACTACGAGGTGTGCGCCGCGTTTGCTCTGAGATCTGTCGACCGGATGTCCTCCATTGCGGTGAAGTTCCCATAAATCGTCGAACTGTCGCAGCAGTCGACCGACAGCACCCGGAGGCGCGCCAGGACCGCTGGACACAGATCTGTGTATTGAAAAGAAGAAGTCGAAGTGCGGGTCCAGAGAGAATTTTGATAGAGGCTGCGGCTGCGGCTGCGCTAGCGGGCCGAGACAGTTAGTCATCATTTGCGGCGACGCATGCACTCGCACCTGCAACTGCTGCCACTTCTCTTCTCCTCTTCAGCGAATCCTACTGGACACAAGCCGCTCTCCACTCTCGAAACATACCGCAAAGATGGCGTCCGCAGCAGATATTGAGCAGATGAACAAGGTGCGACTCTCACTGGGCCTCGCACCGCTGGAAGTTCCCGGGCAAGGACCGCAGTTCAAGGAAAAGGACAACGGCAGCGAAAGCGACGAAAGCGACGAAAGCGACGATCTCAGCACCCTCGAAAAGCGTGCTGCTGCGGCCGGCAGCAACTGGCAGAAGCATGAAGCCGAGCGCAAAGCGAAAGAAGAGCGTCAGAAGCGGAAAGAAGCTGCGAAGAAGGCAAGAGATGCTGCAGCGCGCTTTGAAAAGTTGGAGGGTAAAGGCCTGGGTGAGGCCGACGATGACGGCGATGTCGATGCTCGCACATGGCTGAAGCAGCAAAAGAAGCGCCAGAAGAAGATTGAGCAGGCGCGAAAGCTGGAAGAAGAGTTGGCTGCGAGGGAGCAACAGGCTGAATACACCTCAAGAGATTTGGCGGGTGTGAAAGTCGGTCATGAAGCTTCCGAGTTCGATGAGTTCACTGGCGAACAAGTACTCACCCTCAAAGATGCGGCTATTGGGGAAGAGAGCGAAGACGACGAACTGGAAAATGCGGACCTGAGAGCGAAGGAGAAGCTGGAAGAAAAGCTTCGGCTCAAAAAGAAAAGACCAGATTACGACCCGACAGAGCAAGGAGAGAACCAGAATGTCCTCTCGAAATATGATGAGGAGATTGATGGCAAGAAGCAGAAGCGCTTCACACTCGATGGACAAGGAAGCACTGCTGAGGCTGCTCAGACGAAAGCGGCTGAGTCGGATGAGTTCAAGCGCAAAGGCGTGAAAATCAGCTTGGACATTCTCAAAGATGAGGCACCCGCGTCAGACTACGTTGATCCTGCGACAATCAAAGTCAAAAAGCCAAAGAAGAGCAAAAAGGAGAAAAGGAGCCGTCAGAAGTTAGAGGATGATGACGATATCATTATACCAGCTCCACAACCAGTCGAGACCTCTAATGGCGACGACGTCATGGACGTTGACGGCGCAAGCACAAGTAGGAAGCGTACCCTGGAATTTGACGACGACGATTTGCAAGCCAAGCTCGCAGAACAGCGGCGCCAAGCGCTGAAGAAGCGCAAGAAGACCGATGCGTCCGAGTTGGCGCGGCAACTGAGGGAGGAAATGGCAGTAGACGAGCCGGTGCCGGAAGATGGCGGGCTGATCATCGATGAGACTTCTGAGTTTGTGGCCAACCTGAAAAGACCTGAGGAAGAAGAGGAAGAGCGGGCGCGGAAATCAGCTCCGTCAGCTTCTCCGGCTGTAAAGGACGAAGACGAAGATGGTGATACGAACATGAACCAGCAATCCTATGCCGACGTTGAAGATGAAGAGGACCGGGCAGCAAGGATAAAACGCGAGACATCAACTCCTGCCGACATCACTGCTACTGGCCTTGAAGAGGAGGAGACAGTAACCGGACAAGGTGTCGGAGCTATGATGTCAATGTTGCGCAAGCGTGGCTTCGTCGGAAAGGATGATTCTGGTGCATTGACAGAGAAGGAGCAAAAACGTGCCGAGTTCTTGGAAACCAAGAAGCATCTGATCGAAGAATATGACCGACAAGCGCGCGAGCAACGAGAAGCAGACCGACAAAGCGGACGATTCGCCAAGATGTCCAACAGGGAGCGCGATAATCTTGCCCGCCAGCAGAACGAGCAGCGAGAGCAATACATCTCTCGCTTGCTGGCTGACAAATTCAATAAAGAATACAAGCCAGATGTCAAACTGCGGTACAACGATGAGTATGGACGAGAGATGAACCAGAAGGAAGCTTTCAAGCACCTCAGTCACATGTTCCATGGCAAAGGTTCCGGCAAGCAGAAAACGGAGAAGCGTCTCAAGAAGATTGAGGACGAGAAGAAGAACGCGGCCAAGGGCATACTCAACGTCGGCGAGGAGGGCGGATTCAGCAATGTGCAAGGCAGAGAAGGCAAGAAGCAAAAGACCGCTGGTGTTCGTCTGCAATAAACGAAGCAGCTTAAGGTTAGTAAGCTCCCTCAAACGTACAGCAGCGAATCAATATTCATGTCTATCTAGAGCATCAAGACTGGTGGAGAGGAAAACCTCTGGCTCGGTAAGTCTCGAACCATGCCCTACTCACGTCACGTTTTTTATGTACGCAACGGTCAAGGTAGGGTTTTTTTCGCTCTCTTTGATATGATTGTAGTTGTCAGGCTGCAATCTCGTCTTTAAGCCCGTCGCTGTCTGCGTAAGGTGGGCTCACTGTCGTCTGCCAAGTATCGGCCGCGCTCCCTGCCTGATGGCACCTGGAGTGTGCTCATGCGCAGCACACGGGGATATTCATGCGGTTCTTGTTTGGGAGAGTCACGATGTGAAGATGAAGTGGTAATTGTTTCGGCACGTCGATGGACGAGGAAAATAATCCTGCCATTCGAGCAGCTGCCCGACAAGCTGTGGATCTAGACAGGCGCTGACGGATAACGTATTCGGACATCATCTACGGCATAGTCTACAATCAAGAAGAGATCACCGTTTGCAACTCGTGTGTGGTCTGGACTTGCTATGGGCAGGCAACGGTTCGTAAATCCAACTGCTATACCAGCATCTCGCGTGTCCGACGCGTGTGCAGACTGGTGAGAGCGTCTATTCAATTGATCTCCATAGTCATCGAGTTAGAGACTGAACAGATTCAAACTTCGCGTCATCAGGCGTCAATTTGCGTTATCTCCGGGTTATCCTACCTATTGTCGAAGAATAGTAGGATGCGGCTATTGTTTGGGTAGTGGTGCGCACGGACCCGATCAAAAGCCCCTTCCACCTCGCACGTGAACGCGCTTGAAGCAATCGCGTTCAACACAACACTTCTTACACACTTTTCAGCATTTCGAACATCCTCGACACAACATCATAATGGCTCCAGCAGCAAAGAACGCGCCTCTGTATAATAAGGAGGAGCGCGTATTGGGGTACGCCAACGAAAATCCGAAGCCATCTTTCATTCGAAACACCTGCTGACACCGTATTCTTCTTCTTGACAGCTTCCACGGCGAACTTTTGGTAAGCGAGTCCTTACATACCTGCGAAGGGTCATGCTGACCGTCTCCTAGTATGAGGCGAAGGTACTTGATGTCCGACCCAAAGACCCAAACGACAAGGATTCCTCGTTCGTGTACAAGGTCCATTACAAAGGTGAGAGACGTTCAGAGCGCAAACCTCCTATCGATCTCAGGACAGCTGCTGACATCCTTTCAGGCTGGAAGAACACGTAAGTGCTCTTCTTTTCATCAGGATGCTTCCGGTCATGTGGCGGGTGTTGTGAGAGGAAGAGCAACCCATCAAGCCCTGCTGATTTGGGCCCGCTCAACAACGAATCGGCCTCCCTGTGACCTGCCAGAATTGGCCTCTGAGATCATCGCGAGCATCCGCCGTGGAAGCTTTCGGCCAAGTTTTCTAACAAAATCACAGATGGGATGAGTGGGTCGCGCAAGAGAGAATACGTAAAGTACGTTGAATTCCATCCGAAAATGTCTCGGAATACGTCAGACTGACTGAGACCTCTAGTTCACGGAGGAGAATAAGGAGCTGGCGAGCAATCTCAAGAAAGACATGGACGCTCAGCGACGAGCGGCCAGTGGGAAGCCTCCAGCCATGTCTACCAACAAGAAGCGACCCTTCGGCTCTGACCTCACCAATTCTTCAGCGCGTGGCAGCGAAGACAGAAGCTCTGTCGCGCCTATGCCGCCCCGAGGAACGAAACGAGGACGCGAAATTGAGGGCATTGATAAGGTAAGTCGCATGCCGTTCAGCACGGGTAGCCAGCAGCAGCAACAGCAGCAGTAGCAGCACCGCGAGCTCCCACTCTTCATGTCTTCTGCCACCGGTGAGCACGGCATAACGTCGACACAGCGGCGAGCGGACACTGCCCTTTGCCACCTATTCCGCAAGTTATCGCTCTGATCTGCGGCTTGCGTCCTCCTGGCTCGATTTCTCCAGGTTCAGACGGGAGAGATGTGGGGTGTAGACGCTCAGCACTGCTCCCAGCCGGCACACTCAACCATTCACAACAATTCCTTTGGCACTTGACAGGCATCATGCTAATCTTCACAACAGGAGGAAGAATTCGTCCGCCGGCCAGCAGTCCGTCTCTTCATCCCGGACACTCTGAAGTCAATCCTAGTCGACGACTGGGAGAAAGTCACCAAAGAGCAAAAGCTCGTCCCAATGCCAGCCAAGATCTCCATCTCCCAGTTCCTGCACGAGTACTACGAAGCAGAGAGCCAGTCTCGACGCCCAGGCTCCGCAGACGCCGACATCCTTGAAGAAGTCATCGCCGGCGTCAAGGAGTACTTCAATAAGGCCCTGGGCCGCATCTTGCTGTATCGCTTTGAGCGCCCTCAGTTCCACGAAGTCCATAAGATGGTCGAGTCTGCCGTGTGCGATCATGCTGGGAAGTCTCTTTGCGATATGTATGGGTGCGAGCACCTCCTTCGGCTGTTTGGTAAGCCTCACCTTGAAACGACAAATTGATTCGCAACAGCATTGCTAACGATAATCACAGTCTCCATGCCCGACCTCATCGCGCACACCAACATGGACAACCAGTCGTGTAGCCGCCTCCGTGAGGAACTCGCAAAGATGACCCAGTGGCTCGCGAAGCGTGCACCTCGCTACCTCTCCGCCGACTACGAGCACGCTGGCCAGGAATATCAAAACCAGGAAACTCAGAAGAACGCGGCTTAGGATGCCGTTTCGAAGAAGGGTTGATTTGCGTTTCTCTGATTGCACTGGCCTCAAACGGCGCATAGCGTGGCGGCAGGAAGGCGTCGGGGTGCTACTAGATGTTCCTCTCTTTACCCGAGAGATGGGGAGTTTGAGATCGCATTGGTTTTGTTCTGTTGCTATGTTACATTGCTTACTTGTGCCGCGTGTTCGGCTCTCTCTGCTGCCGCTTTTCACGATCCATCAGATTGCATTGTCCCGTTGAACTCTCGATTCTCTCTCCCTTCTTTACTGTTCCATCGCATTCTGATACCCGACGTACCTCATCAGAGGCCCATCATGCTTCAACAACTCGCAATCCGCCCGCAACCCCAGCGGTCGCTCCTCCGTGGCTTCTTCGTCAGCCTCCGCGAGCATCACCTGCAGGCGTCCACGATACTCTCGCCCCAGGGAATCATTGCAGACCGCACAGAGCTTCAACCCACAGTCGTCTTCTCCCTCTCCCTCCCCGTCAGCAGCTCCGCACCGATAACTCGCCAGATTCGAACACAGCGCGCAGAAAGCGCCCAGGTCCCGGACTCGCCCGTCCATCAGCGCATCCGCAGCAGCTTCATTCTCTTCCCGCGAGAAGAAGAAGGCGCCCGTCGTCGTCGAAAACCGACGCATCTCATGCCCATCGCAGGCCAGAATGGCCAACCGCGCCGTGGTGCAGGCAATACACACCCGGGTATTTTCAACCTGCTGATGGCCGCCTCGGATTTCGGTATAGCCTCTTCCGTCTTTCCAATCCATGACTTGCACTTTGACTCTGCCGAAGCCCAGGATGGCGAGGGGAGGGTCGGCGCAGAAGGTGCAGGGTCTGGGGGTTTTGGTGGTGGTGGTGGTGGTGTCTTCGGGATGGTCGCAGTTGAAGTCGATGGGGTGGCGGAAGGAGGTTTGGATTTTTTTGACGGTGCCTTTGATGCGGGAGGCTTGTGGTGGGTTCATGAATGGCTGGGCCTGCGAGAGGAGGTTGGGGTCTGGGGTTTGGTTGTGTTTGAGTTCTGCTTGGGAGGTGGAGGGAGTTTCTGTTGTTGGGAGGATGGGGTTCTGTCGTGGTTGTTTCATGCCGATGGTTTTGCGAGGTTCGTTCTGCGCGTGTTCTTGTTTTAACGGTGTCGTTTCCTTCCGGCCTCGAGTTGCAGATGCAGTATTGGCTGCTGTTGACTCGGTCCAAGTCGTCTGGTCACCCGGTTCTCTCACAGGGCCTCTGTTGAGTATCGAAGCCACGGATGTGTCGCTGATGGTGCATGGCAGGCAATTGCGCCTGCAATGCTCACAAGCTCCCCCGTCATACTCGGTCGGGTATCTGCATGTCCTGCCTGTCTGAATGCACTCAACACAGTCGTCTTGGGCGCCTTTCTTGCTTGCCTTCTTGGACTTCGGCTTTGGGTTAGGCTCGCCTTCTGCCGGATAGCGGATCCTTCGACGGATGAAGTCTTTCGCAGGTCCTGCAACACATGGTTGGTCGATGTCGTCGCACTGCTGGCAAGAATCGCCGTGATTTCTGGTGTTGGTGTATGAACAAGGCCTCCTTCGCCGCTTGCAGTTCTCGCAAGCGCGCTTACGGATAGGTTGTTCGTGGAGCTCGCACTCTTGCTTCGCCTCGTAACAAGATAGGCATGGCCATTCCTTTTCGTGATCCAGGAGGGAGCACCGCTGGCCTGAAATACTACAGCTTTTGCAGCCACGAGCAAACGGTCTCGCTCTCTCATCCTGATCCAAGGCAAGGAACTGTAAGCCATCAGGAGCGGTGATCTGACGGCTAGCTGACTTATTGCGGCCGCGAAGATTGTATCCAGCTGGTTCCGTAACCTGGGACTGAGCCGCGAGCTGGGACAGGAGCTCAGAATAAGCTGCCTTCCCCTTCACGGACGAAAACTTGAAGCACGCGATCAAAGGCCTCTCTGGTGTTGTTTCCTCAGACTGAGATTTGTGTTCAGGCCGCTCTCCATCCCGTCCATCATCTTCTTGCGAATGTGGAAGCTGTCTGCTCAGCGGTCTTGCTCTGGTTTTTCTCAGTGCTCGCCGTTTCCCCGGGTCGTTGTCGCTTGTCTCGTCATGATCCACTCCATTCGTCGAGTCAGACTGAGAATCAGAGTCCGATATGGCATTGGAATGCTCGACATCCGAGGTGACCGAATTGTGCTTGCTTGGCGAACTTGTCCGGACTCTCTTGGCAGGTCGCTCATCGGAGTGGTCGTCGTCTCTGTCGATGATATCCGTCCGTTTTGTAGAAGCATTCTCTCCTTGCGAATCTGCATATCCTTCAGCAGTGCCGTCGTTGCAGCCGCCTAGAGAAGTCTGGGCACCTCTGCCTGTGCTGCAATTTGTTGGGTGTTGGTGTGCTCCGGCGACTTTGGGCTTATGGGAATCGCCTCTGGTCTCCTTCTCTTTACCATTGTCATCCGACAAGATGGGTGAAGAGTCTGCGGTATCCTGGATGGATGTGATAGAAGTCAAAGAGCTCGATACATCCGAGACTTCATCTATTGGGGAGGGGAGAGAAACAGGAGCTTCATATCCACTTTTGCCTGCAGCAACATCAGTAGAAACGCGCTGACTTTCCTTTTCCGGACCGGCTGCCATAGGATCTGGTCTTTGTGGCGATGGAGATGTTGTGGCTGCGGCGCCGTCGGGACGAGTTTGTAAGACCAGGGAATCGTTTCTAGTCGTACTGTCTTGTCTTTCCGGAATAGGCAAAGGATGGGGACCGTCTGATTCGAAGTGGCAGGTAATAACCTCCATGTTGGATCTCGAAAGAGTTGGATGTGTTTGACAAGACTATGTGGCAATGGAAGAAGAGAAAGGGTGAAAGTTGTTGGCAAGAGCTAGTGAGGGACTCCTCGACGACCACGTGCAGATGCAATATGAAGTGATGTGCAAATTGTCACATGAAAGCCGTGTAGGGGCTGACAAGTACATCGGGGTAATGTCATAATGCTAGTGCTTGGCTCGCAACAGTATCTCAGTCGTTGTACCTCTTGTCGACACCAGGGATCTCCATTAAATTGCGGATTACTTTGCCCCCGCCAAGGTGGAGAACGGTCTCTCGAAGACGTCGTCGATGTTTCCTCTTGTGAAAAGCGCCGGTCCATCAGAACAGTCTGTGAGGGTATCGTAGTACAGAATCAGCGTGTTCTCACATGCCATAGCAAGGCCAGATCGCGCCAGTTAGGCGCGAAATGTTTTGAATGGCCGTCGCAGAACTACAATATCTATCCAGAAATTCGTCTTCGGCGCAAGACCCGTGATGTACAGCTCCAAGGTGGAATGTGCAACTTGGGAGGAGTCTCAGCTTACGAGTGAAGCGTGCACGTCTAGCGGCTGAGACATCTCTCAGCCGCATGTGCTGACCGAGATCTTCATTTCCTTCTGATTTCTCCAATCTCTTGCAACCTCCAGATATACGTTCCGCATGGCTCAGAAAGTATACCCTAGCGACGGCGACATGATCGCAGAGGTCGGTGAAGGCATCACGGTGCGACGATTAGTAAGACTCCAGTGTTCACATTCGCGAATCTCGTTTGACCAGAGGACAGCGAGAGGGCGATGCTTCGTCATTGTCGCGGCACGCCGACAATCCGAACATCAGGAAGTACATGAGAGATGGCTTCGTATGCCTCGTTCGTCTTCCCTCGCAGTCGATGGAAACTGACTTGTTAGCCCAACCCATACAGTGAAGAAGCATCGAAAGCTTGGATCGATCGCAATTCCGACCCCAAGACACACGTTCGATCGGGCAGATGGACACCGGAGAAGGGGGCAGAGGGGCCTGCGATTCCGACGCACTACACGATAGCCGTCCATGGTGAGGCGTGCGGAGGCATCGGCCTCGTCTTCGGCCAAGGTATGTCTTCGTCGGCCCTCTCATGCACCGCGGTGTCTTGGTTGACGACGTGCTGTCTGTCCTTCCACAGACGTCTACTTCCGAACCGCTGAACTGGGATACTGGCTCTCCCAAGAGCATTGGGGCAAGGGCGTCATGTCGCGTGTAGTCCCAGCCTTCCTCGAGTGGTCATGGAAGACTTTTGGCGTGCTTGTGCGTCTCAACAGCGGCGCTTACGACTTCAACAGCGGCTCGCAACGGGTCCTGGACAAGGCGGGGTTCGTGTACGAGGGCAGGCGCGCGGATATCGCCTACAAAGATGGCAGGATTGTGGGCGAGGTCCTGTACGGCGCTCTGCGGCCCGGCGGACCCGAGATGTGAGGCATTCGATGGCGATACTCCGTAGATGTTGATGTTGACGGCGAGATGGACTGGGAGAGTGCTGTAGCGGTTGGCATGGAGGCACGGGTCCTTCCGTGTCTTCACCCCACCCACTCTTCACAACCTTAACCCATCCAATATGATCGCCTCCGTCTACCACAGCAATAGAAGCGACTTATTATGGCAATGTTTCGGAAGATTCCAACTGCGAACAAGGCCTCCTGTTCTGCAGTCTTCAGCCTGAATTACGCTGCACGATTTGCTCGACCCTTTGAACATGACGGGAGTGTATAAGGTATGGAAGTGCTTGATGGACGCTTACATCCCTCTGGAGACCGATTTCGGGATCGATGCTGCCCTCAAGCAACCGAGCTGTAGCACAGAACGAGGTGACCATCTTCATCTGCCGCTATCTTGCGGCTGCATTCGGTCGCAGCCCTCTGCTTGGAGCCGTGAGGTCTCGGACAGATATCCGCCCTTCCTGGATCGTGGACTGGCGCTTTTCATCGTCTCCGCAGCACCATTGATCGAAGCTACAGCTGGACCTCTGGTAGGAGCACCGATCACGGACAGCTCAGTATTGGGATGCAGATGGACCAGTTGACTCGTTCTCATCCTTTGCTTTCCCCTTGGGTTGGCATGCACATTGATCTGTCGGGAATCATCTGCGCCAATTCTACTACTCCAGCGCCGTGCGAAGGACCTGCGCCGCTTTAACGCAAGACTGGGCATTGCATGCGCCGAAAGAGGAAGAGAGCAACGACTTCAAGACCCTGTTTGCACGGCACCTCTGCGTGCCTGTTTACATGTTTGCGTCCGACTCCATCATCTTTCTGGTGAGGACCGCCCTCTTCCACATTGTCTTGAAAGTTCGACACGTGCTGACGCTAGGCGATACGCAGACATCTTCCTACACATCGTTCACGTACGAGGTTTTGTATCTGTTACTGGAAGTAGACCCGCTCTCATTTGTTGATCGTAGACACTGGGCTTCCCGCCTGAGCAGACTACCCTCGGTTGTGATAATGGTGGGTGTCTGTCTTGGCTGCGTGATCCATTTCATCTTCACGCGCTATCGCGATTGCTGAAGAAATACGGCCTACTGATCCCAGAAGAAAGACTCCTCCCGATGGCTTACGCTCAGCGTTTTTCTCTGCGGCTTTTCCTCCTGGCCTGAACATCGTTTCCATGGATCGTTCCAATTCCAGAGACCGCGGCAGGAGTTTTGACCGATATTGGCCTCCTTCTGGTTTTTGTCCAGGGCAACAATCATCTTCTGGACGTCTATTGTAAGTTATGTCCTTGAATCGTCGGCAAATGCAAACGGCAGCTGACAGGACTTTCCCAGCAAGACAAGCCAGCTCCGTCATCACCATCAACATTGCGCTGCGTTCGCTCTTTGCAGCAGGCTTCAGCGTCTTCGCAAAATACATGTATCAGCGCTTACCACCGCACTGGACGCTCACGACTTTTGGAGTCATCGCTGTCGTCCGTATGCGGATCCCAATTGCCTTCCATCGATTCAGCGTCAAATTACGAGCCATGAGTAAATGGACTCCCAAATTGCCTTCTACCTCCGGAAGTGCCCCTGTCGGAGGGTTCCAGAGCGACAAACCTAATGAGATGAACGTGCGATATGTACAACAAGAGATGTATCATAGGAAAAGTTCCGTGCTTCGACTGATTCTATGTAGGATGATTATGTTGACCGAATGTACAACAGAATACTCTCACTACCGATGAATCTGTTTGAAGCCGAGGAGGCTGCAGCGGTATTAACGGACAGATTGCGCAAAGCCAAGCCTTCATTTATTTTCAGCCACAAAGGGCAAGGCTTCATCTCAGCGATGACAAAAGCTGAAGGCTATTCCATCGCGTGCTAGAGAATCGGGTGAAAGATCGTCCGGCAGAAAGGAATCCGAAAGTCTGCTCTGCATCACAATTGTTTCGACTTGCAATCCGGTATTGCTCTACTATATCTCTACCATGATCATTCGAGGATGTTGAACGCTTTCAGATTCGAAAATCTAGGGCCGCTCGCGATTCCTCGAGGTCCTTCGCTGGAAGCAAGACCTCATGGATCGATTTAAAGTTGTATGAAACAACGGACGCCGTTATGGACATCTCTAGACGATCCCCATCCGGAGGAACCGTGCCGTTGACAGCTCACGAGACGATTGGGTCGTGGACGAAAGCAAAAAGTACACGGTCCACGCAATGGTGGAATGGATGGAATCTGACTAGATCTCGCCGTGGCTTCGTTGGCGTAGCGGCACATAGAGTCAACGGTATGTTGCCCAGTGCACATCCGATAGCAGAAGAGTAGAGGAGGCTGCGCGCTGGTATGTGAGCTTCCTCTCTTACCGTACTCTCCTGCATCATACTGCTACTGCTGTTCCAGTTTTCTGTTCGCGTTCTACAATTGTTCGTGCCTTGTGGAGGGCTATAATATACCACGTCCACTCGTTCGATATGTTCAAACACGTACTTACCCTAGTCATTCTTTCTTTTGCTTTTACTGCGGCGCATTCGGATACTCAGAGCGCAGTATCGACACTCTCTCGGAGTACCGCGGGAGCGTTAACGGTACCAAGGTATGGTTGAAGAGGGATGCGTGGAGGGGATGGACGGCATTGCTAATGATGGTTTCTATTGTTTACAGTAGCGGGCATGCCTTGATCCCCGTTACAGCGTCGAGCGAGAGCGCCTTGGAAGGGCCTACTTCGACAGCAGCACCGCCTCCTCCGCCGCCGGCGACAAGCAGTGCTTCCGCAGTATCGTCACCAGATGTAAAGACACCGCTGCAGACTTCGAACGCCCCTGCGCCAGCGACAGCTGAGACCAACGTACCGTCTCCATCATTCACCTACGCGCCAACTGCCGAATCTTCCTCTGCGCCTCCACCACCTTCAACGCCGGCACCAAGCTCCCAAACACCAGCGGCGGAACCAGCAACCGCGCACGTCGAATCTTCACAGCAGGGAGGCGTTGCTGCCCCTTCGCCTTCTCCCTCTGTCCAGGCTCCATCAGCATCGTCACCAAACAACGCAGCGCCATCTTTCACGTACGAGCCTTCTAGCGACGCTCCGGCTCCTACTCCCGTGAACTCGGCGCCAGTTACGACTCCCGAATTTACTTTCGCGCCAGCGCCCTCGAGTGAGAACCAGGCTCCTCCTCCCGCTAGCTCTCCGCATTTCTCCTTTGCGCCTGCGCCTTCGAGTGAGAGTGCGGCGCCTCCTCCAGCGAGCACTGGACAGTTTTCTTTTGCGCCTGCTCCTGCGGCCCCGAGCAACATTGCAGCACCCGCACCAGCACCAGCACTTCCAGCCTCCGCTCCAAGCGCTCCTGCAGCCGTCCCAGCGCCAGCAGCTCAGAACGCAGCACCAGTTCAGGCTCCCGTCAGTGCTGCTCCCGTCCCAGCTCCAGCAGCAGCCATCGCAGTACCCTCATCTCCAGCTGCCGCCCCAGCAGCCCCAGCGACCAACAACGCCCCTCCATCAGCAGCCGTCATCGTCCCCGTCCCAAACGGCCCAGCAGGAAACGCAGTACCCGCCGGAGAAATGCCAGCAGCAGCAGCAGCAGCAGCATCAGCACACGCAGCTCCCCCAGCTCTTGCTCCAGCAGCAAACACTCCCCCAAATAACGCCGTAGTCCCAATGGCACCAGCAGCAACCAGCGCATCGACCAAATTAGCAGTCCCAAACGCCGCCACTCCCTCTTCAGCAGCAGCAGCAGCAGCGACAACTCTCCAGACTCTGGCCTCGCCCACCTCGTCGGAATCCCTCGCAACCGTCACCGTAACTCCCCGTCCTCAACCCGCCTCTTCCTCCTCCTCCTCCTCCTCCTCCTCCAGATATTCCAGCTCCGATTCCTCCTCCTCCTCCTCCTCCTCCTCCCCTCTCACCTATGAATCCCACACCATGTCTCTGTCCGGAGCAACCATCGCAGCCTCCCCTTCTTCTCTCTCTCCCTCGCCAACGAACACGGGCCCGGAATTCGGAAGTTCGGATTTCCAGGGCGTCCAGAACGCCGCGGGATCTATGAGATTGCATGGGAGTTGGTCGTTGGTGGCTTTTGGTATGGCTTTGGGTATGGCTGTGGTTTTGGTGTAATCCGGATTGTGGAGGGGAGGAAAGGAAAGGAAAGGAAAGGAAGGCAAAGGATTTAACCGGGTTTGATGAATTTACGCTTGTTCTGATGCGGGGAATTTGAGGAATATGGGGGCCCTTGGAGCGAGGATAATCGGATGTGGTTCGGGAGAGGAGACTATGTGCATAATCTTTAATGTGTTAGCGGAAAACCTACAAGGTTGACATAGAGCACCTCTCTCCGGTATCAACGTCCACAGTGTACGGGATTGGCCGTGGCGTGGGTGGGAGATATGAGAATCTGTGTAGCTTTGAATGAAGAATCAGAGGTATCTCTGGAACTGCGAATTGTCATCGTACTATCATGATATCCTTCAACCCGTGCTTTAATTGCCGCGATATCTACGGTGCAACGGCTCTCCCATTGCACGGCGCTGCTTCCTGCTTTTGCAAAGTCGTGGATTCCATGCCCATCCTTGCTAAAATGCAGCACCCAGCCATGCCAAAACGCCGAGTAGAAGAACGGATCTTCGTCCTGTCCGTCTACTTTCTGATAGCACGCTGGTAGAAAGCGAGCTCCTCGCCCTCCAGGATGTAGCCGTCGACACGACCGCTCTGGCCAGGACGGGAGGCAACAACGGCGTACAGACGACCAGCCTCGAACTGGCGCTCCAGGGCGGACTCTACCTTGCCGGTGGCCTTGGTGCGCTCGGCCTGCTTCTTCTCGACGCTCTTGCTCTTCTTGGTCTCCTCCTGACCCTCTCCTGCCTTCTGGCGTCTACGGCCCAGCGAGGCGCCGTAGTGTGCCTCGTACCATTGTCGGAATGGCGCAGCGTCGACCTGGACAACGGCGGACTTGGTGAGGGTGTTGGTACGGACGAGTTCGTTGTTGGACGGGTGGAAAGCCACAGCGATCACGCGGACCTTGCGGGAGATGCCCTCGCTACCCCAGGAGAAGTTGCCCGAGTCGAGACGCAGAGCACGGAACTTGCGGTTTCCTCCACGAGTGCGGACGAGGTGGACACGCTTGGCGCCGATACGGGTGTTGGCGGGCTGGCGGCCCTTCTCGAAAGCTCTGGCTTCACATCAGGATGGTGCGAAGCGTGGGAGACAATCGGGTTATGCATACCTCTTCTTGCGATAGTATGCGCGCTTGGCACCAGTGGCGCTGCGCTTGTGACGGGAGTCACGAGAGATACTGTGAAAAGGGATTGTCAGCGCATGTTCTGGTAGACCTGGTGTCGTGGGAGATGTTAGTGTGGACTGTACCCCATGATTGCGGTTGGTGAAGACTTCTGTAAGGCGAGGAAACATCAGCAAATGGTCATTGTGTATACCAATGTGTCATTCAGTCGTACTCACAGATTGGCGGTCTCTTCACCGGATGCAAGTTGAGTGGTTGGCTGCTGCTTCGAGCGATGTCGTCGGACAAATGTGAGGATCGAGAATTCTCAGAATTGGAGTGGACGTCCGCCAAGACTGAGGACGCTAGCCGAATTTAGGTACGTGCGTCAACTTTAATCCGAGTGACCTCAATTGCAACACGACAGAACTCTTAGGAACGATGAACGAGCATATGTCGCGGTGAATAATGTCATTTCTGTATCTATACAAGAAGCGGCTCGCTCGCAGAGCCCACAGAGTCAATTCCAACAGCTCCATACACCTTGAGTGGCACCGCAATCTCAAAGGTGTCGACCGAAAGCCTCTCTTTGGCAATGGATGTCGTGCCTCTCTCATCGCTTCCAGTCTCTTCGAATAGCTCCTCTTTGGAGTCGTCGCTGCCAATTCCAAGTCCTTGGACCTGTCTTTGAGTCGTGAACTCGATCCTCAGTCTCCAGACCAGACTCACTCCGGTTGTCTCAAAAGTGGGTGCCGCGTTGGATGGGACGCTGAGGTTGAAGCCAACCTGTCGTGCAAACAAGGAATTCTCGCGCACGGAAGCATGTACTTTTCTCGTCACCCGATTGATGGAGTGACTGCTTCTTAACGCCAGGGACGGGTCGACTTGCTCGGCCGACTCCAGTTCCACGAGCACCGAGTAAGTGGGAGCTTGTGATGAGGGGTCTGATGCCGGAGATCGATCAGTGAAATCGACAATGCCAGTGACTGATTCTCCGAGCCTGTACGCCGGCCGTAACATTGTAAGTATAGCTACCGGTTGGCCTGAACGCGCAATGTTGAAACGATTGGCACTCTGCGATTCCGCTCCCTTGCCGGCTTTGGAGACAAGATTGGATCGTAATATCGCAAAATCAATGGACTCCTTGATGCTGGTCGGTTGCATCTCGGTAAGGCTCCCTTGTCTTGATAGGGTCTGGTGTAACGAATCTGGAGAGGCCGGAGAGGTAGGAGACAACAGAATGCCATTTGAATCTTTCGGCGTCTCCATCAATCTTTCAGTATAGCGAAGGAAGTCTTCCAGGCCCTGTTTGGGACTTTTCTGTTTTCTATTCTCGCGTTTGCTGGCGAATTTCGAAAATGAACCAGAGCTCAACTGATCCAGCGTGATGGTGGTAGTTCGAGCTGCATCCTGCATGAGCACATAAGGAGACATAAGGTCGTGACCAAGCATGTCGCCACGAGCGTCATAGCTACCCAGGACACGGAAAGGAATTTCGACATGCTTAACGACTTGTCCTTCCGGCCGTTGAACTCCAAGTGACAGATGGTACGAGACTTTAATTGCTCTTCCGCGATGACTGGGCGGCATGCCTCGGGGAAGCGAGAACCTGTAGTTGTAGCTTCTGCTTTCGCCTGGGCCCAATTTTAAGTCGACAAAGAGGAGACTCTGCGGTGTCGATAGTATCGGGATGGTTTTGGTGCCCACACTTGCTTTCATTTGCGCCATCGAGCTCATTTCGTCGCCACCAAGGAGACCACCGAGTGACTCGCCGATGTTGCCCCAGCTCAACGCGCCGAAGAGACCAGATGATCGTTTTGAGCGCTCAACGCCAACAACACCGCCGCCACCCTGAACACCTTTCCTCTTGACTTCTTCGAAGGGGGCAGCATTGACCAGGCTTGCATCTAGGCTGAAATTTCCCATTGTCTTCACGTATGCCATCATCAGTGTTTCTGGCTCAGCTCTCCTATTCTGCGGTGACCGCGAAGGTCGTCTTGAATGAGTGATCTTAGGAATCAACCTTCCAAATTGCTGCTGCAATGGCAATTCCGACGTCAGCGTCTCATCGCTATGATTGCTCATAGAGTACAACTCGCTGCTCGTTCGCGGAGTCCCCTCGTTAGAGGTCTCTGACATGACTCTCGTGATCGGGTTCAAATTGCTAGCCCCAGACCAGCCGTCTAGAGGTCGCGGAGAAAGGGACCTCTTCTGACCTGAGTGCATATTGGACGGGCTGCGAACGAGCTTGCGGCCGGACTCGTGGTTGGGAGGCGACGTCTTCTCGACTGCTGGGAATTTGAAGCCATTGAAGCCTGGATCAGATGTATCTGTTGCCGGAGGCTTCCTCATGCTCGGATTGCGACCTAGCTGCGGTGTCTGATCCGCGGATACCGTTCCAGGTCGCCTCCTTGACGGCCTTAATGGCATCGCTTGTCCCTCTGGCAAGGCTGGGGAAGTAGTAGCCTCACATAAGGGAGATGGTTGTCTAGGCGATGGCATGGTCAAAGCTGGTGACTGGCCGAGTAGTCTGGGTGGGTGCTGCAGACTCGCACTACGAGCATGGACTCTACCCGTTCTCTTGCCAGTTGTTGGCCCAGTTGCTGGTGGTCTCCCCTCGCTGCCGGGCTCGCTGCCCAGCGACATGATAGAAAGCGATCTGCCATGACTTTTGCTCGGCCTCACAGCGCTATTCGGTCCCGCGCCCAGCTGTTGATGTTGTTGCGAAAGTTGTGCGCTCTGTAGACTTGTGGCTCTTGCTGGTGCACCGACCACATTCAGCGACAATGCCGGGCGATGTCCTCGATTTGGGAGCCCTCCTTTTGCACTGGCAGTGGACGCCGCTCTTGACAGAGCAGATGGCTTCACCTGCGCGATAGATGACCTCCTGCTATGTGTCGCCGAGGGCATATACGAAGCTCTTCTCCCATGCCCGCCCCCATTGGCGCTGGCAGGTGGCTGTGTCCCCTCCTCTTCCCCTCTACTGCCGGGGGGCAGCGCGATGTTCTTAAATGTTATGATGCATTCGATGTCCTCTCCGGCATGGACTGTCGGCTCCTTCCAATGCACGAATGCGCGGATATTCGACGAGGGCGGAGGAGGCGGCATGGCGAGTCGTGAATACGTGGTTCAAGGAGCTCCGTCAGCCGTCCATCCTCAGGCATGATGTGGTTTGCGGCGCTGTCAATGGAACCACATGAACGAAAATCCTCCGGCGTATGAGGAGAGCATTACGACGGCCGTTATCTGTCAGTGCAACGCGCACGTCCGGTGGTAATGTAGGCATGCATTGTCGTTGATTATTGATTGACGTTTCGGCGAATCAGCCTGGGGAAGCCCTTTCAGGAAGGGTCCACTCACAATAGGTCACTTTTTTGAGAGTGCAAGAGTCAAACCGGGGTGACCCAGAAATGCACGAACGCTTTTGGCATTCAATGCGGTGGAAATGGAAACGGAATACTCGTGCGAACATTTTGTGTAATGTGGCGAGTCTAGATTCAAAGGCTCCTTTTCATTTCTCGTATGAAGCCGCCGGGTATCTCACTATAATCCATCTATCTCACGCAGTACCTTGCACTACCTTGCTCACAGGAACATCCTCTGGCTTCACGCGAGCCAAGCCCTCCTTGCCGTAAAAATCCATGGGATATATCGTCTCGCGCTTCTCGCCTGCTGCCGCTCCTGCTTTTGCTTCCCAGCCCTCTTTTGCTCCAAGCACAACAAGAGCTTCGTAAGGCGTCAACAGCGGTCTTGGAAAGGCGTAGCCCCAATCGATACTCAGTCGTGGACAGGCGACCTGTACCCAGCACTCCACATCTGGCATCATAGCCAGCTTTCCAGGAAAGATCTCACTGAGAAGCAAGTTGACCCAGGGAATGCCTTTTTCGCGGAGATGGCTCTCAATCAATGTCATCGTGTGCGGATTGCCTTGCCTGCCCAGACTACCGAGAATCAAGCCCCATTTCTTCGCCGTGCGCCCTTGAGCAAGTGCATTCGACCGGTCTGAGAGAAGCTGATTGTGGTCATACGTCTCGTGGGTCAGCCGGCGTGAGTATGGATCATAGCGGTACGCTGGTAGTGATGGATTGTGGATCATTGCGCTCTCCAGGTGGAAGCGTCCATCCCCAAGGTAGAGTATTAGATCCACATTCTGCTCTTTGGTCAAGTGAGGTGATGTGCAGCCCAATATCTCACCCTTTGACAACGGCATGATCTGCGGGACGACCACATTGTAGCCTGCTTGCTTCAATTGCACACTAGTGCCATGGAGAGTTGCGTTGAACTGAATGGTTCCTACCATAGCAATGGTGCTTCCTGATTTGAAGTTCCGCTCGATGGTAGCGAGTAGGTGCTCGACGTCGATCTGAATGTCAACGAAGACGTACAGTGTCTGGATCTTTGTAACGTTGACAGGTATGAGGCAGGAGTGCGCGTAATGCACAAGCATGTCACACCCCAGCGCTCTCGCGGTGTAGTCATCTATACAGCAAGCACCGTACGTGACGTCGCCCATGATGAGCGTGCTTGCTCCAGGGCAGAACTGTGTGAGGATATCGGATATTGTAGTAGCAAAGAGCAAGAGTCCTTCAGGCATTTGTAGTGCAATCTTCTTTGCGCCAGAGGTCCGTATTCTGTGAATGGTCTTATGGATTTCGAAATTGTAATTCTTGGGCAGCAACGCAATAGCATCGTTGATGTCCTTGTCGTGCAGAATATCATCAGGCACATTATTCAGTGCTCGCAGTGGTCGCCGTCGCGGCGCAACTGTTCTTCGTCAGCTCGGCGTGAGTGGTGGGGGTGTCGCAATTTAGTCGAGCCAACCTTGGACTGCACCACTCTCAATCGAGGCATTGTCAACACCGGACTCTGCCTTTGCTGCAGCTCTTGCCTCCGCTGCTCTCCTTCCAATGAATCGTCTCTTTGGTGTCTTCGGGGCGGTTTCGGCATCGCCGTTCAGCTCAACCGGAGGGACGTCCGGGCCGAGGTCAGCTATAGCACGGTCCTGCTCCATTCCAGAGCTGGTAAAGCCTGTCGAGCGCAGCACTGTGTATGAATTTGCAACCACTGGAGTGCGTCTCTGCGGTGGCAATTACACTTGGTGAGCACGTGAGAGGCAAGCTATGAAATATACTTGGCTACGGCTTCGGTTCGGGGCGCGTGGACACTTGCCGAGTGACCAACCGGAATTGGAAGTTCCTGCAGTTCCTGCAGTAAGTCGTTGTGCCTGATCCTCCTGACCAGCGTTACGCGACGCGTGGGTGCGTGTTTCGAGCGGCACGCTATCCCTCTCGTACGACCGTCTCGCTGTTTTCGAGGGGCAAAAGCAAAGCTGTGAAGGTAGACGCTGCTCATGTGCCGTCGCGGCAGATGTCGTTGAGAAGCAGAGCGTCGCAGGGTTGTCTGATGTTGTCTGTCGGCGAAGCGCTAGTGATAGAAAAAAAAAATCGATCACAGTCCGTGTTGGTGTCAAGAGCTGCGCTCCGTGCTCGATAACAGCAAACCCTTGCGATAGCAGAGCGGCAAGCGGTAGATGGCGAGCTCGGTACGCGGCACGGGTCACAGGTCTCGGGAGAGGCCAGGGCCAGCCGGACGCCTCTACCTTAGGTACTGTGCAATGGTGCTCCTCAGCTGCGTTTGGCGTCTGCCGACCGGTGTTGACAAGAACGAGCAGATATCAGGTCAAGGGACTCATCAATGACACAATATCTCACCAACTCCAGCATAAACGACTCGTCCCGTCTGCGGTTTGCCGTCCGACTGGGATTATACCCATCCGCTGCGGGCGAATTCGAGGCCGCGAGTCGAGTGGGTCAGGCAGTTATTAGCTAGTATCACCCGCGCTCCTGAACGCCAAGCTAGCACTCTAACGACGCCTTCCCGTCACCTACTACATGTCTCTGTCGGCATTTCTCCAACGCTCACACCCAGCGACCGCCGACACAGACATACGACGCAGACGGCACTGACGTGGTCTGTCTGAGCTATCCAGCATTACGTTCGCTTTACATCTCGCCATCCACAACAGCAGAGCCCACGGCTATCCCCCCCTGTAATAGCGCATCGCGGGCCCGACCAAGACGACCACGACGACGACGATTTCCTGGGCCGACTTCCGACTGCATTGTCTTTTCTGTTACTAGTCGTCCACGCCGATATACCCACATTCACTCCTTACTGCGACTAAACTTCGCTGCTGGCGGCCCTCCGCCGGACGCTCTCCATCTCCTCCACCGATTTCCTCCCACCGCTGTCGATCATGGACTCAGACTCGGCTTCTCCGCCGCAGCGGCACAATCCACCGCACATTCGCCTCAACTCGGGCAGTCATGACCTCCTCGAGATGAGCCAGAACTCCTCAGACGCTCAGACTCGACCGCAAGCCACGCGACAGCTCTCATCGCGCTCGTTAACACAACCTACCCGGCCAGGCACCGCAGGCTCATTACGGCAGGCGCCAAGCGCTAATACTCTCTATTCTTCACAAGCACCTGCAGAATCTGCGGAGTTGTTATTACCGCCTCGGAAGAGCAAGACGAGAAGGTTCAGAGATGAAGAAAGCCCCATGAGGTCGCCCTCGGCCAGTGGCCTGAACAGCAGACGGACATCGTGGTCATCAGAGAGTGCCGGAAGCAGAGACAGCAGATATGCGGGTCCATTCGTGTCTCCTTTCGACGATTCGCGCGCACCGTCTCGGGCTGGGAGCGAGGATGAGGGGGTCAACACGCAGACTGTGAGCGAGAAGTACAACATCCTGCCGTCAGCGGGCTTGCTCTTGTTTCCAGAAGACGTGGAGAAAGACGACTATTTACACAACCCCGATCCAAATGACAAGGAGGGGCTGGACTGCGCGGATTTATTCAGCAAGCGAGGTATAGTCAACATCGGAGGCTTGACTTTGATCACGCTAGGGCTGTTGGTTCTGTTTATCGGATACCCAATTTTGTGAGTTCATTGAGCCAATGCTCGAGGAACACAGGACTGACTATCTACAGAACGTTCGTGCAGAACGCGATAAATCCCGGAGGCAACGCATGCGCTTCAGATCCGAACTGCATCTCAGACAGTATGGATCTGTTGAAGAAAGTCCGAACGGGTCTCGTTGACCCCGACACCCCGAGCAGCGCAAAGACCCGAACTGGAGATGACGGTAAGACACAAACTTTGGTCTTTAGCGACGAATTCAATGAGGAAGGACGAACTTTCTACGACGGTGACGATCCCTACTTTCAGGCCATGGACCTCTGGTACGGTGTGACTCAGGACCTGGAATGGTATGATCCAGATGCAGCTTCAACATCGGGCGGCACACTCAACCTGCGATTTGACGCTTTCCAAAACCACAACCTCAACTACCGATCTGGAATGTTACAGTCCTGGAACAAATTGTGCTTCAAGAGTGGATACTTAGAGGCCTCGATCTCGCTGCCAGGAAAAGGCGACACTGTGGGATACTGGCCAGGTTTCTGGGCGATGGGAAACTTGGGAAGGCCAGGATACGCAGCAACGACCGACGGCATGTGGCCTTACAGCTACCACGACAAATGTGACGTTGGTATTACTCCTAATCAATCCGACCCTGACGGATTGCAGTCGCTTCCAGGCATGAGACTGCCCGCTTGCACTTGCGAGGATGGAGACCACCCTTCGCCCGGCACCAGCAGGAGCGCTCCAGAAATTGACGCGATTGAAGCGCAGGTTGGCTATCTGCAACCACCGTTGGGCAAGGCGACTGGAGGAGCGTCGCAGTCTTTCCAAGTCGCGCCATTCGACACTTTCTGGCAGCCTCAGGTTGACTGGATGGAGATCTACGACCACTCAATAACCGGCCTCAACGTCTACCAAGGAGGTGTTTACCAGCAAGCTATGTCTTCAGTCACATGGCTGAACAATGAATGGTATGATGGCAACGCCTACCAAACTTACGGTTTCGAGTACCAACCTGGTGCCTCGGGTTACATCACCTGGTACGTTGGGGACGAGAAGACGTGGAAAATCACGGGCAATGCTGTTGGGCCAAACGGAAACATTGGTCAGAGGGTGATTCCAGAGGAACCAATGGCACTCATTATCAACTTTGGAATGAGTACTGGCTTCTCCACGGTGAACTTCACCGGGCTGGCGGATACCATGCCTGCCACCATGCGGATTGATTACATTCGAATATACCAAGATTCGGACGGCGAGATGACTTGCGATCCCGAAGGTTACCCAACGACCGAATACATTGCGAATCATCCGGAGCCATATGCTAATCCAAACATAACACTATGGTAAGTTGAATCTTCCGCTCCTCCGAGCTATTATCACTGACCTTCGCTCAGGTCGGGAGCGGGATACTCGTTCCCTCAAAACTCGTTCATGCACGGCTGCAAGGAAGCATCCAGCAGCAGCAGCAAGAAGTCCAAGCGATCAATGGAATCGAAACGGAGCTGGCTTCCATGGAGTTGAGGGCGACACGACACGCCCGGTGCGCCATGTCACGCAGTCACGGCCTCTTGAGACGATCACGAAGGCAAGACGTTTTCCAAAAAAAAACACCAATTGCAAACTCGCTTTGTTGCGAGAAACGCGGGCACACGAAGTCGTAGCGGCCGGCGCCCTCCCGCGCCGCCGCATGCCCCGAAACCGCCCGGCCTTTCTTTCTGGTACGACAACAGTACACTGGATGACGACGGGACACGGGAGCAGGCCAGCTCACTCAAATACTAATCCCTGTACACATTCTACCGCCTTTGACCTCTCGCTAGCGATCCCGTCTCTACCTTTTGTGTAGATAGCTGCATTTCCACGGAGCCGGGAGCTTTACTTTGCCTTTGGTTGGACACAACTAGGAGTCTTTGGATTCTTGTGGGATCTTTGGGACGTCCAAACTCCATGTTTGCATATTACCACAATCGGTTTGTTTTCTTGCAGCATTTTCAGCGCATGGCGAGACTTGCTCTTGTACTGGGTATTCGGTATCTGGAATTCTGGCTTAATTTCTAGTTTTCTCTTTTGAGAAGGGGAAAGGAGGAAGCGCGGCGGGGGCTGCTGCAGTGCATGTAGAAAAGGTGGTTTTTTGTTTCGCTGCTATGATGGGATGGTATGGGATTGAGAGACGGTCGATCGATTGAGAATGGAGATACCTCTACTACATCGTCCTCGTGGAGATGTGGGGATGATAGCATTAGTGAAGGAGACGGAAGCAAGGAACAATGTTCATTCAGTGTTCGCTCCAACTTCCTCCCACCTCTCTTTCTCTCTCTCGTGCTATGTTCTTTCCGCTAAGAGGCTCGGCGAGTGAGCAGACTTTTGGCTTTTCAACTGATAGGATTGGACGCCTAGATATCTATTGCATGAATGAATGGGGTTATAGCCAAGGGGGAATTGTGGACGAACGGACGGATGGACGGACATACATTTCCGAACGAACGGCTTCTTCGACTTCTCTTGCGATTGTGAGTGAGGTCTGCCCGGATCTATATCGCTCTCTTCTCTCCTCGCCGCCGCCGCCGCCGTCATACAATCTCATGATTTCTCCAAACGTGCTCTCCCCTTCGATTCTATTGTTGCAGTCATCCGCCCTTGGCCGGTCATTCCGTTCGGCCAATTACGTACGGAGTTTCTCGTGCAGAAGTCAGTCTACGCGGCAGATTTTCTGGCTCCTTCGTTGGCGAAGGCGAAGACGAGGGAGATGGAGATGGCCCGGCCTAAGACCGGAGGAGGAAGAGCCTGTGAGGAGGGCGAATCATGCGGGATTCCAGACGGCCTGGCATGGCGTTTAGATAAATTAGTAATGTTAGTTAGGAGGATGAAAAGGTTTCGTGGAGGAGCTGAGGTTGGTAAAGTAGGTCATTCACTTCGGTAGGTGTCGGGCCGATGATGGTGGAGCTTGAGGGGGAGAAAGGGGACGCTACTGACACGGGTATACCATATTCAACTGGAAATCAAGAGTTCTGGTCTATTCGCACGAATTAGATACAAGGAAGGATTCATCGACCTCTAAGACGACAACAACAACAGGATCAATTATCATGCAACGTCCCTTAACACCCGCCGGAAAGCACGACATCAAGCTTGCAGTCCACGACCTTGGAGGGACGAAAGGGTTGTATGCCAACGTCCAGGGCTTCACATGTATGCCGCGATACGATCATCGCAACAAATATGGAGAGACATCCGCCGTCACACCAGAGGTCCCATGCAATCGGGCGAACGACGCGGATGTTGGTGAGTTCTGGTTCCGTTAAATCGTTGACTGTGGTAATAGCTCCGGTATAAATAAGTTCTCCTGGCTCCGCGACTTCGAACGGATTGATAGGCTTCTGTTGTCGTGGAATCCAGTCCTGATACTTCTTCTTCGTCATTAATGGAAGCCCCAAGAGCTGCCTCCGCTCGCACTCTCGACCGAGTCGCTGCCCTCGGCCAGCCGAAGTGTCTCTTCCAAGACGAGTAGATCACGCTCCATCATCTCTGCCCAGTTCTGGACATCGCCAATCTCGTTGACACCTCGGGTGGCTTTCTCAACTTCCTTTTGCCACTTGCAGCTCTCCTTGGCGAGAAGAGTAGCCTGTGTCTTGACTTGGGCCTCTTGCTTCGCGATGGCCGCTGCGTTGCTGTGGAGATCTGCTGCTCGGCGTTGGAATTGATTGTCGTAGTTTGAGCCGGCCGATTCGAGCGACGCGAGGACGGCGGCTCGGGCTTCTGCTTGGGATCTGGAGGTATCGCTTCCTACTGCCGTGGAGGATGTGGCGGTAGACGCCATGTCGAGAACAGCCTCCAGTGTCTCCTCCAAGCCTAACTTTCCGTGTCGATTGTCGGCTGGTAGTATCCGGCTCGTCCAGACGTCGCAAGTGTCCTATCGGACAGAGCAGGACGGATAGTGAAGATAGATGGCGAGGTACATGGTTCAGAAGCCCACAGACGCGGGATAGGTCTTCTTCGTCCGGCTCGTGGAGCCTTGTTAGCTTCTCATCTGACTAAGTGAAGGGGCACGAATGGGCTGGCGTGCTGTGGACTAGAACAGCGGATCGGCGGGCATCGGAGGGCGAGAGACATTGCTGAGTGGCTGAAGAGAGGGTGAAGGGTGCGGTAGCGCAGAGAGCGGATGGTGGAAGAAGTGCATGTAGCTGGGCAGCTGGGCTGGGCTGGGCTGGGCTCTGACGTGTCCTTGTACCTGCAGTAGCAGCTGTAACGGGTGTTCTCGTGCACAGCAGCAGCGTGGAGGGTTGGTGCGGGTGTTGGTTGGGGGGAATCATCATCAGAGCATGCTAGTATTTTCAGAGATGAGGGAAAGCTTGGGACAAGGATATTGCAACAAGGATATGATATTGGAGAAGAAATAAGATACCGGGATGAGTTGGGAGAGGAGACGAGAAAGGAGCGGTCGGCTTCTCCTCTTGCCTGCCTGAGGCCGGAATTCCGTGAGATCGGAGGACGCCGCCTAACGCTTCCACGCCCTCTGCTGGAATTCCATGCCGAGAGCCATTCATTGCACTGTTTGATCCATCAATCTTCGGCCATCATCATTCGTTTCCTTTCATTCCATTGAGCAGGCAAGGCACCTTCATGGCGAGGACGCCGTAATTTTTGCTGCATTACCAATTCCACCGTGTCTGCTCGGGAGACGGTGCGTGCAAGCATCCTCTATCCTCTCCTCGTCGGCCACATGCGAACCAGATAAGCCATACATACATTCATCCTTTCCCTCTTTCTCCTCCACCTCCACTCATACTCCTATCCTACAATATCCATATTTCACAATTCCTTCCGTCTGCGGTGCTCCATCCTCACCTTCCTCTACTCCCCTCACCACCACCACCTCTCTACCGATCGCCTCGGGTCTAGGATGCATGTACAATTGAATATCTAGGACTCGATCGCATACAACGCTGCAATCCGCCTCTTTCAGCATGGCACCGGGACTAATAGAACCACAGCCGGCAGTGGATCCAGTCCGCCAGCAATCTCTCTCTTCCCTGACCGAGAACTACGATGATACCCTCCGCTTCTACCTGAACGGCACCAAAGTCGTTCTGGATACCGCAGACCCCGAAGTCACCCTCCTCGAATACCTCAGAGGTATCGGCTTGACCGGCACGAAGCTAGGGTGTGCCGAAGGAGGCTGTGGTGCGTGCACGGTGGTGGTCTCACAGTACAACCCGACCACCAAGAAGATATACCATGCTTCGGTCAACGCATGCTTGGCTCCCCTCGTCTCGGTGGATGGCAAGCATGTCATCACCGTCGAGGGTATTGGGAATGTCAAGAGACCCCATCCGGCGCAAGAGCGTATCGCAAAGAGCAATGGCAGTCAGTGTGGATTTTGCACCCCGGGCATTGTCATGAGCTTGTATGCCCTGCTGAGGAACACCGAGACTCCATCGGAGCATGAAGTGGAGGAGGCCTTCGATGGCAACTTGTGCAGGTGTACCGGATATCGTCCCATCCTGGACGCTGCTCAAACGTTTAGCGCGGGAAAGGCATGTGCGAAAGCCAAGGTGAACGGTGGTGGTGGCTGCTGCATGGAGAATGGTGTCAACGGAGCAAGTGGATGCTGTAAATCGGGTCCTGAGGAAGACAAGCAGTCCATCAAGAGATTCACCCCTCCTGCTTTCATCGAGTACAAGCCGGACACGGAGCTCATATTCCCTCCCGCATTGAAAAGACATGAGTACAAACCGCTCGCTTTTGGAAACAAACGCAAGCGATGGTTCCGTCCCGTGACACTCCAGCAGCTGTTGGAGATCAAGAGCGCTTACCCTTCTGCCAAAATCATTGGAGGAAGCACGGAAACTCAGATTGAAGTCAAATTCAAGGCCACCAACTACAATGTCTCAGTATTCGTCGGCGACATTCCCGAGTTGAGACAGTACAAGTTCGAGGACGACTACCTCGAGATAGGCGGTAATGTGACATTGACCGATCTGGAATACCTCTCGCTGGACGCCGCGGAGCACTATGGCGAGCGCAAGGGTCAGCCATTCGCCGCCATCAACAAGCAGATCAAGTACTTCGCAGGAAGACAGATCAGAAATGTCGGTACCCCTGCCGGCAACCTCGCAACAGCATCGCCAATCTCAGATTTGAATCCGGTCTTTGTTGCGACCAATGCTACTATAGTGGCCCGGTCGTTGGAGGAAACAATCGAGATTCCGATGAATGAATTCTTCAAGGCGTACAGAGTCACTGCCCTCCCTCCGGATGCGATCATTGCGAGCATAAGGATACCCGTGTTCCAGGAGAAGGGCGAACATATGCGTGCGTACAAGCAGGCGAAGCGCAAGGACGATGATATTGCCATCGTTAATGCGGCGTTGCGTGTGCGGCTGGATGAAGAGAACAAGGTCACGAATTCAAGCCTGGTATACGGTGGCATGGCTCCGATCACCATTGGGGCGAAGAAAGCCATGGAGTACCTGGAAGGCAAGCTGTTCACCGATCCAAACACCTTGGAAGGTGTCATGAATGCTCTGGAGCAAGACTTTGACCTTCGATTCGGTGTGCCAGGTGGAATGGCGACGTATCGAAAGTCTTTGGCATTAGGATTCTTTTACAAGTTCTACCATGAGACTCTTGCGGAGCTCAATCCCGAAGGGACGGAGATCGATCACGACTGTCTTGCTGAGATTGAGCGGGAGATCTCCAAAGGCAAGAAGGACCATGCGGCTGGACGTGCGTATGAGAAAAAGGTCATTGGCAAGGAGCAGCCTCACACTGCGGCTCTCAAGCAATGCACAGGAGAAGCACAGTATACCGATGACATACCCGTGCAGAAGAACGAGCTGTACGGCTGCCTTGTCCTCAGCACCAAGGCCCATGCGAAGATCGTCAGTGTCGACGCTTCGCCGGCACTTGACCTTCCAGGTGTTTACGAGTACGTCGATCACAACGACTTGCCGAACGCAAAAGCAAACTATTGGGGTGCTCCTAATTGCGATGAGACTTTCTTCGCTGTCGACGAAGTCTTCACTGCCGGTCAGCCTATCGGTATGATTCTAGCGACTTCTGCAAAGCTCGCAGAGGCCGGCGCTCGCGCGGTCAAGGTAGAGTACGAAGAGTTGCCGGCCATCTTCACCATTGAAGAAGCCATCGAGGCGAATAGCTTCTTCGACCACTACCATTACATCAACAACGGCGATGTCGAGAAGGCTTTTTCTGAAGCCGATCACGTCTTCACCGGCGTATCACGCATGGGTGGCCAAGAACATTTCTACCTCGAGACCCAAGCCTGTGTCGCCGTGCCTAAACCCGAAGACGGAGAAATGGAAATCTTCAGCTCCACGCAGAATCCCACAGAGACTCAGGCTTACGTTGCTCAAGTTACCGGAGTCGATGCCAACAAGGTCGTCACCAGGGTTAAGCGCCTTGGAGGCGGCTTTGGTGGTAAAGAGACTCGGTCCATCCAACTCGCGGGTATCTGTGCCATCGCGGCGAAGAAGAGCAATCGTCCTGTCCGCTGTATGTTGAATCGCGATGAGGATATCCAGACTTCAGGACAACGACACCCTTTCCTGGCACGGTGGAAAGTTGCCGTCAACAAAGATGGCAAACTGCAAGCTCTCGACGCAGACGTGTTCAACAATGGCGGCTGGTCGCAAGATCTGAGCGCTGCGGTTGTTGACCGCGCTCTTAGTCATACAGATGGCTGCTATAAGATCCCCAACGTCTTTGTCCGCGGACGCATCTGTAAGACGAACACCGTCTCCAACACCGCTTTCCGAGGGTTTGGAGGTCCGCAAGGTCTCTTCATCGCGGAATCGTACATTGAAGAGATCGCGGACCATCTGGGCATGGAAGCCGACAAGCTGCGGGAGATCAACATGTACCAACCCGGCGAGACGACGCATTTCAACCAGGAACTGAAAGACTGGTACGTTCCGCTCATGATGAAGCAAGTGCGCGAGGAATCGGAATACGATCAGAGGAAGCGCGAAGTGGAAGCTTTCAATGCGAAGAGTAAATGGAAGAAAAGGGGGATCGCGCTTGTCCCGACCAAGTTTGGGATCTCGTTCACGGCGTTGTTCTTGAATCAGGCGGGTGCTCTGGTGCATATATACCACGATGGGTCGGTTCTGGTGGCACATGGCGGAACGGAAATGGGACAGGGTCTGCACACGAAGATGACCATGATCGCGGCCGAAGCACTTGGAATTCCGCAGGAAAACGTCTTCATCTCGGAGACGGCGACGAACACGGTTGCCAACACCTCTTCCACGGCGGCTTCCGCGTCTTCGGACCTGAACGGCTACGCGATCTGGAACGCCTGCTCCCAACTCAACCAACGCCTCGCTCCCTACCGCGAGAAACTCGGCCCCGACGCGACGATGAAACAACTCGCGCACGCCGCGTACTTTGACCGCGTCAATCTCTCCGCCAACGGCTTCTACAAAACCCCCGACATCGGCTACGTGTGGGGCCCCAACACGGGGCAAATGTTCTTCTACTTCACGCAGGGCGTCGCGGCCGCCGAGGTGGAAATCGACACCCTCACGGGCGACTGGACCTGCCGCCGCGCCGACATCAAAATGGACGTCGGCCGCTCCATCAACCCGGCCATCGACTACGGACAAATCGAAGGCGCCTTCATCCAGGGCCTCGGCCTCTTCACCATGGAAGAGAGCCTCTGGCACCGCGCCTCGGGCCAGATCTTCACGCGCGGCCCCGGCGCGTACAAGATCCCCGGGTTCAGGGATATCCCGCAGGAGATGAATGTCTCGCTGCTGAAAGACGTGAACTGGGAGCATCTGCGCACGATCCAGCGCAGTCGCGGCGTCGGGGAGCCGCCTTTGTTCTTGGGCAGTGCGGTTTTCTTTGCGCTGCGGGATGCGTTGAAGGCCGCGCGGAGGCAGTTTGCGGGGGAGGAGGAGGAGGAGGTCTTGTCCCTGTGGAGTCCGGCTACGGTGGAGAGGATTCGGGTCAGTTGTCGGGATCCTATTGTGCGGAGGAGTGAGGTTGTGAAGGGGGAAGGGGAGAAGAGTTGGTTTATTTCGATTTAAAAGAGATTGAATGGGAATCTTTGTGAATGGTTGGTGGATCATAGGATGGAAGGGTTTAGGGAAAATTTTCGAGTTTTTCTGTGTGTTTTGTTTTGCAAGAAATGATCAATATGATGAATGAGATTGCCAGTCATCCATACTATTACTCTACATTGGAATGTGCAGTCAACCATGATTTATACTCCTACCACCAAACAGCCCTAACAATCCCACTCACAACCCTCCACCCCACCCAACACCCCAAACCCACCGCCCCAACCCCAAACACAAACGTCCGGAAATTCCTCGCTTCCACATGCGAATACCCCCTCTTCTCCTCCACACACTCGCCCATCTCGGTAATCGTACTATACTCGGGCACATATTTCATCTCAAACACACTCTCCCGGCCGCGCAAGCCGAATTTCGTCTCCACAATCACCTGCCAGAAGACGCGCTTCAGCAGGGCGATCTTCTGGCGGTCCCAGCGCGGGATGCTGCGGTAGGTGTAGATGAGGGCGCAGAAGAAGAGGCACTGCCCGGCCATGAGGGCCCAGTAGTAGGGCGAGGGGCGGGGCAGGCCGAGTTCGTCGCAGAGAGCGTTGCCGTTCAGCCAGCGGGCGGAGGCGGTCAGGAAGTCGGCCGAGGCGTAGCCTGGCGGTTGGCCTTCGAGGGATTTGATGATGTTGTTGGCGAGGATGCGGGAGGTGGCCGTCGGGTGGATTTCGTAGAGGAGGAGGACTTCCATTAGTCGCTTGGCCTGAGGGGCGGTCTGGAAGTAGGAGGGGGTCGGGGCGCCTATCACGTAGCCGATGTAGCGCCAGAGGGCGATGTAGTCTTTGGCTTCCGAGGCCCGCATCCAGATGCCCTGGCGGGGGAGGGAGAGGTAGATGAGGGAGGCGGAGAAGGTCGTGATGGTGGCGAGGTTGTCGAGGTCGTTGATGGGGATGCCCCAGGCTTCGACGTCGTAGTATTCCCGTCTTGTCTCGCGGAGTTTCATGATGCGTTGCCGGACGGCGGCGTGGAGGAGTCGCACCCGTAGGGTAGACGCAAAGCCTTCGCCCCCCGGTTGCATGCTTTCCAGACTCTTGGTGCATTGCAAGATGTGCTGTGTCGTCTCGAATAATCTGCCCCTCGCCACTCGGGTCGAGAAGCCTCCCGTGCGAGCTAATGTTTCCACAACCCGCGCGGCTCCCATCCCGCCCAGGAGACTCTGATATGCCAGTCCCGTCAGACACGCCCCGCCATATCGATAGAAGACATCCTGGCCCCTCTGGATCTGTTCCCAATCGACCCATTCCGGCACCGTCGACACCTCGTCCCAGAATCTCCCCAACAGTTCATCCTCATCTTTGTGTTCTTGCAATATCTTATACAGATCCCTTCGTCCTTTCTCCTTGGCCTTCTCGCCTTCTTTCTCCTTTTCCTCGTCTCGGATACTCTCCCTCTTGACCGGCTCCGGGGGCGAGATCTGGTTCAATCGATCGAGGACTTGCTCCGCGAGCACGTCGTAGGAATGCTTCAGAGGTTCACATTCTTCAGGCGTGAGGTGTTCCGGTGTGAGTTCGAAGCGATATCCCCAGCAACTGTCAAAGTATCAGCTCGATCAGCCACAGTGACACAAAACGTTCAGATGCTCAGGATAAATGTGAAACTCACGTCCTTGTGTCCTTCGTATGGCGGTAGAAAGGGTTCGGCCACGCCATCAAGATCCAGAAACCTCGCAATCCAATTTTCCAAGCGAAGAACAAGAACAAGAACCCTCGAGCAATCTTCCAAAAGGAAACCGAAACAGGAAAGGAAGGGGAGGAACAGAGCATGTGAATGCCACAGCCTTAGCTCGGTACTTGCCTCTACTGGGAACTACACTCAGGAATCATGCGCTCGATTTCGTCATTGACTACCCTGCCGCTTCGCGCTTGAGGAGGGTCGGCAATGGCATGGAGAATGCGCGGACATGGTCAGCCGGACGTGACGAACTAACAAGCGAGCGAGTTCTGAGTGTGGTCGTACCGGTCTGTGAGAAGTAGAAGTCAACGCGGAGGGAAAGACTTGTGAGTTTTGAGGAGTCTCAGCTGCAAGGATGCTTGCTCGTGCGCTGACGCGAGGACGAGCTCGTCACGAGACCAACTACAGCGCTCTCGAGATGTTCCATTCAATCATACAACTAACGCTACAGCTAGTAGACTCTTTTGGATCGCTCAAGACTGATGAACGAGAAAACAACAATAACCTACGACGAGCGCCTTCGCTGGTGTGGCAGAATCGTAAAATCTCAAATGTCGTCGTCACACCTTCCTCCGCTTGCCTTTCACATCTTCGTCTTCATCACCACCAGCCTCGCGTTCCGTGCCCCGCCACTCGGAGATCTTTTGCTCAACATCCTCAAACATCTCTTTGGTGGAGAGTGCCATGCCGTCTTCGCCGGGATTGAACATGTACGCATTCGCAAGCATGCGCATCAGTTCCTTCTCGAGCTGCGCCCCATTGACAATGGCTTTGGGAGGTATCAGATCCGCGGTGCGTTCCAGCTCTACTGTTGTCGAGGACGCCGATGGCGTTGCCGCGGGTGAGTCCGTATTCGCGGTGGCTGCGGCAATGGCCTTGCCGCCGGCCGTAATCGCACTTCGGATCGACTTGAGGTTTTGTGGCTGCTTGACGATTTCACTGTAGCCCGGAATGTCTTTGTCGCGGACCTCCTTGGCAAAGTAGGACGCATGCTTATGGCTGACGATGTCGTTCATGACAGCGGACGACATTTTGGCCAGGTTGCGGGTTGCAACGACAGTGTTGCTGCGGGGAGGTGGAGTTGGGCCCCATTCTCGTTCCTGTGCAGACTCTGGAGGCGATTCTCGCCACTTGCGCTTGTTCGGCTGCTGATGCTGAGATTGTAGCGTTCCTCGCCTCGTGCGTGTCATCTTGGCGCTCGATGTACCGGTCCCTGTGTCGGGCTCTTCCAGCAGGTTCGACGGCGTGGAGGCCTCGGCTTTGACTCCATTCCTGCTGCGAGGCCGGTCATCCGATGGAGGATGCGCGCCTGCTACAGTGCTCACAGACTGACTCCGCGTACGTGCAAGGAGAGATTCGTCCGCTACAGATGAGACCACACTGTGAGGACTCTTGTCACGAGCGTTGGGGCGCCGCTTGCTCGAACGCAGTTTCGTCGCCGACTCGGTGGCGGGAGGCTCCTCGATAGTCGGAGCATTTGACCGAGCCGGCTTGGCACGTCCCCGAGTTGGACTTAACGGCTCAACCTGAGGGCTTGGCTTTGGCATCTGATCCTTGATCGGCGTATTGTACAATGGACGCTTCCAGATTGATCGTGTACGAGGCGGTGTTGCGAGAGCAGCCAACACTGCTTGTATATGAGGAGATGGTACAGGCGGAGGCCGCGGACCCGTGGCCGGCGCAACAGGACCCGGAGAAGGATACATTGGTCGTTGCCCCGACATGGGCGGCTGGTGAGGCCGGAGTGGTTGTTGTATCGGTTTGCCGTGGTCCTGTGGCTGAATTTGGAACGGCGGTAACATATATCCTCCCCCAGGGTGCGGAGGCTGTGTTGGATACGTTGGTGTCTGGTGACCTTGAACTGGAGGATACGATGGTCGCCGCCCAGCATATGACTGCTGTTGCTGCTGATAGTAGCCTGCTGGAGGATGAGGAGCCAGAGGGGTACCCGGATATGCTCGAGGTGGCATTTCGCCCGTTGGTGATGGCCCAGCCGGCATACGTTGTTGAGGCTGGAAGTGCTGTTGGTGTGCTTGGGGGTGCTGATGTGGCATGTGCGGATGAGGTACTCCTGGCGAGCCAGCGTGCGGGATCGGCGGCGTTGGCTGATACTGCATGCCCTTAGGAGGAGGCAGAATTGGCCTTGGTGACGAAGATGCCCTAGACATAGTTTGCTGGATTTGTGGACCAGAGATGGAACCTGGCCGAGGATGTATGTTCTGCGGGGGGTAAGGCGACTGGTGACCCGCGGGAGGTGATTGTGTGTATCCATGATGGGGCATCTGTTGCATTGGCTGCATCTGGGTCGGCACGGCACCAGAGGCATTCGGAGGAATGGCATGGTGAGGCGATTGCGGCGCGAGTTCAGCCAGTGGAGGCAGCGAGGTGTTTGAAGCAGTTCTTTGGTGAGGAATGGGACTGTCCTGTGACTCCGGTCCATGATTGATCATCGCATCGATCTTAGCTTGCGAATACCTCTTCACATGCCCTTGAGGAGCACTCTCCGGTTGTTTGGCAGGCACGCTTGGACTAGCCACAACAGGAGAGGGTTGGAGATTGTCCGCTCGCGCCACAACAGGTTGCGTGTGGGCAGTCGAGGAAGGCTTTGGGCTCTGAGTCTGCGAGACAACCTGCTTCTTCTGCAGCCTCTCGTCCCATTGACCAGATTCAATCTCCGAAATCTCCTCGTGTATGGTAGCATACCTCTTTTCGAGTGGCCGAATCGCCGTGTCAACATAATGCTGGCGAAAGCCAGTATAGAGACGAGTTACTAATTGTGGGATCAAGTGTGAATGTTTTGTAGCTTCCGACACGGTTGGCAAGCTCGGGCTGGGTGCCTTTCGTTTCCTCGAAGCGGGAGAGACATCACCATTAGTGAGTTGATTGTCGCCATTCGCTTGTCTTTCCAGGTCGCGCTTCACTTCATCCTTGAGCAGGGTGAGATAGAGCTCGCGCAGGGCATCTGGGCTTAAGCGGCCGCCATCGTAGCGTCGGTCGTTGCGAATCGACGGGATGTTCTTCAACTGCTCAGAAATGCGGTTGAAGGAGATGGAGTCGACGCCGTCAGCACGCAGGGCCTGGAAGAGAAGCAGCGTCTCGAGAGGAGTGTAGGCGGAGTCGCTGTTCATGAAGTAGACGGCCGGGTGCGCGGACAGGTCGCGCGTCCGATGGGAGGTGAGAATAGCCAGCGTGAGCGATTACGGCGCGGAGCATGATATGGGTTCGGCTGGGGGATCGCTCGACGTTAATTGCAGGGCATCGCGGGTGGTGGAGATGAAGTCGCCTGGTCGTTTGCGCTCCGAAGTGATGGAGATGGGCTGCCTCGTGATGGTGGATGAGTTGTTGGTGCAGTCAGGCGACGGGGATGCACATGTGTTTGTTTCGTCTCGACGGCCGCTGTCGAGATTGCGACGACGACTCCGACGAGTGCCAAGCAATGTGATGGAGCCAAGCTACTGAATGCGGTCGGCGGGGAACCGGGCGAGATGACACCTGAGGCAACCAGAGAGACCGGTCGGACGTGAGACAAGTGCGCACTCGCGCTCATCACTCGACTCGACGCTGCCACCATCGTCCTGATCCTGATCCTGATCCTGATCCTGATTCTCAGTCTGAGCCTGATCTCACCGCTTTCTTGTACAAATAGCTTCAGCGACGACCGCCGTGCCGCCTTCCTCGCATTCACTCACCCGCGTAGAGCCTTCTTCATGCCTCACGCAGCCCCTGGCGTCTGAGCTTCGGTAGAACCGCGATTATATCCAACTACTCCTTTCACCTCCCGCCTTGGAAGCCTGGTGTTTGCGATCACCGCTCCTCTGCATACACCCATCACACTTCTCAAGATTCAACTCGCCCAGCATGGTCGAAGAACAACAGCAGCCGCCGCAACGGTTCAATACCCGTCCAGAGTCGTATGCGCCGCGCCCCGTCTCTCCTGCTCCTCGGACGACTGGCTGATGTGTGTCGCAGCACCATTGCTCAGAACTTCGCCGCAGACCTTGACAGCATGTTCGGCTTGAGCTCCGGCTCCGACGGTGTGGACACCCTGCACAAGACTGTCGAGGAGAAGTAAGGAAGCTCCCATTGGCACCTCTCCACGGCAAGTACAATGCGTACTCCATGCTAATCCATCGCAGGAAGCAAACCGTGACCTCGGGCGAGGCAACGTTGCAGGAGTTGGAGGCCAAGCTTCGCGAGACGGAAGAGCGACTGGCAAAGGTCTCCCGACACAACTCGCCCTCGCGACAGGCCAATACTGCGGTGCCTAGAGCGCACCCCGACAACAACAGGCAAGCCGCTGACGGCGCGGCCAGGTCTAGCCCGCTGGTACAGAAACCAACCTACCCCGTCGACAGACCTCCAACCGCCAAGGACCGACCACCGACAGAGCGTGCAGACACCAGGGAGTTGATGAACAGTATACCCGGCGGAATGCCAGAAGAGACGCCCAATCAGACCGGTGGCAACGAATATGTCATGGTGGACAGGAATGCAGGAACAGCTCAGCGAGGTTATGGTTAGGTCTGAGCACTGGGATTGGGAAATGGTTTGATTATTGGGCGTGCGAGCGAATATGGCATTTGACGGCCTGAACGGATCTGAGCGGCCAAGAGCCACCGGCGTTCTACAGTTTTGTGAGACTAACCATCTCATCACTCGAATGTGCGAGTAGATTGGGCAAAGAAGGGCATTTCCTCGACCACGTCCCGTCCCCTCCGTGCTGTCTAGCGCAGAATCCAGGCTTCAAACTTCATCCTGCCGCGAGCGAGGCGGAACTAGCCGCACCACACCGACTTCCTAGCTTTGTAAATTAATACCACCACACTACCAACATCGCACCGAAGTATATGAAAGTCATCTCAAACCTGCCGATGGAAGCCACAATGTGGTGGCTCCTCCCACTGGCCATCGCACGCTATATGTCCTCCGACATCACTATCGACCTGGTCTCCGACAAATCCCAGGCCCTTTCCTCGCTTCCATCTCCAATCTAGACAGGCTATGGTCGTGTGCTACTAGTCTACTGTTGGAATCGGGAGAGGAGATGCTGACCATGCTCATCATGATGATGATGGTGTAAAAATCCCCGGGTCTCGGCGCGATATGAAACAACCCACGGCAGCGAGGCGCATAGCTTTCGACCGGAACGGTGGTTTTGGAAGCAGATGTCGTTCAACTCCGTTTGTTGATGGAGAGGAATTCCTCTCGCAGTCT